GTCGTGTTGAATGGGGAACGGGGAATGGCTCTGGAGTCAATGCAGGGGAATCGGGCCTCATCTCGAGTTGATTTGGGGCACATGGAGCTGCTTTGCGTTGCTGGGGTGACCTCAGGGTCCGTCTAGACTGGTGACAGTGTTCTTGGGGACTGTCTCGAGATCCATTAAGCAAGTCGAAGCTCCTGACTTGTTTGAATGGGATCACGGAATAGCTCTGCATGCACTGCAGGGGAATGGGGCCTCATCTCGCCTCTAGGGGGAAGTCTCATGGTTTTTCTCGAGTTGCGGCGGGGACCTGGGGTATGTTCTCGACTTACGGCGGGGATGGCCCTTCAAAACACGAGTTTCTTCAGTGACGTCAGGACTCCTGTCTAGTAACGAGGGACACCTCAGGAATCTCTTCGAGGCTTGGCAGGGCCAAAGGGACGCTTCTCGAGGTGAGGCAGGGCACCCAAGGACCCTTTCCAGTAGCCACAGGGATTTTGGGATTCCTATCAGTATTCAAGAGGAGTCAGGCATCGTCACCTTTTGAAGCAATGAACTCCGCGTGCCTCTCGAGGTGTCAGCGGGATGTGAGGCATTCCGTCAAAATGAGGCAGGGACCTAGGGCTTTCTCTAAGGTCTCCACAGGGGATTCAGACATCCATTCATGTTGTGAGATGAAAGACGAGCCTGTATTCAAGCCACTGCAAGGAAATCCGGCCTCCTTTCAAGTTAGGGCTTCTCGCTGTATATTCCCCTTGAGGCAGCAAACTCGGGTCCCTCCCACATACCTATTGCTGAGAGAAGCCTCCTCCTGAGGTGCTTCTGGGAAGTTGGCATACGTCTTGAGCCTAAGCCAGGGAATCAGCTCGCATCTCGAGACGATTTGGGGTACACGGAGCATTCCTCGAGTTGCTGTGCTGAAGTTGGTGTTCCTCTAGACTTAGGACAGTGTTCTCGGGGCATCTCTGGAGTTGCCTGAAGGAAGTCGAGCCACCGGTCGTGTTGAATGGGGAACGGGGAATGGCTCTGGAGTCAATGCAGGGGAATCGGGCCTCATCTCGAGTTGATTTGGGGCACATGGAGCTGCTTTGCGTTGCTGGGGTGACCTCAGGGTCCGTCTAGACTGGTGACAGTGTTCTTGGGGACTGTCTCGAGATCCATTAAGCAAGTCGAAGCTCCTGACTTGGTTGAATGGGATCACGGAATAGCTCTGCATGCACTGCAGGGGAATGGGGCCTCATCTCGCCTCTAGGGGGAAGTCTCATGGTTTTTCTAGAGTTGCGGCGGGGACCTGGGGTATGTTCTCGACTTACGGCGGGGATGGCCCCTTCAAAACACGAGTTTCTTCAGTGACGTCAGGACTCCTGTCTAGTAACGAGGGACACCTCAGGAATCTCTTCGAGGCTTGGCAGGGCCAAAGGGACGCTTCTCGAGGTGAGGCAGGGCACCCAAGGACCCTTTCCAGTAGCCACAGGGATTTTGGGATTCCTATCAGTATTCAAGAGGAGTCAGGCATCGTCACCTTTTGAAGCAATGAACTCCGCGTGCCTCTCGAGGTGTCAGCGGGATGTGAGGCATTCCGTCAAAATGAGGCAGGGACCTAGGGCTTTCTCTAAGGTCTCCACAGGGGATTCAGACATCCATTCATGTTGTGAGATGAAAGACGAGCCTGTATTCAAGCCACTGCAAGGAAATCCGGCCTCCTTTCAAGTTAGGGCTTCTCGCTGTATATTCCCCTTGAGGCAGCAAACTCGGGGTCCCTCCCACATACCTATTGCTGAGAGAAGCCTCCTCCTGAGGTGCTTCTGGGAAGTTGGCATACGTCTTGAGCCTAAGCCAGGGAATCAGCTCGCATCTCGAGACGATTTGGGGTACACGGAGCATTCCTCGAGTTGCTGTGCTGAAGTTGGTGTTCCTCTAGACTTAGGACAGTGTTCTCGGGGCATCTCTGGAGTTGCCTGAAGGAAGTCGAGCCACCGGTCGTGTTGAATGGGGAACGGGGAATGGCTCTGGAGTCAATGCAGGGGAATCGGGCCTCATCTCGAGTTGATTTGGGGCACATGGAGCTGCTTTGCGTTGCTGGGGTGACCTCAGGGTCCGTCTAGACTGGTGACAGTGTTCTTGGGGACTGTCTCGAGATCCATTAAGCAAGTCGAAGCTCCTGACTTGTTTGAATGGGATCACGGAATAGCTCTGCATGCACTGCAGGGGAATGGGGCCTCATCTCGCCTCTAGGGGGAAGTCTCATGGTTTTTCTCGAGTTGCGGCGGGGACCTGGGGTATGTTCTCGACTTACGGCGGGGATGGCCCTTCAAAACACGAGTTTCTTCAGTGACGTCAGGACTCCTGTCTAGTAACGAGGGACACCTCAGGAATCTCTTCGAGGCTTGGCAGGGCCAAAGGGACGCTTCTCGAGGTGAGGCAGGGCACCCAAGGACCCTTTCCAGTAGCCACAGGGATTTTGGGATTCCTATCAGTATTCAAGAGGAGTCAGGCATCGTCACCTTTTGAAGCAATGAACTCCGCGTGCCTCTCGAGGTGTCAGCGGGATGTGAGGCATTCCGTCAAAATGAGGCAGGGACCTAGGGCTTTCTCTAAGGTCTCCACAGGGGATTCAGACATCCATTCATGTTGTGAGATGAAAGACGAGCCTGTATTCAAGCCACTGCAAGGAAATCCGGCCTCCTTTCAAGTTAGGGCTTCTCGCTGTATATTCCCCTTGAGGCAGCAAACTCGGGGTCCCTCCCACATACCTATTGCTGAGAGAAGCCTCCTCCTGAGGTGCTTCTGGGAAGTTGGCATACGTCTTGAGCCTAAGCCAGGGAATCAGCTCGCATCTCGAGACGATTTGGGGTACACGGAGCATTCCTCGAGTTGCTGTGCTGAAGTTGGTGTTCCTCTAGACTTGGGACAGTGTTCTCGGGGCATCTCTGGAGTTGCCTGAAGGAAGTCGAGCCACCGGTCGTGTTGAATGGGGAACGGGGAATGGCTCTGGAGTCAATGCAGGGGAATCGGGCCTCATCTCGAGTTGATTTGGGGCACATGGAGCTGCTTTGCGTTGCTGGGGTGACCTCAGGGTCCGTCTAGACTGGTGACAGTGTTCTTGGGGACTGTCTCGAGATCCATTAAGCAAGTCGAAGCTCCTGACTTGGTTGAATGGGATCACGGAATAGCTCTGCATGCACTGCAGGGGAATGGGGCCTCATCTCGCCTCTAGGGGAAGTCTCATGGTTTTTCTCGAGTTGCGGCCGGGACCTGGGGTATGTTCTCGACTTACGGCGGGGATGGCCCTTCAAAACACGAGTTTCTTCAGTGACGTCAGGACTCCTGTCTAGTAACGAGGGACACCTCAGGAATCTCTTCGAGGCTTGGCAGGGCCAAAGGGACGCTTCTCGAGGTGAGGCAGGGCACCCAAGGACCCTTTCCAGTAGCCACAGGGATTTTGGGATTCCTATCAGTATTCAAGAGGAGTCAGGCATCGTCACCTTTTGAAGCAATGAACTCCGCGTGCCTCTCGAGGTGTCAGCGGGATGTGAGGCATTCCGTCAAAATGAGGCAGGGAACTAGGGCTTTCTCTAAGGTCTCCTCAGGGGATTCAGACATCCCTTCATGTTGTGAGATGAAAGACGAGCCTGTATTCAAGCCACTGCAAGGAAATCCGGCCTCCTTTCAAGTTAGGGCTTCTCTCTGTATATTCCCCTTGAGGCAGCAAACTCGGGGTCCCTCCCACATACCTATTGCTGAGAGAAGCCTCCTCCTGAGGTGCTTCTGGGAAGTTGGCATACGTCTTGAGCCTAAGCCAGGGAATCAGCTCGCATCTCGGGACGATTTGGGGTACACGGAGCATTCCTCGAGTTGCTGTGCTGAAGTTGGTGTTCCTCTAGACTTGGGACAGTGTTCTCGGGGCATCTCTGGAGTTGCCTGAAGGAAGTCGAGCCACCGGTCGTGTTGAATGGGGAACGGGGAATGGCTCTGGAGTCAATGCAGGGGAATCGGGCCTCATCTCGAGTTGATTTGGGGCACATGGAGCTGCTTTGCGTTGCTGGGGTGACCTCAGGGTCCGTCTAGACTGGTGACAGTGTTCTTGGGGACTGTCTCGAGATCCATTAAGCAAGTCGAAGCTCCTGACTTGGTTGAATGGGATCACGGAATAGCTCTGCATGCACTGCAGGGGAATGGGGCCTCATCTCGCCTCTAGGGGGAAGTCTCATGGTTTTTCTCGAGTTGCGGCGGGGACCTGGGGTATGTTCTCGACTTACGGCGGGGATGGCCCTTCAAAACACGAGTTTCTTCAGTGACGTCAGGACTCCTGTCTAGTAACGAGGGACACCTCAGGAATCTCTTCGAGGCTTGGCAGGGCCAAAGGGACGCTTCTCGAGGTGAGGCAGGGCACCCAAGGACCCTTTCCAGTAGCCACAGGGATTTTGGGATTCCTATCAGTATTCAAGAGGAGTCAGGCATCGTCACCTTTTGAAGCAATGAACTCCGCGTGCCTCTCGAGGTGTCAGCGGGATGTGAGGCATTCCGTCAAAATGAGGCAGGGACCTAGGGCTTTCTCTAAGGTCTCCACAGGGGATTCAGACATCCCTTCATGTTGTGAGATGAAAGACGAGCCTGTATTCAAGCCACTGCAAGGAAATCCGGCCTCCTTTCAAGTTAGGGCTTCTCGCTGTATATTCCCCTTGAGGCAGCAAACTCGGGGTCCCTCCCACATACCTATTGCTGAGAGAAGCCTCCTCCTGAGGTGCTTCTGGGAAGTTGGCATACGTCTTGAGCCTAAGCCAGGGAATCAGCTCGCATCTCGAGACGATTTGGGGTACACGGAGCATTCCTCGAGTTGCTGTGCTGAAGGTGGTGTTCCTCTAGACTTGGGACAGTGTTCTCGGGGCATCTCTGGAGTTGCCTGAAGGAAGTCGAGCCACCGGTCGTGTTGAATGGGGAACGGGGAATGGCTCTGGAGTCAATGCAGGGGAATCGGGCCTCATCTCGAGTTGATTTGGGGCACATGGAGCTGCTTTGCGTTGCTGGGGTGACCTCAGGGTCCGTCTAGACTGGTGACAGTGTTCTTGGGGACTGTCTCGAGATCCATTAAGCAAGTCGAAGCTCCTGACTTGTTTGAATGGGATCACGGAATAGCTCTGCATGCACTGCAGGGGAATGGGGCCTCATCTCGCCTCTAGGGGGAAGTCTCATGGTTTTTCTCGAGTTGCGGCGGGGACCTGGGGTATGTTCTCGACTTACGGCGGGGATGGCCCTTCAAAACACGAGTTTCTTCAGTGACGTCAGGACTCCTGTCTAGTAACGAGGGACACCTCAGGAATCTCTTCGAGGCTTGGCAGGGCCAAAGGGACGCTTCTCGAGGTGAGGCAGGGCACCCAAGGACCCTTTCCAGTAGCCACAGGGATTTTGGGATTCCTATCAGTATTCAAGAGGAGTCAGGCATCGTCACCTTTTGAAGCAATGAACTCCGCGTGCCTCTCGAGGTGTCAGCGGGATGTGAGGCATTCCGTCAAAATGAGGCAGGGACCTAGGGCTTTCTCTAAGGTCTCCACAGGGGATTCAGACATCCCTTCATGTTGTGAGATGAAAGACGAGCCTGTATTCAAGCCACTGCAAGGAAATCCGGCCTCCTTTCAAGTTAGGGCTTCTCGCTGTATATTCCCCTTGAGGCAGCAAACTCGGGGTCCCTCCCACATACCTATTGCTGAGAGAAGCCTCCTCCTGAGGTGCTTCTGGGAAGTTGGCATACGTCTTGAGCCTAAGCCAGGGAATCAGCTCGCATCTCGAGACGATTTGGGGTACACGGAGCATTCCTCGAGTTGCTGTGCTGAAGGTGGTGTTCCTCTAGACTTGGGACAGTGTTCTCGGGGCATCTCTGGAGTTGCCTGAAGGAAGTCGAGCCACCGGTCGTGTTGAATGGGGAACGGGGAATGGCTCTGGAGTCAATGCAGGGGAATCGGGCCTCATCTCGAGTTGATTTGGGGCACATGGAGCTGCTTTGCGTTGCTGGGGTGACCTCAGGGTCCGTCTAGACTGGTGACAGTGTTCTTGGGGACTGTCTCGAGATCCATTAAGCAAGTCGAAGCTCCTGACTTGTTTGAATGGGATCACGGAATAGCTCTGCATGCACTGCAGGGGAATGGGGCCTCATCTCGCCTCTAGGGGGAAGTCTCATGGTTTTTCTCGAGTTGCGGCGGGGACCTGGGGTATGTTCTCGACTTACGGCGGGGATGGCCCTTCAAAACACGAGTTTCTTCAGTGACGTCAGGACTCCTGTCTAGTAACGAGGGACACCTCAGGAATCTCTTCGAGGCTTGGCAGGGCCAAAGGGACGCTTCTCGAGGTGAGGCAGGGCACCCAAGGACCCTTTCCAGTAGCCACAGGGATTTTGGGATTCCTATCAGTATTCAAGAGGAGTCAGGCATCGTCACCTTTTGAAGCAATGAACTCCGCGTGCCTCTCGAGGTGTCAGCGGGATGTGAGGCATTCCGTCAAAATGAGGCAGGGACCTAGGGCTTTCTCTAAGGTCTCCACAGGGGATTCAGACATCCCTTCATGTTGTGAGATGAAAGACGAGCCTGTATTCAAGCCACTGCAAGGAAATCCGGCCTCCTTTCAAGTTAGGGCTTCTCGCTGTATATTCCCCTTGAGGCAGCAAACTCGGGGTCCCTCCCACATACCTATTGCTGAGAGAAGCCTCCTCCTGAGGTGCTTCTGGGAAGTTGGCATACGTCTTGAGCCTAAGCCAGGGAATCAGCTCGCATCTCGAGACGATTTGGGGTACACGGAGCATTCCTCGAGTTGCTGTGCTGAAGTTGGTGTTCCTCTAGACTTGGGACAGTGTTCTCGGGGCATCTCTGGAGTTGCCTGAAGGAAGTCGAGCCACCGGTCGTGTTGAATGGGGAACGGGGAATGGCTCTGGAGTCAATGCAGGGGAATCGGGCCTCATCTCGAGTTGATTTGGGGCACATGGAGCTGCTTTGCGTTGCTGGGGTGACCTCAGGGTCCGTCTAGACTGGTGACAGTGTTCTTGGGGACTGTCTCGAGATCCATTAAGCAAGTCGAAGCTCCTGACTTGTTTGAATGGGATCACGGAATAGCTCTGCATGCACTGCAGGGGAATGGGGCCTCATCTGGCCTCTAGGGGGAAGTCTCATGGTTTTTCTCGAGTTGCGGCGGGGACCTGGGGTATGTTCTCGACTTACGGCGGGGATGGCCCTTCAAAACACGAGTTTCTTCAGTGACGTCAGGACTCCTGTCTAGTAACGAGGGACACCTCAGGAATCTCTTCGAGGCTTGGCAGGGCCAAAGGGACGCTTCTCGAGGTGAGGCAGGGCACCCAAGGACCCTTTCCAGTAGCCACAGGGATTTTGGGATTCCTATCAGTATTCAAGAGGAGTCAGGCATCGTCACCTTTTGAAGCAATGAACTCCGCGTGCCTCTCGAGGTGTCAGCGGGATGTGAGGCATTCCGTCAAAATGAGGCAGGGACCTAGGGCTTTCTCTAAGGTCTCCACAGGGGATTCAGACATCCCTTCATGTTGTGAGATGAAAGACGAGCCTGTATTCAAGCCACTGCAAGGAAATCCGGCCTCCTTTCAAGTTAGGGCTTCTCGCTGTATATTCCCCTTGAGGCAGCAAACTCGGGGTCCCTCCCACATACCTATTGCTGAGAGAAGCCTCCTCCTGAGGTGCTTCTGGGAAGTTGGCATACGTCTTGAGCCTAAGCCAGGGAATCAGCTCGCATCTCGAGACGATTTGGGGTACACGGAGCATTCCTCGAGTTGCTGTGCTGAAGGTGGTGTTCCTCTAGACTTGGGACAGTGTTCTCGGGGCATCTCTGGAGTTGCCTGAAGGAAGTCGAGCCACCGGTCGTGTTGAATGGGGAACGGGGAATGGCTCTGGAGTCAATGCAGGGGAATCGGGCCTCATCTCGAGTTGATTTGGGGCACATGGAGCTGCTTTGCGTTGCTGGGGTGACCTCAGGGTCCGTCTAGACTGGTGACAGTGTTCTTGGGGACTGTCTCGAGATCCATTAAGCAAGTCGAAGCTCCTGACTTGTTTGAATGGGATCACGGAATAGCTCTGCATGCACTGCAGGGGAATGGGGCCTCATCTCGCCTCTAGGGGGAAGTCTCATGGTTTTTCTCGAGTTGCGGCCGGGACCTGGGGTATGTTCTCGACTTACGGCGGGGATGGCCCTTCAAAACACGAGTTTCTTCAGTGACGTCAGGACTCCTGTCTAGTAACGAGGGACACCTCAGGAATCTCTTCGAGGCTTGGCAGGGCCAAAGGGACGCTTCTCGAGGTGAGGCAGGGCACCCAAGGACCCTTTCCAGTAGCCACAGGGATTTTGGGATTCCTATCAGTATTCAAGAGGAGTCAGGCATCGTCACCTTTTGAAGCAATGAACTCCGCGTGCCTCTCGAGGTGTCAGCGGGATGTGAGGCATTCCGTCAAAATGAGGCAGGGACCTAGGGCTTTCTCTAAGGTCTCCACAGGGGATTCAGACATCCCTTCATGTTGTGAGATGAAAGACGAGCCTGTATTCAAGCCACTGCAAGGAAATCCGGCCTCCTTTCAAGTTAGGGCTTCTCGCTGTATATTCCCCTTGAGGCAGCAAACTCGGGGTCCCTCCCACATACCTATTGCTGAGAGAAGCCTCCTCCTGAGGTGCTTCTGGGAAGTTGGCATACGTCTTGAGCCTAAGCCAGGGAATCAGCTCGCATCTCGAGACGATTTGGGGTACACGGAGCATTCCTCGAGTTGCTGTGCTGAAGGTGGTGTTCCTCTAGACTTGGGACAGTGTTCTCGGGGCATCTCTGGAGTTGCCTGAAGGAAGTCGAGCCACCGGTCGTGTTGAATGGGGAACGGGGAATGGCTCTGGAGTCAATGCAGGGGAATCGGGCCTCATCTCGAGTTGATTTGGGGCACATGGAGCTGCTTTGCGTTGCTGGGGTGACCTCAGGGTCCGTCTAGACTGGTGACAGTGTTCTTGGGGACTGTCTCGAGATCCATTAAGCAAGTCGAAGCTCCTGACTTGTTTGAATGGGATCACGGAATAGCTCTGCATGCACTGCAGGGGAATGGGGCCTCATCTCGCCTCTAGGGGGAAGTCTCATGGTTTTTCTCGAGTTGCGGCGGGGACCTGGGGTATGTTCTCGACTTACGGCGGGGATGGCCCTTCAAAACACGAGTTTCTTCAGTGACGTCAGGACTCCTGTCTAGTAACGAGGGACACCTCAGGAATCTCTTCGAGGCTTGGCAGGGCCAAAGGGACGCTTCTCGAGGTGAGGCAGGGCACCCAAGGACCCTTTCCAGTAGCCACAGGGATTTTGGGATTCCTATCAGTATTCAAGAGGAGTCAGGCATCGTCACCTTTTGAAGCAATGAACTCCGCGTGCCTCTCGAGGTGTCAGCGGGATGTGAGGCATTCCGTCAAAATGAGGCAGGGACCTAGGGCTTTCTCTAAGGTCTCCACAGGGGATTCAGACATCCCTTCATGTTGTGAGATGAAAGACGAGCCTGTATTCAAGCCACTGCAAGGAAATCCGGCCTCCTTTCAAGTTAGGGCTTCTCGCTGTATATTCCCCTTGAGGCAGCAAACTCGGGGTCCCTCCCACATACCTATTGCTGAGAGAAGCCTCCTCCTGAGGTGCTTCTGGGAAGTTGGCATACGTCTTGAGCCTAAGCCAGGGAATCAGCTCGCATCTCGAGACGATTTGGGGTACACGGAGCATTCCTCGAGTTGCTGTGCTGAAGGTGGTGTTCCTCTAGACTTGGGACAGTGTTCTCGGGGCATCTCTGGAGTTGCCTGAAGGAAGTCGAGCCACCGGTCGTGTTGAATGGGGAACGGGGAATGGCTCTGGAGTCAATGCAGTGGAATCGGGCCTCATCTCGAGTTGATTTGGGGCACATGGAGCTGCTTTGCGTTGCTGGGGTGACCTCAGGGTCCGTCTAGACTGGTGACAGTGTTCTTGGGGACTGTCTCGAGATCCATTAAGCAAGTCGAAGCTCCTGACTTGTTTGAATGGGATCACGGAATAGCTCTGCATGCACTGCAGGGGAATGGGGCCTCATCTCGCCTCTAGGGGGAAGTCTCATGGTTTTTCTCGAGTTGCGGCGGGGACCTGGGGTATGTTCTCGACTTACGGCGGGGATGGCCCTTCAAAACACGAGTTTCTTCAGTGACGTCAGGACTCCTGTCTAGTAACGAGGGACACCTCAGCAATCTCTTCGAGGCTTGGCAGGGCCAAAGGGACGCTTCTCGAGGTGAGGCAGGGCACCCAAGGACCCTTTCCAGTAGCCACAGGGATTTTGGGATTCCTATCAGTATTCAAGAGGAGTCAGGCATCGTCACCTTTTGAAGCAATGAACTCCGCGTGCCTCTCGAGGTGTCAGCGGGATGTGAGGCATTCCGTCAAAATGAGGCAGGGACCTAGGGCTTTCTCTAAGGTCTCCACAGGGGATTCAGACATCCCTTCATGTTGTGAGATGAAAGACGAGCCTGTATTCAAGCCACTGCAAGGAAATCCGGCCTCCTTTCAAGTTAGGGCTTCTCGCTGTATATTCCCCTTGAGGCAGCAAACTCGGGGTCCCTCCCACATACCTATTGCTGAGAGAAGCCTCCTCCTGAGGTGCTTCTGGGAAGTTGGCATACGTCTTGAGCCTAAGCCAGGGAATCAGCTCGCATCTCGAGACGATTTGGGGTACACGGAGCATTCCTCGAGTTGCTGTGCTGAAGGTGGTGTTCCTCTAGACTTGGGACAGTGTTCTCGGGGCATCTCTGGAGTTGCCTGAAGGAAGTCGAGCCACCGGTCGTGTTGAATGGGGAACGGGGAATGGCTCTGGAGTCAATGCAGGGGAATCGGGCCTCATCTCGAGTTGATTTGGGGCACATGGAGCTGCTTTGCGTTGCTGGGGTGACCTCAGGGTCCGTCTAGACTGGTGACAGTGTTCTTGGGGACTGTCTCGAGATCCATTAAGCAAGTCGAAGCTCCTGACTTGTTTGAATGGGATCACGGAATAGCTCTGCATGCACTGCAGGGGAATGGGGCCTCATCTGGCCTCTAGGGGGAAGTCTCATGGTTTTTCTCGAGTTGCGGCGGGGACCTGGGGTATGTTCTCGACTTACGGCGGGGATGGCCCTTCAAAACACGAGTTTCTTCAGTGACGTCAGGACTCCTGTCTAGTAACGAGGGACACCTCAGGAATCTCTTCGAGGCTTGGCAGGGCCAAAGGGACGCTTCTCGAGGTGAGGCAGGGCACCCAAGGACCCTTTCCAGTAGCCACAGGGATTTTGGGATTCCTATCAGTATTCAAGAGGAGTCAGGCATCGTCACCTTTTGAAGCAATGAACTCCGCGTGCCTCTCGAGGTGTCAGCGGGATGTGAGGCATTCCGTCAAAATGAGGCAGGGACCTAGGGCTTTCTCTAAGGTCTCCACAGGGGATTCAGACATCCCTTCATGTTGTGAGATGAAAGACGAGCCTGTATTCAAGCCACTGCAAGGAAATCCGGCCTCCTTTCAAGTTAGGGCTTCTCGCTGTATATTCCCCTTGAGGCAGCAAACTCGGGGTCCCTCCCACATACCTATTGCTGAGAGAAGCCTCCTCCTGAGGTGCTTCTGGGAAGTTGGCATACGTCTTGAGCCTAAGCCAGGGAATCAGCTCGCATCTCGAGACGATTTGGGGTACACGGAGCATTCCTCGAGTTGCTGTGCTGAAGGTGGTGTTCCTCTAGACTTGGGACAGTGTTCTCGGGGCATCTCTGGAGTTGCCTGAAGGAAGTCGAGCCACCGGTCGTGTTGAATGGGGAACGGGGAATGGCTCTGGAGTCAATGCAGGGGAATCGGGCCTCATCTCGAGTTGATTTGGGGCACATGGAGCTGCTTTGCGTTGCTGGGGTGACCTCAGGGTCCGTCTAGACTGGTGACAGTGTTCTTGGGGACTGTCTCGAGATCCATTAAGCAAGTCGAAGCTCCTGACTTGTTTGAATGGGATCACGGAATAGCTCTGCATGCACTGCAGGGGAATGGGGCCTCATCTCGCCTCTAGGGGGAAGTCTCATGGTTTTTCTCGAGTTGCGGCGGGGACCTGGGGTATGTTCTCGACTTACGGCGGGGATGGCCCTTCAAAACACGAGTTTCTTCAGTGACGTCAGGACTCCTGTCTAGTAACGAGGGACACCTCAGGAATCTCTTCGAGGCTTGGCAGGGCCAAAGGGACGCTTCTCGAGGTGAGGCAGGGCACCCAAGGACCCTTTCCAGTAGCCACAGGGATTTTGGGATTCCTATCAGTATTCAAGAGGAGTCAGGCATCGTCACCTTTTGAAGCAATGAACTCCGCGTGCCTCTCGAGGTGTCAGCGGGATGTGAGGCATTCCGTCAAAATGAGGCAGGGACCTAGGGCTTTCTCTAAGGTCTCCACAGGGGATTCAGACATCCCTTCATGTTGTGAGATGAAAGACGAGCCTGTATTCAAGCCACTGCAAGGAAATCCGGCCTCCTTTCAAGTTAGGGCTTCTCGCTGTATATTCCCCTTGAGGCAGCAAACTCGGGGTCCCTCCCACATACCTATTGCTGAGAGAAGCCTCCTCCTGAGGTGCTTCTGGGAAGTTGGCATACGTCTTGAGCCTAAGCCAGGGAATCAGCTCGCATCTCGAGACGATTTGGGGTACACGGAGCATTCCTCGAGTTGCTGTGCTGAAGGTGGTGTTCCTCTAGACTTGGGACAGTGTTCTCGGGGCATCTCTGGAGTTGCCTGAAGGAAGTCGAGCCACCGGTCGTGTTGAATGGGGAACGGGGAATGGCTCTGGAGTCAATGCAGGGGAATCGGGCCTCATCTCGAGTTGATTTGGGGCACATGGAGCTGCTTTGCGTTGCTGGGGTGACCTCAGGGTCCGTCTAGACTGGTGACAGTGTTCTTGGGGACTGTCTCGAGATCCATTAAGCAAGTCGAAGCTCCTGACTTGTTTGAATGGGATCACGGAATAGCTCTGCATGCACTGCAGGGGAATGGGGCCTCATCTGGCCTCTAGGGGGAAGTCTCATGGTTTTTCTCGAGTTGCGGCGGGGACCTGGGGTATGTTCTCGACTTACGGCGGGGATGGCCCTTCAAAACACGAGTTTCTTCAGTGACGTCAGGACTCCTGTCTAGTAACGAGGGACACCTCAGGAATCTCTTCGAGGCTTGGCAGGGCCAAAGGGACGCTTCTCGAGGTGAGGCAGGGCACCCAAGGACCCTTTCCAGTAGCCACAGGGATTTTGGGATTCCTATCAGTATTCAAGAGGAGTCAGGCATCGTCACCTTTTGAAGCAATGAACTCCGCGTGCCTCTCGAGGTGTCAGCGGGATGTGAGGCATTCCGTCAAAATGAGGCAGGGACCTAGGGCTTTCTCTAAGGTCTCCACAGGGGATTCAGACATCCCTTCACGTTGTGAGATGAAAGACGAGCCTGTATTCAAGCCACTGCAAGGAAATCCGGCCTCCTTTCAAGTTAGGGCTTCTCGCTGTATATTCCCCTTGAGGCAGCAAACTCGGGGTCCCTCCCACATACCTATTGCTGAGAGAAGCCTCCTCCTGAGGTGCTTCTGGGAAGTTGGCATACGTCTTGAGCCTAAGCCAGGGAATCAGCTCGCATCTCGAGACGATTTGGGGTACACGGAGCATTCCTCGAGTTGCTGTGCTGAAGTTGGTGTTCCTCTAGACTTGGGACAGTGTTCTCGGGGCATCTCTGGAGTTGCCTGAAGGAAGTCGAGCCACCGGTCGTGTTGAATGGGGAACGGGGAATGGCTCTGGAGTCAATGCAGGGGAATCGGGCCTCATCTCGAGTTGATTTGGGGCACATGGAGCTGCTTTGCGTTGCTGGGGTGACCTCAGGGTCCGTCTAGACTGGTGACAGTGTTCTTGGGGACTGTCTCGAGATCCATTAAGCAAGTCGAAGCTCCTGACTTGTTTGAATGGGATCACGGAATAGCTCTGCATGCACTGCAGGGGAATGGGGCCTCATCTGGCCTCTAGGGGGAAGTCTCATGGTTTTTCTCGAGTTGCGGCGGGGACCTGGGGTATGTTCTCGACTTACGGCGGGGATGGCCCTTCAAAACACGAGTTTCTTCAGTGACGTCAGGACTCCTGTCTAGTAACGAGGGACACCTCAGGAATCTCTTCGAGGCTTGGCAGGGCCAAAGGGACGCTTCTCGAGGTGAGGCAGGGCACCCAAGGACCCTTTCCAGTAGCCACAGGGATTTTGGGATTCCTATCAGTATTCAAGAGGAGTCAGGCATCGTCACCTTTTGAAGCAATGAACTCCGCGTGCCTCTCGAGGTGTCAGCGGGATGTGAGGCATTCCGTCAAAATGAGGCAGGGACCTAGGGCTTTCTCTAAGGTCTCCACAGGGGATTCAGACATCCCTTCATGTTGTGAGATGAAAGACGAGCCTGTATTCAAGCCACTGCAAGGAAATCCGGCCTCCTTTCAAGTTAGGGCTTCTCGCTGTATATTCCCCTTGAGGCAGCAAACTCGGGGTCCCTCCCACATACCTATTGCTGAGAGAAGCCTCCTCCTGAGGTGCTTCTGGGAAGTTGGCATACGTCTTGAGCCTAAGCCAGGGAATCAGCTCGCATCTCGAGACGATTTGGGGTACACGGAGCATTCCTCGAGTTGCTGTGCTGAAGGTGGTGTTCCTCTAGACTTGGGACAGTGTTCTCGGGGCATCTCTGGAGTTGCCTGAAGGAAGTCGAGCCACCGGTCGTGTTGAATGGGGAACGGGGAATGGCTCTGGAGTCAATGCAGGGGAATCGGGCCTCATCTCGAGTTGATTTGGGGCACATGGAGCTGCTTTGCGTTGCTGGGGTGACCTCAGGGTCCGTCTAGACTGGTGACAGTGTTCTTGGGGACTGTCTCGAGATCCATTAAGCAAGTCGAAGCTCCTGACTTGTTTGAATGGGATCACGGAATAGCTCTGCATGCACTGCAGGGGAATGGGGCCTCATCTGGCCTCTAGGGGGAAGTCTCATGGTTTTTCTCGAGTTGCGGCGGGGACCTGGGGTATGTTCTCGACTTACGGCGGGGATGGCCCTTCAAAACACGAGTTTCTTCAGTGACGTCAGGACTCCTGTCTAGTAACGAGGGACACCTCAGGAATCTCTTCGAGGCTTGGCAGGGCCAAAGGGACGCTTCTCGAGGTGAGGCAGGGCACCCAAGGACCCTTTCCAGTAGCCACAGGGATTTTGGGATTCCTATCAGTATTCAAGAGGAGTCAGGCATCGTCACCTTTTGAAGCAATGAACTCCGCGTGCCTCTCGAGGTGTCAGCGGGATGTGAGGCATTCCGTCAAAATGAGGCAGGGACCTAGGGCTTTCTCTAAGGTCTCCACAGGGGATTCAGACATCCCTTCATGTTGTGAGATGAAAGACGAGCCTGTATTCAAGCCACTGCAAGGAAATCCGGCCTCCTTTCAAGTTAGGGCTTCTCGCTGTATATTCCCCTTGAGGCAGCAAACTCGGGGTCCCTCCCACATACCTATTGCTGAGAGAAGCCTCCTCCTGAGGTGCTTCTGGGAAGTTGGCATACGTCTTGAGCCTAAGCCAGGGAATCAGCTCGCATCTCGAGACGATTTGGGGTACACGGAGCATTCCTCGAGTTGCTGTGCTGAAGGTGGTGTTCCTCTAGACTTGGGACAGTGTTCTCGGGGCATCACTGGAGTTGCCTGAAGGAAGTCGAGCCACCGGTCGTGTTGAATGGGGAACGGGGAATGGCTCTGGAGTCAATGCAGGGGAATCGGGCCTCATCTCGAGTTGATTTGGGGCACATGGAGCTGCTTTGCGTTGCTGGGGTGACCTCAGGGTCCGTCTAGACTGGTGACAGTGTTCTTGGGGACTGTCTCGAGATCCATTAAGCAAGTCGAAGCTCCTGAGTTGTTTGAATGGGGTCACGGAATAGCTCTGCATGCACTGCAGGGGAATGGGGCCTCATCTCGCCTCTAGGGGGAAGTCTCATGGTTTTTCTCGAGTTGCGGCGGGGACCTGGGGTATGTTCTCGACTTACGGCGGGGATGGCCCTTCAAAACACGAGTTTCTTCAGTGACGTCAGGACTCCTGTCTAGTAACGAGGGACACCTCAGGAATCTCTTCGAGGCTTGGCAGGGCCAAAGGGACGCTTCTCGAGGTGAGGCAGGGCACCCAAGGACCCTTTCCAGTAGCCACAGGGATTTTGGGATTCCTATCAGTATTCAAGAGGAGTCAGGCATCGTCACCTTTTGAAGCAATGAACTCCGCGTGCCTCTCGAGGTGTCAGCGGGATGTGAGGCATTCCGTCAAAATGAGTCAGGGACCTAGGGCTTTCTCTAAGGTCTCCACAGGGGATTCAGACATCCCTTCATGTTGTGAGATGAAAGACGAGCCTGTATTCAAGCCACTGCAAGGAAATCCGGCCTCCTTTCAAGTTAGGGCTTCTCGCTGTATATTCCCCTTGAGGCAGCAAACTCGGGGTCCCTCCCACATACCTATTGCTGAGAGAAGCCTCCTCCTGAGGTGCTTCTGGGAAGTTGGCATACGTCTTGAGCCTAAGCCAGGGAATCAGCTCGCATCTCGAGACGATTTGGGGTACACGGAGCATTCCTCGAGTTGCTGTGCTGAAGGTGGTGTTCCTCTAGACTTGGGACAGTGTTCTCGGGGCATCTCTGGAGTTGCCTGAAGGAAGTCGAGCCACCGGTCGTGTTGAATGGGGAACGGGGAATGGCTCTGGAGTCAATGCAGGGGAATCGGGCCTCATCTCGAGTTGATTTGGGGCACATGGAGCTGCTTTGCGTTGCTGGGGTGACCTCAGGGTCCGTCTAGACTGGTGACAGTGTTCTTGGGGACTGTCTCGAGATCCATTAAGCAAGTCGAAGCTCCTGACTTGTTTGAATGGGATCACGGAATAGCTCTGCATGCACTGCAGTGGAATGGGGCCTCATCTCGCCTCTAGGGGGAAGTCTCATGGTTTTTCTCGAGTTGCGGCGGGGACCTGGGGTATGTTCTCGACTTACGGCGGGGATGGCCCTTCAAAACACGAGTTTCTTCAGTGACGTCAGGACTCCTGTCTAGTAACGAGGGACACCTCAGGAATCTCTTCGAGGCTTGGCAGGGCCAAAGGGACGCTTCTCGAGGTGAGGCAGGGCACCCAAGGACCCTTTCCAGTAGCCACAGGGATTTTGGGATTCCTATCAGTATTCAAGAGGAGTCAGGCATCGTCACCTTTTGAAGCAATGAACTCCGCGTGCCTCTCGAGGTGTCAGCGGGATGTGAGGCATTCCGTCAAAATGAGGCAGGGACCTAGGGCTTTCTCTAAGGTCTCCACAGGGGATTCAGACATCCCTTCATGTTGTGAGATGAAAGACGAGCCTGTATTCAAGCCACTGCAAGGAAATCCGGCCTCCTTTCAAGTTAGGGCTTCTCGCTGTATATTCCCCTTGAGGCAGCAAACTCGGGGTCCCTCCCACATACCTATTGCTGAGAGAAGCCTCCTCCTGAGGTGCTTCTGGGAAGTTGGCATACGTCTTGAGCCTAAGCCAGGGAATCAGCTCGCATCTCGAGACGATTTGGGGTACACGGAGCATTCCTCGAGTTGCTGTGCTGAAGTTGGTGTTCCTCTAGACTTGGGACAGTGTTCTCGGGGCATCTCTGGAGTTGCCTGAAGGAAGTCGAGCCACCGGTCGTGTTGAATGGGGAACGGGGAATGGCTCTGGAGTCAATGCAGGGGAATCGGGCCTCATCTCGAGTTGATTTGGGGCACATGGAGCTGCTTTGCGTTGCTGGGGTGACCTCAGGGTCCGTCTAGACTGGTGACAGTGTTCTTGGGGACTGTCTCGAGATCCATTAAGCAAGTCGAAGCTCCTGACTTGTTTGAATGGGATCACGGAATAGCTCTGCATACACTGCAGGGGAATGGGGCCTCATCTCGCCTCTAGGGGGAAGTCTCATGGTTTTTCTCGAGTTGCGGCGGGGACCTGGGGTATGTTCTCGACTTACGGCGGGGATGGCCCTTCAAAACACGAGTTTCTTCAGTGACGTCAGGACTCCTGTCTAGTAACGAGGGACACCTCAGGAATCTCTTCGAGGCTTGGCAGGGCCAAAGGGACGCTTCTCGAGGTGAGGCAGGGCACCCAAGGACCCTTTCCAGTAGCCACAGGGATTTTGGGATTCTTATCAGTATTCAAGAGGAGTCAGGCATCGTCACCTTTTGAAGCAATGAACTCCGCGTGCCTCTCGAGGTGTCAGCGGGATGTGAGGCATTCCGTCAAAATGAGGCAGGGACCTGGTGCTTTCTCTAAGGTCTCCACAGGGGATTCAGACTTCCCTTCATGTTGTGAGATGAAAGACGAGCCTGTATTCAAGCCACTGCAAGGAAATCCGGCCTCCTTTCAAGTTAGGGCTTCTCGCTGTATATTCCCCTTGAGGCAGCAAACTCGGGGTCCCACCCACATACCTATTGCTGAGAGAAGCCTCCTCCTGAGGTGCTTCTGGGAAGTTGGCATACGTCTTGAGCCTAAGCCAGGGAATCAGCTCGCATCTCGAGACGATTTGGGATACACGGAGCATTCCTCGAGTTGCTGTGCTGAAGTTGGTGTTCCTCTAGACTTGGGACAGTGTTCTCGGGGCATCTCTGGAGTTGCCTGAAGGAAGTCGAGCCACCGGTCGTGTTGAATGGGGAACGGGGAATGGCTCTGGAGTCAATGCAGGGGAATCGGGCCTCATCTCGAGTTGATTTGGGGCACATGGAGCTGCTTTGCGTTGCTGGGGTGACCTCAGGGTCCGTCTAGACTGGTGACAGTGTTCTTGGGGACTGTCTCGAGATCCATTAAGCAAGTCGAAGCTCCTGACTTGTTTGAATGGGGTCACGGAATAGCTCTGCATGCACTGCAGGGGAATGGGGCCTCATCTCGCCTCTAGGGGGAAGTCTCATGGTTTTTCTCGAGTTGCGGCGGGGACCTGGGGTATGTTCTCGACTTACGGCGGGGATGGCCCTTCAAAACACGAGTTTCTTCAGTGACGTCAGGACTCCTGTCTAGTAACGAGGGACACCTCAGGAATCTCTTCGAGGCTTGGCAGGGCCAAAGGGACGCTTCTCGAGGTGAGGCAGGGCACCCAAGGACCCTTTCCAGTAGCCACAGGGATTTTGGGATTCTTATCAGTATTCAAGAGGAGTCAGGCATCGTCACCTTTTGAAGCAATGAACTCCGCGTGCCTCTCGAGGTGTCAGCGGGATGTGAGGCATTCCGTCAAAATGAGGCAGGGACCTGGTGCTTTCTCTAAGGTCTCCACAGGGGATTCAGACTTCCCTTCATGTTGTGAGATGAAAGACGAGCCTGTATTCAAGCCACTGCAAGGAAATCCGGCCTCCTTTCAAGTTAGGGCTTCTCGCTGTATATTCCCCTTGAGGCAGCAAACTCGGGGTCCCACCCACATACCTATTGCTGAGAGAAGCCTCCTCCTGAGGTGCTTCTGGGAAGTTGGCATACGTCTTGAGCCTAAGCCAGGGAATCAGCTCGCATCTCGAGACGATTTGGGATACACGGAGCATTCCTCGAGTTGCTGTGCTGAAGTTGGTGTTCCTCTAGACTTGGGACAGTGTTCTCGGGGCATCTCTGGAGTTGCCTGAAGGAAGTCGAGCCACCGGTCGTGTTGAATGGGGAACGGGGAATGGCTCTGGAGTCAATGCAGGGGAATCGGGCCTCATCTCGAGTTGATTTGGGGCACATGGAGCTGCTTTGCGTTGCTGGGGTGACCTCAGGGTCCGTCTAGACTGGTGACAGTGTTCTTGGGGACTGTCTCGAGATCCATTAAGCAAGTCGAAGCTCCTGACTTGTTTGAATGGGGTCACGGAATAGCTCTGCATGCACTGCAGGGGAATGGGGCCTCATCTCGCCTCTAGGGGGAAGTCTCATGGTTTTTCTCGAGTTGCGGCGGGGACCTGGGGTATGTTCTCGACTTACGGCGGGGATGGCCCTTCAAAACACGAGTTTCTTCAGTGACGTCAGGACTCCTGTCTAGTAACGAGGGACACCTCAGGAATCACTTCGAGGCTTGGCAGGGCAAAAGGGACGCTTCCCGAGGTGAGGCAGGGCACCCAAGGACCCTTTCCAGTAGCCACAGGGATTTTGGGATTCCTATCAATATTCAAGAGGAGTCAGGCATCGTCACCTTTTGAAGCAATGAACTCCGCGTGCCTCTCGAGGTGTCAGCGGGATGTGAGGCATTCCGTCAAAATGAGGCAGGGACCTAGGGCTTTCTCTAAGGTCTCCACAGGGGATTCAGACATCCCTTCATGTTGTGAGATGAAAGACGAGCCTGTATTCAAGCCACTGCAAGGAAATCCGGCCTCCTTTCAAGTTAGGTCTTCTCGCTGTATATTCCCCTTTAGGCAGCAAACTCGGGGTCCCTCCCACATACCTATTGCTGAGAGAAGCCTCCTCCTGAGGTGTTTCTGGGAAGTTGGCATACGTTTTGAGCCTAAGCCAGGGAATCAGCTCGCATCTCGAGACGATTTGGGGTACACGGAGCATTCCTCGAGTTGCTGTGCTGAAGGTGGTGTTCCTCTAGACTTGGGACAGTGTTCTCGGGGCATCTCTGGAGTTGCCTGAAGGAAGTCGAGCCACCGGTCGTGTTGAATGGGGAACGGGGAATGGCTCTGGAGTCAATGCAGGGGAATCGGGCCTCATCTCGAGTTGATTTGGGGCACATGGAGCTGCTTTGCGTTGCTGGGGTGACCTCAGGGTCCGTCTAGACTGGTGACAGTGTTCTTGGGGACTGTCTCGAGATCCATTAAGCAAGTCGAAGCTCCTGACTTGTTTGAATGGGATCACGGAATAGCTCTGCATGCACTGCAGGGGAATGGGGCCTCATCTGGCCTCTAGGGGGAAGTCTCATGGTTTTTCTCGAGTTGCGGCGGGGACCTGGGGTATGTTCTCGACTTACGGCGGGGATGGCCCTTCAAAACACGAGTTTCTTCAGTGACGTCAGGACTCCTGTCTAGTAACGAGGGACACCTCAGGAATCTCTTCGAGGCTTGGCAGGGCCAAAGGGACGCTTCTCGAGGTGAGGCAGGGCACCCAAGGACCCTTTCCAGTAGCCACAGGGATTTTGGGATTCCTATCAGTATTCAAGAGGAGTCAGGCATCGTCACCTTTTGAAGCAATGAACTCCGCGTGCCTCTCGAGGTGTCAGCGGGATGTGAGGCATTCCGTCAAAATGAGGCAGGGACCTAGGGCTTTCTCTAAGGTCTCCACAGGGGATTCAGACATCCCTTCATGTTGTGAGATGAAAGACGAGCCTGTATTCAAGCCACTGCAAGGAAATCCGGCCTCCTTTCAAGTTAGGGCTTCTCGCTGTATATTCCCCTTGAGGCAGCAAACTCGGGGTCCCTCCCACATACCTATTGCTGAGAGAAGCCTCCTCCTGAGGTGCTTCTGGGAAGTTGGCATACGTCTTGAGCCTAAGCCAGGGAATCAGCTCGCATCTCGAGACGATTTGGGGTACACGGAGCATTCCTCGAGTTGCTGTGCTGAAGTTGGTGTTCCTCTAGACTTGGGACAGTGTTCTCGGGGCATCTCTGGAGTTGCCTGAAGGAAGTCGAGCCACCGGTCGTGTTGAATGGGGAACGGGGAATGGCTCTGGAGTCAATGCAGGGGAATCGGGCCTCATCTCGAGTTGATTTGGGGCACATGGAGCTGCTTTGCGTTGCTGGGGTGACCTCAGGGTCCGTCTAGACTGGTGACAGTGTTCTTGGGGACTGTCTCGAGATCCATTAAGCAAGTCGAAGCTCCTGACTTGTTTGAATGGGATCACGGAATAGCTCTGCATGCACTGCAGGGGAATGGGGCCTCATCTCGCCTCTAGGGGGAAGTCTCATGGTTTTTCTCGAGTTGCGGCGGGGACCTGGGGTATGTTCTCGACTTACGGCGGGGATGGCCCTTCAAAACACGAGTTTCTTCAGTGACGTCAGGACTCCTGTCTAGTAAGGAGGGACACCTCAGCAATCTCTTCGAGGCTTGGCAGGGCCAAAGGGACGCTTCTCGAGGTGAGGCAGGGCACCCAAGGACCCTTTCCAGTAGCCACAGGGATTTTGGGATTCCTATCAGTATTCAAGAGGAGTCAGGCATCGTCACCTTTTGAAGCAATGAACTCCGCGTGCCTCTCGAGGTGTCAGCGGGATGTGAGGCATTCCGTCAAAATGAGGCAGGGACCTAGGGCTTTCTCTAAGGTCTCCACAGGGGATTCAGACATCCCTTCATGTTGTGAGATGAAAGACGAGCCTGTATTCAAGCCACTGCAAGGAAATCCGGCCTCCTTTCAAGTTAGGGCTTCTCGCTGTATATTCCCCTTGAGGCAGCAAACTCGGGGTCCCTCCCACATACCTATTGCTGAGAGAAGCCTCCTCCTGAGGTGCTTCTGGGAAGTTGGCATACGTCTTGAGCCTAAGCCAGGGAATCAGCTCGCATCTCGAGACGATTTGGGGTACACGGAGCATTCCTCGAGTTGCTGTGCTGAAGGTGGTGTTCCTCTAGACTTGGGACAGTGTTCTCGGGGCATCTCTGGAGTTGCCTGAAGGAAGTCGAGCCACCGGTCGTGTTGAATGGGGAACGGGGAATGGCTCTGGAGTCAATGCAGGGGAATCGGGCCTCATCTCGAGTTGATTTGGTGCACATGGAGCTGCTTTGCGTTGCTGGGGTGACCTCAGGGTCCGTCTAGACTGGTGACAGTGTTCTTGGGGACTGTCTCGAGATCCATTAAGCAAGTCGAAGCTCCTGACTTGTTTGAATGGGATCACGGAATAGCTCTGCATGCACTGCAGGGGAATGGGGCCTCATCTCGCCTCTAGGGGGAAGTCTCATGGTTTTTCTCGAGTTGCGGCGGGGACCTGGGGTATGTTCTCGACTTACGGCGGGGATGGCCCTTCAAAACACGAGTTTCTTCAGTGACGTCAGGACTCCTGTCTAGTAACGAGGGACACCTCAGGAATCTCTTCGAGGCTTGGCAGGGCCAAAGGGACGCTTCTCGAGGTGAGGCAGGGCACCCAAGGACCCTTTCCAGTAGCCACAGGGATTTTGGGATTCCTATCAGTATTCAAGAGGAGTCAGGCATCGTCACCTTTTGAAGCAATGAACTCCGCGTGCCTCTCGAGGTGTCAGCGGGATGTGAGGCATTCCGTCAAAATGAGGCAGGGACCTAGGGCTTTCTCTAAGGTCTCCACAGGGGATTCAGACATCCATTCATGTTGTGAGATGAAAGACGAGCCTGTATTCAAGCCACTGCAAGGAAATCCGGCCTCCTTTCAAGTTAGGGCTTCTCGCTGTATATTCCCCTTGAGGCAGCAAACTCGGGGTCCCTCCCACATACCTATTGCTGAGAGAAGCCTTCTCCTGAGGTGCTTCTGGGAAGTTGGCATACGTCTTGAGCCTAAGCCAGGGAATCAGCTCGCATCTCGAGACGATTTGGGGTACACGGAGCATTCCTCGAGTTGCTGTGCTGAAATTGGTGTTCCTCTAGACTTGGGACAGTGTTCTCGGGGCATCTCTGGAGTTGCCTGAAGGAAGTCGAGCCACCGGTCGTGTTGAATGGGGAACGGGGAATGGCTCTGGAGTCAATGCAGGGGAATCGGGCCTCATCTCGAGTTGATTTGGGGCACATGGAGCTGCTTTGCGTTGCTGGGGTGACCTCAGGGTCCGTCTAGACTGGTGACAGTGTTCTTGGGGACTGTCTCGAGATCCATTAAGCAAGTCGAAGCTCCTGACTTGTTTGAATGGGGTCACGGAATAGCTCTGCATGCACTGCAGGGGAATGGGGCCTCATCTCGCCTCTAGGGGGAAGTCTCATGGTTTTTCTCGAGTTGCGGCGGGGACCTGGGGTATGTTCTCGACTTACGGCGGGGATGGCCCTTCAAAACACGAGTTTCTTCAGTGACGTCAGGACTCTTGTCTAGTAACGAGGGACACCTCAGGAATCACTTCGAGGCTTGGCAGGGCAAAAGGGACGCTTCCCGAGGTGAGGCAGGGCACCCAAGGACCCTTTCCAGTAGCCACAGGGATTTTGGGATTCCTATCAATATTCAAGAGGAGTCAGGCATCGTCACCTTTTGAAGCAATGAACTCCGCGTGCCTCTCGAGGTGTCAGCGGGATGTGAGGCATTCCGTCAAAATGAGGCAGGGACCTAGGGCTTTCTCTAAGGTCTCCACAGGGGATTCAGACATCCCTTCATGTTGTGAATTGAAAGACGAGCCTGTATTCAAGCCACTGCAAGGAAATCCGGCCTCCTTTCAAGTTAGGTCTTCTCGCTGTATATTCCCCTTGAGGCAGCAAACTCGGGGTCCCTCCCACATACCTATTGCTGAGAGAAGCCTCCTCCTGAGGTGCTTCTGGGAAGTTGGCATACGTCTTGAGCCTAAGCCAGGGAATCAGCTCGCATCTCGAGACGATTTGGGGTACACGGAGCATTCCTCGAGTTGCTGTGCTGAAGGTGGTGTTCCTCTAGACTTGGGACAGTGTTCTCGGGGCATCTCTGGAGTTGCCTGAAGGAAGTCGAGCCACCGGTCGTGTTGAATGGGGAACGGGGAATGGCTCTGGAGTCAATGCAGGGGAATCGGGCCTCATCTCGAGTTGATTTGGGGCACATGGAGCTGCTTTGCGTTGCTGGGGTGACCTCAGGGTCCGTCTAGACTGGTGACAGTGTTCTTGGGGACTGTCTCGAGATCCATTAAGCAAGTCGAAGCTCCTGACTTGTTTGAATGGGATCACGGAATAGCTCTGCATGCACTGCAGGGGAATGGGGCCTCATCTCGCCTCTAGGGGGAAGTCTCATGGTTTTTCTCGAGTTGCGGCGGGGACCTGGGGTATGTTCTCGACTTACGGCGGGGATGGCCCTTCAAAACACGAGTTTCTTCAGTGACGTCAGGACTCCTGTCTAGTAACGAGGGACACCTCAGGAATCTCTTCGAGGCTTGGCAGGGCCAAAGGGACGCTTCTCGAGGTGAGGCAGGGCACCCAAGGACCCTTTCCAGTAGCCACAGGGATTTTGGGATTCCTATCAGTATTCAAGAGGAGTCAGGCATCGTCACCTTTTGAAGCAATGAACTCCGCGTGCCTCTCGAGGTGTCAGCGGGATGTGAGGCATTCCGTCAAAATGAGGCAGGGACCTAGGGCTTTCTCTAAGGTCTCCACAGGGGATTCAGACATCCCTTCATGTTGTGAGATGAAAGACGAGCCTGTATTCAAGCCACTGCAAGGAAATCCGGCCTCCTTTCAAGTTAGGGCTTCTCGCTGTATATTCCCCTTGAGGCAGCAAACTCGGGGTCCCTCCCACATACCTATTGCTGAGAGAAGCCTCCTCCTGAGGTGCTTCTGGGAAGTTGGCATACGTCTTGAGCCTAAGCCAGGGAATCACCTCGCATCTCGAGACGATTTGGGGTACACGGAGCATTCCTCGAGTTGCTGTGCTGAAGGTGGTGTTCCTCTAGACTTGGGACAGTGTTCTCGGGGCATCTCTGGAGTTGCCTGAAGGAAGTCGAGCCACCGGTCGTGTTGAATGGGGAACGGGGAATGGCTCTGGAGTCAATGCAGGGGAATCGGGCCTCATCTCGAGTTGATTTGGGGCACATGGAGCTGCTTTGCGTTGCTGGGGTGACCTCAGGGTCCGTCTAGACTGGTGACAGTGTTCTTGGGGACTGTCTCGAGATCCATTAAGCAAGTCGAAGCTCCTGACTTGTTTGAATGGGATCACGGAATAGCTCTGCATGCACTGCAGGGGAATGGGGCCTCATCTGGCCTCTAGGGGGAAGTCTCATGGTTTTTCTCGAGTTGCGGCGGGGACCTGGGGTATGTTCTCGACTTACGGCGGGGATGGCCCTTCAAAACACGAGTTTCTTCAGTGACGTCAGGACTCCTGTCTAGTAACGAGGGACACCTCAGGAATCTCTTCGAGGCTTGGCAGGGCCAAAGGGACGCTTCTCGAGGTGAGGCAGGGCACCCAAGGACCCTTTCCAGTAGCCACAGGGATTTTGGGATTCCTATCAGTATTCAAGAGGAGTCAGGCATCGTCACCTTTTGAAGCAATGAACTCCGCGTGCCTCTCGAGGTGTCAGCGGGATGTGAGGCATTCCGTCAAAATGAGGCAGGGACCTAGGGCTTTCTCTAAGGTCTCCACAGGGGATTCAGACATCCCTTCATGTTGTGAGATGAAAGACGAGCCTGTATTCAAGCCACTGCAAGGAAACCCGGCCTCCTTTCAAGTTAGGGCTTCTCGCTGTATATTCCCCTTGAGGCAGCAAACTCGGGGTCCCTCCCACATACCTATTGCTGACAGAAGCCTCCTCCTGAGGTGCTTCTGGGAAGTTGGCATACGTCTTGAGCCTAAGCCAGGGAATCAGCTCGCATCTCGAGACGATTTGGGGTACACGGAGCATTCCTCGAGTTGCTGTGCTGAAGGTGGTGTTCCTCTAGGCTTGGGACAGTGTTCTCGGGGCATCTCTGGAGTTGCCTGAAGGAAGTCGAGCCACCGGTCGTGTTGAATGGGGAACGGGGAATGGCTCTGGAGTCAATGCAGGGGAATCGGGCCTCATCTCGAGTTGATTTGGGGCACATGGAGCTGCTTTGCGTTGCTGGGGTGACCTCAGGGTCCGTCTAGACTGGTGACAGTGTTCTTGGGGACTGTCTCGAGATCCATTAAGCAAGTCGAAGCTCCTGACTTGTTTGAATGGGATCACGGAATAGCTCTGCATGCACTGCAGTGGAATGGGGCCTCATCTCGCCTCTAGGGGGAAGTCTCATGGTTTTTCTCGAGTTGCGGCGGGGAAATGGGGTATGTTCTCGACTTACGGCGGGGATGGCCCTTTAAAACACGAGTTTCTTCAGTGACGTCAGGACTCCTGTCTAGTAACGAGGGACACCTCAGGAATCTCTTCGAGGCTTGGCAGGGCCAAAGGGACGCTTCTCGAGGTGAGGCAGGGCACCCAAGGACCCTTTCCAGTAGCCACAGGGATTTTGGGATTCCTATCAGTATTCAAGAGGAGTCAGGCATCGTCACCTTTTGAAGCAATGAACTCCGCGTGCCTCTCGAGGTGTCAGCGGGATGTGAGGCATTCCGTCAAAATGAGGCAGGGACCTAGGGCTTTCTCTAAGGTCTCCACAGGGGATTCAGACATCCCTTCATGTTGTGAGATGAAAGACGAGCCTGTATTCAAGCCACTGCAAGGAAATCCGGCCTCCTTTCAAGTTAGGGCTTCTCGCTGTATATTCCCCTTGAGGCAGCAAACTCGGGGTCCCTCCCACATACCTATTGCTGAGAGAAGCCTCCTCCTGAGGTGCTTCTGGGAAGTTGGCATACGTCTTGAGCCTAAGCCAGGGAATCAGCTCGCATCTCGAGACGATTTGGGGTACACGGAGCATTCCTCGAGTTGCTGTGCTGAAGTTGGTGTTCCTCTAGACTTGGGACAGTGTTCTCGGGGCATCTCTGGAGTTGCCTGAAGGAAGTCGAGCCACCGGTCGTGTTGAATGGGGAACGGGGAATGGCTCTGGAGTCAATGCAGGGGAATCGGGCCTCATCTCGAGTTGATTTGGGGCACATGGAGCTGCTTTGCGTTGCTGGGGTGACCTCAGGGTCCGTCTAGACTGGTGACAGTGTTCTTGGGGACTGTCTCGAGATCCATTAAGCAAGTCGAAGCTCCTGACTTGTTTGAATGGGATCACGGAATAGCTCTGCATGCACTGCAGGGGAATGGGGCCTCATCTCGCCTCTAGGGGGAAGTCTCATGGTTTTTCTCGAGTTGCGGCGGGGACCTGGGGTATGTTCTCGACTTACGGCGGGGATGGCCCTTCAAAACACGAGTTTCTTCAGTGACGTCAGGACTCCTGTCTAGTAACGAGGGACACCTCAGCAATCTCTTCGAGGCTTGGCAGGGCCAAAGGGACGCTTCTCGAGGTGAGGCAGGGCACCCAAGGACCCTTTCCAGTAGCCACAGGGATTTTGGGATTCCTATCAGTATTCAAGAGGAGTCAGGCATCGTCACCTTTTGAAGCAATGAACTCCGCGTGCCTCTCGAGGTGTCAGCGGGATGTGAGGCATTCCGTCAAAATGAGGCAGGGACCTAGGGCTTTCTCTAAGGTCTCCACAGGGGATTCAGACATCCCTTCATGTTGTGAGATGAAAGACGAGCCTGTATTCAAGCCACTGCAAGGAAATCCGGCCTCCTTTCAAGTTAGGGCTTCTCGCTGTATATTCCCCTTGAGGCAGCAAACTCGGGGTCCCTCCCACATACCTATTGCTGAGAGAAGCCTCCTCCTGAGGTGCTTCTGGGAAGTTGGCATACGTCTTGAGCCTAAGCCAGGGAATCAGCTCGCATCTCGAGACGATTTGGGGTACACGGAGCATTCCTCGAGTTGCTGTGCTGAAGGTGGTGTTCCTCTAGACTTGGGACAGTGTTCTCGGGGCATCTCTGGAGTTGCCTGAAGGAAGTCGAGCCACCGGTCGTGTTGAATGGGGAACGGGGAATGGCTCTGGAGTCAATGCAGGGGAATCGGGCCTCATCTCGAGTTGATTTGGGGCACATGGAGCTGCTCTGCGTTGCTGGGGTGACCTCAGGGTCCGTCTAGACTGGTGACAGTGTTCTTGGGGACTGTCTCGAGATCCATTAAGCAAGTCGAAGCTCCTGACTTGTTTGAATGGGATCACGGAATAGCTCTGCATGCACTGCAGGGGAATGGGGCCTCATCTGGCCTCTAGGGGGAAGTCTCATGGTTTTCCTCGAGTTGCGGCGGGGACCTGGGGTATGTTCTCGACTTACGGCGGGGATGGCCCTTCAAAACACGAGTTTCTTCAGTGACGTCAGGACTCCTGTCTAGTAACGAGGGACACCTCAGGAATCTCTTCGAGGCTTGGCAGGGCCAAAGGGACGCTTCTCGAGGTGAGGCAGGGCACCCAAGGACCCTTTCCAGTAGCCACAGGGATTTTGGGATTCCTATCAGTATTCAAGAGGAGTCAGGCATCGTCACCTTTTGAAGCAATGAACTCCGCGTGCCTCTCGAGGTGTCAGCGGGATGTGAGGCATTCCGTCAAAATGAGGCAGGGACCTAGGGCTTTCTCTAAGGTCTCCACAGGGGATTCAGACATCCCTTCATGTTGTGAGATGAAAGACGAGCCTGTATTCAAGCCACTGCAAGGAAATCCGGCCTCCTTTCAAGTTAGGGCTTCTCGCTGTATATTCCCCTTGAGGCAGCAAACTCGGGGTCCCTCCCACATACCTATTGCTGAGAGAAGCCTCCTCCTGAGGTGCTTCTGGGAAGTTGGCATACGTCTTGAGCCTAAGCCAGGGAATCAGCTCGCATCTCGAGACGATTTGGGGTACACGGAGCATTCCTCGAGTTGCTGTGCTGAAGGTGGTGTTCCTCTAGACTTGGGACAGTGTTCTCGGGGCATCTCTGGAGTTGCCTGAAGGAAGTCGAGCCACCGGTCGTGTTGAATGGGGAACGGGGAATGGCTCTGGAGTCAATGCAGGGGAATCGGGCCTCATCTCGAGTTGATTTGGGGCACATGGAGCTGCTTTGCGTTGCTGGGGTGACCTCAGGGTCCGTCTAGACTGGTGACAGTGTTCTTGGGGACTGTCTCGAGATCCATTAAGCAAGTCGAAGCTCCTGAGTTGTTTGAATGGGGTCACGGAATAGCTCTGCATGCACTGCAGGGGAATGGGGCCTCATCTCGCCTCTAGGGGGAAGTCTCATGGTTTTTCTCGAGTTGCGGCGGGGACCTGGGGTATGTTCTCGACTTACGGCGGGGATGGCCCTTCAAAACACGAGTTTCTTCAGTGACGTCAGGACTCCTGTCTAGTAACGAGGGACACCTCAGGAATCTCTTCGAGGCTTGGCAGGGCCAAAGGGACGCTTCTCGAGGTGAGGCAGGGCACCCAAGGACCCTTTCCAGTAGCCACAGGGATTTTGGGATTCCTATCAGTATTCAAGAGGAGTCAGGCATCGTCACCTTTTGAAGCAATGAACTCCGCGTGCCTCTCGAGGTGTCAGCGGGATGTGAGGCATTCCGTCAAAATGAGTCAGGGACCTAGGGCTTTCTCTAAGGTCTCCACAGGGGATTCAGACATCCCTTCATGTTGTGAGATGAAAGACGAGCCTGTATTCAAGCCACTGCAAGGAAATCCGGCCTCCTTTCAAGTTAGGGCTTCTCGCTGTATATTCCCCTTGAGGCAGCAAACTCGGGGTCCCTCCCACATACCTATTGCTGAGAGAAGCCTCCTCCTGAGGTGCTTCTGGGAAGTTGGCATACGTCTTGAGCCTAAGCCAGGGAATCAGCTCGCATCTCGAGACGATTTGGGGTACACGGAGCATTCCTCGAGTTGCTGTGCTGAAGGTGGTGTTCCTCTAGACTTGGGACAGTGTTCTCGGGGCATCTCTGGAGTTGCCTGAAGGAAGTCGAGCCACCGGTCGTGTTGAATGGGGAACGGGGAATGGCTCTGGAGTCAATGCAGGGGAATCGGGCCTCATCTCGAGTTGATTTGGGGCACATGGAGCTGCTTTGCGTTGCTGGGGTGACCTCAGGGTCCGTCTAGACTGGTGACAGTGTTCTTGGGGACTGTCTCGAGATCCATTAAGCAAGTCGAAGCTCCTGACTTGTTTGAATGGGATCACGGAATAGCTCTGCATGCACTGCAGTGGAATGGGGCCTCATCTCGCCTCTAGGGGGAAGTCTCATGGTTTTTCTCGAGTTGCGGCGGGGACCTGGGGTATGTTCTCGACTTACGGCGGGGATGGCCCTTCAAAACACGAGTTTCTTCAGTGACGTCAGGACTCCTGTCTAGTAACGAGGGACACCTCAGGAATCTCTTCGAGGCTTGGCAGGGCCAAAGGGACGCTTCTCGAGGTGAGGCAGGGCACCCAAGGACCCTTTCCAGTAGCCACAGGGATTTTGGGATTCCTATCAGTATTCAAGAGGAGTCAGGCATCGTCACCTTTTGAAGCAATGAACTCCGCGTGCCTCTCGAGGTGTCAGCGGGATGTGAGGCATTCCGTCAAAATGAGGCAGGGACCTAGGGCTTTCTCTAAGGTCTCCACAGGGGATTCAGACATCCCTTCATGTTGTGAGATGAAAGACGAGCCTGTATTCAAGCCACTGCAAGGAAATCCGGCCTCCTTTCAAGTTAGGGCTTCTTGCTGTATATTCCCCTTGAGGCAGCAAACTCGGGGTCCCTCCCACATACCTATTGCTGAGAGAAGCCTCCTCCTGAGGTGCTTCTGGGAAGTTGGCATACGTCTTGAGCCTAAGCCAGGGAATCAGCTCGCATCTCGAGACGATTTGGGGTACACGGAGCATTCCTCGAGTTGCTGTGCTGAAGTTGGTGTTCCTCTAGACTTGGGACAGTGTTCTCGGGGCATCTCTGGAGTTGCCTGAAGGAAGTCGAGCCACCGGTCGTGTTGAATGGGGAACGGGGAATGGCTCTGGAGTCAATGCAGGGGAATCGGGCCTCATCTCGAGTTGATTTGGGGCACATGGAGCTGCTTTGCGTTGCTGGGGTGACCTCAGGGTCCGTCTAGACTGGTGACAGTGTTCTTGGGGACTGTCTCGAGATCCATTAAGCAAGTCGAAGCTCCTGACTTGTTTGAATGGGATCACGGAATAGCTCTGCATACACTGCAGGGGAATGGGGCCTCATCTCGCCTCTAGGGGGAAGTCTCATGGTTTTTCTCGAGTTGCGGCGGGGACCTGGGGTATGTTCTCGACTTACGGCGGGGATGGCCCTTCAAAACACGAGTTTCTTCAGTGACGTCAGGACTCCTGTCTAGTAACGAGGGACACCTCAGGAATCTCTTCGAGGCTTGGCAGGGCCAAAGGGACGCTTCTCGAGGTGAGGCAGGGCACCCAAGGACCCTTTCCAGTAGCCACAGGGATTTTGGGATTCTTATCAGTATTCAAGAGGAGTCAGGCATCGTCACCTTTTGAAGCAATGAAATCCGCGTGCCTCTCGAGGTGTCAGCGGGATGTGAGGCATTCCGTCAAAATGAGGCAGGGACCTGGTGCTTTCTCTAAGGTCTCCACAGGGGATTCAGACTTCCCTTCATGTTGTGAGATGAAAGACGAGCCTGTATTCAAGCCACTGCAAGGAAATCCGGCCTCCTTTCAAGTTAGGGCTTCTCGCTGTATATTCCCCTTGAGGCAGCAAACTCGGGGTCCCTCCCACATACCTATTGCTGAGAGAAGCCTCCTCCTGAGGTGCTTCTGGGAAGTTGGCATACGTCTTGAGCCTAAGCCAGGGAATCAGCTCGCATCTCGAGACGATTTGGGATACACGGAGCATTCCTCGAGTTGCTGTGCTGAAGTTGGTGTTCCTCTAGACTTGGGACAGTGTTCTCGGGGCATCTCTGGAGTTGCCTGAAGGAAGTCGAGCCACCGGTCGTGTTGAATGGGGAACGGGGAATGGCTCTGGAGTCAATGCAGGGGAATCGGGCCTCATCTCGAGTTGATTTGGGGCACATGGAGCTGCTTTGCGTTGCTGGGGTGACCTCAGGGTCCGTCTAGACTGGTGACAGTGTTCTTGGGGACTGTCTCGAGATCCATTAAGCAAGTCGAAGCTCCTGACTTGTTTGAATGGGGTCACGGAATAGCTCTGCATGCACTGCAGGGGAATGGGGCCTCATCTCGCCTCTAGGGGGAAGTCTCATGGTTTTTCTCGAGTTGCGGCGGGGACCTGGGGTATGTTCTCGACTTACGGCGGGGATGGCCCTTCAAAACACGAGTTTCTTCAGTGACGTCAGGACTCCTGTCTAGTAACGAGGGACACCTCAGGAATCTCTTCGAGGCTTGGCAGGGCCAAAGGGACGCTTCTCGAGGTGAGGCAGGGCACCCAAGGACCCTTTCCAGTAGCCACAGGGATTTTGGGATTCTTATCAGTATTCAAGAGGAGTCAGGCATCGTCACCTTTTGAAGCAATGAACTCCGCGTGCCTCTCGAGGTGTCAGCGGGATGTGAGGCATTCCGTCAAAATGAGGCAGGGACCTGGTGCTTTCTCTAAGGTCTCCACAGGGGATTCAGACTTCCCTTCATGTTGTGAGATGAAAGACGAGCCTGTATTCAAGCCACTGCAAGGAAATCCGGCCTCCTTTCAAGTTAGGGCTTCTCGCTGTATATTCCCCTTGAGGCAGCAAACTCGGGGTCCCACCCACATACCTATTGCTGAGAGAAGCCTCCTCCTGAGGTGCTTCTGGGAAGTTGGCATACGTCTTGAGCCTAAGCCAGGGAATCAGCTCGCATCTCGAGACGATTTGGGATACACGGAGCATTCCTCGAGTTGCTGTGCTGAAGTTGGTGTTCCTCTAGACTTGGGACAGTGTTCTCGGGGCATCTCTGGAGTTGCCTGAAGGAAGTCGAGCCACCGGTCGTGTTGAATGGGGAACGGGGAATGGCTCTGGAGTCAATGCAGGGGAATCGGGCCTCATCTCGAGTTGATTTGGGGCACATGGAGCTGCTTTGCGTTGCTGGGGTGACCTCAGGGTCCGTCTAGACTGGTGACAGTGTTCTTGGGGACTGTCTCGAGATCCATTAAGCAAGTCGAAGCTCCTGACTTGTTTGAATGGGGTCACGGAATAGCTCTGCATGCACTGCAGGGGAATGGGGCCTCATCTCGCCTCTAGGGGGAAGTCTCATGGTTTTTCTCGAGTTGCGGCGGGGACCTGGGGTATGTTCTCGACTTACGGCGGGGATGGCCCTTCAAAACACGAGTTTCTTCAGTGACGTCAGGACTCCTGTCTAGTAACGAGGGACACCTCAGGAATCACTTCGAGGCTTGGCAGGGCAAAAGGGACGCTTCCCGAGGTGAGGCAGGGCACCCAAGGACCCTTTCCAGTAGCCACAGGGATTTTGGGATTCCTATCAATATTCAAGAGGAGTCAGGCATCGTCACCTTTTGAAGCAATGAACTCCGCGTGCCTCTCGAGGTGTCAGCGGGATGTGAGGCATTCCGTCAAAATGAGGCAGGGACCTAGGGCTTTCTCTAAGGTCTCCACAGGGGATTCAGACATCCCTTCATGTTGTGAGATGAAAGACGAGCCTGTATTCAAGCCACTGCAAGGAAATCCGGCCTCCTTTCAAGTTAGGTCTTCTCGCTGTATATTCCCCTTTAGGCAGCAAACTCGGGGTCCCTCCCACATACCTATTGCTGAGAGAAGCCTCCTCCTGAGGTGTTTCTGGGAAGTTGGCATACGTTTTGAGCCTAAGCCAGGGAATCAGCTCGCATCTCGAGACGATTTGGGGTACACGGAGCATTCCTCGAGTTGCTGTGCTGAAGGTGGTGTTCCTCTAGACTTGGGACAGTGTTCTCGGGGCATCTCTGGAGTTGCCTGAAGGAAGTCGAGCCACCGGTCGTGTTGAATGGGGAACGGGGAATGGCTCTGGAGTCAATGCAGGGGAATCGGGCCTCATCTCGAGTTGATTTGGGGCACATGGAGCTGCTTTGCGTTGCTGGGGTGACCTCAGGGTCCGTCTAGACTGGTGACAGTGTTCTTGGGGACTGTCTCGAGATCCATTAAGCAAGTCGAAGCTCCTGACTTGTTTGAATGGGATCACGGAATAGCTCTGCATGCACTGCAGGGGAATGGGGCCTCATCTGGCCTCTAGGGGGAAGTCTCATGGTTTTTCTCGAGTTGCGGCGGGGACCTGGGGTATGTTCTCGACTTACGGCGGGGATGGCCCTTCAAAACACGAGTTTCTTCAGTGACGTCAGGACTCCTGTCTAGTAACGAGGGACACCTCAGGAATCTCTTCGAGGCTTGGCAGGGCCAAAGGGACGCTTCTCGAGGTGAGGCAGGGCACCCAAGGACCCTTTCCAGTAGCCACAGGGATTTTGGGATTCCTATCAGTATTCAAGAGGAGTCAGGCATCGTCACCTTTTGAAGCAATGAACTCCGCGTGCCTCTCGAGGTGTCAGCGGGATGTGAGGCATTCCGTCAAAATGAGGCAGGGACCTAGGGCTTTCTCTAAGGTCTCCACAGGGGATTCAGACATCCCTTCATGTTGTGAGATGAAAGACGAGCCTGTATTCAAGCCACTGCAAGGAAATCCGGCCTCCTTTCAAGTTAGGGCTTCTCGCTGTATATTCCCCTTGAGGCAGCAAACTCGGGGTCCCTCCCACATACCTATTGCTGAGAGAAGCCTCCTCCTGAGGTGCTTCTGGGAAGTTGGCATACGTCTTGAGCCTAAGCCAGGGAATCAGCTCGCATCTCGAGACGATTTGGGGTACACGGAGCATTCCTCGAGTTGCTGTGCTGAAGTTGGTGTTCCTCTAGACTTGGGACAGTGTTCTCGGGGCATCTCTGGAGTTGCCTGAAGGAAGTCGAGCCACCGGTCGTGTTGAATGGGGAACGGGGAATGGCTCTGGAGTCAATGCAGGGGAATCGGGCCTCATCTCGAGTTGATTTGGGGCACATGGAGCTGCTTTGCGTTGCTGGGGTGACCTCAGGGTCCGTCTAGACTGGTGACAGTGTTCTTGGGGACTGTCTCGAGATCCATTAAGCAAGTCGAAGCTCCTGACTTGTTTGAATGGGATCACGGAATAGCTCTGCATGCACTGCAGGGGAATGGGGCCTCATCTCGCCTCTAGGGGGAAGTCTCATGGTTTTTCTCGAGTTGCGGCGGGGACCTGGGGTATGTTCTCGACTTACGGCGGGGATGGCCCTTCAAAACACGAGTTTCTTCAGTGACGTCAGGACTCCTGTCTAGTAAGGAGGGACACCTCAGCAATCTCTTCGAGGCTTGGCAGGGCCAAAGGGACGCTTCTCGAGGTGAGGCAGGGCACCCAAGGACCCTTTCCAGTAGCCACAGGGATTTTGGGATTCCTATCAGTATTCAAGAGGAGTCAGGCATCGTCACCTTTTGAAGCAATGAACTCCGCGTGCCTCTCGAGGTGTCAGCGGGATGTGAGGCATTCCGTCAAAATGAGGCAGGGACCTAGGGCTTTCTCTAAGGTCTCCACAGGGGATTCAGACATCCCTTCATGTTGTGAGATGAAAGACGAGCCTGTATTCAAGCCACTGCAAGGAAATCCGGCCTCCTTTCAAGTTAGGGCTTCTCGCTGTATATTCCCCTTGAGGCAGCAAACTCGGGGTCCCTCCCACATACCTATTGCTGAGAGAAGCCTCCTCCTGAGGTGCTTCTGGGAAGTTGGCATACGTCTTGAGCCTAAGCCAGGGAATCAGCTCGCATCTCGAGACGATTTGGGGTACACGGAGCATTCCTCGAGTTGCTGTGCTGAAGGTGGTGTTCCTCTAGACTTGGGACAGTGTTCTCGGGGCATCTCTGGAGTTGCCTGAAGGAAGTCGAGCCACCGGTCGTGTTGAATGGGGAACGGGGAATGGCTCTGGAGTCAATGCAGGGGAATCGGGCCTCATCTCGAGTTGATTTGGTGCACATGGAGCTGCTTTGCGTTGCTGGGGTGACCTCAGGGTCCGTCTAGACTGGTGACAGTGTTCTTGGGGACTGTCTCGAGATCCATTAAGCAAGTCGAAGCTCCTGACTTGTTTGAATGGGATCACGGAATAGCTCTGCATGCACTGCAGGGGAATGGGGCCTCATCTCGCCTCTAGGGGGAAGTCTCATGGTTTTTCTCGAGTTGCGGCGGGGACCTGGGGTATGTTCTCGACTTACGGCGGGGATGGCCCTTCAAAACACGAGTTTCTTCAGTGACGTCAGGACTCCTGTCTAGTAACGAGGGACACCTCAGGAATCTCTTCGAGGCTTGGCAGGGCCAAAGGGACGCTTCTCGAGGTGAGGCAGGGCACCCAAGGACCCTTTCCAGTAGCCACAGGGATTTTGGGATTCCTATCAGTATTCAAGAGGAGTCAGGCATCGTCACCTTTTGAAGCAATGAACTCCGCGTGCCTCTCGAGGTGTCAGCGGGATGTGAGGCATTCCGTCAAAATGAGGCAGGGACCTAGGGCTTTCTCTAAGGTCTCCACAGGGGATTCAGACATCCATTCATGTTGTGAGATGAAAGACGAGCCTGTATTCAAGCCACTGCAAGGAAATCCGGCCTCCTTTCAAGTTAGGGCTTCTCGCTGTATATTCCCCTTGAGGCAGCAAACTCGGGGTCCCTCCCACATACCTATTGCTGAGAGAAGCCTTCTCCTGAGGTGCTTCTGGGAAGTTGGCATACGTCTTGAGCCTAAGCCAGGGAATCAGCTCGCATCTCGAGACGATTTGGGGTACACGGAGCATTCCTCGAGTTGCTGTGCTGAAATTGGTGTTCCTCTAGACTTGGGACAGTGTTCTCGGGGCATCTCTGGAGTTGCCTGAAGGAAGTCGAGCCACCGGTCGTGTTGAATGGGGAACGGGGAATGGCTCTGGAGTCAATGCAGGGGAATCGGGCCTCATCTCGAGTTGATTTGGGGCACATGGAGCTGCTTTGCGTTGCTGGGGTGACCTCAGGGTCCGTCTAGACTGGTGACAGTGTTCTTGGGGACTGTCTCGAGATCCATTAAGCAAGTCGAAGCTCCTGACTTGTTTGAATGGGGTCACGGAATAGCTCTGCATGCACTGCAGGGGAATGGGGCCTCATCTCGCCTCTAGGGGGAAGTCTCATGGTTTTTCTCGAGTTGCGGCGGGGACCTGGGGTATGTTCTCGACTTACGGCGGGGATGGCCCTTCAAAACACGAGTTTCTTCAGTGACGTCAGGACTCCTGTCTAGTAACGAGGGACACCTCAGGAATCACTTCGAGGCTTGGCAGGGCAAAAGGGACGCTTCCCGAGGTGAGGCAGGGCACCCAAGGACCCTTTCCAGTAGCCACAGGGATTTTGGGATTCCTATCAATATTCAAGAGGAGTCAGGCATCGTCACCTTTTGAAGCAATGAACTCCGCGTGCCTCTCGAGGTGTCAGCGGGATGTGAGGCATTCCGTCAAAATGAGGCAGGGACCTAGGGCTTTCTCTAAGGTCTCCACAGGGGATTCAGACATCCCTTCATGTTGTGAATTGAAAGACGAGCCTGTATTCAAGCCACTGCAAGGAAATCCGGCCTCCTTTCAAGTTAGGTCTTCTCGCTGTATATTCCCCTTGAGGCAGCAAACTCGGGGTCCCTCCCACATACCTATTGCTGAGAGAAGCCTCCTCCTGAGGTGCTTCTGGGAAGTTGGCATACGTCTTGAGCCTAAGCCAGGGAATCAGCTCGCATCTCGAGACGATTTGGGGTACACGGAGCATTCCTCGAGTTGCTGTGCTGAAGGTGGTGTTCCTCTAGACTTGGGACAGTGTTCTCGGGGCATCTCTGGAGTTGCCTGAAGGAAGTCGAGCCACCGGTCGTGTTGAATGGGGAACGGGGAATGGCTCTGGAGTCAATGCAGGGGAATCGGGCCTCATCTCGAGTTGATTTGGGGCACATGGAGCTGCTTTGCGTTGCTGGGGTGACCTCAGGGTCCGTCTAGACTGGTGACAGTGTTCTTGGGGACTGTCTCGAGATCCATTAAGCAAGTCAAAGCTCCTGACTTGTTTGAATGGGATCACGGAATAGCTCTGCATGCACTGCAGGGGAATGGGGCCTCATCTCGCCTCTAGGGGGAAGTCTCATGGTTTTTCTCGAGTTGCGGCGGGGACCTGGGGTATGTTCTCGACTTACGGCGGGGATGGCCCTTCAAAACACGAGTTTCTTCAGTGACGTCAGGACTCCTGTCTAGTAACGAGGGACACCTCAGGAATCTCTTCGAGGCTTGGCAGGGCCAAAGGGACGCTTCTCGAGGTGAGGCAGGGCACCCAAGGACCCTTTCCAGTAGCCACAGGGATTTTGGGATTCCTATCAGTATTCAAGAGGAGTCAGGCATCGTCACCTTTTGAAGCAATGAACTCCGCGTGCCTCTCGAGGTGTCAGCGGGATGTGAGGCATTCCGTCAAAATGAGGCAGGGACCTAGGGCTTTCTCTAAGGTCTCCACAGGGGATTCAGACATCCCTTCATGTTGTGAGATGAAAGACGAGCCTGTATTCAAGCCACTGCAAGGAAACCCGGCCTCCTTTCAAGTTAGGGCTTCTCGCTGTATATTCCCCTTGAGGCAGCAAACTCGGGGTCCCTCCCACATACCTATTGCTGAGAGAAGCCTCCTCCTGAGGTGCTTCTGGGAAGTTGGCATACGTCTTGAGCCTAAGCCAGGGAATCAGCTCGCATCTCGAGACGATTTGGGGTACACGGAGCATTCCTCGAGTTGCTGTGCTGAAGGTGGTGTTCCTCTAGACTTGGGACAGTGTTCTCGGGGCATCTCTGGAGTTGCCTGAAGGAAGTCGAGCCACCGGTCGTGTTGAATGGGGAACGGGGAATGGCTCTGGAGTCAATGCAGGGGAATCGGGCCTCATCTCGAGTTGATTTGGGGCACATGGAGCTGCTTTGCGTTGCTGGGGTGACCTCAGGGTCCGTCTAGACTGGTGACAGTGTTCTTGGGGACTGTCTCGAGATCCATTAAGCAAGTCGAAGCTCCTGACTTGTTTGAATGGGATCACGGAATAGCTCTGCATGCACTGCAGGGGAATGGGGCCTCATCTCGCCTCTAGGGGGAAGTCTCATGGTTTTTCTCGAGTTGCGGCGGGGACCTGGGGTATGTTCTCGACTTACGGCGGGGATGGCCCTTCAAAACACGAGTTTCTTCAGTGACGTCAGGACTCCTGTCTAGTAACGAGGGACACCTCAGGAATCTCTTCGAGGCTTGGCAGGGCCAAAGGGACGCTTCTCGAGGTGAGGCAGGGCACCCAAGGACCCTTTCCAGTAGCCACAGGGATTTTGGGATTCCTATCAGTATTGAAGAGGAGTCAGGCATCGTCACCTTTTGAAGCAATGAACTCCGCGTGCCTCTCGAGGTGTCAGCGGGATGTGAGGCATTCCGTCAAAATGAGGCAGGGACCTAGGGCTTTCTCTAAGGTCTCCACAGGGGATTCAGACATCCCTTCATGTTGTGAGATGAAAGACGAGCCTGTATTCAAGCCACTGCAAGGAAATCCGGCCTCCTTTCAAGTTAGGGCTTCTCGCTGTATATTCCCCTTGAGGCAGCAAACTCGGGGTCCCTCCCACATACCTATTGCTGAGAGAAGCCTCCTCCTGAGGTGCTTCTGGGAAGTTGGCATACGTCTTGAGCCTAAGCCAGGGAATCAGCTCGCATCTCGAGACGATTTGGGGTACACGGAGCATTCCTCGAGTTGCTGTGCTGAAGGTGGTGTTCCTCTAGACTTGGGACAGTGTTCTCGGGGCATCTCTGGAGTTGCCTGAAGGAAGTCGAGCCACCGGTCGTGTTGAATGGGGAACGGGGAATGGCTCTGGAGTCAATGCAGGGGAATCGGGCCTCATCTCGAGTTGATTTGGGGCACATGGAGCTGCTTTGCGTTGCTGGGGTGACCTCAGGGTCCGTCTAGACTGGTGACAGTGTTCTTGGGGACTGTCTCGAGATCCATTAAGCAAGTCGAAGCTCCTGACTTGGTTGAATGGGATCACGGAATAGCTCTGCATGCACTGCAGGGGAATGGGGCCTCATCTCGCCTCTAGGGGGAAGTCTCATGGTTTTTCTCGAGTTGCGGCGGGGACCTGGGGTATGTTCTCGACTTACGGCGGGGATGGCCCTTCAAAACACGAGTTTCTTCAGTGACGTCAGGACTCCTGTCTAGTAACGAGGGACACCTCAGCAATCTCTTCGAGGCTTGGCAGGGCCAAAGGGACGCTTCTCGAGGTGAGGCAGGGCACCCAAGGACCCTTTCCAGTAGCCACAGGGATTTTGGGATTCCTATCAGTATTCAAGAGGAGTCAGGCATCGTCACCTTTTGAAGCAATGAACTCCGCGTGCCTCTCGAGGTGTCAGCGGGATGTGAGGCATTCCGTCAAAATGAGGCAGGGACCTAGGGCTTTCTCTAAGGTCTCCACAGGGGATTCAGACATCCCTTCATGTTGTGAGATGAAAGACGAGCCTGTATTCAAGCCACTGCAAGGAAATCCGGCCTCCTTTCAAGTTAGGGCTTCTCGCTGTATATTCCCCTTGAGGCAGCAAACTCGGGGTCCCTCCCACATACCTATTGCTGAGAGAAGCCTCCTCCTGAGGTGCTTCTGGGAAGTTGGCATACGTCTTGAGCCTAAGCCAGGGAATCAGCTCGCATCTCGAGACGATTTGGGGTACACGGAGCATTCCTCGAGTTGCTGTGCTGAAGTTGGTGTTCCTCTAGACTTGGGACAGTGTTCTCGGGGCATCTCTGGAGTTGCCTGAAGGAAGTCGAGCCACCGGTCGTGTTGAATGGGAACGGGGAATGGCTCTGGAGTCAATGCAGGGGAATCGGGCCTCATCTCGAGTTGATTTGGGGCACATGGAGCTGCTTTGCGTTGCTGGGGTGACCTCAGGGTCCGTCTAGACTGGTGACAGTGTTCTTGGGGACTGTCTCGAGATCCATTAAGCAAGTCGAAGCTCCTGACTTGTTTGAATGGGATCACGGAATAGCTCTGCATACACTGCAGGGGAATGGGGCCTCATCTCGCCTCTAGGGGGAATTCTCATGGTTTTTCTCGAGTTGCGGCGGGGACCTGGGGTATGTTCTCGACTTACGGCGGGGATGGCCCTTCAAAACACGAGTTTCTTCAGTGACGTCAGGACTCCTGTCTAGTAACGAGGGACACCTCAGGAATCTCTTCGAGGCTTGGCAGGGCCAAAGGGACGCTTCTCGAGGTGAGGCAGGGCACCCAAGGACCCTTTCCAGTAGCCACAGGGATTTTGGGATTCCTATCAGTATTCAAGAGGAGTCAGGCATCGTCACCTTTTGAAGCAATGAACTCCGCGTGCCTCTCGAGGTGTCAGCGGGATGTGAGGCATTCCGTCAAAATGAGGCAGGGACCTAGGGCTTTCTCTAAGGTCTCCACAGGGGATTCAGACTTCCCTTCATGTTGTCAGATGAAAGACGAGCCTGTATTCAAGCCACTGCAAATAAATCCGGCCTCCTTTCAAGTTAGGGCTTCTCGCTGTATATTCCCCTTGAGGCAGCAAACTCGGGGTCCCACCCACATACCTATTGCTGAGAGAAGCCTCCTCCTGAGGTGCTTCTGGGAAGTTGGCATACGTTTTGAGCCTAAGCCAGGGAATCAGCTCGCATCTCGAGACGATTTGTGGTACACGGACCATTCCTCGAGTTGCTGTGCTGAAGGTGGTGTTCCTCTAGACTTGGGACAGTGTTCTCGGGGCATCTCTGGAGTTGCCTGAAGGAAGTCGAGCCACCGGTCGTGTTGAATGGGGAACGGGGAATGGCTCTGGAGTCAATGCAGGGGAATCGGGCCTCATCTCGAGTTGATTTGGGGCACATGGAGCTGCTTTGCGTTGCTGGGGTGACCTCAGGGTCCGTCTAGACTGGTGACAGTGTTCTTGGGGACTGTCTCGAGATCCATTAAGCAAGTCGAAGCTCCTGACTTGTTTGAATGGGATCACGGAATAGCTCTGCATGCACTGCAGGGGAATGGGGCCTCATCTCGCCTCTAGGGGGAAGTCTCATGGTTTTTCTCGAGTTGCGGCGGGGACCTGGGGTATGTTCTCGACTTACGGCGGGGATGGCCCTTCAAAACACGAGTTTCTTCAGTGACGTCAGGACTCCTGTCTAGTAACGAGGGACACCTCAGGAATCTCTTCGAGGCTTGGCAGGGCAAAAGGGACGCTTCTCGAGGTGAGGCAGGGCACCCAAGGACCCTTTCCAGTAGCCACAGGGATTTTGGGATTCCTATCAGTATTCAAGAGGAGTCAGGCATCGTCACCTTTTGAAGCAATGAACTCCGCGTGCCTCTCGAGGTGTCAGCGGGATGTGAGGCATTCCGTCAAAATGAGGCAGGGACCTAGGGCTTTCTCTAAGGTCTCCACAGGGGATTCAGACTTCCCTTCATGTTGTGAGATGAAAGACGAGCCTGTATTCAAGCCACTGCAAGGAAATCCGGCCTCCTTTCAAGTTAGGGCTTCTCGCTGTATATTCCCCTTGAGGCAGCAAACTCGGGGTCCCACCCACATACCTATTGCTGAGAGAAGCCTCCTCCTGAGGTGCTTCTGGGAAGTTGGCATACGTCTTGAGCCTAAGCCAGGGAATCAGCTCGCATCTCGAGACGATTTGGGGTACACGGAGCATTCCTCGAGTTGCTGTGCTGAAGTTGGTGTTCCTCTAGACTTGGGACAGTGTTCTCGGGGCATCTCTGGAGTTGCCTGAAGGAAGTCGAGCCACCGGTCGTGTTGAATGGGGAACGGGGAATGGCTCTGGAGTCAATGCAGGGGAATCGGGCCTCATCTCGAGTTGATTTGGGGCACATGGAGCTGCTTTGCGTTGCTGGGGTGACCTCAGGGTCCGTCTAGACTGGTGACAGTGTTCTTGGGGACTGTCTCGAGATCCATTAAGCAAGTCGAAGCTCCTGACTTGTTTGAATGGGATCACGGAATAGCTCTGCATGCACTGCAGGGGAATGGGGCCTCATCTCGCCTCTAGGGGGAAGTCTCATGGTTTTTCTCGAGTTGCGGCGGGGACCTGGGGTATGTTCTCGACTTACGGCGGGGATGGCCCTTCAAAACACGAGTTTCTTCAGTGACGTCAGGACTCCTGTCTAGTAACGAGGGACACCTCAGGAATCTCTTCGAGGCTTGGCAGGGCCAAAGGGACGCTTCTCGAGGTGAGGCAGGGCACCCAAGGACCCTTTCCAGTAGCCACAGGGATTTTGGGATTCCTATCAGTATTCAAGAGGAGTCAGGCATCGTCACCTTTTGAAGCAATGAACTCCGCGTGCCTCTCGAGGTGTCAGCGGGATGTGAGGCATTCCGTCAAAATGAGGCAGGGACCTAGGGCTTTCTCTAAGGTCTCCTCAGGGGATTCAGACATCCCTTCATGTTGTGAGATGAAAGACGAGCCTGTATTCAAGCCACTGCAAGGAAATCCGGCCTCCTTTCAAGTTAGGGCTTCTCGCTGTATATTCCCCTTGAGGCAGCAAACTCGGGGTCCCTCCCACATACCTATTGCTGAGAGAAGCCTCCTCCTGAGGTGCTTCTGGGAAGTTGGCATACGTCTTGAGCCTAAGCCAGGGAATCACCTCGCATCTCGAGACGATTTGGGGTACACGGAGCATTCCTCGAGTTGCTGTGCTGAAGGTGGTGTTCCTCTAGACTTGGGACAGTGTTCTCGGGGCATCTCTGGAGTTGCCTGAAGGAAGTCGAGCCACCGGTCGTGTTGAATGGGGAACGGGGAATGGCTCTGGAGTCAATGCAGGGGAATCGGGCCTCATCTCGAGTTGATTTGGGGCACATGGAGCTGCTTTGCGTTGCTGGGGTGACCTCAGGGTCCGTCTAGACTGGTGACAGTGTTCTTGGGGACTGTCTCGAGATCCATTAAGCAAGTCGAAGCTCCTGACTTGTTTGAATGGGATCACGGAATAGCTCTGCATGCACTGCAGGGGAATGGGGCCTCATCTCGCCTCTAGGGGGAAGTCTCATGGTTTTTCTCGAGTTGCGGCGGGGACCTGGGGTATGTTCTCGACTTACGGCGGGGATGGCCCTTCAAAACACGAGTTTCTTCAGTGACGTCAGGACTCCTGTCTAGTAACGAGGGACACCTCAGGAATCTCTTCGAGGCTTGGCAGGGCCAAAGGGACGCTTCTCGAGGTGAGGCAGGGCACCCAAGGACCCTTTCCAGTAGCCACAGGGATTTTGGGATTCCTATCAGTATTCAAGAGGAGTCAGGCATCGTCACCTTTTGAAGCAATGAACTCCGCGTGCCTCTCGAGGTGTCAGCGGGATGTGAGGCATTCCGTCAAAATGAGGCAGGGACCTAGGGCTTTCTCTAAGGTCTCCACAGGGGATTCAGACATCCCTTCATGTTGTGAGATGAAAGACGAGCCTGTATTCAAGCCACTGCAAGGAAATCCGGCCTCCTTTCAAGTTAGGGCTTCTCGCTGTATATTCCCCTTGAGGCAGCAAACTCGGGGTCCCTCCCACATACCTATTGCTGAGAGAAGCCTCCTCCTGAGGTGCTTCTGGGAAGTTGGCATACGTCTTGAGCCTAAGCCAGGGAATCAGCTCGCATCTCGAGACGATTTGGGGTACACGGAGCATTCCTCGAGTTGCTGTGCTGAAGGTGGTGTTCCTCTAGACTTGGGACAGTGTTCTCGGGGCATCTCTGGAGTTGCCTGAAGGAAGTCGAGCCACCGGTCGTGTTGAATGGGGAACGGGGAATGGCTCTGGAGTCAATGCAGGGGAATCGGGCCTCATCTCGAGTTGATTTGGGGCACATGGAGCTGCTTTGCGTTGCTGGGGTGACCTCAGGGTCCGTCTAGACTGGTGACAGTGTTCTTGGGGACTGTCTCGAGATCCATTAAGCAAGTCGAAGCTCCTGACTTGTTTGAATGGGATCACGGAATAGCTCTGCATGCACTGCAGGGGAATGGGGCCTCATCTGGCCTCTAGGGGGAAGTCTCATGGTTTTTCTCGAGTTGCGGCGGGGACCTGGGGTATGTTCTCGACTTACGGCGGGGATGGCCCTTCAAAACACGAGTTTCTTCAGTGACGTCAGGACTCCTGTCTAGTAACGAGGGACACCTCAGCAATCTCTTCGAGGCTTGGCAGGGCCAAAGGGACGCTTCTCGAGGTGAGGCAGGGCACCCAAGGACCCTTTCCAGTAGCCACAGGGATTTTGGGATTCCTATCAGTATTCAAGAGGAGTCAGGCATCATCACCTTTTGAAGCAATGAACTCCGCGTGCCTCTCGAGGTGTCAGCGGGATGTGAGGCATTCCGTCAAAATGAGGCAGGGACCTAGGGCTTTCTCTAAGGTCTCCACAGGGGATTCAGACATCCCTTCATGTTGTGAGATGAAAGACGAGCCTGTATTCAAGCCACTGCAAGGAAATCCGGCCTCCTTTCAAGTTAGGGCTTCTCGCTGTATATTCCCCTTGAGGCAGCAAACTCGGGGTCCCTCCCACATACCTATTGCTGAGAGAAGCCTCCTCCTGAGGTGCTTCTGGGAAGTTGGCATACGTCTTGAGCCTAAGCCAGGGAATCAGCTCGCATCTCGAGACGATTTGGGGTACAAGGAGCATTCCTCGAGTTGCTGTGCTGAAGTTGGTGTCCCTCTAGACTTGGGACAGTGTTCTCGGGGCATCTCTGGAGTTGCCTGAAGGAAGTCGAGCCACCGGTCGTGTTGAATGGGAACGGGGAATGGCTCTGGAGTCAATGCAGGGGAATCGGGCCTCATCTCGAGTTGATTTGGGGCACATGGAGCTGCTTTGCGTTGCTGGGGTGACCTCAGGGTCCGTCTAGACTGGTGACAGTGTTCTTGGGGACTGTCTCGAGATCCATTAAGCAAGTCGAAGCTCCTGACTTGTTTGAATGGGATCACGGAATAGCTCTGCATACACTGCAGGGGAATGGGGCCTCATCTCGCCTCTAGGGGGAATTCTCATGGTTTTTCTCGAGTTGCGGCGGGGACCTGGGGTATGTTCTCTACTTACGGCGGGGATGGCCCTTCAAAACACGAGTTTCTTCAGTGACGTCAGGACTCCTGTCTAGTAACGAGGGACACCTCAGGAATCTCTTCGAGGCTTGGCAGGGCCAAAGGGACGCTTCTCGAGGTGAGGCAGGGCACCCAAGGACCCTTTCCAGTAGCCACAGGGATTTTGGGATTCCTATCAGTATTCAAGAGGAGTCAGGCATCGTCACCTTTTGAAGCAATGAACTCCGCGTGCCTCTCGAGGTGTCAGCGGGATGTGAGGCATTCCGTCAAAATGAGGCAGGGACCTAGGGCTTTCTCTAAGGTCTCCACAGGGGATTCAGACTTCCCTTCATGTTGTGAGATGAAAGACGAGCCTGTATTCAAGCCACTGCAAGGAAATCCGGCCTCCTTTCAAGTTAGGGCTTCTCGCTGTATATTCCCCTTGAGGCAGCAAACTCGGGGTCCCACCCACATACCTATTGCTGAGAGAAGCCTCCTCCTGAGGTGCTTCTGGGAAGTTGGCATACGTTTTGAGCCTAAGCCAGGGAATCAGCTCGCATCTCGAGACGATTTGGGGTACACGGAGCATTCCTCGAGTTGCTGTGCTGAAGGTGGTGTTCCTCTAGACTTGGGACAGTGTTCTCGGGGCATCTCTGGAGTTGCCTGAAGGAAGTCGAGCCACCGGTCGTGTTGAATGGGGAACGGGGAATGGCTCTGGAGTCAATGCAGGGGAATCGGGCCTCATCTCGAGTTGATTTGGGGCACATGGAGCTGCTTTGCGTTGCTGGGGTGACCTCAGGGTCCGTCTAGACTGGTGACAGTGTTCTTGGGGACTGTCTCGAGATCCATTAAGCAAGTCGAAGCTCCTGACTTGTTTGAATGGGATCACGGAATAGCTCTGCATGCACTGCAGGGGAATGGGGCCTCATCTCGCCTCTAGGGGGAAGTCTCATGGTTTTTCTCGAGTTGCGGCGGGGACCTGGGGTATGTTCTCGACTTACGGCGGGGATGGCCCTTCAAAACACGAGTTTCTTCAGTGACGTCAGGACTCCTGTCTAGTAACGAGGGACACCTCAGGAATCTCTTCGAGGCTTGGCAGGGCAAAAGGGACGCTTCTCGAGGTGAGGCAGGGCACCCAAGGACCCTTTCCAGTAGCCACAGGGATTTTGGGATTCCTATCAGTATTCAAGAGGAGTCAGGCATCGTCACCTTTTGAAGCAATGAACTCCGCGTGCCTCTCGAGGTGTCAGCGGGATGTGAGGCATTCCGTCAAAATGAGGCAGGGACCTAGGGCTTTCTCTAAGGTCTCCACAGGGGATTCAGACTTCCCTTCATGTTGTGAGATGAAAGACGAGCCTGTATTCAAGCCACTGCAAGGAAATCCGGCCTCCTTTCAAGTTAGGGCTTCTCGCTGTATATTCCCCTTGAGGCAGCAAACTCGGGGTCCCACCCACATACCTATTGCTGAGAGAAGCCTCCTCCTGAGGTGCTTCTGGGAAGTTGGCATACATCTTGAGCCTAAGCCAGGGAATCAGCTCGCATCTCGAGACGATTTGGGGTACACGGAGCATTCCTCGAGTTGCTGTGCTGAAGTTGGTGTTCCTCTAGACTTGGGACAGTGTTCTCGGGGCATCTCTGGAGTTGCCTGAAGGAAGTCGAGCCACCGGTCGTGTTGAATGGGGAACGGGGAATGGCTCTGGAGTCAATGCAGGGGAATCGGGCCTCATCTCGAGTTGATTTGGGGCACATGGAGCTGCTTTGCGTTGCTGGGGTGACCTCAGGGTCCGTCTAGACTGGTGACAGTGTTCTTGGGGACTGTCTCGAGATCCATTAAGCAAGTCGAAGCTCCTGACTTGTTTGAATGGGATCACGGAATAGCTCTGCATGCACTGCAGGGGAATGGGGCCTCATCTCGCCTCTAGGGGGAAGTCTCATGGTTTTTCTCGAGTTGCGGCGGGGACCTGGGGTATGTTCTCGACTTACGGCGGGGATGGCCCTTCAAAACACGAGTTTCTTCAGTGACGTCAGGACTCCTGTCTAGTAACGAGGGACACCTCAGGAATCTCTTCGAGGCTTGGCAGGGCCAAAGGGACGCTTCTCGAGGTGAGGCAGGGCACCCAAGGACCCTTTCCAGTAGCCACAGGGATTTTGGGATTCCTATCAGTATTCAAGAGGAGTCAGGCATCGTCACCTTTTGAAGCAATGAACTCCGCGTGCCTCTCGAGGTGTCAGCGGGATGTGAGGCATTCCGTCAAAATGAGGCAGGGACCTAGGGCTTTCTCTAAGGTCTCCTCAGGGGATTCAGACATCCCTTCATGTTGTGAAATGAAAGACGAGCCTGTATTCAAGCCACTGCAAGGAAATCCGGCCTCCTTTCAAGTTAGGGCTTCTCGCTGTATATTCCCCTTGAGGCAGCAAACTCGGGGTCCCTCCCACATACCTATTGCTGAGAGAAGCCTCCTCCTGAGGTGCTTCTGGGAAGTTGGCATACGTCTTGAGCCTAAGCCAGGGAATCAGCTCGCATCTCGAGACGATTTGGGGTACACGGAGCATTCCTCGAGTTGCTGTGCTGAAGTTGGTGTTCCTCTAGACTTGGGACAGTGTTCTCGGGGCATCTCTGGAGTTGCCTGAAGGAAGTCGAGCCACCGGTCGTGTTGAATGGGGAACGGAGAATGGCTCTGGAGTCAATGCAGGGGAATCGGGCCTCATCTCGAGTTGATTTGGGGCACATGGAGCTGCTTTGCGTTGCTGGGGTGACCTCAGGGTCCGTCTAGACTGGTGACAGTGTTCTTGGGGACTGTCTCGAGATCCATTAAGCAAGTCGAAGCTCCTGACTTGGTTGAATGGGATCACGGAATAGCTCTGCATGCACTGCAGGGGAATGGGGCCTCATCTCGCCTCTAGGGGGAAGTCTCATGGTTTTTCTCGAGTTGCGGCGGGGACCTGGGGTATGTTCTCGACTTACGGCGGGGATGGCCCTTCAAAACACGAGTTTCTTCAGTGACGTCAGGACTCCTGTCTAGTAACGAGGGACACCTCAGGAATCTCTTCGAGGCTTGGCAGGGCCAAAGGGACGCTTCTCGAGGTGAGGCAGGGCACCCAAGGACCCTTTCCAGTAGCCACAGGGATTTTGGGATTCCTATCAGTATTGAAGAGGAGTCAGGCATCGTCACCTTTTGAAGCAATGAACTCCGCGTGCCTCTCGAGGTGTCAGCGGGATGTGAGGCATTCCGTCAAAATGAGGCAGGGACCTAGGGCTTTCTCTAAGGTCTCCACAGGGGATTCAGACATCCCTTCATGTTGTGAGATGAAAGACGAGCCTGTATTCAAGCCACTGCAAGGAAATCCGGCCTCCTTTCAAGTTAGGGCTTCTCGCTGTATATTCCCCTTGAGGCAGCAAACTCGGGGTCCCTCCCACATACCTATTGCTGAGAGAAGCCTCCTCCTGAGGTGCTTCTGGGAAGTTGGCATACGTCTTGAGCCTAAGCCAGGGAATCAGCTCGCATCTCGAGACGATTTGGGGTACACGGAGCATTCCTCGAGTTGCTGTGCTGAAGGTGGTGTTCCTCTAGACTTGGGACAGTGTTCTTGGGGCATCTCTGGAGTTGCCTGAAGGAAGTCGAGCCACCGGTCGTGTTGAATGGGGAACGGGGAATGGCTCTGGAGTCAATGCAGGGGAATCGGGCCTCATCTCGAGTTGATTTGGGGCGCATGGAGCTGCTTTGCGTTGCTGGGGTGACCTCAGGGTCCGTCTAGACTGGTGACAGTGTTCTTGGGGACTGTCTCGAGATCCATTAAGCAAGTCGAAGCTCCTGACTTGGTTGAATGGGATCACGGAATAGCTCTGCATGCACTGCAGGGGAATGGGGCCTCATCTGGCCTCTAGGGGGAAGTCTCATGGTTTTTCTCGAGTTGCGGCGGGGACCTGGGGGTATGTTCTCGACTTACGGCGGGGATGGCCCTTCAAAACACGAGTTTCTTCAGTGACGTCAGGACTCCTGTCTAGTAACAAGGGACACCTCAGGAATCTCTTCGAGGCTTGGCAGGGCCAAAGGGACGCTTCTCGAGGTGAGGCAGGGCACCCAAGGACCCTTTCCAGTAGCCACAGGGATTTTGGGATTCCTATCAGTATTCAAGAGGAGTCAGGCATCGTCACCTTTTGAAGCAATGAACTCCGCGTGCCTCTCGAGGTGTCAGCGGGATGTGAGGCATTCCGTCAAAATGAGGCAGGGACCTAGGGCTTTCTCTAAGGTCTCCACAGGGGATTCAGACATCCCTTCATGTTGTGAGATGAAAGACGAGCCTGTATTCAAGCCACTGCAAGGAAATCCGGCCTCCTTTCAAGTTAGGGCTTCTCGCTGTATATTCCCCTTGAGGCAGCAAACTCGGGGTCCCTCCCACATACCTATTGCTGAGAGAAGCCTCCTCCTGAGGTGCTTCTGGGAAGTTGGCATACGTCTTGAGCCTAAGCCAGGGAATCAGCTCGCATCTCGAGACGATTTGGGGTACACGGAGCATTCCTCGAGTTGCTGTGCTGAAGGTGGTGTTCCTCTAGACTTGGGACAGTGTTCTCGGGGCATCTCTGGAGTTGCCTGAAGGAAGTCGAGCCACCGGTCGTGTTGAATGGGGAACGGGGAATGGCTCTGGAGTCAATGCAGGGGAATCGGGCCTCATCTCGAGTTGATTTGGGGCACATGGAGCTGCTTTGCGTTGCTGGGGTGACCTCAGGGTCCGTCTAGACTGGTGACAGTGTTCTTGGGGACTGTCTCGAGATCCATTAAGCAAGTCGAAGCTCCTGACTTGTTTGAATGGGATCACGGAATAGCTCTGCATGCACTGCAGGGGAATGGGGCCTCATCTCGCCTCTAGGGGGAAGTCTCATGGTTTTTCTCGAGTTGCGGCGGGGACCTGGGGTATGTTCTCGACTTACGGCGGGGATGGCCCTTCAAAACACGAGTTTCTTCAGTGACGTCAGGACTCCTGTCTAGTAACGAGGGACACCTCAGGAATCTCTTCGAGGCTTGGCAGGGCCAAAGGGACGCTTCTCGAGGTGAGGCAGGGCACCCAAGGACCCTTTCCAGTAGCCACAGGGATTTTGGGATTCCTATCAGTATTCAAGAGGAGTCAGGCATCGTCACCTTTTGAAGCAATGAACTCCGCGTGCCTCTCGAGGTGTCAGCGGGATGTGAGGCATTCCGTCAAAATGAGGCAGGGACCTAGGGCTTTCTCTAAGGTCTCCACAGGGGATTCAGACATCCCTTCATGTTGTGAGATGAAAGACGAGCCTGTATTCAAGCCACTGCAAGGAAATCCGGCCTCCTTTCAAGTTAGGGCTTCTCGCTGTATATTCCCCTTGAGGCAGCAAACTCGGGGTCCCTCCCACATACCTATTGCTGAGAGAAGCCTCCTCCTGAGGTGCTTCTGGGAAGTTGGCATACGTCTTGAGCCTAAGCCAGGGAATCAGCTCGCATCTCGAGACGATTTGGGGTACACGGAGCATTCCTCGAGTTGCTGTGCTGAAGTTGGTGTTCCTCTAGACTTGGGACAGTGTTCTCGGGGCATCTCTGGAGTTGCCTGAAGGAAGTCGAGCCACCGGTCGTGTTGAATGGGGAACGGGGAATGGCTCTGGAGTCAATGCAGGGGAATCGGGCCTCATCTCGAGTTGATTTGGGGCACATGGAGCTGCTTTGCGTTGCTGGGGTGACCTCAGGGTCCGTCTAGACTGGTGACAGTGTTCTTGGGGACTGTCTCGAGATCCATTAAGCAAGTCGAAGCTCCTGACTTGTTTGAATGGGATCACGGAATAGCTCTGCATGCACTGCAGGGGAATGGGGCCTCATCTCGCCTCTAGGGGGAAGTCTCATGGTTTTTCTCGAGTTGCGGCGGGGACCTGGGGTATGTTCTCGACTTACGGCGGGGATGGCCCTTCAAAACACGAGTTTCTTCAGTGACGTCAGGACTCCTGTCTAGTAACGAGGGACACCTCAGCAATCTCTTCGAGGCTTGGCAGGGCCAAAGGGACGCTTCTCGAGGTGAGGCAGGGCACCCAAGGACCCTTTCCAGTAGCCACAGGGATTTTGGGATTCCTATCAGTATTCAAGAGGAGTCAGACATCGTCACCTTTTGAAGCAATGAACTCCGCGTGCCTCTTGAGGTGTCAGCGGGATGTGAGGCATTCCGTCAAAATGAGGCAGGGACCTAGGGCTTTCTCTAAGGTCTCCACAGGGGATTCAGACATCCCTTCATGTTGTGAGATGAAAGACGAGCCTGTATTCAAGCCACTGCAAGGAAATCCGGCCTCCTTTCAAGTTAGGGCTTCTCGCTGTATATTCCCCTTGAGGCAGCAAACTCGGGGTCCCTCCCACATACCTATTGCTGAGAGAAGCCTCCTCCTGAGGTGCTTCTGGGAAGTTGGCATACGTCTTGAGCCTAAGCCAGGGAATCAGCTCGCATCTCGAGACGATTTGGGGTACACGGAGCATTCCTCGAGTTGCTGTGCTGAAGGTGGTGTTCCTCTAGACTTGGGACAGTGTTCTCGGGGCATCTCTGGAGTTGCCTGAAGGAAGTCGAGCCACCGGTCGTGTTGAATGGGGAACGGGGAATGGCTCTGGAGTCAATGCAGGGGAATCGGGCCTCATCTCGAGTTGATTTGGGGCACATGGAGCTGCTTTGCGTTGCTGGGGTGACCTCAGGGTCCGTCTAGCCTGGTGACAGTGTTCTTGGGGACTGTCTCGAGATCCATTAAGCAAGTCGAAGCTCCTGACTTGTTTGAATGGGATCACGGAATAGCTCTGCATGCACTGCAGGGGAATGGGGCCTCATCTCGCCTCTAGGGGGAAGTCTCATGGTTTTTCTCGAGTTGCGGCGGGGACCTGGGGTATGTTCTCGACTTACGGCGGGGATGGCCCTTCAAAACACGAGTTTCTTCAGTGACGTCAGGACTCCTGTCTAGTAACGAGGGACACCTCAGGAATCTCTTCGAGGCTTGGCAGGGCCAAAGGGACGCTTCTCGAGGTGAGGCAGGGCACCCAAGGACCCTTTCCAGTAGCCACAGGGATTTTGGGATTCCTATCAGTATTGAAGAGGAGTCAGGCATCGTCACCTTTTGAAGCAATGAACTCCGCGTGCCTCTCGAGGTGTCAGCGGGATGTGAGGCATTCCGTCAAAATGAGGCAGGGACCTAGGGCTTTCTCTAAGGTCTCCACAGGGGATTCAGACATCCATTCATGTTGTGAGATGAAAGACGAGCCTGTATTCAAGCCACTACAAGGAAATCCGGCCTCCTTTCAAGTTAGGGCTTCTCGCTGTATATTCCCCTTGAGGCAGCAAACTCGGGGTCCCTCCCACATACCTATTGCTGAGAGAAGCCTCCTCCTGAGGTGCTTCTGGGAAGTTGGCATACGTCTTGAGCCTAAGCCAGGGAATCAGCTCGCATCTCGAGACGATTTGGGGTACACGGAGCATTCCTCGAGTTGCTGTGCTGAAGTTGGTGTTCCTCTAGACTTGGGACAGTGTTCTCGGGGCATCTCTGGAGTTGCCTGAAGGAAGTCGAGCCACCGGTCGTGTTGAATGGGGAACGGGGAATGGCTCTGGAGTCAATGCAGGGGAATCGGGCCTCATCTCGAGTTGATTTGGGGCACATGGAGCTGCTTTGCGTTGCTGGGGTGACCTCAGGGTCCGTCTAGACTGGTGACAGTGTTCTTGGGGACTGTCTCGAGATCCATTAAGCAAGTCGAAGCTCCTGACTTGTTTGAATGGGATCACGGAATAGCTCTGCATGCACTGCAGGGGAATGGGGCCTCATCTCGCCTCTAGGGGGAAGTCTCATGGTTTTTCTCGAGTTGCGGCGGGGACCTGGGGTATGTTCTCGACTTACGGCAGGGATGGCCCTTCAAAACACGAGTTTCTTCAGTGACGTCAGGACTCCTGTCTAGTAACGAGGGACACCTCAGGAATCTCTTCGAGGCTTGGCAGGGCCAAAGGGACGCTTCTCGAGGTGAGGCAGGGCACCCAAGGACCCTTTCCAGTAGCCACAGGGATTTTGGGATTCCTATCAGTATTGAAGAGGAGTCAGGCATCGTCACCTTTTGAAGCAATGAACTCCGCGTGCCTCTCGAGGTGTCAGCGGGATGTGAGGCATTCCGTCAAAATGAGGCAGGGACCTAGGGCTTTCTCTAAGGTCTCCACAGGGGATTCAGACATCCCTTCATGTTGTGAGATGAAAGACGAGCCTGTATTCAAGCCACTGCAAGGAAATCCGGCCTCCTTTCAAGTTAGGGCTTCTCGCTGTATATTCCCCTTGAGGCAGCAAACTCGGGGTCCCTCCCACATACCTATTGCTGAGAGAAGCCTCCTCCTGAGGTGCTTCTGGGAAGTTGGCATACGTCTTGAGCCTAAGCCAGGGAATCAGCTCGCATCTCGACACGATTTGGGGTACACGGAGCATTCCTCGAGTTGCTGTGCTGAAGGTGGTGTTCCTCTAGACTTGGGACAGTGTTCTTGGGGCATCTCTGGAGTTGCCTGAAGGAAGTCGAGCCACCGGTCGTGTTGAATGGGGAACGGGGAATGGCTCTGGAGTCAATGCAGGGGAATCGGGCCTCATCTCGAGTTGATTTGGGGCGCATGGAGCTGCTTTGCGTTGCTGGGGTGACCTCAGGGTCCGTCTAGACTGGTGACAGTGTTCTTGGGGACTGTCTCGAGATCCATTAAGCAAGTCGAAGCTCCTGACTTGGTTGAATGGGATCACGGAATAGCTCTGCATGCACTGCAGGGGAATGGGGCCTCATCTCGCCTCTAGGGGGAAGTCTCATGGTTTTTCTCGAGTTGCGGCGGGGACCTGGGGTATGTTCTCGACTTACGGCGGGGATGGCCCTTCAAAACACGAGTTTCTTCAGTGACGTCAGGACTCCTGTCTAGTAACGAGGGACACCTCAGGAATCTCTTCGAGGCTTGGCAGGGCCAAAGGGACGCTTCTCGAGGTGAGGCAGGGCACCCAAGGACCCTTTCCAGTAGCCACAGGGATTTTGGGATTCCTATCAGTATTCAAGAGGAGTCAGGCATCGTCACCTTTTGAAGCAATGAACTCCGCGTGCCTCTCGAGGTGTCAGCGGGATGTGAGGCATTCCGTCAAAATGAGGCAGGGACCTAGGGCTTTCTCTAAGGTCTCCACAGGGGATTCAGACATCCCTTCATGTTGTGAGATGAAAGACGAGCCTGTATTCAAGCCACTGCAAGGAAATCCGGCCTCCTTTCAAGTTAGGGCTTCTCGCTGTATATTCCCCTTGAGGCAGCAAACTCGGGGTCCCTCCCACATACCTATTGCTGAGAGAAGCCTCCTCCTGAGGTGCTTCTGGGAAGTTGGCATACGTCTTGAGCCTAAGCCAGGGAATCAGCTCGCATCTCGAGACGATTTGGGGTACACGGAGCATTCCTCGAGTTGCTGTGCTGAAGGTGGTGTTCCTCTAGACTTGGGACAGTGTTCTCGGGGCATCTCTGGAGTTGCCTGAAGGAAGTCGAGCCACCGGTCGTGTTGAATGGGGAACGGGGAATGGCTCTGGAGTCAATGCAGGGGAATCGGGCCTCATCTCGAGTTGATTTGGGGCACATGGAGCTGCTTTGCGTTGCTGGGGTGACCTCAGGGTCCGTCTAGACTGGTGACAGTGTTCTTGGGGACTGTCTCGAGATCCATTAAGCAAGTCGAAGCTCCTGACTTGTTTGAATGGGATCACGGAATAGCTCTGCATGCACTGCAGGGGAATGGGGCCTCATCTCGCCTCTAGGGGGAAGTCTCATGGTTTTTCTCGAGTTGCGGCGGGGACCTGGGGTATGTTCTCGACTTACGGCGGGGATGGCCCTTCAAAACACGAGTTTCTTCAGTGACGTCAGGACTCCTGTCTAGTAACGAGGGACACCTCAGGAATCTCTTCGAGGCTTGGCAGGGCCAAAGGGACGCTTCTCGAGGTGAGGCAGGGCACCCAAGGACCCTTTCCAGTAGCCACAGGGATTTTGGGATTCCTATCAGTATTGAAGAGGAGTCAGGCATCGTCACCTTTTGAAGCAATGAACTCCGCGTGCCTCTCGAGGTGTCAGCGGGATGTGAGGCATTCCGTCAAAATGAGGCAGGGACCTAGGGCTTTCTCTAAGGTCTCCACAGGGGATTCAGACTTCCCTTCATGTTGTGAGATGAAAGACGAGCCTGTATTCAAGCCACTGCAAGGAAATCCGGCCTCCTTTCAAGTTAGGGCTTCTCGCTGTATATTCCCCTTGAGGCAGCAAACTCGGGGTCCCACCCACATACCTATTGCTGAGAGAAGCCTCCTCCTGAGGTGCTTCTGGGAAGTTGGCATACGTTTTGAGCCTAAGCCAGGGAATCAGCTCGCATCTCGAGACGATTTGGGGTACACGGAGCATTCCTCGAGTTGCTCTGCTGAAGGTGGTGTTCCTCTAGACTTGGGACAGTGTTCTCGGGGCATCTCTGGAGTTGCCTGAAGGAAGTCGAGCCACAGGTCGTGTTGAATGGGGAACGGGGAATGGCTCTGGAGTCAATGCAGGGGAATCGGGCCTCATCTCGAGTTGATTTGGGGCACATGGAGCTGCTTTGCGTTGCTGGGGTGACCTCAGGGTCCGTCTAGACTGGTGACAGTGTTCTTGGGGACTGTCTCGAGATCCATTAAGCAAGTCGAAGCTCCTGACTTGTTTGAATGGGATCACGGAATAGCTCTGCATGCACTGCAGGGGAATGGGGCCTCATCTCGCCTCTAGGGGGAAGTCTCATGGTTTTTCTCGAGTTGCGGCGGGGACCTGGGGTATGTTCTCGACTTACGGCGGGGATGGCCCTTCAAAACACGAGTTTCTTCAGTGACGTCAGGACTCCTGTCTAGTAACGAGGGACACCTCAGGAATCTCTTCGAGGCTTGGCAGGGCAAAAGGGACGCTTCTCGAGGTGAGGCAGGGCACCCAAGGACCCTTTCCAGTAGCCACAGGGATTTTGGGATTCCTATCAGTATTCAAGAGGAGTCAGGCATCGTCACCTTTTGAAGCAATGAACTCCGCGTGCCTCTCGAGGTGTCAGCGGGATGTGAGGCATTCCGTCAAAATGAGGCAGGGACCTAGGGCTTTCTCTAAGGTCTCCACAGGGGATTCAGACATCCCTTCATGTTGTGAGATGAAAGACGAGCCTGTATTCAAGCCACTGCAAGGAAATCCGGCCTCCTTTCAAGTTAGGGCTTCTCGCTGTATATTCCCCTTGAGGCAGCAAACTCGGGGTCCCTCCCACATACCTATTGCTGAGAGAAGCCTCCTCCTGAGGTGCTTCTGGGAAGTTGGCATACGTCTTGAGCCTAAGCCAGGGAATCAGCTCGCATCTCGAGACGATTTGGGGTACACGGAGCATTCCTCGAGTTGCTGTGCTGAAGGTGGTGTTCCTCTAGACTTGGGACAGTGTTCTCGGGGCATCTCTGGAGTTGCCTGAAGGAAGTCGAGCCACCGGTCGTGTTGAATGGGGAACGGGGAATGGCTCTGGAGTCAATGCAGGGGAATCGGGCCTCATCTCGAGTTGATTTGGGGCACATGGAGCTGCTTTGCGTTGCTGGGGTGACCTCAGGGTCCGTCTAGACTGGTGACAGTGTTCTTGGGGACTGTCTCGAGATCCATTAAGCAAGTCGAAGCTCCTGACTTGGTTGAATGGGATCACGGAATAGCTCTGCATGCACTGCAGGGGAATGGGGCCTCATCTCGCCTCTAGGGGGAAGTCTCATGGTTTTTCTCGAGTTGCGGCGGGGACCTGGGGTATGTTCTCGACTTACGGCGGGGATGGCCCTTCAAAACACGAGTTTCTTCAGTGACGTCAGGACTCCTGTCTAGTAACGAGGGACACCTCAGCAATCTCTTCGAGGCTTGGCAGGGCCAAAGGGACGCTTCTCGAGGTGAGGCAGGGCACCCAAGGACCCTTTCCAGTAGCCACAGGGATTTTGGGATTCCTATCAGTATTCAAGAGGAGTCAGGCATCGTCACCTTTTGAAGCAATGAACTCCGCGTGCCTCTCGAGGTGTCAGCGGGATGTGAGGCATTCCGTCAAAATGAGGCAGGGACCTAGGGCTTTCTCTAAGGTCTCCACAGGGGATTCAGACATCCCTTCATGTTGTGAGATGAAAGACGAGCCTGTATTCAAGCCACTGCAAGGAAATCCGGCCTCCTTTCAAGTTAGGGCTTCTCGCTGTATATTCCCCTTGAGGCAGCAAACTCGGGGTCCCTCCCACATACCTATTGCTGAGAGAAGCCTCCTCCTGAGGTGCTTCTGGGAAGTTGGCATACGTCTTGAGCCTAAGCCAGGGAATCAGCTCGCATCTCGAGACGATTTGGGGTACACGGAGCATTCCTCGAGTTGCTGTGCTGAAGTTGGTGTTCCTCTAGACTTGGGACAGTGTTCTCGGGGCATCTCTGGAGTTGCCTGAAGGAAGTCGAGCCACCGGTCGTGTTGAATGGGAACGGGGAATGGCTCTGGAGTCAATGCAGGGGAATCGGGCCTCATCTCGAGTTGATTTGGGGCACATGGAGCTGCTTTGCGTTGCTGGGGTGACCTCAGGGTCCGTCTAGACTGGTGACAGTGTTCTTGGGGACTGTCTCGAGATCCATTAAGCAAGTCGAAGCTCCTGACTTGTTTGAATGGGATCACGGAATAGCTCTGCATACACTGCAGGGGAATGGGGCCTCATCTCGCCTCTAGGGGGAATTCTCATGGTTTTTCTCGAGTTGCGGCGGGGACCTGGGGTATGTTCTCGACTTACGGCGGGGATGGCCCTTCAAAACACGAGTTTCTTCAGTGACGTCAGGACTCCTGTCTAGTAACGAGGGACACCTCAGGAATCTCTTCGAGGCTTGGCAGGGCCAAAGGGACGCTTCTCGAGGTGAGGCAGGGCACCCAAGGACCCTTTCCAGTAGCCACAGGGATTTTGGGATTCCTATCAGTATTCAAGAGGAGTCAGGCATCGTCACCTTTTGAAGCAATGAACTCCGCGTGCCTCTCGAGGTGTCAGCGGGATGTGAGGCATTCCGTCAAAATGAGGCAGGGACCTAGGGCTTTCTCTAAGGTCTCCACAGGGGATTCAGACTTCCCTTCATGTTGTGAGATGAAAGACGAGCCTGTATTCAAGCCACTGCAAATAAATCCGGCCTCCTTTCAAGTTAGGGCTTCTCGCTGTATATTCCCCTTGAGGCAGCAAACTCGGGGTCCCACCCACATACCTATTGCTGAGAGAAGCCTCCTCCTGAGGTGCTTCTGGGAAGTTGGCATACGTTTTGAGCCTAAGCCAGGGAATCAGCTCGCATCTCGAGACGATTTGGGGTACACGGACCATTCCTCGAGTTGCTGTGCTGAAGGTGGTGTTCCTCTAGACTTGGGACAGTGTTCTCGGGGCATCTCTGGAGTTGCCTGAAGGAAGTCGAGCCACCGGTCGTGTTGAATGGGGAACGGGGAATGGCTCTGGAGTCAATGCAGGGGAATCGGGCCTCATCTCGAGTTGATTTGGGGCACATGGAGCTGCTTTGCGTTGCTGGGGTGACCTCAGGGTCCGTCTAGACTGGTGACAGTGTTCTTGGGGACTGTCTCGAGATCCATTAAGCAAGTCGAAGCTCCTGACTTGTTTGAATGGGATCACGGAATAGCTCTGCATGCACTGCAGGGGAATGGGGCCTCATCTCGCCTCTAGGGGGAAGTCTCATGGTTTTTCTCGAGTTGCGGCGGGGACCTGGGGTATGTTCTCGACTTACGGCGGGGATGGCCCTTCAAAACACGAGTTTCTTCAGTGACGTCAGGACTCCTGTCTAGTAACGAGGGACACCTCAGGAATCTCTTCGAGGCTTGGCAGGGCAAAAGGGACGCTTCTCGAGGTGAGGCAGGGCACCCAAGGACCCTTTCCAGTAGCCACAGGGATTTTGGGATTCCTATCAGTATTCAAGAGGAGTCAGGCATCGTCACCTTTTGAAGCAATGAACTCCGCGTGCCTCTCGAGGTGTCAGCGGGATGTGAGGCATTCCGTCAAAATGAGGCAGGGACCTAGGGCTTTCTCTAAGGTCTCCACAGGGGATTCAGACTTCCCTTCATGTTGTGAGATGAAAGACGAGCCTGTATTCAAGCCACTGCAAGGAAATCCGGCCTCCTTTCAAGTTAGGGCTTCTCGCTGTATATTCCCCTTGAGGCAGCAAACTCGGGGTCCCACCCACATACCTATTGCTGAGAGAAGCCTCCTCCTGAGGTGCTTCTGGGAAGTTGGCATACGTCTTGAGCCTAAGCCAGGGAATCAGCTCGCATCTCGAGACGATTTGGGGTACACGGAGCATTCCTCGAGTTGCTGTGCTGAAGTTGGTGTTCCTCTAGACTTGGGACAGTGTTCTCGGGGCATCTCTGGAGTTGCCTGAAGGAAGTCGAGCCACCGGTCGTGTTGAATGGGGAACGGGGAATGGCTCTGGAGTCAATGCAGGGGAATCGGGCCTCATCTCGAGTTGATTTGGGGCACATGGAGCTGCTTTGCGTTGCTGGGGTGACCTCAGGGTCCGTCTAGACTGGTGACAGTGTTCTTGGGGACTGTCTCGAGATCCATTAAGCAAGTCGAAGCTCCTGACTTGTTTGAATGGGATCACGGAATAGCTCTGCATGCACTGCAGGGGAATGGGGCCTCATCTCGCCTCTAGGGGGAAGTCTCATGGTTTTTCTCGAGTTGCGGCGGGGACCTGGGGTATGTTCTCGACTTACGGCGGGGATGGCCCTTCAAAACACGAGTTTCTTCAGTGACGTCAGGACTCCTGTCTAGTAACGAGGGACACCTCAGGAATCTCTTCGAGGCTTGGCAGGGCCAAAGGGACGCTTCTCGAGGTGAGGCAGGGCACCCAAGGACCCTTTCCAGTAGCCACAGGGATTTTGGGATTCCTATCAGTATTCAAGAGGAGTCAGGCATCGTCACCTTTTGAAGCAATGAACTCCGCGTGCCTCTCGAGGTGTCAGCGGGATGTGAGGCATTCCGTCAAAATGAGGCAGGGACCTAGGGCTTTCTCTAAGGTCTCCTCAGGGGATTCAGACATCCCTTCATGTTGTGAGATGAAAGACGAGCCTGTATTCAAGCCACTGCAAGGAAATCCGGCCTCCTTTCAAGTTAGGGCTTCTCGCTGTATATTCCCCTTGAGGCAGCAAACTCGGGGTCCCTCCCACATACCTATTGCTGAGAGAAGCCTCCTCCTGAGGTGCTTCTGGGAAGTTGGCATACGTCTTGAGCCTAAGCCAGGGAATCAGCTCGCATCTCGAGACGATTTGGGGTACACGGAGCATTCCTCGAGTTGCTGTGCTGAAGGTGGTGTTCCTCTAGACTTGGGACAGTGTTCTCGGGGCATCTCTGGAGTTGCCTGAAGGAAGTCGAGCCACCGGTCGTGTTGAATGGGGAACGGGGAATGGCTCTGGAGTCAATGCAGGGGAATCGGGCCTCATCTCGAGTTGATTTGGGGCACATGGAGCTGCTTTGCGTTGCTGGGGTGACCTCAGGGTCCGTCTAGACTGGTGACAGTGTTCTTGGGGACTGTCTCGAGATCCATTAAGCAAGTCGAAGCTCCTGACTTGTTTGAATGGGATCACGGAATAGCTCTGCATGCACTGCAGGGGAATGGGGCCTCATCTCGCCTCTAGGGGGAAGTCTCATGGTTTTTCTCGAGTTGCGGCGGGGACCTGGGGTATGTTCTCGACTTACGGCGGGGATGGCCCTTCAAAACACGAGTTTCTTCAGTGACGTCAGGACTCCTGTCTAGTAACGAGGGACACCTCAGGAATCTCTTCGAGGCTTGGCAGGGCCAAAGGGACGCTTCTCGAGGTGAGGCAGGGCACCCAAGGACCCTTTCCAGTAGCCACAGGGATTTTGGGATTCCTATCAGTATTCAAGAGGAGTCAGGCATCGTCACCTTTTGAAGCAATGAACTCCGCGTGCCTCTCGAGGTGTCAGCGGGATGTGAGGCATTCCGTCAAAATGAGGCAGGGACCTAGGGCTTTCTCTAAGGTCTCCACAGGGGATTCAGACATCCCTTCATGTTGTGAGATGAAAGACGAGCCTGTATTCAAGCCACTGCAAGGAAATCCGGCCTCCTTTCAAGTTAGGGCTTCTCGCTGTATATTCCCCTTGAGGCAGCAAACTCGGGGTCCCTCCCACATACCTATTGCTGAGAGAAGCCTCCTCCTGAGGTGCTTCTGGGAAGTTGGCATACGTCTTGAGCCTAAGCCAGGGAATCAGCTCGCATCTCGAGACGATTTGGGGTACACGGAGCATTCCTCGAGTTGCTGTGCTGAAGGTGGTGTTCCTCTAGACTTGGGACAGTGTTCTCGGGGCATCTCTGGAGTTGCCTGAAGGAAGTCGAGCCACCGGTCGTGTTGAATGGGGAACGGGGAATGGCTCTGGAGTCAATGCAGGGGAATCGGGCCTCATCTCGAGTTGATTTGGGGCACATGGAGCTGCTTTGCGTTGCTGGGGTGACCTCAGGGTCCGTCTAGACTGGTGACAGTGTTCTTGGGGACTGTCTCGAGATCCATTAAGCAAGTCGAAGCTCCTGACTTGTTTGAATGGGATCACGGAATAGCTCTGCATGCACTGCAGGGGAATGGGGCCTCATCTGGCCTCTAGGGGGAAGTCTCATGGTTTTTCTCGAGTTGCGGCGGGGACCTGGGGTATGTTCTCGACTTACGGCGGGGATGGCCCTTCAAAACACGAGTTTCTTCAGTGACGTCAGGACTCCTGTCTAGTAACGAGGGACACCTCAGCAATCTCTTCGAGGCTTGGCAGGGCCAAAGGGACGCTTCTCGAGGTGAGGCAGGGCACCCAAGGACCCTTTCCAGTAGCCACAGGGATTTTGGGATTCCTATCAGTATTCAAGAGGAGTCAGGCATCATCACCTTTTGAAGCAATGAACTCCGCGTGCCTCTCGAGGTGTCAGCGGGATGTGAGGCATTCCGTCAAAATGAGGCAGGGACCTAGGGCTTTCTCTAAGGTCTCCACAGGGGATTCAGACATCCCTTCATGTTGTGAGATGAAAGACGAGCCTGTATTCAAGCCACTGCAAGGAAATCCGGCCTCCTTTCAAGTTAGGGCTTCTCGCTGTATATTCCCCTTGAGGCAGCAAACTCGGGGTCCCTCCCACATACCTATTGCTGAGAGAAGCCTCCTCCTGAGGTGCTTCTGGGAAGTTGGCATACGTCTTGAGCCTAAGCCAGGGAATCAGCTCGCATCTCGAGACGATTTGGGGTACACGGAGCATTCCTCGAGTTGCTGTGCTGAAGTTGGTGTCCCTCTAGACTTGGGACAGTGTTCTCGGGGCATCTCTGGAGTTGCCTGAAGGAAGTCGAGCCACCGGTCGTGTTGAATGGGAACGGGGAATGGCTCTGGAGTCAATGCAGGGGAATCGGGCCTCATCTCGAGTTGATTTGGGGCACATGGAGCTGCTTTGCGTTGCTGGGGTGACCTCAGGGTCCGTCTAGACTGGTGACAGTGTTCTTGGGGACTGTCTCGAGATCCATTAAGCAAGTCGAAGCTCCTGACTTGTTTGAATGGGATCACGGAATAGCTCTGCATACACTGCAGGGGAATGGGGCCTCATCTCGCCTCTAGGGGGAATTCTCATGGTTTTTCTCGAGTTGCGGCGGGGACCTGGGGTATGTTCTCTACTTATGGCGGGGATGGCCCTTCAAAACACGAGTTTCTTCAGTGACGTCAGGACTCCTGTCTAGTAACGAGGGACACCTCAGGAATCTCTTCGAGGCTTGGCAGGGCCAAAGGGACGCTTCTCGAGGTGAGGCAGGGCACCCAAGGACCCTTTCCAGTAGCCACAGGGATTTTGGGATTCCTATCAGTATTCAAGAGGAGTCAGGCATCGTCACCTTTTGAAGCAATGAACTCCGCGTGCCTCTCGAGGTGTCAGCGGGATGTGAGGCATTCCGTCAAAATGAGGCAGGGACCTAGGGCTTTCTCTAAGGTCTCCACAGGGGATTCAGACTTCCCTTCATGTTGTGAGATGAAAGACGAGCCTGTATTCAAGCCACTGCAAGGAAATCCGGCCTCCTTTCAAGTTAGGGCTTCTCGCTGTATATTCCCCTTGAGGCAGCAAACTCGGGGTCCCACCCACATACCTATTGCTGAGAGAAGCCTCCTCCTGAGGTGCTTCTGGGAAGTTGGCATACGTTTTGAGCCTAAGCCAGGGAATCAGCTCGCATCTCGAGACGATTTGGGGTACACGGAGCATTCCTCGAGTTGCTGTGCTGAAGGTGGTGTTCCTCTAGACTTGGGACAGTGTTCTCGGGGCATCTCTGGAGTTGCCTGAAGGAAGTCGAGCCACCGGTCGTGTTGAATGGGGAACGGGGAATGGCTCTGGAGTCAATGCAGGGGAATCGGGCCTCATCTCGAGTTGATTTGGGGCACATGGAGCTGCTTTGCGTTGCTGGGGTGACCTCAGGGTCCGTCTAGACTGGTGACAGTGTTCTTGGGGACTGTCTCGAGATCCATTAAGCAAGTCGAAGCTCCTGACTTGTTTGAATGGGATCACGGAATAGCTCTGCATGCACTGCAGGGGAATGGGGCCTCATCTCGCCTCTAGGGGGAAGTCTCATGGTTTTTCTCGAGTTGCGGCGGGGACCTGGGGTATGTTCTCGACTTACGGCGGGGATGGCCCTTCAAAACACGAGTTTCTTCAGTGACGTCAGGACTCCTGTCTAGTAACGAGGGACACCTCAGGAATCTCTTCGAGGCTTGGCAGGGCAAAAGGGACGCTTCTCGAGGTGAGGCAGGGCACCCAAGGACCCTTTCCAGTAGCCACAGGGATTTTGGGATTCCTATCAGTATTCAAGAGGAGTCAGGCATCGTCACCTTTTGAAGCAATGAACTCCGCGTGCCTCTCGAGGTGTCAGCGGGATGTGAGGCATTCCGTCAAAATGAGGCAGGGACCTAGGGCTTTCTCTAAGGTCTCCACAGGGGATTCAGACTTCCCTTCATGTTGTGAGATGAAAGACGAGCCTGTATTCAAGCCACTGCAAGGAAATCCGGCCTCCTTTCAAGTTAGGGCTTCTCGCTGTATATTCCCCTTGAGGCAGCAAACTCGGGGTCCCACCCACATACCTATTGCTGAGAGAAGCCTCCTCCTGAGGTGCTTCTGGGAAGTTGGCATACATCTTGAGCCTAAGCCAGGGAATCAGCTCGCATCTCGAGACGATTTGGGGTACACGGAGCATTCCTCGAGTTGCTGTGCTGAAGTTGGTGTTCCTCTAGACTTGGGACAGTGTTCTCGGGGCATCTCTGGAGTTGCCTGAAGGAAGTCGAGCCACCGGTCGTGTTGAATGGGGAACGGGGAATGGCTCTGGAGTCAATGCAGGGGAATCGGGCCTCATCTCGAGTTGATTTGGGGCACATGGAGCTGCTTTGCGTTGCTGGGGTGACCTCAGGGTCCGTCTAGACTGGTGACAGTGTTCTTGGGGACTGTCTCGAGATCCATTAAGCAAGTCGAAGCTCCTGACTTGTTTGAATGGGATCACGGAATAGCTCTGCATGCACTGCAGGGGAATGGGGCCTCATCTCGCCTCTAGGGGGAAGTCTCATGGTTTTTCTCGAGTTGCGGCGGGGACCTGGGGTATGTTCTCGACTTACGGCGGGGATGGCCCTTCAAAACACGAGTTTCTTCAGTGACGTCAGGACTCCTGTCTAGTAACGAGGGACACCTCAGGAATCTCTTCGAGGCTTGGCAGGGCCAAAGGGACGCTTCTCGAGGTGAGGCAGGGCACCCAAGGACCCTTTCCAGTAGCCACAGGGATTTTGGGATTCCTATCAGTATTCAAGAGGAGTCAGGCATCGTCACCTTTTGAAGCAATGAACTCCGCGTGCCTCTCGAGGTGTCAGCGGGATGTGAGGCATTCCGTCAAAATGAGGCAGGGACCTAGGGCTTTCTCTAAGGTCTCCTCAGGGGATTCAGACATCCCTTCATGTTGTGAAATGAAAGACGAGCCTGTATTCAAGCCACTGCAAGGAAATCCGGCCTCCTTTCAAGTTAGGGCTTCTCGCTGTATATTCCCCTTGAGGCAGCAAACTCGGGGTCCCTCCCACATACCTATTGCTGAGAGAAGCCTCCTCCTGAGGTGCTTCTGGGAAGTTGGCATACGTCTTGAGCCTAAGCCAGGGAATCAGCTCGCATCTCGAGACGATTTGGGGTACACGGAGCATTCCTCGAGTTGCTGTGCTGAAGTTGGTGTTCCTCTAGACTTGGGACAGTGTTCTCGGGGCATCTCTGGAGTTGCCTGAAGGAAGTCGAGCCACCGGTCGTGTTGAATGGGGAACGGAGAATGGCTCTGGAGTCAATGCAGGGGAATCGGGCCTCATCTCGAGTTGATTTGGGGCACATGGAGCTGCTTTGCGTTGCTGGGGTGACCTCAGGGTCCGTCTAGACTGGTGACAGTGTTCTTGGGGACTGTCTCGAGATCCATTAAGCAAGTCGAAGCTCCTGACTTGGTTGAATGGGATCACGGAATAGCTCTGCATGCACTGCAGGGGAATGGGGCCTCATCTCGCCTCTAGGGGGAAGTCTCATGGTTTTTCTCGAGTTGCGGCGGGGACCTGGGGTATGTTCTCGACTTACGGCGGGGATGGCCCTTCAAAACACGAGTTTCTTCAGTGACGTCAGGACTCCTGTCTAGTAACGAGGGACACCTCAGGAATCTCTTCGAGGCTTGGCAGGGCCAAAGGGACGCTTCTCGAGGTGAGGCAGGGCACCCAAGGACCCTTTCCAGTAGCCACAGGGATTTTGGGATTCCTATCAGTATTGAAGAGGAGTCAGGCATCGTCACCTTTTGAAGCAATGAACTCCGCGTGCCTCTCGAGGTGTCAGCGGGATGTGAGGCATTCCGTCAAAATGAGGCAGGGACCTAGGGCTTTCTCTAAGGTCTCCACAGGGGATTCAGACATCCCTTCATGTTGTGAGATGAAAGACGAGCCTGTATTCAAGCCACTGCAAGGAAATCCGGCCTCCTTTCAAGTTAGGGCTTCTCGCTGTATATTCCCCTTGAGGCAGCAAACTCGGGGTCCCTCCCACATACCTATTGCTGAGAGAAGCCTCCTCCTGAGGTGCTTCTGGGAAGTTGGCATACGTCTTGAGCCTAAGCCAGGGAATCAGCTCGCATCTCGAGACGATTTGGGGTACACGGAGCATTCCTCGAGTTGCTGTGCTGAAGGTGGTGTTCCTCTAGACTTGGGACAGTGTTCTTGGGGCATCTCTGGAGTTGCCTGAAGGAAGTCGAGCCACCGGTCGTGTTGAATGGGGAACGGGGAATGGCTCTGGAGTCAATGCAGGGGAATCGGGCCTCATCTCGAGTTGATTTGGGGCGCATGGAGCTGCTTTGCGTTGCTGGGGTGACCTCAGGGTCCGTCTAGACTGGTGACAGTGTTCTTGGGGACTGTCTCGAGATCCATTAAGCAAGTCGAAGCTCCTGACTTGGTTGAATGGGATCACGGAATAGCTCTGCATGCACTGCAGGGGAATGGGGCCTCATCTGGCCTCTAGGGGGAAGTCTCATGGTTTTTCTCGAGTTGCGGCGGGGACCTGGGGGTATGTTCTCGACTTACGGCGGGGATGGCCCTTCAAAACACGAGTTTCTTCAGTGACGTCAGGACTCCTGTCTAGTAACAAGGGACACCTCAGGAATCTCTTCGAGGCTTGGCAGGGCCAAAGGGACGCTTCTCGAGGTGAGGCAGGGCACCCAAGGACCCTTTCCAGTAGCCACAGGGATTTTGGGATTCCTATCAGTATTCAAGAGGAGTCAGGCATCGTCACCTTTTGAAGCAATGAACTCCGCGTGCCTCTCGAGGTGTCAGCGGGATGTGAGGCATTCCGTCAAAATGAGGCAGGGACCTAGGGCTTTCTCTAAGGTCTCCACAGGGGATTCAGACATCCCTTCATGTTGTGAGATGAAAGACGAGCCTGTATTCAAGCCACTGCAAGGAAATCCGGCCTCCTTTCAAGTTAGGGCTTCTCGCTGTATATTCCCCTTGAGGCAGCAAACTCGGGGTCCCTCCCACATACCTATTGCTGAGAGAAGCCTCCTCCTGAGGTGCTTCTGGGAAGTTGGCATACGTCTTGAGCCTAAGCCAGGGAATCAGCTCGCATCTCGAGACGATTTGGGGTACACGGAGCATTCCTCGAGTTGCTGTGCTGAAGGTGGTGTTCCTCTAGACTTGGGACAGTGTTCTCGGGGCATCTCTGGAGTTGCCTGAAGGAAGTCGAGCCACCGGTCGTGTTGAATGGGGAACGGGGAATGGCTCTGGAGTCAATGCAGGGGAATCGGGCCTCATCTCGAGTTGATTTGGGGCACATGGAGCTGCTTTGCGTTGCTGGGGTGACCTCAGGGTCCGTCTAGACTGGTGACAGTGTTCTTGGGGACTGTCTCGAGATCCATTAAGCAAGTCGAAGCTCCTGACTTGTTTGAATGGGATCACGGAATAGCTCTGCATGCACTGCAGGGGAATGGGGCCTCATCTCGCCTCTAGGGGGAAGTCTCATGGTTTTTCTCGAGTTGCGGCGGGGACCTGGGGTATGTTCTCGACTTACGGCGGGGATGGCCCTTCAAAACACGAGTTTCTTCAGTGACGTCAGGACTCCTGTCTAGTAACGAGGGACACCTCAGGAATCTCTTCGAGGCTTGGCAGGGCCAAAGGGACGCTTCTCGAGGTGAGGCAGGGCACCCAAGGACCCTTTCCAGTAGCCACAGGGATTTTGGGATTCCTATCAGTATTCAAGAGGAGTCAGGCATCGTCACCTTTTGAAGCAATGAACTCCGCGTGCCTCTCGAGGTGTCAGCGGGATGTGAGGCATTCCGTCAAAATGAGGCAGGGACCTAGGGCTTTCTCTAAGGTCTCCACAGGGGATTCAGACATCCCTTCATGTTGTGAGATGAAAGACGAGCCTGTATTCAAGCCACTGCAAGGAAATCCGGCCTCCTTTCAAGTTAGGGCTTCTCGCTGTATATTCCCCTTGAGGCAGCAAACTCGGGGTCCCTCCCACATACCTATTGCTGAGAGAAGCCTCCTCCTGAGGTGCTTCTGGGAAGTTGGCATACGTCTTGAGCCTAAGCCAGGGAATCAGCTCGCATCTCGAGACGATTTGGGGTACACGGAGCATTCCTCGAGTTGCTGTGCTGAAGTTGGTGTTCCTCTAGACTTGGGACAGTGTTCTCGGGGCATCTCTGGAGTTGCCTGAAGGAAGTCGAGCCACCGGTCGTGTTGAATGGGGAACGGGGAATGGCTCTGGAGTCAATGCAGGGGAATCGGGCCTCATCTCGAGTTGATTTGGGGCACATGGAGCTGCTTTGCGTTGCTGGGGTGACCTCAGGGTCCGTCTAGACTGGTGACAGTGTTCTTGGGGACTGTCTCGAGATCCATTAAGCAAGTCGAAGCTCCTGACTTGTTTGAATGGGATCACGGAATAGCTCTGCATGCACTGCAGGGGAATGGGGCCTCATCTCGCCTCTAGGGGGAAGTCTCATGGTTTTTCTCGAGTTGCGGCGGGGACCTGGGGTATGTTCTCGACTTACGGCGGGGATGGCCCTTCAAAACACGAGTTTCTTCAGTGACGTCAGGACTCCTGTCTAGTAACGAGGGACACCTCAGCAATCTCTTCGAGGCTTGGCAGGGCCAAAGGGACGCTTCTCGAGGTGAGGCAGGGCACCCAAGGACCCTTTCCAGTAGCCACAGGGATTTTGGGATTCCTATCAGTATTCAAGAGGAGTCAGACATCGTCACCTTTTGAAGCAATGAACTCCGCGTGCCTCTTGAGGTGTCAGCGGGATGTGAGGCATTCCGTCAAAATGAGGCAGGGACCTAGGGCTTTCTCTAAGGTCTCCACAGGGGATTCAGACATCCCTTCATGTTGTGAGATGAAAGACGAGCCTGTATTCAAGCCACTGCAAGGAAATCCGGCCTCCTTTCAAGTTAGGGCTTCTCGCTGTATATTCCCCTTGAGGCAGCAAACTCGGGGTCCCTCCCACATACCTATTGCTGAGAGAAGCCTCCTCCTGAGGTGCTTCTGGGAAGTTGGCATACGTCTTGAGCCTAAGCCAGGGAATCAGCTCGCATCTCGAGACGATTTGGGGTACACGGAGCATTCCTCGAGTTGCTGTGCTGAAGGTGGTGTTCCTCTAGACTTGGGACAGTGTTCTCGGGGCATCTCTGGAGTTGCCTGAAGGAAGTCGAGCCACCGGTCGTGTTGAATGGGGAACGGGGAATGGCTCTGGAGTCAATGCAGGGGAATCGGGCCTCATCTCGAGTTGATTTGGGGCACATGGAGCTGCTTTGCGTTGCTGGGGTGACCTCAGGGTCCGTCTAGCCTGGTGACAGTGTTCTTGGGGACTGTCTCGAGATCCATTAAGCAAGTCGAAGCTCCTGACTTGTTTGAATGGGATCACGGAATAGCTCTGCATGCACTGCAGGGGAATGGGGCCTCATCTCGCCTCTAGGGGGAAGTCTCATGGTTTTTCTCGAGTTGCGGCGGGGACCTGGGGTATGTTCTCGACTTACGGCGGGGATGGCCCTTCAAAACACGAGTTTCTTCAGTGACGTCAGGACTCCTGTCTAGTAACGAGGGACACCTCAGGAATCTCTTCGAGGCTTGGCAGGGCCAAAGGGACGCTTCTCGAGGTGAGGCAGGGCACCCAAGGACCCTTTCCAGTAGCCACAGGGATTTTGGGATTCCTATCAGTATTGAAGAGGAGTCAGGCATCGTCACCTTTTGAAGCAATGAACTCCGCGTGCCTCTCGAGGTGTCAGCGGGATGTGAGGCATTCCGTCAAAATGAGGCAGGGACCTAGGGCTTTCTCTAAGGTCTCCACAGGGGATTCAGACATCCATTCATGTTGTGAGATGAAAGACGAGCCTGTATTCAAGCCACTACAAGGAAATCCGGCCTCCTTTCAAGTTAGGGCTTCTCGCTGTATATTCCCCTTGAGGCAGCAAACTCGGGGTCCCTCCCACATACCTATTGCTGAGAGAAGCCTCCTCCTGAGGTGCTTCTGGGAAGTTGGCATACGTCTTGAGCCTAAGCCAGGGAATCAGCTCGCATCTCGAGACGATTTGGGGTACACGGAGCATTCCTCGAGTTGCTGTGCTGAAGTTGGTGTTCCTCTAGACTTGGGACAGTGTTCTCGGGGCATCTCTGGAGTTGCCTGAAGGAAGTCGAGCCACCGGTCGTGTTGAATGGGGAACGGGGAATGGCTCTGGAGTCAATGCAGGGGAATCGGGCCTCATCTCGAGTTGATTTGGGGCACATGGAGCTGCTTTGCGTTGCTGGGGTGACCTCAGGGTCCGTCTAGACTGGTGACAGTGTTCTTGGGGACTGTCTCGAGATCCATTAAGCAAGTCGAAGCTCCTGACTTGTTTGAATGGGATCACGGAATAGCTCTGCATGCACTGCAGGGGAATGGGGCCTCATCTCGCCTCTAGGGGGAAGTCTCATGGTTTTTCTCGAGTTGCGGCGGGGACCTGGGGTATGTTCTCGACTTACGGCAGGGATGGCCCTTCAAAACACGAGTTTCTTCAGTGACGTCAGGACTCCTGTCTAGTAACGAGGGACACCTCAGGAATCTCTTCGAGGCTTGGCAGGGCCAAAGGGACGCTTCTCGAGGTGAGGCAGGGCACCCAAGGACCCTTTCCAGTAGCCACAGGGATTTTGGGATTCCTATCAGTATTGAAGAGGAGTCAGGCATCGTCACCTTTTGAAGCAATGAACTCCGCGTGCCTCTCGAGGTGTCAGCGGGATGTGAGGCATTCCGTCAAAATGAGGCAGGGACCTAGGGCTTTCTCTAAGGTCTCCACAGGGGATTCAGACATCCCTTCATGTTGTGAGATGAAAGACGAGCCTGTATTCAAGCCACTGCAAGGAAATCCGGCCTCCTTTCAAGTTAGGGCTTCTCGCTGTATATTCCCCTTGAGGCAGCAAACTCGGGGTCCCTCCCACATACCTATTGCTGAGAGAAGCCTCCTCCTGAGGTGCTTCTGGGAAGTTGGCATACGTCTTGAGCCTAAGCCAGGGAATCAGCTCGCATCTCGACACGATTTGGGGTACACGGAGCATTCCTCGAGTTGCTGTGCTGAAGGTGGTGTTCCTCTAGACTTGGGACAGTGTTCTTGGGGCATCTCTGGAGTTGCCTGAAGGAAGTCGAGCCACCGGTCGTGTTGAATGGGGAACGGGGAATGGCTCTGGAGTCAATGCAGGGGAATCGGGCCTCATCTCGAGTTGATTTGGGGCGCATGGAGCTGCTTTGCGTTGCTGGGGTGACCTCAGGGTCCGTCTAGACTGGTGACAGTGTTCTTGGGGACTGTCTCGAGATCCATTAAGCAAGTCGAAGCTCCTGACTTGGTTGAATGGGATCACGGAATAGCTCTGCATGCACTGCAGGGGAATGGGGCCTCATCTCGCCTCTAGGGGGAAGTCTCATGGTTTTTCTCGAGTTGCGGCGGGGACCTGGGGTATGTTCTCGACTTACGGCGGGGATGGCCCTTCAAAACACGAGTTTCTTCAGTGACGTCAGGACTCCTGTCTAGTAACGAGGGACACCTCAGGAATCTCTTCGAGGCTTGGCAGGGCCAAAGGGACGCTTCTCGAGGTGAGGCAGGGCACCCAAGGACCCTTTCCAGTAGCCACAGGGATTTTGGGATTCCTATCAGTATTCAAGAGGAGTCAGGCATCGTCACCTTTTGAAGCAATGAACTCCGCGTGCCTCTCGAGGTGTCAGCGGGATGTGAGGCATTCCGTCAAAATGAGGCAGGGACCTAGGGCTTTCTCTAAGGTCTCCACAGGGGATTCAGACATCCCTTCATGTTGTGAGATGAAAGACGAGCCTGTATTCAAGCCACTGCAAGGAAATCCGGCCTCCTTTCAAGTTAGGGCTTCTCGCTGTATATTCCCCTTGAGGCAGCAAACTCGGGGTCCCTCCCACATACCTATTGCTGAGAGAAGCCTCCTCCTGAGGTGCTTCTGGGAAGTTGGCATACGTCTTGAGCCTAAGCCAGGGAATCAGCTCGCATCTCGAGACGATTTGGGGTACACGGAGCATTCCTCGAGTTGCTGTGCTGAAGGTGGTGTTCCTCTAGACTTGGGACAGTGTTCTCGGGGCATCTCTGGAGTTGCCTGAAGGAAGTCGAGCCACCGGTCGTGTTGAATGGGGAACGGGGAATGGCTCTGGAGTCAATGCAGGGGAATCGGGCCTCATCTCGAGTTGATTTGGGGCACATGGAGCTGCTTTGCGTTGCTGGGGTGACCTCAGGGTCCGTCTAGACTGGTGACAGTGTTCTTGGGGACTGTCTCGAGATCCATTAAGCAAGTCGAAGCTCCTGACTTGTTTGAATGGGATCACGGAATAGCTCTGCATGCACTGCAGGGGAATGGGGCCTCATCTCGCCTCTAGGGGGAAGTCTCATGGTTTTTCTCGAGTTGCGGCGGGGACCTGGGGTATGTTCTCGACTTACGGCGGGGATGGCCCTTCAAAACACGAGTTTCTTCAGTGACGTCAGGACTCCTGTCTAGTAACGAGGGACACCTCAGGAATCTCTTCGAGGCTTGGCAGGGCCAAAGGGACGCTTCTCGAGGTGAGGCAGGGCACCCAAGGACCCTTTCCAGTAGCCACAGGGATTTTGGGATTCCTATCAGTATTGAAGAGGAGTCAGGCATCGTCACCTTTTGAAGCAATGAACTCCGCGTGCCTCTCGAGGTGTCAGCGGGATGTGAGGCATTCCGTCAAAATGAGGCAGGGACCTAGGGCTTTCTCTAAGGTCTCCACAGGGGATTCAGACTTCCCTTCATGTTGTGAGATGAAAGACGAGCCTGTATTCAAGCCACTGCAAGGAAATCCGGCCTCCTTTCAAGTTAGGGCTTCTCGCTGTATATTCCCCTTGAGGCAGCAAACTCGGGGTCCCACCCACATACCTATTGCTGAGAGAAGCCTCCTCCTGAGGTGCTTCTGGGAAGTTGGCATACGTTTTGAGCCTAAGCCAGGGAATCAGCTCGCATCTCGAGACGATTTGGGGTACACGGAGCATTCCTCGAGTTGCTCTGCTGAAGGTGGTGTTCCTCTAGACTTGGGACAGTGTTCTCGGGGCATCTCTGGAGTTGCCTGAAGGAAGTCGAGCCACAGGTCGTGTTGAATGGGGAACGGGGAATGGCTCTGGAGTCAATGCAGGGGAATCGGGCCTCATCTCGAGTTGATTTGGGGCACATGGAGCTGCTTTGCGTTGCTGGGGTGACCTCAGGGTCCGTCTAGACTGGTGACAGTGTTCTTGGGGACTGTCTCGAGATCCATTAAGCAAGTCGAAGCTCCTGACTTGTTTGAATGGGATCACGGAATAGCTCTGCATGCACTGCAGGGGAATGGGGCCTCATCTCGCCTCTAGGGGGAAGTCTCATGGTTTTTCTCGAGTTGCGGCGGGGACCTGGGGTATGTTCTCGACTTACGGCGGGGATGGCCCTTCAAAACACGAGTTTCTTCAGTGACGTCAGGACTCCTGTCTAGTAACGAGGGACACCTCAGGAATCTCTTCGAGGCTTGGCAGGGCAAAAGGGACGCTTCTCGAGGTGAGGCAGGGCACCCAAGGACCCTTTCCAGTAGCCACAGGGATTTTGGGATTCCTATCAGTATTCAAGAGGAGTCAGGCATCGTCACCTTTTGAAGCAATGAACTCCGCGTGCCTCTCGAGGTGTCAGCGGGATGTGAGGCATTCCGTCAAAATGAGGCAGGGACCTAGGGCTTTCTCTAAGGTCTCCACAGGGGATTCAGACTTCCCTTCATGTTGTGAGATGAAAGACGAGCCTGTATTCAAGCCACTGCAAGGAAATCCGGCCTCCTTTCAAGTTAGGGCTTCTCGCTGTATATTCCCCTTGAGGCAGCAAACTCGGGGTCCCACCCACATACCTATTGCTGAGAGAAGCCTCCTCCTGAGGTGCTTCTGGGAAGTTGGCATACGTCTTGAGCCTAAGCCAGGGAATCAGCTCGCATCTCGAGACGATTTGGGGTACACGGAGCATTCCTCGAGTTGCTGTGCTGAAGTTGGTGTTCCTCTAGACTTGGGACAGTGTTCTCGGGGCATCTCTGGAGTTGCCTGAAGGAAGTCGAGCCACCGGTCGTGTTGAATGGGGAACGGGGAATGGCTCTGGAGTCAATGCAGGGGAATCGGGCCTCATCTCGAGTTGATTTGGGGCACATGGAGCTGCTTTGCGTTGCTGGGGTGACCTCAGGGTCCGTCTAGACTGGTGACAGTGTTCTTGGGGACTGTCTCGAGATCCATTAAGCAAGTCGAAGCTCCTGACTTGTTTGAATGGGATCACGGAATAGCTCTGCATGCACTGCAGGGGAATGGGGCCTCATCTCGCCTCTAGGGGGAAGTCTCATGGTTTTTCTCGAGTTGCGGCGGGGACCTGGGGTATGTTCTCGACTTACGGCGGGGATGGCCCTTCAAAACACGAGTTTCTTCAGTGACGTCAGGACTCCTGTCTAGTAACGAGGGACACCTCAGGAATCTCTTCGAGGCTTGGCAGGGCCAAAGGGACGCTTCTCGAGGTGAGGCAGGGCACCCAAGGACCCTTTCCAGTAGCCACAGGGATTTTGGGATTCCTATCAGTATTCAAGAGGAGTCAGGCATCGTCACCTTTTGAAGCAATGAACTCCGCGTGCCTCTCGAGGTGTCAGCGGGATGTGAGGCATTCCGTCAAAATGAGGCAGGGACCTAGGGCTTTCTCTAAGGTCTCCTCAGGGGATTCAGACATCCCTTCATGTTGTGAGATGAAAGACGAGCCTGTATTCAAGCCACTGCAAGGAAATCCGGCCTCCTTTCAAGTTAGGGCTTCTCGCTGTATATTCCCCTTGAGGCAGCAAACTCGGGGTCCCTCCCACATACCTATTGCTGAGAGAAGCCTCCTCCTGAGGTGCTTCTGGGAAGTTGGCATACGTCTTGAGCCTAAGCCAGGGAATCAGCTCGCATCTCGAGACGATTTGGGGTACACGGAGCATTCCTCGAGTTGCTGTGCTGAAGTTGGTGTTCCTCTAGACTTGGGACAGTGTTCTCGGGGCATCTCTGGAGTTGCCTGAAGGAAGTCGAGCCACCGGTCGTGTTGAATGGGGAACGGGGAATGGCTCTGGAGTCAATGCAGGGGAATCGGGCCTCATCTCGAGTTGATTTGGGGCACATGGAGCTGCTTTGCGTTGCTGGGGTGACCTCAGGGTCCGTCTAGACTGGTGACAGTGTTCTTGGGGACTGTCTCGAGATCCATTAAGCAAGTCGAAGCTCCTGACTTGGTTGAATGGGATCACGGAATAGCTCTGCATGCACTGCAGGGGAATGGGGCCTCATCTCGCCTCTAGGGGGAAGTCTCATGGTTTTTCTCGAGTTGCGGCGGGGACCTGGGGTATGTTCTCGACTTACGGCGGGGATGGCCCTTCAAAACACGAGTTTCTTCAGTGACGTCAGGACTCCTGTCTAGTAACGAGGGACACCTCAGGAATCTCTTCGAGGCTTGGCAGGGCCAAAGGGACGCTTCTCGAGGTGAGGCAGGGCACCCAAGGACCCTTTCCAGTAGCCACAGGGATTTTGGGATTCCTATCAGTATTGAAGAGGAGTCAGGCATCGTCACCTTTTGAAGCAATGAACTCCGCGTGCCTCTCGAGGTGTCAGCGGGATGTGAGGCATTCCGTCAAAATGAGGCAGGGACCTAGGGCTTTCTCTAAGGTCTCCACAGGGGATTCAGACATCCCTTCATGTTGTGAGATGAAAGACGAGCCTGTATTCAAGCCACTGCAAGGAAATCCGGCCTCCTTTCAAGTTAGGGCTTCTCGCTGTATATTCCCCTTGAGGCAGCAAACTCGGGGTCCCTCCCACATACCTATTGCTGAGAGAAGCCTCCTCCTGAGGTGCTTCTGGGAAGTTGGCATACGTCTTGAGCCTAAGCCAGGGAATCAGCTCGCATCTCGAGACGATTTGGGGTACACGGAGCATTCCTCGAGTTGCTGTGCTGAAGGTGGTGTTCCTCTAGACTTGGGACAGTGTTCTTGGGGCATCTCTGGAGTTGCCTGAAGGAAGTCGAGCCACCGGTCGTGTTGAATGGGGAACGGGGAATGGCTCTGGAGTCAATGCAGGGGAATCGGGCCTCATCTCGAGTTGATTTGGGGCGCATGGAGCTGCTTTGCGTTGCTGGGGTGACCTCAGGGTCCGTCTAGACTGGTGACAGTGTTCTTGGGGACTGTCTCGAGATCCATTAAGCAAGTCGAAGCTCCTGACTTGGTTGAATGGGATCACGGAATAGCTCTGCATGCACTGCAGGGGAATGGGGCCTCATCTGGCCTCTAGGGGGAAGTCTCATGGTTTTTCTCGAGTTGCGGCGGGGACCTGGGGGTATGTTCTCGACTTACGGCGGGGATGGCCCTTCAAAACACGAGTTTCTTCAGTGACGTCAGGACTCCTGTCTAGTAACAAGGGACACCTCAGGAATCTCTTCGAGGCTTGGCAGGGCCAAAGGGACGCTTCTCGAGGTGAGGCAGGGCACCCAAGGACCCTTTCCAGTAGCCACAGGGATTTTGGGATTCCTATCAGTATTCAAGAGGAGTCAGGCATCGTCACCTTTTGAAGCAATGAACTCCGCGTGCCTCTCGAGGTGTCAGCGGGATGTGAGGCATTCCGTCAAAATGAGGCAGGGACCTAGGGCTTTCTCTAAGGTCTCCACAGGGGATTCAGACATCCCTTCATGTTGTGAGATGAAAGACGAGCCTGTATTCAAGCCACTGCAAGGAAATCCGGCCTCCTTTCAAGTTAGGGCTTCTCGCTGTATATTCCCCTTGAGGCAGCAAACTCGGGGTCCCTCCCACATACCTATTGCTGAGAGAAGCCTCCTCCTGAGGTGCTTCTGGGAAGTTGGCATACGTCTTGAGCCTAAGCCAGGGAATCAGCTCGCATCTCGAGACGATTTGGGGTACACGGAGCATTCCTCGAGTTGCTGTGCTGAAGGTGGTGTTCCTCTAGACTTGGGACAGTGTTCTCGGGGCATCTCTGGAGTTGCCTGAAGGAAGTCGAGCCACCGGTCGTGTTGAATGGGGAACGGGGAATGGCTCTGGAGTCAATGCAGGGGAATCGGGCCTCATCTCGAGTTGATTTGGGGCACATGGAGCTGCTTTGCGTTGCTGGGGTGACCTCAGGGTCCGTCTAGACTGGTGACAGTGTTCTTGGGGACTGTCTCGAGATCCATTAAGCAAGTCGAAGCTCCTGACTTGTTTGAATGGGATCACGGAATAGCTCTGCATGCACTGCAGGGGAATGGGGCCTCATCTCGCCTCTAGGGGGAAGTCTCATGGTTTTTCTCGAGTTGCGGCGGGGACCTGGGGTATGTTCTCGACTTACGGCGGGGATGGCCCTTCAAAACACGAGTTTCTTCAGTGACGTCAGGACTCCTGTCTAGTAACGAGGGACACCTCAGCAATCTCTTCGAGGCTTGGCAGGGCCAAAGGGACGCTTCTCGAGGTGAGGCAGGGCACCCAAGGACCCTTTCCAGTAGCCACAGGGATTTTGGGATTCCTATCAGTATTCAAGAGGAGTCAGGCATCGTCACCTTTTGAAGCAATGAACTCCGCGTGCCTCTTGAGGTGTCAGCGGGATGTGAGGCATTCCGTCAAAATGAGGCAGGGACCTAGGGCTTTCTCTAAGGTCTCCACAGGGGATTCAGACATCCCTTCATGTTGTGAGATGAAAGACGAGCCTGTATTCAAGCCACTGCAAGGAAATCCGGCCTCCTTTCAAGTTAGGGCTTCTCGCTGTATATTCCCCTTGAGGCAGCAAACTCGGGGTCCCTCCCACATACCTATTGCTGAGAGAAGCCTCCTCCTGAGGTGCTTCTGGGAAGTTGGCATACGTCTTGAGCCTAAGCCAGGGAATCAGCTCGCATCTCGAGACGATTTGGGGTACACGGAGCATTCCTCGAGTTGCTGTGCTGAAGGTGGTGTTCCTCTAGACTTGGGACAGTGTTCTCGGGGCATCTCTGGAGTTGCCTGAAGGAAGTCGAGCCACCGGTCGTGTTGAATGGGGAACGGGGAATGGCTCTGGAGTCAATGCAGGGGAATCGGGCCTCATCTCGAGTTGATTTGGGGCACATGGAGCTGCTTTGCGTTGCTGGGGTGACCTCAGGGTCCGTCTAGCCTGGTGACAGTGTTCTTGGGGACTGTCTCGAGATCCATTAAGCAAGTCGAAGCTCCTGACTTGTTTGAATGGGATCACGGAATAGCTCTGCATGCACTGCAGGGGAATGGGGCCTCATCTCGCCTCTAGGGGGAAGTCTCATGGTTTTTCTCGAGTTGCGGCGGGGACCTGGGGTATGTTCTCGACTTACGGCGGGGATGGCCCTTCAAAACACGAGTTTCTTCAGTGACGTCAGGACTCCTGTCTAGTAACGAGGGACACCTCAGGAATCTCTTCGAGGCTTGGCAGGGCCAAAGGGACGCTTCTCGAGGTGAGGCAGGGCACCCAAGGACCCTTTCCAGTAGCCACAGGGATTTTGGGATTCCTATCAGTATTGAAGAGGAGTCAGGCATCGTCACCTTTTGAAGCAATGAACTCCGCGTGCCTCTCGAGGTGTCAGCGGGATGTGAGGCATTCCGTCAAAATGAGGCAGGGACCTAGGGCTTTCTCTAAGGTCTCCACAGGGGATTCAGACATCCATTCATGTTGTGAGATGAAAGACGAGCCTGTATTCAAGCCACTACAAGGAAATCCGGCCTCCTTTCAAGTTAGGGCTTCTCGCTGTATATTCCCCTTGAGGCAGCAAACTCGGGGTCCCTCCCACATACCTATTGCTGAGAGAAGCCTCCTCCTGAGGTGCTTCTGGGAAGTTGGCATACGTCTTGAGCCTAAGCCAGGGAATCAGCTCGCATCTCGAGACGATTTGGGGTACACGGAGCATTCCTCGAGTTGCTGTGCTGAAGTTGGTGTTCCTCTAGACTTGGGACAGTGTTCTCGGGGCATCTCTGGAGTTGCCTGAAGGAAGTCGAGCCACCGGTCGTGTTGAATGGGGAACGGGGAATGGCTCTGGAGTCAATGCAGGGGAATCGGGCCTCATCTCGAGTTGATTTGGGGCACATGGAGCTGCTTTGCGTTGCTGGGGTGACCTCAGGGTCCGTCTAGACTGGTGACAGTGTTCTTGGGGACTGTCTCGAGATCCATTAAGCAAGTCGAAGCTCCTGACTTGTTTGAATGGGATCACGGAATAGCTCTGCATGCACTGCAGGGGAATGGGGCCTCATCTCGCCTCTAGGGGGAAGTCTCATGGTTTTTCTCGAGTTGCGGCGGGGACCTGGGGTATGTTCTCGACTTACGGCAGGGATGGCCCTTCAAAACACGAGTTTCTTCAGTGACGTCAGGACTACTGTCTAGTAACGAGGGACACCTCAGGAATCTCTTCGAGGCTTGGCAGGGCCAAAGGGACGCTTCTCGAGGTGAGGCAGGGCACCCAAGGACCCTTTCCAGTAGCCACAGGGATTTTGGGATTCCTATCAGTATTGAAGAGGAGTCAGGCATCGTCACCTTTTGAAGCAATGAACTCCGCGTGCCTCTCGAGGTGTCAGCGGGATGTGAGGCATTCCGTCAAAATGAGGCAGGGACCTAGGGCTTTCTCTAAGGTCTCCACAGGGGATTCAGACATCCCTTCATGTTGTGAGATGAAAGACGAGCCTGTATTCAAGCCACTGCAAGGAAATCCGGCCTCCTTTCAAGTTAGGGCTTCTCGCTGTATATTCCCCTTGAGGCAGCAAACTCGGGGTCCCTCCCACATACCTATTGCTGAGAGAAGCCTCCTCCTGAGGTGCTTCTGGGAAGTTGGCATACGTCTTGAGCCTAAGCCAGGGAATCAGCTCGCATCTCGACACGATTTGGGGTACACGGAGCATTCCTCGAGTTGCTGTGCTGAAGGTGGTGTTCCTCTAGACTTGGGACAGTGTTCTCGGGGCATCTCTGGAGTTGCCTGAAGGAAGTCGAGCCACCGGTCGTGTTGAATGGGGAACGGGGAATGGCTCTGGAGTCAATGCAGGGGAATCGGGCCTCATCTCGAGTTGATTTGGGGCGCATGGAGCTGCTTTGCGTTGCTGGGGTGACCTCAGGGTCCGTCTAGACTGGTGACAGTGTTCTTGGGGACTGTCTCGAGATCCATTAAGCAAGTCGAAGCTCCTGACTTGGTTGAATGGGATCACGGAATAGCTCTGCATGCACTGCAGGGGAATGGGGCCTCATCTCGCCTCTAGGGGGAAGTCTCATGGTTTTTCTCGAGTTGCGGCGGGGACCTGGGGTATGTTCTCGACTTACGGCGGGGATGGCCCTTCAAAACACGAGTTTCTTCAGTGACGTCAGGACTCCTGTCTAGTAACGAGGGACACCTCAGGAATCTCTTCGAGGCTTGGCAGGGCCAAAGGGACGCTTCTCGAGGTGAGGCAGGGCACCCAAGGACCCTTTCCAGTAGCCACAGGGATTTTGGGATTCCTATCAGTATTCAAGAGGAGTCAGGCATCGTCACCTTTTGAAGCAATGAACTCCGCGTGCCTCTCGAGGTGTCAGCGGGATGTGAGGCATTCCGTCAAAATGAGGCAGGGACCTAGGGCTTTCTCTAAGGTCTCCACAGGGGATTCAGACATCCCTTCATGTTGTGAGATGAAAGACGAGCCTGTATTCAAGCCACTGCAAGGAAATCCGGCCTCCTTTCAAGTTAGGGCTTCTCGCTGTATATTCCCCTTGAGGCAGCAAACTCGGGGTCCCTCCCACATACCTATTGCTGAGAGAAGCCTCCTCCTGAGGTGCTTCTGGGAAGTTGGCATACGTCTTGAGCCTAAGCCAGGGAATCAGCTCGCATCTCGAGACGATTTGGGGTACACGGAGCATTCCTCGAGTTGCTGTGCTGAAGGTGGTGTTCCTCTAGACTTGGGACAGTGTTCTCGGGGCATCTCTGGAGTTGCCTGAAGGAAGTCGAGCCACCGGTCGTGTTGAATGGGGAACGGGGAATGGCTCTGGAGTCAATGCAGGGGAATCGGGCCTCATCTCGAGTTGATTTGGGGCACATGGAGCTGCTTTGCGTTGCTGGGGTGACCTCAGGGTCCGTCTAGACTGGTGACAGTGTTCTTGGGGACTGTCTCGAGATCCATTAAGCAAGTCGAAGCTCCTGACTTGTTTGAATGGGATCACGGAATAGCTCTGCATGCACTGCAGGGGAATGGGGCCTCATCTCGCCTCTAGGGGGAAGTCTCATGGTTTTTCTCGAGTTGCGGCGGGGACCTGGGGTATGTTCTCGACTTACGGCGGGGATGGCCCTTCAAAACACGAGTTTCTTCAGTGACGTCAGGACTCCTGTCTAGTAACGAGGGACACCTCAGGAATCTCTTCGAGGCTTGGCAGGGCCAAAGGGACGCTTCTCGAGGTGAGGCAGGGCACCCAAGGACCCTTTCCAGTAGCCACAGGGATTTTGGGATTCCTATCAGTATTGAAGAGGAGTCAGGCATTGTCACCTTTTGAAGCAATGAACTCCGCGTGTCTCTGGAGGTGTCAGCGGGATGTGAGGCATTCCGTCAAAATGAGGCAGGGACCTAGGGCTTTCTCTAAGGTCTCCACAGGGGATTCAGACATCCCTTCATGTTGTGAGATGAAAGACGAGCCTGTATTCAAGCCACTGCAAGGAAATCCGGCCTCCTTTCAAGTTAGGGCTTCTCGCTGTATATTCCCCTTGAGGCAGCAAACTCGGGGTCCCTCCCACATACCTATTGCTGAGAGAAGCCTCCTCCTGAGGTGCTTCTGGGAAGTTGGCATACGTCTTGAGCCTAAGCCAGGGAATCAGCTCGCATCTCGAGACGATTTGGGGTACACGGAGCATTCCTCGAGTTGCTGTGCTGAAGTTGGTGTTCCTCTAGACTTGGGACAGTGTTCTCGGGGCATCTCTGGAGTTGCCTGAAGGAAGTCGAGCCACCGGTTGTGTTGAATGGGGAACGGGGAATGGCTCTGGAGTCAATGCAGGGGAATCGGGCCTCATCTCGAGTTGATTTGGCGCACATGGAGCTGCTTTGCGTTGCTGGGGTGACCTCAGGGTCCGTCTAGACTGGTGACAGTGTTCTTGGGGACTGTCTCGAGATCCATTAAGCAAGTCGAAGCTCCTGACTTGTTTGAATGGGATCACGGAATAGCTCTGCATGCACTGCAGGGGAATGGGGCCTCATCTCGCCTCTAGGGGGAAGTCTCATGGTTTTTCTCGAGTTGCGGCGGGGACCTGGGGTATGTTCTCGACTTACGGCGGGGATGGCCCTTCAAAACACGAGTTTCTTCAGTGACGTCAGGACTCCTGTCTAGTAACGAGGGACACCTCAGCAATCTCTTCGAGGCTTGGCAGGGCCAAAGGGACGCTTCTCGAGGTGAGGCAGGGCACCCAAGGACCCTTTCCAGTAGCCACAGGGATTTTGGGATTCCTTTCAGTATTCAAGAGGAGTCAGGCATCGTCACCTTTTGAAGCAATGAACTCCGCGTGCCTCTCGAGGTGTCAGCGGGATGTGAGGCATTCCGTCAAAATGAGGCAGGGACCTAGGGCTTTCTCTAAGGTCTCCACAGGGGATTCAGACATCCCTTCATGTTGTGAGATGAAAGACGAGCCTGTATTCAAGCCACTGCAAGGAAATCCGGCCTCCTTTCAAGTTAGGGCTTCTCGCTGTATATTCCCCTTGAGGCAGCAAACTCGGGGTCCCTCCCACATACCTATTGCTGAGAGAAGCCTCCTCCTGAGGTGCTTCTGGGAAGTTGGCATACGTCTTGAGCCTAAGCCAGGGAATCAGCTCGCATCTCGACACGATTTGGGGTACACGGAGCATTCCTCGAGTTGCTGTGCTGAAGGTGGTGTTCCTCTAGACTTGGGACAGTGTTCTCGGGGCATCTCTGGAGTTGCCTGAAGGAAGTCGAGCCACCGGTCGTGTTGAATGGGGAACGGGGAATGGCTCTGGAGTCAATGCAGGGGAATCGGGCCTCATCTCGAGTTGATTTGGGGCACATGGAGCTGCTTTGCGTTGCTGGGGTGACCTCAGGGTCCGTCTAGCCTGGTGACAGTGTTCTTGGGGACTGTCTCGAGATCCATTAAGCAAGTCGAAGCTCCTGACTTGTTTGAATGGGATCACGGAATAGCTCTGCATGCACTGCAGGGGAATGGGGCCTCATCTCGCCTCTAGGGGGAAGTCTCATGGTTTTTCTCGAGTTGCGGCGGGGACCTGGGGTATGTTCTCGACTTACGGCGGGGATGGCCCTTCAAAACACGAGTTTCTTCAGTGACGTCAGGACTCCTGTCTAGTAACGAGGGACACCTCAGGAATCTCTTCGAGGCTTGGCAGGGCCAAAGGGACGCTTCTCGAGGTGAGGCAGGGCACCCAAGGACCCTTTCCAGTAGCCACAGGGATTTTGGGATTCCTATCAGTATTGAAGAGGAGTCAGGCATCGTCACCTTTTGAAGCAATGAACTCCGCGTGCCTCTCGAGGTGTCAGCGGGATGTGAGGCATTCCGTCAAAATGAGGCAGGGACCTAGGGCTTTCTCTAAGGTCTCCACAGGGGATTCAGACATCCATTCATGTTGTGAGATGAAAGACGAGCCTGTATTCAAGCCACTACAAGGAAATCCGGCCTCCTTTCAAGTTAGGGCTTCTCGCTGTATATTCCCCTTGAGGCAGCAAACTCGGGGTCCCTCCCACATACCTATTGCTGAGAGAAGCCTCCTCCTGAGGTGCTTCTGGGAAGTTGGCATACGTCTTGAGCCTAAGCCAGGGAATCAGCTCGCATCTCGAGACGATTTGGGGTACACGGAGCATTCCTCGAGTTGCTGTGCTGAAGTTGGTGTTCCTCTAGACTTGGGACAGTGTTCTCGGGGCATCTCTGGAGTTGCCTGAAGGAAGTCGAGCCACCGGTCGTGTTGAATGGGGAACGGGGAATGGCTCTGGAGTCAATGCAGGGGAATCGGGCCTCATCTCGAGTTGATTTGGGGCACATGGAGCTGCTTTGCGTTGCTGGGGTGACCTCAGGGTCCGTCTAGACTGGTGACAGTGTTCTTGGGGACTGTCTCGAGATCCATTAAGCAAGTCGAAGCTCCTGACTTGTTTGAATGGGATCACGGAATAGCTCTGCATGCACTGCAGGGGAATGGGGCCTCATCTCGCCTCTAGGGGGAAGTCTCATGGTTTTTCTCGAGTTGCGGCGGGGACCTGGGGTATGTTCTCGACTTACGGCAGGGATGGCCCTTCAAAACACGAGTTTCTTCAGTGACGTCAGGACTCCTGTCTAGTAACGAGGGACACCTCAGGAATCTCTTCGAGGCTTGGCAGGGCCAAAGGGACGCTTCTCGAGGTGAGGCAGGGCACCCAAGGACCCTTTCCAGTAGCCACAGGGATTTTGGGATTCCTATCAGTATTGAAGAGGAGTCAGGCATCGTCACCTTTTGAAGCAATGAACTCCGCGTGCCTCTCGAGGTGTCAGCGGGATGTGAGGCATTCCGTCAAAATGAGGCAGGGACCTAGGGCTTTCTCTAAGGTCTCCACAGGGGATTCAGACATCCCTTCATGTTGTGAGATGAAAGACGAGCCTGTATTCAAGCCACTGCAAGGAAATCCGGCCTCCTTTCAAGTTAGGGCTTCTCGCTGTATATTCCCCTTGAGGCAGCAAACTCGGGGTCCCTCCCACATACCTATTGCTGAGAGAAGCCTCCTCCTGAGGTGCTTCTGGGAAGTTGGCATACGTCTTGAGCCTAAGCCAGGGAATCAGCTCGCATCTCGAGACGATTTGGGGTACACGGAGCATTCCTCGAGTTGCTGTGCTGAAGGTGGTGTTCCTCTAGACTTGGGACAGTGTTCTCGGGGCATCTCTGGAGTTGCCTGAAGGAAGTCGAGCCACCGGTCGTGTTGAATGGGGAACGGGGAATGGCTCTGGAGTCAATGCAGGGGAATCGGGCCTCATCTCGAGTTGATTTGGGGCACATGGAGCTGCTTTGCGTTGCTGGGGTGACCTCAGGGTCCGTCTAGACTGGTGACAGTGTTCTTGGGGACTGTCTCGAGATCCATTAAGCAAGTCGAAGCTCCTGACTTGTTTGAATGGGATCACGGAATAGCTCTGCATGCACTGCAGGGGAATGGGGCCTCATCTGGCCTCTAGGGGGAAGTCTCATGGTTTTTCTCGAGTTGCGGCGGGGACCTGGGGTATGTTCTCGACTTACGGCGGGGATGGCCCTTCAAAACACGAGTTTCTTCAGTGACGTCAGGACTCCTGTCTAGTAACGAGGGACACCTCAGGAATCTCTTCGAGGCTTGGCAGGGCCAAAGGGACGCTTCTCGAGGTGAGGCAGGGCACCCAAGGACCCTTTCCAGTAGCCACAGGGATTTTGGGATTCCTATCAGTATTCAAGAGGAGTCAGGCATCGTCACCTTTTGAAGCAATGAACTCCGCGTGCCTCTCGAGGTGTCAGCGGGATGTGAGGCATTCCGTCAAAATGAGGCAGGGACCTAGGGCTTTCTCTAAGGTCTCCACAGGGGATTCAGACATCCCTTCATGTTGTGAGATGAAAGACGAGCCTGTATTCAAGCCACTGCAAGGAAATCCGGCCTCCTTTCAAGTTAGGGCTTCTCGCTGTATATTCCCCTTGAGGCAGCAAACTCGGGGTCCCTCCCACATACCTATTGCTGAGAGAAGCCTCCTCCTGAGGTGCTTCTGGGAAGTTGGCATACGTCTTGAGCCTAAGCCAGGGAATCAGCTCGCATCTCGAGACGATTTGGGGTACACGGAGCATTCCTCGAGTTGCTGTGCTGAAGGTGGTGTTCCTCTAGACTTGGGACAGTGTTCTCGGGGCATCTCTGGAGTTGCCTGAAGGAAGTCGAGCCACCGGTCGTGTTGAATGGGGAACGGGGAATGGCTCTGGAGTCAATGCAGGGGAATCGGGCCTCATCTCGAGTTGATTTGGGGCACATGGAGCTGCTTTGCGTTGCTGGGGTGACCTCAGGGTCCGTCTAGACTGGTGACAGTGTTCTTGGGGACTGTCTCGAGATCCATTAAGCAAGTCGAAGCTCCTGACTTGTTTGAATGGGATCACGGAATAGCTCTGCATGCACTGCAGGGGAATGGGGCCTCATCTCGCCTCTAGGGGGAAGTCTCATGGTTTTTCTCGAGTTGCGGCGGGGACCTGGGGTATGTTCTCGACTTACGGCGGGGATGGCCCTTCAAAACACGAGTTTCTTCAGTGACGTCAGGACTCCTGTCTAGTAACGAGGGACACCTCAGGAATCTCTTCGAGGCTTGGCAGGGCCAAAGGGACGCTTCTCGAGGTGAGGCAGGGCACCCAAGGACCCTTTCCAGTAGCCACAGGGATTTTGGGATTCCTATCAGTATTCAAGAGGAGTCAGGCATCGTCACCTTTTGAAGCAATGAACTCCGCGTGCCTCTCGAGGTGTCAGCGGGATGTGAGGCATTCCGTCAAAATGAGGCAGGGACCTAGGGCTTTCTCTAAGGTCTCCACAGGGGATTCAGACATCCCTTCATGTTGTGAGATGAAAGACGAGCCTGTATTCAAGCCACTGCAAGGAAATCCGGCCTCCTTTCAAGTTAGGGCTTCTCGCTGTATATTCCCCTTGAGGCAGCAAACTCGGGGTCCCTCCCACATACCTATTGCTGAGAGAAGCCTCCTCCTGAGGTGCTTCTGGGAAGTTGGCATACGTCTTGAGCCTAAGCCAGGGAATCAGCTCGCATCTCGAGACGATTTGGGGTACACGGAGCATTCCTCGAGTTGCTGTGCTGAAGTTGGTGTTCCTCTAGACTTGGGACAGTGTTCTCGGGGCATCTCTGGAGTTGCCTGAAGGAAGTCGAGCCACCGGTCGTGTTGAATGGGGAACGGGGAATGGCTCTGGAGTCAATGCAGGGGAATCGGGCCTCATCTCGAGTTGATTTGGGGCACATGGAGCTGCTTTGCGTTGCTGGGGTGACCTCAGGGTCCGTCTAGACTGGTGACAGTGTTCTTGGGGACTGTCTCGAGATCCATTAAGCAAGTCGAAGCTCCTGACTTGTTTGAATGGGATCACGGAATAGCTCTGCATGCACTGCAGGGGAATGGGGCCTCATCTCGCCTCTAGGGGGAAGTCTCATGGTTTTTCTCGAGTTGCGGCGGGGACCTGGGGTATGTTCTCGACTTACGGCGGGGATGGCCCTTCAAAACACGAGTTTCTTCAGTGACGTCAGGACTCCTGTCTAGTAACGAGGGACACCTCAGGAATCTCTTCGAGGCTTGGCAGGGCCAAAGGGACGCTTCTCGAGGTGAGGCAGGGCACCCAAGGACCCTTTCCAGTAGCCACAGGGATTTTGGGATTCCTATCAGTATTGAAGAGGAGTCAGGCATCGTCACCTTTTGAAGCAATGAACTCCGCGTGCCTCTCGAGGTGTCAGCGGGATGTGAGGCATTCCGTCAAAATGAGGCAGGGACCTAGGGCTTTCTCTAAGGTCTCCACAGGGGATTCAGACATCCCTTCATGTTGTGAGATGAAAGACGAGCCTGTATTCAAGCCACTGCAAGGAAATCCGGCCTCCTTTCAAGTTAGGGCTTCTCGCTGTATATTCCCCTTGAGGCAGCAAACTCGGGGTCCCTCCCACATACCTATTGCTGAGAGAAGCCTCCTCCTGAGGTGCTTCTGGGAAGTTGGCATACGTCTTGAGCCTAAGCCAGGGAATCAGCTCGCATCTCGAGACGATTTGGGGTACACGGAGCATTCCTCGAGTTGCTGTGCTGAAGGTGGTGTTCCTCTAGACTTGGGACAGTGTTCTCGGGGCATCTCTGGAGTTGCCTGAAGGAAGTCGAGCCACCGGTCGTGTTGAATGGGGAACGGGGAATGGCTCTGGAGTCAATGCAGGGGAATCGGGCCTCATCTCGAGTTGATTTGGGGCACATGGAGCTGCTTTGCGTTGCTGGGGTGACCTCAGGGTCCGTCTAGACTGGTGACAGTGTTCTTGGGGACTGTCTCGAGATCCATTAAGCAAGTCGAAGCTCCTGACTTGTTTGAATGGGATCACGGAATAGCTCTGCATGCACTGCAGGGGAATGGGGCCTCATCTCGCCTCTAGGGGGAAGTCTCATGGTTTTTCTCGAGTTGCGGCGGGGACCTGGGGTATGTTCTCGACTTACGGCGGGGATGGCCCTTCAAAACACGAGTTTCTTCAGTGACGTCAGGACTCCTGTCTAGTAACGAGGGACACCTCAGGAATCTCTTCGAGGCTTGGCAGGGCCAAAGGGACGCTTCTCGATGTGAGGCAGGGCACCCAAGGACCCTTTCCAGTAGCCACAGGGATTTTGGGATTCCTATCAGTATTCAAGAGGAGTCAGGCATCGTCACCTTTTGAAGCAATGAACTCCGCGTGCCTCTCGAGGTGTCAGCGGGATGTGAGGCATTCCGTCAAAATGAGGCAGGGACCTAGGGCTTTCTCTAAGGTCTCCACAGGGGATTCAGACATCCCTTCATGTTGTGAGATGAAAGACGAGCCTGTATTCAAGCCACTGCAAGGAAATCCGGCCTCCTTTCAAGTTAGGGCTTCTCGCTGTATATTCCCCTTGAGGCAGCAAACTCGGGGTCCCTCCCACATACCTATTGCTGAGAGAAGCCTCCTCCTGAGGTGCTTCTGGGAAGTTGGCATACGTCTTGAGCCTAAGCCAGGGAATCAGCTCGCATCTCGAGACGATTTGGGGTACACGGAGCATTCCTCGAGTTGCTGTGCTGAAGTTGGTGTTCCTCTAGACTTGGGAGAGTGTTCTCGGGGCATCTCTGGAGTTGCCTGAAGGAAGTCGAGCCACCGGTCATGTTGAATGGGGAACGGGGAATGGCTCTGGAGTCAATGCAGGGGAATCGGGCCTCATCTCGAGTTGATTTGGGGCACATGGAGCTGCTTTGCGTTGCTGGGGTGACCTCAGGGTCCGTCTAGACTGGTGACAGTGTTCTTGGGGACTGTCTCGAGATCCATTAAGCAAGTCGAAGCTCCTGACTTGTTTGAATGGGATCACGGAATAGCTCTGCATGCACTGCAGGGGAATGGGGCCTCATCTCGCCTCTAGGGGGAAGTCTCATGGTTTTTCTCGAGTTGCGGCGGGGACCTGGGGTATGTTCTCGACTTACGGCGGGGATGGCCCTTCAAAACACGAGTTTCTTCAGTGACGTCAGGACTCCTGTCTAGTAACGAGGGACACCTCAGGAATCTCTTCGAGGCTTGGCAGGGCCAAAGGGACGCTTCTCGAGGTGAGGCAGGGCACCCAAGGACCCTTTCCAGTAGCCACAGGGATTTTGGGATTCCTATCAGTATTCAAGAGGAGTCAGGCATCGTCACCTTTTGAAGCAATGAACTCCGCGTGCCTCTCGAGGTGTCAGCGGGATGTGAGGCATTCCGTCAAAATGAGGCAGGGACCTAGGGCTTTCTCTAAGGTCTCCACAGGGGATTCAGACATCCCTTCATGTTGTGAGATGAAAGACGAGCCTGTATTCAAGCCACTGCAAGGAAATCCGGCCTCCTTTCAAGTTAGGGCTTCTCGCTGTATATTCCCCTTGAGGCAGCAAACTCGGGGTCCCTCCCACATACCTATTGCTGAGAGAAGCCTCCTCCTGAGGTGCTTCTGGGAAGTTGGCATACGTCTTGAGCCTAAGCCAGGGAATCAGCTCGCATCTCGAGACGATTTGGGGTACACGGAGCATTCCTCGAGTTGCTGTGCTGAAGGTGGTGTTCCTCTAGACTTGGGACAGTGTTCTCGGGGCATCTCTGGAGTTGCCTGAAGGAAGTCGAGCCACCGGTCGTGTTGAATGGGGAACGGGGAATGGCTCTGGAGTCAATGCAGGGGAATCGGGCCTCATCTCGAGTTGATTTGGGGCACATGGAGCTGCTTTGCGTTGCTGGGGTGACCTCAGGGTCCGTCTAGACTGGTGACAGTGTTCTTGGGGACTGTCTCGAGATCCATTAAGCAAGTCGAAGCTCCTGACTTGTTTGAATGGGATCACGGAATAGCTCTGCATGCACTGCAGGGGAATGGGGCCTCATATGGCCTCTAGGGGGAAGTCTCATGGTTTTTCTCGAGTTGCGGCGGGGACCTGGGGTATGTTCTCGACTTACGGCGGGGATGGCCCTTCAAAACACGAGTTTCTTCAGTGACGTCAGGACTCCTGTCTAGTAACGAGGGACACCTCAGGAATCTCTTCGAGGCTTGGCAGGGCCAAAGGGACGCTTCTCGAGGTGAGGCAGGGCACCCAAGGACCCTTTCCAGTAGCCACAGGGATTTTGGGATTCCTATCAGTATTCAAGAGGAGTCAGGCATCGTCACCTTTTGAAGCAATGAACTCCGCGTGCCTCTCGAGGTGTCAGCGGGATGTGAGGCATTCCGTCAAAATGAGGCAGGGACCTAGGGCTTTCTCTAAGGTCTCCACAGGGGATTCAGACATCCCTTCATGTTGTGAGATGAAAGACGAGCCTGTATTCAAGCCACTGCAAGGAAATCCGGCCTCCTTTCAAGTTAGGGCTTCTCGCTGTATATTCCCCTTGAGGCAGCAAACTCGGGGTCCCTCCCACATACCTATTGCTGAGAGAAGCCTCCTCCTGAGGTGCTTCTGGGAAGTTGGCATACGTCTTGAGCCTAAGCCAGGGAATCAGCTCGCATCTCGAGACGATTTGGGGTACACGGAGCATTCCTCGAGTTGCTGTGCTGAAGGTGGTGTTCCTCTAGGCTTGGGACAGTGTTCTCGGGGCATCTCTGGAGTTGCCTGAAGGAAGTCGAGCCACCGGTCGTGTTGAATGGGGAACGGGGAATGGCTCTGGAGTCAATGCAGGGGAATCGGGCCTCATCTCGAGTTGATTTGGGGCACATGGAGCTGCTTTGCGTTGCTGGGGTGACCTCAGGGTCCGTCTAGACTGGTGACAGTGTTCTTGGGGACTGTCTCGAGATCCATTAAGCAAGTCGAAGCTCCTGACTTGTTTGAATGGGATCACGGAATAGCTCTGCATGCACTGCAGGGGAATGGGGCCTCATCTCGCCTCTAGGGGGAAGTCTCATGGTTTTTCTCGAGTTGCGGCGGGGACCTGGGGTATGTTCTCGACTTACGGCGGGGATGGCCCTTCAAAACACGAGTTTCTTCAGTGACGTCAGGACTCCTGTCTAGTAACGAGGGACACCTCAGGAATCTCTTCGAGGCTTGGCAGGGCCAAAGGGACGCTTCTCGAGGTGAGGCAGGGCACCCAAGGACCCTTTCCAGTAGCCACAGGGATTTTGGGATTCCTATCAGTATTCAAGAGGAGTCAGGCATCGTCACCTTTTGAAGCAATGAACTCCGCGTGCCTCTCGAGGTGTCAGCGGGATGTGAGGCATTCCGTCAAAATGAGGCAGGGACCTAGGGCTTTCTCTAAGGTCTCCTCAGGGGATTCAGACATCCCTTCATGTTGTGAGATGAAAGACGAGCCTGTATTCAAGCCACTGCAAGGAAATCCGGCCTCCTTTCAAGTTAGGGCTTCTCGCTGTATATTCCCCTTGAGGCAGCAAACTCGGGGTCCCTCCCACATACCTATTGCTGAGAGAAGCCTCCTCCTGAGGTGCTTCTGGGAAGTTGGCATACGTCTTGAGCCTAAGCCAGGGAATCAGCTCGCATCTCGAGACGATTTGGGGTACACGGAGCATTCCTCGAGTTGCTGTGCTGAAGGTGGTGTTCCTCTAGACTTGGGACAGTGTTCTCGGGGCATCTCTGGAGTTGCCTGAAGGAAGTCGAGCCACCGGTCGTGTTGAATGGGGAACGGGGAATGGCTCTGGAGTCAATGCAGGGGAATCGGGCCTCATCTCGAGTTGATTTGGGGCACATGGAGCTGCTTTGCGTTGCTGGGGTGACCTCAGGGTCCGTCTAGACTGGTGACAGTGTTCTTGGGGACTGTCTCGAGATCCATTAAGCAAGTCGAAGCTCCTGACTTGTTTGAATGGGATCACGGAATAGCTCTGCATGCACTGCAGGGGAATGGGGCCTCATCTGGCCTCTAGGGGGAAGTCTCATGGTTTTTCTCGAGTTGCGGCGGGGACCTGGGGTATGTTCTCGACTTACGGCGGGGATGGCCCTTCAAAACACGAGTTTCTTCAGTGACGTCAGGACTCCTGTCTAGTAACGAGGGACACCTCAGGAATCTCTTCGAGGCTTGGCAGGGCCAAAGGGACGCTTCTCGAGGTGAGGCAGGGCACCCAAGGACCCTTTCCAGTAGCCACAGGGATTTTGGGATTCCTATCAGTATTCAAGAGGAGTCAGGCATCGTCACCTTTTGAAGCAATGAACTCCGCGTGCCTCTCGAGGTGTCAGCGGGATGTGAGGCATTCCGTCAAAATGAGGCAGGGACCTAGGGCTTTCTCTAAGGTCTCCACAGGGGATTCAGACATCCCTTCATGTTGTGAGATGAAAGACGAGCCTGTATTCAAGCCACTGCAAGGAAATCCGGCCTCCTTTCAAGTTAGGGCTTCTCGCTGTATATTCCCCTTGAGGCAGCAAACTCGGGGTCCCTCCCACATACCTATTGCTGAGAGAAGCCTCCTCCTGAGGTGCTTCTGGGAAGTTGGCATACGTCTTGAGCCTAAGCCAGGGAATCAGCTCGCATCTCGAGACGATTTGGGGTACACGGAGCATTCCTCGAGTTGCTGTGCTGAAGGTGGTGTTCCTCTAGGCTTGGGACAGTGTTCTCGGGGCATCTCTGGAGTTGCCTGAAGGAAGTCGAGCCACCGGTCGTGTTGAATGGGGAACGGGGAATGGCTCTGGAGTCAATGCAGGGGAATCGGGCCTCATCTCGAGTTGATTTGGGGCACATGGAGCTGCTTTGCGTTGCTGGGGTGACCTCAGGGTCCGTCTAGACTGGTGACAGTGTTCTTGGGGACTGTCTCGAGATCCATTAAGCAAGTTGAAGCTCCTGACTTGTTTGAATGGGATCACGGAATAGCTCTGCATGCACTGCAGGGGAATGGGGCCTCATCTCGCCTCTAGGGGGAAGTCTCATGGTTTTTCTCGAGTTGCGGCGGGGACCTGGGGTATGTTCTCGACTTACGGCGGGGATGGCCCTTCAAAACACGAGTTTCTTCAGTGACGTCAGGACTCCTGTCTAGTAACGAGGGACACCTCAGGAATCTCTTCGAGGCTTGGCAGGGCCAAAGGGACGCTTCTCGAGGTGAGGCAGGGCACCTAAGGACCCTTTCCTGTAGCCACAGGGATTTTGGGATTCCTATCAGTATTCAAGAGGAGTCAGGCATCGTCACCTTTTGAAGCAATGAACTCCGCGTGCCTCTCGAGGTGTCAGCGGGATGTGAGGCATTCCGTCAAAATGAGGCAGGGACCTAGGGCTTTCTCTAAGGTCTCCTCAGGGGATTCAGACATCCCTTCATGTTGTGAGATGAAAGACGAGCCTGTATTCAAGCCACTGCAAGGAAATCCGGCCTCCTTTCAAGTTAGGGCTTCTCGCTGTATATTCCCCTTGAGGCAGCAAACTCGGGGTCCCTCCCACATACCTATTGCTGAGAGAAGCCTCCTCCTGAGGTGCTTCTGGGAAGTTGGCATACGTCTTGAGCCTAAGCCAGGGAATCAGCTCGCATCTCGAGACGATTTGGGGTACACGGAGCATTCCTCGAGTTGCTGTGCTGAAGTTGGTGTTCCTCTAGACTTGGGACAGTGTTCTCGGGGCATCTCTGGAGTTGCCTGAAGGAAGTCGAGCCACCGGTCGTGTTGAATGGGGAACGGGGAATGGCTCTGGAGTCAATGCAGGGGAATCGGGCCTCATCTCGAGTTGATTTGGGGCACATGGAGCTGCTTTGCGTTGCTGGGGTGACCTCAGGGTCCGTCTAGACTGGTGACAGTGTTCTTGGGGACTGTCTCGAGATCCATTAAGCAAGTCGAAGCTCCTGACTTGTTTGAATGGGATCACGGAATAGCTCTGCATGCACTGCAGGGGAATGGGGCCTCATCTCGCCTCTAGGGGGAAGTCTCATGGTTTTTCTCGAGTTGCGGCGGGGACCTGGGGTATGTTCTCGACTTACGGCGGGGATGGCCCTTCAAAACACGAGTTTCTTCAGTGACGTCAGGACTCCTGTCTAGTAACGAGGGACACCTCAGGAATCTCTTCGAGGCTTGGCAGGGCCAAAGGGACGCTTCTCGAGGTGAGGCAGGGCACCCAAGGACCCTTTCCAGTAGCCACAGGGATTTTGGGATTCCTATCAGTATTCAAGAGGAGTCAGGCATCGTCACCTTTTGAAGCAATGAACTCCGCGTGCCTCTCGAGGTGTCAGCGGGATGTGAGGCATTCCGTCAAAATGAGGCAGGGAACTAGGGCTTTCTCTAAGGTCTCCTCAGGGGATTCAGACATCCCTTCATGTTGTGAGATGAAAGACGAGCCTGTATTCAAGCCACTGCAAGGAAATCCGGCCTCCTTTCAAGTTAGGGCTTCTCGCTGTATATTCCCCTTGAGGCAGCAAACTCGGGGTCCCTCCCACATACCTATTGCTGAGAGAAGCCTCCTCCTGAGGTGCTTCTGGGAAGTTGGCATACGTCTTGAGCCTAAGCCAGGGAATCAGCTCGCATCTCGAGACGATTTGGGGTACACGGAGCATTCCTCGAGTTGCTGTGCTGAAGTTGGTGTTCCTCTAGACTTGGGACAGTGTTCTCGGGGCATCTCTGGAGTTGCCTGAAGGAAGTCGAGCCACCGGTCGTGTTGAATGGGGAACGGGGAATGGCTCTGGAGTCAATGCAGGGGAATCGGGCCTCATCTCGAGTTGATTTGGGGCACATGGAGCTGCTTTGCGTTGCTGGGGTGACCTCAGGGTCCGTCTAGACTGGTGACAGTGTTCTTGGGGACTGTCTCGAGATCCATTAAGCAAGTCGAAGCTCCTGACTTGTTTGAATGGGGTCACGGAATAGCTCTGCATGCACTGCAGGGGAATGGGGCCTCATCTCGCCTCTAGGGGGAAGTCTCATGGTTTTTCTCGAGTTGCGGCGGGGACCTGGGGTATGTTCTCGACTTACGGCGGGGATGGCCCTTCAAAACACGAGTTTCTTCAGTGACGTCAGGACTCCTGTCTAGTAACGAGGGACACCTCAGGAATCTCTTCGAGGCTTGGCAGGGCCAAAGGGACGCTTCTCGAGGTGAGGCAGGGCACCCAAGGACCCTTTCCAGTAGCCACAGGGATTTTGGGATTCCTATCAGTATTCAAGAGGAGTCAGGCATCGTCACCTTTTGAAGCAATGAACTCCGCGTGCCTCTCGAGGTGTCAGCGGGATGTGAGGCATTCCGTCAAAATGAGGCAGGGACCTAGGGCTTTCTCTAAGGTCTCCACAGGGGATTCAGACATCCCTTCATGTTGTGAGATGAAAGACGAGCCTGTATTCAAGCCACTGCAAGGAAATCCGGCCTCCTTTCAAGTTAGGGCTTCTCGCTGTATATTCCCCTTGAGGCAGCAAACTCGGGGTCCCTCCCACATACCTATTGCTGAGAGAAGCCTCCTCCTGAGGTGCTTCTGGGAAGTTGGCATACGTCTTGAGCCTAAGCCAGGGAATCAGCTCGCATCTCGAGACGATTTGGGGTACACGGAGCATTCCTCGAGTTGCTGTGCTGAAGGTGGTGTTCCTCTAGGCTTGGGACAGTGTTCTCGGGGCATCTCTGGAGTTGCCTGAAGGAAGTCGAGCCACCGGTCGTGTTGAATGGGGAACGGGGAATGGCTCTGGAGTCAATGCAGGGGAATCGGGCCTCATCTCGAGTTGATTTGGGGCACATGGAGCTGCTTTGCGTTGCTGGGGTGACCTCAGGGTCCGTCTAGACTGGTGACAGTGTTCTTGGGGACTGTCTCGAGATCCATTAAGCAAGTCGAAGCTCCTGACTTGTTTGAATGGGATCACGGAATAGCTCTGCATGCACTGCAGGGGAATGGGGCCTCATCTCGCCTCTAGGGGGAAGTCTCATGGTTTTTCTCGAGTTGCGGCGGGGACCTGGGGTATGTTCTCGACTTACGGCGGGGATGGCCCTTCAAAACACGAGTTTCTTCAGTGACGTCAGGACTCCTGTCTAGTAACGAGGGACACCTCAGGAATCTCTTCGAGGCTTGGCAGGGCCAAAGGGACGCTTCTCGAGGTGAGGCAGGGCACCCAAGGACCCTTTCCAGTAGCCACAGGGATTTTGGGATTCCTATCAGTATTCAAGAGGAGTCAGGCATCGTCACCTTTTGAAGCAATGAACTCCGCGTGCCTCTCGAGGTGTCAGCGGGATGTGAGGCATTCCGTCAAAATGAGGCAGGGACCTAGGGCTTTCTCTAAGGTCTCCTCAGGGGATTCAGACATCCCTTCATGTTGTGAGATGAAAGACGAGCCTGTATTCAAGCCACTGCAAGGAAATCCGGCCTCCTTTCAAGTTAGGGCTTCTCGCTGTATATTCCCCTTGAGGCAGCAAACTCGGGGTCCCTCCCACATACCTATTGCTGAGAGAAGCCTCCTCCTGAGGTGCTTCTGGGAAGTTGGCATACGTCTTGAGCCTAAGCCAGGGAATCAGCTCGCATCTCGAGACGATTTGGGGTACACGGAGCATTCCTCGAGTTGCTGTGCTGAAGGTGGTGTTCCTCTAGACTTGGGACAGTGTTCTCGGGGCATCTCTGGAGTTGCCTGAAGGAAGTCGAGCCACCGGTCGTGTTGAATGGGGAACGGGGAATGGCTCTGGAGTCAATGCAGGGGAATCGGGCCTCATCTCGAGTTGATTTGGGGCACATGGAGCTGCTTTGCGTTGCTGGGGTGACCTCAGGGTCCGTCTAGACTGGTGACAGTGTTCTTGGGGACTGTCTCGAGATCCATTAAGCAAGTCGAAGCTCCTGACTTGTTTGAATGGGATCACGGAATAGCTCTGCATGCACTGCAGGGGAATGGGGCCTCATCTCGCCTCTAGGGGGAAGTCTCATGGTTTTTCTCGAGTTGCGGCGGGGACCTGGGGTATGTTCTCGACTTACGGCGGGGATGGCCCTTCAAAACACGAGTTTCTTCAGTGACGTCAGGACTCCTGTCTAGTAACGAGGGACACCTCAGGAATCTCTTCGAGGCTTGGCAGGGCCAAAGGGACGCTTCTCGAGGTGAGGCAGGGCACCCAAGGACCCTTTCCTGTAGCCACAGGGATTTTGGGATTCCTATCAGTATTCAAGAGGAGTCAGGCATCGTCACCTTTTGAAGCAATGAACTCCGCGTGCCTCTCGAGGTGTCAGCGGGATGTGAGGCATTCCGTCAAAATGAGGCAGGGACCTAGGGCTTTCTCTAAGGTCTCCTCAGGGGATTCAGACATCCCTTCATGTTGTGAGATGAAAGACGAGCCTGTATTCAAGCCACTGCAAGGAAATCCGGCCTCCTTTCAAGTTAGGGCTTCTCGCTGTATATTCCCCTTGAGGCAGCAAACTCGGGGTCCCTCCCACATACCTATTGCTGAGAGAAGCCTCCTCCTGAGGTGCTTCTGGGAAGTTGGCATACGTCTTGAGCCTAAGCCAGGGAATCAGCTCGCATCTCGAGACGATTTGGGGTACACGGAGCATTCCTCGAGTTGCTGTGCTGAAGTTGGTGTTCCTCTAGACTTGGGACAGTGTTCTCGGGGCATCTCTGGAGTTGCCTGAAGGAAGTCGAGCCACCGGTCGTGTTGAATGGGGAACGGGGAATGGCTCTGGAGTCAATGCAGGGGAATCGGGCCTCATCTCGAGTTGATTTGGGGCACATGGAGCTGCTTTGCGTTGCTGGGGTGACCTCAGGGTCCGTCTAGACTGGTGACAGTGTTCTTGGGGACTGTCTCGAGATCCATTAAGCAAGTCGAAGCTCCTGACTTGTTTGAATGGGATCACGGAATAGCTCTGCATGCACTGCAGGGGAATGGGGCCTCATCTCGCCTCTAGGGGGAAGTCTCATGGTTTTTCTCGAGTTGCGGCGGGGACCTGGGGTATGTTCTCGACTTACGGCGGGGATGGCCCTTCAAAACACGAGTTTCTTCAGTGACGTCAGGACTCCTGTCTAGTAACGAGGGACACCTCAGGAATCTCTTCGAGGCTTGGCAGGGCCAAAGGGACGCTTCTCGAGGTGAGGCAGGGCACCCAAGGACCCTTTCCAGTAGCCACAGGGATTTTGGGATTCCTATCAGTATTCAAGAGGAGTCAGGCATCGTCACCTTTTGAAGCAATGAACTCCGCGTGCCTCTCGAGGTGTCAGCGGGATGTGAGGCATTCCGTCAAAATGAGGCAGGGAACTAGGGCTTTCTCTAAGGTCTCCTCAGGGGATTCAGACATCCCTTCATGTTGTGAGATGAAAGACGAGCCTGTATTCAAGCCACTGCAAGGAAATCCGGCCTCCTTTCAAGTTAGGGCTTCTCGCTGTATATTCCCCTTGAGGCAGCAAACTCGGGGTCCCTCCCACATACCTATTGCTGAGAGAAGCCTCCTCCTGAGGTGCTTCTGGGAAGTTGGCATACGTCTTGAGCCTAAGCCAGGGAATCAGCTCGCATCTCGAGACGATTTGGGGTACACGGAGCATTCCTCGAGTTGCTGTGCTGAAGTTGGTGTTCCTCTAGACTTGGGACAGTGTTCTCGGGGCATCTCTGGAGTTGCCTGAAGGAAGTCGAGCCACCGGTCGTGTTGAATGGGGAACGGGGAATGGCTCTGGAGTCAATGCAGGGGAATCGGGCCTCATCTCGAGTTGATTTGGGGCACATGGAGCTGCTTTGCGTTGCTGGGGTGACCTCAGGGTCCGTCTAGACTGGTGACAGTGTTCTTGGGGACTGTCTCGAGATCCATTAAGCAAGTCGAAGCTCCTGACTTGTTTGAATGGGGTCACGGAATAGCTCTGCATGCACTGCAGGGGAATGGGGCCTCATCTCGCCTCTAGGGGGAAGTCTCATGGTTTTTCTCGAGTTGCGGCGGGGACCTGGGGTATGTTCTCGACTTACGGCGGGGATGGCCCTTCAAAACACGAGTTTCTTCAGTGACGTCAGGACTCCTGTCTAGTAACGAGGGACACCTCAGGAATCACTTCGAGGCTTGGCAGGGCAAAAGGGACGCTTCCCGATGTGAGGCAGGGCACCCAAGGACCCTTTCCAGTAGCCACAGGGATTTTGGGATTCCTATCAATATTCAAGAGGAGTCAGGCATCGTCACCTTTTGAAGCAATGAACTCCGCGTGCCTCTCGAGGTGTCAGCGGGATGTGAGGCATTCCGTCAAAATGAGGCAGGGACCTAGGGCTTTCTCTAAGGTCTCCACAGGGGATTCAGACATCCCTTCATGTTGTGAGATGAAAGACGAGCCTGTATTCAAGCCACTGCAAGGAAATCCGGCCTCCTTTCAAGTTAGGGCTTCTCGCTGTATATTCCCCTTGAGGCAGCAAACTCGGGGTCCCTCCCACATACCTATTGCTGAGAGAAGCCTCCTCCTGAGGTGCTTCTGGGAAGTTGGCATACGTCTTGAGCCTAAGCCAGGGAATCAGCTCGCATCTCGAGACGATTTGGGGTACACGGAGCATTCCTCGAGTTGCTGTGCTGAAGGTGGTGTTCCTCTAGACTTGGGACAGTGTTCTCGGGGCATCTCTGGAGTTGCCTGAAGGAAGTCGAGCCACCGGTCGTGTTGAATGGGGAACGGGGAATGGCTCTGGAGTCAATGCAGGGGAATCGGGCCTCATCTCGAGTTGATTTGGGGCACATGGAGCTGCTTTGCGTTGCTGGGGTGACCTCAGGGTCCGTCTAGACTGGTGACAGTGTTCTTGGGGACTGTCTCGAGATCCATTAAGCAAGTCGAAGCTCCTGACTTGTTTGAATGGGATCACGGAATAGCTCTGCATGCACTGCAGGGGAATGGGGCCTCATCTCGCCTCTAGGGGGAAGTCTCATGGTTTTTCTCGAGTTGCGGCGGGGACCTGGGGTATGTTCTCGACTTACGGCGGGGATGGCCCTTCAAAACACGAGTTTCTTCAGTGACGTCAGGACTCCTGTCTAGTAACGAGGGACACCTCAGGAATCTCTTCGAGGCTTGGCAGGGCCAAAGGGACGCTTCTCGAGGTGAGGCAGGGCACCCAAGGACCCTTTCCAGTAGCCACAGGGATTTTGGGATTCCTATCAGTATTCAAGAGGAGTCAGGCATCGTCACCTTTTGAAGCAATGAACTCCGCGTGCCTCTCGAGGTGTCAGCGGGATGTGAGGCATTCCGTCAAAATGAGGCAGGGACCTAGGGCTTTCTCTAAGGTCTCCTCAGGGGATTCAGACATCCCTTCATGTTGTGAGATGAAAGACGAGCCTGTATTCAAGCCACTGCAAGGAAATCCGGCCTCCTTTCAAGTTAGGGCTTCTCGCTGTATATTCCCCTTGAGGCAGCAAACTCGGGGTCCCTCCCACATACCTATTGCTGAGAGAAGCCTCCTCCTGAGGTGCTTCTGGGAAGTTGGCATACGTCTTGAGCCTAAGCCAGGGAATCAGCTCGCATCTCGAGACGATTTGGGGTACACGGAGCATTCCTCGAGTTGCTGTGCTGAAGGTGGTGTTCCTCTAGACTTGGGACAGTGTTCTCGGGGCATCTCTGGAGTTGCCTGAAGGAAGTCGAGCCACCGGTCGTGTTGAATGGGGAACGGGGAATGGCTCTGGAGTCAATGCAGGGGAATCGGGCCTCATCTCGAGTTGATTTGGGGCACATGGAGCTGCTTTGCGTTGCTGGGGTGACCTCAGGGTCCGTCTAGACTGGTGACAGTGTTCTTGGGGACTGTCTCGAGATCCATTAAGCAAGTCGAAGCTCCTGACTTGTTTGAATGGGATCACGGAATAGCTCTGCATGCACTGCAGGGGAATGGGGCCTCATCTCGCCTCTAGGGGGAAGTCTCATGGTTTTTCTCGAGTTGCGGCGGGGACCTGGGGTATGTTCTCGACTTACGGCGGGGATGGCCCTTCAAAACACGAGTTTCTTCAGTGACGTCAGGACTCCTGTCTAGTAACGAGGGACACCTCAGGAATCTCTTCGAGGCTTGGCAGGGCCAAAGGGACGCTTCTCGAGGTGAGGCAGGGCACCCAAGGACCCTTTCCAGTAGCCACAGGGATTTTGGGATTCCTATCAGTATTCAAGAGGAGTCAGGCATCGTCACCTTTTGAAGCAATGAACTCCGCGTGCCTCTCGAGGTGTCAGCGGGATGTGAGGCATTCCGTCAAAATGAGGCAGGGACCTAGGGCTTTCTCTAAGGTCTCCACAGGGGATTCAGACATCCCTTCATGTTGTGAGATGAAAGACGAGCCTGTATTCAAGCCACTGCAAGGAAATCCGGCCTCCTTTCAAGTTAGGGCTTCTCGCTGTATATTCCCCTTGAGGCAGCAAACTCGGGGTCCCTCCCACATACCTATTGCTGAGAGAAGCCTCCTCCTGAGGTGCTTCTGGGAAGTTGGCATACGTCTTGAGCCTAAGCCAGGGAATCAGCTCGCATCTCGAGACGATTTGGGGTACACGGAGCATTCCTCGAGTTGCTGTGCTGAAGTTGGTGTTCCTCTAGACTTGGGACAGTGTTCTCGGGGCATCTCTGGAGTTGCCTGAAGGAAGTCGAGCCACCGGTCGTGTTGAATGGGAACGGGGAATGGCTCTGGAGTCAATGCAGGGGAATCGGGCCTCATCTCGAGTTGATTTGGGGCACATGGAGCTGCTTTGCGTTGCTGGGGTGACCTCAGGGTCCGTCTAGACTGGTGACAGTGTTCTTGGGGACTGTCTCGAGATCCATTAAGCAAGTCGAAGCTCCTGACTTGTTTGAATGGGATCACGGAATAGCTCTGCATACACTGCAGGGGAATGGGGCCTCATCTCGCCTCTAGGGGGAATTCTCATGGTTTTTCTCGAGTTGCGGCGGGGACCTGGGGTATGTTCTCGACTTACGGCGGGGATGGCCCTTCAAAACACGAGTTTCTTCAGTGACGTCAGGACTCCTGTCTAGTAACGAGGGACACCTCAGGAATCTCTTCGAGGCTTGGCAGGGCCAAAGGGACGCTTCTCGAGGTGAGGCAGGGCACCCAAGGACCCTTTCCAGTAGCCACAGGGATTTTGGGATTCCTATCAGTATTCAAGAGGAGTCAGGCATCGTCACCTTTTGAAGCAATGAACTCCGCGTGCCTCTCGAGGTGTCAGCGGGATGTGAGGCATTCCGTCAAAATGAGGCAGGGACCTAGGGCTTTCTCTAAGGTCTCCACAGGGGATTCAGACTTCCCTTCATGTTGTGAGATGAAAGACGAGCCTGTATTCAAGCCACTGCAAGGAAATCCGGCCTCCTTTCAAGTTAGGGCTTCTCGCTGTATATTCCCCTTGAGGCAGCAAACTCGGGGTCCCACCCACATACCTATTGCTGAGAGAAGCCTCCTCCTGAGGTGCTTCTGGGAAGTTGGCATACGTCTTGAGCCTAAGCCAGGGAATCAGCTCGCATCTCGAGACGATTTGGGGTACACGGAGCATTCCTCGAGTTGCTGTGCTGAAGGTGGTGTTCCTCTAGACTTGGGACAGTGTTCTCGGGGCATCTCTGGAGTTGCCTGAAGGAAGTCGAGCCACCGGTCGTGTTGAATGGGGAACGGGGAATGGCTCTGGAGTCAATGCAGGGGAATCGGGCCTCATCTCGAGTTGATTTGGGGCACATGGAGCTGCTTTGCGTTGCTGGGGTGACCTCAGGGTCCGTCTAGACTGGTGACAGTGTTCTTGGGGACTGTCTCGAGATCCATTAAGCAAGTCGAAGCTCCTGACTTGTTTGAATGGGATCACGGAATAGCTCTGCATGCACTGCAGGGGAATGGGGCCTCATCTCGCCTCTAGGGGGAAGTCTCATGGTTTTTCTCGAGTTGCGGCGGGGACCTGGGGTATGTTCTCGACTTACGGCGGGGATGGCCCTTCAAAACACGAGTTTCTTCAGTGACGTCAGGACTCCTGTCTAGTAACGAGGGACACCTCAGGAATCTCTTCGAGGCTTGGCAGGGCCAAAGGGACGCTTCTCGAGGTGAGGCAGGGCACCCAAGGACCCTTTCCAGTAGCCACAGGGATTTTGGGATTCCTATCAGTATTCAAGAGGAGTCAGGCATCGTCACCTTTTGAAGCAATGAACTCCGCGTGCCTCTCGAGGTGTCAGCGGGATGTGAGGCATTCCGTCAAAATGAGGCAGGGACCTAGGGCTTTCTCTAAGGTCTCCACAGGGGATTCAGACATCCCTTCATGTTGTGAGATGAAAGACGAGCCTGTATTCAAGCCACTGCAAGGAAATCCGGCCTCCTTTCAAGTTAGGGCTTCTCGCTGTATATTCCCCTTGAGGCAGCAAACTCGGGGTCCCTCCCACATACCTATTGCTGAGAGAAGCCTCCTCCTGAGGTGCTTCTGGGAAGTTGGCATACGTCTTGAGCCTAAGCCAGGGAATCAGCTCGCATCTCGAGACGATTTGGGGTACACGGAGCATTCCTCGAGTTGCTGTGCTGAAGGTGGTGTTCCTCTAGACTTGGGACAGTGTTCTCGGGGCATCTCTGGAGTTGCCTGAAGGAAGTCGAGCCACCGGTCGTGTTGAATGGGGAACGGGGAATGGCTCTGGAGTCAATGCAGGGGAATCGGGCCTCATCTCGAGTTGATTTGGGGCACATGGAGCTGCTTTGCGTTGCTGGGGTGACCTCAGGGTCCGTCTAGACTGGTGACAGTGTTCTTGGGGACTGTCTCGAGATCCATTAAGCAAGTCGAAGCTCCTGACTTGGTTGAATGGGATCACGGAATAGCTCTGCATGCACTGCAGGGGAATGGGGCCTCATCTCGCCTCTAGGGGGAAGTCTCATGGTTTTTCTCGAGTTGCGGCGGGGACCTGGGGTATGTTCTCGACTTACGGCGGGGATGGCCCTTCAAAACACGAGTTTCTTCAGTGACGTCAGGACTCCTGTCTAGTAACGAGGGACACCTCAGCAATCTCTTCGAGGCTAGGCAGGGCCAAAGGGACGCTTCTCGAGGTGAGGCAGGGCACCCAAGGACCCTTTCCAGTAGCCACAGGGATTTTGGGATTCCTATCAGTATTCAAGAGGAGTCAGGCATCGTCACCTTTTGAAGCAATGAACTCCGCGTGCCTCTCGAGGTGTCAGCGGGATGTGAGGCATTCCGTCAAAATGAGGCAGGAACCTAGGGCTTTCTCTAAGGTCTCCACAGGGGATTCAGACATCCCTTCATGTTGTGAGATGAAAGACGAGCCTGTATTCAAGCCACTGCAAGGAAATCCGGCCTCCTTTCAAGTTAGGGCTTCTCGCTGTATATTCCCCTTGAGGCAGCAAACTCGGGGTCCCTCCCACATACCTATTGCTGAGAGAAGCCTCCTCCTGAGGTGCTTCTGGGAAGTTGGCATACGTCTTGAGCCTAAGCCAGGGAATCAGCTCGCATCTCGAGACGATTTGGGGTACACGGAGCATTCCTCGAGTTGCTGTGCTGAAGTTGGTGTTCCTCTAGACTTGGGACAGTGTTCTCGGGGCATCTCTGGAGTTGCCTGAAGGAAGTCGAGCCACCGGTCGTGTTGAATGGGAACGGGGAATGGCTCTGGAGTCAATGCAGGGGAATCGGGCCTCATCTCGAGTTGATTTGGGGCACATGGAGCTGCTTTGCGTTGCTGGGGTGACCTCAGGGTCCGTCTAGACTGGTGACAGTGTTCTTGGGGACTGTCTCGAGATCCATTAAGCAAGTCGAAGCTCCTGACTTGTTTGAATGGGATCACGGAATAGCTCTGCATACACTGCAGGGGAATGGGGCCTCATCTCGCCTCTAGGGGGAATTCTCATGGTTTTTCTCGAGTTGCGGCGGGGACCTGGGGTATGTTCTCTACTTACGGCGGGGATGGCCCTTCAAAACACGAGTTTCTTCAGTGACGTCAGGACTCCTGTCTAGTAACGAGGGACACCTCAGGAATCTCTTCGAGGCTTGGCAGGGCCAAAGGGACGCTTCTCGAGGTGAGGCAGGGCACCCAAGGACCCTTTCCAGTAGCCACAGGGATTTTGGGATTCCTATCAGTATTCAAGAGGAGTCAGGCATCGTCACCTTTTGAAGCAATGAACTCCGCGTGCCTCTCGAGGTGTCAGCGGGATGTGAGGCATTCCGTCAAAATGAGGCAGGGACCTAGGGCTTTCTCTAAGGTCTCCACAGGGGATTCAGACTTCCCTTCATGTTGTGAGATGAAAGACGAGCCTGTATTCAAGCCACTGCAAGGAAATCCGGCCTCCTTTCAAGTTAGGGCTTCTCGCTGTATATTCCCCTTGAGGCAGCAAACTCGGGGTCCCACCCACATACCTATTGCTGAGAGAAGCCTCCTCCTGAGGTGCTTCTGGGAAGTTGGCATACGTTTTGAGCCTAAGCCAGGGAATCAGCTCGCATCTCGAGACGATTTGGGGTACACGGAGCATTCCTCGAGTTGCTGTGCTGAAGGTGGTGTTCCTCTAGACTTGGGACAGTGTTCTCGGGGCATCTCTGGAGTTGCCTGAAGGAAGTCGAGCCACCGGTCGTGTTGAATGGGGAACGGGGAATGGCTCTGGAGTCAATGCAGGGGAATCGGGCCTCATCTCGAGTTGATTTGGGGCACATGGAGCTGCTTTGCGTTGCTGGGGTGACCTCAGGGTCCGTCTAGACTGGTGACAGTGTTCTTGGGGACTGTCTCGAGATCCATTAAGCAAGTCGAAGCTCCTGACTTGTTTGAATGGGATCACGGAATAGCTCTGCATGCACTGCAGGGGAATGGGGCCTCATCTCGCCTCTAGGGGGAAGTCTCATGGTTTTTCTCGAGTTGCGGCGGGGACCTGGGGTATGTTCTCGACTTACGGCGGGGATGGCCCTTCAAAACACGAGTTTCTTCAGTGACGTCAGGACTCCTGTCTAGTAACGAGGGACACCTCAGGAATCTCTTCGAGGCTTGGCAGGGCAAAAGGGACGCTTCTCGAGGTGAGGCAGGGCACCCAAGGACCCTTTCCAGTAGCCACAGGGATTTTGGGATTCCTATCAGTATTCAAGAGGAGTCAGGCATCGTCACCTTTTGAAGCAATGAACTCCGCGTGCCTCTCGAGGTGTCAGCGGGATGTGAGGCATTCCGTCAAAATGAGGCAGGGACCTAGGGCTTTCTCTAAGGTCTCCACAGGGGATTCAGACTTCCCTTCATGTTGTGAGATGAAAGACGAGCCTGTATTCAAGCCACTGCAAGGAAATCCGGCCTCCTTTCAAGTTAGGGCTTCTCGCTGTATATTCCCCTTGAGGCAGCAAACTCGGGGTCCCACCCACATACCTATTGCTGAGAGAAGCCTCCTCCTGAGGTGCTTCTGGGAAGTTGGCATACGTCTTGAGCCTAAGCCAGGGAATCAGCTCGCATCTCGAGACGATTTGGGGTACACGGAGCATTCCTCGAGTTGCTGTGCTGAAGTTGGTGTTCCTCTAGACTTGGGACAGTGTTCTCGGGGCATCTCTGGAGTTGCCTGAAGGAAGTCGAGCCACCGGTCGTGTTGAATGGGGAACGGGGAATGGCTCTGGAGTCAATGCAGGGGAATCGGGCCTCATCTCGAGTTGATTTGGGGCACATGGAGCTGCTTTGCGTTGCTGGGGTGACCTCAGGGTCCGTCTAGACTGGTGACAGTGTTCTTGGGGACTGTCTCGAGATCCATTAAGCAAGTCGAAGCTCCTGACTTGTTTGAATGGGATCACGGAATAGCTCTGCATGCACTGCAGGGGAATGGGGCCTCATCTCGCCTCTAGGGGGAAGTCTCATGGTTTTTCTCGAGTTGCGGCGGGGACCTGGGGTATGTTCTCGACTTACGGCGGGGATGGCCCTTCAAAACACGAGTTTCTTCAGTGACGTCAGGACTCCTGTCTAGTAACGAGGGACACCTCAGGAATCTCTTCGAGGCTTGGCAGGGCCAAAGGGACGCTTCTCGAGGTGAGGCAGGGCACCCAAGGACCCTTTCCAGTAGCCACAGGGATTTTGGGATTCCTATCAGTATTCAAGAGGAGTCAGGCATCGTCACCTTTTGAAGCAATGAACTCCGCGTGCCTCTCGAGGCGTCAGCGGGATGTGAGGCATTCCGTCAAAATGAGGCAGGGACCTAGGGCTTTCTCTAAGGTCTCCTCAGGGGATTCAGACATCCCTTCATGTTGTGAGATGAAAGACGAGCCTGTATTCAAGCCACTGCAAGGAAATCCGGTCCTCCTTTCAAATTAGGGCTTCTCGCTGTATATTCCCCTTGAGGCAGCAAACTCGGGGTCCCTCCCACATACCTATTGCTGAGAGAAGCCTCCTCCTGAGGTGCTTCTGGGAAGTTGGCATACGTCTTGAGCCTAAGCCAGGGAATCAGCTCGCATCTCGAGACGATTTGGGGTACACGGAGCATTCCTCGAGTTGCTGTGCTGAAGTTGGTGTTCCTCTAGACTTGGGACAGTGTTCTCGGGGCATCTCTGGAGTTGCCTGAAGGAAGTCGAGCCACCGGTCGTGTTGAATGGGGAACGGGGAATGGCTCTGGAGTCAATGCAGGGGAATCGGGCCTCATCTCGAGTTGATTTGGGGCACATGGAGCTGCTTTGCGTTGCTGGGGTGACCTCAGGGTCCGTCTAGACTGGTGACAGTGTTCTTGGGGACTGTCTCGAGATCCATTAAGCAAGTCGAAGCTCCTGACTTGGTTGAATGGGATCACGGAATAGCTCTGCATGCACTGCAGGGGAATGGGGCCTCATCTCGCCTCTAGGGGGAAGTCTCATGGTTTTTCTCGAGTTGCGGCGGGGACCTGGGGTATGTTCTCGACTTACGGCGGGGATGGCCCTTCAAAACACGAGTTTCTTCAGTGACGTCAGGACTCCTGTCTAGTAACGAGGGACACCTCAGGAATCTCTTCGAGGCTTGGCAGGGCCAAAGGGACGCTTCTCGAGGTGAGGCAGGGCACCCAAGGACCCTTTCCAGTAGCCACAGGGATTTTGGGATTCCTATCAGTATTCAAGAGGAGTCAGGCATCGTCACCTTTTGAAGCAATGAACTCCGCGTGCCTCTCGAGGTGTCAGCGGGATGTGAGGCATTCCGTCAAAATGAGGCAGGGACCTAGGGCTTTCTCTAAGGTCTCCACAGGGGATTCAGACATCCCTTCATGTTGTGAGATGAAAGACGAGCCTGTATTCAAGCCACTGCAAGGAAATCCGGCCTCCTTTCAAGTTAGGGCTTCTCGCTGTATATTCCCCTTGAGGCAGCAAACTCGGGGTCCCTCCCACATACCTATTGCTGAGAGAAGCCTCCTCCTGAGGTGCTTCTGGGAAGTTGGCATACGTCTTGAGCCTAAGCCAGGGAATCAGCTCGCATCTCGAGACGATTTGGGGTACACGGAGCATTCCTCGAGTTGCTGTGCTGAAGGTGGTGTTCCTCTAGACTTGGGACAGTGTTCTTGGGGCATCTCTGGAGTTGCCTGAAGGAAGTCGAGCCACCGGTCGTGTTGAATGGGGAACGGGGAATGGCTCTGGAGTCAATGCAGGGGAATCGGGCCTCATCTCGAGTTGATTTGGGGCGCATGGAGCTGCTTTGCGTTGCTGGGGTGACCTCAGGGTCCGTCTAGACTGGTGACAGTGTTCTTGGGGACTGTCTCGAGATCCATTAAGCAAGTCGAAGCTCCTGACTTGGTTGAATGGGATCACGGAATAGCTCTGCATGCACTGCAGGGGAATGGGGCCTCATCTGGCCTCTAGGGGGAAGTCTCATGGTTTTTCTCGAGTTGCGGCGGGGACCTGGGGGTATGTTCTCGACTTACGGCGGGGATGGCCCTTCAAAACACGAGTTTCTTCAGTGACGTCAGGACTCCTGTCTAGTAACAAGGGACACCTCAGGAATCTCTTCGAGGCTTGGCAGGGCCAAAGGGACGCTTCTCGAGGTGAGGCAGGGCACCCAAGGACCCTTTCCAGTAGCCACAGGGATTTTGGGATTCCTATCAGTATTCAAGAGGAGTCAGGCATCGTCACCTTTTGAAGCAATGAACTCCGCGTGCCTCTCGAGGTGTCAGCGGGATGTGAGGCATTCCGTCAAAATGAGGCAGGGACCTAGGGCTTTCTCTAAGGTCTCCACAGGGGATTCAGACATCCCTTCATGTTGTGAGATGAAAGACGAGCCTGTATTCAAGCCACTGCAAGGAAATCCGGCCTCCTTTCAAGTTAGGGCTTCTCGCTGTATATTCCCCTTGAGGCAGCAAACTCGGGGTCCCTCCCACATACCTATTGCTGAGAGAAGCCTCCCCCTGAGGTGCTTCTGGGAAGTTGGCATACGTCTTGAGCCTAAGCCAGGGAATCAGCTCGCATCTCGAGACGATTTGGGGTACACGGAGCATTCCTCGAGTTGCTGTGCTGAAGGTGGTGTTCCTCTAGACTTGGGACAGTGTTCTCGGGGCATCTCTGGAGTTGCCTGAAGGAAGTCGAGCCACCGGTCGTGTTGAATGGGGAACGGGGAATGGCTCTGGAGTCAATGCAGGGGAATCGGGCCTCATCTCGAGTTGATTTGGGGCACATGGAGCTGCTTTGCGTTGCTGGGGTGACCTCAGGGTCCGTCTAGACTGGTGACAGTGTTCTTGGGGACTGTCTCGAGATCCATTAAGCAAGTCGAAGCTCCTGACTTGTTTGAATGGGATCACGGAATAGCTCTGCATGCACTGCAGGGGAATGGGGCCTCATCTCGCCTCTAGGGGGAAGTCTCATGGTTTTTCTCGAGTTGCGGCGGGGACCTGGGGTATGTTCTCGACTTACGGCGGGGATGGCCCTTCAAAACACGAGTTTCTTCAGTGACGTCAGGACTCCTGTCTAGTAACGAGGGACACCTCAGGAATCTCTTCGAGGCTTGGCAGGGCCAAAGGGACGCTTCTCGAGGTGAGGCAGGGCACCCAAGGACCCTTTCCAGTAGCCACAGGGATTTTGGGATTCCTATCAGTATTCAAGAGGAGTCAGGCATCGTCACCTTTTGAAGCAATGAACTCCGCGTGCCTCTCGAGGTGTCAGCGGGATGTGAGGCATTCCGTCAAAATGAGGCAGGGACCTAGGGCTTTCTCTAAGGTCTCCACAGGGGATTCAGACATCCCTTCATGTTGTGAGATGAAAGACGAGCCTGTATTCAAGCCACTGCAAGGAAATCCGGCCTCCTTTCAAGTTAGGGCTTCTCGCTGTATATTCCCCTTGAGGCAGCAAACTCGGGGTCCCTCCCACATACCTATTGCTGAGAGAAGCCTCCTCCTGAGGTGCTTCTGGGAAGTTGGCATACGTCTTGAGCCTAAGCCAGGGAATCAGCTCGCATCTCGAGACGATTTGGGGTACACGGAGCATTCCTCGAGTTGCTGTGCTGAAGTTGGTGTTCCTCTAGACTTGGGACAGTGTTCTCGGGGCATCTCTGGAGTTGCCTGAAGGAAGTCGAGCCACCGGTCGTGTTGAATGGGGAACGGGGAATGGCTCTGGAGTCAATGCAGGGGAATCGGGCCTCATCTCGAGTTGATTTGGGGCACATGGAGCTGCTTTGCGTTGCTGGGGTGACCTCAGGGTCCGTCTAGACTGGTGACAGTGTTCTTGGGGACTGTCTCGAGATCCATTAAGCAAGTCGAAGCTCCTGACTTGTTTGAATGGGATCACGGAATAGCTCTGCATGCACTGCAGGGGAATGGGGCCTCATCTCGCCTCTAGGGGGAAGTCTCATGGTTTTTCTCGAGTTGCGGCGGGGACCTGGGGTATGTTCTCGACTTACGGCGGGGATGGCCCTTCAAAACACGAGTTTCTTCAGTGACGTCAGGACTCCTGTCTAGTAACGAGGGACACCTCAGCAATCTCTTCGAGGCTTGGCAGGGCCAAAGGGACGCTTCTCGAGGTGAGGCAGGGCACCCAAGGACCCTTTCCAGTAGCCACAGGGATTTTGGGATTCCTATCAGTATTCAAGAGGAGTCAGGCATCGTCACCTTTTGAAGCAATGAACTCCGCGTGCCTCTTGAGGTGTCAGCGGGATGTGAGGCATTCCGTCAAAATGAGGCAGGGACCTAGGGCTTTCTCTAAGGTCTCCACAGGGGATTCAGACATCCCTTCATGTTGTGAGATGAAAGACGAGCCTGTATTCAAGCCACTGCAAGGAAATCCGGCCTCCTTTCAAGTTAGGGCTTCTCGCTGTATATTCCCCTTGAGGCAGCAAACTCGGGGTCCCTCCCACATACCTATTGCTGAGAGAAGCCTCCTCCTGAGGTGCTTCTGGGAAGTTGGCATACGTCTTGAGCCTAAGCCAGGGAATCAGCTCGCATCTCGAGACGATTTGGGGTACACGGAGCATTCCTCGAGTTGCTGTGCTGAAGGTGGTGTTCCTCTAGACTTGGGACAGTGTTCTCGGGGCATCTCTGGAGTTGCCTGAAGGAAGTCGAGCCACCGGTCGTGTTGAATGGGGAACGGGGAATGGCTCTGGAGTCAATGCAGGGGAATCGGGCCTCATCTCGAGTTGATTTGGGGCACATGGAGCTGCTTTGCGTTGCTGGGGTGACCTCAGGGTCCGTCTAGACTGGTGACAGTGTTCTTGGGGACTGTCTCGAGATCCATTAAGCAAGTCGAAGCTCCTGACTTGTTTGAATGGGATCACGGAATAGCTCTGCATGCACTGCAGGGGAATGGGGCCTCATCTCGCCTCTAGGGGGAAGTCTCATGGTTTTTCTCGAGTTGCGGCGGGGACCTGGGGTATGTTCTCGACTTACGGCGGGGATGGCCCTTCAAAACACGAGTTTCTTCAGTGACGTCAGGACTCCTGTCTAGTAACGAGGGACACCTCAGGAATCTCTTCGAGGCTTGGCAGGGCCAAAGGGACGCTTCTCGAGGTGAGGCAGGGCACCCAAGGACCCTTTCCAGTAGCCACAGGGATTTTGGGATTCCTATCAGTATTGAAGAGGAGTCAGGCGTCGTCACCTTTTGAAGCAATGAACTCCGCGTGCCTCTCGAGGTGTCAGCGGGATGTGAGGCATTCCGTCAAAATGAGGCAGGGACCTAGGGCTTTCTCTAAGGTCTCCACAGGGGATTCAGACATCCATTCATGTTGTGAGATGAAAGACGAGCCTGTATTCAAGCCACTACAAGGAAATCCGGCCTCCTTTCAAGTTAGGGCTTCTCGCTGTATATTCCCCTTGAGGCAGCAAACTCGGGGTCCCTCCCACATACCTATTGCTGAGAGAAGCCTCCTCCTGAGGTGCTTCTGGGAAGTTGGCATACGTCTTGAGCCTAAGCCAGGGAATCAGCTCGCATCTCGAGACGATTTGGGGTACACGGAGCATTCCTCGAGTTGCTGTGCTGAAGTTGGTGTTCCTCTAGACTTGGGACAGTGTTCTCGGGGCATCTCTGGAGTTGCCTGAAGGAAGTCGAGCCACCGGTCGTGTTGAATGGGGAACGGGGAATGGCTCTGGAGTCAATGCAGGGGAATCGGGCCTCATCTCGAGTTGATTTGGGGCACATGGAGCTGCTTTGCGTTGCTGGGGTGACCTCAGGGTCCGTCTAGACTGGTGACAGTGTTCTTGGGGACTGTCTCGAGATCCATTAAGCAAGTCGAAGCTCCTGACTTGTTTGAATGGGATCACGGAATAGCTCTGCATGCACTGCAGGGGAATGGGGCCTCATCTCGCCTCTAGGGGGAAGTCTCATGGTTTTTCTCGAGTTGCGGCGGGGACCTGGGGTATGTTCTCGACTTACGGCACGGATGGCCCTTCAAAACACGAGTTTCTTCAGTGACGTCAGGACTCCTGTCTAGTAACGAGGGACACCTCAGGAATCTCTTCGAGGCTTGGCAGGGCCAAAGGGACGCTTCTCGAGGTGAGGCAGGGCACCCAAGGACCCTTTCCAGTAGCCACAGGGATTTTGGGATTCCTATCAGTATTGAAGAGGAGTCAGGCATCGTCACCTTTTGAAGCAATGAACTCCGCGTGCCTCTCGAGGTGTCAGCGGGATGTGAGGCATTCCGTCAAAATGAGGCAGGGACCTAGGGCTTTCTCTAAGGTCTCCACAGGGGATTCAGACATCCCTTCATGTTGTGAGATGAAAGACGAGCCTGTATTCAAGCCACTGCAAGGAAATCCGGCCTCCTTTCAAGTTAGGGCTTCTCGCTGTATATTCCCCTTGAGGCAGCAAACTCGGGGTCCCTCCCACATACCTATTGCTGAGAGAAGCCTCCTCCTGAGGTGCTTCTGGGAAGTTGGCATACGTCTTGAGCCTAAGCCAGGGAATCAGCTCGCATCTCGACACGATTTGGGGTACACGGAGCATTCCTCGAGTTGCTGTGCTGAAGGTGGTGTTCCTCTAGACTTGGGACAGTGTTCTCGGGGCATCTCTGGAGTTGCCTGAAGGAAGTCGAGCCACCGGTCGTGTTGAATGGGGAACGGGGAATGGCTCTGGAGTCAATGCAGGGGAATCGGGCCTCATCTCGAGTTGATTTGGGGCGCATGGAGCTGCTTTGCGTTGCTGGGGTGACCTCAGGGTCCGTCTAGACTGGTGACAGTGTTCTTGGGGACTGTCTCAAGATCCATTAAGCAAGTCGAAGCTCCTGACTTGGTTGAATGGGATCACGGAATAGCTCTGCATGCACTGCAGGGGAATGGGGCCTCATCTCGCCTCTAGGGGGAAGTCTCATGGTTTTTCTCGAGTTGCGGCGGGGACCTGGGGTATGTTCTCGACTTACGGCGGGGATGGCCCTTCAAAACACGAGTTTCTTCAGTGACGTCAGGACTCCTGTCTAGTAACGAGGGACACCTCAGGAATCTCTTCGAGGCTTGGCAGGGCCAAAGGGACGCTTCTCGAGGTGAGGCAGGGCACCCAAGGACCCTTTCCAGTAGCCACAGGGATTTTGGGATTCCTATCAGTATTCAAGAGGAGTCAGGCATCGTCACCTTTTGAAGCAATGAACTCCGCGTGCCTCTCGAGGTGTCAGCGGGATGTGAGGCATTCCGTCAAAATGAGGCAGGGACCTAGGGCTTTCTCTAAGGTCTCCACAGGGGATTCAGACATCCCTTCATGTTGTGAGATGAAAGACGAGCCTGTATTCAAGCCACTGCAAGGAAATCCGGCCTCCTTTCAAGTTAGGGCTTCTCGCTGTATATTCCCCTTGAGGCAGCAAACTCGGGGTCCCTCCCACATACCTATTGCTGAGAGAAGCCTCCTCCTGAGGTGCTTCTGGGAAGTTGGCATACGTCTTGAGCCTAAGCCAGGGAATCAGCTCGCATCTCGAGACGATTTGGGGTACACGGAGCATTCCTCGAGTTGCTGTGCTGAAGGTGGTGTTCCTCTAGACTTGGGACAGTGTTCTCGGGGCATCTCTGGAGTTGCCTGAAGGAAGTCGAGCCACCGGTCGTGTTGAATGGGGAACGGGGAATGGCTCTGGAGTCAATGCAGGGGAATCGGGCCTCATCTCGAGTTGATTTGGGGCACATGGAGCTGCTTTGCGTTGCTGGGGTGACCTCAGGGTCCGTCTAGACTGGTGACAGTGTTCTTGGGGACTGTCTCGAGATCCATTAAGCAAGTCGAAGCTCCTGACTTGTTTGAATGGGATCACGGAATAGCTCTGCATGCACTGCAGGGGAATGGGGCCTCATCTCGCCTCTAGGGGGAAGTCTCATGGTTTTTCTCGAGTTGCGGCGGGGACCTGGGGTATGTTCTCGACTTACGGCGGGGATGGCCCTTCAAAACACGAGTTTCTTCAGTGACGTCAGGACTCCTGTCTAGTAACGAGGGACACCTCAGGAATCTCTTCGAGGCTTGGCAGGGCCAAAGGGACGCTTCTCGAGGTGAGGCAGGGCACCCAAGGACCCTTTCCAGTAGCCACAGGGATTTTGGGATTCCTATCAGTATTGAAGAGGAGTCAGGCATCGTCACCTTTTGAAGCAATGAACTCCGCGTGCCTCTGGAGGTGTCAGCGGGATGTGAGGCATTCCGTCAAAATGAGGCAGGGACCTAGGGCTTTCTCTAAGGTCTCCACAGGGGATTCAGACATCCCTTCATGTTGTGAGATGAAAGACGAGCCTGTATTCAAGCCACTGCAAGGAAATCCGGCCTCCTTTCAAGTTAGGGCTTCTCGCTGTATATTCCCCTTGAGGCAGCAAACTCGGGGTCCCTCCCACATACCTATTGCTGAGAGAAGCCTCCTCCTGAGGTGCTTCTGGGAAGTTGGCATACGTCTTGAGCCTAAGCCAGGGAATCAGCTCGCATCTCGAGACGATTTGGGGTACACGGAGCATTCCTCGAGTTGCTGTGCTGAAGTTGGTGTTCCTCTAGACTTGGGACAGTGTTCTCGGGGCATCTCTGGAGTTGCCTGAAGGAAGTCGAGCCACCGGTTGTGTTGAATGGGGAACGGGGAATGGCTCTGGAGTCAATGCAGGGGAATCGGGCCTCATCTCGAGTTGATTTGGGGCACATGGAGCTGCTTTGCGTTGCTGGGGTGACCTCAGGGTCCGTCTAGACTGGTGACAGTGTTCTTGGGGACTGTCTCGAGATCCATTAAGCAAGTCGAAGCTCCTGACTTGTTTGAATGGGATCACGGAATAGCTCTGCATGCACTGCAGGGGAATGGGGCCTCATCTCGCCTCTAGGGGGAAGTCTCATGGTTTTTCTCGAGTTGCGGCGGGGACCTGGGGTATGTTCTCGACTTACGGCGGGGATGGCCCTTCAAAACACGAGTTTCTTCAGTGACGTCAGGACTCCTGTCTAGTAACGAGGGACACCTCAGCAATCTCTTCGAGGCTTGGCAGGGCCAAAGGGACGCTTCTCGAGGTGAGGCAGGGCACCCAAGGACCCTTTCCAGTAGCCACAGGGATTTTGGGATTCCTATCAGTATTCAAGAGGAGTCAGGCATCGTCACCTTTTGAAGCAATGAACTCCGCGTGCCTCTCGAGGTGTCAGCGGGATGTGAGGCATTCCGTCAAAATGAGGCAGGGACCTAGGGCTTTCTCTAAGGTCTCCACAGGGGATTCAGACATCCCTTCATGTTGTGAGATGAAAGACGAGCCTGTATTCAAGCCACTGCAAGGAAATCCGGCCTCCTTTCAAGTTAGGGCTTCTCGCTGTATATTCCCCTTGAGGCAGCAAACTCGGGGTCCCTCCCACATACCTATTGCTGAGAGAAGCCTCCTCCTGAGGTGCTTCTGGGAAGTTGGCATACGTCTTGAGCCTAAGCCAGGGAATCAGCTCGCATCTCGAGACGATTTGGGGTACACGGAGCATTCCTCGAGTTGCTGTGCTGAAGGTGGTGTTCCTCTACACTTGGGACAGTGTTCTCGGGGCATCTCTGGAGTTGCCTGAAGGAAGTCGAGCCACCGGTCGTGTTGAATGGGGAACGGGGAATGGCTCTGGAGTCAATGCAGGGGAATCGGGCCTCATCTCGAGTTGATTTGGGGCACATGGAGCTGCTTTGCGTTGCTGGGGTGACCTCAGGGTCCGTCTAGCCTGGTGACAGTGTTCTTGGGGACTGTCTCGAGATCCATTAAGCAAGTCGAAGCTCCTGACTTGTTTGAATGGGATCACGGAATAGCTCTGCATGCACTGCAGGGGAATGGGGCCTCATCTCGCCTCTAGGGGGAAGTCTCATGGTTTTTCTCGAGTTGCGGCGGGGACCTGGGGTATGTTCTCGACTTACGGCGGGGATGGCCCTTCAAAACACGAGTTTCTTCAGTGACGTCAGGACTCCTGTCTAGTAACGAGGGACACCTCAGGAATCTCTTCGAGGCTTGGCAGGGCCAAAGGGACGCTTCTCGAGGTGAGGCAGGGCACCCAAGGACCCTTTCCAGTAGCCACAGGGATTTTGGGATTCCTATCAGTATTGAAGAGGAGTCAGGCATCGTCACCTTTTGAAGCAATGAACTCCGCGTGCCTCTCGAGGTGTCAGCGGGATGTGAGGCATTCCGTCAAAATGAGGCAGGGACCTAGGGCTTTCTCTAAGGTCTCCACAGGGGATTCAGACATCCATTCATGTTGTGAGATGAAAGACGAGCCTGTATTCAAGCCACTACAAGGAAATCCGGCCTCCTTTCAAGTTAGGGCTTCTCGCTGTATATTCCCCTTGAGGCAGCAAACTCGGGGTCCCTCCCACATACCTATTGCTGAGAGAAGCCTCCTCCTGAGGTGCTTCTGGGAAGTTGGCATACGTCTTGAGCCTAAGCCAGGGAATCAGCTCGCATCTCGAGACGATTTGGGGTACACGGAGCATTCCTCGAGTTGCTGTGCTGAAGTTGGTGTTCCTCTAGACTTGGGACAGTGTTCTCGGGGCATCTCTGGAGTTGCCTGAAGGAAGTCGAGCCACCGGTCGTGTTGAATGGGGAACGGGGAATGGCTCTGGAGTCAATGCAGGGGAATCGGGCCTCATCTCGAGTTGATTTGGGGCACATGGAGCTGCTTTGCGTTGCTGGGGTGACCTCAGGGTCCGTCTAGACTGGTGACAGTGTTCTTGGGGACTGTCTCGAGATCCATTAAGCAAGTCGAAGCTCCTGACTTGTTTGAATGGGATCACGGAATAGCTCTGCATGCACTGCAGGGGAATGGGGCCTCATCTCGCCTCTAGGGGGAAGTCTCATGGTTTTTCTCGAGTTGCGGCGGGGACCTGGGGTATGTTCTCGACTTACGGCAGGGATGGCCCTTCAAAACACGAGTTTCTTCAGTGACGTCAGGACTCCTGTCTAGTAACGAGGGACACCTCAGGAATCTCTTCGAGGCTTGGCAGGGCCAAAGGGACGCTTCTCGAGGTGAGGCAGGGCACCCAAGGACCCTTTCCAGTAGCCACAGGGATTTTGGGATTCCTATCAGTATTGAAGAGGAGTCAGGCATCGTCACCTTTTGAAGCAATGAACTCCGCGTGCCTCTCGAGGTGTCAGCGGGATGTGAGGCATTCCGTCAAAATGAGGCAGGGACCTAGGGCTTTCTCTAAGGTCTCCACAGGGGATTCAGACATCCCTTCATGTTGTGAGATGAAAGACGAGCCTGTATTCAAGCCACTGCAAGGAAATCCGGCCTCCTTTCAAGTTAGGGCTTCTCGCTGTATATTCCCCTTGAGGCAGCAAACTCGGGGTCCCTCCCACATACCTATTGCTGAGAGAAGCCTCCTCCTGAGGTGCTTCTGGGAAGTTGGCATACGTCTTGAGCCTAAGCCAGGGAATCAGCTCGCATCTCGAGACGATTTGGGGTACACGGAGCATTCCTCGAGTTGCTGTGCTGAAGGTGGTGTTCCTCTAGACTTGGGACAGTGTTCTCGGGGCATCTCTGGAGTTGCCTGAAGGAAGTCGAGCCACCGGTCGTGTTGAATGGGGAACGGGGAATGGCTCTGGAGTCAATGCAGGGGAATCGGGCCTCATCTCGAGTTGATTTGGGGCACATGGAGCTGCTTTGCGTTGCTGGGGTGACCTCAGGGTCCGTCTAGACTGGTGACAGTGTTCTTGGGGACTGTCTCGAGATCCATTAAGCAAGTCGAAGCTCCTGACTTGTTTGAATGGGATCACGGAATAGCTCTGCATGCACTGCAGGGGAATGGGGCCTCATCTGGCCTCTAGGGGGAAGTCTCATGGTTTTTCTCGAGTTGCGGCGGGGACCTGGGGTATGTTCTCGACTTACGGCGGGGATGGCCCTTCAAAACACGAGTTTCTTCAGTGACGTCAGGACTCCTGTCTAGTAACGAGGGACACCTCAGGAATCTCTTCGAGGCTTGGCAGGGCCAAAGGGACGCTTCTCGAGGTGAGGCAGGGCACCCAAGGACCCTTTCCAGTAGCCACAGGGATTTTGGGATTCCTATCAGTATTCAAGAGGAGTCAGGCATCGTCACCTTTTGAAGCAATGAACTCCGCGTGCCTCTCGAGGTGTCAGCGGGATGTGAGGCATTCCGTCAAAATGAGGCAGGGACCTAGGGCTTTCTCTAAGGTCTCCACAGGGGATTCAGACATCCCTTCATGTTGTGAGATGAAAGACGAGCCTGTATTCAAGCCACTGCAAGGAAATCCGGCCTCCTTTCAAGTTAGGGCTTCTCGCTGTATATTCCCCTTGAGGCAGCAAACTCGGGGTCCCTCCCACATACCTATTGCTGAGAGAAGCCTCCTCCTGAGGTGCTTCTGGGAAGTTGGCATACGTCTTGAGCCTAAGCCAGGGAATCAGCTCGCATCTCGAGACGATTTGGGGTACACGGAGCATTCCTCGAGTTGCTGTGCTGAAGTTGGTGTTCCTCTAGACTTGGGACAGTGTTCTCGGGGCATCTCTGGAGTTGCCTGAAGGAAGTCGAGCCACCGGTCGTGTTGAATGGGGAACGGGGAATGGCTCTGGAGTCAATGCAGGGGAATCGGGCCTCATCTCGAGTTGATTTGGGGCACATGGAGCTGCTTTGCGTTGCTGGGGTGACCTCAGGGTCCGTCTAGACTGGTGACAGTGTTCTTGGGGACTGTCTCGAGATCCATTAAGCAAGTCGAAGCTCCTGACTTGTTTGAATGGGATCACGGAATAGCTCTGCATGCACTGCAGGGGAATGGGGCCTCATCTCGCCTCTAGGGGGAAGTCTCATGGTTTTTCTCGAGTTGCGGCGGGGACCTGGGGTATGTTCTCGACTTACGGCGGGGATGGCCCTTCAAAACACGAGTTTCTTCAGTGACGTCAGGACTCCTGTCTAGTAACGAGGGACACCTCAGGAATCTCTTCGAGGCTTGGCAGGGCCAAAGGGACGCTTCTCGAGGTGAGGCAGGGCACCCAAGGACCCTTTCCAGTAGCCACAGGGATTTTGGGATTCCTATCAGTATTCAAGAGGAGTCAGGCATCGTCACCTTTTGAAGCAATGAACTCCGCGTGCCTCTCGAGGTGTCAGCGGGATGTGAGGCATTCCGTCAAAATGAGGCAGGGACCTAGGGCTTTCTCTAAGGTCTCCACAGGGGATTCAGACATCCCTTCATGTTGTGAGATGAAAGACGAGCCTGTATTCAAGCCACTGCAAGGAAATCCGGCCTCCTTTCAAGTTAGGGCTTCTCGCTGTATATTCCCCTTGAGGCAGCAAACTCGGGGTCCCTCCCACATACCTATTGCTGAGAGAAGCCTCCTCCTGAGGTGCTTCTGGGAAGTTGGCATACGTCTTGAGCCTAAGCCAGGGAATCAGCTCGCATCTCGAGACGATTTGGGGTACACGGAGCATTCCTCGAGTTGCTGTGCTGAAGGTGGTGTTCCTCTAGACTTGGGACAGTGTTCTCGGGGCATCTCTGGAGTTGCCTGAAGGAAGTCGAGCCACCGGTCGTGTTGAATGGGGAACGGGGAATGGCTCTGGAGTCAATGCAGGGGAATCGGGCCTCATCTCGAGTTGATTTGGGGCACATGGAGCTGCTTTGCGTTGCTGGGGTGACCTCAGGGTCCGTCTAGACTGGTGACAGTGTTCTTGGGGACTGTCTCGAGATCCATTAAGCAAGTCGAAGCTCCTGCCTTGTTTGAATGGGGTCACGGAATAGCTCTGCATGCACTGCAGGGGAATGGGGCCTCATCTCGCCTCTAGGGGGAAGTCTCATGGTTTTTCTCGAGTTGCGGCGGGGACCTGGGGTATGTTCTCGACTTACGGCGGGGATGGCCCTTCAAAACACGAGTTTCTTCAGTGACGTCAGGACTCCTGTCTAGTAACGAGGGACACCTCAGGAATCTCTTCGAGGCTTGGCAGGGCCAAAGGGACGCTTCTCGAGGTGAGGCAGGGCACCCAAGGACCCTTTCCAGTAGCCACAGGGATTTTGGGATTCCTATCAGTATTCAAGAGGAGTCAGGCATCGTCACCTTTTGAAGCAATGAACTCCGCGTGCCTCTCGAGGTGTCAGCGGGATGTGAGGCATTCCGTCAAAATGAGGCAGGGACCTAGGGCTTTCTCTAAGGTCTCCACAGGGGATTCAGACATCCCTTCATGTTGTGAGATGAAAGACGAGCCTGTATTCAAGCCACTGCAAGGAAATCCGGCCTCCTTTCAAGTTAGGGCTTCTCGCTGTATATTCCCCTTGAGGCAGCAAACTCGGGGTCCCTCCCACATACCTATTGCTGAGAGAAGCCTCCTCCTGAGGTGCTTCTGGGAAGTTGGCATACGTCTTGAGCCTAAGCCAGGGAATCAGCTCGCATCTCGAGACGATTTGGGGTACACGGAGCATTCCTCGAGTTGCTGTGCTGAAGGTGGTGTTCCTCTAGACTTGGGACAGTGTTCTCGGGGCATCTCTGGAGTTGCCTGAAGGAAGTCGAGCCACCGGTCGTGTTGAATGGGGAACGGGGAATGGCTCTGGAGTCAATGCAGGGGAATCGGGCCTCATCTCGAGTTGATTTGGGGCACATGGAGCTGCTTTGCGTTGCTGGGGTGACCTCAGGGTCCGTCTAGACTGGTGACAGTGTTCTTGGGGACTGTCTCGAGATCCATTAAGCAAGTCGAAGCTCCTGCCTTGTTTGAATGGGGTCACGGAATAGCTCTGCATGCACTGCAGGGGAATGGGGCCTCATCTCGCCTCTAGGGGGAAGTCTCATGGTTTTTCTCGAGTTGCGGCGGGGACCTGGGGTATGTTCTCGACTTACGGCGGGGATGGCCCTTCAAAACACGAGTTTCTTCAGTGACGTCAGGACTCCTGTCTAGTAACGAGGGACACCTCAGGAATCTCTTCGAGGCTTGGCAGGGCCAAAGGGACGCTTCTCGAGGTGAGGCAGGGCACCCAAGGACCCTTTCCAGTAGCCACAGGGATTTTGGGATTCCTATCAGTATTCAAGAGGAGTCAGGCATCGTCACCTTTTGAAGCAATGAACTCCGCGTGCCTCTCGAGGTGTCAGCGGGATGTGAGGCATTCCGTCAAAATGAGGCAGGGACCTAGGGCTTTCTCTAAGGTCTCCACAGGGGATTCAGACATCCCTTCATGTTGTGAGATGAAAGACGAGCCTGTATTCAAGCCACTGCAAGGAAATCCAGCCTCCTTTCAAGTTAGGGCTTCTCGCTGTATATTCCCCTTGAGGCAGCAAACTCGGGGTCCCTCCCACATACCTATTGCTGAGAGAAGCCTCCTCCTGAGGTGCTTCTGGGAAGTTGGCATACGTCTTGAGCCTAAGCCAGGGAATCAGCTCACATCTCGAGACGATTTGGGGTACACGGAGCATTCCTCGAGTTGCTGTGCTGAAGGTGGTGTTCCTCTAGACTTGGGACAGTGTTCTCGGGGCATCTCTGGAGTTGCCTGAAGGAAGTCGAGCCACCGGTCGTGTTGAATGGGGAACGGGGAATGGCTCTGGAGTCAATGCAGGGGAATTGGGCCTCATCTCGAGTTGATTTGGGGCACATGGAGCTGCTTTGCGTTGCTGGGGTGACCTCAGGGTCCGTCTAGACTGGTGACAGTGTTCTTGGGGACTGTCTCGAGATCCATTAAGCAAGTCGAAGCTCCTGACTTGTTTGAATGGGATCACGGAATAGCTCTGCATGCACTGCAGGGGAATGGGGCCTCATCTCGCCTCTAGGGGGAAGTCTCATGGTTTTTCTCGAGTTGCGGCGGGGACCTGGGGTATGTTCTCGACTTACGGCGGGGATGGCCCTTCAAAACACGAGTTTCTTCAGTGACGTCAGGACTCCTGTCTAGTAACGAGGGACACCTCAGGAATCTCTTCGAGGCTTGGCAGGGCCAAAGGGACGCTTCTCGAGGTGAGGCAGGGCACCCAAGGACCCTTTCCAGTAGCCACAGGGATTTTGGGATTCCTATCAGTATTCAAGAGGAGTCAGGCATCGTCACCTTTTGAAGCAATGAACTCCGCGTGCCTCTCGAGGTGTCAGCAGGATGTGAGGCATTCCGTCAAAATGAGGCAGGGACCTAGGGCTTTCTCTAAGGTCTCCACAGGGGATTCAGACATCCCTTCATGTTGTGAGATGAAAGACGAGCCTGTATTCAAGCCACTGCAAGGAAATCCGGCCTCCTTTCAAGTTAGGGCTTCTCGCTGTATATTCCCCTTGAGGCAGCAAACTCGGGGTCCCTCCCACATACCTATTGCTGAGAGAAGCCTCCTCCTGAGGTGCTTCTGGGAAGTTGGCATACGTCTTGAGCCTAAGCCAGGGAATCACCTCGCATCTCGAGACGATTTGGGGTACACGGAGCATTCCTCGAGTTGCTGTGCTGAAGGTGGTGTTCCTCTAGACTTGGGACAGTGTTCTCGGGGCATCTCTGGAGTTGCCTGAAGGAAGTCGAGCCACCGGTCGTGTTGAATGGGGAACGGGGAATGGCTCTGGAGTCAATGCAGGGGAATCGGGCCTCATCTCGAGTTGATTTGGGGCACATGGAGCTGCTTTGCGTTGCTGGGGTGACCTCAGGGTCCGTCTAGACTGGTGACAGTGTTCTTGGGGACTGTCTCGAGATCCATTAAGCAAGTCGAAGCTCCTGACTTGTTTGAATGGGATCACGGAATAGCTCTGCATGCACTGCAGGGGAATGGGGCCTCATCTCGCCTCTAGGGGGAAGTCTCATGGTTTTTCTCGAGTTGCGGCGGGGACCTGGGGTATGTTCTCGACTTACGGCGGGGATGGCCCTTCAAAACACGAGTTTCTTCAGTGACGTCAGGACTCCTGTCTAGTAACGAGGGACACCTCAGGAATCTCTTCGAGGCTTGGCAGGGCCAAAGGGACGCTTCTCGAGGTGAGGCAGGGCACCCAAGGACCCTTTCCAGTAGCCACAGGGATTTTGGGATTCCTATCAGTATTCAAGAGGAGTCAGGCATCGTCACCTTTTGAAGCAATGAACTCCGCGTGCCTCTCGAGGTGTTAGCGGGATGTGAGGCATTCCGTCAAAATGAGGCAGGGACCTAGGGCTTTCTCTAAGGTCTCCACAGGGGATTCAGACATCCCTTCATGTTGTGAGATGAAAGACGAGCCTGTATTCAAGCCACTGCAAGGAAATCCGGCCTCCTTTCAAGTTAGGGCTTCTCGCTGTATATTCCCCTTGAGGCAGCAAACTCGGGGTCCCTCCCACATACCTATTGCTGAGAGAAGCCTCCTCCTGAGGTGCTTCTGGGAAGTTGGCATACGTCTTGAGCCTAAGCCAGGGAATCAGCTCGCATCTCGAGACGATTTGGGGTACACGGAGCATTCCTCGAGTTGCTGTGCTGAAGGTGGTGTTCCTCTAGGCTTGGGACAGTGTTCTCGGGGCATCTCTGGAGTTGCCTGAAGGAAGTCGAGCCACCGGTCGTGTTGAATGGGGAACGGGGAATGGCTCTGGAGTCAATGCAGGGGAATCGGGCCTCATCTCGAGTTGATTTGGGGCACATGGAGCTGCTTTGCGTTGCTGGGGTGACCTCAGGGTCCGTCTAGACTGGTGACAGTGTTCTTGGGGACTGTCTCGAGATCCATTAAGCAAGTCGAAGCTCCTGACTTGTTTGAATGGGATCACGGAATAGCTCTGCATGCACTGCAGGGGAATGGGGCCTCATCTCGCCTCTAGGGGGAAGTCTCATGGTTTTTCTCGAGTTGCGGCGGGGACCTGGGGTATGTTCTCGACTTACGGCGGGGATGGCCCTTCAAAACACGAGTTTCTTCAGTGACGTCAGGACTCCTGTCTAGTAACGAGGGACACCTCAGGAATCTCTTCGAGGCTTGGCAGGGCCAAAGGGACGCTTCTCGAGGTGAGGCAGGGCACCCAAGGACCCTTTCCAGTAGCCACAGGGATTTTGGGATTCCTATCAGTATTCAAGAGGAGTCAGGCATCGTCACCTTTTGAAGCAATGAACTCCGCGTGCCTCTCGAGGTGTCAGCGGGATGTGAGGCATTCCGTCAAAATGAGGCAGGGACCTAGGGCTTTCTCTAAGGTCTCCTCAGGGGATTCAGACATCCCTTCATGTTGTGAGATGAAAGACGAGCCTGTATTCAAGCCACTGCAAGGAAATCCGGCCTCCTTTCAAGTTAGGGCTTCTCGCTGTATATTCCCCTTGAGGCAGCAAACTCGGGGTCCCTCCCACATACCTATTGCTGAGAGAAGCCTCCTCCTGAGGTGCTTCTGGGAAGTTGGCATACGTCTTGAGCCTAAGCCAGGGAATCAGCTCGCATCTCGAGACGATTTGGGGTACACGGAGCATTCCTCGAGTTGCTGTGCTGAAGTTGGTGTTCCTCTAGACTTGGGACAGTGTTCTCGGGGCATCTCTGGAGTTGCCTGAAGGAAGCCGAGCCACCGGTCGTGTTGAATGGGGAACGGGGAATGGCTCTGGAGTCAATGCAGGGGAATCGGGCCTCATCTCGAGTTGATTTGGGGCACATGGAGCTGCTTTGCGTTGCTGGGGTGACCTCAGGGTCCGTCTAGACTGGTGACAGTGTTCTTGGGGACTGTCTCGAGATCCATTAAGCAAGTCGAAGCTCCTGACTTGTTTGAATGGGATCACGGAATAGCTCTGCATGCACTGCAGGGGAATGGGGCCTCATCTGGCCTCTAGGGGGAAGTCTCATGGTTTTTCTCGAGTTGCGGCGGGGACCTGGGGTATGTTCTCGACTTACGGCGGGGATGGCCCTTCAAAACACGAGTTTCTTCAGTGACGTCAGGACTCCTGTCTAGTAACGAGGGACACCTCAGGAATCTCTTCGAGGCTTGGCAGGGCCAAAGGGACGCTTCTCGAGGTGAGGCAGGGCACCCAAGGACCCTTTCCAGTAGCCACAGGGATTTTGGGATTCCTATCAGTATTCAAGAGGAGTCAGGCATCGTCACCTTTTGAAGCAATGAACTCCGCGTGCCTCTCGAGGTGTCAGCGGGATGTGAGGCATTCCGTCAAAATGAGGCAGGGACCTAGGGCTTTCTCTAAGGTCTCCACAGGGGATTCAGACATCCCTTCATGTTGTGAGATGAAAGACGAGCCTGTATTCAAGCCACTGCAAGGAAATCCGGCCTCCTTTCAAGTTAGGGCTTCTCGCTGTATATTCCCCTTGAGGCAGCAAACTCGGGGTCCCTCCCACATACCTATTGCTGAGAGAAGCCTCCTCCTGAGGTGCTTCTGGGAAGTTGGCATACGTCTTGAGCCTAAGCCAGGGAATCAGCTCGCATCTCGAGACGATTTGGGGTACACGGAGCATTCCTCGAGTTGCTGTGCTGAAGTTGGTGTTCCTCTAGACTTGGGACAGTGTTCTCGGGGCATCTCTGGAGTTGCCTGAAGGAAGTCGAGCCACCGGTCGTGTTGAATGGGGAACGGGGAATGGCTCTGGAGTCAATGCAGGGGAATTGGGCCTCATCTCGAGTTGATTTGGGGCACATGGAGCTGCTTTGCGTTGCTGGGGTGACCTCAGGGTCCGTCTAGACTGGTGACAGTGTTCTTGGGGACTGTCTCGAGATCCATTAAGCAAGTCGAAGCTCCTGACTTGTTTGAATGGGATCACGGAATAGCTCTGCATGCACTGCAGGGGAATGGGGCCTCATCTCGCCTCTAGGGGGAAGTCTCATGGTTTTTCTCGAGTTGCGGCGGGGACCTGGGGTATGTTCTCGACTTACGGCGGGGATGGCCCTTCAAAACACGAGTTTCTTCAGTGACGTCAGGACTCCTGTCTAGTAACGAGGGACACCTCAGGAATCTCTTCGAGGCTTGGCAGGGCCAAAGGGACGCTTCTCGAGGTGAGGCAGGGCACCCAAGGACCCTTTCCAGTAGCCACAGGGATTTTGGGATTCCTATCAGTATTCAAGAGGAGTCAGGCATCGTCACCTTTTGAAGCAATGAACTCCGCGTGCCTCTCGAGGTGTCAGCAGGATGTGAGGCATTCCGTCAAAATGAGGCAGGGACCTAGGGCTTTCTCTAAGGTCTCCACAGGGGATTCAGACATCCCTTCATGTTGTGAGATGAAAGACGAGCCTGTATTCAAGCCACTGCAAGGAAATCCGGCCTCCTTTCAAGTTAGGGCTTCTCGCTGTATATTCCCCTTGAGGCAGCAAACTCGGGATCCCTCCCACATACCTATTGCTGAGAGAAGCCTCCTCCTGAGGTGCTTCTGGGAAGTTGGCATACGTCTTGAGCCTAAGCCAGGGAATCAGCTCGCATCTCGAGACGATTTGGGGTACACGGAGCATTCCTCGAGTTGCTGTGCTGAAGTTGGTGTTCCTCTAGACTTGGGACAGTGTTCTCGGGGCATCTCTGGAGTTGCCTGAAGGAAGTCGAGCCACCGGTCGTGTTGAATGGGGAACGGGGAATGGCTCTGGAGTCAATGCAGGGGAATCGGGCCTCATCTCGAGTTGATTTGGGGCACATGGAGCTGCTTTGCGTTGCTGGGGTGACCTCAGGGTCCGTCTAGACTGGTGACAGTGTTCTTGGGGACTGTCTCGAGATCCATTAAGCAAGTCGAAGCTCCTGACTTGTTTGAATGGGATCACGGAATAGCTCTGCATGCACTGCAGGGGAATGGGGCCTCATCTCGCCTCTAGGGGGAAGTCTCATGGTTTTTCTCGAGTTGCGGCGGGGACCTGGGGTATGTTCTCGACTTACGGCGGGGATGGCCCTTCAAAACACGAGTTTCTTCAGTGACGTCAGGACTCCTGTCTAGTAACGAGGGACACCTCAGGAATCTCTTCGAGGCTTGGCAGGGCCAAAGGGACGCTTCTCGAGGTGAGGCAGGGCACCCAAGGACCCTTTCCAGTAGCCACAGGGATTTTGGGATTCCTATCAGTATTCAAGAGGAGTCAGGCATCGTCACCTTTTGAAGCAATGAACTCCGCGTGCCTCTCGAGGTGTCAGCGGGATGTGAGGCATTCCGTCAAAATGAGGCAGGGACCTAGGGCTTTCTCTAAGGTCTCCACAGGGGATTCAGACATCCCTTCATGTTGTGAGATGAAAGACGAGCCTGTATTCAAGCCACTGCAAGGAAATCCGGCCTCCTTTCAAGTTAGGGCTTCTCGCTGTATATTCCCCTTGAGGCAGCAAACTCGGGGTCCCTCCCACATACCTATTGCTGAGAGAAGCCTCCTCCTGAGGTGCTTCTGGGAAGTTGGCATACGTCTTGAGCCTAAGCCAGGGAATCAGCTCGCATCTCGAGACGATTTGGGGTACACGGAGCATTCCTCGAGTTGCTGTGCTGAAGGTGGTGTTCCTCTAGACTTGGGACAGTGTTCTCGGGGCATCTCTGGAGTTGCCTGAAGGAAGTCGAGCCACCGGTCGTGTTGAATGGGGAACGGGGAATGGCTCTGGAGTCAATGCAGGGGAATCGGGCCTCATCTCGAGTTGATTTGGGGCACATGGAGCTGCTTTGCGTTGCTGGGGTGACCTCAGGGTCCGTCTAGACTGGTGACAGTGTTCTTGGGGACTGTCTCGAGATCCATTAAGCAAGTCGAAGCTCCTGAGTTGTTTGAATGGGGTCACGGAATAGCTCTGCATGCACTGCAGGGGAATGGGGCCTCATCTCGCCTCTAGGGGGAAGTCTCATGGTTTTTCTCGAGTTGCGGCGGGGACCTGGGGTATGTTCTCGACTTACGGCGGGGATGGCCCTTCAAAACACGAGTTTCTTCAGTGACGTCAGGACTCCTGTCTAGTAACGAGGGACACCTCAGGAATCTCTTCGAGGCTTGGCAGGGCCAAAGGGACGCTTCTCGAGGTGAGGCAGGGCACCCAAGGACCCTTTCCAGTAGCCACAGGGATTTTGGGATTCCTATCAGTATTCAAGAGGAGTCAGGCATCGTCACCTTTTGAAGCAATGAACTCCGCGTGCCTCTCGAGGTGTCAGCAGGATGTGAGGCATTCCGTCAAAATGAGGCAGGGACCTAGGGCTTTCTCTAAGGTCTCCACAGGGGATTCAGACATCCCTTCATGTTGTGAGATGAAAGACGAGCCTGTATTCAAGCCACTGCAAGGAAATCCGGCCTCCTTTCAAGTTAGGGCTTCTCGCTGTATATTCCCCTTGAGGCAGCAAACTCGGGATCCCTCCCACATACCTATTGCTGAGAGAAGCCTCCTCCTGAGGTGCTTCTGGGAAGTTGGCATACGTCTTGAGCCTAAGCCAGGGAATCAGCTCGCATCTCGAGACGATTTGGGGTACACGGAGCATTCCTCGAGTTGCTGTGCTGAAGTTGGTGTTCCTCTAGACTTGGGACAGTGTTCTCGGGGCATCTCTGGAGTTGCCTGAAGGAAGTCGAGCCACCGGTCGTGTTGAATGGGGAACGGGGAATGGCTCTGGAGTCAATGCAGGGGAATCGGGCCTCATCTCGAGTTGATTTGGGGCACATGGAGCTGCTTTGCGTTGCTGGGGTGACCTCAGGGTCCGTCTAGACTGGTGACAGTGTTCTTGGGGACTGTCTCGAGATCCATTAAGCAAGTCGAAGCTCCTGACTTGTTTGAATGGGATCACGGAATAGCTCTGCATGCACTGCAGGGGAATGGGGCCTCATCTCGCCTCTAGGGGGAAGTCTCATGGTTTTTCTCGAGTTGCGGCGGGGACCTGGGGTATGTTCTCGACTTACGGCGGGGATGGCCCTTCAAAACACGAGTTTCTTCAGTGACGTCAGGACTCCTGTCTAGTAACGAGGGACACCTCAGGAATCTCTTCGAGGCTTGGCAGGGCCAAAGGGACGCTTCTCGAGGTGAGGCAGGGCACCCAAGGACCCTTTCCAGTAGCCACAGGGATTTTGGGATTCCTATCAGTATTCAAGAGGAGTCAGGCATCGTCACCTTTTGAAGCAATGAACTCCGCGTGCCTCTCGAGGTGTCAGCGGGATGTGAGGCATTCCGTCAAAATGAGGCAGGGACCTAGGGCTTTCTCTAAGGTCTCCACAGGGGATTCAGACATCCCTTCATGTTGTGAGATGAAAGACGAGCCTGTATTCAAGCCACTGCAAGGAAATCCGGCCTCCTTTCAAGTTAGGGCTTCTCGCTGTATATTCCCCTTGAGGCAGCAAACTCGGGGTCCCTCCCACATACCTATTGCTGAGAGAAGCCTCCTCCTGAGGTGCTTCTGGGAAGTTGGCATACGTCTTGAGCCTAAGCCAGGGAATCAGCTCGCATCTCGAGACGATTTGGGGTACACGGAGCATTCCTCGAGTTGCTGTGCTGAAGTTGGTGTTCCTCTAGACTTGGGACAGTGTTCTCGGGGCATCTCTGGAGTTGCCTGAAGGAAGTCGAGCCACCGGTCGTGTTGAATGGGGAACGGGGAATGGCTCTGGAGTCAATGCAGGGGAATCGGGCCTCATCTCGAGTTGATTTGGGGCACATGGAGCTGCTTTGCGTTGCTGGGGTGACCTCAGGGTCCGTCTAGACTGGTGACAGTGTTCTTGGGGACTGTCTCGAGATCCATTAAGCAAGTCGAAGCTCCTGACTTGTTTGAATGGGATCACGGAATAGCTCTGCATGCACTGCAGGGGAATGGGGCCTCATCTCGCCTCTAGGGGGAAGTCTCATGGTTTTTCTCGAGTTGCGGCGGGGACCTGGGGTATGTTCTCGACTTACGGCGGGGATGGCCCTTCAAAACACGAGTTTCTTCAGTGACGTCAGGACTCCTGTCTAGTAACGAGGGACACCTCAGGAATCTCTTCGAGGCTTGGCAGGGCCAAAGGGACGCTTCTCGAGGTGAGGCAGGGCACCCAAGGACCCTTTCCAGTAGCTACAGGGATTTTGGGATTCCTATCAGTATTCAAGAGGAGTCAGGCATCATCACCTTTTGAAGCAATGAACTCCGCGTGCCTCTCGAGGTGTCAGCGGGATGTGAGGCATTCCGTCAAAATGAGGCAGGGACCTAGGGCTTTCTCTAAGGTCTCCACAGGGGATTCAGACATCCCTTCATGTTGTGAGATGAAAGACGAGCCTGTATTCAAGCCACTGCAAGGAAATCCGGCCTCCTTTCAAGTTAGGGCTTCTCGCTGTATATTCCCCTTGAGGCAGCAAACTCGGGGTCCCTCCCACATACCTATTGCTGAGAGAAGCCTCCTCCTGAGGTGCTTCTGGGAAGTTGGCATACGTCTTGAGCCTAAGCCAGAGAATCAGCTCGCATCTCGAGACGATTTGGGGTACACGGAGCATTCCTCGAGTTGCTGTGCTGAAGGTGGTGTTCCTCTAGACTTGGGACAGTGTTCTCGGGGCATCTCTGGAGTTGCCTGAAGGAAGTCGAGCCACCGGTCGTGTTGAATGGGGAACGGGGAATGGCTCTGGAGTCAATGCAGGGGAATCGGGCCTCATCTCGAGTTGATTTGGGGCACATGGAGCTGCTTTGCGTTGCTGGGGTGACCTCAGGGTCCGTCTAGACTGGTGACAGTGTTCTTGGGGACTGTCTCGAGATCCATTAAGCAAGTCGAAGCTCCTGCCTTGTTTGAATGGGGTCACGGAATAGCTCTGCATGCACTGCAGGGGAATGGGGCCTCATCTCGCCTCTAGGGGGAAGTCTCATGGTTTTTCTCGAGTTGCGGCGGGGACCTGGGGTATGTTCTCGACTTACGGCGGGGATGGCCCTTCAAAACACGAGTTTCTTCAGTGACGTCAGGACTCCTGTCTAGTAACGAGGGACACCTCAGGAATCTCTTCGAGGCTTGGCAGGGCCAAAGGGACGCTTCTCGAGGTGAGGCAGGGCACCCAAGGACCCTTTCCAGTAGCCACAGGGATTTTGGGATTCCTATCAGTATTCAAGAGGAGTCAGGCATCGTCACCTTTTGAAGCAATGAACTCCGCGTGCCTCTCGAGGTGTCAGCGGGATGTGAGGCATTCCGTCAAAATGAGGCAGGGACCTAGGGCTTTCTCTAAGGTCTCCACAGGGGATTCAGACATCCCTTCATGTTGTGAGATGAAAGACGAGCCTGTATTCAAGCCACTGCAAGGAAATCCGGCCTCCTTTCAAGTTAGGGCTTCTCGCTGTATATTCCCCTTGAGGCAGCAAACTCGGGGTCCCTCCCACATACCTATTGCTGAGAGAAGCCTCCTCCTGAGGTGCTTCTGGGAAGTTGGCATACGTCTTGAGCCTAAGCCAGGGAATCAGCTCGCATCTCGAGACGATTTGGGGTACACGGAGCATTCCTCGAGTTGCTGTGCTGAAGGTGGTGTTCCTCTAGACTTGGGACAGTGTTCTCGGGGCATCTCTGGAGTTGCCTGAAGGAAGTCGAGCCACCGGTCGTGTTGAATGGGGAACGGGGAATGGCTCTGGAGTCAATGCAGGGGAATTGGGCCTCATCTCGAGTTGATTTGGGGCACATGGAGCTGCTTTGCGTTGCTGGGGTGACCTCAGGGTCCGTCTAGACTGGTGACAGTGTTCTTGGGGACTGTCTCGAGATCCATTAAGCAAGTCGAAGCTCCTGACTTGTTTGAATGGGATCACGGAATAGCTCTGCATGCACTGCAGGGGAATGGGGCCTCATCTCGCCTCTAGGGGGAAGTCTCATGGTTTTTCTCGAGTTGCGGCGGGGACCTGGGGTATGTTCTCGACTTACGGCGGGGATGGCCCTTCAAAACACGAGTTTCTTCAGTGACGTCAGGACTCCTGTCTAGTAACGAGGGACACCTCAGGAATCTCTTCGAGGCTTGGCAGGGCCAAAGGGACGCTTCTCGAGGTGAGGCAGGGCACCCAAGGACCCTTTCCAGTAGCCACAGGGATTTTGGGATTCCTATCAGTATTCAAGAGGAGTCAGGCATCGTCACCTTTTGAAGCAATGAACTCCGCGTGCCTCTCGAGGTGTCAGCAGGATGTGAGGCATTCCGTCAAAATGAGGCAGGGACCTAGGGCTTTCTCTAAGGTCTCCACAGGGGATTCAGACATCCCTTCATGTTGTGAGATGAAAGACGAGCCTGTATTCAAGCCACTGCAAGGAAATCCGGCCTCCTTTCAAGTTAGGGCTTCTCGCTGTATATTCCCCTTGAGGCAGCAAACTCGGGATCCCTCCCACATACCTATTGCTGAGAGAAGCCTCCTCCTGAGGTGCTTCTGGGAAGTTGGCATACGTCTTGAGCCTAAGCCAGGGAATCAGCTCGCATCTCGAGACGATTTGGGGTACACGGAGCATTCCTCGAGTTGCTGTGCTGAAGTTGGTGTTCCTCTAGACTTGGGACAGTGTTCTCGGGGCATCTCTGGAGTTGCCTGAAGGAAGTCGAGCCACCGGTCGTGTTGAATGGGGAACGGGGAATGGCTCTGGAGTCAATGCAGGGGAATCGGGCCTCATCTCGAGTTGATTTGGGGCACATGGAGCTGCTTTGCGTTGCTGGGGTGACCTCAGGGTCCGTCTAGACTGGTGACAGTGTTCTTGGGGACTGTCTCGAGATCCATTAAGCAAGTCGAAGCTCCTGACTTGTTTGAATGGGATCACGGAATAGCTCTGCATGCACTGCAGGGGAATGGGGCCTCATCTCGCCTCTAGGGGGAAGTCTCATGGTTTTTCTCGAGTTGCGGCGGGGACCTGGGGTATGTTCTCGACTTACGGCGGGGATGGCCCTTCAAAACACGAGTTTCTTCAGTGACGTCAGGACTCCTGTCTAGTAACGAGGGACACCTCAGGAATCTCTTCGAGGCTTGGCAGGGCCAAAGGGACGCTTCTCGAGGTGAGGCAGGGCACCCAAGGACCCTTTCCAGTAGCCACAGGGATTTTGGGATTCCTATCAGTATTCAAGAGGAGTCAGGCATCGTCACCTTTTGAAGCAATGAACTCCGCGTGCCTCTCGAGGTGTCAGCGGGATGTGAGGCATTCCGTCAAAATGAGGCAGGGACCTAGGGCTTTCTCTAAGGTCTCCACAGGGGATTCAGACATCCCTTCATGTTGTGAGATGAAAGACGAGCCTGTATTCAAGCCACTGCAAGGAAATCCGGCCTCCTTTCAAGTTAGGGCTTCTCGCTGTATATTCCCCTTGAGGCAGCAAACTCGGGGTCCCTCCCACATACCTATTGCTGAGAGAAGCCTCCTCCTGAGGTGCTTCTGGGAAGTTGGCATACGTCTTGAGCCTAAGCCAGGGAATCAGCTCGCATCTCGAGACGATTTGGGGTACACGGAGCATTCCTCGAGTTGCTGTGCTGAAGTTGGTGTTCCTCTAGACTTGGGACAGTGTTCTCGGGGCATCTCTGGAGTTGCCTGAAGGAAGTCGAGCCACCGGTCGTGTTGAATGGGGAACGGGGAATGGCTCTGGAGTCAATGCAGGGGAATCGGGCCTCATCTCGAGTTGATTTGGGGCACATGGAGCTGCTTTGCGTTGCTGGGGTGACCTCAGGGTCCGTCTAGACTGGTGACAGTGTTCTTGGGGACTGTCTCGAGATCCATTAAGCAAGTCGAAGCTCCTGACTTGTTTGAATGGGATCACGGAATAGCTCTGCATGCACTGCAGGGGAATGGGGCCTCATCTCGCCTCTAGGGGGAAGTCTCATGGTTTTTCTCGAGTTGCGGCGGGGACCTGGGGTATGTTCTCGACTTACGGCGGGGATGGCCCTTCAAAACACGAGTTTCTTCAGTGACGTCAGGACTCCTGTCTAGTAACGAGGGACACCTCAGGAATCTCTTCGAGGCTTGGCAGGGCCAAAGGGACGCTTCTCGAGGTGAGGCAGGGCACCCAAGGACCCTTTCCAGTAGCTACAGGGATTTTGGGATTCCTATCAGTATTCAAGAGGAGTCAGGCATCATCACCTTTTGAAGCAATGAACTCCGCGTGCCTCTCGAGGTGTCAGCGGGATGTGAGGCATTCCGTCAAAATGAGGCAGGGAACTAGGGCTTTCTCTAAGGTCTCCACAGGGGATTCAGACTTCCCTTCATGTTGTGAGATGAAAGACGAGCCTGTATTCAAGCCACTGCAAGGAAATCCGGCCTCCTTTCAAGTTAGGGCTTCTCGCTGTATATTCCCCTTGAGGCAGCAAACTCGGGGTCCCTCCCACATACCTATTGCTGAGAGAAGCCTCCTCCTGAGGTGCTTCTGGGAAGTTGGCATACGTCTTGAGCCTAAGCCAGAGAATCAGCTCGCATCTCGAGACGATTTGGGGTACACGGAGCATTCCTCGAGTTGCTGTGCTGAAGGTGGTGTTCCTCTAGACTTGGGACAGTGTTCTCGGGGCATCTCTGGAGTTGCCTGAAGGAAGTCGAGCCACCGGTCGTGTTGAATGGGGAACGGGGAATGGCTCTGGAGTCAATGCAGGGGAATCGGGCCTCATCTCGAGTTGATTTGGGGCACATGGAGCTGCTTTGCGTTGCTGGGGTGACCTCAGGGTCCGTCTAGACTGGTGACAGTGTTCTTGGGGACTGTCTCGAGATCCATTAAGCAAGTCGAAGCTCCTGCCTTGTTTGAATGGGGTCACGGAATAGCTCTGCATGCACTGCAGGGGAATGGGGCCTCATCTCGCCTCTAGGGGGAAGTCTCATGGTTTTTCTCGAGTTGCGGCGGGGACCTGGGGTATGTTCTCGACTTACGGCGGGGATGGCCCTTCAAAACACGAGTTTCTTCAGTGACGTCAGGACTCCTGTCTAGTAACGAGGGACACCTCAGGAATCTCTTCGAGGCTTGGCAGGGCCAAAGGGACGCTTCTCGAGGTGAGGCAGGGCACCCAAGGACCCTTTCCAGTAGCCACAGGGATTTTGGGATTCCTATCAGTATTCAAGAGGAGTCAGGCATCATCACCTTTTGAAGCAATGAACTCCGCGTGCCTCTCGAGGTGTCAGCGGGATGTGAGGCATTCCGTCAAAATGAGGCAGGGACCTAGGGCTTTCTCTAAGGTCTCCACAGGGGATTCAGACATCCCTTCATGTTGTGAGATGAAAGACGAGCCTGTATTCAAGCCACTGCAAGGAAATCCGGCCTCCTTTCAAGTTAGGGCTTCTCGCTGTATATTCCCCTTGAGGCAGCAAACTCGGGGTCCCTCCCACATACCTATTGCTGAGAGAAGCCTCCTCCTGAGGTGCTTCTGGGAAGTTGGCATACGTCTTGAGCCTAAGCCAGGGAATCAGCTCGCATCTCGAGACGATTTGGGGTACACGGAGCATTCCTCGAGTTGCTGTGCTGAAGGTGGTGTTCCTCTAGACTTGGGACAGTGTTCTCGGGGCATCTCTGGAGTTGCCTGAAGGAAGTCGAGCCACCGGTCGTGTTGAATGGGGAACGGGGAATGGCTCTGGAGTCAATGCAGGGGAATTGGGCCTCATCTCGAGTTGATTTGGGGCACATGGAGCTGCTTTGCGTTGCTGGGGTGACCTCAGGGTCCGTCTAGACTGGTGACAGTGTTCTTGGGGACTGTCTCGAGATCCATTAAGCAAGTCGAAGCTCCTGACTTGTTTGAATGGGATCACGGAATAGCTCTGCATGCACTGCAGGGGAATGGGGCCTCATCTCGCCTCTAGGGGGAAGTCTCATGGTTTTTCTCGAGTTGCGGCGGGGACCTGGGGTATGTTCTCGACTTACGGCGGGGATGGCCCTTCAAAACACGAGTTTCTTCAGTGACGTCAGGACTCCTGTCTAGTAACGAGGGACACCTCAGGAATCTCTTCGAGGCTTGGCAGGGCCAAAGGGACGCTTCTCGAGGTGAGGCAGGGCACCCAAGGACCCTTTCCAGTAGCCACAGGGATTTTGGGATTCCTATCAGTATTCAAGAGGAGTCAGGCATCGTCACCTTTTGAAGCAATGAACTGCGCGTGCCTCTCGAGGTGTCAGCAGGATGTGAGGCATTCCGTCAAAATGAGGCAGGGACCTAGGGCTTTCTCTAAGGTCTCCACAGGGGATTCAGACATCCCTTCATGTTGTGAGATGAAAGACGAGCCTGTATTCAAGCCACTGCAAGGAAATCCGGCCTCCTTTCAAGTTAGGGCTTCTCGCTGTATATTCCCCTTGAGGCAGCAAACTCGGGATCCCTCCCACATACCTATTGCTGAGAGAAGCCTCCTCCTGAGGTGCTTCTGGGAAGTTGGCATACGTCTTGAGCCTAAGCCAGGGAATCAGCTCGCATCTCGAGACGATTTGGGGTACACGGAGCATTCCTCGAGTTGCTGTGCTGAAGTTGGTGTTCCTCTAGACTTGGGACAGTGTTCTCGGGGCATCTCTGGAGTTGCCTGAAGGAAGTCGAGCCACCGGTCGTGTTGAATGGGGAACGGGGAATGGCTCTGGAGTCAATGCAGGGGAATCGGGCCTCATCTCGAGTTGATTTGGGGCACATGGAGCTGCTTTGCGTTGCTGGGGTGACCTCAGGGTCCGTCTAGACTGGTGACAGTGTTCTTGGGGACTGTCTCGAGATCCATTAAGCAAGTCGAAGCTCCTGACTTGTTTGAATGGGATCACGGAATAGCTCTGCATGCACTGCAGGGGAATGGGGCCTCATCTCGCCTCTAGGGGGAAGTCTCATGGTTTTTCTCGAGTTGCGGCGGGGACCTGGGGTATGTTCTCGACTTACGGCGGGGATGGCCCTTCAAAACACGAGTTTCTTCAGTGACGTCAGGACTCCTGTCTAGTAACGAGGGACACCTCAGGAATCTCTTCGAGGCTTGGCAGGGCCAAAGGGACGCTTCTCGAGGTGAGGCAGGGCACCCAAGGACCCTTTCCAGTAGCCACAGGGATTTTGGGATTCCTATCAGTATTCAAGAGGAGTCAGGCATCGTCACCTTTTGAAGCAATGAACTCCGCGTGCCTCTCGAGGTGTCAGCGGGATGTGAGGCATTCCGTCAAAATGAGGCAGGGACCTAGGGCTTTCTCTAAGGTCTCCACAGGGGATTCAGACATCCCTTCATGTTGTGAGATGAAAGACGAGCCTGTATTCAAGCCACTGCAAGGAAATCCGGCCTCCTTTCAAGTTAGGGCTTCTCGCTGTATATTCCCCTTGAGGCAGCAAACTCGGGGTCCCTCCCACATACCTATTGCTGAGAGAAGCCTCCTCCTGAGGTGCTTCTGGGAAGTTGGCATACGTCTTGAGCCTAAGCCAGGGAATCAGCTCGCATCTCGAGACGATTTGGGGTACACGGAGCATTCCTCGAGTTGCTGTGCTGAAGTTGGTGTTCCTCTAGACTTGGGACAGTGTTCTCGGGGCATCTCTGGAGTTGCCTGAAGGAAGTCGAGCCACCGGTCGTGTTGAATGGGGAACGGGGAATGGCTCTGGAGTCAATGCAGGGGAATCGGGCCTCATCTCGAGTTGATTTGGGGCACATGGAGCTGCTTTGCGTTGCTGGGGTGACCTCAGGGTCCGTCTAGACTGGTGACAGTGTTCTTGGGGACTGTCTCGAGATCCATTAAAGAAGTCGAAGCTCCTGACTTGTTTGAATGGGATCACGGAATAGCTCTGCATACACTGCAGGGGAATGGGGCCTCATCTCGCCTCTAGGGGGAAGTCTCATGGTTTTTCTCGAGTTGCGGCGGGGACCTGGGGTATGTTCTCGACTTACGGCGGGGATGGCCCTTCAAAACACGAGTTTCTTCAGTGACGTCAGGACTCCTGTCTAGTAACGAGGGACACCTCAGGAATCTCTTCGAGGCTTGGCAGGGCCAAAGGGACGCTTCTCGAGGTGAGGCAGGGCACCCAAGGACCCTTTCCAGTAGCCACAGGGATTTTGGGATTCCTATCAGTATTCAAGAGGAGTCAGGCATCGTCACCTTTTGAAGCAATGAACTCCGCGTGCCTCTCGAGGTGTCAGCGGGATGTGAGGCATTCCGTCAAAATGAGGCAGGGACCTAGGGCTTTCTCTAAGGTCTCCACAGGGGATTCAGACATCCCTTCATGTTGTGAGATGAAAGACGAGCCTGTATTCAAGCCACTGCAAGGAAATCCGGCCTCCTTTCAAGTTAGGGCTTCTCGCTGTATATTCCCCTTGAGGCAGCAAACTCGGGGTCCCTCCCACATACCTATTGCTGAGAGAAGCCTCCTCCTGAGGTGCTTCTGGGAAGTTGGCATACGTCTTGAGCCTAAGCCAGGGAATCAGCTCGCATCTCGAGACGATTTGGGGTACACGGAGCATTCCTCGAGTTGCTGTGCTGAAGTTGGTGTTCCTCTAGACTTGGGACAGTGTTCTCGGGGCATCTCTGGAGTTGCCTGAAGGAAGTCGAGCCACCGGTCGTGTTGAATGGGGAACGGGGAATGGCTCTGGAGTCAATGCAGGGGAATCGGGCCTCATCTCGAGTTGATTTGGGGCACATGGAGCTGCTTTGCGTTGCTGGGGTGACCTCAGGGTCCGTCTAGACTGGTGACAGTGTTCTTGGGGACTGTCTCGAGATCCATTAAGCAAGTCGAAGCTCCTGACTTGTTTGAATGGGATCACGGAATAGCTCTGCATGCACTGCAGGGGAATGGGGCCTCATCTCGCCTCTAGGGGGAAGTCTCATGGTTTTTCTCGAGTTGCGGCGGGGACCTGGGGTATGTTCTCGACTTACGGCGGGGATGGCCCTTCAAAACACGAGTTTCTTCAGTGACGTCAGGACTCCTGTCTAGTAACGAGGGACACCTCAGGAATCTCTTCGAGGCTTGGCAGGGCCAAAGGGACGCTTCTCGAGGTGAGGCAGGGCACCCAAGGACCCTTTCCAGTAGCTACAGGGATTTTGGGATTCCTATCAGTATTCAAGAGGAGTCAGGCATCATCACCTTTTGAAGCAATGAACTCCGCGTGCCTCTCGAGGTGTCAGCGGGATGTGAGGCATTCCGTCAAAATGAGGCAGGGACCTAGGGCTTTCTCTAAGGTCTCCACAGGGGATTCAGACATCCCTTCATGTTGTGAGATGAAAGACGAGCCTGTATTCAAGCCACTGCAAGGAAATCCGGCCTCCTTTCAAGTTAGGGCTTCTCGCTGTATATTCCCCTTGAGGCAGCAAACTCGGGGTCCCTCCCACATACCTATTGCTGAGAGAAGCCTCCTCCTGAGGTGCTTCTGGGAAGTTGGCATACGTCTTGAGCCTAAGCCAGAGAATCAGCTCGCATCTCGAGACGATTTGGGGTACACGGAGCATTCCTCGAGTTGCTGTGCTGAAGGTGGTGTTCCTCTAGACTTGGGACAGTGTTCTCGGGGCATCTCTGGAGTTGCCTGAAGGAAGTCGAGCCACCGGTCGTGTTGAATGGGGAACGGGGAATGGCTCTGGAGTCAATGCAGGGGAATCGGGCCTCATCTCGAGTTGATTTGGGGCACATGGAGCTGCTTTGCGTTGCTGGGGTGACCTCAGGGTCCGTCTAGACTGGTGACAGTGTTCTTGGGGACTGTCTCGAGATCCATTAAGCAAGTCGAAGCTCCTGCCTTGTTTGAATGGGGTCACGGAATAGCTCTGCATGCACTGCAGGGGAATGGGGCCTCATCTCGCCTCTAGGGGGAAGTCTCATGGTTTTTCTCGAGTTGCGGCGGGGACCTGGGGTATGTTCTCGACTTACGGCGGGGATGGCCCTTCAAAACACGAGTTTCTTCAGTGACGTCAGGACTCCTGTCTAGTAACGAGGGACACCTCAGGAATCTCTTCGAGGCTTGGCAGGGCCAAAGGGACGCTTCTCGAGGTGAGGCAGGGCACCCAAGGACCCTTTCCAGTAGCCACAGGGATTTTGGGATTCCTATCAGTATTCAAGAGGAGTCAGGCATCGTCACCTTTTGAAGCAATGAACTCCGCGTGCCTCTCGAGGTGTCAGCGGGATGTGAGGCATTCCGTCAAAATGAGGCAGGGACCTAGGGCTTTCTCTAAGGTCTCCACAGGGGATTCAGACATCCCTTCATGTTGTGAGATGAAAGACGAGCCTGTATTCAAGCCACTGCAAGGAAATCCGGCCTCCTTTCAAGTTAGGGCTTCTCGCTGTATATTCCCCTTGAGGCAGCAAACTCGGGGTCCCTCCCACATACCTATTGCTGAGAGAAGCCTCCTCCTGAGGTGCTTCTGGGAAGTTGGCATACGTCTTGAGCCTAAGCCAGGGAATCAGCTCGCATCTCGAGACGATTTGGGGTACACGGAGCATTCCTCGAGTTGCTGTGCTGAAGGTGGTGTTCCTCTAGACTTGGGACAGTGTTCTCGGGGCATCTCTGGAGTTGCCTGAAGGAAGTCGAGCCACCGGTCGTGTTGAATGGGGAACGGGGAATGGCTCTGGAGTCAATGCAGGGGAATTGGGCCTCATCTCGAGTTGATTTGGGGCACATGGAGCTGCTTTGCGTTGCTGGGGTGACCTCAGGGTCCGTCTAGACTGGTGACAGTGTTCTTGGGGACTGTCTCGAGATCCATTAAGCAAGTCGAAGCTCCTGACTTGTTTGAATGGGATCACGGAATAGCTCTGCATGCACTGCAGGGGAATGGGGCCTCATCTCGCCTCTAGGGGGAAGTCTCATGGTTTTTCTCGAGTTGCGGCGGGGACCTGGGGTATGTTCTCGACTTACGGCGGGGATGGCCCTTCAAAACACGAGTTTCTTCAGTGACGTCAGGACTCCTGTCTAGTAACGAGGGACACCTCAGGAATCTCTTCGAGGCTTGGCAGGGCCAAAGGGACGCTTCTCGAGGTGAGGCAGGGCACCCAAGGACCCTTTCCAGTAGCCACAGGGATTTTGGGATTCCTATCAGTATTCAAGAGGAGTCAGGCATCGTCACCTTTTGAAGCAATGAACTCCGCGTGCCTCTCGAGGTGTCAGCAGGATGTGAGGCATTCCGTCAAAATGAGGCAGGGACCTAGGGCTTTCTCTAAGGTCTCCACAGGGGATTCAGACATCCCTTCATGTTGTGAGATGAAAGACGAGCCTGTATTCAAGCCACTGCAAGGAAATCCGGCCTCCTTTCAAGTTAGGGCTTCTCGCTGTATATTCCCCTTGAGGCAGCAAACTCGGGATCCCTCCCACATACCTATTGCTGAGAGAAGCCTCCTCCTGAGGTGCTTCTGGGAAGTTGGCATACGTCTTGAGCCTAAGCCAGGGAATCAGCTCGCATCTCGAGACGATTTGGGGTACACGGAGCATTCCTCGAGTTGCTGTGCTGAAGTTGGTGTTCCTCTAGACTTGGGACAGTGTTCTCGGGGCATCTCTGGAGTTGCCTGAAGGAAGTCGAGCCACCGGTCGTGTTGAATGGGGAACGGGGAATGGCTCTGGAGTCAATGCAGGGGAATCGGGCCTCATCTCGAGTTGATTTGGGGCACATGGAGCTGCTTTGCGTTGCTGGGGTGACCTCAGGGTCCGTCTAGACTGGTGACAGTGTTCTTGGGGACTGTCTCGAGATCCATTAAGCAAGTCGAAGCTCCTGACTTGTTTGAATGGGATCACGGAATAGCTCTGCATGCACTGCAGGGGAATGGGGCCTCATCTCGCCTCTAGGGGGAAGTCTCATGGTTTTTCTCGAGTTGCGGCGGGGACCTGGGGTATGTTCTCGACTTACGGCGGGGATGGCCCTTCAAAACACGAGTTTCTTCAGTGACGTCAGGACTCCTGTCTAGTAACGAGGGACACCTCAGGAATCTCTTCGAGGCTTGGCAGGGCCAAAGGGACGCTTCTCGAGGTGAGGCAGGGCACCCAAGGACCCTTTCCAGTAGCCACAGGGATTTTGGGATTCCTATCAGTATTCAAGAGGAGTCAGGCATCGTCACCTTTTGAAGCAATGAACTCCGCGTGCCTCTCGAGGTGTCAGCGGGATGTGAGGCATTCCGTCAAAATGAGGCAGGGACCTAGGGCTTTCTCTAAGGTCTCCACAGGGGATTCAGACATCCCTTCATGTTGTGAGATGAAAGACGAGCCTGTATTCAAGCCACTGCAAGGAAATCCGGCCTCCTTTCAAGTTAGGGCTTCTCGCTGTATATTCCCCTTGAGGCAGCAAACTCGGGGTCCCTCCCACATACCTATTGCTGAGAGAAGCCTCCTCCTGAGGTGCTTCTGGGAAGTTGGCATACGTCTTGAGCCTAAGCCAGGGAATCAGCTCGCATCTCGAGACGATTTGGGGTACACGGAGCATTCCTCGAGTTGCTGTGCTGAAGTTGGTGTTCCTCTAGACTTGGGACAGTGTTCTCGGGGCATCTCTGGAGTTGCCTGAAGGAAGTCGAGCCACCGGTCGTGTTGAATGGGGAACGGGGAATGGCTCTGGAGTCAATGCAGGGGAATCGGGCCTCATCTCGAGTTGATTTGGGGCACATGGAGCTGCTTTGCGTTGCTGGGGTGACCTCAGGGTCCGTCTAGACTGGTGACAGTGTTCTTGGGGACTGTCTCGAGATCCATTAAGCAAGTCGAAGCTCCTGACTTGTTTGAATGGGATCACGGAATAGCTCTGCATGCACTGCAGGGGAATGGGGCCTCATCTCGCCTCTAGGGGGAAGTCTCATGGTTTTTCTCGAGTTGCGGCGGGGACCTGGGGTATGTTCTCGACTTACGGCGGGGATGGCCCTTCAAAACACGAGTTTCTTCAGTGACGTCAGGACTCCTGTCTAGTAACGAGGGACACCTCAGGAATCTCTTCGAGGCTTGGCAGGGCCAAAGGGACGCTTCTCGAGGTGAGGCAGGGCACCCAAGGACCCTTTCCAGTAGCTACAGGGATTTTGGGATTCCTATCAGTATTCAAGAGGAGTCAGGCATCATCACCTTTTGAAGCAATGAACTCCGCGTGCCTCTCGAGGTGTCAGCGGGATGTGAGGCATTCCGTCAAAATGAGGCAGGGACCTAGGGCTTTCTCTAAGGTCTCCACAGGGGATTCAGACTTCCCTTCATGTTGTGAGATGAAAGACGAGCCTGTATTCAAGCCACTGCAAGGAAATCCGGCCTCCTTTCAAGTTAGGGCTTCTCGCTGTATATTCCCCTTGAGGCAGCAAACTCGGGGTCCCTCCCACATACCTATTGCTGAGAGAAGCCTCCTCCTGAGGTGCTTCTGGGAAGTTGGCATACGTCTTGAGCCTAAGCCAGAGAATCAGCTCGCATCTCGAGACGATTTGGGGTACACGGAGCATTCCTCGAGTTGCTGTGCTGAAGGTGGTGTTCCTCTAGACTTGGGACAGTGTTCTCGGGGCATCTCTGGAGTTGCCTGAAGGAAGTCGAGCCACCGGTCGTGTTGAATGGGGAACGGGGAATGGCTCTGGAGTCAATGCAGGGGAATCGGGCCTCATCTCGAGTTGATTTGGGGCACATGGAGCTGCTTTGCGTTGCTGGGGTGACCTCAGGGTCCGTCTAGACTGGTGACAGTGTTCTTGGGGACTGTCTCGAGATCCATTAAGCAAGTCGAAGCTCCTGCCTTGTTTGAATGGGGTCACGGAATAGCTCTGCATGCACTGCCGGGGAATGGGGCCTCATCTCGCCTCTAGGGGGAAGTCTCATGGTTTTTCTCGAGTTGCGGCGGGGACCTGGGGTATGTTCTCGACTTACGGCGGGGATGGCCCTTCAAAACACGAGTTTCTTCAGTGACGTCAGGACTCCTGTCTAGTAACGAGGGACACCTCAGGAATCTCTTCGAGGCTTGGCAGGGCCAAAGGGACGCTTCTCGAGGTGAGGCAGGGCACCCAAGGACCCTTTCCAGTAGCCACAGGGATTTTGGGATTCCTATCAGTATTCAAGAGGAGTCAGGCATCATCACCTTTTGAAGCAATGAACTCCGCGTGCCTCTCGAGGTGTCAGCGGGATGTGAGGCATTCCGTCAAAATGAGGCAGGGACCTAGGGCTTTCTCTAAGGTCTCCACAGGGGATTCAGACATCCCTTCATGTTGTGAGATGAAAGACGAGCCTGTATTCAAGCCACTGCAAGGAAATCCGGCCTCCTTTCAAGTTAGGGCTTCTCGCTGTATATTCCCCTTGAGGCAGCAAACTCGGGGTCCCTCCCACATACCTATTGCTGAGAGAAGCCTCCTCCTGAGGTGCTTCTGGGAAGTTGGCATACGTCTTGAGCCTAAGCCAGGGAATCAGCTCGCATCTCGAGACGATTTGGGGTACACGGAGCATTCCTCGAGTTGCTGTGCTGAAGGTGGTGTTCCTCTAGACTTGGGACAGTGTTCTCGGGGCATCTCTGGAGTTGCCTGAAGGAAGTCGAGCCACCGGTCGTGTTGAATGGGGAACGGGGAATGGCTCTGGAGTCAATGCAGGGGAATTGGGCCTCATCTCGAGTTGATTTGGGGCACATGGAGCTGCTTTGCGTTGCTGGGGTGACCTCAGGGTCCGTCTAGACTGGTGACAGTGTTCTTGGGGACTGTCTCGAGATCCATTAAGCAAGTCGAAGCTCCTGACTTGTTTGAATGGGATCACGGAATAGCTCTGCATGCACTGCAGGGGAATGGGGCCTCATCTCGCCTCTAGGGGGAAGTCTCATGGTTTTTCTCGAGTTGCGGCGGGGACCTGGGGTATGTTCTCGACTTACGGCGGGGATGGCCCTTCAAAACACGAGTTTCTTCAGTGACGTCAGGACTCCTGTCTAGTAACGAGGGACACCTCAGGAATCTCTTCGAGGCTTGGCAGGGCCAAAGGGACGCTTCTCGAGGTGAGGCAGGGCACCCAAGGACCCTTTCCAGTAGCCACAGGGATTTTGGGATTCCTATCAGTATTCAAGAGGAGTCAGGCATCGTCACCTTTTGAAGCAATGAACTGCGCGTGCCTCTCGAGGTGTCAGCAGGATGTGAGGCATTCCGTCAAAATGAGGCAGGGACCTAGGGCTTTCTCTAAGGTCTCCACAGGGGATTCAGACATCCCTTCATGTTGTGAGATGAAAGACGAGCCTGTATTCAAGCCACTGCAAGGAAATCCGGCCTCCTTTCAAGTTAGGGCTTCTCGCTGTATATTCCCCTTGAGGCAGCAAACTCGGGATCCCTCCCACATACCTATTGCTGAGAGAAGCCTCCTCCTGAGGTGCTTCTGGGAAGTTGGCATACGTCTTGAGCCTAAGCCAGGGAATCAGCTCGCATCTCGAGACGATTTGGGGTACACGGAGCATTCCTCGAGTTGCTGTGCTGAAGTTGGTGTTCCTCTAGACTTGGGACAGTGTTCTCGGGGCATCTCTGGAGTTGCCTGAAGGAAGTCGAGCCACCGGTCGTGTTGAATGGGGAACGGGGAATGGCTCTGGAGTCAATGCAGGGGAATCGGGCCTCATCTCGAGTTGATTTGGGGCACATGGAGCTGCTTTGCGTTGCTGGGGTGACCTCAGGGTCCGTCTAGACTGGTGACAGTGTTCTTGGGGACTGTCTCGAGATCCATTAAGCAAGTCGAAGCTCCTGACTTGTTTGAATGGGATCACGGAATAGCTCTGCATGCACTGCAGGGGAATGGGGCCTCATCTCGCCTCTAGGGGGAAGTCTCATGGTTTTTCTCGAGTTGCGGCGGGGACCTGGGGTATGTTCTCGACTTACGGCGGGGATGGCCCTTCAAAACACGAGTTTCTTCAGTGACGTCAGGACTCCTGTCTAGTAACGAGGGACACCTCAGGAATCTCTTCGAGGCTTGGCAGGGCCAAAGGGACGCTTCTCGAGGTGAGGCAGGGCACCCAAGGACCCTTTCCAGTAGCCACAGGGATTTTGGGATTCCTATCAGTATTCAAGAGGAGTCAGGCATCGTCACCTTTTGAAGCAATGAACTCCGCGTGCCTCTCGAGGTGTCAGCGGGATGTGAGGCATTCCGTCAAAATGAGGCAGGGACCTAGGGCTTTCTCTAAGGTCTCCACAGGGGATTCAGACATCCCTTCATGTTGTGAGATGAAAGACGAGCCTGTATTCAAGCCACTGCAAGGAAATCCGGCCTCCTTTCAAGTTAGGGCTTCTCGCTGTATATTCCCCTTGAGGCAGCAAACTCGGGGTCCCTCCCACATACCTATTGCTGAGAGAAGCCTCCTCCTGAGGTGCTTCTGGGAAGTTGGCATACGTCTTGAGCCTAAGCCAGGGAATCAGCTCGCATCTCGAGACGATTTGGGGTACACGGAGCATTCCTCGAGTTGCTGTGCTGAAGTTGGTGTTCCTCTAGACTTGGGACAGTGTTCTCGGGGCATCTCTGGAGTTGCCTGAAGGAAGTCGAGCCACCGGTCGTGTTGAATGGGGAACGGGGAATGGCTCTGGAGTCAATGCAGGGGAATCGGGCCTCATCTCGAGTTGATTTGGGGCACATGGAGCTGCTTTGCGTTGCTGGGGTGACCTCAGGGTCCGTCTAGACTGGTGACAGTGTTCTTGGGGACTGTCTCGAGATCCATTAAAGAAGTCGAAGCTCCTGACTTGTTTGAATGGGATCACGGAATAGCTCTGCATACACTGCAGGGGAATGGGGCCTCATCTCGCCTCTAGGGGGAAGTCTCATGGTTTTTCTCGAGTTGCGGCGGGGACCTGGGGTATGTTCTCGACTTACGGCGGGGATGGCCCTTCAAAACACGAGTTTCTTCAGTGACGTCAGGACTCCTGTCTAGTAACGAGGGACACCTCAGGAATCTCTTCGAGGCTTGGCAGGGCCAAAGGGACGCTTCTCGAGGTGAGGCAGGGCACCCAAGGACCCTTTCCAGTAGCTACAGGGATTTTGGGATTCCTATCAGTATTCAAGAGGAGTCAGGCATCATCACCTTTTGAAGCAATGAACTCCGCGTGCCTCTCGAGGTGTCAGCGGGATGTGAGGCATTCCGTCAAAATGAGGCAGGGACCTAGGGCTTTCTCTAAGGTCTCCACAGGGGATTCAGACTTCCCTTCATGTTGTTAGATGAAAGACGAGCCTGTATTCAAGCCACTGCAAGGAAATCCGGCCTCCTTTCAAGTTAGGGCTTCTCGCTGTATATTCCCCTTGAGGCAGCAAACTCGGGGTCCCTCCCACATACCTATTGCTGAGAGAAGCCTCCTCCTGAGGTGCTTCTGGGAAGTTGGCATACGTCTTGAGCCTAAGCCAGAGAATCAGCTCGCATCTCGAGACGATTTGGGGTACACGGAGCATTCCTCGAGTTGCTGTGCTGAAGGTGGTGTTCCTCTAGACTTGGGACAGTGTTCTCGGGGCATCTCTGGAGTTGCCTGAAGGAAGTCGAGCCACCGGTCGTGTTGAATGGGGAACGGGGAATGGCTCTGGAGTCAATGCAGGGGAATCGGGCCTCATCTCGAGTTGATTTGGGGCACATGGAGCTGCTTTGCGTTGCTGGGGTGACCTCAGGGTCCGTCTAGACTGGTGACAGTGTTCTTGGGGACTGTCTCGAGATCCATTAAGCAAGTCGAAGCTCCTGCCTTGTTTGAATGGGGTCACGGAATAGCTCTGCATGCACTGCAGGGGAATGGGGCCTCATCTCGCCTCTAGGGGGAAGTCTCATGGTTTTTCTCGAGTTGCGGCGGGGACCTGGGGTATGTTCTCGACTTACGGCGGGGATGGCCCTTCAAAACACGAGTTTCTTCAGTGACGTCAGGACTCCTGTCTAGTAACGAGGGACACCTCAGGAATCTCTTCGAGGCTTGGCAGGGCCAAAGGGACGCTTCTCGAGGTGAGGCAGGGCACCCAAGGACCCTTTCCAGTAGCCACAGGGATTTTGGGATTCCTATAAGTATTCAAGAGGAGTCAGGCATCGTCACCTTTTGAAGCAATGAACTCCGCGTGCCTCTCGAGGTGTCAGCGGGATGTGAGGCATTCCGTCAAAATGAGGCAGGGACCTAGGGCTTTCTCTAAGGTCTCCACAGGGGATTCAGACATCCCTTCATGTTGTGAGATGAAAGACGAGCCTGTATTCAAGCCACTGCAAGGAAATCCGGCCTCCTTTCAAGTTAGGGCTTCTCGCTGTATATTCCCCTTGAGGCAGCAAACTCGGGGTCCCTCCCACATACCTATTGCTGAGAGAAGCCTCCTCCTGAGGTGCTTCTGGGAAGTTGGCATACGTTTTGAGCCTAAGCCAGGGAATCAGCTCGCATCTCGAGACGATTTGGGGTACACGGAGCATTCCTCGAGTTGCTGTGCTGAAGTTGGTGTTCCTCTAGACTTGGGACAGTGTTCTCGGGGCATCTCTGGAGTTGCCTGAAGGAAGTCGAGCCACCGGTCGTGTTGAATGGGGAACGGGGAATGGCTCTGGAGTCAATGCAGGGGAATCGGGCCTCATCTCGAGTTGATTTGGGGCACATGGAGCTGCTTTGCGTTGCTGGGGTGACCTCAGGGTCCGTCTAGACTGGTGACAGTGTTCTTGGGGACTGTCTCGAGATCCATTAAGCAAGTCGAAGCTCCTGACTTGTTTGAATGGGATCACGGAATAGCTCTGCATGCACTGCAGGGGAATGGGGCCTCATCTCGCCTCTAGGGGGAAGTCTCATGGTTTTTCTCGAGTTGCGGCGGGGACCTGGGGTATGTTCTCGACTTACGGCGGGGATGGCCCTTCAAAACACGAGTTTCTTCAGTGACGTCAGGACTCCTGTCTAGTAACGAGGGACACCTCAGGAATCTCTTCGAGGCTTGGCAGGGCCAAAGGGACGCTTCTCGAGGTGAGGCAGGGCACCCAAGGACCCTTTCCAGTAGCCACAGGGATTTTGGGATTCCTATCAGTATTCAAGAGGAGTCAGGCATCGTCACCTTTTGAAGCAATGAACTCCGCGTGCCTCTCGAGGTGTCAGCGGGATGTGAGGCATTCCGTCAAAATGAGGCAGGGACCTAGGGCTTTCTCTAAGGTCTCCACAGGGGATTCAGACATCCCTTCATGTTGTGAGATGAAAGACGAGCCTGTATTCAAGCCACTGCAAGGAAATCCGGCCTCCTTTCAAGTTAGGGCTTCTCGCTGTATATTCCCCTTGAGGCAGCAAACTCGGGGTCCCTCCCACATACCTATTGCTGAGAGAAGCCTCCTCCTGAGGTGCTTCTGGGAAGTTGGCATACGTCTTGAGCCTAAGCCAGGGAATCAGCTCGCATCTCGAGACGATTTGGGGTACACGGAGCATTCCTCGAGTTGCTGTGCTGAAGTTGGTGTTCCTCTAGACTTGGGACAGTGTTCTCGGGGCATCTCTGGAGTTGCCTGAAGGAAGTCGAGCCACCGGTCGTGTTGAATGGGGAACGGGGAATGGCTCTGGAGTCAATGCAGGGGAATCGGGCCTCATCTCGAGTTGATTTGGGGCACATGGAGCTGCTTTGCGTTGCTGGGGTGACCTCAGGGTCCGTCTAGACTGGTGACAGTGTTCTTGGGGACTGTCTCGAGATCCATTAAGCAAGTCGAAGCTCCTGACTTGTTTGAATGGGATCACGGAATAGCTCTGCATGCACTGCAGGGGAATGGGGCCTCATCTCGCCTCTAGGGGGAAGTCTCATGGTTTTTCTCGAGTTGCGGCGGGGACCTGGGGTATGTTCTCGACTTACGGCGGGGATGGCCCTTCAAAACACGAGTTTCTTCAGTGACGTCAGGACTCCTGTCTAGTAACGAGGGACACCTCAGGAATCTCTTCGAGGCTTGGCAGGGCCAAAGGGACGCTTCTCGAGGTGAGGCAGGGCACCCAAGGACCCTTTCCAGTAGCCACAGGGATTTTGGGATTCCTATCAGTATTCAAGAGGAGTCAGGCATCGTCACCTTTTGAAGCAATGAACTCCGCGTGCCTCTCGAGGTGTCAGCGGGATGTGAGGCATTCCGTCAAAATGAGGCAGGGACCTAGGGCTTTCTCTAAGGTCTCCACAGGGGATTCAGACATCCCTTCATGTTGTGAGATGAAAGACGAGCCTGTATTCAAGCCACTGCAAGGAAATCCGGCCTCCTTTCAAGTTAGGGCTTCTCGCTGTATATTCCCCTTGAGGCAGCAAACTCGGGGTCCCTCCCACATACCTATTGCTGAGAGAAGCCTCCTCCTGAGGTGCTTCTGGGAAGTTGGCATACGTCTTGAGCCTAAGCCAGGGAATCAGCTCGCATCTCGAGACGATTTGGGGTACACGGAGCATTCCTCGAGTTGCTGTGCTGAAGTTGGTGTTCCTCTAGACTTGGGACAGTGTTCTCGGGGCATCTCTGGAGTTGCCTGAAGGAAGTCGAGCCACCGGTCGTGTTGAATGGGGAACGGGGAATGGCTCTGGAGTCAATGCAGGGGAATCGGGCCTCATCTCGAGTTGATTTGGGGCACATGGAGCTGCTTTGCGTTGCTGGGGTGACCTCAGGGTCCGTCTAGACTGGTGACAGTGTTCTTGGGGACTGTCTCGAGATCCATTAAGCAAGTCGAAGCTCCTGACTTGTTTGAATGGGATCACGGAATAGCTCTGCATGCACTGCAGGGGAATGGGGCCTCATCTCGCCTCTAGGGGGAAGTCTCATGGTTTTTCTCGAGTTGCGGCGGGGACCTGGGGTATGTTCTCGACTTACGGCGGGGATGGCCCTTCAAAACACGAGTTTCTTCAGTGACGTCAGGACTCCTGTCTAGTAACGAGGGACACCTCAGGAATCTCTTCGAGGCTTGGCAGGGCCAAAGGGACGCTTCTCGAGGTGAGGCAGGGCACCCAAGGACCCTTTCCAGTAGCCACAGGGATTTTGGGATTCCTATCAGTATTCAAGAGGAGTCAGGCATCGTCACCTTTTGAAGCAATGAACTCCGCGTGCCTCTCGAGGTGTCAGCGGGATGTGAGGCATTCCGTCAAAATGAGGCAGGGACCTAGGGCTTTCTCTAAGGTCTCCACAGGGGATTCAGACATCCCTTCATGTTGTGAGATGAAAGACGAGCCTGTATTCAAGCCACTGCAAGGAAATCCGGCCTCCTTTCAAGTTAGGGCTTCTCGCTGTATATTCCCCTTGAGGCAGCAAACTCGGGGTCCCTCCCACATACCTATTGCTGAGAGAAGCCTCCTCCTGAGGTGCTTCTGGGAAGTTGGCATACGTCTTGAGCCTAAGCCAGAGAATCAGCTCGCATCTCGAGACGATTTGGGGTACACGGAGCATTCCTCGAGTTGCTGTGCTGAAGGTGGTGTTCCTCTAGACTTGGGACAGTGTTCTCGGGGCATCTCTGGAGTTGCCTGAAGGAAGTCGAGCCACCGGTCGTGTTGAATGGGGAACGGGGAATGGCTCTGGAGTCAATGCAGGGGAATCGGGCCTCATCTCGAGTTGATTTGGGGCACATGGAGCTGCTTTGCGTTGCTGGGGTGACCTCAGGGTCCGTCTAGACTGGTGACAGTGTTCTTGGGGACTGTCTCGAGATCCATTAAGCAAGTCGAAGCTCCTGCCTTGTTTGAATGGGGTCACGGAATAGCTCTGCATGCACTGCAGGGGAATGGGGCCTCATCTCGCCTCTAGGGGGAAGTCTCATGGTTTTTCTCGAGTTGCGGCGGGGACCTGGGGTATGTTCTCGACTTACGGCGGGGATGGCCCTTCAAAACACGAGTTTCTTCAGTGACGTCAGGACTCCTGTCTAGTAACGAGGGACACCTCAGGAATCTCTTCGAGGCTTGGCAGGGCCAAAGGGACGCTTCTCGAGGTGAGGCAGGGCACCCAAGGACCCTTTCCAGTAGCCACAGGGATTTTGGGATTCCTATCAGTATTCAAGAGGAGTCAGGCATCGTCACCTTTTGAAGCAATGAACTCCGCGTGCCTCTCGAGGTGTCAGCGGGATGTGAGGCATTCCGTCAAAATGAGGCAGGGACCTAGGGCTTTCTCTAAGGTCTCCACAGGGGATTCAGACATCCCTTCATGTTGTGAGATGAAAGACGAGCCTGTATTCAAGCCACTGCAAGGAAATCCGGCCTCCTTTCAAGTTAGGGCTTCTCGCTGTATATTCCCCTTGAGGCAGCAAACTCGGGGTCCCTCCCACATACCTATTGCTGAGAGAAGCCTCCTCCTGAGGTGCTTCTGGGAAGTTGGCATATGTCTTGAGCCTAAGCCATGAAATCAGCTCGCATCTCGAGACGATTTGGGATACACGGAGCATTCCTCGAGTTGCTGTGCTGAAGTTGGTGTTCCTCTAGACTTGGGACAGTGTTCTCGGGGCATCTCTGGAGTTGCCTGAAGGAAGTCGAGCCACCGGTCGTGTTGAATGGGGAACGGGGAATGGCTCTGGAGTCAATGCAGGGGAATCGGGCCTCATCTCGAGTTGATTTGGGGCACATGGAGCTGCTTTGCGTTGCTGGGGTGACCTCAGGGTCCGTCTAGACTGGTGACAGTGTTCTTGGGGACTGTCTCGAGATCCATTAAGCAAGTCAAAGCTCCTGCCTTGTTTGAATGGGGTCACGGAATAGCTCTGCATGCACTGCAGGGGAATGGGGCCTCATCTCGCCTCTAGGGGGAAGTCTCATGGTTTTTCTCGAGTTGCGGCGGGGACCTGGGGTATGTTCTCGACTTACGGCGGGGATGGCCCTTCAAAACACGAGTTTCTTCAGTGACGTCAGGACTCCTGTCTAGTAACGAGGGACACCTCAGGAATCTCTTCGAGGCTTGGCAGGGCCAAAGGGACGCTTCTCGAGGTGAGGCAGGGCACCCAAGGACCCTTTCCAGTAGCCACAGGGATTTTGGGATTCCTATCAGTATTCAAGAGGAGTCAGGCATCGTCACCTTTTGAAGCAATGAACTCCGCGTGCCTCTCGAGGTGTCAGCGGGATGTGAGGCATTCCGTCAAAATGAGGCAGGGACCTAGGGCTTTCTCTAAGGTCTCCACAGGGGATTCAGACATCCCTTCATGTTGTGAGATGAAAGACGAGCCTGTATTCAAGCCACTGCAAGGAAATCCGGCCTCCTTTCAAGTTAGGGCTTCTCGCTGTATATTCCCCTTGAGGCAGCAAACTCGGGGTCCCTCCCACATACCTATTGCTGAGAGAAGCCTCCTCCTGAGGTGCTTCTGGGAAGTTGGCATACGTCTTGAGCCTAAGCCAGAGAATCAGCTCGCATCTCGAGACGATTTGGGGTACACGGAGCATTCCTCGAGTTGCTGTGCTGAAGGTGGTGTTCCTCTAGACTTGGGACAGTGTTCTCGGGGCATCTCTGGAGTTGCCTGAAGGAAGTCGAGCCACCGGTCGTGTTGAATGGGGAACGGGGAATGGCTCTGGAGTCAATGCAGGGGAATCGGGCCTCATCTCGAGTTGATTTGGGGCACATGGAGCTGCTTTGCGTTGCTGGGGTGACCTCAGGGTCCGTCTAGACTGGTGACAGTGTTCTTGGGGACTGTCTCGAGATCCATTAAGCAAGTCGAAGCTCCTGCCTTGTTTGAATGGGGTCACGGAATAGCTCTGCATGCACTGCAGGGGAATGGGGCCTCATCTCGCCTCTAGGGGGAAGTCTCATGGTTTTTCTCGAGTTGCGGCGGGGACCTGGGGTATGTTCTCGACTTACGGCGGGGATGGCCCTTCAAAACACGAGTTTCTTCAGTGACGTCAGGACTCCTGTCTAGTAACGAGGGACACCTCAGGAATCTCTTCGAGGCTTGGCAGGGCCAAAGGGACGCTTCTCGAGGTGAGGCAGGGCACCCAAGGACCCTTTCCAGTAGCCACAGGGATTTTGGGATTCCTATCAGTATTCAAGAGGAGTCAGGCATCGTCACCTTTTGAAGCAATGAACTCCGCGTGCCTCTCGAGGTGTCAGCGGGATGTGAGGCATTCCGTCAAAATGAGGCAGGGACCTAGGGCTTTCTCTAAGGTCTCCACAGGGGATTCAGACATCCCTTCATGTTGTGAGATGAAAGACGAGCCTGTATTCAAGCCACTGCAAGGAAATCCGGCCTCCTTTCAAGTTAGGGCTTCTCGCTGTATATTCCCCTTGAGGCAGCAAACTCGGGGTCCCTCCCACATACCTATTGCTGAGAGAAGCCTCCTCCTGAGGTGCTTCTGGGAAGTTGGCATACGTCTTGAGCCTAAGCCAGGGAATCAGCTCGCATCTCGAGACGATTTGGGGTACACGGAGCATTCCTCGAGTTGCTGTGCTGAAGGTGGTGTTCCTCTAGACTTGGGACAGTGTTCTCGGGGCATCTCTGGAGTTGCCTGAAGGAAGTCGAGCCACCGGTCGTGTTGAATGGGGAACGGGGAATGGCTCTGGAGTCAATGCAGGGGAATTGGGCCTCATCTCGAGTTGATTTGGGGCACATGGAGCTGCTTTGCGTTGCTGGGGTGACCTCAGGGTCCGTCTAGACTGGTGACAGTGTTCTTGGGGACTGTCTCAGATCCATTAAGCAAGTCGAAGCTCCTGACTTGTTTGAATGGGATCACGGAATAGCTCTGCATGCACTGCAGGGGAATGGGGCCTCATCTCGCCTCTAGGGGGAAGTCTCATGGTTTTTCTCGAGTTGCGGCGGGGACCTCGGGTATGTTCTCGACTTACGGCGGGGATAGCCCTTCAAAACACGAGTTTCTTCAGTGACGTCAGGACTCCTGTCTAGTAACGAGGGACACCTCAGGAATCTCTTCGAGGCTTGGCAGGGCCAAAGGGACGCTTCTCGAGGTGAGGCAGGTCACCCAAGGACCCTTTCCAGTAGCCACAGGGATTTTGGGATTCCTATCAGTATTCAAGAGGAGTCAGGCATCGTCACCTTTTGAAGCAATGAACTCCGCGTGCCTCTCGAGGTGTCAGCAGGATGTGAGGCATTCCGTCAAAATGAGGCAGGGACCTAGGGCTTTCTCTAAGGTCTCCACAGGGGATTCAGACATCCCTTCATGTTGTGAGATGAAAGACGAGCCTGTATTCAAGCCACTGCAAGGAAATCCGGCCTCCTTTCAAGTTAGGGCTTCTCGCTGTATATTCCCCTTGAGGCAGCAAACTCGGGATCCCTCCCACATACCTATTGCTGAGAGAAGCCTCCTCCTGAGGTGCTTCTGGGAAGTTGGCATACGTCTTGAGCCTAAGCCAGGGAATCAGCTCGCATCTCGAGACGATTTGGGGTACACGGAGCATTCCTCGAGTTGCTGTGCTGAAGTTGGTGTTCCTCTAGACTTGGGACAGTGTTCTCGGGGCATCTCTGGAGTTGCCTGAAGGAAGTCGAGCCACCGGTCGTGTTGAATGGGGAACGGGGAATGGCTCTGGAGTCAATGCAGGGGAATCGGGCCTCATCTCGAGTTGATTTGGGGCACATGGAGCTGCTTTGCGTTGCTGGGGTGACCTCAGGGTCCGTCTAGACTGGTGACAGTGTTCTTGGGGACTGTCTCGAGATCCATTAAGCAAGTCGAAGCTCCTGACTTGTTTGAATGGGATCACGGAATAGCTCTGCATGCACTGCAGGGGAATGGGGCCTCATCTCGCCTCTAGGGGGAAGTCTCATGGTTTTTCTCGAGTTGCGGCGGGGACCTGGGGTATGTTCTCGACTTACGGCGGGGATGGCCCTTCAAAACACGAGTTTCTTCAGTGACGTCAGGACTCCTGTCTAGTAACGAGGGACACCTCAGGAATCTCTTCGAGGCTTGGCAGGGCCAAAGGGACGCTTCTCGAGGTGAGGCAGGGCACCCAAGGACCCTTTCCAGTAGCCACAGGGATTTTGGGATTCCTATCAGTATTCAAGAGGAGTCAGGCATCGTCACCTTTTGAAGCAATGAACTCCGCGTGCCTCTCGAGGTGTCAGCGGGATGTGAGGCATTCCGTCAAAATGAGGCAGGGACCTAGGGCTTTCTCTAAGGTCTCCACAGGGGATTCAGACATCCCTTCATGTTGTGAGATGAAAGACGAGCCTGTATTCAAGCCACTGCAAGGAAATCCGGCCTCCTTTCAAGTTAGGGCTTCTCGCTGTATATTCCCCTTGAGGCAGCAAACTCGGGGTCCCTCCCACATACCTATTGCTGAGAGAAGCCTCCTCCTGAGGTGCTTCTGGGAAGTTGGCATACGTCTTGAGCCTAAGCCAGGGAATCAGCTCGCATCTCGAGACGATTTGGGGTACACGGAGCATTCCTCGAGTTGCTGTGCTGAAGTTGGTGTTCCTCTAGACTTGGGACAGTGTTCTCGGGGCATCTCTGGAGTTGCCTGAAGGAAGTCGAGCCACCGGTCGTGTTGAATGGGGAACGGGGAATGGCTCTGGAGTCAATGCAGGGGAATCGGGCCTCATCTCGAGTTGATTTGGGGCACATGGAGCTGCTTTGCGTTGCTGGGGTGACCTCAGGGTCCGTCTAGACTGGTGACAGTGTTCTTGGGGACTGTCTCGAGATCCATTAAGCAAGTCGAAGCTCCTGACTTGTTTGAATGGGATCACGGAATAGCTCTGCATGCACTGCAGGGGAATGGGGCCTCATCTCGCCTCTAGGGGGAAGTCTCATGGTTTTTCTCGAGTTGCGGCGGGGACCTGGGGTATGTTCTCGACTTACGGCGGGGATGGCCCTTCAAAACACGAGTTTCTTCAGTGACGTCAGGACTCCTGTCTAGTAACGAGGGACACCTCAGGAATCTCTTCGAGGCTTGGCAGGGCCAAAGGGACGCTTCTCGAGGTGAGGCAGGGCACCCAAGGACCCTTTCCAGTAGCTACAGGGATTTTGGGATTCCTATCAGTATTCAAGAGGAGTCAGGCATCATCACCTTTTGAAGCAATGAACTCCGCGTGCCTCTCGAGGTGTCAGCGGGATGTGAGGCATTCCGTCAAAATGAGGCAGGGACCTAGGGCTTTCTCTAAGGTCTCCACAGGGGATTCAGACATCCCTTCATGTTGTGAGATGAAAGACGAGCCTGTATTCAAGCCACTGCAAGGAAATCCGGCCTCCTTTCAAGTTAGGGCTTCTCGCTGTATATTCCCCTTGAGGCAGCAAACTCGGGGTCCCTCCCACATACCTATTGCTGAGAGAAGCCTCCTCCTGAGGTGCTTCTGGGAAGTTGGCATACGTCTTGAGCCTAAGCCAGAGAATCAGCTCGCATCTCGAGACGATTTGGGGTACACGGAGCATTCCTCGAGTTGCTGTGCTGAAGTTGGTGTTCCTCTAGACTTGGGACAGTGTTCTCGGGGCATCTCTGGAGTTGCCTGAAGGAAGTCGAGCCACCGGTCGTGTTGAATGGGGAACGGGGAATGGCTCTGGAGTCAATGCAGGGGAATCGGGCCTCATCTCGAGTTGATTTGGGGCACATGGAGCTGCTTTGCGTTGCTGGGGTGACCTCAGGGTCCGTCTAGACTGGTGACAGTGTTCTTGGGGACTGTCTCGAGATCCATTAAGCAAGTCGAAGCTCCTGCCTTGTTTGAATGGGGTCACGGAATAGCTCTGCATGCACTGCAGGGGAATGGGGCCTCATCTCGCCTCTAGGGGGAAGTCTCATGGTTTTTCTCGAGTTGCGGCGGGGACCTGGGGTATGTTCTCGACTTACGGCGGGGATGGCCCTTCAAAACACGAGTTTCTTCAGTGACGTCAGGACTCCTGTCTAGTAACGAGGGACACCTCAGGAATCTCTTCGAGGCTTGGCAGGGCCAAAGGGACGCTTCTCGAGGTGAGGCAGGGCACCCAAGGACCCTTTCCAGTAGCCACAGGGATTTTGGGATTCCTATCAGTATTCAAGAGGAGTCAGGCATCGTCACCTTTTGAAGCAATGAACTCCGCGTGCCTCTCGAGGTGTCAGCGGGATGTGAGGCATTCCGTCAAAATGAGGCAGGGACCTAGGGCTTTCTCTAAGGTCTCCACAGGGGATTCAGACATCCCTTCATGTTGTGAGATGAAAGACGAGCCTGTATTCAAGCCACTGCAAGGAAATCCGGCCTCCTTTCAAGTTAGGGCTTCTCGCTGTATATTCCCCTTGAGGCAGCAAACTCGGGGTCCCTCCCACATACCTATTGCTGAGAGAAGCCTCCTCCTGAGGTGCTTCTGGGAAGTTGGCATACGTCTTGAGCCTAAGCCAGGGAATCAGCTCGCATCTCGAGACGATTTGGGGTACACGGAGCATTCCTCGAGTTGCTGTGCTGAAGGTGGTGTTCCTCTAGACTTGGGACAGTGTTCTCGGGGCATCTCTGGAGTTGCCTGAAGGAAGTCGAGCCACCGGTCGTGTTGAATGGGGAACGGGGAATGGCTCTGGAGTCAATGCAGGGGAATTGGGCCTCATCTCGAGTTGATTTGGGGCACATGGAGCTGCTTTGCGTTGCTGGGGTGACCTCAGGGTCCGTCTAGACTGGTGACAGTGTTCTTGGGGACTGTCTCGAGATCCATTAAGCAAGTCGAAGCTCCTGACTTGTTTGAATGGGATCACGGAATAGCTCTGCATGCACTGCAGGGGAATGGGGCCTCATCTCGCCTCTAGGGGGAAGTCTCATGGTTTTTCTCGAGTTGCGGCGGGGACCTGGGGTATGTTCTCGACTTACGGCGGGGATGGCCCTTCAAAACACGAGTTTCTTCAGTGACGTCAGGACTCCTGTCTAGTAACGAGGGACACCTCAGGAATCTCTTCGAGGCTTGGCAGGGCCAAAGGGACGCTTCTCGAGGTGAGGCAGGGCACCCAAGGACCCTTTCCAGTAGCCACAGGGATTTTGGGATTCCTATCAGTATTCAAGAGGAGTCAGGCATCGTCACCTTTTGAAGCAATGAACTCCGCGTGCCTCTCGAGGTGTCAGCAGGATGTGAGGCATTCCGTCAAAATGAGGCAGGGACCTAGGGCTTTCTCTAAGGTCTCCACAGGGGATTCAGACATCCCTTCATGTTGTGAGATGAAAGACGAGCCTGTATTCAAGCCACTGCAAGGAAATCCGGCCTCCTTTCAAGTTAGGGCTTCTCGCTGTATATTCCCCTTGAGGCAGCAAACTCGGGATCCCTCCCACATACCTATTGCTGAGAGAAGCCTCCTCCTGAGGTGCTTCTGGGAAGTTGGCATACGTCTTGAGCCTAAGCCAGGGAATCAGCTCGCATCTCGAGACGATTTGGGGTACACGGAGCATTCCTCGAGTTGCTGTGCTGAAGTTGGTGTTCCTCTAGACTTGGGACAGTGTTCTCGGGGCATCTCTGGAGTTGCCTGAAGGAAGTCGAGCCACCGGTCGTGTTGAATGGGGAACGGGGAATGGCTCTGGAGTCAATGCAGGGGAATCGGGCCTCATCTCGAGTTGATTTGGGGCACATGGAGCTGCTTTGCGTTGCTGGGGTGACCTCAGGGTCCGTCTAGACTGGTGACAGTGTTCTTGGGGACTGTCTCGAGATCCATTAAGCAAGTCGAAGCTCCTGACTTGTTTGAATGGGATCACGGAATAGCTCTGCATGCACTGCAGGGGAATGGGGCCTCATCTCGCCTCTAGGGGGAAGTCTCATGGTTTTTCTCGAGTTGCGGCGGGGACCTGGGGTATGTTCTCGACTTACGGCGGGGATGGCCCTTCAAAACACGAGTTTCTTCAGTGACGTCAGGACTCCTGTCTAGTAACGAGGGACACCTCAGGAATCTCTTCGAGGCTTGGCAGGGCCAAAGGGACGCTTCTCGAGGTGAGGCAGGGCACCCAAGGACCCTTTCCAGTAGCCACAGGGATTTTGGGATTCCTATCAGTATTCAAGAGGAGTCAGGCATCGTCACCTTTTGAAGCAATGAACTCCGCGTGCCTCTCGAGGTGTCAGCGGGATGTGAGGCATTCCGTCAAAATGAGGCAGGGACCTAGGGCTTTCTCTAAGGTCTCCACAGGGGATTCAGACATCCCTTCATGTTGTGAGATGAAAGACGAGCCTGTATTCAAGCCACTGCAAGGAAATCCGGCCTCCTTTCAAGTTAGGGCTTCTCGCTGTATATTCCCCTTGAGGCAGCAAACTCGGGGTCCCTCCCACATACCTATTGCTGAGAGAAGCCTCCTCCTGAGGTGCTTCTGGGAAGTTGGCATACGTCTTGAGCCTAAGCCAGGGAATCAGCTCGCATCTCGAGACGATTTGGGGTACACGGAGCATTCCTCGAGTTGCTGTGCTGAAGTTGGTGTTCCTCTAGACTTGGGACAGTGTTCTCGGGGCATCTCTGGAGTTGCCTGAAGGAAGTCGAGCCACCGGTCGTGTTGAATGGGGAACGGGGAATGGCTCTGGAGTCAATGCAGGGGAATCGGGCCTCATCTCGAGTTGATTTGGGGCACATGGAGCTGCTTTGCGTTGCTGGGGTGACCTCAGGGTCCATCTAGACTGGTGACAGTGTTCTTGGGGACTGTCTCGAGATCCATTAAGCAAGTCGAAGCTCCTGACTTGTTTGAATGGGATCACGGAATAGCTCTGCATGCACTGCAGGGGAATGGGGCCTCATCTCGCCTCTAGGGGGAAGTCTCATGGTTTTTCTCGAGTTGCGGCGGGGACCTGGGGTATGTTCTCGACTTACGGCGGGGATGGCCCTTCAAAACACGAGTTTCTTCAGTGACGTCAGGACTCCTGTCTAGTAACGAGGGACACCTCAGGAATCTCTTCGAGGCTTGGCAGGGCCAAAGGGACGCTTCTCGAGGTGAGGCAGGGCACCCAAGGACCCTTTCCAGTAGCTACAGGGATTTTGGGATTCCTATCAGTATTCAAGAGGAGTCAGGCATCATCACCTTTTGAAGCAATGAACTCCGCGTGCCTCTCGAGGTGTCAGCGGGATGTGAGGCATTCCGTCAAAATGAGGCAGGGACCTAGGGCTTTCTCTAAGGTCTCCACAGGGGATTCAGACTTCCCTTCATGTTGTGAGATCAAAGACGAGCCTGTATTCAAGCCACTGCAAGGAAATCCGGCCTCCTTTCAAGTTAGGGCTTCTCGCTGTATATTCCCCTTGAGGCAGCAAACTCGGGGTCCCACCCACATACCTTTTGCTGAGAGAAGCCTCCTCCTGAGGTGCTTCTGGGAAGTTGGCATACGTCTTGAGCCTAAGCCAGGGAATCAGCTCGCATCTCGAGACGATTTGGGGTACACGGAGCATTCCTCGAGTTGCTGTGCTGAAGTTGGTGTTCCTCTAGACTTGGGACAGTGTTCTCGGGGCATCTCTGGAGTTGCCTGAAGGAAGTCGAGCCACCGGTCGTGTTGAATGGGGAACGGGGAATGGCTCTGGAGTCAATGCAGGGGAATCGGGCCTCATCTCGAGTTGATTTGGGGCACATGGAGCTGCTTTGCGTTGCTGGGGTGACCTCAGGGTCCGTCTAGACTGGTGACAGTGTTCTTGGGGACTGTCTCGAGATCCATTAAGCAAGTCGAAGCTCCTGCCTTGTTTGAATGGGGTCACGGAATAGCTCTGCATGCACTGCAGGGGAATGGGGCCTCATCTCGCCTCTAGGGGGAAGTCTCATGGTTTTTCTCGAGTTGCGGCGGGGACCTGGGGTATGTTCTCGACTTACGGCGGGGATGGCCCTTCAAAACACGAGTTTCTTCAGGACGTCAGGACTCCTGTCTAGTAACGAGGGACACCTCAGGAATCTCTTCGAGGCTTGGCAGGGCAAAAGGGACGCTTCCCGAGGTGAGGCAGGGCACCCAAGGACCCTTTCCAGTAGCCACAGGGATTTTGGGATTCCTATCAGTATTCAAGAGGAGTCAGGCATCGTCACCTTTTGAAGCAATGAACTCCGCGTGCCTCTCGAGGTGTCAGCGGGATGTGAGGCATTCCGTCAAAATGAGGCAGGGACCTAGGGCTTTCTCTAAGGTCTCCACAGGGGATTCAGACTTCCCTTCATGTTGTGAGATGAAAGACGAGCCTGTATTCAAGCCACTGCAAGGAAATCCGGCCTCCTTTCAAGTTAGGGCTTCTCGCTGTATATTCCCCTTGAGGCAGCAAACTCGGGGTCCCACCCACATACCTATTGCTGAGAGAAGCCTCCTCCTGAGGTGCTTCTGGGAAGTTGGCATACGTCTTGAGCCTAAGCCAGGGAATCAGCTCGCATCTCGAGACGATTTGGGGTACACGGAGCATTCCTCGAGTTGCTGTGCTGAAGTTGGTGTTCCTCTAGACTTGGGACAGTGTTCTCGGGGCATCTCTGGAGTTGCCTGAAGGAAGTCGAGCCACCGGTCGTGTTGAATGGGGAACGGGGAATGGCTCTGGAGTCAATGCAGGGGAATCGGGCCTCATCTCGAGTTGATTTGGGGCACATGGAGCTGCTTTGCGTTGCTGGGGTGACCTCAGGGTCCGTCTAGACTGGTGACAGTGTTCTTGGGGACTGTCTCGAGATCCATTAAGCAAGTCAAAGCTCCTGACTTGTTTGAATGGGGTCACGGAATAGCTCTGCATGCACTGCAGGGGAATGGGGCCTCATCTCGCCTCTAGGGGGAAGTCTCATGGTTTTTCTCGAGTTGCGGCGGGGACCTGGGGTATGTTCTCGACTTACGGCGGGGATGGCCCTTCAAAACACGAGTTTCTTCAGTGACGTCAGGACTCCTGTCTAGTAACGAGGGACACCTCAGGAATCACTTCGAGGCTTGGCAGGGCAAAAGGGACGCTTCCCGAGGTGAGGCAGGGCACCCAAGGACCCTTTCCAGTAGCCACAGGGATTTTGGGATTCCTATCAATATTCAAGAGGAGTCAGGCATCGTCACCTTTTGAAGCAATGAACTCCGCGTGCCTCTCGAGGTGTCAGCGGGATGTGAGGCATTCCGTCAAAATGAGGCAGGGACCTAGGGCTTTCTCTAAGGTCTCCACAGGGGATTCAGACATCCCTTCATGTTGTGAGATGAAAGACGAGCCTGTATTCAAGCCACTGCAAGGAAATCCGGCCTCCTTTCAAGTTAGGGCTTCTCGCTGTATATTCCCCTTGAGGCAGCAAACTCGGGGTCCCTCCCACATACCTATTGCTGAGAGAAGCCTCCTCCTGAGGTGCTTCTGGGAAGTTGGCATACGTCTTGAGCCTAAGCCAGGGAATCAGCTCGCATCTCGAGACGATTTGGGGTACACGGAGCATTCCTCGAGTTGCTGTGCTGAAGTTTGTGTTCCTCTAGACTTGGGACAGTGTTCTCGGGGCATCTCTGGAGTTGCCTGAAGGAAGTCGAGCCACCGGTCGTGTTGAATGGGGAACGGGGAATGGCTCTGGAGTCAATGCAGGGGAATCGGGCCTCATCTCGAGTTGATTTGGGGCACATGGAGCTGCTTTGCGTTGCTGGGGTGACCTCAGGGTCCGTCTAGACTGGTGACAGTGTTCTTGGGGACTGTCTCGAGATCCATTAAGCAAGTCGAAGCTCCTGCCTTGTTTGAATGGGGTCACGGAATAGCTCTGCATGCACTGCAGGGGAATGGGGCCTCATCTCGCCTCTAGGGGGAAGTCTCATGGTTTTTCTCGAGTTGCGGCGGGGACCTGGGGTATGTTCTCGACTTACGGCGGGGATGGCCCTTCAAAACACGAGTTTCTTCAGGACGTCAGGACTCCTGTCTAGTAACGAGGGACACCTCAGGAATCTCTTCGAGGCTTGGCAGGGCAAAAGGGACGCTTCCCGAGGTGAGGCAGGGCACCCAAGGACCCTTTCCAGTAGCCACAGGGATTTTGGGATTCCTATCAGTATTCAAGAGGAGTCAGGCATCGTCACCTTTTGAAGCAATGAACTCCGCGTGCCTCTCGAGGTGTCAGCGGGATGTGAGGCATTCCGTCAAAATGAGGCAGGGACCTAGGGCTTTCTCTAAGGTCTCCACAGGGGATTCAGACATCCCTTCATGTTGTGAGATGAAAGACGAGCCTGTATTCAAGCCACTGCAAGGAAATCCGGCCTCCTTTCAAGTTAGGGCTTCTCGCTGTATATTCCCCTTGAGGCAGCAAACTCGGGGTCCCTCCCACATACCTTTTGCTGAGAGAAGCCTCCTCCTGAGGTGCTTCTGGGAAGTTGGCATACGTCTTGAGCCTAAGCCAGGAATCAGCTCGCATCTCGAGACGATTTGGGAAACACGGAGCATTCCTCGAGTTGCTGTGCTGAAGTTGGTGTTCCTCTAGACTTGGGACAGTGTTCTCGGGGCATCTCTGGAGTTGCCTGAAGGAAGTCGAGCCACCGGTCGTGTTGAATGGGGAACGGGGAATGGCTCTGGAGTCAATGCAGGGGAATCGGGCCTCATCTCGAGTTGATTTGGGGCACATGGAGCTGCTTTGCGTTGCTGGGGTGACCTCAGGGTCCGTCTAGACTGGTGACAGTGTTCTTGGGGACTGTCTCGAGATCCATTAAGCAAGTCGAAGCTCCTGACTTGTTTGAATGGGGTCACGGAATAGCTCTACATGCACTGCAGGGGAATGGGGCCTCATCTCGCCTCTAGGGGGAAGTCTCATGGTTTTTCTCGAGTTGCGGCGGGGACCTGGGGTATGTTCTCGACTTACGGCGGGGATGGCCCTTCAAAACACGAGTTTCTTCAGTGACGTCAGGACTCCTGTCTAGTAACGAGGGACACCTCAGGAATCTCTTCGAGGCTTGGCAGGGCCAAAGGGACGCTTCTCGAGGTGAGGCAGGGCACCCAAGGACCCTTTCCAGTAGCCACAGGGATTTTGGGATTCCTATCAGTATTCAAGAGGAGTCAGGCATCGTCACCTTTTGAAGCAATGAACTCCGCGTGCCTCTCGAGGTGTCAGCGGGATGTGAGGCATTCCGTCAAAATGAGGCAGGGACCTAGGGCTTTCTCTAAGGTCTCCACAGGGGATTCAGACTTCCCTTCATGTTGTGAGATGAAAGACGAGCCTGTATTCAAGGCACTGCAAGGAAATCCGGCCTCCTTTCAAGTTAGGGCTTCTCGCTGTATATTCCCCTTGAGGCAGCAAACTCGGGGTCCCACCCACATACCTATTGCTCAGAGAAGCCTCCTCCTGAGGTGCTTCTGGGAAGTTGGCATACGTCTTGAGCCTAAGCCAGGGAATCAGCTCGCATCTCGAGACGATTTGGGATACACGGAGCATTCCTCGAGTTGCTGTGCTGAAGTTGGTGTTCCTCTAGACTTGGGACAGTGTTCTCGGGGCATCTCTGGAGTTGCCTGAAGGAAGTCGAGCCACCGGTCGTGTTGAATGGGGAACGGGGAATGGTTCTGGAGTCAATGCAGGGGAATCGGGCCTCATCTCGAGTTGATTTGGGGCACATGGAGCTGCTTTGCGTTGCTGGGGTGACCTCAGGGTCCGTCTAGACTGGTGACAGTGTTCTTGGGGACTGTCTCGAGATCCATTAAGCAAGTCGAAGCTCCTGACTTGTTTGAATGGGGTCACGGAATAGCTGTGCAGGCACTGCAGGGGAATGGGGCCTCATCTCGCCTCTAGGGGGAAGTCTCATGGTTTTTCTCGAGTTGCGGCGGGGACCTGGGGTATGTTCTCGACTTACGGCGGGGATGGCCCTTCAAAACACGAGTTTCTTCAGTGACGTCAGGACTCCTGTCTAGTAACGAGGGACACCTGAGGAATCACTTCGAGGCTTGGCAGGGCAAAAGGGACGCTTCCCGAGGTGAGGCAGGGCACCCAAGGACCCTTTCCAGTAGCCACAGGGATTTTGGGATTCCTATCAATATTCAAGAGGAGTCAGGCATCGTCACCTTTTGAAGCAATGAACTCCGCGTGCCTCTCGAGGTGTCAGGGGGATGTGAGGCATTCCGTCAAAATGAGGCAGGGACCTAGGGCTTTCTCTAAGGTCTCCACAGGGGATTCAGACATCCCTTCATGTTGTGAGATGAAAGACGAGCCTGTATTCAAGCCACTGCAAGGAAATCCGGCCTCCTTTCAAGTTAGGGCTTCTCGCTGTATATTCCCCTTGAGGCAGCAAACTCGGGGTCCCTCCCACATACCTTTTGCTGAGAGAAGCCTCCTCCTGAGGTGCTTCTGGGAAGTTGGCATACGTCTTGAGCCTAAGCCAGGGAATCAGCTCGCATCTCGAGACGATTTGGGGTACACGGAGCATTCCTCGAGTTGCTCTGCTGAAGTTGGTGTTCCTCTAGACTTGGGACAGTGTTCTCGGGGCATCTCTGGAGTTGCCTGAAGGAAGTCGAGCCACCGGTCGTGTTGAATGGGGAACGGGGAATGGCTCTGGAGTCAATGCAGGGGAATCGGGCCTCATCTCGAGTTGATTTGGGGCACATGGAGCTGCTTTGCGTTGCTGGGGTGACCTCAGGGTCCGTCTAGACTGGTGACAGTGTTCTTGGGGACTGTCTCGAGATCCATTAAGCAAGTCGAAGCTCCTGCCTTGTTTGAATGGGGTCACGGAATAGCTCTGCATGCACTGCAGGGGAATGGGGCCTCATCTCGCCTCTAGGGGGAAGTCTCATGGTTTTTCTCGAGTTGCGGCGGGGACCTGGGGTATGTTCTCGACTTACGGCGGGGATGGCCCTTCAAAACACGAGTTTCTTCAGGACGTAAGGACTCCTGTCTAGTAACGAGGGACACCTCAGGAATCTCTTCGAGGCTTGGCAGGGCAAAAGGGACGCTTCCCGAGGTGAGGCAGGGCACCCAAGGACCCTTTCCAGTAGCCACAGGGATTTTGGGATTCCTATCAGTATTCAAGAGGAGTCAGGCATCGTCACCTTTTGAAGCAATGAACTCCGCGTGCCTCTCGAGGTGTCAGCGGGATGTGAGGCATTCCGTCAAAATGAGGCAGGGACCTAGGGCTTTCTCTAAGGTCTCCACAGGGGATTCAGACATCCCTTCATGTTGTGAGATGAAAGACGAGCCTGTATTCAAGCCACTGCAAGGAAATCCGGCCTCCTTTCAAGTTAGGGCTTCTCGCTGTATATTCCCCTTGAGGCAGCAAACTCGGGGTCCCTCCCACATACCTTTTGCTGAGAGAAGCCTCCTCCTGAGGTGCTTCTGGGAAGTTGGCATACGTCTTGAGCCTAAGCCAGGAATCAGCTCGCATCTCGAGACGATTTGGGGTACACGGAGCATTCCTCGAGTTGCTGTGCTGAAGTTGGTGTTCCTCTAGACTTGGGACAGTGTTCTCGGGGCATCTCTGGAGTTGCCTGAAGGAAGTCGAGCCACCGGTCGTGTTGAATGGGGAACGGGGAATGGCTCTGGAGTCAATGCAGGGGAATCGGGCCTCATCTTGAGTTGATTTGGGGCACATGGAGCTGCTTTGCGTTGCTGGGGTGACCTCAGGGTCCGTCTAGACTGGTGACAGTGTTCTTGGGGACTGTCTCGAGATCCATTAAGCAAGTCGAAGCTCCTGACTTGTTTGAATGGGATCACGGAATAGCTCTGCATGCACTGCAGGGGAATGGGGCCTCATCTCGCCTCTAGGGGGAAGTCTCATGGTTTTTCTCGAGTTGCGGCGGGGACCTGGGGTATGTTCTCGACTTACGGCGGGGATGGCCCTTCAAAACACGAGTTTCTTCAGTGACGTCAGGACTCCTGTCTAGTAACGAGGGACACCTCAGGAATCACTTCGAGGCTTGGCAGGGCAAAAGGGACGCTTCCCGAGGTGAGGCAGGGCACCCAAGGACCCTTTCCAGTAGCCACAGGGATTTTGGGATTCCTATCAATATTCAAGAGGAGTCAGGCATCGTCACCTTTTGAAGCAATGAACTCCGCGTGCCTCTCGAGGTGTCAGCGGGATGTGAGGCATTCCGTCAAAATGAGGCAGGGACCTAGGGCTTTCTCTAAGGTCTCCACAGGGGATTCAGACATCCCTTCATGTTGTGAGATGAAAGACGAGCCTGTATTCAAGCCACTGCAAGGAAATCCGGCCTCCTTTCAAGTTAGGGCTTCTCGCTGTATATTCCCCTTGAGGCAGCAAACTCGGGGTCCCTCCCACATACCTATTGCTGAGAGAAGCCTCCTCCTGAGGTGCTTCTGGGAAGTTGGCATACGTCTTGAGCCTAAGCCAGGGAATCAGCTCGCATCTCGAGACGATTTGGGGTACACGGAGCATTCCTCGAGTTGCTGTGCTGAAGTTGGTGTTCCTCTAGACTTGGGACAGTGTTCTCGGGGCATCTCTGGAGTTGCCTGAAGGAAGTCGAGCCACCGGTCGTGTTGAATGGGGAACGGGGAATGGCTCTGGAGTCAATGCAGGGGAATCGGGCCTCATCTCGAGTTGATTTGGGGCACATGGAGCTGCTTTGCGTTGCTGGGGTGACCTCAGGGTCCGTCTAGACTGGTGACAGTGTTCTTGGGGACTGTCTCGAGATCCATTAAGCAAGTCGAAGCTCCTGCCTTGTTTGAATGGGGTCACGGAATAGCTCTGCATGCACTGCAGGGGAATGGGGCCTCATCTCGCCTCTAGGGGGAAGTCTCACGGTTTTTCTCGAGTTGCGGCGGGGACCTGGGGTATGTTCTCGACTTACGGCGGGGATGGCCCTTCAAAACACGAGTTTCTTCAGGACGTCAGGACTCCTGTCTAGTAACGAGGGACACCTCAGGAATCTCTTCGAGGCTTGGCAGGGCAAAAGGGACGCTTCCCGAGGTGAGGCAGGGCACCCAAGGACCCTTTCCAGTAGCCACAGGGATTTTGGGATTCCTATCAGTATTCAAGAGGAGTCAGGCATCGTCACCTTTTGAAGCAATGAACTCCGCGTGCCTCTCGAGGTGTCAGCGGGATGTGAGGCATTCCGTCAAAATGAGGCAGGGACCTAGGGCTTTCTCTAAGGTCTCCACAGGGGATTCAGACATCCCTTCATGTTGTGAGATGAAAGACGAGCCTGTATTCAAGCCACTGCAAGGAAATCCGGCCTCCTTTCAAGTTAGGGCTTCTCGCTGTATATTCCCCTTGAGGCAGCAAACTCGGGGTCCCTCCCACATACCTTTTGCTGAGAGAAGCCTCCTCCTGAGGTGCTTCTGGGAAGTTGGCATACGTCTTGAGCCTAAGCCAGGAATCAGCTCGCATCTCGAGACGATTTGGGGTACACGGAGCATTCCTCGAGTTGCTGTGCTGAAGTTGGTGTTCCTCTAGACTTGGGACAGTGTTCTCGGGGCATCTCTGGAGTTGCCTGAAGGAAGTCGAGCCACCGGTCGTGTTGAATGGGGAACGGGGAATGGCTCTGGAGTCAATGCAGGGGAATCGGGCCTCATCTCGAGTTGATTTGGGGCACATGGAGCTGCTTTGCGTTGCTGGGGTGACCTCAGGGTCCGTCTAGACTGGTGACAGTGTTCTTGGGGACTGTCTCGAGATCCATTAAGCAAGTCGAAGCTCCTGACTTGTTTGAATGGGGTCACGGAATAGCTCTGCATGCACTGCAGGGGAATGGGGCCTCATCTCGCCTCTAGGGGGAAGTCTCATGGTTTTTCTCGAGTTGCGGCGGGGACCTGGGGTATGTTCTCGACTTACGGCGGGGATGGCCCTTCAAAACACGAGTTTCTTCAGTGACGTCAGGACTCCTGTCTAGTAACGAGGGACACCTCAGGAATCTCTTCGAGGCTTGGCAGGGCCAAAGGGACGCTTCTCGAGGTGAGGCAGGGCACCCAAGGACCCTTTCCAGTAGCCACAGGGATTTTGGGATTCCTATCAGTATTCAAGAGGAGTCAGGCATCGTCACCTTTTGAAGCAATGAACTCCGCGTGCCTCTCGAGGTGTCAGCGGGATGTGAGGCATTCCGTCAAAATGAGGCAGGGACCTAGGGCTTTCTCTAAGGTCTCCACAGGGGATTCAGACTTCCCTTCATGTTGTGAGATGAAAGACGAGCCTGTATTCAAGGCACTGCAAGGAAATCCGGCCTCCTTTCAAGTTAGGGCTTCTCGCTGTATATTCCCTTTGAGGCAGCAAACTCGGGGTCCCACCCACATACCTATTGCTCAGAGAAGCCTCCTCCTGAGGTGCTTCTGGGAAGTTGGCATACGTCTTGAGCCTAAGCCAGGGAATCAGCTCGCATCTCGAGACGATTTGGGATACACGGAGCATTCCTCGAGTTGCTGTGCTGAAGTTGGTGTTCCTCTAGACTTGGGACAGTGTTCTCGGGGCATCTCTGGAGTTGCCTGAAGGAAGTCGAGCCACCGGTCGTGTTGAATGTGGAACGGGGAATGGCTCTGGAGTCAATGCAGGGGAATCGGGCCTCATCTCGAGTTGATTTGGGGCACATGGAGCTGCTTTGCGTTGCTGGGGTGACCTCAGGGTCCGTCTAGACTGGTGACAGTGTTCTTGGGGACTGTCTCGAGATCCATTAAGCAAGTCGAAGCTCCTGACTTGTTTGAATGGGGTCACGCAATAGCTGTGCAGGCACTGCAGGGGAATGGGGCCTCATCTCGCCTCTAGGGGGAAGTCTCATGGTTTTTCTCGAGTTGCGGCGGGGACCTGGGGTATGTTCTCGACTTACGGCGGGGATGGCCCTTCAAAACACGAGTTTCTTCAGTGACGTCAGGACTCCTGTCTAGTAACGAGGGACACCTCAGGAATCACTTCGAGGCTTGGCAGGGCAAAAGGGACGCTTCCCGAGGTGAGGCAGGGCACCCAAGGACCCTTTCCAGAAGCCACAGGGATTTTGGGATTCCTATCAATATTCAAGAGGAGTCAGGCATCGTCACCTTTTGAAGCAATGAACTCCGCGTGCCTCTCGAGGTGTCAGCGGGATGTGAGGCATTCCGTCAAAATGAGGCAGGGACCTAGGGCTTTCTCTAAGTTCTCCACAGGGGATTCAGACATCCCTTCATGTTGTGAGATGAAAGACGAGCCTGTATTCAAGCCACTGCAAGGAAATACGGCCTCCTTTCAAGTTAGGTCTTCTCGCTGTATATTCCCCTTGAGGCAGCAAACTCGGGGTCCCTCCCACATACCTATTGCTGAGAGAAGCCTCCTCCTGAGGTGCTTCTGGGAAGTTGGCATACGTTTTGAGCCTAAGCCAGGGAATCAGCTCGCATCTCGAGACGATTTGGGGTACACGGAGCATTCCTCGAGTTGCTGTGCTGAAGGTGGTATTCCTCTAGACTTGGGACAGTGTTCTCGGGGCATCTCTGGAGTTGCCTGAAGGAAGTCGAGCCACCGGTCGTGTTGAATGGGGAACGGGGAATGGCTCTGGAGTCAATGCAGGGGAATCGGGCCTCATCTCGAGTTGATTTGGGGCACATGGAGCTGCTTTGTGTTGCTGGGGTGACCTCAGGGTCCGTCTAGACTGGTGACAGTGTTCTTGGGGACTGTCTCGAGATCCATTAAGCAAGTCGAAGCTCCTGACTTGTTTGAATGGGATCACGGAATAGCTCTGCATGCACTGCAGGGGAATGGGGCCTCATCTCGCCTCTAGGGGGAAGTCTCATGGTTTTTCTCGAGTTGCGGCGGGGACCTGGGGTATGTTCTCGACTTACGGCGGGGATGGCCCTTCAAAACACGAGTTTCTTCAGTGACGTCAGGACTCCTGTCTAGTAACGAGGGACACCTCAGGAATCTCTTCGAAGCTTGGCAGGGCCAAAGGGACGCTTCTCGAGGTGAGGCAGGGCACCCAAGGACCCTTTACAGTAGCCACAGGGATTTTGGGATTCCTATCAGTATTCAAGAGGAGTCAGGCATCGTCACCTTTTGAAGCAATGAACTCCGCGTGCCTCTCGAGGTGTCAGCGGGATGTGAGGCATTCCGTCAAAATGAGGCAGGGACCTAGGGCTTTCTCTAAGGTCTCCACAGGGGATTCAGACATCCCTTCATGTTGTGAGATGAAAGACGAGCCTGTATTCAAGCCACTGCAAGGAAATCCGGCCTCCTTTCAAGTTAGGGCTTCTCGCTGTATATTCCCCTTGAGGCAGCAAACTCGGGGTCCCTCCCACATACCTATTGCTGAGAGAAGCCTCCTCCTGAGGTGCTTCTGGGAAGTTGGCATACGTCTTGAGCCTAAGCCAGGGAATCAGCTCGCATCTCGAGACGATTTGGGGTACACGGAGCATTCCTCGAGTTGCTGTGCTGAAGTTGGTGTTCCTCTAGACTTGGGACAGTGTTCTCGGGGCATCTCTGGAGTTGCCTGAAGGAAGTCGAGCCACCGGTCGTGTTGAATGGGGAACGGGGAATGGCTCTGGAGTCAATGCAGGGGAATCGGGCCTCATCTCGAGTTGATTTGGGGCACATGGAGCTGCTTTGCGTTGCTGGGGTGACCTCAGGGTCCGTCTAGACTGGTGACAGTGTTCTTGGGGACTGTCTCGAGATCCATTAAGCAAGTCGAAGCTCCTGACTTGTTTGAATGGGATCACGGAATAGCTCTGCATGCACTGCAGGGGAATGGGGCCTCATCTCGCCTCTAGGGGGAAGTCTCATGGTTTTTCTCGAGTTGCGGCGGGGACCTGGGGTATGTTCTCGACTTACGGCGGGGATGGCCCTTCAAAACACGAGTTTCTTCAGTGACGTCAGGACTCCTGTCTAGTAACGAGGGACACCTCAGCAATCTCTTCGAGGCTTGGCAGGGCCAAAGGGACGCTTCTCGAGGTGAGGCAGGGCACCCAAGGACCCTTTCCAGTAGCCACAGGGATTTTGGGATTCCTATCTGTATTCAAGAGGAGTCAGGCATCGTCACCTTTTGAAGCAATGAACTCCGCGTGCCTCTCGAGGTGTCAGCGGGATGTGAGGCATTCCGTCAAAATGAGGCAGGGACCTAGGGCTTTCTCTAAGGTCTCCACAGGGGATTCAGACATCCCTTCATGTTGTGAGATGAAAGACGAGCCTGTATTCAAGCCACTGCAAGGAAATCCGGCCTCCTTTCAAGTTAGGGCTTCTCGCTGTATATTCCCCTTGAGGCAGCAAACTCGGGGTCCCTCCCACATACCTATTGCTGAGAGAAGCCTCCTCCTGAGGTGCTTCTGGGAAGTTGGCATACGTCTTGAGCCTAAGCCAGGGAATCAGCTCGCATCTCGGGACGATTTGGGGTACACGGAGCATTCCTCGAGTTGCTGTGCTGAAGGTGGTGTTCCTCTAGACTTGGGACAGTGTTCTCGGGGCATCTCTGGAGTTGCCTGAAGGAAGTCGAGCCACCGGTCGTGTTGAATGGGGAACGGGGAATGGCTCTGGAGTCAATGCAGGGGAATCGGGCCTCATCTCGAGTTGATTTGGGGCACATGGAGCTGCTTTGCGTTGCTGGGGTGACCTCAGGGTCCGTCTAGACTGGTGACAGTGTTCTTGGGGACTCTCTCGAGATCCATTAAGCAAGTCAAAGCTCCTGACTTGTTTGAATGGGGTCACGGAATAGCTCTGCATGCACTGCAGGGGAATGGGGCCTCATCTCGCCTCTAGGGGGAAGTCTCATGGTTTTTCTCGAGTTGCGGCGGGGACCTGGGGTATGTTCTCGACTTACGGCGGGGATGGCCCTTCAAAACACGAGTTTCTTCCGTGACGTCAGGACTCCTGTCTAGTAACGAGGGACACGTCAGCAATCTCTTCGAGGCTTGGTAGGGCAAAAGGGACGCTTCTCGAGGTGAGGCAGGGCACCCAAGGACCCTTTCCAGTAGCCACAGGGATTTTGGGATTCCTATAAGTATTCAAGAGGAGTCAGGCATCGTCACCTTTTGAAGCAATGAACTCCGCGTGCCTCTCGAGGTGTCAGCGGGATGTGAGGATTCCGTCAAAATGAGGCAGGGAACTAGGGCTTTCTCTAAGGTCTCCACAGGGGATTCAGACATCCCTTCATGTTGTGAGATGAAAGACGAGCCTGTATTCAAGCCACTGCAAGGAAATCCGGCCTCCTTTCAAGTTAGGTCTTCTCGCTGTATATTCCCCTTGAGGCAGCAAACTCGGGGTCCCTCCCACATACCTATTGCTGAGAGAAGCCTCCTCCTGAGGTGCTTCTGGAAAGGTGGCATACGTCTTGAGCCTAAGCCAGGGAATCAGCTCTCATCTCGAGACGATTTGGGGTACACAGAGCATTCCTCGAGTTGCTGTGCTGAAGTTGGTGGTCCTCTAGACTTGGGACAGTGTTCTCGGGGTATATCTGGAGTTGCCTGAAGGGAGTCGAGCCACCGGTCGTGTTGAATGGGGAACATGGAATGGCTCTGGAGTCAATGCAGGGGAATCCGGCCTCATCTCGAGTTGATTTGTGGCACATGGAGCTGCTTTGCATTGCTGGGTGACCTCAGGGTCCGTCTAGACTGGTGACAGTGTTCTTGGGGACTGTCTCGAGATCCATTCAGCAAGTCGAAGCTCCTGACTTGTTTGAATTGGATCATGGAATAGCTCGGCATGCACTGCAAGGGAATGGGGCCTCATCTCGCCTCTAGGGGGAAGTCTCATGGTTTTTCTCGAGTTGTGGCTGGGACCTGGGGTATGTTCTCGACTTACGGCGGGGATGGCCCTTCAAAACACGAGTTTCTTCCGTGACGTCAGGACTCCTGTCTAGTAACGAGGGACACCTCAGGAATCTCTTCGAGGCTTGGCAGGGCAAAAGGGACGCTTCTCGAGGTGAGCCAGGGCACCCAAGGACCCTTTCCAGTAGCCACAGGGATTTTGGGATTCCTATCAGTATTCAAGAGGAGTCAGGCATCGTCACCTTTTGAAGCAATGAACTCCGCGTGCCTCTCGAGGTGTCAGCGGGATGTGAGGATTCCGTCAAAATGAGGCAGGGACCTAGGGCTTACTCTAAGGTCTCCACAGGGGATTCAGACATCCCTTCATGTTGTGACATGAAAGACGAGCCTGTATTCAAGCCACTGCAAGGAAATCCGGCCTCCTTTCAAGTTAGGGCTTCTCGCTGTATATTCCCCTTGAGGCAGCAATCTCGGAGTCCCTCCCACATACCTATTGCTGAGAGAAGCCTCCTCCTGAGGTGCTTCTGGAAAGTTGGCATACGTCTTGAGCCTAAGCCAGGGATTCAGCTCTCATCTCGAGACGATTTGTGGTACACAGAGCATTCCTCGAGTTGCTGTGCTGAAGTTGGTGTTCCTCTAGACTTGGGACAGTGTTCTCTGGGCATCTCTGGAGTTGCCTGAAGGAAGTCGAGCCACCGGTCGTGTTGAATGGGGAACGGGGAATGGCTCTGGAGTCAATGCAGGGGAATCGGGCTTCATCTCGAGTTGATTTGTGGCACCTGGAGCTGCTTTGCATTGCTGGGGTGACCTCAGGGTCCGTCTAGACTGGTGACAGTGTTCTTGGGGACTGCCTCGAGATCCATTAAGCAAGTCGAAGCTCCTGACTTGTTTGAATGGGATCACGGAATACCTCTGCATGCACTGCAGGGGAATGGGGCCTCATCTCGCCTCTAGGGGGAAGTCTCATGGTTTTTCTCGAGTTGCGGCGGGGAACTGGGGTATGTTCTCAACTTACGGCGGGGATGGCCCTTCAAAACACGAGTTTCTTCAGTGACGTCAGGACTCCTGTCTAGTAACGAGGGACACGTCAGCAATCTCTTCGAGGCTTGGCAGGGCAAAAGGGACGCTTCTCGAGGTGAGCCAGGGCACCCAAGGACCCTTTCCAGTAGCCACAGGGATTTTGGGATTCCTATAAGTATTCAAGAGGAGTCAGGCATCGTCACCTTTTGAAGCTATGAACTCCGCGTGCCTCTCGAGGTGTCAGCGGGATGTGAGGATTCCGTCAAAATGAGGCAGGGACCTAGGGCTTTCTCTAAGGTCTCCACAGGGGATTCAGACATCCCTTCATGTTGTGAGATGAAAGACAAGCCTGTATTCAAGCCACTGCAAGGAAATCCGGCCTCCTTTCAAGTTAGGGCTTCTCGCTGTATATTCCCCTTGAGGCAGCAAACTCGGGGTCCTTCCCACGTACCTATTGCTGAGAGAAGCCTCCTCCTGAGGTGCTTCTGGAAAGGTGGCATACGTCTTGAGCCTAAGCCAGGGAATCAGCTCTAATCTCGAGACGATTTGGGGTACACAGAGCATTCCTCGAGTTGCTGTGCTGAAGTTGGTTGTCCTCTGGACTTGGGACAGTGTTCTCGGGGCATATCTGGAGTTGCCTGAAGGAAGTCGAGCCACCGGTCGTGTTGAATGGGGAACGGGGAATGGCTCTGGAGTCAATGCAGGGGAATCGGGCCTCATCTCGAGTTGATTTGGGGCACATGGAGCAGCTTTGCGTTGCTGGGGTGACCTCAGGGTCCGTCTAGACTGGTGACAGTGTTCTTGGGGACTGTCTCGAGACCCATTAAGCAGGTCGAAGCTCCTGACTTGTTTGAATGGGATCACGGAAGAGCTCTGCATGCACTGCAGGGGAATGGGGCCTCATCTCGCCTCTAGGGGGAAGTCTCATGGTTTTTCTCGAGTTGCGGCGGGGACCTGGGGTATGTTCTCGACTTACGGCGGGGATGGCCCTTCAAAACACGAGTTTCTTCAGTGACGTCAGGACTCCTGTCTAGTAACGAGGGACACCTCAGCAATCTCTTCGAGGCTTGGCAGGGCAAAAGGGACGCTTCTCGAGGTGAGCCAGGGCACCCAAGGACCCTTTCCAGTAGCCACAGGGATTTTGGGATTCCTATCAGTATTCAAGAGGAGTCAGGCATCGTCACCTTTTGAAGCAATGAACTCCGCGTGCCTCTCGAGGTGTCAGCGGGATGTGAGGATTCCGTCAAAATGAGGCAGGGACCTAGGGCTTTCTCTAAGGTCTCCACAGGGGATTCAGACATCCCTTCATGTTGTGAGATGAAAGACGAGCCTGTATTCAAGCCACTGCAAGGAAATCCGGCCTCCTTTCAAGTTAGGGCTTCTCGCTGTATATTCCCCTTGAGGCAGCAAACTCGGGGTCCCTCCCACATACCTATTGCTGAGAGAAGCCTCCTCCTGAGGTGCTTCTGGAAAGGTGGCATACGTCTTGAGCCTAAGCCAGGGAATCAGCTCTCATCTCGAGACGATTTGGGGTACACAGAGCATTCCTCGAGTTGCTGTGCTGAAGTTGGTGGTCCTCTAGACTTGGGACAGTGTTCTCGGGGTATATCTGGAGTTGCCTGAAGGGAGTCGAGCCACCGGTCGTGTTGAATGGGGAACATGGAATGGCTCTGGAGTCAATGCAGGGGAATCCGGCCTCATCTCGAGTTGATTTGTGGCACATGGAGCTGCTTTGCATTGCTGGGTGACCTCAGGGTCCGTCTAGACTGGTGACAGTGTTCTTGGGGACTGTCTCGAGATCCATTCAGCAAGTCGAAGCTCCTGACTTGTTTGAATTAGATCATGGAATAGCTCTGCATGCACTGCAGGGGAATGGGGCCTCATCTCGCCTCTAGGGGGAAATCTCATGGTTTTTCTCGAGTTGCGGCGGGGACCTGGGGTATGTTCTCGACTTACGGCGGGGATGGCCCTTCAAAACACGAGTTTCTTCAGTGACGTCAGGACTCCTGTCTAGTAATGAGGGACACCTCAGCAATCTCTTCGAGGCTTGGCAGGGCAAAAGGGACGCTTCTCGAGGTGAGCCAGGGCACCCAAGGACCCTTTCCAGTAGCCACAGGGATTTTGGGATTCCTATAAGTATTCAAGAGGAGTCAGGCATCGTCACCTTTTGAAGCAATGAACTCTGCGTGCCTCTCGAGGTGTCAGCGGGATGTGAGGTATTCCGTCAAAATGAGGCAGGGACCTAGGGCTTCCTCTAAGGTCTCCACAGGGGATTCAGAAATCCCTTCATGTTGTCAGATCAAAGACTAGCCTGTATTCAAGCCACTGCAAGGAAATCTGGCCTCCGCTCACATTAGCGCTTCTCCCTGTGTATTCCCCTTGAGGCAGCAAACTCGGGGTCCCTCCCACATACCTATTGCTGAGAGAAGCCTCCTCCTGAGGTGCTTCTGGAAAGTTGGCATACGTCTTGAGCGTAAGCCAGGGAATCAGCTCTCATCTCGAGATGATTTGGGGTACACGGAGCATTCCTCTGGTTGCTGTGCTGAAATTGGTGCTCCTCTAGACTTGGGACAGTGTTCTCGGGGCATCTCTGGAGTTGCCTGAAGGAAGTCGAGCCACCGGGCGTGTTGAATGGGGAACAGGGGATGGCTCTGGAGTCAATGCAGGGGAATCGGGCCTCATCTCGAGTTGATTTGGGGCACATGGAGCAGCTTTGCGTTGCTGGGGTGACCTCAGGGTCCGTCTAGACTGGTGACAGTGTTCTTGGGGACTGTCTCGAGATCCATTAAGCACGTCGAAGCTCCTGACTTGTTTGAATGGGATCACGGAATAGCTCTGCATGCACTGCAGGGGAATGGGGCCTCATCTCGCCTCTAGGGGGAAGTCTCATGGTTTTGCTCGAGTTGCGGCGGGGACCTGGGGTATGTTCTCGACTTACGGCGGGGATGGCCCTTAAAAACCCGAGTTTCTTCAGTGACGTCAGGACTCCTGTCTAGTAACGAGGGACACCTCAGGAATCTCTTCGAGGCTTGGCAGGGCAAAAGGGACGCTTCTCGAAATGAGGCAGGGCACCCAAGGAACCTTTCCAGTAGCCACAGGGATTTTGGGATTCCTATCAGTATTCAAGAGGAGTCAGCCATCGTCACCTTTTAAAAAATGAACTCCGCATGCCTCTCGAGCTGTCAGCGGGATGTGAGGCATTCCGTCAAAATGAGGCAGGGACCTAGGGCTTTCTCTAAGGTCTTCACAGGGGATTCAGACATCCCTTCATGTTGTGAGATGAAAGACAAGCCTGTATTCAAGCTACTGCAAGGAAATCCTGCCTCCTTTCAAGTTAGGGCTTCTCGCTGTATATTCCCCTTGAGGCAGCAAACTCGGAGTCCCTCCCACATACCTATTGCTGAGAGAAGCCTCCTCCTGAGGTGCTTCTGGAAAGTTGGCATACGCCTTGAGCCTAAGCCAGGGATTCAGCTCTCATCTCGAGACGATTTGGGGTACACAGAGCATTCCTCGAGTTGCTGTGCTGAAGTTGGTGTTCCTCTAGACTTGGGACAGTGTTCTCTGGGCATCTCTGGAGTTGCCTGAAGGAAGTCGAGCCACCGGTCGTGTTGAATGGGGAACGGGGAATGGCTCTGGAGTCAATGCAGGGGAATCGGGCCTCATCTCGACTTGATTTGTGGCACCTGGAGCTGCTTTGCGTTGCTGGGGTGACCTCAGGGTCCGTCTAGACTGGTGACAGTGTTCTTGGGGACTGACTCGAGATCCATTAAGCAAGTCGAAGCTCCTGACTTGTTTGAATGGGATCACGGAATAGCTCTGCATGCACTGCAGGGGAATGGGGCCTCATCTCGCCTCTAGGGGGAAGTCTCATGGTTTTTCTCGAGTTGCGGCGGGGACCTGGGGTATGTTCTCGACTTACGGCGGGAATGGCCCTTCAAAACACGAGTTTCTTCAGTGACGTCAGGACTCCTGTCTAGTAATGAGGGACACCTCAGCAATCTCTTCGAGGCTTGGCAGGGCAAAAGGGACGCTTCTCGAGGTGAACCAGGGCACCCAAGGACCCTTTCCAGTAGCCACAGGGATTTTGGGATTCCTATAAGTATTCAAGAGGAGTCAGGCATCGTCACCTTTTGAAGCAATGAACTCCGCGTGCCTCTCGAGGTGTCAGCGGGATGTGAGGATTCCATCAAAATGAGGCAGGGACCTAGGGCTTTCTCTAAGGTCTCCACAGGGGATTCAGACATCCCTTCATGTTGTGAGATGAAAGACGAGCCTGTATTCAAGCCACTGCAAGGAAATCCGGCCTCCTTTCAAGTTAGGGCTTCTCGCTGTATATTCCCCTTGAGGCAGCAAAATCGGGGTTCCTCCCACATACCTATTGCTGAGAGAAGCCTCCTCCTGAGGTGCTTCTGGAAAGGTGGCATACGTCTTGAGCCTAAGCCAGGGAATCAGCTCTCATCTCGAGACGATTTGGGGTACACAGAGCATTCCTCGAGTTGCTGTGCTGAAGTTGGTGGTCCTCTAGACTTGGGACAGTGTTCTCGGGGCATATCTGGAGTTGCCGGAAGGAAGTCGAGCCACCGGTCGTGTTGAATGGGGAACAAGGAATGGCTCTGGAGTCAATGTAGGGGAATCCGGCCTCATCTCGAGTTGATTTGGGGCACATGGAGCAGCTTTGCATTGCTGGGTGACCTCAGGGTCCGTCTAGACTGGTGACAGTGTTCTTGGGGACTGTCTCGAGATCCATTAAGCAAGTCGAAGCTCCTGACTTGTTTGAATGGGATCACGGAATAGCTCTGCATGCACTGCAGGGGAATGGGGCCTCATCTCGCCTCTAGGGGGAAGTCTCATGGTTTTTCTCGAGTTGCGGCGGGGACCTGGGGTATGTTCTCGAATTACGGCGGGGATGGCCCTTCAAAACACGAGTTTCTTCAGTGACGTCAGGACTCCTGTCTAGTAACGAGGGACACCTCAGCAATCTCTTCGAGGCTTGGCAGGGCAAAAGGACGCTTCTCGAGGTGAGCCAGGGCACCCAAGGACCCTTTCCAGTAGCCACAGGGATTTCGGGATTCCTATAAGTATTCAAGAGGAGTCAGGCATCGTCACCTTTTGAAGCAATGAACTCTGCGTGCCTCTCGAGGTGTCAGGGGGATATGAGGTATTCCGACAAAATGAGGCAGGGACCTAGGGCTTCCTCTAAGGTCTCCACAGGGGATTCAGACATCCCTTCATGTTGTCAGATCAAAGACTAGCCTGTATTCAAGCCACTGCAAGGAAATCTGGCCTCCGTTCACATTAGGGCTTCTCCCTGTGTATTCCCCTTGAGGCAGCACACTCGGGGTCCCTCCCACATAACTATTGCTGAGAGAAGCCTCCTCCTGAGGTGCTTCTGGAAAGTTGGCATACGTCTTGAGCCTAAGCCAGGGAATCAGCTCTCATCTCGGGATGATTTGGGGTACACGGAGCATTCCTCTGGTTGCTGTGCTGAAATTGGTGCTCCTCTAGACTTGGGACAGTGTTCTCGGGGCATCTCTGGAGTTGCCTGAAGGAAGTCGAGCCACCGGTCGTGTTGAATGGGGAACGGGGAATGGCTCTGGAGTCAATGCAGGGGAATCGGGCCTCATCTCGAGTTGATTTGGGGCACATGGAGCAGCTTTGCGTTGCTGGGGTGACCTCAGGGTCCGTCTAGACTGGTGACAGTGTTCTTGGGGACTGTCTCGAGATCCATTAAGCACGTCGAAGCTCCTGACTTGTTTGAATGGGATCACGGAATAGCTCTGCATGCACTGCAGGGGAATGGGGCCTCATCTCGCCTCTAGGGGGAAGTCTCATGGTTTTTCTCGAGTTGCGGCGGGGACCTGGGGTATGTTCTCGACTTACGGCGGGGATGGCCCTTAAAAACCCGAGTTTCTTCAGTGACGTCAGGACTCCTGTCTAGTAACGAGGGACACCTCAGGAATCTCTTCGAGGCTTGGCAGGGCAAAAGGGACGCTTCTCGAAGTGAGGCAGGGCACCCAAGGACCCTTTCCAGTAGCCACAGGGATTTTGGGATTCCTATAAGTATTCAAGAGGAGTCAGGCATCGTCACCTTTTGAAGCAATGAACTCCGCGTGCCTCTCGAAGTGTCAGCGGGATGTGAGGATTCCGTCAAAATGAGGCAGGGACCTAGGGCTTTCTCTAAGGTCTCCACAGGGGATTCAGACATCCCTTCATGTTGTGAGATGAAAGACGAGCCTGTATTCAAGCCACTGCAAGGAAATCCGGCCTCCTTTCAAGTTAGGGCTTCTCGCTGTATATTCCCCTTGAGGCAGCAAACTCTGGGTCCCTCCCACATACCTATTGCTGAGAGAAGCCTCCTCCTGAGGTGCTTCTGGAAAGGTGGCATACGTCTTGAGCCTAAGCCAGGGAATCAGCTCCCATCTCGAGACGATTTGGGGTACACAGAACATTCCTCGAGTTGCTGTGCTGAAGTTGGTGGTCCTCTAGACTTGGGACACTGTTCTCGGGGCATCTCTGGAGTTGCCTGAAGGAAGTCGAGCCACCGGTCGTGTTGAATGGGGAACAAGGAATGGCTCTGGAGTCAATGCAGGGGAATCCGGCCTCATCTCGAGTTGATTTGGGGCACATGGAGCTGCTTTGCATTGCTGGGTGACCTCAGGGTCCGTCTAGACTGGTGACAGTGTTCTTGGGGACTGTCTCGAGATCCATTTAGCAAGTCGAAGCTCCTGACTTGTTTGAATGGGATCACGGAATAGCTCTGCATGCACTGCAAGGGAATGGGGCCTCATCTCGCCTCTAGGGGGAAGTCTCATGGTTTTTCTCGAGTTGCGGCGGGGACCTGGGGTATGTTCTCGACTTACGGCGGGGATGGCCCTTCAAAACACGAGTTTCTTCCGTGACGTCAGGACTCCTGTCTAGTAACGAGGGACACGTCAGCAATCTCTTCGAGGCTTGGCAGGGCAAAAGGGACGCTTCTCGAGGTGAGCCAGGGCACCCAAGGACCCTTTCCAGTAGCCACAGGGATTTTGGGATTCCTATCAGTATTCAAGAGGAGTCAGGCATCGTCACCTTTTGAAGCAATGAACTCCGCGTGCCTCTCGAGGTGTCAGCGGGATGTGAGGATTCCGTCAAAATGAGGCAGGGACCTAGGGCTTACTCTAAGGTCTCCACAGGGGATTCAGACATCCCTTCATGTTGTGACATGAAAGACGAGCCTGTATTCAAGCCACTGCAAGGAAATCCGGCCTCCTTTCAAGTTAGGGCTTCACGCTGTATATTCCCCTTGAGGCAGCAAACTCGGAGTCCCTCCCACATACCTATTGCTGAGAGAAGCCTCCTCCTGAGGTGCTTCTGGAAAGTTGGCATACGTCTTGAGCCTAAGCCAGGGATTCAGCTCTCATCTCGAGACGATTTGTGGTACACAGAGCATTCCTCGAGTTGCTGTGCTGAAGTTGGTGTTCCTCTAGACTTGGGACAGTGTTCTCTGGGCATCTCTGGAGTTGCCTGAAGGAAGTCGAGCCACCTGTCGTGTTGAATGGGGAACGGGGAATGGCTCTGGAGTCAATGCAGGGGAATCGGGCCTCATCTCGAGTTGATTTGTGGCACCTGGAGCTGCTTTGCATTGCTGGGGTGACCTCAGGGTCCGTCTAGACAGGTGACAGTGTTCTTGGGGACTGCCTCGAGATCCATTAAGCAAGTCGAAGCTCCTGACTTGTTTGAATTTGATCACGGAATACCTCTGCATGCACTGCAGGGGAATGGGGCCTCATCTCGCCTCTAGGGGGAAGTCTCATGGTTTTTCTCGAGTTGCGGCGGGGAACTGGGGTATGTTCTCGACTTATGGCGGGGATGGCCCTTCAAAACACGAGTTTCTTCAGTGACGTCAGGACTCCTGTCTAGTAATGAGGGACAACTCAGCAATCTCTTCGAGGCTTGGCAGGGCAAAAGGGACGCTTCTCGAGGTGAGACAGGGCACCCAGGGACCCTTTCCAGTAGCCACAGGGATTTTGGGATTCCTATAAGTATTCAAGAGGAGTCAGGCATCGTCACCTTTTGAAGCAATGAACTCCGCGTGCCTCTCGAGGTGTCAGCGGGATGTGAGGATTCCATCAAAATGAGGCAGGGACCTAGGGCTTTCTCTAAGGTTTCCACAGGGGATTCAGACATCCCTTCATGTTGTGAGATGAAAGACGAGCCTGTATTCAAGCCACTGCAAGGAAATCCGGCCTCTTTTCAAGTTAGGGCTTCTCGCTCTATATTCCCCTTGAGGCAGCAAAATCGGGGTTCCTCCCACATACCTATTGCTGAGAGAAGCCTCCTCCTGAGGTGCTTCTGTAAAGGTGGCATACGTCTTGAGCCTAAGCCAGGGAATCAGCTCTCATCTCGAGACGATTTGGGGTACACAGAGCATTCCTCGAGTTGCTGTGCTGAAGTTGGTGGTCCTCTAGACTTGGACAGTGTTCTCGGGGCATATCTGGAGTTGCCGGAAGGAAGTCGAGCCACCGGTCGTGTTGAATGGGGAACAAGGAATGGCTCTGGAGACAATGTAGGGGAATCCGGCCTCATCTCGAGTTGATTTGGGGCACATGGAGCAGCTTTGCATTGCTGGGTGACCTCAGGGTCCGTCTAGACTGGTGACAGTGTTCTTGGGGACTGTCTCGAGATCCATTAAGCAAGTCGAAGCTCCTGACTTGTTTGAATGGGATCACGGAATAGCTCTGCATGCACTGCAGGGGAATGGGGCCTCATCTCGCCTCTAGGGGGAATTCTCATGGTTTTTCTCGAGTTGCGGCGGGGACCTGGGGTATGTTCTCGACTTACGGCGGGGATGGCCCTTCAAAACACGAGTTTCGTCAGTGAGGTCAGGACTCCTGTCTAGTAATGAGGGACACCTCAGCAATCTCTTCGAGGCTTGGCCGGGCAAAAGGGACGCTTCTCGAGGTGAGCCAGGGCACCCAAGGACCCTTTCCAGTAGCCACAGGGATTTTGGGATTCCTATAAGTATTCAAGAGGAGTCAGGCATCGTCACCTTTTGAAGCAATGAACTCTACGTGCCTCTCGAGGTGTCAGGGGGATGTGAGGTATTCCGTCAAAATGAGGCAGGGACCTAGGGCTTTCTCTAAGGTCTCCACAGGGGATTCAGACATCCCTTCATGTTGTGAGATGAAAGACGAGCCTGTGTTCAAGCCACTGCAAGGAAATCCGGCCTCCTTTCAAGTTAGGGCTTCTCGCTGTATATTCCCCTTGAGGCAGCAAATTCGGGGTCCCTCCCACATACCCATTGCTGAGAGAAGCCTCCTCCTGAGGTGCTTCTGGAAAGGTGGCATACGTCTTGAGCCTAAGCCAGGGAATCAGCTCTCATCTCGAGACGATTTGGGGTACACAGAGCATTCCTCGAGTTGCTGTGCTGAAGTTGGTGGTCCTCTAGACTTGGGACACTGTTCTCGGGGCATCTCTGGAGTTGCCTGAAGGAAGTCGAGCCACCGGTCGTGTTGAATGGGGAACAAGGAATGGCTCAGGAGTCAATGCAGGGGAATCCGGCCTCATCTCGAGTTGATTTGGGGCACATGGAGCTGCTTTGCATTGCTGGGTGACCTCAGGGTCCGTCTAGACTGGTGACAGTGTTCTTGGGGACTGTCTCGAGATCCATTAAGCAAGTCGAAGCTCCTGACTTGTTTGAATGGGATCACGGAATAGCTCTGCATGCACTGCAGGGGAATGGGGCCTCATCTCGCCTCTAGGGGGAAGTCTCATGGTTTTTCTCGAGTTGCGGCGGGGACCTGGGTTATGTTCTCGACTTACGGCGGGGATGGCCCTTCAAAACACGAGTTTCTTCCGTGACGTCAGGACTCCTGTCTAGTAACGAGGGACACCTCAGCAATCTCTTCGAGGCTTGGCAGGGCAAAAGGGACGCTTCTCGAGGTGAGCCAGGGCACCCAAGGACCCTTTCCAGTAGCCACAGGGATTTTGGGATTCCTATCAGTATTCAAGAGGAGTCAGGCATCGTCACCTTTTGAAGCAATGAACTCCGCGTGCCTCTCGAGGTGTCAGCGGGATGTGAGGATTCCGTCAAAATGAGGCAGGGACCTCGGGCTTACTCTAAGGTCTCCACAGGGGATTCAGACATCCCTTCATGTTGTGACATGAAAGACGAGCCTGTATTCAAGCCACTGCAAGGAAATCCGGCCTCCTTTCAAGTTAGGGCTTCTCGCTGTATATTCCCCTTGAGGCAGCAAATTCGGAGTCCCTCCCACATACCTATTGCTGAGAGAAGCCTCCTCCTGAGGTGCTTCTGGAAAGTTGGCATATGTCTTGAGCCTAAGCCAGGGATTCAGCTCTCATCTCGAGACGATTTGTGGTACACAGAGCATTCCTCGAGTTGCTGTGCTGAAGTTGGTGTTCCTCTAGACTTGGGACAGTGTTCTCTTGGCATCTCTGGAGTTGCCTGAAGGAAGTCGAGCCACCGTTCGTGTTGAATGGGGAACGGGGAATGGCTCTGGAGTCAATGCAGGGGAATCGGGCCTCATCTCGAGTTGATTTGTGGCACCTGGAGCTGCTTTGCATTGCTGGGGTGACCTCAGGGTCCGTCTAGACAGGTGACAGTGTTCTTGGGGACTGCCTCGAGATCCATTAAGCAAGTCGAAGCTCCTGACTTGTTTGAATGGGATCACGGAATACCTCTGCATGCACTGCAGGGGATTGGGGCCTCATCTCGCCTCTAGGGGGAAGTCTCATGGTTTTTCTCGAGTTGCGGCGGGGAACTGGGGTATGTTCTCAACTTACGGCGGGGATGGCCCTTCAAAACACGAGTTTCTTCAGTGACTTTAGGACTCCTGTCTAGTAACGAGGGACACGTCAGCAATCTCTTCGAGGCTTGGCAGGGCAAAAGGGACGCTTCTCGAGGTGAGCCAGGGCACCCAAGGACCCTTTCCAGTAGCCACAGGGATTTTGGGATTCCTATAAGTATTCAAGAGGAGTCAGGCATCGTCACCTTTTGAAGCTATGAACTCCGCGTGCCTCTCGAGGTGTCAGCGGGATGTGAGGATTCCGTCAAAATGAGGCAGGGACCTAGGGCTTTCTCTAAGGTCTCCACAGGGGATTCAGACATCCCTTCATGTTGTGAGATGAAAGACGAGCCTGTATTCAAGCCACTGCAAGGAAATCCGGCCTCCTTTCAAGTTAGGGCTTCTCGCTGTATATTCCCCTTGAGGCAGCAAACTCGGGGTCCCTCCCACATACCTATTGCTGAGAGAAGCCTCCTCCTGAGGTGCTTCTGGAAAGGTGGCATACGTCTTGAGCCTAAGCCAGGGAATCAGCTCTAATCTCGAGACGATTTGGGGTACACAGAGCATTCCTCGAGTTGCTGTGCTGAAGTTGGTGGTCCTCTAGACTTGGGACAGTGTTCTCGGGGCATATCTGGAGTTGCCTGAAGGAAGTCGAGCCACCGGTCGTGTTGAATGGGGAACAAGGAATGGCTCTGGAGTCAATGCAGGGGAATCCGGCCTCATCTCGAGTTGATTTGGGGCACATGGAGCTGCTTTGCATTGCTGGGTGACCTCAGGGTCCGTCTAGACTGGTGACAGTGTTCTTGGGGACTGTCTCGAGATCCATTTAGCAAGTCGAAGCTCCTGACTTGTTTGAATTGGATCATGGAATAGCTCCGCATGCACTGCAGGGGAATGGGGCCTCATCTCGCCTCGAGGGGGAAATCTCAGGTTTTTTCTCGAGTTTCGGCGGGGACCTTGGGTATGTTCTCGACTTACGGCGGGGATGGCCCTTCAAAACACGAGTTTCTTCCGTGACGTCAGGACTCCTGTCTAGTAACGAGGGACACGTCAGCAATCTCTTCGAGGCTTGGCAGGGCAAAAGGGACGCTTCTCGAGGTGAGGCAGGGCACCCAAGGACCCTTTCCAGTAGCCACAGGGATTTTGGGATTCCTATCAGTATTCAAGAGGAGTCAGGCATCGTCACCTTTTGAAGCAATGAACTCTGTGTGCCTCTCGAGGTGTCAGGGGGATGTGAGGTATTCCGTCAAAATGAGGCAGGGACCTAGGGCTTCCTCTAAGGTCTCCACAGGGGCTTCAGAAATCCCTTCATGTTGTCAGATCAAAGACTAGCCTGTATTCAAGCCACTGCAAGGAAATCTGGCCTCCGTTCACATTAGGGCTTCTCCCTGTGTATTCCCCTTGAGGCAGCAAACTCGGGGTCCCTCCCACATACCTATTGCTGAGAGAAGCCTCCTCCTGCGGTGCTTCTGGAAAGTTGGCATACGTCTTGAGCCTAAGCTAGGGAATCAGCTCTCATCTCGAGATGATTTGGGGTACACGGAGCATTCCTCTGGTTGCTGTGCTGAAATTGGTGCTCCTCTAGACTTGGGACAGTGTTCTCGGGGCATCTCTGGAGTTGCCTGAAGGAAGTCGAGCCACCGGTCGTGTTGAATGGGGAACGGGGAATGGCTCTGGAGTCAATGCAGGGGAATCGGGCCTCATCTCGAGTTGATTTGGGGCACATGGAGCAGCTTTGCGTTGCTGGGGTGACCTCAGGGTCCGTCTAGACTGGTGACAGTGTTCTTGGGGACTGTCTCGAGATCCATTAAGCACGTCGAAGCTCCTGACTTGTTTGAATGGGATCACGGAATAGCTCTGCATGCACTGCAGGGGAATGGGGCCTCATCTCGCCTCTAGGGGGAAGTCTCATGGTTTTTCTCGAGTTGCGGCGGGGACCTGGGGTATGTTCTCGACTTACGGCGGGGATGGCCCTTCAAAACACGAGTTTCTTCCGTGACATCAGGACTCCTGTCTAGTAACGAGGGACACGTCAGCAATCTCTTCGAGGCTTGGCAGGGCAAAAGGGACGCTTCTCGAGGTGAGCCAGGGCACCCAAGGACCCTTTCCAGTAGCCACAGGGATTTTGGGATTCCTATAAGTATTCAAGAGGAGTCAGGCATCGTCACCTTTTGAAGCTATGAACTCCGCGTGCCTCTCGAGGTGTCAGCGGGATGTGAGGATTCCGTCAAAATGAGGCAGGGACCTAGGGCTTTCTCTAAGGTCTCCACAGGGGATTCAGACATCCCTTCATGTTGTGAGATGAAAGACGAGCCTGTATTCAAGCCACTGCAAGGAAATCCGGCCTCCTTTCAAGTTAGGGCTTCTCGCTGTATATTCCCCTTGAGGCAGCAAACTCGGGGTCCCTCCCACATACCTATTGCTGAGAGAAGCCTCCTCCTGAGGTGCTTCTGGAAAGGTGGCATACGTCTTGAGCCTAAACCAGGGAATCAGCTCTAATCTCGAGACGATTTGGGGTACACAGAGCATTCCTCGAGTTGCTGTGCTGAAGTTGGTGGTCCTCTAGACTTGGGACAGTGTTCTCGGGGCATATCTGGAGTTGCCTGAAGGAAGTCGAGCCACCGGTCGTGTTGAATGGGGAACAAGGAATGGCTCTGGAGTCAATGCAGGGGAATCCGGCCTCATCTCGAGTTGATTTGGGGCACATGGAGCTGCTTTGCATTGCTGGGTGACCTCAGGGTCCGTCTAGACTGGTGACAGTGTTCTTGGGGACTGTCTCGAGATCCATTTAGCAAGTCGAAGCTCCTGACTTGTTTGAATTGGATCATGGAATAGCTCTGCATGCACTGCAGGGGAATGGGGCCTCATCTCGCCTCTAGGGGGAAATCTCAGGTTTTTTCTCGAGTTTCGGCGGGTACCTTGGGTATGTTCTCGACTTACGGCGGGGATGGCCCTTCAAAACACGAGTTTCTTCCGTGACGTCAGGACTCCTGTCTAGTAACGAGGGACACGTCAGCAATCTCTTCGAGGCTTGGCAGGGCAAAAGGGACGCTTCTCGAGGTGAGCCAGGGCACCCAAGGACCCTTTCCAGTAGCCACAGGGATTTTGGGATTCCTATAAGTATTCAAGAGGAGTCAGGCATCGTCACCTTTTGAAGCAATGAACTCTGTGTGCCTCTCGAGGTGTCAGGGGGATGTGAGGTATTCCGTCAAAATGAGGCAGGGACCTAGGGCTTCCTCTAAGGTCTCCACAGGGGATTCAGAAATCCCTTCATGTTGTCAGATCAAAGACTAGCCTGTATTCAAGCCACTGCAAGGAAATATGGCCTCCGCTCACATTAGCGCTTCTCCCTGTGTATTCCCCTTGAGGCAGCAAACTCGGGGTCCCTCCCACATACCTATTGCTGAGAGAAGCCTCCTCCTGAGGTGCTTCTGGAAAGTTGGCATACGTCTTGAGCCTAAGCCAGGGAATCAGCTCTCATCTCGAGATGATTTTGGGTACACGGAGCATTCCTCTGGTTGCTGTGCTGAAATTGGTGCTCCTCTAGACTTGGGACAGTGTTCTCGGGGCATCTCTGGAGTTGCCTGAAGGAAGTCGAGCCACCGGGCGTATTGAATGGGGAACGGGGAATGGCTCTGGAGTCAATGCAGGGGAATCGGGCCTCATCTCGAGTTGATTTGGGGCACATGGAGCAGCTTTGCGTTGCTGGGGTGACCTCAGGGTCCGTCTAGACTGGTGACAGTGTTCTTGGGGACTGTCTCGAGATCCATTAAGCACGTCGAAGCTACTGACTTGTTTGAATGGGATCACGGAATAGCTCTGCATGCACTGCAGGGGAATGGGGCCTCATCTCGCCTCTAGGGGGAAGTCTCATGGTTTTTCTCGAGTTGCGGCGGGGACCTGGGGTATGTTCTCGACTTACGGCGGGGATGGCCCTTAAAAGCCGAGTTTCTTCAGTGACGTCAGGACTCCTGTCTAGTAACGAGGGACACCTCAGGAATCTCTTCGAGGCTTGGCAGGGCAAAAGGGACGCTTCTCGAAGTGAGGCAGGGCACCCAAGGAACCTTTCCAGTAGCCACAGGGATTTTGGGATTCCTATCAGTATTCAAGAGGAGTCAGGCATCGTCACCTTTTGAAGAAATGAACTCCGCATGCCTCTCGAGCTGTCAGCGGGATGTGAGGCATTCCGTCAAAATGAGGCAGGGACCTAGGGCTTTCTCTAAGGTCTTCACAGGGGATTCAGACATCCCTTCATGTTGTGAGATGAAAGACAAGCCTGTATTCAAGCTACTGCAAGGAAATCCTGCCTCCTTTCAAGTTAGGGCTTCTCGCTGTATATTCCCCTTGAGGCAGCACACTCGGAGTCCCTCCCACATACCTATTGCTGAGAGAAGCCTCCTCCTGAGGTGCTTCTGGAAAGTTGGCATACGCCTTGAGCCTAAGCCAGGGATTCAGCTCTCATCTCGAGACGATTTGGGGTACACAGAGCATTCCTCGAGTTGCTGTGCTGAAGTTGGTGTTCCTCTAGACTTGGGACAGTGTTCTCTGGGCATCTCTGGAGTTGCCTGAAGGAAGTCGAGCCACCGGTCGTGTTGAATGGGGAACGGGGAATGGCTCTGGAGTCAATGCAGGGGAATCGGTCCTCATCTCGACTTGATTTGTGGCAACTGGAGCTGCTTTGCGTTGCTGGGGTGACCTCAGTGTCCGTCTAGACTGGTGACAGTGTTCTTGGGGACTGACTCGAGATCCATTAAGCAAGTCGAAGCTCCTGACTTGTTTGAATGGGATCACGGAATAGCTCTGCATGCACTGCAGGGGAATGGGGCCTCATCTCGCCTCTAGGGGGAAGTCTCATGGTTTTCTCGAGTTGCGGCGGGGACCTGGGGTATGTTCTCGACTTACGGCGGGGATGGCCCTTCAAAACACGAGTTTCTTCAGTGACGTCAGGACTCCTGTCTAGTAATGAGGGACCACTCAGCAATCTCTTCGAGGCTTGGCAGGGCAAAAGGGACGCTTCTCGAGGTGAGCCAGGGCACCCAAGGACCCTTTCCAGTAGCCACAGGGATTTTGGGATTCCTATAAGTATTCAAGAGGAGTCAGGCATCGTCACCTTTTGAAGCAATGAACTCCGCGTGCCTCTCGAGGTGTCAGCGGGATGTGAGGATTCCATCAAAATGAGGCAGGGACCTAGGGCTTTCTCTAAGGTCTCCACAGGGGATTCAGACATCCCTTCATGTTGTGAGATGAAAGACGAGCCTGTATTCAAGCCACTGCAAGGAAATCCGGCCTCCTTTCAAGTTAGGGCTTCTCGCTGTATATTCCCCTTGAGGCAGCAAACTCGGGGTCCCTCCCACATACCTATTGCTGAGAGAAGCCTCCTCCTGAGGTGCTTCTGGAAAGGTGGCATACGTGTTGAGCCTAAGCCAGGGAATCAGCTCTCATCTCGAGACGATTTGGGGTACACAGAGCATTCCTCGAGTTGCTGTGCTGAAGTTGGTGTTCCTCTAGACTTGGGACAGTGTTCTCGGGGCATCTCTGGAGTTGCCTGAAGGAAACCGAGCCACCGGTCCTGTTGATTGGGGAACGGGGAATGGCTCTGGAGTCAATGCAGGGGAATCGGGCCTCATCTCGAGTTGATTTGGGGCACATGGAGCTGGTTTGCGTTGCTGGGGTGACCTCAGGGTCCGTCTAGACTGGTGACAGTGTTCTTGGGGACTGTCTCGAGATCCATTAAGCAAGTCGAAGCTCCTGACTTGTTTGAATGGGATCACGGAATAGCTCTGCATGCACTGCAGGGGAATGGGGCCTCATCTCGCCTCTAGGGGGAAGTCTCATGGTTTTTCTCGAGTTGCGTTGGGGACCTGGGGTATGTTCTCGACTTACGGCGGGGATGGCCCTTCAAAACACGAGTTTCTTCCGTGACGTCAGGACTCCTGTCTAGTAACGAGGGACACCTCAGCAATCTCTTCGAGGCTTGGCAGGGCAAAAGGGACGCTTCTCGAGGTGAGCCAGGGCACCCAAGGACCCTTTCCAGTAGCCACAGGGATTTTGGGATTCCTATAAGTATTCAAGAGGAGTCAGGCATCGTCACCTTTTGAAGCAATGAACTCCACGTGCCTCTCGAGGTGTCAGCGGGATGTTTGGATTCCGTCAAAATGAGGCAGGGACCTAGGGCTTTCTCTAAGGTCTCCACAGGGGATTCAGACATCCCTTCATGTTGTGAGATGAAAGACGAGCCTGTATTCAAGCCACTGCAAGGAAATCCGGCCTCCTTTCAAGTTAGGGCTTCTCGCTGTATATTCCCCTTGAGGCAGCAAACTCGGAGTCCCTCCCACATACATATTGCTGAGAGAAGCCTCCTCCTGAGGTGCTTCTGGAAAGTTGGCATACGTCTTGAGCCTAAGCCAGGGATTCAGCTCTCATGTCGAGACGATTTGGGGTACACAGAGCATTCCTCGAGTTGCTGTGCTGAAGTTGGTGTTCCTCTAGACTTGGGACAGTGTTCTCTGGGCATCTCTGGAGTTGCCTGAAGGAAGTCGAGCCACCGGTCGTGTTGAATGGGGAACGGGGAATGGCTCTGGAGTCAATGCAGGGGAATCGGGCCTCATCTCGACTTGATTTGTGGCACCTGGAGCTGCTTTGCGTTGCTGGGGTGACCTCAGGGTCCGTCTAGACTGGTGACAGTGTTCTTGGGGACTGACTCGAGATCCATTAAGCAAGTCGAAGCTCCTGACTTGTTTGAATGGGATCACGGAATAGCTCTGCATGCACTGCAGGGGAATGGGGCCTCATCTCGCCTCTAGGGGGAAGTCTCATGGTTTTTCTCGAGTTGCGGCGGGGACCTGGGGTATGTTCTCGACTTACGGCGGGAATGGCCCTTCAAAACACGAGTTTCTTCAGTGACGTCAGGACTCCTGTCTAGTAATGAGGGACACCTCAGCAATCTCTTCGAGGCTTGGCAGGGCAAAAGGGACGCTTCTCGAGGTGAACCAGGGCACCCAAGGACCCTTTCCAGTAGCCACAGGGATTTTGGGATTCCTATAAGTATTCAAGAGGAGTCAGGCATCGTCACCTTTTGAAGCAATGAACTCCGCGTGCCTCTCGAGGTGTCAGCGGGATGTGAGGATTCCATCAAAATGAGGCAGGGACCTAGGGCTTTCTCTAAGGTCTCCACAGGGGATTCAGACATCCCTTCATGTTGTGAGATGAAAGACGAGCCTGTATTCAAGCCACTGCAAGGAAATCCGGCCTCCTTTCAAGTTAGGGCTTCTCGCTGTATATTCCCCTTGAGGCAGCAAAATCGGGGTTCCTCCCACATACCTATTGCTGAGAGAAGCCTCCTCCTGAGGTGCTTCTGGAAAGGTGGCATACGTCTTGAGCCTAAGCCAGGGAATCAGCTCTCATCTCGAGACGATTTGGGGTACACAGAGCATTCCTCGAGTTGCTGTGCTGAAGTTGGTGGTCCTCTAGACTTGGGACAGTGTTCTCGGGGCATATCTGGAGTTGCCGGAAGGAAGTCGAGCCACCGGTCGTGTTGAATGGGGAACAAGGAATGGCTCTGGAGTCAATGTAGGGGAATCCGGCCTCATCTCGAGTTGATTTGGGGCACATGGAGCAGCTTTGCATTGCTGGGTGACCTCAGGGTCCGTCTAGACTGGTGACAGTGTTCTTGGGGACTGTCTCGAGATCCATTAAGCAAGTCGAAGCTCCTGACTTGTTTGAATGTGATCACGGAATAGCTCTGCATGCACTGCAGGGGAATGGGGCCTCATCTCGCCTCTAGGGGGAAGTCTCATGGTTTTTCTCGAGTTGCGGCGGGGACCTGGGGTATGTTCTCGACTTACGGCGGGGATGGCCCTTCAAAACACGAGTTTCTTCAGTGACGTCAGGACTCCTGTCTAGTAACGAGGGACACCTCAGCAATCTCTTCGAGGCTTGGCAGGGCAAAAGGACGCTTCTCGAGGTGAGCCAGGGCACCCAAGGACCCTTTCCAGTAGCCACAGGGATTTCGGGATTCCTATAAGTATTCAAGAGGAGTCAGGCATCGTCACCTTTTGAAGCAATGAACTCTGCGTACCTCTCGAGGTGTCAGGGGGATATGAGGTATTCCGACAAAATGAGGCAGGGACCTAGGGCTTCCTCTAAGGTCTCCACAGGGGATTCAGACATCCCTTCATGTTGTCAGATCAAAGACTAGCCTGTATTCAAGCCACTGCAAGGAAATCTGGCCTCCGTTCACATTAGGGCTTCTCCCTGTGTATTCCCCTTGAGGCAGCAAACTCGGGGTCCCTCCCACATAACTATTGCTGAGAGAAGCCTCCTCCTGAGGTGCTTCTGGAAAGTTGGCATACGTCTTGAGCCTAAGCCAGGGAATCAGCTCTCATCTCGGGATGATTTGGGGTACACGGAGCATTCCTCTGGTTGCTGTGCTGAAATTGGTGCTCCTCTAGACTTGGGACAGTGTTCTCGGGGCATCTCTGGAGTTGCCTGAAGGAAGTCGAGCCACCGGTCGTGTTGAATGGGGAACGGGGAATGGCTCTGGAGTCAATGCAGGGGAATCGGGCCTCATCTCGAGTTGATTTGGGGCACATGGAGCAGCTTTACGTTGCTGGGGTGACCTCAGGGTCCGTCTAGACTGGTGACAGTGTTCTTGGGGACTGTCTCGAGATCCATTAAGCACGTCGAAGCTCCTGACTTGTTTGAATGGGATCACGGAATAGCTCTGCATGCACTGCAGGGGAATGGGGCCTCATCTCGCCTCTAGGGGGAAGTCTCATGGTTTTTCTCGAGTTGCGGCGGGGACCTGGGGTATGTTCTCGACTTACGGCGGGGATGGCCCTTCAAAACACGAGTTTCTTCAGTGACGTCAGGACTCCTGTCTAGTAATGAGGGACACCTCAGCAATCTCTTCGAGGCTTGGCAGGGCAAAAGGGACGCTTCTCGAGGTGAGGCAGGGCACCCAAGGACCCTTTCCAGTAGCCACAGGGATTTTGGGATTCCTATAAGTATTCAAGAGGAGTCAGGCATCGTCACCTTTTGAAGCAATGAACTCCGCGTGCCTCTCGAAGTGTCAGCGGGATGTGAGGATTCCGTCAAAATGAGGCAGGGACCTAGGGCTTTCTCTAAGGTCTCCACAGGGGATTCAGACATCCCTTCATGTTGTGAGATGAAAGACGAGCCTGTATTCAAGCCACTGCAAGGAAATCCGGCCTCCTTTCAAGTTAGGGCTTCTCGCTGTATATTCCCCTTGAGGCAGCAAACTCTGGGTCCCTCCCACATACCTATTGCTGAGAGAAGCCTCCTCCTGAGGTGCTTCTGGAAAGGTGGCATACGTCTTGAGCCTAAGCCAGGGAATCAGCTCCCATCTCGAGACGATTTGGGGTACACAGAACATTCCTCGAGTTGCTGTGCTGAAGTTGGTGGTCCTCTAGACTTGGGACACTGTTCTCGGGGCATCTCTGGAGTTGCCTGAAGGAAGTCGAGCCACCGGTCGTGTAGAATGGGGAACAAGGAATGGCTCTGGAGTCAATGCAGGGGAATCCGGCCTCATCTCGAGTTGATTTGGGGCACATGGAGCTGCTTTGCATTGCTGGGTGACCTCAGGGTCCGTCTAGACTGGTGACAGTGTTCTTGGGGACTGTCTCGAGATCCATTTAGCAAGTCGAAGCTCCTGACTTGTTTGAATGGGATCACGGAATAGCTCTGCATGCACTGCAAGGGAATGGGGCCTCATCTCGCCTCTAGGGGGAAGTCTCATGGTTTTTCTCGAGTTGCGGCGGGGACCTGGGGTATGTTCTCGACTTACGGCGGGGATGGCCCTTCAAAACACGAGTTTCTTCCGTGACGTCAGGACTCCTGTCTAGTAACGAGGGACACCTCAGCAATCTCTTCGAGGCTTGGCAGGGCAAAAGGGACGCTTCTCGAGGTGAGCCAGGGCACCCAAGGACCCTTTCCAGTAGCCACAGGGATTTTGGGATTCCTATCAGTATTCAAGAGGAGTCAGGCATCGTCACCTTTTGAAGCAATGAACTCCGCGTGCCTCTCGAGGTGTCAGCGGGATGTGAGGATTCCGTCAAAATGAGGCAGGGACCTAGGGCTTTCTCTAAGGTCTCCACAGGGGATTCAGACATCCCTTCATGTTGTGACATGAAAGACGAGCCTGTATTCAAGCCACTGCAAGGAAATCCGGCCTCCTTTCAAGTTAGGGCTTCTCGCTGTATATTCCCCTTGAGGCAGCAAACTCGGAGTCCCTCCCACATACCTATTGCTGAGAGAAGCCTCCTCCTGAGGTGCTTCTGGAAAGTTGGCATACGTCTTGAGCCTAAGCCAGGGATTCAGCTCTCATCTCGAGACGATTTGTGGTACACAGAGCATTCCTCGAGTTGCTGTGCTGAAGTTGGTGTTCCTCTAGACTTGGGACAGTGTTCTCTGGGCATCTCTGGAGTTGCCTGAAGGAAGTCGAGCCACCTGTCGTGTTGAATGGGGAACGGGGAATGGCTCTGGAGTCAATGCAGGGGAATCGGGCCTCATCTCGAGTTGATTTAGGGCACCTGGAGCTGCTTTGCATTGCTGGGGTGACCTCAGGGTCCGTCTAGACAGGTGACAGTGTTCTTGGGGACTGCCTCGAGATCCATTAAGCAAGTCGAAGCTCCTGACTTGTTTGAATTTGATCACGGAATACCTCTGCATGCACTGCAGGGGAATGGGGCCTCATCTCGCCTCTAGGGGGAAGTCTCATGGTTTTTCTCGAGTTGCGGCGGGGAACTGGGGTATGTTCTCAACTTACGGCGGGGATGGCCCTTCAAAACACGAGTTTCTTCAGTGACGTCAGGACTCCTGTCTAGTAACGAGGGACACGTCAGCAATCTCTTCGAGGCTTGGCAGGGCAAAAGGGACGCTTCTCGAGGTGAGCCAGGGCACCCAAGGACCCTTTCCAGTAGCCACAGGGATTTTGGGATTCCTATAAGTATTCAAGAGGAGTCAGGCATCGTCACCTTTTGAAGCTATGAACTCCGCGTGCCTCTCGAGGTGTCAGCGGGATGTGAGGATTCCGTCAAAATGAGGCAGGGACCTAGGGCTTTCTCTAAGGTCTCCACAGGGGATTCAGACATCCCTTCATGTTGTGAGATGAAAGACGAGCCTGTATTCAAGCCACTGCAAGAAATCCGGCCTCCTTTCAAGTTAGGGCTTCTCGCTGTATATTCCCCTTGAGGCAGCAAACTCGGGGTCCCTCCCACATACCTATTGCTGAGAGAAGCCTCCTCCTGAGGTGCTTCTGGAAAGGTGGCATACGTCTTGAGCCTAAGCCAGGGAATCAGCTCTCATCTCGAGACGATTTGGGGTACACAGAGCATTCCTCGAGTTGCTGTGCTGAAGTTGGTGGTCCTCTAGACTTGGGACAGTGTTCTCGGGGCATATCTGGAGTTGCCTGAAGGAAGTCGAGCCACCGGTCGTGTTGAATGGGAACAAGGAATGGCTCTGGAGTCAATGCAGGGGAATACGGCCTCATCTCGAGTTGATTTGGGGCACATGGAGCTGCTTTGCATTGCTGGGTGACCACAGGGTCCGTCTAGACTGGTGACAGTGTTCTTGGGGACTGTCTCGAGATCCATTAAGCACGTCGAAGCTCCTGACTTGTTTGAATGGGATCACGGAATAGCTCTGCATGCACTGCAGGGGAATGGGGCCTCATCTCGCCTCTAGGGGGAAGTCTCATGGTTTTTCTCGAGTTGCGGCGGGGACCTGGGGTATGTTCTCGACTTACGGCGGGGATGGCCCTTCAAAACACGAGTTTCTTCCGTGACGTCAGGACTCCTGTCTAGTAATGAGGGACACCTCAGCAATCTCTTCGAGGCTTGGCAGGGCAAAAGGGACGCTTCTCGAGGTGAGCCAGGGCACCCAAGGACCCTTTCCAGTAGCCACAGGGATTTTGGGATTCCTATAAGTATTCAAGAGGAGTCAGGCATCGTCACCTTTTGAAGCAATGAACTCTGCGTGCCTCTCGAGGTGTCAGCGGGATGTGAGGTATTCCGTCAAAATGAGGCAGGGACCTAGGGCTTCCTCTAAGGTCTCCACAGGGGATTCAGACATCCCTTAATGTTGTCAGATCAAAGACTAGCCGGTATTCAAGCCACTGCAAGGAAATCTGGCCTCCGCTCACATTAGCACTTCTCCCTGTGTATTCCCCTTGAGGCAGCAAACTAAGGGTCCCTCCCACATACCTATTGCTGAGAGAAGCCTCCTCCTGAGGTGCTTCTGGAAAGTTGGCATACGTCTTGAGCCTAAGCCAGGGAATCAGCTCTCATCTCGAGATGATTTGGGGTACACGGAGCATTCCTCTGGTTGCTGTGCTGAAATTGGTGCTCCTCTAGACTTGGGACAGTGTTCTCGGGGCATCTCTGGAGTTGCCTGAAGGAAGTCGAGCCACCGGGCGTGTTGAATGGGGAACGGGGAATGGCTCTGGAGTCAATGCAGGGGAATCGGGCCTCATCTCGAGTTGATTTGGGGCACATGGAGCAGCTTTGCGTTGCTGGGGTGACCTCAGGGTCCGTCTAGACTGGTGACAGTGTTCTTGGGGACTGTCTCGAGATCCATTAAGCACATCGAAGCTCCTGACTTGTTTGAATGGGATCACGGAATAGCTCTGCATGCACTGCAGGGGAATGGGGCCTCATCTCGCCTCTAGGGGGAAGTCTCATGGTTTTTCTCGAGTTGCGGCGGGGACCTGGGGTATGTTCTCGACTTACGGCGGGGATGGCCCTTCAAAACCCGAGTTTCTTCAGTGATGTCAGGACTCCTGTCTAGTAACGAGGGACACCTCAGGAATCTCTTCGAGGCTTGGCAGGGCAAAAGGGACGCTTCTCGAAGTGAGGCAGGGCACCCAAGGAACCTTTCCAGTAGCCACAGGGATTTTGGGATTCCTATCAGTATTCAAGAGGAGTCAGGCATCGTCACCTTTTGAAGAAATGAACTCCGCATGCCTCTCGAGCTGTCAGCGGGATGTGAGGCATTCCGTCAAAATGAGGCAGGGACCTAGGGCTTTCTCTAAGGTCTTCACAGGGGATTCAGACATCCCTTCATGTTGTGAGACGAAAGACAAGCCTGTATTCAAGCTACTGCAAGGAAATCCTGCCTCCTTTCAAGTTAGGGCTTCTCGCTGTATATTCCCCTTGAGGCAGCAAACTCGGAGTCCCTCCCACATACCTATTGCTGAGAGAAGCCTCCTCCTGAGGTGCTTCTGGAAAGTTGGCATACGCCTTGAGCCTAAGCCAGGGATTCAGCTCTCATCTCGAGACGATTTGGGGTACACAGAGCATTCCTCGAGTTGCTGTGCTGAAGTTGGTGTTCCTCTAGACTTGGGACAGTGTTCTCTGGGCATCTCTGGAGTTGCCTGAAGGAAGTCGAGCCACCGGTCGTGTTGAATGGGGAACGGGGAATGGCTCTGGAGTCAATGCAGGGGAATCGGGCCTCATCTCGACTTGATTTGTGGCACCTGGAGCTGCTTTGCGTTGCTGGGGTGACCTCAGGGTCCGTCTAGACTGGTGACAGTGTTCTTGGGGACTGACTCGAGATCCATTAAGCAAGTCGAAGCTCCTGACTTGTTTGAATGGGATCACGGAATAGCTCTGCATGCACTGCAGGGGAATGGGGCCTCATCTCGCCTCTAGGGGGAAGTCTCATGGTTTTTCTCGAGTTGCGGCGGGGACCTGGGGTATGTTCTCGACTTATGGCGGGGATGGCCCTTCAAAACACGAGTTTCTTCAGTGACGTCAGGACTCCTGTCTAGTAATGAGGGACAACTCAGCAATCTCTTCGAGGCTTGGCAGGGCAAAAGGGACGCTTCTCGAGGTGAGACAGGGCACCCAGGGACCCTTTCCAGTAGCCACAGGGATTTTGGGATTCCTATAAGTATTCAAGAGGAGTCAGGCATTGTCACCTTTTGAAGCAATGAACTCCGCGTGCCTCTCGAGGTGTCAGCGGGATGTGAGGATTCCATCAAAATGAGGCAGGGACCTAGGGCTTTCTCTAAGGTTTCCACAGGGGATTCAGACATCCCTTCATGTTGTGAGATGAAAGACGAGCCTGTATTCAAGCCACTGCAAGGAAATCCGGCCTCTTTTCAAGTTAGGGCTTCTCGCTCTATATTCCCCTTGAGGCAGCAAAATCGGGGTTCCTCCCACATACCTATTGCTGAGAGAAGCCTCCTCCTGAGGTGCTTCTGTAAAGGTGGCATACGTCTTGAGCCTAAGCCAGGGAATCAGCTCTCATCTCGAGACGATTTGGGGTACACAGAGCATTCCTCGAGTTGCTGTGCTGAAGTTGGTGGTCCTCTAGACTTGGACAGTGTTCTCGGGGCATATCTGGAGTTGCCGGAAGGAAGTCGAGCCACCGGTCGTGTTGAATGGGGAACAAGGAATGGCTCTGGAGTCAATGTAGGGGAATCCGGCCTCATCTCGAGTTGATTTGGGGCACATGGAGCAGCTTTGCATTGCTGGGTGACCTCAGGGTCCGTCTAGACTGGTGACAGTGTTCTTGGGGACTGTCTCGAGATCCATTAAGCAAGTCGAAGCTCCTGACTTGTTTGAATGGGATCACGGAATAGCTCTGCATGCACTGCAGGGGAATGGGGCCTCATCTCGCCTCTAGGGGGAAATCTCATGGTTTTTCTCGAGTTGCGGCGGGGACCTGGGGTATGTTCTCGACTTACGGCGGGGATGGCCCTTCAAAACACGAGTTTCGTCAGTGAGGTCAGGACTCCTGTCTAGTAATGAGGGACACCTCAGCAATCTCTTCGAGGCTTGGCCGGGCAAAAGGGACGCTTCTCGAGGTGAGCCAGGGCACCCAAGGACCCTTTCCAGTAGCCACAGGGATTTTGGGATTCCTATAAGTATTCAAGAGGAGTCAGGCATCGTCACCTTTTGAAGCAATGAACTCTACGTGCCTCTCGAGGTGTCAGGGGGATGTGAGGTATTCCGTCAAAATGAGGCAGGGACCTAGGGCTTTCTCTAAGGTCTCCACAGGGGATTCAGACATCCCTTCATGTTGTGAGATGAAAGACGAGCCTGTATTCAAGCCACTGCAAGGAAATCCGGCCTCCTTTCAAGTTAGGGCTTCTCGCTGTATATTCCCCTTGAGGCAGCAAATTCGGGGTCCCTCCCACATACCCATTGCTGAGAGAAGCCTCCTCCTGAGGTGCTTCTGGAAAGGTGGCATACGTCTTGAGCCTAAGCCAGGGAATCAGCTCTCATCTCGAGACGATTTGGGGTACACAGAGCATTCCTCGAGTTGCTGTGCTGAAGTTGGTGGTCCTCTAGACTTGGGACACTGTTCTCGGGGCATCTCTGGAGTTGCCTGAAGGAAGTCGAGCCACCGGTCGTGTTGAATGGGGAACAAGGAATGGCTCAGGAGTCAATGCAGGGGAATCCGGCCTCATCTCAAGTTGATTTGGGGCACATGGAGCTGCTTTGCATTGCTGGGTGACCTCAGGGTCCGTCTAGACTGGTGACAGTGTTCTTGGGGACTGTCTCGAGATCCATTAAGCAAGTCGAAGCTCCTGACTTGTTTGAATGGGATCACGGAATAGCTCTGCATGCACTGCAGGGGAATGGGGCCTCATCTCGCCTCTAGGGGGAAGTCTCATGGTTTTTCTCGAGTTGCGGCGGGGACCTGGGGTATGTTCTCGACTTACGGCGGGGATGGCCCTTCAAAACACGAGTTTCTTCCGTGACGTCAGGACTCCTGTCTAGTAACGAGGGACACCTCAGCAATCTCTTCGAGGCTTGGCAGGGCAAAAGGGACGCTTCTCGAGGTGAGCCAGGGCACCCAAGGACCCTTTCCAGTAGCCACAGGGATTTTGGGATTCCTATCAGTATTCAAGAGGAGTCAGGCATCGTCACCTTTTGAAGCAATGAACTCCGCGTGCCTCTCGAGGTGTCAGCGGGATGTGAGGATTCCGTCAAAATGAGGCAGGGACCTCGGGCTTACTCTAAGGTCTCCACAGGGGATTCAGACATCCCTTCATGTTGTGACATGAAAGACGAGCCTGTATTCAAGCCACTGCAAGGAAATCCGGCCTCCTTTCAAGTTAGGGCTTCTCGCTGTATATTCCCCTTGAGGCAGCAAATTCGGAGTCCCTCCCACATACCTATTGCTGAGAGAAGCCTCCTCCTGAGGTGCTTCTGGAAAGTTGGCATATGTCTTGAGCCTAAGCCAGGGATTCAGCTCTCATCTCGAGACGATTTGTGGTACACAGAGCATTCCTCGAGTTGCTGTGCTGAAGTTGGTGTTCCTCTAGACTTGGGACAGTGTTCTCTTGGCATCTCTGGAGTTGCCTGAAGGAAGTCGAGCCACCGTTCGTGTTGAATGGGGAACGGGGAATGGCTCTGGAGTCAATGCAGGGGAATCGGGCCTCATCTCGAGTTGATTTGTGGCACCTGGAGCTGCTTTGCATTGCTGGGGTGACCTCAGGGTCCGTCTAGACAGGTGACAGTGTTCTTGGGGACTGCCTCGAGATCCATTAAGCAAGTCGAAGCTCCTGACTTGTTTGAATGGGATCACGGAATACCTCTGCATGCACTGCAGGGGATTGGGGCCTCATCTCGCCTCTAGGGGGAAGTCTCATGGTTTTTCTCGAGTTGCGGCGGGGAACTGGGGTATGTTCTCAACTTACGGCGGGGATGGCCCTTCAAAACACGAGTTTCTTCAGTGACTTTAGGACTCCTGTCTAGTAACGAGGGACACGTCAGCAATCTCTTCGAGGCTTGGCAGGGCAAAAGGGACGCTTCTCGAGGTGAGCCAGGGCACCCAAGGACCCTTTCCAGTAGCCACAGGGATATTGGGATTCCTATAAGTATTCAAGAGGAGTCAGGCATCGTCACCTTTTGAAGCTATGAACTCAGCGTGCCTCTCGAGGTGTCAGCGGGATGTGAGGATTCCGTCAAAATGAGGCAGGGACCTAGGGCTTTCTCTAAGGTCTCCACAGGGGATTCAGACATCCCTTCATGTTGTGAGATGAAAGACGAGCCTGTATTCAAGCCACTGCAAGGAAATCCGGCCTCCTTTCAAGTTAGGGCTTCTCGCTGTATATTCCCCTTGAGGCAGCAAACTCGGGGTCCCTCCCACATACCTATTGCTGAGAGAAGCCTCCTCCTGAGGTGCTTCTGGAAAGGTGGCATACGTCTTGAGCCTAAGCCAGGGAATCAGCTCTAATCTCGAGACGATTTGGGGTACACAGAGCATTCCTCGAGTTGCTGTGCTGAAGTTGGTGGTCCTCTAGACTTGGGACAGTGTTCTCGGGGCATATCTGGAGTTGCCTGAAGGAAGTCGAGCCACCGGTCGTGTTGAATGGGGAACAAGGAATGGCTCTGGAGTCAATGCAGGGGAATCCGGCCTCATCTCGAGTTGATTTGGGGCACATGGAGCTGCTTTGCATTGCTGGGTGACCTCAGGGTCCGTCTAGACTGGTGACAGTGTTCTTGGGGACTGTCTCGAGATCCATTTAGCAAGTCGAAACTCCTGACTTGTTTGAATTGGATCATGGAATAGCTCTGCATGCACTGCAGGGGAATGGGGCCTCATCTCGCCTCTAGGGGGAAATCTCAGGTTTTTTCTCGAGTTTCGGCGGGGACCTTGGGTATGTTCTCGACTTACGGCGGGGATGGCCCTTCAAAACACGAGTTTCTTCCGTGACGTCAGGACTCCTGTCTAGTAACGAGGGACACGTCAGCAATCTCTTCGAGGCTTGGCAGGGCAAAAGGGACGCTTCTCGAGGTGAGGCAGGGCACCCAAGGACCCTTTCCAGTAGCCACAGGGATTTTGGTATTCCTATCAGTATTCAAGAGGAGTCAGGCATCGTCACCTTTTGAAGCAATGAACTCTGTGTGCCTCTCGAGGTGTCAGGGGGATGTGAGGTATTCCGTCAAAATGAGGCAGGGACCTAGGGCTTCCTCTAAGGTCTCCACAGGGGCTTCAGAAATCCCTTCATGTTGTCAGATCAAAGACTAGCCTGTATTCAAGCCACTGCAAGGAAATCTGGCCTCCGTTCACATTAGGGCTTCTCCCTGTGTATTCCCCTTGAGGCAGCAAACTCGGGGTCCCTCCCACATACCTATTGCTGAGAGAAGCCTCCTCCTGCGGTGCTTCTGGAAAGTTGGCATACGTCTTGAGCCTAAGCTAGGGAATCAGCTCTCATCTCGAGATGATTTGGGGTACACGGAGCATTCCTCTGGTTGCTGTGCTGAAATTGGTGCTCCTCTAGACTTGGGACAGTGTTCTCGGGGCATCTCTGGAGTTGCCTGAAGGAAGTCGAGCCACCGGTCGTGTTGAATGGGGAACGGGGAATGGCTCTGGAGTCAATGCAGGGGAATCGGGCCTCATCTCGAGTTGATTTGGGGCACATGGAGCAGCTTTACGTTGCTGGGGTGACCTCAGGGTCCGTCTAGACTGGTGACAGTGTTCTTGGGGACTGTCTCGAGATCCATTAAGCACGTCGAAGCTCCTGACTTGTTTGAATGGGATCACGGAATAGCTCTGCATGCACTGCAGGGGAATGGGGCCTCATCTCGCCTCTAGGGGGAAGTCTCATGGTTTTTCTCGAGTTGCGGCGGGGACCTGGGGTATGTTCTCGACTTACGGCGGGGATGGCCCTTCAAAACACGAGTTTCTTCCGTGACATCAGGACTCCTGTCTAGTAATGAGGCACCACTCAGCAATCTCTTCGAGGCTTGGCAGGGCAAAAGGGACGCTTCTCGAGGTGAGCCAGGGCACCCAAGGACCCTTTCCAGTAGCCACAGGGATTTTGGGATTCCTATAAGTATTCAAGAGGAGTCAGGCATCGTCACCTTTTGAAGCTATGAACTCCGCGTGCCTCTCGAGGTGTCAGCGGGATGTGAGGATTCCGTCAAAATGAGGCAGGGACCTAGGGCTTTCTCTAAGGTCTCCACAGGGGATTCAGACATCCCTTCATGTTGTGAGATGAAAGACGAGCCTGTATTCAAGCCACTGCAAGGAAATCCGGCCTCCTTTCAAGTTAGGGCTTCTCGCTGTATATTCCCCTTGAGGCAGCAAACTCGGGGTCCCTCCCACATACCTATTGCTGAGAGAAGCCTCCTCCTGAGGTGCTTCTGGAAAGGTGGCATACGTCTTGAGCCTAAACCAGGGAATCAGCTCTAATCTCGAGACGATTTGGGGTACACAGAGCATTCCTCGAGTTGCTGTGCTGAAGTTGGTGGTCCTCTAGACTTGGGACAGTGTTCTCGGGGCATATCTGGAGTTGCCTGAAGGAAGTCGAGCCACCGGTCGTGTTGAATGGGGAACAAGGAATGGCTCTGGAGTCAATGCAGGGGAATCCGGCCTCATCTCGAGTTGATTTGGGGCACATGGAGCTGCTTTGCATTGCTGGGTGACCTCAGGGTCCGTCTAGACTGGTGACAGTGTTCTTGGGGACTGTCTCGAGATCCATTTAGCAAGTCGAAGCTCCTGACTTGTTTGAATTGGATCATGGAATAGCTCTGCATGCACTGCAGGGGAATGGGGCCTCATCTCGCCTCTAGGGGGAAATCTCAGGTTTTTTCTCGAGTTTCGGCGGGGACCTTGGGTATGTTCTCGACTTACGGCGGGGATGGCCCTTCAAAACACGAGTTTCTTCCGTGACGTCAGGACTCCTGTCTAGTAACGAGGGACACGTCAGCAATCTCTTCGAGGCTTGGCAGGGCAAAAGGGACGCTTCTCGAGGTGAGCCAGGGCACCCAAGGACCCTTTCCAGTAGCCACAGGGATTTTGGGATTCCTATAAGTATTCAAGAGGAGTCAGGCATCGTCACCTTTTGAAGCAATGAACTCTGTGTGCCTCTCGAGGTGTCAGGGGGATGTGAGGTATTCCGTCAAAATGAGGCAGGGACCTAGGGCTTCCTCTAAGGTCTCCACAGGGGATTCAGAAATCACTTCATGTTGTCAGATCAAAGACTAGCCTGTATTCAAGCCACTGCAAGGAAATATGGCCTCCGCTCACATTAGCGCTTCTCCCTGTGTATTCCCCTTGAGGCAGCAAACTCGGGGTCCCTCCCACATACCTATTGCTGAGAGAAGCCTCCTCCTGAGGTGCTTCTGGAAAGTTGGCATACGTCTTGAGCCTAAGCCAGGGAATCAGCTCTCATCTCGAGATGATTTTGGGTACACGGAGCATTCCTCTGGTTGCTGTGCTGAAATTGGTGCTCCTCTAGACTTGGGACAGTGTTCTCGGGGCATCTCTGGAGTTGCCTGAAGGAAGTCGAGCCACCGGGCGTATTGAATGGGGAACGGGGAATGGCTCTGGAGTCAATGCAGGGGAATCGGGCCTCATCTCGAGTTGATTTGGGGCACATGGAGCAGCTTTGCGTTGCTGGGGTGACCTCAGGGTCCGTCTAGACTGGTGACAGTGTTCTTGGGGACTGTCTCGAGATCCATTAAGCACGTCGAAGCTACTGACTTGTTTGAATGGGATCACGGAATAGCTCTGCATGCACTGCAGGGGAATGGGGCCTCATCTCGCCTCTAGGGGGAAGTCTCATGGTTTTTCTCGAGTTGCGGCGGGGACCTGGGGTATGTTCTCGACTTACGGCGGGGATGGCCCTTAAAAGCCGAGTTTCTTCAGTGACGTCAGGACTCCTGTCTAGTAACGAGGGACACCTCAGGAATCTCTTCGAGGCTTGGCAGGGCAAAAGGGACGCTTCTCGAAGTGAGGCAGGGCACCCAAGGAACCTTTCCAGTAGCCACAGGGATTTTGGGATTCCTATCAGTATTCAAGAGGAGTCAGGCATCGTCACCTTTTGAAGAAATGAACTCCGCATGCCTCTCGAGCTGTCAGCGGGATGTGAGGCATTCCGTCAAAATGAGGCAGGGACCTAGGGCTTTCTCTAAGGTCTTCACAGGGGATTCAGACATCCCTTCATGTTGTGAGATGAAAGACAAGCCTGTATTCAAGCTACTGCAAGGAAATCCTGCCTCCTTTCAAGTTAGGGCTTCTCGCTGTATATTCCCCTTGAGGCAGCAAACTCGGAGTCCCTCCCACATACCTATTGCTGAGAGAAGCCTCCTCCTGAGGTGCTTCTGGAAAGTTGGCATACGCCTTGAGCCTAAGCCAGGGATTCAGCTCTCATCTCGAGACGATTTGGGGTACACAGAGCATTCCTCGAGTTGCTGTGCTGAAGTTGGTGTTCCTCTAGACTTGGGACAGTGTTCTCGGGGCATCTCTGGAGTTGCCTGAAGGAAACCGAGCCACCGGTCCTGTTGATTGGGGAACGGGGAATGGCTCTGGAGTCAATGCAGGGGAATCGGGCCTCATCTCGAGTTGATTTGGGGCACATGGAGCTGGTTTGCGTTGCTGGGGTGACCTCAGGGTCCGTCTAGACTGGTGACAGTGTTCTTGGGGACTGTCTCGAGATCCATTAAGCAAGTCGAAGCTCCTGACTTGTTTGAATGGGATCACGGAATAGCTCTGCATGCACTGCAGGGGAATGGGGCCTCATCTCGCCTCTAGGGGGAAGTCTCATGGTTTTTCTCGAGTTGCGTTGGGGACCTGGGGTATGTTCTCGACTTACGGCGGGGATGGCCCTTCAAAACACGAGTTTCTTCCGTGACGTCAGGACTCCTGTCTAGTAACGAGGGACACCTCAGCAATCTCTTCGAGGCTTGGCAGGGCAAAAGGGACGCTTCTCGAGGTGAGCCAGGGCACCCAAGGACCCTTTCCAGTAGCCACAGGGATTTTGGGATTCCTATAAGTATTCAAGAGGAGTCAGGCATCGTCACCTTTTGAAGCAATGAACTCCACGTGCCTCTCGAGGTGTCAGCGGGATGTTTGGATTCCGTCAAAATGAGGCAGGGACCTAGGGCTTTCTCTAAGGTCTCCACAGGGGATTCAGACATCCCTTCATGTTGTGAGATGAAAGACGAGCCTGTATTCAAGCCACTGCAAGGAAATCCGGCCTCCTTTCAAGTTAGGGCTTCTCGCTGTATATTCCCCTTGAGGCAGCAAACTCGGAGTCCCTCCCACATACATATTGCTGAGAGAAGCCTCCTCCTGAGGTGCTTCTGGAAAGTTGGCATACGTCTTGAGCCTAAGCCAGGGATTCAGCTCTCATCTCGAGACGATTTGTGGTACACAGAGCATTCCTCGAGTTGCTGTGCTGAAGTTGGTGTTCCTCTAGACTTGGGACAGTGTTCTCTGGGCATCTCTGGAGTTGCCTGAAGGAAGTCGAGCCACCGGTCTTGTTGAATGGGGAACGGGGAATGGCTCTGGAGTCAATGCAGGGGAATCGGGCCTCATCTCGTGTTGATTTGTGGCACCTGGAGCTGCTTTGCGTTGCTGGGGTGACCTCAGGGTCCGTCTAGACTGGTGACAGTGATCTTGGGGACTGCCTCGAGATCCATTAAGCAAGTCGAAGCTCCTGACTTGTTTGAATGGGATCACGGAATAGCTCTGCATGCACTGCAGGGGAATGGGGCCTCATCTCGCCTCTAGGGGGAAGTCTCATGGTTTTTCTCGAGTTGCGGCGGGGACCTGGGGTATGTTCTCGACTTACGGCGGGGATGGCCCTTCAAAACACGAGTTTCTTCAGTGACGTCAGGACTCCTGTCTAGTAACGAGGGACACGTCAGCAATCTCTTCGAGGCTTGGCAGGGCAAAAGGGACGCTTCCCGAGGTGAGCCAGCGCACCCAAGGACCCTTTCCAGTAGCCACAGGGATTTTGGGATTCCTATCAGTATTCAAGAGGAGTCAGGCATCGTCACCTTTTGAAGCAATGATCTCCGCGTGCCTCTCGACGTGTCAGCGGGATGTGAGGATTCCGTCAAAATGAGGCAGGGACCTAGGGCTTTCTCTAAGGTCTCCACAGGGGATTCAGACATCCCTTCATGTTGTGAGATGAAAGACGAGCCTGTATTCAAGCCACTGCAAGGAAATCCGGCCTCCTTTCAAGTTAGGGCTTCTCGCTGTATATTCCCCTTGAGGCAGCAAACTCGGGGTCCCTCCCACATACCTATTGCTGAGAGAAGCCTCCTCCTGAGGTGCTTCTGGAAAGGTGGCATACGTCTTGAGCCTAAGCCAGGGAATCAGCTCTCATCTCGAGACGATTTGGGGTACACAGAGCATTCCTCGAGTTGCTGTGCTGAAGTTGGTGTTCCTCTAGACTTGGGACAGTGTTCTCGGGGCATCTCTGGGGTTGCCTGAAGGAAACCGAGCCACCGGTCCTGTTGAATGGGAAACGGGGAATGGCTCTGGAATCAATGCAGGGGAATCGGGCCTCATCTCGAGTTGATTTAGGGCACATGGAGCTGGTTTGCATTGCTGGGGTGACCTCAGGGTCCGTCTAGACTGGTGACAGTGTTCTTGGGGACTGTCTCGAGATCCATTAAGCAAGTCGAAGCTCCTGACTTGTTTGAATGGGATCACGGAATAGCTCTGCATGCACTGCAGGGGAATGGGGCCTCATCTCGCCTCTAGGGGGAAGTCTCATGGTTTTTCTCGAGTTGCGACGGGGACCTGGGGTATGTTCTCGACTTACGGCAGGGATGGCCCTTCAAAACACGACTTTCTTCAGTGATGTCAGGACTCCTGCCTAGTAACAAGGGACACCTCAGGAATCTCTTCGAGTCTTGGCAGGGCAAAAGGGACGCTTCTCGAGGTGAGCCAGGGCACCCAAGGACCCTTTCCAGTAGCCACAGGGATTTTGGGATTCCTATCAGTATTCAAGAGGAGTCAGGCATCGTCACCTTTTGAAGCAATGAACTCCGCGTGCCTCTCGAGGTGTCAGCGGGATGTGAGGCATTCCGTCAAAATGAGGCAGGGACCTAGGGCTTTCTCTAAGGTCTCCACAGGGGATTCAGACATCCCTTCATGTTGTGAGATGAAAGACAAGCCTGTATTCAAGCTACTGCAAGGAAATCCGGCCTCCTTTCAAGTTAGGGCTTCTCGCTGTATATTCCCCTTGAGGCAGCAAACTCGGAGTCCCTCCCACATACCTATTGCTGAGAAGCCTCCTCCTGAGGTGCTTCTGGAAAGTTGGCATACGTCTTGAGCCTAAGCCAGGGAATCAGCTCTAATCTCGAGACGATTTGGGGTACACAGAGCATTCCTCGAGTTGCTGTGCTGAAGTTGGTGTTCCTCTAGACTTGGGACAGTGTTCTCGGGGCATCTCTGGGGTTGCCTGAAGGAAACCGAGCCACCGGTCCTGTTGAATGGGGAACGGGGAATGGCTCTGGAATCAATGCAGGGGAATCGGGCCTCATCTCGAGTTGATTTAGGGCACATGGAGCTGGTTTGCATTGCTGGGGTGACCTCAGGGTCCGTCTAGACTGGTGACAGTGTTCTTGGGGACTGTCTCGAGATCCATTAAGCAAGTCGAAGCTCCTGACTTGTTTGAATGGGATCACGGAATAGCTCTGCATGCACTGCAGGGGAATGGGGCCTCATCTCGCCTCTAGGGGGAAGTCTCATGGTTTTTCTCGAGTTGCGGCGGGGACCTGGGGTATGTTCTCGACTTACGGCGGGGACGGCCCTTCAAAACACGAGTTTCTTCAGTGACGTCAGGACTCCTGTCTAGTAACGAGGGACACCTCAGCAATCTCTTCGAGGCTTGGCAGGGCAAAAGGGACGCTTCTCGAGGTGAGCCATGGCACCCAAGGACCCTTTCAAGTAGCCACAGGGATTTTGGGATTCCTATCAGTATTCAAGAGGAGTCAGGCATCGTCACCTTTTGAAGCAATGAACTCCGCGTGCCTCTCGAGGTGTCAGCGGGATGTGAGGATTCCGTCAAAATGAGGCAGGGACCTAGGGCTTTCTCTAAGGTCTCCACAGGGGATTCAGACATCCCTTCATGTTGTGAGATGAAAGACGAGCCTGTATTCAAGCCACTAGAAGGAAATCCGGCCTCCTTTCAAGTTAGGGCTTCTCGCTGTATATTCCCCTTGAGGCAGCAAACTCGGAGTCCCTCCCACATACCTATTCCTGAGAGAAGCCTCGTCCTGAGGTGCTTCTGGAAAGTTGGCATACGTCTTGAGCCTAAGCCAGGGATTCAGCTCTCATCTCGAGACGATTTGGGGTACACAGAGCATTCCTCGAGTTGCTGTGCTGAAGTTGGTGTTACTCTAGACTTGGGACAGTGTTCTCGGGGCATCTCTGGAGTTGCCTGAAGGAAGGCGAGCCTCCGTTCGTGTTGCACAAACGGGGAATGGCTCTGGAGTCAATGCAGGGGAATCGGGCCTCATCTCGAGTTGATTTGGGGCACATGGAACTGCTTTGCGTTGCTGGGGTGACCTCAGGGTCCGTCTAGACTGGTGACAGTGTTCTTGGGGACTGTCTCGAGATCCATTAAGCAAGTCGAAGCTCCTGACTTGTTTGAATGGGATCACGGAATAGCTCTGCATGCACTGCAGGGGAATGGGGCCTCATCTCGCCTCTAGGGGGAAGTCTCATGGTTTTGCTCGAGTTGCGGCGGGGACCTGGGGTATGTTCTCGACTTACGGCGGGGATGGCCCTTCAAAACACGAGTTTCTTCAGTGACGTCAGGACTCCTGTCTAGTAACGAGGGACACCTCAGCAATCTCTTCGAGGCTTGGCAGGGCAAAAGGGACGCTTCTCGAGGTGAGCCAGGGCACCCAAGGACCCTTTCCAGTAGCCACAGGGATTTTGGGATTCCTATCAGTATTCAAGAGGAGTCAGGCATCGTCACCTTTTGAAGCAATGAACTCCGCGTGCCTCTCGAGGTGTCAGCGGGATGTGAGGCATTCCGTCAACATGAGGCAGGGACCTAGGGCTTTCTCTAAGGTCTCCACAGGGGATTCAGACATCCCTTCATGTTGTGAGATGAAAGACAAGCCTGTATTCAAGCTACTGCAAGGAAATCCGGCCTCCTTTCAAGTTAGGGCTTCTCGCTGTATATTCCCCTTGAGGCAGCAAACTCGGAGTCCCTCCCACATACCTATTGCTGAGAAGCCTCCTCCTGAGGTGCTTCTGGAAAGTTGGCATACGTCTTGAGCCTAAGCCAGGGAATCAGCTCTCATCTCGAGACGATTTGGGGTACACAGAGCATTCCTCGAGTTGCTGTGCTGAAGTTGGTGTTCCTCTAGACTTGGGACAGTGTTCTCGGGTCATCTCTGGAGTTGCCTGAAGGAAACCGAGCCACCGGTCCTGTTGAATGGGGAACGGGGAATGGCTCTGGAATCAATGCAGGGGAATCGGGCCTCATCTCGAGTTGATTTAGGGCACATGGAGCTGGTTTGCATTGCTGGGGTGACCTCAGGGTCCGTCTAGACTGGTGACAGTGTTCTTGGGGACTGTCTCGAGGTCCATTAAGCAAGTCGAAGCTCCTGACTTGTTTGAATGGGATCACGGAATAGCTCTGCATGCACTGCAGGGGAATGGGGCCTCATCTCGCCTCTAGGGGGAAGTCTCATGGTTTTTCTCGAGTTGCGGCGGGGACCTGGGGTATGTTCTCGACTTACGGCGGGGACGGCCCTTCAAAACACGAGTTTCTTCAGTGACGTCAGGACTCCTGTCTAGTAACGAGGGACACCTCAGCAATCTCTTCGAGGCTTGGCAGGGCAAAAGGGACGCTTCTCGAGGTGAGCCATGGCACCCAAGGACCCTTTCAAGTAGCCACAGGGATTTTGGGATTCCTATCAGTATTCAAGAGGAGTCAGGCATCGTCACCTTTTGAAGCAATGAACTCCGCGTGCCTCTCGAGGTGTCAGCGGGATGTGAGGATTCCGTCAAAATGAGGCAGGGACCTAGGGCTTTCTCTAAGGTCTCCACAGGGGATTCAGACATCCCTTCATGTTGTGAGATGAAAGACGAGCCTGTATTCAAGCCACTAGAAGGAAATCCGGCCTCCTTTCAAGTTAGGGCTTCTCGCTGTATATTCCCCTTGAGGCAGCAAACTCGGAGTCCCTCCCACATACCTATTCCTGAGAGAAGCCTCGTCCTGAGGTGCTTCTGGAAAGTTGGCATACGTCTTGAGCCTAAGCCAGGGATTCAGCTCTCATCTCGAGACGATTTGGGGTACACAGAGCATTCCTCGAGTTGCTGTGCTGAAGTTGGTGTTACTCTAGACTTGGGACAGTGTTCTCGGGGCATCTCTGGAGTTGCCTGAAGGAAGGCGAGCCTCCGTTCGTGTTGCACAAACGGGGAATGGCTCTGGAGTCAAGGCAGGGGAATCGGGCCTCATCTCGAGTTGATTTGGGGCACATGGAACTGCTTTGCGTTGCTGGGGTGACCTCAGGGTCCGTCTAGACTGGTGACAGTGTTCTTGGGGACTGTCTCGAGATGCATTAAGCAAGTCGAAGCTCCTGACTTGTTTGAATGGGATCACGGAATAGCTCTGCATGCACTGCAGGGGAATGGGGCCTCATCTCGCCTCTAGGGGGAAGTCTCATGGTTTTGCTCGAGTTGCGGCGGGGACCTGGGGTATGTTCTCGACTTAGGGCGGGGATGGCCCTTCAAAACACGAGTTTCTTCAGTGACGTCAGGACTCCTGTCTAGTAACGAGGGACACCTCAGCAATCTCTTCGAGGCTTGGCATGGCTAAAGGGATGCTTCTCGAAGTGAGGCAGGGCACCCAAGGAACCTTTCCAGTAGCCACAGGGATTTTGGGATTCCTATCAGTATTCAAGAGGAGTCAGGCATCGTCACCTTTTGAAGAAATGAACTCCGCATGCCTCTCGAGCTGTCAGCGGGATGTGAGGCATTCCGTCAAAATGAGGCAGGGACCTAGGGCTTTCTCTAAGGTCTTCACAGGGGATTCAGACATCCCTTCATGTTGTGAGTTGAAAGACAAGCCTGTATTCAAGCTACTGCAAGGAAATCCTGCCTCCTTTCAAGTTAGGGCTTCTCGCTGTATATTCCCCTTGAGGCAGCAAACTCGGAGTCCCTCCCACATACCTATTGCTGAGAGAAGCCTCCTCCTGAGGTGCTTCTGGAAAGTTGGCATACGCCTTGAGCCTAAGCCAGGGATTCAGCTCTCATGTCGAGACGATTTGGGGTACACAGAGCATTCCTCGAGTTGCTGTGCTGAAGTTGGTGTTCCTCTAGACTTGGGACAGTGTTCTCTGGGCATCTCTGGAGTTGCCTGAAGGAAGTCGAGCCACCGGTCGTGTTGAATGGGGAACGGGGAATGGCTCTGGAGTCAATGCAGGGGAATCGGGCCTCATCTCGACTTGATTTGTGGCACCTGGAGCTGCTTTGCGTTGCTGGGGTGACCTCAGGGTCCGTCTAGACTGGTGACAGTGTTCTTGGGGACTGACTCGAGATCCATTAAGCAAGTCGAAGCTCCTGACTTGTTTGAATGGGATCACGGAATAGCTCTGCATGCACTGCAGGGGAATGGGGCCTCATCTCGCCTCTAGGGGGAAGTCTCATGGTTTTTCTCGAGTTGCGGCGGGGACCTGGGGTATGTTCTCGACTTACGGCGGGAATGGCCCTTCAAAACACGAGTTTCTTCAGTGACGTCAGGACTCCTGTCTAGTAATGAGGGACACCTCAGCAATCTCTTCGAGGCTTGGCAGGGCAAAAGGGACGCTTCTCGAGGTGAACCAGGGCACCCAAGGACCCTTTCCAGTAGCCACAGGGATTTTGGGATTCCTATAAGTATTCAAGAGGAGTCAGGCATCGTCACCTTTTGAAGCAATGAACTCCGCGTGCCTCTCGAGGTGTCAGCGGGATGTGAGGATTCCATCAAAATGAGGCAGGGACCTAGGGCTTTCTCTAAGGTCTCCACAGGGGATTCAGACATCCCTTCATGTTGTGAGATGAAAGACGAGCCTGTATTCAAGCCACTGCAAGGAAATCCGGCCTCCTTTCAAGTTAGGGCTTCTCGCTGTATATTCCCCTTGAGGCAGCAAAATCGGGGTTCCTCCCACATACCTATTGCTGAGAGAAGCCTCCTCCTGAGGTGCTTCTGGAAAGGTGGCATACGTCTTGAGCCTAAGCCAGGGAATCAGCTCTCATCTCGAGACGATTTGGGGTACACAGAGCATTCCTCGAGTTGCTGTGCTGAAGTTGGTGGTCCTCTAGACTTGGGACAGTGTTCTCGGGGCATATCTGGAGTTGCCGGAAGGAAGTAGAGCCACCGGTCGTGTTGAATGGGGAACAAGGAATGGCTCTGGAGTCAATGTAGGGGAATCCGGCCTCATCTCGAGTTGATTTGGGGCACATGGAGCAGCTTTGCATTGCTGGGTGACCTCAGGGTCCGTCTAGACTGGTGAAAGTGTTCTTGGGGACTGTCTCGAGATCCATTAAGCAAGTCGAAGCTCCTGACTTGTTTGAATGGGATCACGGAATAGCTCTGCATGCACTGCAGGGGAATGGGGCCTCATCTCGCCTCTAGGGGGAAGTCTCATGGTTTTTCTCGAGTTGCGGCGGGGACCTGGGGTATGTTCTCGACTTACGGCGGGGATGGCCCTTCAAAACACGAGTTTCTTCAGTGACGTCAGGACTCCTGTCTAGTAACGAGGGATACCTCAGCAATCTCTTCGAGGCTTGGCAGGGCAAAAGGACGCTTCTCGAGGTGAGCCAGGGCACACAAGGACCCTTTCCAGTAGCCACAGGGATTTCGGGATTCCTATAAGTATTCAAGAGGAGTCAGGCATCGTCACCTTTTGAAGCAATGAACTCTGCGTGCCTCTCGAGGTGTCAGGGGGATATGAGGTATTCCGACAAAATGAGGCAGGGACCTAGGGCTTCCTCTAAGGTCTCCACAGGGGATTCAGACATCCCTTCATGTTGTCAGATCAAAGACTAGCCTGTATTCAAGCCACTGCAAGGAAATCTGGCCTCCGCTCACATTAGGGCTTCTCCCTGTGTATTCCCCTTGAGGCAGCAAACTCGGGGTCCCTCCCACATACCTATTGCTGAGAGAAGCCTCCTCCTGAGGTGCTTCTGGAAAGTTGGCATACGTCTTGAGCCTAAGCCAGGGAATCAGCTCTCATCTCGGGATGATTTGGGGTACACGGAGCATTCCTCTGGTTGCTGTGCTGAAATTGGTGCTCCTCTAGACTTGGGACAGTGTTCTCGGGGCATCTCTGGAGTTGCCTGAAGGAAGTCGAGCCACCGGTCGTGTTGAATGGGGAACGGGGAATGGCTCTGGAGTCAATGCAGGGGAATCGGGCCTCATCTCGAGTTGATTTGGGGCACATGGAGCAGCTTTGCGTTGCTGGGGTGACCTCAGGGTCCGTCTAGACTGGTGACAGTGTTCTTGGGGACTGTCTCGAGATCCATTAAGCACGTCGAAGCTCCTGACTTGTTTGAATGGGATCACGGAATAGCTCTGCATGCACTGCAGGGGAATGGGGCCTCATCTCGCCTCTAGGGGGAAGTCTCATGGTTTTTCTCGAGTTGCGGCGGGGACCTGGGGTATGTTCTCGACTTACGGCGGGGATGGCCCTTAAAAACCCGAGTTTCTTCAGTGACGTCAGGACTCCTGTCTAGTAACGAGGGACACCTCAGGAATCTCTTCGAGGCTTGGCAGGGCAAAAGGGACGCTTCTCGAAGTGAGGCAGGGCACCCAAGGACCCTTTCCAGTAGCCACAGGGATTTTGGGATTCCTATAAGTATTCAAGAGGAGTCAGGCATCGTCACCTTTTGAAGCAATGAACTCCGCGTGCCTCTCGAAGTGTCAGCGGGATGTGAGGATTCCGTCAAAATGAGGCAGGGACCTAGGGCTTTCTCTAAGGTCTCCACAGGGGATTCAGACATCCCTTCATGTTGTGAGATGAAAGACGAGCCTGTATTCAAGCCACTGCAAGGAAATCCGGCCTCCTTTCAAGTTAGGGCTTCTCGCTGTATATTCCCCTTGAGGCAGCAAACTCGGGGTCCCTCCCACATACCTATTGCTGAGAGAAGCCTCCTCCTGAGGTGCTTCTGGAAAGGTGGCATACGTCTTGAGCCTAAGCCAGGGAATCAGCTCCCATCTCGAGACGATTTGGGGTACACAGAACATTCCTCGAGTTGCTGTGCTGAAGTTGGTGGTCCTCTAGACTTGGGACACTGTTCTCGGGGCATCTCTGGAGTTGCCTGAAGAAAGTCGAGCCACCGGTCGTGTTGAATGGGGAACAAGGAATGGCTCTGGAGTCAATGCAGGGGAATCCGGCCTCATCTCGATTTGATTTGGGGCACATGGAGCTGCTTTGCATTGCTGGGTGACCTCAGGGTCCGTCTAGACTGGTGACAGTGTTCTTGGGGACTGTCTCGAGATCCATTTAGCAAGTCGAAGCTCCTGACTTGTTTGAATGGGATCACGGAATAGCTCTGCATGCACTGCAAGGGAATGGGGCCTCATCTCGCCTCTAGGGGGAAGTCTCATGGTTTTTCTCGAGTTGCGGCGGGGACCTGGGGTATGTTCTCGACTTACGGCGGGGATGGCCCTTCAAAACACGAGTTTCTTCCGTGACGTCAGGACTCCTGTCTAGTAACGAGGGACACCTCAGCAATCTCTTCGAGGCTTGGCAGGGCAAAAGGGACGCTTCTCGAGGTGAGCCAGGGCACCCAAGGACCCTTTCCAGTAGCCACAGGGATTTTGGGATTCCTATCAGTATTCAAGAGGAGTCAGGCATCGTCACCTTTTGAAGCAATGAACTCCGCGTGCCTCTCGAGGTGTCAGCGGGATGTGAGGATTCCGTCAAAATGAGGCAGGGACCTAGGGCTTACTCTAAGGTCTCCACAGGGGATTCAGACATCCCTTCATGTTGTGACATGAAAGACGAGCCTGTATTCAAGCCACTGCAAGGAAATCCGGCCTCCTTTCAAGTTAGGGCTTCTCGCTGTATATTCCCCTTGAGGCAGCAAACTCGGAGTCCCTCCCACATACCTATTGCTGAGAGAAGCCTCCTCCTGAGGTGCTTCTGGAAAGTTGGCATACGTCTTGAGCCTAAGCCAGGGATTCAGCTCTCATCTCGAGACGATTTGTGGTACACAGAGCATTCCTCGAGTTGCTGTGCTGAAGTTGGTGTTCCTCTAGACTTGGGACAGTGTTCTCTGGGCATCTCTGGAGTTGCCTGAAGGAAGTCGAGCCACCGGTCGTGTTGAATGGGGAACGGGGAATGGCTCTGGAGTCAATGCAGGGGAATCGGGCCTCATCTCGAGTTGATTTGTGGCACCTGGAGCTGCTTTGCATTGCTGGGGTGACCTCAGGGTCCGTCTAGACAGGTGACAGTGTTCTTGGGGACTGCCTCGAGATCCATTAAGCAAGTCGAAGCTCCTGACTTGTTTGAATTGGATCACGGAATACCTCTGCATGCACTGCAGGGGAATGGGGCCTCATCTCGCCTCTAGGGGGAAGTCTCATGGTTTTTCTCGAGTTGCGGCGGGGAACTGGGGTATGTTCTCAACTTACGGCGGGGATGGCCCTTCAAAACACGAGTTTCTTCAGTGACGTCAGGACTCCTGTCTAGTAACGAGGGACACGTCAGCAATCTCTTCGAGGCTTGGCAGGGCAAAAGGGACGCTTCTCGAGGTGAGCCAGGGCACCCAAGGACCCTTTCCAGTAGCCACAGGGATTTTGGGATTCCTATAAGTATTCAAGAGGAGTCAGGCATCGTCACCTTTTGAAGCTATGAACTCCGCGTGCCTCTCGAGGTGTCAGCGGGATGTGAGGATTCCGTCAAAATGAGGCAGGGACCTAGGGCTTTCTCTAAGGTCTCCACAGGGGATTCAGACATCCCTTCATGTTGTGAGATGAAAGACGAGCCTGTATTCAAGCCACTGCAAGAAATCCGGCCTCCTTTCAAGTTAGGGCTTCTCGCTGTATATTCCCCTTGAGGCAGCAAACTCGGGGTCCCTCCCACATACCTATTGCTGAGAGAAGCCTCCTCCTGAGGTGCTTCTGGAAAGGTGGCATACGTCTTAAGCCTAAGCCAGGGAATCAGCTCTCATCTCGAGACGATTTGGGGTACACAGAGCATTCCTCGAGTTGCTGTGCTGAAGTTGGTGTTCCTCTAGACTTGGGACAGTGTTCTCGGGGCATATCTGGAGTTGCCTGAAGGAAGTCGAGCCACCGGTCGTGTTGAATGGGGAACAAGGAATGGCTCTGGAGTCAATGCAGGGGAATACGGCCTCATCTCAAGTTGATTTGGGGCACATGGAGCTGCTTTGCATTGCTGGGTGACCTCAGGGTCCGTCTAGACTGGTGACAGTGTTCTTGGGGACTGTCTCGAGATCCATTAAGCACGTCGAAGCTCCTGACTTGTTTGAATGGGATCACGGAATAGCTCTGCATGCACTGCAGGGGAATGGGGCCTCATCTCGCCTCTAGGGGGAAGTCTCATGGTTTTTCTCGAGTTGCGGCGGGGACCTGGGGTATGTTCTCGACTTACGGCGGGGATGGCCCTTCAAAACACGAGTTTCTTCCGTGACGTCAGGACTCCTGTCTAGTAATGAGGGACACCTCAGCAATCTCTTCGAGGCTTGGCAGGGCAAAAGGGACGCTTCTCGAGGTGAGCCAGGGCACCCAAGAACCCTTTCCAGTAGCCACAGGGATTTTGGGATTCCTATAAGTATTCAAGAGGAGTCAGGCATCGTCACCTTTTGAAGCAATGAACTCTGCGTGCCTCTCGAGGTGTCAGCGGGATGTGAGGTATTCCGTCAAAATGAGGCAGGGACCTAGGGCTTCCTCTAAGGTCTCCACAGGGGATTCAGACATCCCTTAATGTTGTCAGATCAAAGACTCGCCGGTATTCAAGCCACTGCAAGGAAATCTGGCCTCCGCTCACATTAGAGCTTCTCCCTGTGTATTCCCCTTGAGGCAGCAAACTAAGGGTCCCTCCCACATACCTATTGCTGAGAGAAGCCTCCTCCTGAGGTGCTTCTGGAAAGTTGGCATACGTCTTGAGCCTAAGCCAGGGAATCAGCTCTCATCTCGAGACGATTTGGGGTACACGGAGCATTCCTCTGGTTGCTGTGCTGAAATTGGTGCTCCTCTAGACTTGGGACAGTGTTCTCGGGGCATATCTGGAGTTGCCTGAAGGAAGTCGAGCCACCGGGCGTGTTGAATGGGGAACGGGGAATGGCTCTGGAGTCAATGCAGGGGAATCGGGCCTCATCTCGAGTTGATTTGGGGCACATGGAGCAGCTTTGCGTTGCTGGGGTGACCTCAGGGTCCGTCTAGACTGGTGACAGTGTTCTTGGGGACTGTCTCGAGATCCATTAAGCACGTCGAAGCTCCTGACTTGTTTGAATGGGATCACGGAATAGCTCTGCATGCACTGCAGGGGAATGGGGCCTCATCTCGCCTCTAGGGGGAAGTCTCATGGTTTTTCTCGAGTTGCGGCGGGGACCTGGGGTATGTTCTCGACTTACGGCGGGGATGGCCCTTCAAAACCCGAGTTTCTTCAGTGATGTCAGGACTCCTGTCTAGTAACGAGGGACACCTCAGGAATCTCTTCGAGGCTTGGCAGGGCAAAAGGGACGCTTCTCGAAGTGAGGCAGGGCACCCAAGGAACCTTTCCAGTAGCCACAGGGATTTTGGGATTCCTATCAGTATTCAAGAGGAGTCAGGCATCGTCACCTTTTGAAGAAATGAACTCCGCATGCCTCTCGAGCTGTCAGCGGGATGTGAGGCATTCCGTCAAAATGAGGCAGGGACCTAGGGCTTTCTCTAAGGTCTTCACAGGGGATTCAGACATCCCTTCATGTTGTGAGACGAAAGACAAGCCTGTATTCAAGCTACTGCAAGGAAATCCTGCCTCCTTTCAAGTTAGGGCTTCTCGCTGTATATTCCCCTTGAGGCAGCAAACTCGGAGTCCCTCCCACATACCTATTGCTGAGAGAAGCCTCCTCCTGAGGTGCTTCTGGAAAGTTGGCATACGCCTTGAGCCTAAGCCAGGGATTCAGCTCTCATCTCGAGACGATTTGGGGTACACAGAGCATTCCTCGAGTTGCTGTGCTGAAGTTGGTGTTCCTCTAGACTTGGGACAGTGTTCTCTGGGCATCTCTGGAGTTGCCTGAAGGAAGTCGAGCCACCGGTCGTGTTGAATGGGGAACGGGGAATGGCTCTGGAGTCAATGCAGGAGAATCGGGCCTCATCTCGACTTGATTTGTGGCACCTGGAGCTGCTTTGCGTTGCTGGGGTGACCTCAGGGTCCGTCTAGACTGGTGACAGTGTTCTTGGGGACTGACTCGAGATCCATTAAGCAAGTCGAAGCTCCTGACTTGTTTGAATGGGATCACGGAATAGCTCTGCATGCACTGCAGGGGAATGGGGCCTCATCTCGCCTCTAGGGGGAAGTCTCATGGTTTTTCTCGAGTTGCGGCGGGGACCTGGGGTATGTTCTCGACTTATGGCGGGGATGGCCCTTCAAAACACGAGTTTCTTCCGTGACGTCAGGACTCCTGTCTAGTAACGAGGGACACCTCAGCAATCTCTTCGAGGCTTGGCAGGGCAAAAGGGACGCTTCTCGAGGTGAGCCAGGGCACCCAAGGACCCTTTCCAGTAGCCACAGGGATTTTGGGATTCCTATAAGTATTCAAGAGGAGTCAGGCATCGTCACCTTTTGAAGCAATGAACTCCACGTGCCTCTCGAGGTGTCAGCGGGATGTTTGGATTCCGTCAAAATGAGGCAGGGACCTAGGGCTTTCTCTAAGGTCTCCACAGGGGATTCAGACATCCCTTCATGTTGTGAGATGAAAGACGAGCCTGTATTCAAGCCACTGCAAGGAAATCCGGCCTCCTTTTAAGTTAGGGCTTCTCGCTGTATATTCCCCTTGAGGCAGCAAACTCGGAGTCCCTCCCACATACCTATTGCTGAGAGAAGCCTCCTCCTGAGGTGCTTCTGGAAAGTTGGCATACGTCTTGAGCCTAAGCCCGGGATTCAGCTCTCATCTCGAGACGATTTGGGGTACACAGAGCATTCCTCGAGTTGCTGTGCTGAAGTTGGTGTTCCTCTAGACTTGGGACAGTGTTCTCTGGGCATCTCTGGAGTTGCCTGAAGGAAGTCGAGCCACCGGTCTTGTTGAATGGGGAACAGGGAATGGCTCTGGAGTCAATGCAGGGGAATCGGGCCTCATCTCGTGTTGATTTGTGGCACCTGGAGCTGCTTTGCGTTGCTGGGGTGACCTCAGGGTCCGTCTAGACTGGTGACAGTGATCTTGGGGACTGCCTCGAGATCCATTAAGCAAGTCGAAGCTCCTGACTTGTTTGAATGGGATCACGGAATAGCTCTGCATGCACTGCAGGGGAATGGGGCCTCATCTCGCCTCTAGGGGGAAGTCTCATGGTTTTTCTCGAGTTGCGGCGGGGACCTGGGGTATGTTCTCGACTTACGGCGGGGATGGCCCTTCAAAACACGAGTTTCTTCAGTGACGTCAGGACTCCTGTCTAGTAACGAGGGACACGTCAGCAAGCTCTTCGAGGCTTGGCAGGGCAAAAGGGACGCTTCCCGAGGTGAGCCAGCGCACCCAAGGACCCTTTCCAGTAGCCACAGGGATTTTGGGATTCCTATCAGTATTCAAGAGGAGTCAGGCATCGTCACCTTTTGAAGCAATGATCTCCGCGTGCCTCTCGACGTGTCAGCGGGATGTGAGGATTCCGTCAAAATGAGGCAGGAACCTAGGGCTTTCTCTAAGGTCTCCACAGGGGATTCAGACATCCCTTCATGTTGTGAGATGAAAGACAAGCCTGTATTCAAGCTACTGCAAGGAAATCCGGCCTCCTTTCAAGTTAGGGCTTCTCGCTGTATATTCCCCTTGAGGCAGCAAACTCGGAGTCCCTCCCACATACCTATTGCTGAGAGAAGCCTCCTCCTGAGGTGCTTCTGGAAAGGTGGCATACGTCTTGAGCCTAAGCCAGGGAATCAGCTCTCATCTCGAGACGATTTGGGGTACACAGAGCATTCCTCGAGTTGCTGTGCTGAAGTTGGTGGTCCTCTAGACTTGGGACAGTGTTCTCGGGGCATATCTGGAGTTGCCGGAAGGAAGTCGAGCCACCGGTCGTGTTGAATGGGGAACAAGGAATGGCTCTGGAGTCAATGTAGGGGAATCCGGCCTCATCTCGAGTTGATTTGGGGCACATGGAGCAGCTTTGCATTGCTGGGTGACCTCAGGGTCTGTCTAGACTGGTGACAGTGTTCTTGGGGACTGTCTCGAGATCCATTAAGCAAGTCGAAGCTCCTGACTTGTTTGAATGGGAACACGGAATAGCTCTGCATGCACTGCAGGGGAATGGGGCCTCATCTCGTCTCTAGTGGGAAGTCTCATGGTTTTTCTCGAGTTGCGGCGGGGACCTGGGGTATGTTCTCGACTTACGGCGGGGATGGCCCTTCAAAACACGAGTTTCTTCAGTGACGTCAGGACTCCTGTCTAGTAACGAGGGATACCTCAGCAATCTCTTCGAGGCTTGGCAGGGCAAAAGGGACGCTTCTCGAGGTGAGCCAGGGCACCCAAGGACCCTTTCCAGTAGCCACAGGGATTTCGGGATTCCTATAAGTATTCAAGAGGAGTCAGGCATCGTCACCTTTTGAAGCAATGAACTCCGCGTGCCTCTCGACGTGTCAGGGGGATGTGAGGTGTTCCGTCAAAATGAGGCAGGGACCTAGGGCTTCCTCTAAGGTCTCCACAGGGGATTCAGACATCCCTTCATGTTGTGAGATCAAAGACGAGCCTGTATTCAAGCCACTGCAAGGAAAACCGGCCTCATTTCAAGTTAGGGCTTCTCGCTGTATATTCCCCTTGAGGCAGCAAACTCCGGGTCCCTCCCACATACCTATTGCTGAGAGAAGCCTCCTCCTGAGGTGCTTCTGGAAAGGTGGCATACGTCTTGAGCCTAAGCCAGGGAATCAGCTCTCATCTCGAGACGATTTGGGGTACACAGAGCATTCCTCGAGTTGCTGTGCTGAAGTTGGTGGTCCTCTAGACTTGGGACAGTGTTCTCGGGGCATCTCTGGAGTTGCCTGAAGGAAGTCGAGCCACCGGTCGCGTTGAATGGGGAACAGGGAATGGCTCTGGAGTCAATGCAGGGGAATTCGGCCTCATCTCGAGTTGATTTGGGGCACATGGAGCTGCTTTGCATTGCTGGGTGACCTCAGGGTCCGTCTAGACTGGTGACAGTGTTCTTGGGGACTGTCTCGAGATCCATTAAGCAAGTCGAAGCTCCTGACTTGTTTGAATGGGATCACGGAATAGCTCTGCATGCACTGCAAGGGAATGGGGCCTCATCTCGCCTCTAGGGGGAAGTCTCATGGTTTTTCTCGAGTTGCGGCGGGGACCTGGGGTATGTTCTCGACTTACGGCAGGGATGGCCCTTCAAAACACAACTTTCTTCAGTGACGTCAGGACTCCTGCCTAGTAACGAGGGACACCTCAGCAATCTCTTCGAGGCTTGGCAGGGCAAAAGGGACGCTTCTCGAGGTGAGCCAGGGCACCCAAGGACCCTTTCCAGTAGCCACAGGGATTTTGGGATTCCTATCAGTATTCAAGAGTAGTCAGGCATCGTCACCTTTTGAAGCAATGAACTCCGCGTGCCTCTCGACGTGTCAGGGGGATGTGAGGATTCCGTCAAAATGAGGCAGGGACCTAGGGCTTTCTCTATGGTTTCCACAGGGGATTCAGACATCCCTTCATGTTGTCATATCAAAGACAAGCCTGTATTCAAGCTACTGCAAGGAAATCCGGCCTCCTTTCAAGTTAGGGCTTCTCGCTGTATATTCCCCTTGAGGCAGCAAACTCGGAGTCCCTCCCACATACCTATTGCGGAGAAGCCTCCTCCTGAGGTGCTTCTGGAAAGGTGGCATACGTCTTGAGCTTAAGCCAGGGAATCAGCTCTCATCTCGAGACGATTTGGGGTACACAGAGCATTCCTCGAGTTGCTGTGCTGAAGTTGGTGTTCCTCTAGACTTGGGACAGTGTTCTCGGGGCATCTCTGGGGTTGCCTGAAGGAAACCGAGCCACCGGTCCTGTTGAATGGGGAACGGGGAATGGCTCTGGAATCAATGCAGGGGAATCGGGCCTCATCTCGAGTTGATTTAGGGCACATGGAGCTGGTTTGCATTGCTGGGGTGACCTCAGGGTCCGTCTAGACTGGTGACAGTGTTCTTGGGGACTGTCTCGAGATCCATTAAGCAAGTCGAAGCTCCTGACTTGTTTGAATGGGATCACGGAATAGCTCTGCATGCACTGCAGGGGAATAGGGCCTCATCTCGCCTCTAGGGGGAAGTCTCATGGTTTTTCTCGAGTTGCGGCGGGGACCTGGGGTATGTTCTCGACTTACGGCGGGGACGGCCCTTCAAAACACGAGTTTCTTCAGTGACGTCAGGACTCCTGTCTAGTAACGAGGGACACCTCAGCAATCTCTTCGAGGCTTTGCAGGGCAAAAGGGACGCTTCTCGAGGTGAGCCAGGGCACCCAAGGACCCTTTCCAGTAGCCACAGGGATTTTGGGATTCCTATCAGTATTCAAGAGGAGTCAGGCATCGTCACCTTTTGAAGCAATGAACTCCGCGTGCCTCTCGAGGTGTCAGCGGGATGTGAGGATTCCGTCAAAATGAGGCAGGGACCTAGGGCTTTCTCTAAGGTCTCCACAGGGGATTCAGACATCCCTTCATGTTGTGAGATGAAAGACGAGCCTGTGTTCAAGCCACTAGAAGGAAATCCGGCCTCCTTTCAAGTTAGGTCTTCTCGCTGTATATTCCCCTTGAGGCAGCAAACTCGGAGTCCCTCCCACATAACTATTCCTGAGAGAAGCCTCCTCCTGAGCTGCTTCTGGAAAGTTGGCATACGTCTTGAGCCTAAGCCAGGGATTCAGCTCTCATCTCGAGACGATTTGGGGTACACAGAGCATTCCTCGAGTTTCTGTGCGGAAGTTGGTGTTACTCTAGACTTGGGACAGTGTTCTCGGGGCATCTCTGGAGTTGCCTGAAGGAAGGCGAGCCTCCGTTCGTGTTGCACAAACGGGGAATGGCTCTGGAGTCAATGCAGGGGAATCGGGCCTCATCTCGAGTTGATTTGGGGCACTTGGAGCTGCTTTGCGTTGCTGGGGTGACCTCAGGGTCCGTCTAGACTGGTGACAGTGTTCTTGGGGACTGTCTCGAGATGCATTAAGCAAGTCGAAGCTCCTGACTTGTTTGAATGGGATCACGGAATAGCTCTGCATGCACTGCAGGGGAATGGGGCCTCATCTCGCCTCTAGGGGGAAGTCTCATGGTTTTGCTCGAGTTGCGGCGGGGACCTGGGGTATGTTCTCGACTTACGGCGGGGATGGCCCTTCAAAACACGAGTTTCTTCAGTGACGTCAGGACTCCTGTCTAGTAACGAGGGACACCTCAGCAATCTCTTCGAGGCTTGGCAGGGCAAAAGGGACGCTTCTCGAAGTGAGGCAGGGCACCCAAGGAACCTTTCCAGTAGCCACAGGGATTTTGGGATTCCTATCAGTATTCAAGAGGAGTCAGGCATCGTCACCTTTTGAAGAAATGAACTCCGCATGCCTCTCGAGCTGTCAGCGGGATGTGAGGCATTCCGACAAAATGAGGCAGGGACCTAGGCCTTTCTCTAAGGTCTTCACAGGGGATTCAGAAATCCCTTCATGTTGTCAGATCAAAGACGAGCCTGTATTCAAGCCACTGCAAGGAAATCTGGCCTCCGCTCACATTAGGGCTTCTCCCTGTGTATTCCCCTTGAGGCAGCAAACTCGGGGTCCCTCCCACATACCTATTGCTGAGAGAAGCCTCCTCCTGAGGTGCTTCTGGAAAGTTGGCATACGTCTTGAGCCTAAGCCAGGGAATCAGCTCTCATCTCGGGATGATTTGGGGTACACGGAGCATTCCTCTGGTTGCTGTGCTGAAATTGGTGCTCCTCTAGACTTGGGACAGTGTTCTCGGGGCATCTCTGGAGTTGCCTGAAGGAAGTCGAGCCACCGGTCGTGTTGAATGGGGAACGGGGAACGGCTCTGGAGTCAATGCAGGGGAATCGGGCCTCATCTCGAGTTGATTTGGGGCACATGGAGCAGCTTTGCGTTGCTGGGGTGACCTCAGGGTCCGTCTAGACTGGTGACAGTGTTCTTGGGGACTGTCTCGAGATCCATTAAGGAAGTCGAAGCTCCTGACTTGTTTGAATGGGATCACGGAATAGCTCTGCATGCACTGCAAGGGAATGGGGCCTCATCTCGCCTCTAGGGGGAAGTCTCATGGTTTTTCTCGAGTTGCGGCGTGGACCTGGGGTATGTTCTCGACTTACGGCGGGGATGGCCCTTCAAAACACGAGTTTCTTCAGTGACGTCAGGACTCCTGTCTAGTAACGAGGGACACCTCAGGAATCTCTTCGAGGCTTGGCAGGGCAAAAGGGACGCTTCTCGAGGTGATCCAGGGCACCCAAGGACCCTTTCCAGTAGCCACAGGGATTTTGGGATTCCTATCAGTATTCAAGAGGAGTCAGGCATCGTCACCGTTTGAAGCAATGAACTCCGCGTGCCTCTCGAGGTGTCAGCGGGATGTGAGGATTCCGTCAAAATGAGGCAGGGACCTAGGGCTTACTCTAATGTCTCCACAGGGGATTCAGACATCCCTTCATGTTGTGACGTGAAAGACGAGCCTGTATTCAAGCCACTGCAAGGAAATCCGGCCTCCTTTCAAGTTAGGGCTTCTCGCTGTATATTCCCCTTGAGGCAGCAAACTCGGAGTCCCTCCCACATACCTATTGCTGAGAGAAGAATCCTCCTGAGGTGCTTCTGGAAAGTTGGCATACGTCTTGAGCCTAAGCCAGGGATTCAGCTCTCATCTCGAGACGATTTGTGGTACACAGAGCATTCCTCGAGTTGCTGTGCTGAAGTTGGTGTTCCTCTAGACTTGGGACAGTGTTCTCTGGGCATCTCTGGAGTTGCCTGAAGGAAGTCGAGCCACCGGTCGTGTTGAATGGGGAACGGGGAATGGCTCTGGAGTCAATGCAGGGGAATCGGGCCTCATCTCGAGTTGATTTGTGGCACCTGGAGCTGCTTTGCATTGCTGGGGTGACCTCAGGGTCCGTCTAGACTGGTGACAGTGTTCTTGGGGACTGTCTCGAGATCCATTAAGCAAGTCGAAGCTCCTGACTTGTTTGAATGGGATCACGGAATAGCTCTGCATGCACTGCAGGGGAATGGGGCCTCATCTCGCCTCTAGGGGGAAGTCTCATGGTTTTTCTCGAGTTGCGGCGGGGACCTGGGGTATGTTCTCGACTTACGGCGGGGATGGCCTTTCAAAACACGAGTTTCTTCAGTGACGTCAGGACTCCTGTCTAGTAACGAGGGACACCTCAGCAATCTCTTCGAGGCTTGGCAGGGCAAAAGGGACGCTTCTCGAGGTGAGCCAGGGCACCCAAGGACCCTTTCCAGTAGCCACAGGGATTTTGGGATTCCTATCAGTATTCAAGAGGAGTCAGGCATCGTCGCCTTTTGAAGCAATGAACTCCGCGTGCCTCTCGACGTGTCAGGGGGATGTGAGGTGTTCCGTCAAAATGAGGCAGGGACCTAGGGCTTCCTCTAAGGTCTGCACAGGGGATTCAGACATCCCTTCATGTTGTCATATCAAAGACAAGCCTGTATTCAAGCTACTGCAAGGAAATCCGGCCTCCTTTCAAGTTAGGGCTTCTCGCTGTATATTCCCCTTGAGGCAGCAAACTCGGAGTCCCTCCCACATACCTATTGCTGAGAAGCCTCCTCCTGAGGTGCTTCTGGAAAGGTGGCATACGTCTTGAGCCTAAGCCAGGGAATCAGCTCTCATCTCGAGACGATTTGGGGTACACAGAGCATTCCTCGAGTTGCTGTGCTGAAGTTGGTGTTCCTCTAGACTTGGGACAGTGTTCTCGGGGCATCTCTGGGGTTGCCTGAAGGAAACCGAGCCACCGGTCCTGTTGAATGGGGAACGGGGAATGGCTCTGGAATCAATGCAGGGGAATCGGGCCTCATCTCGAGTTGATTTGGGGCACCTGGAGCAGCTTTGCGTTGCTGGGGTGACCTCAGGGTCCGTCTAGACTGGTGACAGTGTTCTTGGGGACTGTCTCGAGATCCATTAAGCACGTCGAAGCTCCTGACTTGTTTGAATGGGATCACGGAATAGCTCTGCATGCACTGCAGGGGAATGGGGCCTCATCTCGCCTCTAGGGGGAAGTCTCATGGTTTTTCTCGAGTTGCGGCGGGGACCTGGGGTATGTTCTCGACTTACGGCGGGGATGGCCCTTCAAAACACGAGTTTCTTCAGTGACGTCAGGACTCCTGTCTAGTAATGAGGGACACATCAGCAATCTCTTCGAGGCTTGGCAGGGCAAAAGGGACGCTTCTCGAGGTGAGCCAGGGCACCCAAGGACCCTTTCCAGTAGCCACAAGGATTTTGGGATTCCTATAAGTATTCAAGAGGAGTCAGGCATCGTCACCTTTTGAAGCAATGAACTCTGCGTGCCTCTCGAGGTGTCAGCGGGATGTGAGGTATTCCGTCAAAATGAGGCAGGGACCTAGGGCTTCCTCTAAGGTCTCCACAGGGGATTCAGAAATCCCTTCATGTTGTCAGATCAAAGACTAGCCTGTATTCAAGCCACTGCAAGGAAATCTGGCCTCCGCTCACATTAGCGCTTCTCCCTGTGTATTCCCCTTGAGGCAGCAAACTCGGGGTCCCTCCCACATACCTATTGCTGAGAGAAGCCTCCTCCTGAGGTGCTTCTGGAAAGGTGGCATACGTCTTGAGCCTAAGCCAGGGAATCAGCTCTCATCTCGAGATGATTTGGGGTACACGGAGCATTCCTCTGGTTGCTGTGCTTAAATTGGTGCTCCTCTAGACTTGGGACAGTGTTCTCGGGGCATCTCTGGAGTTGCCTGAATGAAGTCGAGCCACCGGGCGTGTTGAATGGGGAACGGGGAATGGCTCTGGAGTCAATGCAGGGGAATCGGGCCTCATCTCGAGTTGATTTGGGGCACATGGAGCAGCTTTGCGTTGCTGGGGTGACCTCAGGGTCCGTCTAGACTGGTGACAGTGTTCTTGGGGACTGTCTCGAGATCCATTAAGCACGTCGAAGCTCCTGACTTGTTTGAATGGGATCACGGAATAGCTCTGCATGCACTGCAGGGGAATGGGGCCTCATCTCGCCTCTAGGGGGAAGTCTCATGGTTTTTCTCGAGTTGCGGCGGGGACCTGGGGTATGTTCTCGACTTACAGCTGGGATGGCCCTTAAAAACCCGAGTTTCTTCAGTGACGTCAGGACTCCTGTCTAGTAACGAGGGACACCTCAGGAATCTCTTCGAGGCTTGGCAGGGCAAAAGGGATGCTTCTCGAAGTGAGGCAGGGCACCCAAGGAACCTTTCCAGTAGCCACAGGGATTTTGGGATTCCTATCAGTATTCAAGAGGAGTCAGGCATCGTCACCTTTTGAAGAAATGAACTCCGCATGCCTCTCGAGCTGTCAGCGGGATGTGAGGCATTCCGTCAAAATGAGGCAGGGACCTAGGGCTTTCTCTAAGGTCTTCACAGGGGATTCAGACATCCCTTCATGTTGTGAGATGAAAGACAAGCCTGTATTCAAGCTACTGCAAGGAAATCCTGCCTCCTTTCAAGTTAGGGCTTCTCGCTGTATATTCCCCTTGAGGCAGCAAACTCGGAGTCCCTCCCACATACCTATTGCTGAGAGAAGCCTCCTCCTGAGGTGCTTCTGGAAAGTTGGCATACGCCTTGAGCCTAAGCCAGGGATTCAGCTCTCATCTCGAGACGATTTGGGGTACACAGAGCATTCCTCGAGTTGCTGTGCTGAAGTTGGTGTTCCTCTACACTTGGGACAGTGTTCTCTGGGCATCTCTGGAGTTGCCTGAAGGAAGTCGAGCCACCGGTCGTGTTGAATGGGGAACGGGGAATGGCTCTGGAGTCAATGCAGGGGAATCGGGCCTCATCTCGAGTTGATTTGGGGCACATGGAGCAGCTTTGCGTTGCTGGGGTGACCTCAGGTTCCGTCTAGACTGGTGACAGTGTTCTTGGGGACTGACTCGAGACTAATTAAGCAAGTCGAAGCTCCTGACTTGTTTGAATGGGATCACGGAATAGCTCTGCATGCACTGCAGGGGAATGGGGCCTCATCTCGCCTCTAGGGGGAAGTCTCATGGTTTTTCTCGAGTTGCGGCGGGGACCTGGGGTATGTTCTCGACTTACGGCGGGGATGGCCCTTCAAAACACGAGTTTCTTCAGTGACGTCAGGACTCCTGTCTAGTAATGAGGGACCACTCAGCAATCTCTTCGAGGCTTGGCAGGGCAAAAGGGACGCTTCTCGAGGTGAGCCAGGGCACCCAAGGACCCTTTCCAGTAGCCACAGGGATTTTGGGATTCCTATAAGTATTCAAGAGGAGTCAGGCATCGTCACCTTTTGAAGCAATGAACTCCGCGTGCCTCTCGAGGTGTCAGCGGGATGTGAGGATTCCATCAAAATGAGGCAGGGACCTAGGGCTTTCTCTAAGGTCTCCACAGGGGATTCAGACATCCCTTCATGTTGTGAGATGAAAGACAAGCCTGTATTCAAGCCACTGCAAGGAAATCCGGCCTCCTTTCAAGTTAGGGCTTCTCGCTCTATATTCCCCTTGAGGCAGCAAAATCGGGGTTCCTCCCACATACCTATTGCTGAGAGAAGCCTCCTCCTGAGGTTCTTCTGGAAAGGTGGCATACGTCTTGAGCCTAAGCCAGGGAATCAGCTCTCATCTCGAGACGATTTGGGGTACACAGAGCATTCCTCGAGTTGCTGTGCTGAAGTTGGTGGTCCTCTAGACTCGGGACAGTGTTCTCGGGGCATATCTGGAGTTGCCGGAAGGAAGTCGAGCCACCGGTCGTGTTGAATGGGGAACAAGGAATGGCTCTGGAGTCAATGTAGGGGAATCCGGCCTCATCTCAAGTTGATTTGGGGCACATGGAGCAGCTTTGCATTGCTGGGTGACCTCAGGGTCCGTCTAGACTGGTGACAGTGTTCTTGGGGACTGTCTCGAGATCCATTAAGCAAGTCGAAGCTCCTGACTTGTTTGAATGGGATCACGGAATAGCTCTGCATGCACTGCAGGGGAATGGGGCCTCATCTCGCCTCTAGGGGGAAGTCTCATGGTTTTTCTCGAGTTTCGGCGGGGACCTGGGGTATGTTCTCGACTTACGGCGGGGATGGCCCTTCAAAACACGAGTTTCTTCAGTGACGTCAGGACTCCTGTCTAGTAACGAGGGATACCTCAGCAATCTCTTCGAGGCTTGGCAGGGCAAAAGGGACGCTTCTCGAGGTGAGCCATGGCACCCAAGGACCCTTTCCAGTACCACAGGGATTTCGGGATTCCTATAAGTATTCAAGAGGAGTCAGGCATCGTCACCTTTTGAAGCAATGAACTCTGTGTGCCTCTCGAGGTGTCAGGGGGATGTGAGGTATTCCGTCAAAATGAGGCAGGGACCTAGGGCTTCCTCTAAGGTCTCCACAGGGGCTTCAGAAATCCCTTCATGTTGTCAGATCAAAGACGAGCCTGTATTCAAGCCACTGCAAGGAAATCTGGCCTCCGTTCACATTAGGGCTTCTCCCTGTGTATTCCCCTTGAGGCAGCAAACTCGGGGTCCCTCCCACATACCTATTGCTGAGAGAAGCCTCCTCATGCGGTGCTTCTGGAAAGTTGGCATACGTCTTGAGCCTAAGCCAGGGAATCAGCTCTCATCTCGAGATGATTTGGGGTACACGGAGCATTCCTCTGGTTGCTGTGCTGAAATTGGTGCTCCTCTAGACTTGGGACAGTGTTCTCGGGGCATCTCTGGAGTTGCCTGAAGGAAGTCGAGCCACCGGTCGTGTTGAATGGGGAACGGGGAATGGCTCTGGAGTCAATGCAGGGGAATCGGGCCTCATCTCGAGTTGATTTGGGGCACATGGAGCAGCTTTGCGTTGTTGGGGTGACCTCAGGGTCCGTCTAGACTGGTGACAGTGTTCTTGGGGACTGTCTCGAGATCCATTAAGCACGTCGAAGCTCCTGACTTGTTTGAATGGGATCACGGAATAGCTCTGCATGCACTGCAGGGGAATGGGGCCTCATCTCGCCTCTAGGGGGAAGTCTCATGGTTTTTCTCGAGTTGCGGCGGGGACCTGGGGTATGTTCTCGACTTACGGCGGGGATGGCCCTTCAAAACACGAGTTTCTTCCGTGACGTCAGGACTCCTGTCTAGTAACGAGGGACACCTCAGCAATCTCTTCGAGGCTTGGCAGGGCAAAAGGGACGCTTCTCGAGGTGAGCCAGGGCACCCAAGGACCCTTTCCAGTAGCCACAGGGATTTTGGGATTCCTATCAGTATTAAAGAGGAGTCAGGCATCGTCACCTTTTGAAGCAATGAACTCCGCGTGCCTCTCGAGGTGTCAGCGGGATATGAGGATTCCGTCAAAATGAGGCAGGGACCTAGGGTTTACTCTAAGGTCTCCACAGGGGATTCAGACATCCCTTCATGTTGTGACATGAAAGACGAGCCTGTATTCAAGCCACTGCAAGGAAATCCGGCCTCCTTTCAAGTTAGGGCTTCTCGCTGTATATTCCCCTTGAGGCAGCAAACTCGGAGTCCCTCCCACATACCTATTGCTGAGAGAAGCCTCCTCCTGAGGTGCTTCTGGAAAGTTGGCATACGTCTTGAGCCTAAGCCAGGGATTCAGCTCTCATCTCGAGACGATTTGTGGTACACAGAGCATTCCTCGAGTTGCTGTGCTGAAGTTGGTGTTCCTCTAGACTTGGGACAGTGTTCTCTGGGCATCTCTGGAGTTGCCTGAAGGAAGTCGAGCCACCGGTCGTGTTGAATGGGGAACGGGGAATGGCTCTGGAGTCAATGCAGGGGAATCGGGCCTCATCTCGAGTTGATTTGTGGCACCTGGAGCAGCTTTGCGTTGCTGGGGTGACCTCAGGGTCCGTCTAGACTGGTGACAGTGTTCTTGGGGACTGTCTCGAGATCCATTAAGCACGTCGAAGCTCCTGACTTGTTTGAATGGGATCACGGAATAGCTCTGCATGCACTGCAGGGGAATGGGGCCTCATCTCGCCTCTAGGGGGAAGTCTCATGGTTTTTCTCGAGTTGCGGCGGGGACCTGGGGTATGTTCTCGACTTACGGCGGGGATGGCCCTTCAAAACACGAGTTTCTTCAGTGACGTCAGGACTCCTGTCTAGTAATGAGGGACACATCAGCAATCTCTTCGAGGCTTGGCAGGGCAAAAGGGACGCTTCTCGAGGTGAGCCAGGGCACCCAAGGACCCTTTCCAGTAGCCACAAGGATTTTGGGATTCCTATAAGTATTCAAGAGGAGTCAGGCATCGTCACCTTTTGAAGCAATGAACTCTGCGTGCCTCTCGAGGTGTCAGCGGGATGTGAGGTATTCCGTCAAAATGAGGCAGGGACCTAGGGCTTCCTCTAAGGTCTCCACAGGGGATTCAGAAATCCCTTCATGTTGTCAGATCAAAGACTAGCCTGTATTCAAGCCACTGCAAGGAAATCTGGCCTCCGCTCACATTAGCGCTTCTCCCTGTGTATTCCCCTTGAGGCAGCAAACTCGGGGTCCCTCCCACATACCTATTGCTGAGAGAAGCCTCCTCCTGAGGTGCTTCTGGAAAGGTGGCATACGTCTTGAGCCTAAGCCAGGGAATCAGCTCTCATCTCGAGATGATTTGGGGTACACGGAGCATTCCTCTGGTTGCTGTGCTTAAATTGGTGCTCCTCTAGACTTGGGACAGTGTTCTCGGGGCATCTCTGGAGTTGCCTGAATGAAGTCGAGCCACCGGGCGTGTTGAATGGGGAACGGGGAATGGCTCTGGAGTCAATGCAGGGGAATCGGGCCTCATCTCGAGTTGATTTGGGGCACATGGAGCAGCTTTGCGTTGCTGGGGTGACCTCAGGGTCCGTCTAGACTGGTGACAGTGTTCTTGGGGACTGTCTCGAGATCCATTAAGCACGTCGAAGCTCCTGACTTGTTTGAATGGGATCACGGAATAGCTCTGCATGCACTGCAGGGGAATGGGGCCTCATCTCGCCTCTAGGGGGAAGTCTCATGGTTTTTCTCGAGTTGCGGCGGGGACCTGGGGTATGTTCTCGACTTACAGCTGGGATGGCCCTTAAAAACCCGAGTTTCTTCAGTGACGTCAGGACTCCTGTCTAGTAACGAGGGACACCTCAGGAATCTCTTCGAGGCTTGGCAGGGCAAAAGGGATGCTTCTCGAAGTGAGGCAGGGCACCCAAGGAACCTTTCCAGTAGCCACAGGGATTTTGGGATTCCTATCAGTATTCAAGAGGAGTCAGGCATCGTCACCTTTTGAAGAAATGAACTCCGCATGCCTCTCGAGCTGTCAGCGGGATGTGAGGCATTCCGTCAAAATGAGGCAGGGACCTAGGGCTTTCTCTAAGGTCTTCACAGGGGATTCAGACATCCCTTCATGTTGTGAGATGAAAGACAAGCCTGTATTCAAGCTACTGCAAGGAAATCCTGCCTCCTTTCAAGTTAGGGCTTCTCGCTGTATATTCCCCTTGAGGCAGCAAACTCGGAGTCCCTCCCACATACCTATTGCTGAGAGAAGCCTCCTCCTGAGGTGCTTCTGGAAAGTTGGCATACGCCTTGAGCCTAAGCCAGGGATTCAGCTCTCATCTCGAGACGATTTGGGGTACACAGAGCATTCCTCGAGTTGCTGTGCTGAAGTTGGTGTTCCTCTACACTTGGGACAGTGTTCTCTGGGCATCTCTGGAGTTGCCTGAAGGAAGTCGAGCCACCGGTCGTGTTGAATGGGGAACGGGGAATGGCTCTGGAGTCAATGCAGGGGAATCGGGCCTCATCTCGAGTTGATTTGGGGCACATGGAGCAGCTTTGCGTTGCTGGGGTGACCTCAGGTTCCGTCTAGACTGGTGACAGTGTTCTTGGGGACTGACTCGAGACTAATTAAGCAAGTCGAAGCTCCTGACTTGTTTGAATGGGATCACGGAATAGCTCTGCATGCACTGCAGGGGAATGGGGCCTCATCTCGCCTCTAGGGGGAAGTCTCATGGTTTTTCTCGAGTTGCGGCGGGGACCTGGGGTATGTTCTCGACTTACGGCGGGGATGGCCCTTCAAAACACGAGTTTCTTCAGTGACGTCAGGACTCCTGTCTAGTAATGAGGGACCACTCAGCAATCTCTTCGAGGCTTGGCAGGGCAAAAGGGACGCTTCTCGAGGTGAGCCAGGGCACCCAAGGACCCTTTCCAGTAGCCACAGGGATTTTGGGATTCCTATAAGTATTCAAGAGGAGTCAGGCATCGTCACCTTTTGAAGCAATGAACTCCGCGTGCCTCTCGAGGTGTCAGCGGGATGTGAGGATTCCATCAAAATGAGGCAGGGACCTAGGGCTTTCTCTAAGGTCTCCACAGGGGATTCAGACATCCCTTCATGTTGTGAGATGAAAGACAAGCCTGTATTCAAGCCACTGCAAGGAAATCCGGCCTCCTTTCAAGTTAGGGCTTCTCGCTCTATATTCCCCTTGAGGCAGCAAAATCGGGGTTCCTCCCACATACCTATTGCTGAGAGAAGCCTCCTCCTGAGGTTCTTCTGGAAAGGTGGCATACGTCTTGAGCCTAAGCCAGGGAATCAGCTCTCATCTCGAGACGATTTGGGGTACACAGAGCATTCCTCGAGTTGCTGTGCTGAAGTTGGTGGTCCTCTAGACTCGGGACAGTGTTCTCGGGGCATATCTGGAGTTGCCGGAAGGAAGTCGAGCCACCGGTCGTGTTGAATGGGGAACAAGGAATGGCTCTGGAGTCAATGTAGGGGAATCCGGCCTCATCTCAAGTTGATTTGGGGCACATGGAGCAGCTTTGCATTGCTGGGTGACCTCAGGGTCCGTCTAGACTGGTGACAGTGTTCTTGGGGACTGTCTCGAGATCCATTAAGCAAGTCGAAGCTCCTGACTTGTTTGAATGGGATCACGGAATAGCTCTGCATGCACTGCAGGGGAATGGGGCCTCATCTCGCCTCTAGGGGGAAGTCTCATGGTTTTTCTCGAGTTTCGGCGGGGACCTGGCGTATGTTCTCGACTTACGGCGGGGATGGCCCTTCAAAACACGAGTTTCTTCAGTGACGTCAGGACTCCTGTCTAGTAACGAGGGATACCTCAGCAATCTCTTCGAGGCTTGGCAGGGCAAAAGGGACGCTTCTCGAGGTGAGCCAGGGCACCCAAGGACCCTTTCCAGTACCACAGGGATTTCGGGATTCCTATAAGTATTCAAGAGGAGTCAGGCATCGTCACCTTTTGAAGCAATGAACTCTGTGTGCCTCTCGAGGTGTCAGGGGGATGTGAGGTATTCCGTCAAAATGAGGCAGGGACCTAGGGCTTCCTCTAAGGTCTCCACAGGGGCTTCAGAAATCCCTTCATGTTGTCAGATCAAAGACGAGCCTGTATTCAAGCCACTGCAAGGAAATCTGGCCTCCGTTCACATTAGGGCTTCTCCCTGTGTATTCCCCTTGAGGCAGCAAACTCGGGGTCCCTCCCACATACCTATTGCTGAGAGAAGCCTCCTCATGCGGTGCTTCTGGAAAGTTGGCATACGTCTTGAGCCTAAGCCAGGGAATCAGCTCTCATCTCGAGATGATTTGGGGTACACGGAGCATTCCTCTGGTTGCTGTGCTGAAATTGGTGCTCCTCTAGACTTGGGACAGTGTTCTCGGGGCATCTCTGGAGTTGCCTGAAGGAAGTCGAGCCACCGGTCGTGTTGAATGGGGAACGGGGAATGGCTCTGGAGTCAATGCAGGGGAATCGGGCCTCATCTCGAGTTGATTTGGGGCACATGGAGCAGCTTTGCGTTGTTGGGGTGACCTCAGGGTCCGTCTAGACTGGTGACAGTGTTCTTGGGGACTGTCTCGAGATCCATTAAGCACGTCGAAGCTCCTGACTTGTTTGAATGGGATCACGGAATAGCTCTGCATGCACTGCAGGGGAATGGGGCCTCATCTCGCCTCTAGGGGGAAGTCTCATGGTTTTTCTCGAGTTGCGGCGGGGACCTGGGGTATGTTCTCGACTTACGGCGGGGATGGCCCTTCAAAACACGAGTTTCTTCCGTGACGTCAGGACTCCTGTCTAGTAACGAGGGACACCTCAGCAATCTCTTCGAGGCTTGGCAGGGCAAAAGGGACGCTTCTCGAGGTGAGCCAGGGCACCCAAGGACCCTTTCCAGTAGCCACAGGGATTTTGGGATTCCTATCAGTATTAAAGAGGAGTCAGGCATCGTCACCTTTTGAAGCAATGAACTCCGCGTGCCTCTCGAGGTGTCAGCGGGATGTGATGATTCCGTCAAAATGAGGCAGGGACCTAGGGTTTACTCTAAGGTCTCCACAGGGGATTCAGACATCCCTTCATGTTGTGACATGAAAGACGAGCCTGTATTCAAGCCACTGCAAGGAAATCCGGCCTCCTTTCAAGTTAGGGCTTCTCGCTGTATATTCCCCTTGAGGCAGCAAACTCGGAGTCCCTCCCACATACCTATTGCTGAGAGAAGCCTCCTCCTGAGGTGCTTCTGGAAAGTTGGCATACGTCTTGAGCCTAAGCCAGGGATTCAGCTCTCATCTCGAGACGATTTGTGGTACACAGAGCATTCCTCGAGTTGCTGTGCTGAAGTTGGTGTTCCTCTAGACTTGGGACAGTGTTCTCTGGGCATCTCTGGAGTTGCCTGAAGGAAGTCGAGCCACCGGTCGTGTTGAATGGGGAACGGGGAATGGCTCTGGAGTCAATGCAGGGGAATCGGGCCTCATCTCGAGTTGATTTGGGGCACATGGAGCAGCTTTGCGTTGTTGGGGTGACCTCAGGGTCCGTCTAGACTGGTGACAGTGTTCTTGGGGACTGTCTCGAGATCCATTAAGCACGTCGAAGCTCCTGACTTGTTTGAATGGGATCACGGAATAGCTCTGCATGCACTGCAGGGGAATGGGGCCTCATCTCGCCTCTAGGGGGAAGTCTCATGGTTTTTCTCGAGTTGCGGCGGGGACCTGGGGTATGTTCTCGACTTACGGCGGGGATGGCCCTTCAAAACACGAGTTTCTTCCGTGACGTCAGGACTCCTGTCTAGTAACGAGGGACACCTCAGCAATCTCTTCGAGGCTTGGCAGGGCAAAAGGGACGCTTCTCGAGGTGAGCCAGGGCACCCAAGGACCCTTTCCAGTAGCCACAGGGATTTTGGGATTCCTATCAGTATTAAAGAGGAGTCAGGCATCGTCACCTTTTGAAGCAATGAACTCCGCGTGCCTCTCGAGGTGTCAGCGGGATGTGAGGATTCCGTCAAAATGAGGCAGGGACCTAGGGTTTACTCTAAGGTCTCCACAGGGGATTCAGACATCCCTTCATGTTGTGACATGAAAGACGAGCCTGTATTCAAGCCACTGCAAGGAAATCCGGCCTCCTTTCAAGTTAGGGCTTCTCGCTGTATATTCCCCTTGAGGCAGCAAACTCGGAGTCCCTCCCACATACCTATTGCTGAGAGAAGCCTCCTCCTGAGGTGCTTCTGGAAAGTTGGCATACGTCTTGAGCCTAAGCCAGGGATTCAGCTCTCATCTCGAGACGATTTGTGGTACACAGAGCATTCCTCGAGTTGCTGTGCTGAAGTTGGTGTTCCTCTAGACTTGGGACAGTGTTCTCTGGGCATCTCTGGAGTTGCCTGAAGGAAGTCGAGCCACCGGTCGTGTTGAATGGGGAACGGGGAATGGCTCTGGAGTCAATGCAGGGGAATCGGGCCTCATCTCGAGTTGATTTGTGGCACCTGGAGCAGCTTTGCGTTGCTGGGGTGACCTCAGGGTCCGTCTAGACTGGTGACAGTGTTCTTGGGGACTGTCTCGAGATCCATTAAGCACGTCGAAGCTCCTGACTTGTTTGAATGGGATCACGGAATAGCTCTGCATGCACTGCAGGGGAATGGGGCCTCATCTCGCCTCTAGGGGGAAGTCTCATGGTTTTTCTCGAGTTGCGGCGGGGACCTGGGGTATGTTCTCGACTTACGGCGGGGATGGCCCTTCAAAACACGAGTTTCTTCAGTGACGTCAGGACTCCTGTCTAGTAATGAGGGACACATCAGCAATCTCTTCGAGGCTTGGCAGGGCAAAAGGGACGCTTCTCGAGGTGAGCCAGGGCACCCAAGGACCCTTTCCAGTAGCCACAAGGATTTTGGGATTCCTATAAGTATTCAAGAGGAGTCAGGCATCGTCACCTTTTGAAGCAATGAACTCTGCGTGCCTCTCGAGGTGTCAGCGGGATGTGAGGTATTCCGTCAAAATGAGGCAGGGACCTAGGGCTTCCTCTAAGGTCTCCACAGGGGATTCAGAAATCCCTTCATGTTGTCAGATCAAAGACTAGCCTGTATTCAAGCCACTGCAAGGAAATCTGGCCTCCGCTCACATTAGCGCTTCTCCCTGTGTATTCCCCTTGAGGCAGCAAACTCGGGGTCCCTCCCACATACCTATTGCTGAGAGAAGCCTCCTCCTGAGGTGCTTCTGGAAAGGTGGCATACGTCTTGAGCCTAAGCCAGGGAATCAGCTCTCATCTCGAGATGATTTGGGGTACACGGAGCATTCCTCTGGTTGCTGTGCTTAAATTGGTGCTCCTCTAGACTTGGGACAGTGTTCTCGGGGCATCTCTGGAGTTGCCTGAATGAAGTCGAGCCACCGGGCGTGTTGAATGGGGAACGGGGAATGGCTCTGGAGTCAATGCAGGGGAATCGGGCCTCATCTCGAGTTGATTTGGGGCACATGGAGCAGCTTTGCGTTGCTGGGGTGACCTCAGGGTCCGTCTAGACTGGTGACAGTGTTCTTGGGGACTGTCTCGAGATCCATTAAGCACGTCGAAGCTCCTGACTTGTTTGAATGGGATCACGGAATAGCTCTGCATGCACTGCAGGGGAATGGGGCCTCATCTCGCCTCTAGGGGGAAGTCTCATGGTTTTTCTCGAGTTGCGGCGGGGACCTGGGGTATGTTCTCGACTTACAGCTGGGATGGCCCTTAAAAACCCGAGTTTCTTCAGTGACGTCAGGACTCCTGTCTAGTAACGAGGGACACCTCAGGAATCTCTTCGAGGCTTGGCAGGGCAAAAGGGATGCTTCTCGAAGTGAGGCAGGGCACCCAAGGAACCTTTCCAGTAGCCACAGGGATTTTGGGATTCCTATCAGTATTCAAGAGGAGTCAGGCATCGTCACCTTTTGAAGAAATGAACTCCGCATGCCTCTCGAGCTGTCAGCGGGATGTGAGGCATTCCGTCAAAATGAGGCAGGGACCTAGGGCTTTCTCTAAGGTCTTCACAGGGGATTCAGACATCCCTTCATGTTGTGAGATGAAAGACAAGCCTGTATTCAAGCTACTGCAAGGAAATCCTGCCTCCTTTCAAGTTAGGGCTTCTCGCTGTATATTCCCCTTGAGGCAGCAAACTCGGAGTCCCTCCCACATACCTATTGCTGAGAGAAGCCTCCTCCTGAGGTGCTTCTGGAAAGTTGGCATACGCCTTGAGCCTAAGCCAGGGATTCAGCTCTCATCTCGAGACGATTTGGGGTACACAGAGCATTCCTCGAGTTGCTGTGCTGAAGTTGGTGTTCCTCTACACTTGGGACAGTGTTCTCTGGGCATCTCTGGAGTTGCCTGAAGGAAGTCGAGCCACCGGTCGTGTTGAATGGGGAACGGGGAATGGCTCTGGAGTCAATGCAGGGGAATCGGGCCTCATCTCGAGTTGATTTGGGGCACATGGAGCAGCTTTGCGTTGCTGGGGTGACCTCAGGTTCCGTCTAGACTGGTGACAGTGTTCTTGGGGACTGACTCGAGACTAATTAAGCAAGTCGAAGCTCCTGACTTGTTTGAATGGGATCACGGAATAGCTCTGCATGCACTGCAGGGGAATGGGGCCTCATCTCGCCTCTAGGGGGAAGTCTCATGGTTTTTCTCGAGTTGCGGCGGGGACCTGGGGTATGTTCTCGACTTACGGCGGGGATGGCCCTTCAAAACACGACTTTCTTCAGTGACGTCAGGACTCCTGTCTAGTAATGAGGGACCACTCAGCAATCTCTTCGAGGCTTGGCAGGGCAAAAGGGACGCTTCTCGAGGTGAGCCAGGGCACCCAAGGACCCTTTCCAGTAGCCACAGGGATTTTGGGATTCCTATAAGTATTCAAGAGGAGTCAGGCATCGTCACCTTTTGAAGCAATGAACTCCGCGTGCCTCTCGAGGTGTCAGCGGGATGTGAGGATTCCATCAAAATGAGGCAGGGACCTAGGGCTTTCTCTAAGGTCTCCACAGGGGATTCAGACATCCCTTCATGTTGTGAGATGAAAGACAAGCCTGTATTCAAGCCACTGCAAGGAAATCCGGCCTCCTTTCAAGTTAGGGCTTCTCGCTCTATATTCCCCTTGAGGCAGCAAAATCGGGGTTCCTCCCACATACCTATTGCTGAGAGAAGCCTCCTCCTGAGGTTCTTCTGGAAAGGTGGCATACGTCTTGAGCCTAAGCCAGGGAATCAGCTCTCATCTCGAGACGATTTGGGGTACACAGAGCATTCCTCGAGTTGCTGTGCTGAAGTTGGTGGTCCTCTAGACTCGGGACAGTGTTCTCGGGGCATATCTGGAGTTGCCGGAAGGAAGTCGAGCCACCGGTCGTGTTGAATGGGGAACAAGGAATGGCTCTGGAGTCAATGTAGGGGAATCCGGCCTCATCTCAAGTTGATTTGGGGCACATGGAGCTGCTTTGCATTGCTGGGTGACCTCAGGGTCCGTCTAGACTGGTGACAGTGTTCTTGGGGACTGTCTCGAGATCCATTAAGCAAGTCGAAGCTCCTGACTTGTTTGAATGGGATCACGGAATAGCTCTGCATGCACTGCAGGGGAATGGGGCCTCATCTCGCCTCTAGGGGGAAGTCTCATGGTTTTTCTCGAGTTTCGGCGGGGACCTGGGGTATGTTCTCGACTTACGGCGGGGATGGCCCTTCAAAACACGAGTTTCTTCAGTGACGTCAGGACTCCTGTCTAGTAACGAGGGATACCTCAGCAATCTCTTCGAGGCTTGGCAGGGCAAAAGGGACGCTTCTCGAGGTGAGCCAGGGCACCCAAGGACCCTTTCCAGTACCACAGGGATTTCGGGATTCCTATAAGTATTCAAGAGGAGTCAGGCATCGTCACCTTTTGAAGCAATGAACTCTGTGTGCCTCTCGAGGTGTCAGGGGGATGTGAGGTATTCCGTCAAAATGAGGCAGGGACCTAGGGCTTCCTCTAAGGTCTCCACAGGGGCTTCAGAAATCCCTTCATGTTGTCAGATCAAAGACGAGCCTGTATTCAAGCCACTGCAAGGAAATCTGGCCTCCGTTCACATTAGGGCTTCTCCCTGTGTATTCCCCTTGAGGCAGCAAACTCGGGGTCCCTCCCACATACCTATTGCTGAGAGAAGCCTCCTCATGCGGTGCTTCTGGAAAGTTGGCATACGTCTTGAGCCTAAGCCAGGGAATCAGCTCTCATCTCGAGATGATTTGGGGTACACGGAGCATTCCTCTGGTTGCTGTGCTGAAATTGGTGCTCCTCTAGACTTGGGACAGTGTTCTCGGGGCATCTCTGGAGTTGCCTGAAGGAAGTCGAGCCACCGGTCGTGTTGAATGGGGAACGGGGAATGGCTCTGGAGTCAATGCAGGGGAATCGGGCCTCATCTCGAGTTGATTTGGGGCACATGGAGCAGCTTTGCGTTGTTGGGGTGACCTCAGGGTCCGTCTAGACTGGTGACAGTGTTCTTGGGGACTGTCTCGAGATCCATTAAGCACGTCGAAGCTCCTGACTTGTTTGAATGGGATCACGGAATAGCTCTGCATGCACTGCAGGGGAATGGGGCCTCATCTCGCCTCTAGGGGGAAGTCTCATGGTTTTTCTCGAGTTGCGGCGGGGACCTGGGGTATGTTCTCGACTTACGGCGGGGATGGCCCTTCAAAACACGAGTTTCTTCCGTGACGTCAGGACTCCTGTCTAGTAACGAGGGACACCTCAGCAATCTCTTCGAGGCTTGGCAGGGCAAAAGGGACGCTTCTCGAGGTGAGCCAGGGCACCCAAGGACCCTTTCCAGTAGCCACAGGGATTTTGGGATTCCTATCAGTATTAAAGAGGAGTCAGGCATCGTCACCTTTTGAAGCAATGAACTCCGCGTGCCTCTCGAGGTGTCAGCGGGATGTGATGATTCCGTCAAAATGAGGCAGGGACCTAGGGTTTACTCTAAGGTCTCCACAGGGGATTCAGACATCCCTTCATGTTGTGATATGAAAGACGAGCCTGTATTCAAGCCACTGCAAGGAAATCCGGCCTCCTTTCAAGTTAGGGCTTCTCGCTGTATATTCCCCTTGAGGCAGCAAACTCGGAGTCCCTCCCACATACCTATTGCTGAGAGAAGCCTCCTCCTGAGGTGCTTCTGGAAAGTTGGCATACGTCTTGAGCCTAAGCCAGGGATTCAGCTCTCATCTCGAGACGATTTGTGGTACACAGAGCATTCCTCGAGTTGCTGTGCTGAAGTTGGTGTTCCTCTAGACTTGGGACAGTGTTCTCTGGGCATCTCTGGAGTTGCCTGAAGGAAGTCGAGCCACCGGTCGTGTTGAATGGGGAACGGGGAATGGCTCTGGAGTCAATGCAGGGGAATCGGGCCTCATCTCGAGTTGATTTGTGGCACCTGGAGCAGCTTTGCGTTGCTGGGGTGACCTCAGGGTCCGTCTAGACTGGTGACAGTGTTCTTGGGGACTGTCTCGAGATCCATTAAGCACGTCGAAGCTCCTGACTTGTTTGAATGGGATCACGGAATAGCTCTGCATGCACTGCAGGGGAATGGGGCCTCATCTCGCCTCTAGGGGGAAGTCTCATGGTTTTTCTCGAGTTGCGGCGGGGACCTGGGGTATGTTCTCGACTTACGGCGGGGATGGCCCTTCAAAACACGAGTTTCTTCAGTGACGTCAGGACTCCTGTCTAGTAATGAGGGACACATCAGCAATCTCTTCGAGGCTTGGCAGGGCAAAAGGGACGCTTCTCGAGGTGAGCCATGGCACCCAAGGACCCTTTCCAGTAGCCACAAGGATTTTGGGATTCCTATAAGTATTCAAGAGGAGTCAGGCATCGTCACCTTTTGAAGCAATGAACTCTGCGTGCCTCTCGAGGTGTCAGCGGGATGTGAGGTATTCCGTCAAAATGAGGCAGGGACCTAGGGCTTCCTCTAAGGTCTCCACAGGGGATTCAGAAATCCCTTCATGTTGTCAGATCAAAGACTAGCCTGTATTCAAGCCACTGCAAGGAAATCTGGCCTCCGCTCACATTAGCGCTTCTCCCTGTGTATTCCCCTTGAGGCAGCAAACTCGGGGTCCCTCCCACATACCTATTGCTGAGAGAAGCCTCCTCCTGAGGTGCTTCTGGAAAGGTGGCATACGTCTTGAGCCTAAGCCAGGGAATCAGCTCTCATCTCGAGATGATTTGGGGTACACGGAGCATTCCTCTGGTTGCTGTGCTTAAATTGGTGCTCCTCTAGACTTGGAACAGTGTTCTCGGGGCATCTCTGGAGTTGCCTGAATGAAGTCGAGCCACCGGGCGTGTTGAATGGGGAACGGGGAATGGCTCTGGAGTCAATGCAGGGGAATCGGGCCTCATCTCGAGTTGATTTGGGGCACATGGAGCAGCTTTGCGTTGCTGGGGTGACCTCAGGGTCCGTCTAGACTGGTGACAGTGTTCTTGGGGACTGTCTCGAGATCCATTAAGCACGTCGAAGCTCCTGACTTGTTTGAATGGGATCACGGAATAGCTCTGCATGCACTGCAGGGGAATGGGGCCTCATCTCGCCTCTAGGGGGAAGTCTCATGGTTTTTCTCGAGTTGCGGCGGGGACCTGGGGTATGTTCTCGACTTACAGCTGGGATGGCCCTTAAAAACCCGAGTTTCTTCAGTGACGTCAGGACTCCTGTCTAGTAACGAGGGACACCTCAGGAATCTCTTCGAGGCTTGGCAGGGCAAAAGGGATGCTTCTCGAAGTGAGGCAGGGCACCCAAGGAACCTTTCCAGTAGCCACAGGGATTTTGGGATTCCTATCAGTATTCAAGAGGAGTCAGGCATCGTCACCTTTTGAAGAAATGAACTCCGCATGCCTCTCGAGCTGTCAGCGGGATGTGAGGCATTCCGTCAAAATGAGGCAGGGACCTAGGGCTTTCTCTAAGGTCTTCACAGGGGATTCAGACATCCCTTCATGTTGTGAGATGAAAGACAAGCCTGTATTCAAGCTACTGCAAGGAAATCCTGCCTCCTTTCAAGTTAGGGCTTCTCGCTGTATATTCCCCTTGAGGCAGCAAACTCGGAGTCCCTCCCACATACCTATTGCTGAGAGAAGCCTCCTCCTGAGGTGCTTCTGGAAAGTTGGCATACGCCTTGAGCCTAAGCCAGGGATTCAGCTCTCATCTCGAGACGATTTGGGGTACACAGAGCATTCCTCGAGTTGCTGTGCTGAAGTTGGTGTTCCTCTACACTTGGGACAGTGTTCTCTGGGCATCTCTGGAGTTGCCTGAAGGAAGTCGAGCCACCGGTCGTGTTGAATGGGGAACGGGGAATGGCTCTGGAGTCAATGCAGGGGAATCGGGCCTCATCTCGAGTTGATTTGGGGCACATGGAGCAGCTTTGCGTTGCTGGGGTGACCTCAGGTTCCGTCTAGACTGGTGTCAGTGTTCTTGGGGACTGACTCGAGACTAATTAAGCAAGTCGAAGCTCCTGACTTGTTTGAATGGGATCACGGAATAGCTCTGCATGCACTGCAGGGGAATGGGGCCTCATCTCGCCTCTAGGGGGAAGTCTCATGGTTTTTCTCGAGTTGCGGCGGGGACCTGGGGTATGTTCTCGACTTACGGCGGGGATGGCTCTTCAAAACACGAGTTTCTTCAGTGACGTCAGGACTCCTGTCTAGTAATGAGGGACCACTCAGCAATCTCTTCGAGGCTTGGCAGGGCAAAAGGGACGCTTCTCGAGGTGAGCCAGGGCACCCAAGGACCCTTTCCAGTAGCCACAGGGATTTTGGGATTCCTATAAGTATTCAAGAGGAGTCAGGCATCGTCACCTTTTGAAGCAATGAACTCCGCGTGCCTCTCGAGGTGTCAGCGGGATGTGAGGATTCCATCAAAATGAGGCAGGGACCTAGGGCTTTCTCTAAGGTCTCCACAGGGGATTCAGACATCCCTTCATGTTGTGAGATGAAAGACAAGCCTGTATTCAAGCCACTGCAAGGAAATCCGGCCTCCTTTCAAGTTAGGGCTTCTCGCTCTATATTCCCCTTGAGGCAGCAAAATCGGGGTTCCTCCCACATACCTATTGCTGAGAGAAGCCTCCTCCTGAGGTTCTTCTGGAAAGGTGGCATACGTCTTGAGCCTAAGCCAGGGAATCAGCTCTCATCTCGAGACGATTTGGGGTACACAGAGAATTCCTTGAGTTGCTGTGCTGAAGTTCGTGGTCCTCTAGACTCGGGACAGTGTTCTCGGGGCATATCTGGAGTTGCCGGAAGGAAGTCGAGCCACCGGTCGTGTTGAATGGGGAACAAGGAATGGCTCTGGAGTCAATGTAGGGGAATCCGGCCTCATCTCAAGTTGATTTGGGGCACATGGAGCAGCTTTGCATTGCTGGGTGACCTCAGGGTCCGTCTAGACTGGTGACAGTGTTCTTGGGGACTGTCTCGAGATCCATTAAGCAAGTCGAAGCTCCTGACTTGTTTGAATGGGATCACGGAATAGCTCTGCATGCACTGCAGGGGAATGGGGCCTCATCTCGCCTCTAGGGGGAAGTCTCATGGTTTTTCTCGAGTTTCGGCGGGGACCTGGGGTATGTTCTCGACTTACGGCGGGGATGGCCCTTCAAAACACGAGTTTCTTCAGTGACGTCAGGACTCCTGTCTAGTAACGAGGGATACCTCAGCAATCTCTTCGAGGCTTGGCAGGGCAAAAGGGACGCTTCTCGAGGTGAGCCAGGGCACCCAAGGACCCTTTCCAGTACCACAGGGATTTCGGGATTCCTATAAGTATTCAAGAGGAGTCAGGCATCGTCACCTTTGAAGCAATGAACTCCGCGTGCCTCTCGAGGTGTCAGCGGGATGTGAGGATTCCGTCAAAATGAGGCAGGGACCTAGGGCTATCTCTAAGGTATCCACAAGGGATTCAGACATCACTTCATGTTGTGAGATGAAAGACGAGCCTGTATTCAAGCCACTGCAAGGAAATCCGGCCTCCTTTCAAGTTAGGGCTTCTCGCTGTATATTCCCCTTGAGGCAGCAAACTCGGGGTCCCTCCCACATACCTATTGCTGAGAGAAGCCTCCTCCTGAGGTGCTTCTGGAAAGGTGGCATACGTCTTGAGCCTAAGCCAGGGAATCAGCTCTCATCTCGAGACGATTTGGGGTACACAGAGCATTCCTCGAGTTGCTGTGCTGAAGTTGGTGTTCCTCTAGACTTGGGACAGTGTTCTCGGGGCATCTCTGGAGTTGCCTGAAGGAAACCGAGCCACCGGTCCTGTTGATTGGGGAACGGGGAATGGCTCTGGAGTCAATGCAGGGGAATCGGGCCTCATCTCGAGTTGATTTGTGGCACCTGGAGCTGCTTTGCGTTGCTGGGGTGACCTCAGGGTCCGTCTAGACTGGTGACAGTGATCTTGGGGACTGCCTCGAGATCCATTAAGCAAGTCGAAGCTCCTGACTTGTTTGAATGGGATCACGGAATAGCTCTGCATGCACTGCAGGGGAATGGGGCCTCATCTCGCCTCTAGGGGGAAGTCTCATGGTTTTTCTCGAGTTGCGGCGGGGAACTGGGGTATGTTCTCGACTTACGGCGGGGATGGCCCTTCAAAACACGAGTTTCTTCAGTGACGTCAGGACTCCTGTCTAGTAACGAGGGACACGTCAGCAATCTCTTCGAGGCTTGGCAGGGCAAAAGGGACGCTTCTCGAGGTGAGCCAGGGCACCCAAGGACCCTTTCCAGTAGCCACAGGGATTTTGGGATTCCTATAAGTATTCAAGAGGAGTCAGGCATCGTCACCTTTTGAAGCAATGAACTCTGCGTGCCTCTCGAGGTGTCAGGGGGATGTGAGGTGTTCCGTCAAAATGAGGCAGGGACCTAGGGCTTCCTCTAAGGTCTCCACAGGGGATTCAGACATCCCTTCATGTTGTGAGATCAAAGACGAGCCTGTATTCAAGCCACTGCAAGGAAATCTGGCCTCCTTTCAAGTTAGGGCTTCTCCCTGTGTATTCCCCTTGAGGCAGCAAACTCGGGGTCCCTCCCACATACCTATTGCTGAGAGAAGCCTCCTCATGCGGTGCTTCTGGAAAGTTGGCATACGTCTTGAGCCTAAGCCAGGGAATCAGCTTTCATCTCGAGATGATTTGGGATACACGGAGCATTCCTCGAGTTGCTGTGCTGAAGTTGGTGTTCCTCTAGACTTGGGACAGTGTTCTCGGGGCATCTCTGGAGTTGCCTGAAGGAAGTCGAGCCACCGGCCGTGTTAAATGGGGAACGGGGAATGGCTCTGGAGTCAATGCAGTGGAAGCGGGATTCATCTCGAGTTGATTTGGGGCACATGGAGCAGCTTTGCGTTGCTGGGGTGACCTCAGGGTCCGTCTAGACTGGTGACAGTGTTCTTGGGGACTGTCTCGAGATCCATTAAGCAAGTCGAAGCTCCTGACTTGTTTGAATGGGATCACGGAATAGCTCTGCATGCACTGCAGGGGAATGGGGCCTCATCTCGCCTCTAGGGGGAAGTCTCATGGTTTTTCTCGAGTTGCGGCGGGGACCTGGGGTATGTTCTCGACTTACGGCGGGGATGGCCTTTCAAAACAGGAGTTTCTTCCGTGACGTCAGGACTCCTGTCTAGTAACGAGGGACACCTCAGCAATCTCTTCGAGGCTTGGCAGGGCAAAAGGGACGCTTCTCGAGGTGAGCCAGGGCACCCAAGGACCCTTTCCAGTAGCCACAGGGATTTTGGGATTCCTATCAGTATTCAAGAGGAGTCAGGCATCGTCACCTTTTGAAGCAATGAACTCTGCGTGCCTCTCGAGGTGTCAGGGGGATGTGAGGTGTTCCGTCAAAATGAGGCAGGGACCTAGGGCTTCCTCTAAGGTCTCCACAGGGGATTCAGACATCCCTTCATGTTGTGACATGAAAGACGAGCCTGTATTCAAGCCACTGCAAGGAAATCCGGCCTCCTTTCAAGTTAGGGCTTCTCGCTGTATATTCCCCTTGAGGCAGCAAACTCGGAGTCCCTCCCACATACCTATTGCTGAGAGAAGCCTCCTCCTGAGGTGCTTCTGGAAAGTTGGCATACGTCTTGAGCCTAAGCCAGGGATTCAGCTCTCATCTCGAGACGATTTGTGGTACACAGAGCATTCCTCGAGTTGCTGTGCTGAAGTTGGTGTTCCTCTAGACTTGGGACAGTGTTCTCTGGGCATCTCTGGAGTTGCCTGAAGGAAGTCGAGCCACCGGTCGTGTTGAATGGGGAACGGGGAATGGCTCTGGAGTCAATGCAGGGGAATCGGGCCTCATCTCGAGTTGATTTGGGGCACATGGAGCAGCTTTGCGTTGTTGGGGTGACCTCAGGGTCCGTCTAGACTGGTGACAGTGTTCTTGGGGACTGTCTCGAGATCCATTAAGCACGTCGAAGCTCCTGACTTGTTTGAATGGGATCACGGAATAGCTCTGCATGCACTGCAGGGGAATGGGGCCTCATCTCGCCTCTAGGGGGAAGTCTCATGGTTTTTCTCGAGTTGCGGCGGGGACCTGGGGTATGTTCTCGACTTACGGCGGGGATGGCCCTTCAAAACACGAGTTTCTTCCGTGACGTCAGGACTCCTGTCTAGTAACGAGGGACACCTCAGCAATCTCTTCGAGGCTTGGCAGGGCAAAAGGGACGCTTCTCGAGGTGAGCCAGGGCACCCAAGGACCCTTTCCAGTAGCCACAGGGATTTTGGGATTCCTATCAGTATTAAAGAGGAGTCAGGCATCGTCACCTTTTGAAGCAATGAACTCCGCGTGCCTCTCGAGGTGTCAGCGGGATGTGAGGATTCCGTCAAAATGAGGCAGGGACCTAGGGTTTACTCTAAGGTCTCCACAGGGGATTCAGACATCCCTTCATGTTGTGACATGAAAGACGAGCCTGTATTCAAGCCACTGCAAGGAAATCCGGCCTCCTTTCAAGTTAGGGCTTCTCGCTGTATATTCCCCTTGAGGCAGCAAACTCGGAGTCCCTCCCACATACCTATTGCTGAGAGAAGCCTCCTCCTGAGGTGCTTCTGGAAAGTTGGCATACGTCTTGAGCCTAAGCCAGGGATTCAGCTCTCATCTCGAGACGATTTGTGGTACACAGAGCATTCCTCGAGTTGCTGTGCTGAAGTTGGTGTTCCTCTAGACTTGGGACAGTGTTCTCTGGGCATCTCTGGAGTTGCCTGAAGGAAGTCGAGCCACCGGTCGTGTTGAATGGGGAACGGGGAATGGCTCTGGAGTCAATGCAGGGGAATCGGGCCTCATCTCGAGTTGATTTGTGGCACCTGGAGCAGCTTTGCGTTGCTGGGGTGACCTCAGGGTCCGTCTAGACTGGTGACAGTGTTCTTGGGGACTGTCTCGAGATCCATTAAGCACGTCGAAGCTCCTGACTTGTTTGAATGGGATCACGGAATAGCTCTGCATGCACTGCAGGGGAATGGGGCCTCATCTCGCCTCTAGGGGGAAGTCTCATGGTTTTTCTCGAGTTGCGGCGGGGACCTGGGGTATGTTCTCGACTTACGGCGGGGATGGCCCTTCAAAACACGAGTTTCTTCAGTGACGTCAGGACTCCTGTCTAGTAATGAGGGACACATCAGCAATCTCTTCGAGGCTTGGCAGGGCAAAAGGGACGCTTCTCGAGGTGAGCCAGGGCACCCAAGGACCCTTTCCAGTAGCCACAAGGATTTTGGGATTCCTATAAGTATTCAAGAGGAGTCAGGCATCGTCACCTTTTGAAGCAATGAACTCTGCGTGCCTCTCGAGGTGTCAGCGGGATGTGAGGTATTCCGTCAAAATGAGGCAGGGACCTAGGGCTTCCTCTAAGGTCTCCACAGGGGATTCAGAAATCCCTTCATGTTGTCAGATCAAAGACTAGCCTGTATTCAAGCCACTGCAAGGAAATCTGGCCTCCGCTCACATTAGCGCTTCTCCCTGTGTATTCCCCTTGAGGCAGCAAACTCGGGGTCCCTCCCACATACCTATTGCTGAGAGAAGCCTCCTCCTGAGGTGCTTCTGGAAAGGTGGCATACGTCTTGAGCCTAAGCCAGGGAATCAGCTCTCATCTCGAGATGATTTGGGGTACACGGAGCATTCCTCTGGTTGCTGTGCTTAAATTGGTGCTCCTCTAGACTTGGGACAGTGTTCTCGGGGCATCTCTGGAGTTGCCTGAATGAAGTCGAGCCACCGGGCGTGTTGAATGGGGAACGGGGAATGGCTCTGGAGTCAATGCAGGGGAATCGGGCCTCATCTCGAGTTGATTTGGGGCACATGGAGCAGCTTTGCGTTGCTGGGGTGACCTCAGGGTCCGTCTAGACTGGTGACAGTGTTCTTGGGGACTGTCTCGAGATCCATTAAGCACGTCGAAGCTCCTGACTTGTTTGAATGGGATCACGGAATAGCTCTGCATGCACTGCAGGGGAATGGGGCCTCATCTCGCCTCTAGGGGGAAGTCTCATGGTTTTTCTCGAGTTGCGGCGGGGACCTGGGGTATGTTCTCGACTTACAGCTGGGATGGCCCTTAAAAACCCGAGTTTCTTCAGTGACGTCAGGACTCCTGTCTAGTAACGAGGGACACCTCAGGAATCTCTTCGAGGCTTGGCAGGGCAAAAGGGATGCTTCTCGAAGTGAGGCAGGGCACCCAAGGAACCTTTCCAGTAGCCACAGGGATTTTGGGATTCCTATCAGTATTCAAGAGGAGTCAGGCATCGTCACCTTTTGAAGAAATGAACTCCGCATGCCTCTCGAGCTGTCAGCGGGATGTGAGGCATTCCGTCAAAATGAGGCAGGGACCTAGGGCTTTCTCTAAGGTCTTCACAGGGGATTCAGACATCCCTTCATGTTGTGAGATGAAAGACAAGCCTGTATTCAAGCTACTGCAAGGAAATCCTGCCTCCTTTCAAGTTAGGGCTTCTCGCTGTATATTCCCCTTGAGGCAGCAAACTCGGAGTCCCTCCCACATACCTATTGCTGAGAGAAGCCTCCTCCTGAGGTGCTTCTGGAAAGTTGGCATACGCCTTGAGCCTAAGCCAGGGATTCAGCTCTCATCTCGAGACGATTTGGGGTACACAGAGCATTCCTCGAGTTGCTGTGCTGAAGTTGGTGTTCCTCTACACTTGGGACAGTGTTCTCTGGGCATCTCTGGAGTTGCCTGAAGGAAGTCGAGCCACCGGTCGTGTTGAATGGGGAACGGGGAATGGCTCTGGAGTCAATGCAGGGGAATCGGGCCTCATCTCGAGTTGATTTGGGGCACATGGAGCAGCTTTGCGTTGCTGGGGTGACCTCAGGTTCCGTCTAGACTGGTGACAGTGTTCTTGGGGACTGACTCGAGACTAATTAAGCAAGTCGAAGCTCCTGACTTGTTTGAATGGGATCACGGAATAGCTCTGCATGCACTGCAGGGGAATGGGGCCTCATCTCGCCTCTAGGGGGAAGTCTCATGGTTTTTCTCGAGTTGCGGCGGGGACCTGGGGTATGTTCTCGACTTACGGCGGGGATGGCCCTTCAAAACACGACTTTCTTCAGTGACGTCAGGACTCCTGTCTAGTAATGAGGGACCACTCAGCAATCTCTTCGAGGCTTGGCAGGGCAAAAGGGACGCTTCTCGAGGTGAGCCAGGGCACCCAAGGACCCTTTCCAGTAGCCACAGGGATTTTGGGATTCCTATAAGTATTCAAGAGGAGTCAGGCATCGTCACCTTTTGAAGCAATGAACTCCGCGTGCCTCTCGAGGTGTCAGCGGGATGTGAGGATTCCATCAAAATGAGGCAGGGACCTAGGGCTTTCTCTAAGGTCTCCACAGGGGATTCAGACATCCCTTCATGTTGTGAGATGAAAGACAAGCCTGTATTCAAGCCACTGCAAGGAAATCCGGCCTCCTTTCAAGTTAGGGCTTCTCGCTCTATATTCCCCTTGAGGCAGCAAAATCGGGGTTCCTCCCACATACCTATTGCTGAGAGAAGCCTCCTCCTGAGGTTCTTCTGGAAAGGTGGCATACGTCTTGAGCCTAAGCCAGGGAATCAGCTCTCATCTCGAGACGATTTGGGGTACACAGAGCATTCCTCGAGTTGCTGTGCTGAAGTTGGTGGTCCTCTAGACTCGGGACAGTGTTCTCGGGGCATATCTGGAGTTGCCGGAAGGAAGTCGAGCCACCGGTCGTGTTGAATGGGGAACAAGGAATGGCTCTGGAGTCAATGTAGGGGAATCCGGCCTCATCTCAAGTTGATTTGGGGCACATGGAGCTGCTTTGCATTGCTGGGTGACCTCAGGGTCCGTCTAGACTGGTGACAGTGTTCTTGGGGACTGTCTCGAGATCCATTAAGCAAGTCGAAGCTCCTGACTTGTTTGAATGGGATCACGGAATAGCTCTGCATGCACTGCAGGGGAATGGGGCCTCATCTCGCCTCTAGGGGGAAGTCTCATGGTTTTTCTCGAGTTTCGGCGGGGACCTGGGGTATGTTCTCGACTTACGGCGGGGATGGCCCTTCAAAACACGAGTTTCTTCAGTGACGTCAGGACTCCTGTCTAGTAACGAGGGATACCTCAGCAATCTCTTCGAGGCTTGGCAGGGCAAAAGGGACGCTTCTCGAGGTGAGCCAGGGCACCCAAGGACCCTTTCCAGTACCACAGGGATTTCGGGATTCCTATAAGTATTCAAGAGGAGTCAGGCATCGTCACCTTTTGAAGCAATGAACTCTGTGTGCCTCTCGAGGTGTCAGGGGGATGTGAGGTATTCCGTCAAAATGAGGCAGGGACCTAGGGCTTCCTCTAAGGTCTCCACAGGGGCTTCAGAAATCCCTTCATGTTGTCAGATCAAAGACGAGCCTGTATTCAAGCCACTGCAAGGAAATCTGGCCTCCGTTCACATTAGGGCTTCTCCCTGTGTATTCCCCTTGAGGCAGCAAACTCGGGGTCCCTCCCACATACCTATTGCTGAGAGAAGCCTCCTCATGCGGTGCTTCTGGAAAGTTGGCATACGTCTTGAGCCTAAGCCAGGGAATCAGCTCTCATCTCGAGATGATTTGGGGTACACGGAGCATTCCTCTGGTTGCTGTGCTGAAATTGGTGCTCCTCTAGACTTGGGACAGTGTTCTCGGGGCATCTCTGGAGTTGCCTGAAGGAAGTCGAGCCACCGGTCGTGTTGAATGGGGAACGGGGAATGGCTCTGGAGTCAATGCAGGGGAATCGGGCCTCATCTCGAGTTGATTTGGGGCACATGGAGCAGCTTTGCGTTGTTGGGGTGACCTCAGGGTCCGTCTAGACTGGTGACAGTGTTCTTGGGGACTGTCTCGAGATCCATTAAGCACGTCGAAGCTCCTGACTTGTTTGAATGGGATCACGGAATAGCTCTGCATGCACTGCAGGGGAATGGGGCCTCATCTCGCCTCTAGGGGGAAGTCTCATGGTTTTTCTCGAGTTGCGGCGGGGACCTGGGGTATGTTCTCGACTTACGGCGGGGATGGCCCTTCAAAACACGAGTTTCTTCCGTGACGTCAGGACTCCTGTCTAGTAACGAGGGACACCTCAGCAATCTCTTCGAGGCTTGGCAGGGCAAAAGGGACGCTTCTCGAGGTGAGCCAGGGCACCCAAGGACCCTTTCCAGTAGCCACAGGGATTTTGGGATTCCTATCAGTATTAAAGAGGAGTCAGGCATCGTCACCTTTTGAAGCAATGAACTCCGCGTGCCTCTCGAGGTGTCAGCGGGATGTGATGATTCCGTCAAAATGAGGCAGGGACCTAGGGTTTACTCTAAGGTCTCCACAGGGGATTCAGACATCCCTTCATGTTGTGATATGAAAGACGAGCCTGTATTCAAGCCACTGCAAGGAAATCCGGCCTCCTTTCAAGTTAGGGCTTCTCGCTGTATATTCCCCTTGAGGCAGCAAACTCGGAGTCCCTCCCACATACCTATTGCTGAGAGAAGCCTCCTCCTGAGGTGCTTCTGGAAAGTTGGCATACGTCTTGAGCCTAAGCCAGGGATTCAGCTCTCATCTCGAGACGATTTGTGGTACACAGAGCATTCCTCGAGTTGCTGTGCTGAAGTTGGTGTTCCTCTAGACTTGGGACAGTGTTCTCTGGGCATCTCTGGAGTTGCCTGAAGGAAGTCGAGCCACCGGTCGTGTTGAATGGGGAACGGGGAATGGCTCTGGAGTCAATGCAGGGGAATCGGGCCTCATCTCGAGTTGATTTGTGGCACCTGGAGCAGCTTTGCGTTGCTGGGGTGACCTCAGGGTCCGTCTAGACTGGTGACAGTGTTCTTGGGGACTGTCTCGAGATCCATTAAGCACGTCGAAGCTCCTGACTTGTTTGAATGGGATCACGGAATAGCTCTGCATGCACTGCAGGGGAATGGGGCCTCATCTCGCCTCTAGGGGGAAGTCTCATGGTTTTTCTCGAGTTGCGGCGGGGACCTGGGGTATGTTCTCGACTTACGGCGGGGATGGCCCTTCAAAACACGAGTTTCTTCAGTGACGTCAGGACTCCTGTCTAGTAATGAGGGACACATCAGCAATCTCTTCGAGGCTTGGCAGGGCAAAAGGGACGCTTCTCGAGGTGAGCCATGGCACCCAAGGACCCTTTCCAGTAGCCACAAGGATTTTGGGATTCCTATAAGTATTCAAGAGGAGTCAGGCATCGTCACCTTTTGAAGCAATGAACTCTGCGTGCCTCTCGAGGTGTCAGCGGGATGTGAGGTATTCCGTCAAAATGAGGCAGGGACCTAGGGCTTCCTCTAAGGTCTCCACAGGGGATTCAGAAATCCCTTCATGTTGTCAGATCAAAGACTAGCCTGTATTCAAGCCACTGCAAGGAAATCTGGCCTCCGCTCACATTAGCGCTTCTCCCTGTGTATTCCCCTTGAGGCAGCAAACTCGGGGTCCCTCCCACATACCTATTGCTGAGAGAAGCCTCCTCCTGAGGTGCTTCTGGAAAGGTGGCATACGTCTTGAGCCTAAGCCAGGGAATCAGCTCTCATCTCGAGATGATTTGGGGTACACGGAGCATTCCTCTGGTTGCTGTGCTTAAATTGGTGCTCCTCTAGACTTGGAACAGTGTTCTCGGGGCATCTCTGGAGTTGCCTGAATGAAGTCGAGCCACCGGGCGTGTTGAATGGGGAACGGGGAATGGCTCTGGAGTCAATGCAGGGGAATCGGGCCTCATCTCGAGTTGATTTGGGGCACATGGAGCAGCTTTGCGTTGCTGGGGTGACCTCAGGGTCCGTCTAGACTGGTGACAGTGTTCTTGGGGACTGTCTCGAGATCCATTAAGCACGTCGAAGCTCCTGACTTGTTTGAATGGGATCACGGAATAGCTCTGCATGCACTGCAGGGGAATGGGGCCTCATCTCGCCTCTAGGGGGAAGTCTCATGGTTTTTCTCGAGTTGCGGCGGGGACCTGGGGTATGTTCTCGACTTACAGCTGGGATGGCCCTTAAAAACCCGAGTTTCTTCAGTGACGTCAGGACTCCTGTCTAGTAACGAGGGACACCTCAGGAATCTCTTCGAGGCTTGGCAGGGCAAAAGGGATGCTTCTCGAAGTGAGGCAGGGCACCCAAGGAACCTTTCCAGTAGCCACAGGGATTTTGGGATTCCTATCAGTATTCAAGAGGAGTCAGGCATCGTCACCTTTTGAAGAAATGAACTCCGCATGCCTCTCGAGCTGTCAGCGGGATGTGAGGCATTCCGTCAAAATGAGGCAGGGACCTAGGGCTTTCTCTAAGGTCTTCACAGGGGATTCAGACATCCCTTCATGTTGTGAGATGAAAGACAAGCCTGTATTCAAGCTACTGCAAGGAAATCCTGCCTCCTTTCAAGTTAGGGCTTCTCGCTGTATATTCCCCTTGAGGCAGCAAACTCGGAGTCCCTCCCACATACCTATTGCTGAGAGAAGCCTCCTCCTGAGGTGCTTCTGGAAAGTTGGCATACGCCTTGAGCCTAAGCCAGGGATTCAGCTCTCATCTCGAGACGATTTGGGGTACACAGAGCATTCCTCGAGTTGCTGTGCTGAAGTTGGTGTTCCTCTACACTTGGGACAGTGTTCTCTGGGCATCTCTGGAGTTGCCTGAAGGAAGTCGAGCCACCGGTCGTGTTGAATGGGGAACGGGGAATGGCTCTGGAGTCAATGCAGGGGAATCGGGCCTCATCTCGAGTTGATTTGGGGCACATGGAGCAGCTTTGCGTTGCTGGGGTGACCTCAGGTTCCGTCTAGACTGGTGTCAGTGTTCTTGGGGACTGACTCGAGACTAATTAAGCAAGTCGAAGCTCCTGACTTGTTTGAATGGGATCACGGAATAGCTCTGCATGCACTGCAGGGGAATGGGGCCTCATCTCGCCTCTAGGGGGAAGTCTCATGGTTTTTCTCGAGTTGCGGCGGGGACCTGGGGTATGTTCTCGACTTACGGCGGGGATGGCTCTTCAAAACACGAGTTTCTTCAGTGACGTCAGGACTCCTGTCTAGTAATGAGGGACCACTCAGCAATCTCTTCGAGGCTTGGCAGGGCAAAAGGGACGCTTCTCGAGGTGAGCCAGGGCACCCAAGGACCCTTTCCAGTAGCCACAGGGATTTTGGGATTCCTATAAGTATTCAAGAGGAGTCAGGCATCGTCACCTTTTGAAGCAATGAACTCCGCGTGCCTCTCGAGGTGTCAGCGGGATGTGAGGATTCCATCAAAATGAGGCAGGGACCTAGGGCTTTCTCTAAGGTCTCCACAGGGGATTCAGACATCCCTTCATGTTGTGAGATGAAAGACAAGCCTGTATTCAAGCCACTGCAAGGAAATCCGGCCTCCTTTCAAGTTAGGGCTTCTCGCTCTATATTCCCCTTGAGGCAGCAAAATCGGGGTTCCTCCCACATACCTATTGCTGAGAGAAGCCTCCTCCTGAGGTTCTTCTGGAAAGGTGGCATACGTCTTGAGCCTAAGCCAGGGAATCAGCTCTCATCTCGAGACGATTTGGGGTACACAGAGAATTCCTTGAGTTGCTGTGCTGAAGTTCGTGGTCCTCTAGACTCGGGACAGTGTTCTCGGGGCATATCTGGAGTTGCCGGAAGGAAGTCGAGCCACCGGTCGTGTTGAATGGGGAACAAGGAATGGCTCTGGAGTCAATGTAGGGGAATCCGGCCTCATCTCAAGTTGATTTGGGGCACATGGAGCAGCTTTGCATTGCTGGGTGACCTCAGGGTCCGTCTAGACTGGTGACAGTGTTCTTGGGGACTGTCTCGAGATCCATTAAGCAAGTCGAAGCTCCTGACTTGTTTGAATGGGATCACGGAATAGCTCTGCATGCACTGCAGGGGAATGGGGCCTCATCTCGCCTCTAGGGGGAAGTCTCATGGTTTTTCTCGAGTTTCGGCGGGGACCTGGGGTATGTTCTCGACTTACGGCGGGGATGGCCCTTCAAAACACGAGTTTCTTCAGTGACGTCAGGACTCCTGTCTAGTAACGAGGGATACCTCAGCAATCTCTTCGAGGCTTGGCAGGGCAAAAGGGACGCTTCTCGAGGTGAGCCAGGGCACCCAAGGACCCTTTCCAGTACCACAGGGATTTCGGGATTCCTATAAGTATTCAAGAGGAGTCAGGCATCGTCACCTTTGAAGCAATGAACTCCGCGTGCCTCTCGAGGTGTCAGCGGGATGTGAGGATTCCGTCAAAATGAGGCAGGGACCTAGGGCTATCTCTAAGGTATCCACAAGGGATTCAGACATCACTTCATGTTGTGAGATGAAAGACGAGCCTGTATTCAAGCCACTGCAAGGAAATCCGGCCTCCTTTCAAGTTAGGGCTTCTCGCTGTATATTCCCCTTGAGGCAGCAAACTCGGGGTCCCTCCCACATACCTATTGCTGAGAGAAGCCTCCTCCTGAGGTGCTTCTGGAAAGGTGGCATACGTCTTGAGCCTAAGCCAGGGAATCAGCTCTCATCTCGAGACGATTTGGGGTACACAGAGCATTCCTCGAGTTGCTGTGCTGAAGTTGGTGTTCCTCTAGACTTGGGACAGTGTTCTCGGGGCATCTCTGGAGTTGCCTGAAGGAAACCGAGCCACCGGTCCTGTTGATTGGGGAACGGGGAATGGCTCTGGAGTCAATGCAGGGGAATCGGGCCTCATCTCGAGTTGATTTGTGGCACCTGGAGCTGCTTTGCGTTGCTGGGGTGACCTCAGGGTCCGTCTAGACTGGTGACAGTGATCTTGGGGACTGCCTCGAGATCCATTAAGCAAGTCGAAGCTCCTGACTTGTTTGAATGGGATCACGGAATAGCTCTGCATGCACTGCAGGGGAATGGGGCCTCATCTCGCCTCTAGGGGGAAGTCTCATGGTTTTTCTCGAGTTGCGGCGGGGAACTGGGGTATGTTCTCGACTTACGGCGGGGATGGCCCTTCAAAACACGAGTTTCTTCAGTGACGTCAGGACTCCTGTCTAGTAACGAGGGACACGTCAGCAATCTCTTCGAGGCTTGGCAGGGCAAAAGGGACGCTTCTCGAGGTGAGCCAGGGCACCCAAGGACCCTTTCCAGTAGCCACAGGGATTTTGGGATTCCTATAAGTATTCAAGAGGAGTCAGGCATCGTCACCTTTTGAAGCAATGAACTCTGCGTGCCTCTCGAGGTGTCAGGGGGATGTGAGGTGTTCCGTCAAAATGAGGCAGGGACCTAGGGCTTCCTCTAAGGTCTCCACAGGGGATTCAGACATCCCTTCATGTTGTGAGATCAAAGACGAGCCTGTATTCAAGCCACTGCAAGGAAATCTGGCCTCCTTTCAAGTTAGGGCTTCTCCCTGTGTATTCCCCTTGAGGCAGCAAACTCGGGGTCCCTCCCACATACCTATTGCTGAGAGAAGCCTCCTCATGCGGTGCTTCTGGAAAGTTGGCATACGTCTTGAGCCTAAGCCAGGGAATCAGCTTTCATCTCGAGATGATTTGGGATACACGGAGCATTCCTCGAGTTGCTGTGCTGAAGTTGGTGTTCCTCTAGACTTGGGACAGTGTTCTCGGGGCATCTCTGGAGTTGCCTGAAGGAAGTCGAGCCACCGGCCGTGTTAAATGGGGAACGGGGAATGGCTCTGGAGTCAATGCAGTGGAAGCGGGATTCATCTCGAGTTGATTTGGGGCACATGGAGCAGCTTTGCGTTGCTGGGGTGACCTCAGGGTCCGTCTAGACTGGTGACAGTGTTCTTGGGGACTGTCTCGAGATCCATTAAGCAAGTCGAAGCTCCTGACTTGTTTGAATGGGATCACGGAATAGCTCTGCATGCACTGCAGGGGAATGGGGCCTCATCTCGCCTCTAGGGGGAAGTCTCATGGTTTTTCTCGAGTTGCGGCGGGGACCTGGGGTATGTTCTCGACTTACGGCGGGGATGGCCTTTCAAAACAGGAGTTTCTTCCGTGACGTCAGGACTCCTGTCTAGTAACGAGGGACACCTCAGCAATCTCTTCGAGGCTTGGCAGGGCAAAAGGGACGCTTCTCGAGGTGAGCCAGGGCACCCAAGGACCCTTTCCAGTAGCCACAGGGATTTTGGGATTCCTATCAGTATTCAAGAGGAGTCAGGCATCGTCACCTTTTGAAGCAATGAACTCTGCGTGCCTCTCGAGGTGTCAGGGGGATGTGAGGTGTTCCGTCAAAATGAGGCAGGGACCTAGGGCTTCCTCTAAGGTCTCCACAGGGGATTCAGACATCCCTTCATGTTGTGAGATCAAAGACGAGCCTGTATTCAAGCCACTGCAAGGAAATCTGGCCTCCTTTCAAGTTAGGGCTTCTCCCTGTGTATTCCCCTTGAGGCAGCAAACTCGGGGTCCCTCCCACATACCTATTGCTGAGAGAAGCCTCCTCATGCGGTGCTTCTGGAAAGTTGGCATACGTCTTGAGCCTAAGCCAGGGAATCAGCTTTCATCTCGAGATGATTTGGGATACACGGAGCATTCCTCGAGTTGCTGTGCTGAAGTTGGTGTTCCTCTAGACTTGGGACAGTGTTCTCGGGGCATCTCTGGAGTTGCCTGAAGGAAGTCGAGCCACCGGCCGTGTTAAATGGGGAACGGGGAATGGCTCTGGAGTCAATGCAGTAGAAGCGGGCTTCATCTCGAGTTGATTTGGGGCACATGGAGCAGCTTTGCGTTGCTGGGGTGACCTCAGGGTCCATCTAGACTGGTGACAGTGTTCTTGGGGACTGTCTCGAGATCCATTAAGCAAGTCGAAGCTCCTGACTTGTTTGAATGGGATCACGGAATAGCTCTGCATGCACTGCAGGGGAATGGGGCCTCATCTCGCCTCTAGGGGGAAGTCTCATGGTTTTTCTCGAGTTGCGGCGGGGACCTGGGGTATGTTCTCGACTTACGGCGGGGATGGCCTTTCAAAACAGGAGTTTCTTCCGTGACGTCAGGACTCCTGTCTAGTAACGAGGGACACCTCAGCAATCTCTTCGAGGCTTGGCAGGGCAAAAGGGACGCTTCTCGAGGTGAGCCAGGGCACCCAAGGACCCTTTCCAGTAGCCACAGGGATTTTGGGATTCCTATCAGTATTCAAGAGGAGTCAGGCATCGTCACCTTTTGAAGCAATGAACTCCGCGTGCCTCTCGACGTGTCAGGGGGATGTGAGGTGTTCCGTCAAAATGAGGCAGGGACCTAGGGCTTCCTCTAAGGTCTCCACAGGGGATTCAGACATCCCTTCATGTTGTGAGATCAAAGACGAGCCTGTATTCAAGCCACTGCAAGGAAAACCGGCCTCATTTCAAGTTAGGGCTTCTCGCTGTATATTCCCCTTGAGGCAGCAAACTCCGGGTCCCTTCCACATAACTATTGCCGAGAGAAGCCTCCTCCTGAGGTGCTTCTGGAAAGGTGGCATACGTCTTGAGCCTAAGCCAGGGAATCAGCTCTCATCTCGAGACGATTTGGGGTACACAGAGCATTCCTCGAGTTGCTGTGCTGAAGTTGGTGGTCCTCTAGACTTGGGACAGTGTTCTCGGGGCATCTCTGGAGTTGCCTGAAGGAAGTCTAGCCACCAGTCGCGTTGAATGGGGAACAGGGAATGGCTCTGGGGTCAATGCAGGGGAATTCGGCCTCATCTCGAGTTGATTTGGGGCACATGGAGCTGCTTTGCATTGCTGGGTGACCTCAGGGTCCGTCTAGACTTGTGACAGTGTTCTTGGGGACTATCTCGAGATCCATTAAGCAAGTCGAAGCTCCTGACTTGTTTGAATGGGATCACAGAATAGCTCTGCATGCACTGCAAGGGAATGGGGCCTCATCTCGCCTCTAGGGGGAAGTCTCATGGTTTTTCTCGAGTTGCGGCGGGGACCTGGGGTATGTTCTCGACTTACGGCGGGGATGGCCCTTCAAGACACGAGTTTCTTCAGTGACGTCAGGACTCCTGCCTAGTAACGAGGGACACCTCAGCAATCTCTTCGAGGCTTGGCAGGGCAAAAGGGACGCTTCTCGAGGTGAGCCAGGGCACCCAAGGACCCTTTCCAGTAGCCACAGGGATTTTGGGATTCCTATCAGTATTCAAGAGGAGTCAGGCATCGTCACCTTTTGAAGCAATGAACTCCGCGTGCCTCTCGACGTGTCAGCGGGATGTGAGGATTCCGTCAAAATGAGGCAGGGACCTAGGGCTTTCTCTAAGGTCTCCACAGGGGATTCAGACATCCCTTCATGTTGTCATATCAAAGACAAGCCTGTATTCAAGCTACTGCAAGGAAATCCGGCCTCCTTTCAAGTTAGGGCTTCTCGCTGTATATTCCCCTTGAGGCAGCAAACTCGGAGTCCCTCCCACATACCTATTGCTGAGAAGCCTCCTCCTGAGGTGCTTCTGGAAAGGTGGCATACGTCTTGAGCCTAAGCCAGGGAATCAGCTCTCATCTCGAGACGATTTGGGGTACACAGAGCATTCCTCGAGTTGCTGTGCTGAAGTTGGTGTTCCTCTAGACTTTGGACAGTGTTCTCGGGGCATCACTGGGGTTGCCTGAAGGAAACCGAGCCACCGGTCCTGTTGAATGGGGAACGGGGAATGGCTCTGGAATCAATGCAGGGGAATCGGGCCACATCTCGAGTTGATTTAGGGCACATGGAGCTGGTTTGCATTGCTGGGGTGACCTCAGGGTCCGTCTAGACTGGTGACAGTGTTCTTGGGGACTGTCTCGAGATCCATTAAGCAAGTCGAAGCTCCTGACTTGTTTGAATGGGATCACGGAATAGCTCTGCATGCACTGCAGGGGAATGGGGCCTCATCTCGCCTCTAGGGGGAAGTCTCATGGTTTTTCTCGAGTTGCGGCGGGGACCTGGGGTATGTTATCGACTTACGGCAGGGATGGCCCTTCAAAACACGACTTTCTTCAGTGACGTCAGGACTCCTGCCTAGTAACGAGGGACACCTCAGGAATCTCTTCGAGTCTTGGCAGGGCAAAGGGACGCTTCTCGAGGTGAGCCAGGGCACCCAAGGACCCTTTCCAGTAGCCACAGGGATTTTGGGATTCCTATCAGTATTCAAGAGGAGTCAGGCATCGTCACCTTTTGAAGCAATGAACTCCGCGTGCCTCTCGAGGTGTCAGCGGGATGTGAGGCATTCCGTCAACATGAGGCAGGGACCTAGGGCTTTCTCTAAGGTCTCCACAGGGGATTCAGACATCCCTTCATGTTGTGAGATGAAAGACAAGCCTGTATTCAAGCTACTGCAAGGAAATCCGGCCTCCTTTCAAGTTAGGGCTTCTCGCTGTATATTCCCCTTGAGGCAGCAAACTCGGAGTCCCTCCCACATACCTATTGCTGAGAAGCCTCCTCCTGAGGTCCTTCTGGAAAGTTGGCATACGTCTTGAGCCTAAGCCAGGGAATCAGCTCTCATCTCGAGACGATTTGGGGTACACAGAGCATTCCTCGAGTTGCTGTGCTGAAGTTGGTGTTCCTCTAGACTTGGGACAGTGTTCTCGGGGCATATCTGGAATTGCCTGAAGGAAACCGAGCCACCGGTCCTGTTGAATGGGGAACGGGGAATGGCTCTGGAATCAATGCAGGGGAATCGGGCCTCATCTCGAGTTGATTTAGGGCACATGGAGCTGGTTTGCGTTGCTGGGGTGACCTCAGGGTCCGTCTAGACTGGTGACAGTGTTCTTGGGGACTGTCTCGAGATCCATTAAGCAAGTCGAAGCTCCTGACTTGTTTGAATGGGATCACGGAATAGCTCTGCATGCACTGCAGGGGAATGGGGCCTCATCTCGCCTCTAGGGGGAAGTCTCATGGTTTTTCTCGAGTTGCGGCGGGGACCTGGGGTATGTTCTCGACTTACGGCGGGGACGGCCCTTCAAAACACGAGTTTCTTCAGTGACGTCAGGACTCCTGTCTAGTAACGAGGGACACCTCAGCAATCTCTTCGAGGCTTGACAGGGCAAAAGGGACGCTTCTCGAGGTGAGCCAGGGCACCCAAGGACCCTTTCCAGTAGCCACAGGGATTTTGGGATTCCTATCAGTATTCAAGAGGAGTCAGGCATCGTCACCTTTTGAAGCAATGAACTCCGCGTGCCTCTCGAGGTGTCAGCGGGATGTGAGGATTCCGTCAAAATGAGGCAGGGACCTAGGGCTTTCTCTAAGGTCTCCACAGGGGATTCAGACATCCCTTCATGTTGTGAGATGAAAGACGAGCCTGTATTCAAGCCACTAGAAGGAAATCCGGCCTCCTTTCAAGTTAGGGCTTCTCGCTGTATATTCCCCTTGAGGCAGCAAACTCGGAGTCCCTCCCACATAACTATTCCTGAGAGAAGCCTCCTCCTGAGGTGCTTCTGGAAAGTTGGCATACGTCTTGAGCCTAAGCCAGGGATTCAGCTCTCATCTCGAGACGATTTGGGGTACACAGAGCATTCCTCGAGTTGCTGTGCTGAAGTTGTGGTACTCTAGACTTGGGACAGTGTTCTCGGGGCATCTCTGAAGTTGCCTGAAGGAAGGCGAGCCTCCGTTCGTGTTGCACAAACGGGGAATGGCTCTGGAGTCAATGCAGGGGAATCGGGCCTCATCTCGAGTTGATTTGGGGCACATGGAGCTGCTTTGCGTTGCTGGGGTGACCTCAGGGTCCGTCTAGACTGGTGACAGTGTTCTTGGGGACTGTCTCGAGATGCATTAAGCAAGTCGAAGCTCCTGACTTGTTTGAATGGGATCAGGGAATAGCTCTGCATGCACTGCAGGGGAATGGGGCCTCATCTCCCCTCTAGGGGGAAGTCTCATGGTTTTGCTCGAGTTGCGGCGGGGACCTGGGGTATGTTCTCGACTTACGGCGGGGACGGCCCTTCAAAACACGAGTTTCTTCAGTGACGTCAGGACTCCTGTCTAGTAACGAGGGACACCTCAGCAATCTCTTCGAGGCTTGGCAGGGCAAAAGGGACGCTTCTCGAAGTGAGGCAGGGCACCAAAGGAACCTTTCCAGTAGCCACAGGGATTTTGGGATTCCTATCAGTATTCAAGAGGAGTCAGGCATCGTCACCTTTTGAAGAAATGAACTCCGCATGCCTCTCGAGCTGGCAGCGGGGTGTGAGGCATTCCGTCAAAATGAGGCAGGGACCTAGGGCTTTCTCTAAGGTCTTCACAGGGGATTCAGACATCCCTTCATGTTGTGAGATGAAAGACAAGCCTGTATTCAAGCTACTGCAAGGAAATCCTGCCTCCTTTCAAGTTAGGGCTTCTCGCTGTATATTCCCCTTGAGGCAGCAAACTCGGAGTCCCTCCCACATACCTATTGCTGAGAGAAGCCTCCTCCTGAGGTGCTTCTGGAAAGTTGGCATACGCCTTGAGCCTAAGCCAGGGATTCAGCTCTCATCTCGAGACGATTTGGGGTACACAGAGCATTCCTCGAGTTGCTGTGCTGAAGTTGGTGTTCCTCTAGACTTGGGACAGTGTTCTCTGGGCATCTCTGGAGTTGCCTGAAGGAAGTCGAGCCACCGGTCGTGTTGAATGGGGAACGGGGAATGGCTCTGGAGTCAATGCAGGGGAATCGGGCCTCATCTCGACTTGATTTGTGGCACCTGGAGCTGCTTTGCGTTGCTGGGGTGACCTCAGGGTCCGTCTAGACTGGTGACAGTGTTCTTGGGGACTGACTCGAGACCCATTAAGCAAGTCGAAGCTCCTGACTTGTTTGAATGGGATCACGGAATAGCTCTGCATGCACTGCAGGGGAATGGGGCCTCATCTCGCCTCTAGGGGGAAGTCTCAAGGTTTTTCTCGAGTTGCGGCGGGGACCTGGGGTATGTTCTCGACTTATGGCGGGGATGGCCCTTCAAAACACGAGTTTCTTCAGTGACGTCAGGACTCCTGTCTAGTAATGAGGGACAACTCAGCAATCTCTTCGAGGCTTGGCAGGGCATAAGGGACACTTCTCGAGGTGAACCAGGGCACCCAAGGACCCTTTCCAGTAGCCACAGGGATTTTGGGATTCCTATCAGTATTCAAGAGGAGTCAGGCATCGTCACCTTTTGAAGCAATGAACTCCGCGTGCCTCTCGACGTGTCAGCGGGATGTGAGGATTCCATCAAAATGAGGCAGGGACCTAGGGCTTCCTCTAAGGTCTCCACAGGGGATTCAGATATCCCTTCATGTTGTGAGATGAAAGACGAGCCTGTATTCAAGCCACTGCAAGGAAATCCGGCCTCCTTTCAAGTTAGGGCTTCTCGCTCTATATTCCCCTTGAGGCAGCAAAATCGGGGTTCCTCCCACATACCTATTGCTGAGAGAAGCCTCCTCCTGAGGTGCTTCTGGAAAGGTGGCATACGTCTTGAGCCTAAGCCAGGGAATCAGCTCTCATCTCGAGACGATTTGGGGTACACAGAGCATTCCTCGAGTTGCTGTGCTGAAGTTGGTGGTCCTCTAGACTTGGGACAGTGTTCTCGGGGCATATCTGGAGTTGCCGGAAGGAAGTCGAGCCACCGGTCGTGTTGAATGGGGAACAAGGAATGGCTCTGGAGTCAATGTAGGGGAATCCGGCCTCATCTCGAGTTGATTTGGGGCACATGGAGCAGCTTTGCATTGCTGGGTGACCTCAGGGTCTGTCTAGACTGGTGACAGTGTTCTTGGGGACTGTCTCGAGATCCATTAAGCAAGTCGAAGCTCCTGACTTGTTTGAATGGGAACACGGAATAGCTCTGCATGCACTGCAGGGGAATGGGGCCTCATCTCGCCTCTAGTGGGAAGTCTCATGGTTTTTCTCGAGTTGCGGCGGGGACCTGGGGTATGTTCTCGACTTACGGAGGGGATGGCCCTTCAAAACACGAGTTTCTTCAGTGACGTCAGGACTCCTGTCTAGTAACGAGGGATACCTCAGCAATCTCTTCGAGGCTTGGCAGGGCAAAAGGGACGCTTCTCGAGGTGAGCCAGGGCACCGAAGGACCCTTTCCAGTAGCCACAGGGATTTCGGGATTCCTATAAGTATTCAAGAGGAGTCAGGCATCGTCACCTTTTGAAGCAATGAACTCCGCGTGCCTCTCGACGTGTCAGGGGGATGTGAGGTGTTCCGTCAAAATGAGGCAGGGACCTAGGGCTTCCTCTAAGGTCTCCACAGGGGATTCAGACATCCCTTCATGTTGTGAGATCAAAGACGAGCCTGTATTCAAGCCACTGCAAGGAAAACCGGCCTCATTTCAAGTTAGGGCTTCTCGCTGTATATTCCCCTTGAGGCAGCAAACTCCGGGTCCCTCCCACATACCTATTGCTGAGAGAAGCCTCCTCCTGAGGTGCTTCTGGAAAGGTGGCATACGTCTTGAGCCTAAGCCAGGGAATCAGCTCTCATCTCGAGACGATTTGGGGTACACAGAGCATTCCTCGAGTTGCTGTGCTGAAGTTGGTGGTCCTCTAGACTTGGGACAGTGTTCTCGGGGCATCTCTGGAGTTGCCTGAAGGAAGTCGAGCCACCGGTCGCGTTGAATGGGGAACAGGGAATGGCTCTGGAGTCAATGCAGGGGAATTCGGCCTCATCTCGAGTTGATTTGGGGCACATGGAGCTGCTTTGCATTGCTGGGTGACCTCAGGGTCCGTCTAGACTGGTGACAGTGTTCTTGGGGACTGTCTCGAGATCCATTAAGCAAGTCGAATCTCCTGACTTGTTTGAATGGGATCACGGAATAGCTCTGCATGCACTGCAAGGGAATGGGGCCTCATCTCGCCTCTAGGGGGAAGTCTCATGGTTTTTCTCGAGTTGCGGCGGGGACCTGGGGTATGTTCTCGACTTACGGCAGGGATGGCCCTTCAAAACACGACTTTCTTCAGTGACGTCAGGACTCCTGCCTAGTAACGAGGGACACCTCAGCAATCTCTTCGAGGCTTGGCAGGGCAAAAGGGACGCTTCTCGAGGTGAGCCAGGGCACCCAAGGACCCTTTCCAGTAGCCACAGGGATTTTGGGATTCCTATCAGTATTCAAGAGGAGTCAGGCATCGTCACCTTTTGAAGCAATGAACTCCGCGTGCCTCTCGAGGTGTCAGCGGGATGTGAGGATTCCGTCAAAATGAGGCAGGGACCTAGGGCTTTCTCTATGGTTTCCACAGGGGATTCAGACATCCCTTCATGTTGTCATATCAAAGACAAGCCTGTATTCAAGCTACTGCAAGGAAATCCGGCCTCCTTTCAAGTTAGGGCTTCTCGCTGTATATTCCCCTTGAGGCAGCAAACTCGGAGTCCCTCCCACATACCTATTGCTGAGAAGCCTCCTCCTGAGGTGCTTCTGGAAAGGTGGCATACGTCTTGAGCCTAAGCCAGGGAATCATCTCTCATCTCGAGACGATTTGGGGTACACAGAGCATTCCTCGAGTTGCTGTGCTGAAGTTGGTGTTCCTCTAGACTTGGGACAGTGTTCTCCGGGCATCTCTGGGGTTGCCTGAAGGAAACCGAGCCACCGGTCCTGTTGAATGGGGAACGGGGAATGGCTCTGGAATCAATGCAGGGGAATCGGGCCTCATCTCGAGTTGATTTAGGGCACATGGAGCTGGTTTGCATTGCTGGGGTGACCTCAGGGTCCGTCTAGACTGGTGACAGTGTTCTTGGGGACTGTCTCGAGATCCATTAAGCAAGTCGAAGCTCCTGACTTGTTTGAATGGGATCACGGAATAGCTCTGCATGCACTGCAGGGGAATGGGGCCTCATCTCGCCTCTAGGGGGAAGTCTCATGGTTTTTCTCGAGTTGCGGCGGGGACCTGGGGTATGTTCTCGACTTACGGCGGGGATGGCCCTTCAAAACACGAGTTTCTTCAGTGACGTCAGGACTCCTGTCTAGTAACGAGGGACACCTCAGCAATCTCTTCGAGGCTTGGCAGGGCAAAAGGGACGCTTCTCGAGGTGAGCCAGGGCACCCAAGGACCCTTTCCAGTAGCCACAGGGATTTTGGGATTCCTATCAGTATTCAAGAGGAGTCAGGCATCGTCACCTTTTGAAGCAATGAACTCCGCGTGCCTCTCGAGGTGTCAGCGGGATGTGAGGATTCCGTCAAAATGAGGCAGGGACCTAGGGCTTACTCTAAGGTCTCCACAGGGGATTCAGACATCCCTTCATGTTGTGACATGAAAGACGAGCCTGTATTCAAGCCACTGCAAGGAAATCCGGCCTCCTTTCAAGTTAGGGCTTCTCGCTGTATATTCCCCTTGAGGCAGCAAACTCGGAGTCCCTCCCACATACCTATTGCTGAGAGAAGCCTCCTCCTGAGGTGCTTCTGGAAAGTTGGCATACGTCTTTAGCCTAAGCCAGGGATTCAGCTCTCATCTCGAGACGATTTGTGGTACACAGAGCATTCCTCGAGTTGCTGTGCTGAAGTTGGTGTTCCTCTAGACTTGGGACAGTGTTCTCTGGGCATCTCTGGAGTTGCCTGAATGAAGTCGAGCCACCGGTCGTGTTGAATGGGGAACGGGGAATGGCTCTGGAGTCAATGCAGGGGAATCGGGCCTCATCTCGACTTGATTTGTGGCACCTGGAGCTGCTTTGCATTGCTGGGGTGACCTCAGGGTCCGTCTAGACTGGTGACAGTGTTCTTGGGGACTGCCTCGAGATCCATTAAGCAAGTCGAAGCTCCTGACTTGTTTGAATTTGATCACGGAATACCTCTGCATGCACTGCAGGGGAATGGGGCCTCATCTCGCCTCTAGGGGGAAGTCTCATTGTTTTTCTCGAGTTGCGGCGGGGAACTGGGGTATGTTCTCAACTTACGGCGGGGATGGCCCTTCAAAACACGAGTTTCTTCAGTGAGGTCAGGACTCCTGTCTAGTAAAGAGGGACACGTCAGCAATCTCTTCGAGGCTTGGCAGGGCAAAAGGGACGCTTCTCGAGGTGAGCCAGGGCACCCAAGGACCCTTTCCATTAGCACAGGGATTTTGGGATTCCTATAAGTATTCAAGAGGAGTCAGGCATCGTCACCTTTTGAAGCTATGAACTCCGCGTGCCTCTCGAGGTGTCAGCGGGATGTGAGGATTCCGTCAAAATGAGGCAGGGACCTAGGGCTTTCTCTAAGGTCTCCACAGGGGATTCAGACATCCCTTCATGTTGTGAGATGAAAGACGAGCCTGTATTCAAGCCACTGCAAGGAAATCCGGCCTCCTTTCAAGTTAGGGCTTCTCGCTGTATATTCCCCTTGAGGCAGCAAACTCGGGGTCCCTCCCACATACCTATTGCTGAGAGAAGCCTCCTCCTGAGGTGCTTCTGGAAAGGTGGCATACGTCTTGAGCCTAAGCCAGGGAATCAGCTCTAATCTCGAGACGATTTGGGGTACACAGAGCATTCCTCGAGTTGCTGTGCTGAAGTTGGTGGTCCTCTAGACTTGGGACAGTGTTCTCGGGGCATATCTGGAGTTGCCTGAAGGAAGTCGAGCCACCGGTCGTGTTGAATGGGGAACAAGGAATGGCTCTGGAGTCAATGCAGGGGAATCCGGCCTCATCTCGAGTTGATTTGGGGCACATGGAGCTGCTTTGCATTGCTGGGTGACCTCAGGGTCCGTCTAGACTGGTGACAGTGTTCTTGGGGACTGTCTCGAAATCCATTTAGCAAGTCGAAGCTCCTGACTTGTTTGAATTGGATCATGGAATAGCTCTGCATGCACTGCAGGGGAATGGGGCCTCATCTCGCCTCTAGGGGGAAATCTCAGGTTTTTTCTCGAGTTTCGGCGGGGACCTGGGGTATGTTCTCGACTTACGGCGGGGATGGCCCTTCAAAACACGAGTTTCTTCAGTGACGTCAGGACTCCTGTCTAGTAATGAGGGACACCCCAGCAATCTCTTCGAGGCTTGGCAGGGCAAAAGGGACGCTTCTCGAGGTGAGCCAGGGCACCCAAGGACCCTTTCCAGTAGCCACAAGGATTTTGGGATTCCTATAAGTATTCAAGAGGAGTCAGGCATCGTCACCTTTTGAAGCAATGAACTCTGCGTGCCTCTCGAGGTGTCAGCGGGATGTGAGGTATTCCGTCAAAATGAGGCAGGGACCTAGGGCTTCCTCTAAGGTCTCCACAGGGGATTCAGAAATCCCTTCATGTTGTCAGATCAAAGACTAGCCTGTATTCAAGCCACTGCAAGGAAATCTGGCCTCCGCTCACATTAGCGCTTCTCCCTGTGTATTCCCCTTGAGGCAGCAAACTCGGGGTCCCTCCCACATACCTATTGCTGAGAGAAGCCTCCTCCTGAGGTGCTTCTGGAAAGGTGGCATACGTCTTGAGCCTAAGCCAGGGAATCAGCTCTCATCTCGAGATGATTTGGGGTACACGGAGCATTCCTCTGGTTGCTGTGCTTAAATTGGTGCTCCTCTAGACTTGGGACAGTGTTCTCGGGGCATCTCTGGAGTTGCCTGAAGGAAGTCGAGCCACCGGGCGTGTTGAATGGGGAACGGGGAATGGCTCTGGAGTCATTGCAGGGGAATCGGGCCTCATCTCGAGTTGATTTGGGGCACATGGAGCAGCTTTGCGTTGCTGGGGTGACCTCAGGGTCCGTCTAGACTGGTGACAGTGTTCTTGGGGACTGTCTCGAGATCCATTAAGCACGTCGAAGCTCCTGACTTGTTTGAATGGGATCACGGAATAGCTCTGCATGCACTGCAGGGGAATGGGGCCTCATCTCGCCTCTAGGGGGAAGTCTCATGGTTTTTCTCGAGTTGCGGCGGGGACCTGGGGTATGTTCTCGACTTACAGCGGGGATGGCCCTTAAAAACCCGAGTTTCTTCAGTGACGTCAGGACTCCTGTCTAGTAACGAGGGACACCTCAGGAATCTCTTCGAGGCTTGGCAGGGCAAAAGGGATGCTTCTCGAAGTGAGGCAGGGCACCCAAGGAACCTTTCCAGTAGCCACAGGGATTTTGGGATTCCTATCAGTATTCAAGAGGAGTCAGGCATCGTCACCTTTTGAAGAAATGAACTCCGCATGCCTCTCGAGCTGTCAGCGGGATGTGACGCATTCCGTCAAAATGAGGCAGGGACCTAGGGCTTTCTCTAAGGTCTTCACAGGGGATTCAGACATCCCTTCATGTTGTGAGATGAAAGACAAGCCTGTATTCAAGCTACTGCAAGGAAATCCTGCCTCCTTTCAAGTTAGGGCTTCTCGCTGTATATTCCTCTTGAGGCAGCAAACTCGGAGTCCCTCCCACATACCTATTGCTGAGAGAAGCCTCCTCCTGAGGTGCTTCTGGAAAGTTGGCATACGCCTTGAGCCTAAGCCAGGGATTCAGCTCTCATCTCGAGACGATTTGGGGTACACAGAGCATTCCTCGAGTTGCTGTGCTGAAGTTGGTGTTCCTCTACACTTGGGACAGTGTTCTCTGGGCATCTCTGGAGTTGCCTGAAGGAAGTCGAGCCACCGGTCGTGTTGAATGGGGAACGGGGAATGGCTCTGGAGTCAATGCAGGGGAATCGGGCCTCATCTCGAGTTGATTTGGGGCACATGGAACTGCTTTGCGTTGCTGGGGTGACCTCAGGGTCCGTCTAGACTGGTGACAGTGTTCTTGGGGACTGACTCGAGATCCATTAAGCAAGTCGAAGCTCCTGACTTGTTTGAATGGGATCACGGAATAGCTCTGCATGCACTGCAGGGGAATGGGGCCTCATCTCGCCTCTAGGGGGAAGTCTCATGGTTTTTCTCGAGTTGCGGCGGGGACCTGGGGTATGTTCTCGACTTACGGCGGGGATGGCCCTTCAAAACACGAGTTTCTTCAGTGACGTCAGGACTCCTGTCTAGTAATGAGGGACCACTCAGCAATCTCTTCGAGGCTTGGCAGGGCAAAAGGGACGCTTCTCGAGGTGAGCCAGGGCACCCAAGGACCCTTTCCAGTAGCCACAGGGATTTTGGGATTCCTATAAGTATTCAAGAGGAGTCAGGCATCGTCACCTTTTGAAGCAATGAACTCCGCGTGCCTCTCGAGGTGTCAGCGGGATGTGAGGATTCCATCAAAATGAGGCAGGGACCTAGGGCTTTCTCTAAGGTCTCCACAGGGGATTCAGACATCCCTTCATGTTGTGAGATGAAAGACGAGCCTGTATTCAAGCCACTGCAAGGAAATCCGGCCTCCTTTCAAGTTAGGGCTTCTCGCTCTATATTCCCCTTGAGGCAGCAAAATCGGGGTTCCTCCCACATACCTATTGCTGAGAGAAGCCTCCTCCTGAGGTTCTTCTGGAAAGGTGGCATACGTCTTGAGCCTAAGCCAGGGAATCAGCTCTCATCTCGAGACGATTTGGGGTACACAGAGCATTCCTCGAGTTGCTGTGCTGAAGTTGGTGGTCCTCTAGACTTGGGACAGTGTTCTCGGGGCATATCTGGAGTTGCCGGAAGGAAGTCGAGCCACCGGTCGTGTTGAATGGGGAACAAGGAATGGCTCTGGAGTCAATGTAGGGGAATCCGGCCTCATCTCGAGTTGATTTGGGGCACATGGAGCAGCTTTGCATTGCTGGGTGACCTCAGGGTCCGTCTAGACTGGTGACAGTGTTCTTGGGGACTGTCTCGAGATCCATTAAGCAAGTCGAAGCTCCTGACTTGTTTGAATGGGATCACGGAATAGCTCTGCATGCACTGCAGGGGAATGGGGCCTCATCTCGCCTCTAGGGGGAAGTCTCATGGTTTTTCTCGAGTTGCGGCGGGGACCTGGGGTATGTTCTCGACTTACGGCGGGGATGGCCCTTCAAAACACGAGTTTCTTCAGTGACGTCAGGACTCCTGTCTAGTAACGAGGGATACCTCAGCAATCTCTTCGAGGCTTGGCAGGGCAAAAGGGTCGCTTCTCGAGGTGAGCCAGGGCACCCAAGGACCCTTTCCAGTAGCCACAGGGATTTCGGGATTCCTATAAGTATTCAAGAGGAGTCAGGCATCGTCACCTTTTGAAGCAATGAACTCCGCGTGCCTCTCGAGGTGTCAGCGGGATGTGAGGATTCCGTCAAAATGAGGCAGGGACCTAGGGCTTTCTCTAAGGTATCCACAAGGGATTCAGACATCCCTTCATGTTGTGAGATGAAAGACGAGCCTGTATTCAAGCCACTGCAAGGAAATCCGGCCTCCTTTCAAGTTAGGGCTTCTCGCTGTATATTCCCCTTGAGGCAGCAAACTCGGGGTCCCTCCCACATACATATTGCTGAGAGAAGCCTCCTCCTGAGGTGCTTCTGGAAAGGTGGCATACGTCTTGAGCCTAAGCCAGGGAATCAGCTCTCATCTCGAGACGATTTGGGGTACACAGAGCATTCCTCGAGTTGCTGTGCTGAAGTTGGTGTTCCTCTACACTTGGGACAGTGTTCTCTGGGCATCTCTGGAGTTGCCTGAAGGAAGTCGAGCCACCGGTCTTGTTGAATGGGGAACGGGGAATGGCTCTGGAGTCAATGCAGGGGAATCGGGCCTCATCTCGAGTTGATTTAGGGCACATGGAGCTGCTTTGCGTTGCTGGGGTGACCTCAGGGTCCGTCTAGACTGGTGACAGTGATCTTGGGGACTGCCTCGAGATCCATTAAGCAAGTCGAAGCTCCTGACTTGTTTGAATGGGATCACGGAATAGCTCTGCATGCACTGCAGGGGAATGGGGCCTCATCTCGCCTCTAGGGGGAAGTCTCATGGTTTTTCTCGAGTTGCGGCGGGGAACTGGGGTATGTTCTCGACTTACGGCGGGGATGGCCCTTCAAAACACGAGTTTCTTCAGTGACGTCAGGACTCCTGTCTAGTAACGAGGGACACGTCAGCAATCTCTTCGAGGCTTGGCAGGGCAAAAGGGACGCTTCCCGAGGTGAGCCAGCGCACCCAAGGACCCTTTCCAGTAGCCACAGGGATTTTGGGATTCCTATCAGTATTCAAGAGGAGTCAGGCATCGTCACCTTTTGAAGCAATGATCTCCGCGTGCCTCTCGACGTGTCAGCGGGATGTGAGGATTCCGTCAAAATGAGGCAGGGACCTAGGGCTTTCTCTAAGGTCTCCACAGGGGATTCAGACATCCCTTCATGTTGTGAGATGAAAGACGAGCCTGTATTCAAGCCACTGCAAGGAAATCCGGCCTCCTTTCAAGTTAGGGCTTCTCGCTGTATATTCCCCTTGAGGCAGCAAACTCGGAGTCCCTCCCACATACCTATTGCTGAGAGAAGCCTCCTCCTGAGGTGCTTCTGGAAAGTTGGCATACGTCTTGAGCCTAAGCCAGGGATTCAGCTCTCATCTCGAGAGGATTTGGGGTACACAGAGCATTCCTCGAGTTGCTGTGCTGAAGTTGGTGGTCCTCTAGACTTGGGACAGTGTTCTCTGGGCATCTCTGGAGTTTCCTGAAGGAAGTCGAGCCACCGGTCGTGTTGAATGGGGAATGGGGAATGGCTCTGGAGTCAATGCAGGGGAATCGGGCCTCATCTCGAGTTGATTTGTGGCACCTGGAGCTGCTTTGCGTTGCTGGGGTGACCTCAGGGTCCATCTAGACTGGTGACAGTGTTCTTGGGGACTGCCTCGAGATCCATTAAGGAAGTCGAAGCTCCTGACTTGTTTGAATGGGATCACGGAATAGCTCTGCATGCACTGCATTGGAATGGGGCCTCATCTCGCCTCTAGGGGGAAGTCTCATGGTTTTTCTCGAGTTGCGGCGGGGACCTGGGGTATGTTCTCGACTTACGGCGGGGATGGCCCTTCAAAACACGACTTTCTTCAGTGACGTCAGGACTCCTGTCTAGTAATGAGGGACACCTCAGCAATCTCTTCGAGGCTTGGCAGGGCAAAAGGGACACTTCTCGAGGTGAGCCAGGGCACCCATGGACCCTTTCCAGTAGCCACAGGGATTTTGGGATTCCTATAAGTATTCAAGAGGAGTCAGGCATCGTCACCTTTTGAAGCAATGAACTCTGCGTGCCTCTCGAGGTGTCAGGGGGATGTGAGGTGTTCCGTCAAAATGAGGCAGGGACCTAGGGCTTCCTCTAAGGTCTCCACAGGGGATTCAGACATCCCTTCATGTTGTGAGATCAAAGACGAGCCTGTATTCAAGCCACTGCAAGGAAATCTGGCCTCCTTTCAAGTTAGGGCTTCTCCCTGTGTATTCCCCTTGAGGCAGCAAACTCGGGGTCCCTCCCACATACCTATTGCTGAGAGAAGCCTCCTCATGCGGTGCTTCTGGAAAGTTGGCATACGTCTTGAGCCTAAGCCAGGGAATCAGCTTTCATCTCGAGATAATTTGGGATACACGGAGCATTCCTCGAGTTGCTGTGCTGAAGTTGGTGTTCCTCTAGACTTGGGACAGTGTTCTCGGGGCATCTCTGGAGTTGCCTGAAGGAAGTCGAGCCACCGGTCGTGTTAAATGGGGAACGGGGAATGGCTCTGGAGTCAATGCAGTGGAAGCGGGCTTCATCTCGAGTTGATTTGGGGCACATGGAGCAGCTTTGCGTTGCTGGGGTGACCTCAGGGTCCGTCTAGACTGGTGACAGTGTTCTTGGGGACTGTCTCGAGATCCATTAAGCAAGTCGAAGCTCCTGACTTGTTTGAATGGGATCACGGAATAGCTCTGCATGCACTGCAGGGGAATGGGGCCTCATCTCGCCTCTAGGGGGAAGTCTCATGGTTTTTCTCGAGTTGCGGCGGGGACCTGGGGTATGTTCTCGACTTACGGCGGGGATGGCCCTTCAAAACAGGAGTTTCTTCAGTGACGTCAGGACTCCTGTCTAGTAACGAGGGACACCTCAGCAATCTCTTCGAGGCTTGGCAGGGCAAAAGGGACGCTTCTCGAGGTGAGCCAGGGCACCCAAGGACCCTTTCCAGTAGCCACAGGGATTTTGGGATTCCTATCAGTATTCAAGAGGAGTCAGGCATCGTCACCTTTTGAAGCAATGAACTCCGCGTGCCTCTCGACGTGTCAGGGGGATGTGAGGTGTTCCGTCAAAATGAGGCAGGGACCTAGGGCTTCCTCTAAGGTCTCCACAGGGGATTCAGACATCCCTTCATGTTGTGAGATCAAAGACGAGCCTGTATTCAAGCCACTGCAAGGAAAACCGGCCTCATTTCAAGTTAGGGCTTCTCGCTGTATATTCCCCTTGAGGCAGCAAACTCCGGGTCCCTCCCACATACCTATTGCCGAGAGAAGCCTCCTCCTGAGGTGCTTCTGGAAAGGTGGCATACGTCTTGAGCCTAAGCCAGGGAATCAGCTCTCATCTCGAGACGATTTGGGGTACACAGAGCATTCCTCGAGTTGCTGTGCTGAAGTTGGTGGTCCTCTAGACTTGGGACAGTGTTCTCGGGGCATCTCTGGAGTTGCCTGAAGGAAGTCGAGCCACCAGTCGCGTTGAATGGGGAACAGGGAATGGCTCTGGAGTCAATGCAGGGGAATTCGGCCTCATCTCGAGTTGATTTGGGGCACATGGAGCTGCTTTGCATTGCTGGGTGACCTCAGGGTCCGTCTAGACTTGTGACAGTGTTCTTGGGGACTGTCTCGAGATCCATTAAGCAAGTCGAAGCTCCTGACTTGTTTGAATGGGATCACGGAATAGCTCTGCATGCACTGCAAGGGAATGGGGCCTCATCTCGCCTCTAGGGGGAAGTCTCATGGTTTTTCTCGAGTTGCGGCGGGGACCTGGGGTATGTTCTCGACTTACGGCGGGGATGGCCCTTCAAGACACGAGTTTCTTCAGTGACGTCAGGACTCCTGCCTAGTAACGAGGGACACCTCAGCAATCTCTTCGAGGCTTGGCAGGGCAAAAGGGACGCTTCTCGAGGTGAGCCAGGGCACCCAAGGACCCTTTCCAGTAGCCACAGGGATTTTGGGATTCCTATCAGTATTCAAGAGGAGTCAGGCATCGTCACCTTTTGAAGCAATGAACTCCGCGTGCCTCTCGACGTGTCAGCGGGATGTGAGGATTCCGTCAAAATGAGGCAGGGACCTAGGGCTTTCTCTAAGGTCTCCACAGGGGATTCAGACATCCCTTCATGTTGTCATATCAAAGACAAGCCTGTATTCAAGCTACTGCAAGGAAATCCGGCCTCCTTTCAAGTTAGGGCTTCTCGCTGTATATTCCCCTTGAGGCAGCAAACTCGGAGTCCCTCCCACATACCTATTGCTGAGAAGCCTCCTCCTGAGGTGCTTCTGGAAAGGTGGCATACGTCTTGAGCCTAAGCCAGGGAATCAGCTCTCATCTCGAGACGATTTGGGGTACACAGAGCATTCCTCGAGTTGCTGTGCTGAAGTTGGTGTTCCTCTAGACTTTGGACAGTGTTCTCGGGGCATCTCTGGGGTTGCCTGAAGGAAACCGAGCCACCGGTCCTGTTGAATGGGGAACGGGGAATGGCTCTGGAATGAATGCAGGGGAATCGGGCCACATCTCGAGTTGATTTAGGGCACATGGAGCTGGTTTGCATTGCTGGGGTGACCTCAGGGTCCGTCTAGATTGGTGACAGTGTTCTTGGGGACTGTCTCGAGATCCATTAAGCAAGTCGAAGCTCCTGACTTGTTTGAATGGGATCACGGAATAGCTCTGCATGCACTGCAGGGGAATGGGGCCTCATCTCGCCTCTAGGGGGAAGTCTCATGGTTTTTCTCGAGTTGCGGCGGGGACCTGGGGTATGTTCTCGACTTACGGCAGGGATGGCCCTTCAAAACACGACTTTCTTCAGTGACGTCAGGACTCCTGCCTAGTAACGAGGGACACCTCAGGAATCTCTTCGAGTCTTGGCAGGGCAAAGGGACGCTTCTCGAGGTGAGCCAGGGCACCCAAGGACCCTTTCCAGTAGCCACAGGGATTTTGGGATTCCTATCAGTATTCAAGAGGAGTCAGGCATCGTCACCTTTTGAAGCAATGAACTCCGCGTGCCTCTCGAGGTGTCAGCGGGATGTGAGGCATTCCGTCAACATGAGGCAGGGACCTAGGGCTTTCTCTAAGGTCTCCACAGGGGATTCAGACATCCCTTCATGTTGTGAGATGAAAGACAAGCCTGTATTCAAGCTACTGCAAGGAAATCCGGCCTCCTTTCAAGTTAGGGCTTCTCGCTGTATATTCCCCTTGAGGCAGCAAACTCGGAGTCCCTCCCACATACCTATTGCTGAGAAGCCTCCTCCTGAGGTGCTTCTGGAAATTTGGCATACGTCTTGAGCCTAAGCCAGGGAATCAGCTCTCATCTCGAGATGATTTGGGGTACACGGAGCATTCCTCGAGTTGCTGTGCTGAAGTTGGTGTTCCTCTAGACTTGGGACAGTGTTCTCGGGGCATCTCTGGAGTTGCCTGAAGGAAACCGAGCCACCGGTCCTCTTGAATGGGGAACGGGGAATGGCTCTGGAATCAATGCAGTGGAATCGGGCCTCATCTCGAGTTGATTTAGGGCACATGGAGCTGGTTTGCGTTGCTGGGGTGACCTCAGGGTCCGTCTAGACTGGTGACAGTGTTCTTGGGGACTGTCTCGAGATCCATTAAGCAAGTCGAAGCTCCTGACTTGTTTGAATGGGATCACGGAATAGCTCTGCATGCACTGCAGGGGAATGGGGCCTCATCTCGCCTCTAGGGGGAAGTCTCATGGTTTTTCTCGAGTTGCGGCGGGGACCTGGGTATGTTCTCGACTTACGGCGGGGACGGCCCTTCAAAACACGAGTTTCTTCAGTGACGTCAGGACTCCTGTCTAGTAACGAGGGACACCTCAGCAATCTCTTCGAGGCTTGACAGGGCAAAAGGGACGCTTCTCGAGGTGAGCCAGGGCACCCAAGGACCCTTTCCAGTAGCCACAGGGATTTTGGGATTCCTATCAGTATTCAAGAGGAGTCAGGCATCGTCACCTTTTGAAGAAATGAACTCCGCATGCCTCTCGAGCTGTCAGCGGGATGTGAGGCATTCCGTCAAAATGAGGCAGGGACCTAGGGCTTTCTCTAAGGTCTTCACAGGGGATTCAGACATCCCTTCATGTTGTGAGATGAAAGACAAGCCTGTATTCAAGCTACTGCAAGGAAATCCTGCCTCCTTTCAAGTTAGGGCTTCTCGCTGTATATTCCCCTTGAGGCAGCAAACTCGGAGTCCCTCCCACATACCTATTGCTGAGAGAAGCCTCCTCCTGAGGTGCTTCTGGAAAGTTGGCATACGCCTTGAGCCTAAGCCAGGGATTCAGCTCTCATCTCGAGACGATTTGGGGTACACAGAGCATTCCTCGAGTTGCTGTGCTGAAGTTGGTGTTCCTCTACACTTGGGACAGTGTTCTCTGGGCATCTCTGGAGTCGAGCCACCGCTCGTGTTGAATGGGGAACGGGGAATGGCTCTGGAGTCAATGCAGGGGAATCGGGCCTCATCTCGACTTGATTTGTGGCACCTGGAGCTGCTTTGCGTTGCTGGGGTGACCTCAGGGTCCGTCTAGACTGGTGACAGTGTTCTTGGGGACTGTCTCGAGATCCATTAAGCAAGTCGAAGCTCCTGACTTGTTTGAATTTGATCACGGAATACCTCTGCATGCACTGCAGGGGAATGGGGCCTCATCTCGCCTCTAGGGGGAAGTCTCATGGTTTTTCTCGAGTTGCGGCGGGGAACTGGGGTATGTTCTCAACTTACGGCGGGGATGGCCCTTCAAAACACGAGTTTCTTCAGTGACGTCAGGACTCCTGTCTAGTAACGAGGGACACGTCAGCAATCTCTTCGAGGCTTGGCAGGGCAAAAGGGACGCTTCTCGAGGTGAGCCAGGGCACCCAAAGGCCCTTTCCAGTAGCCACAGGGATTTTGGGATTCCTATAAGTATTCAAGAGGAGTCAGGCATCGTCACCTTTTGAAGCTATGAACTCCGCGTGCCTCTCGAGGTGTCAGCGGGATGTGAGGATTCCGTCAAAATGAGGCAGGGACCTAGGGCTTTCTCTAAGGTCTCCACAGGGGATTCAGACATCCCTTCATGTTGTGAGATGAAAGACGAGCCTGTATTCAAGCCACTAGAAGGAAATCCGGCCTCCTTTCAAGTTAGGGCTTCTCGCTGTATATTCCCCTTGAGGCAGCAAACTCGGGGTCCCTCCCACATACCTATTGCTGAGAGAAGCCTCCTCCTGAGGTGCTTCTGGAAAGGTGGCATACGTCTTGAGCCTAAGCCAGGGAATCAGCTCTAATCTCGAGACGATTTGGGGTACACAGAGCATTCCTCGAGTTGCTGTGCTGAAGTTGGTGGTCCTCTAGACTTGGGACAGTGTTCTCGGGGCATATCTGGAGTTGCCTGAAGGAAGTCGAGCCACCGGTCGTGTTGAATGGGGAACAAGGAATGGCTCTGGAGTCAATGCAGGGGAATCCGGCCTCATCTCGAGTTGATTTGGGGCACATGGAGCTGCTTTGCATTGCTGGGTGACCTCAGGGTCCGTCTAGACTGGTGACAGTGTTCTTGGGGACTGTCTCGAGATCCATTTAGCAAGTCGAAGCTCCTGACTTGTTTGAATTGGATCATGGAATAGCTCTGCATGCACTGCAGGGGAATGGGGCCTCATCTCGCCTCTAGGGGTAAATCTCAGGTTTTTTCTCGAGTTTCGGCGGGGACCTGGGGTATGTTCTCGACTTACGGCGGGGATGGCCCTTCAAAACACGAGTTTCTTCAGTGACGTCAGGACTCCTGTCTAGTAATGAGGGACACCTCAGCAATCTCTTCGAGGCTTGGCAGGGCAAAAGGGACGCTTCTCGAGGTGAGCCAGGGCACCCAAGGACCCTTTCCAGTAGCCACAGGGATTTTGGTATTCCTATCAGTATTCAAGAGGAGTCAGGCATCGTCACCTTTCGAAGCTATGAACTCCGCGTGCCTCTCGAGGTGTCATCGGGATGTGAGGATTCCGTCAAAATGAGGCAGGGACCTAGGGCTTTCTCTAAGGTCTCCACAGGGGATTCAGACATCCCTTCATGTTGTGAGATGAAAGACGAGCCTGTATTCAAGCCACTGCAAGGAAATCCGGCCTCCTTTCAAGTTAGGGCTTCTCGCTGTATATTCCCCTTGAGGCAGCAAACTCGGGGTCCCTCCCACATACCTATTGCTGAGAGAAGCCTCCTCCTGAGGTGCTTCTGGAAAGGTGGCATACGTCTTGAGCCTAAGCCAGGGAATCAGCTCTAATCTCGAGACGATTTGGGGTACACAGAGCATTCCTCGAGTTGCTGTGCTGAAGTTGGTGGTCCTCTAGACTTGGGACAGTGTTCTCGGGGCATATCTGGAGTTGCCTGAAGGAAGTCGAGCCACCGGTCGTGTTGAATGGGGAACAAGGAATGGCTCTGGAGTCAATGCAGGGGAATCCGGCCTCATCTCGAGTTGATTTGGGGCACATGGAGCTGCTTTGCATTGCTGGGTGACCTCAGGGTCCGTCTAGACTGGTGACAGTGTTCTTGGGGACTGTCTCGAGATCCATTTAGCAAGTCGAAGCTCCTGACTTGTTTGAATTGGATCATGGAATAGCTCTGCATGCACTGCAGGGGAATGGGGCCTCATCTCGCCTCTAGGGGGAAGTCTCATGGTTTTTCTCGAGTTGCGGCGGGGACCTGGGGTATGTTCTCGACTTACGGCGGGGATGGCCTTTCAAAACACGAGTTTCTTCCGTGACGTCAGGACTCCTGTCTAGTAACGAGGGACACCTCAGCAATCTCTTCGAGGCTTGGCAGGGCAAAAGGGACGCTTCTCGAGGTGAGCCAGGGCACCCAAGGACCCTTTCCAGTAGCCACAGGGATTTTGGGATTCTTATCAGTATTCAAGAGGAGTCAGGCATCGTCACCTTTTGAAGCAATGTACTCCGCGTGCCTCTCGACGTGTCAGGGGATGTGAGGTGTTCCGTCAAAATGAGGCAGGGACCTAGGGCTTCCTCTAAGGTCTCCACAGGGGATTCAGACATCCCTTCATGTTGTGAGATGAAAGACGAGCCTGTATTCAAGCCACTGCAAGGAAAACCGGCCTCATTTCAAGTTAGGGCTTCTCGCTGTATATTCCCCTTGAGGCAGCAAACTCCGGGTCCCTCCCACATACCTATTGCTGAGAGAAGCCTCCTCCTGAGGTGCTTCTGGAAAGGTGGCATACGTCTTGAGCCTAAGCCAGGGAATCAGCTCTCATCTCGAGACGATTTGGGGTACACAAAGCATTCCTCGAGTGGCTGTGCTGAAGTTGGTGGTCCTCTAGACTTGGGACAGTGTTCTCGGGGCATCTCTGGAGTTGCCTGAAGGAAGTCGAGCCACCGGTCGCGTTGAATGGGGAACAGGGAATGGCTCTGGAGTCAATGCAGGGGAATTCGGCCTCATCTCGAGTTGATTTGGGGCACATGGAGCTGCTTTGCATTGCTGGGTGACCTCAGGGTCCGTCTAGACTGGTGACAGTGTTCTTGGGGACTGTCTCGAGATCCATTAAGCAAGTCGAAGCTCCTGACTTGTTTGAATGGGATCACGGAATAGCTCTGCATGCACTGCAGGGGAATGGGGCCTCATCTCGCCTCTAGGGGGAAGTCTCATGGTTTTTCTCGAGTTGCGGCGGGGACCTGGGGTATGTTCTCGACTTACGGCAGGGATGGCCCTTCAAAACACGACTTTCTTCAGTGACGTCAGGACTCCTGCCTAGTAACGAGGGACACCTCAGCAATCTCTTCGAGGCTTGGCAGGGCAAAAGGGACGCTTCTCGAGGTGAGCCAGGGCACCCAAGGACCCTTTCCAGTAGCCACAGGGATTTTGGTATTCCTATCAGTATTCAAGAGGAGTCAGGCATCGTCACCTTTTGAAGCAATGAACTCCGCGTGCCTCTCGAGGTGTCAGCGGGATGTGAGGCATTCCGTCAAAATGAGGCAGGGACCTAGGGCTTTCTCTAAGGTCTCCACAGGGGATTCAGACATCCCTTCATGTTGTCATATCAAAGACAAGCCTGTATTCAAGCTACTGCAAGGAAATCCGGCCTCCTTTCAAGTTAGGGCTTCTCGCTGTATATTCCCCTTGAGGCAGCAAACTCGGAGTCCCTCCCACATACCTATTGCTGAGAAGCCTCCTCCTGAGGTGCTTCTGGAAAGTTGGCATACGTCTTGAGCCTAAGCCAGGGAATCAGCTCTCATCTCGAGACGATTTGGGGTACACAGAGCATTCCTCGAGTTGCTGTGCTGAAGTTGGTGTTCCTCTAGACTTGGGACAGTGTTCTCGGGGCATCTCTGGAGTTGCCTGAAGGAAACCGAGCCACCGGTCCTGTTGAATGGGGAACGGGGAATGGCTCTGGAATCAATGCAGGGGAATCGGGCCTCATCTCGAGTTGATTTAGGGCACATGGAGCTGGTTTGCGTTGCTGGGGTGACCTCAGGGTCCGTCTAGACTGGTGACAGTGTTCTTGGGGACTGTCTCGAGATCCATTAAGCAAGTCGAAGCTCCTGACTTGTTTGAATGGGATCACGGAATAGCTCTGCATGCACTGCAGGGGAATGGGGCCTCATCTCGCCTCTAGGGGGAAGTCTCATGGTTTTTCTCGAGTTGCGGTGGGGACCTGGGGTATGTTCTCGACTTACGGCGGGGACGGCCCTTCAAAACACGAGTTTCTTCAGTGACGTCAGGACTCCTGTCTAGTAACGAGGGACACCTCAGCAATCTCTTCGAGGCTTGGCAGGGCAAAAGGGACGCTTCTCGAGGTGAGCCAGGGCACCCAAGGACCCTTTCCAGTAGCCACAGGGATTTTGGGATTCCTATCAGTATTCAAGAGGAGTCAGGCATCGTCACCTTTCGAAGCTATGAACTCCGCGTGCCTCTCGAGGTGTCATCGGGATGTGAGGATTCCGTCAAAATGAGGCAGGGACCTAGGGCTTTCTCTAAGGTCTCCACAGGGGATTCAGACATCCCTTTATGTTGTGAGATGAAAGACGAGCCTGTATTCAAGCCACTGCAAGGAAATCCGGCCTCCTTTCAAGTTAGGGCTTCTCGCTGTATATTCCCCTTGAGGCAGCAAACTCGGGGTCCCTCCCACATACCTATTGCTGAGAGAAGCCTCCTCCTGAGGTGCTTCTGGAAAGGTGGCATACGTCTTGAGCCTAAGCCAGGGAATCAGCTCTAATCTCGAGACGATTTGGGGTACACAGAGCATTCCTCGAGTTGCTGTGCTGAAGTTGGTGGTCCTCTAGACTTGGGACAGTGTTCTCGGGGCATATCTGGAGTTGCCTGAAGGAAGTCGAGCCACCGGTCGTGTTGAATGGGGAACAAGGAATGGCTCTGGAGTCAATGCAGGGGAATCCGGCCTCATCTCGAGTTGATTTGGGGCACATGGAGCTGCTTTGCATTGCTGGGTGACCTCAGGGTCCGTCTAGACTGGTGACAGTGTTCTTGGGGACTGTCTCGAGATCCATTTAGCAAGTCGAAGCTCCTGACTTGTTTGAATTGGATCATGGAATAGCTCTGCATGCACTGCAGGGGAATGGGGCCTCATCTCGCCTCTAGGGGGAAGTCTCATGGTTTTTCTCGAGTTGCGGCGGGGACCTGGGGTATGTTCTCGACTTACGGCGGGGATGGCCTTTCAAAACACGAGTTTCTTCCGTGACGTCAGGACTCCTGTCTAGTAACGAGGGACACCTCAGCAATCTCTTCGAGGCTTGGCAGGGCAAAAGGGACGCTTCTCGAGGTGAGCCAGGGCACCCAAGGACCCTTTCCAGTAGCCACAGGGATTTTGGGATTCTTATCAGTATTCAAGAGGAGTCAGGCATCGTCACCTTTTGAAGCAATGTACTCCGCGTGCCTCTCGACGTGTCAGGGGATGTGAGGTGTTCCGTCAAAATGAGGCAGGGACCTAGGGCTTCCTCTAAGGTCTCCACAGGGGATTCAGACATCCCTTCATGTTGTGAGATGAAAGACGAGCCTGTATTCAAGCCACTGCAAGGAAAACCGGCCTCATTTCAAGTTAGGGCTTCTCGCTGTATATTCCCCTTGAGGCAGCAAACTCCGGGTCCCTCCCACATACCTATTGCTGAGAGAAGCCTCCTCCTGAGGTGCTTCTGGAAAGGTGGCATACGTCTTGAGCCTAAGCCAGGGAATCAGCTCTCATCTCGAGACGATTTGGGGTACACAAAGCATTCCTCGAGTGGCTGTGCTGAAGTTGGTGGTCCTCTAGACTTGGGACAGTGTTCTCGGGGCATCTCTGGAGTTGCCTGAAGGAAGTCGAGCCACCGGTCGCGTTGAATGGGGAACAGGGAATGGCTCTGGAGTCAATGCAGGGGAATTCGGCCTCATCTCGAGTTGATTTGGGGCACATGGAGCTGCTTTGCATTGCTGGGTGACCTCAGGGTCCGTCTAGACTGGTGACAGTGTTCTTGGGGACTGTCTCGAGATCCATTAAGCAAGTCGAAGCTCCTGACTTGTTTGAATGGGATCACGGAATAGCTCTGCATGCACTGCAGGGGAATGGGGCCTCATCTCGCCTCTAGGGGGAAGTCTCATGGTTTTTCTCGAGTTGCGGCGGGGACCTGGGGTATGTTCTCGACTTACGGCAGGGATGGCCCTTCAAAACACGACTTTCTTCAGTGACGTCAGGACTCCTGCCTAGTAACGAGGGACACCTCAGCAATCTCTTCGAGGCTTGGCAGGGCAAAAGGGACGCTTCTCGAGGTGAGCCAGGGCACCCAAGGACCCTTTCCAGTAGCCACAGGGATTTTGGTATTCCTATCAGTATTCAAGAGGAGTCAGGCATCGTCACCTTTTGAAGCAATGAACTCCGCGTGCCTCTCGAGGTGTCAGCGGGATGTGAGGCATTCCGTCAAAATGAGGCAGGGACCTAGGGCTTTCTCTAAGGTCTCCACAGGGGATTCAGACATCCCTTCATGTTGTCATATCAAAGACAAGCCTGTATTCAAGCTACTGCAAGGAAATCCGGCCTCCTTTCAAGTTAGGGCTTCTCGCTGTATATTCCCCTTGAGGCAGCAAACTCGGAGTCCCTCCCACATACCTATTGCTGAGAAGCCTCCTCCTGAGGTGCTTCTGGAAAGTTGGCATACGTCTTGAGCCTAAGCCAGGGAATCAGCTCTCATCTCGAGACGATTTGGGGTACACAGAGCATTCCTCGAGTTGCTGTGCTGAAGTTGGTGTTCCTCTAGACTTGGGACAGTGTTCTCGGGGCATCTCTGGAGTTGCCTGAAGGAAACCGAGCCACCGGTCCTGTTGAATGGGGAACGGGGAATGGCTCTGGAATCAATGCAGGGGAATCGGGCCTCATCTCGAGTTGATTTAGGGCACATGGAGCTGGTTTGCGTTGCTGGGGTGACCTCAGGGTCCGTCTAGACTGGTGACAGTGTTCTTGGGGACTGTCTCGAGATCCATTAAGCAAGTCGAAGCTCCTGACTTGTTTGAATGGGATCACGGAATAGCTCTGCATGCACTGCAGGGGAATGGGGCCTCATCTCGCCTCTAGGGGGAAGTCTCATGGTTTTTCTCGAGTTGCGGTGGGGACCTGGGGTATGTTCTCGACTTACGGCGGGGACGGCCCTTCAAAACACGAGTTTCTTCAGTGACGTCAGGACTCCTGTCTAGTAACGAGGGACACCTCAGCAATCTCTTCGAGGCTTGGCAGGGCAAAAGGGACGCTTCTCGAGGTGAGCCAGGGCACCCAAGGACCCTTTCCAGTAGCCACAGGGATTTTGGGATTCCTATCAGTATTCAAGAGGAGTCAGGCATCGTCACCTTTTGAAGCAATGAACTCCGCGTGCCTCTCGACGTGTCAGCGGGATGTGAGGATTCCGTCAAAATGAGGCAGGGACCTAGGGCTTTCTCTAAGGTCTCCACAGGGGATTCAGACATCCCTTCATGTTGTGAGATGAAAGACGAGCCTGTATTCAAGCCACTGCAAGGAAATCCGGCCTCCTTTCAAGTTAGGGCTTCTCGCTGTATATTCCCCTTGAGGCAGCAAACTCGGAGTCCCTCCCACATACCTATTCCTGAGAGAAGCCTCCTCCTGAGGTGCTTCTGGAAAGTTGGCATACGTCTTGAGCCTAAGCCAGGGATTCAGCTCTCATCTCGAGACGATTTGGGGTACACAGAGCATTCCTCGAGTTGCTGTGCTGAAGTTGGTGTTACTCTAGACTTGGGACAGTGTTCTCTGGGCATCTCTGGAGTTGCCTGAAGGAAGTCGAGCCACCGGTCTTGTTGAATGGGGAACGGGGAATGGCTCTGGAGTCAATGCAGGGGAATCGGGCCTCATATCGAGTTGATTTGGGGCACATGGAGCTGGTTTGCGTTGCTGGGGTGACCTCAGGGTCCGTCTAGACTGGTGACAGTGTTCTTGGGGACTGTCTCGAGATCCATTAAGCAAGTCGAAGCTCCTGACTTGTTTGAATGGGATCACGGAATAGCTCTGCATGCACTGCAGGGGAATGGGGCCTCATCTCGCCTCTAGGGGGAAGTCTCATGGTTTTTCTCGAGTTGCGGCGGGGACCTGGGGTATGTTCTCGACTTACGGCGGGGATGGCCCTTCAAAACACGAGTTTCTTCCGTGACGTCAGGACTCCTGTCTAGTAACGAGGGACACCTCAGCAATCTCTTCGAGGCTTGGCAGGGCAAAAGGGACGCTTCTCGAGGTGAGCCAGGGCACCCAAGGACCCTTTCCAGTAGCCACAGGGATTTTGGGATTCCTATCAGTATTCAAGAGGAGTCAGGCATCGTCACCTTCTGAAGCAATGAACTCCGCGTGCCTCTCGAGGTGTCAGCGGGATGTGAGGATTCCGTCAAAATGAGGCAGGGACCTAGGGCTTTCTCTAAGGTCTCCACAGGGGATTCAGACATCCCTTCATGTTGTGAGATGAAAGACGAGCCTGTATTCAAGCCACTGCAAGGAAATCCGGCCTCCTTTCAAGTTAGGGCTTCTCGCTGTATATTCCCCTTGAGGCAGCAAACTCGGAGTCCCTCCCACATACCTATTGCTGAGAGAAGCCTCCTCCTGAGGTGCTTCTGGAAAGTTGGCATACGTCTTGAGCCTAAGCCAGGGATTCAGCTCTCATCTCGAGACGATTTGGGGTACACAGAGCATTCCTCGAGATGCTGTGCTGAAGTTGGTGTTCCTCTAGACTTGGGACAGTGTTCTCTGGGCATCTCTGGAGTTGCCTGAAGGAAGTCGAGCCACCGGTCTTGTTGAATGGGGAACGGGGAATGGCTCTGGAGTCAATGCAGGGGAATCGGGCCTCATCTCGAGTTGATTTGTGGCACCTGGAGCTGCTTTGCATTGCTGGGGTGACCTCAGGGTCCGTCTAGACTGGTGACAGTGATCTTGGGGACTGCCTCGAGATCCATTAAGCAAGTCGAAGCTCCTGACTTGTTTGAATGGGATCACGGAATAGCTCTGCATGCACTGCAGGGGAATGGGGCCTCATCTCGCCTCTAGGGGGAAGTCTCATGGTTTTTCTCGAGTTGCGGCGGGGAACTGGGGTATGTTCTCGACTTACGGCGGGGATGGCCCTTCAAAACACGAGTTTCTTCAGTGACGTCAGGACTCCTGTCTAGTAACGAGGGACACGTCAGCAATCTCTTCGAGGCTTGGCAGGGCAAAAGGGACGCTTCTCGAGGTGAGCCAGGGCACCCAAGTACCCTTTCCAGTAGCCACAGGGATTTTGGGATTCCTATAAGTATTCAAGAGGAGTCAGGCATCGTCACCTTTTGAAGCTATGAACTCCGCGTGCCTCTCGAGGTGTCAGCAGGATGTGAGGATTCCGTCAAAATGAGGCAGGGACCTAGGGCTTTCTCTAAGGTCTCCACAGGGGATTCAGACATCCCTTCATGTTGTGAGATGAAAGACGAGCCTGTATTCAAGCCACTGCAAGGAAATCCGGCCTCCTTTCAAGTTAGGGCTTCTCGCTGTATATTCCCCTTGAGGCAGCAAACTCGGGGTCCCTCCCACATACCTATTGCTGAGAGAAGCCTCCTCCTGAGGTGCTTCTGGAAAGGTGGCATACGTCTTGAGCCTAAGCCAGGGAATCAGCTCTAATCTCGAGACGATTTGGGGTACACAGAGCATTCCTCGAGTTGCTGTGCTGAAGTTGGTGGTCCTCTAGACTTGGGACAGTGTTCTCGGGGCATATCTGGAGTTGCCTGAAGGAAGTCGAGCCACCGGTCGTGTTGAATGGGGAACAAGGAATGGCTCTGGAGTCAATGCAGGGGAATCCGGCCTCATCTCGAGTTGATTTGGGGCACATGGAGCTGCTTTGCATTGCTGGGTGACCTCAGGGTCCGTCTAGACTGGTGACAGTGTTCTTGGGGACTGTCTCGAAATCCATTTAGCAAGTCGAAGCTCCTGACTTGTTTGAATTGGATCATGGAATAGCTCTGCATGCACTGCAGGGGAATGGGGCCTCATCTCGCCTCTAGGGGGAAATCTCAGGTTTTTTCTCGAGTTTCGGCGGGGACCTGGGGAATGTTCTCGACTTACGGCGGGGATGGCCCTTCAAAACACGAGTTTCTTCAGTGACGTCAGGACTCCTGTCTAGTAATGAGGGACACCTCAGCAATCTCTTCGAGGCTTGGCAGGGCAAAAGGGACGCTTCTCGAGGTGAGCCAGGGCACCCAAGGACCCTTTCCAGTAGCCACAGGGATTTTGGGATTCCTATCAGTATTCAAGAGGAGTCAGGCATCGTCACCTTTTGAAGCAATGAACTCTGCGTGCCTCTCGAGGTGTCAGCGGGATGTGAGGTATTCCGTCAAAATGAGGCAGGGACCTAGGGCTTCCTCTAAGGTCTCCACAGGGGCTTCAGAAATCCCTTCATGTTGTCAGATCAAAGACGAGCCTGTATTCAAGCCACTGCAAGGAAATCTGGCCTCCGCTCACATTAGCGCTTCTCCCTGTGTATTCCCCTTGAGGCAGCAAACTCGGGGTCCCTCCCACATACCTATTGCTGAGAGAAGCCTCCTCCTGAGGTGCTTCTGGAAAGTTGGCATACGTCTTGAGCCTAAGCCAGGGAATCAGCTCTCATCTCGAGATGATTTGGGGTACACGGAGCATTCCTCTGGTTGCTGTGCTGAAATTGGTGCTCCTCTAGACTTGGGACAGTGTTCTCGGGGCATCTCTGGAGTTGCCTGAAGGAAGTCGAGCCACCGGGCGTGTTGAATGGGGAACGGGGAATGGCTCTGGAGTCAATGCAGGGGAATCGGGCCTCATCTCGAGTTGATTTGGGGCACATGGAGCAGCTTTGCGTTGCTGGGGTGACCTCAGGGTCCGTCTAGACTGGTGACAGTGTTCTTGGGGACTGTCTCGAGATCCATTAAGCACGTCGAAGCTCCTGACTTGTTTGAATGGGATCACGGAATAGCTCTGCATGCACTGCAGGGGAATGGGGCCTCATCTCGCCTCTAGGGGGAAGTCTCATGGTTTTTCTCGAGTTTCGGCGGGGACCTGGGGTATGTTCTCGACTTACGGCGGGGATGGCTCTTAAAAACCCGAGTTTCTTCAGTGACGTCAGGACTCCTGTCTAGTAACGAGGGACACCTCAGGAATCTCTTCGAGGCTTGGCAGGGCAAAAGGGACGCTTCTCGAAGTGAGGCAGGGCACCCAAGGAACCTTTCCAGTAGCCACAGGGATTTTGGGATTCCTATCAGTATTCAAGAGGAGTCAGGCATCGTCACCTTTTGAAGAAATGAACTCCGCATGCCTCTCGAGCTGTCAGCGGGATGTGAGGCATTCCGTCAAAATGAGGCAGGGACCTAGGGCTTTCTCTAAGGTCTTCACAGGGGATTCAGACATCCCTTCATGTTGTGAGATGAAAGACAAGCCTGTATTCAAGCTACTGCAAGGAAATCCTGCCTCCTTTCAAGTTAGGGCTTCTCGCTGTATATTCCCCTTGAGGCAGCAAACTCGGAGTCCCTCCCACATACCTATTGCTGAGAGAAGCCTCCTCATGCGGTGCTTCTGGAAAGTTGGCATACGCCTTGAGCCTAAGCCAGGGATTCAGCTCTCATCTCGAGACGATTTGGGGTACACAGAGCATTCCTCGAGTTGCTGTGCTGAAGTTGGTGTTCCTCTAGACTTGGGACAGTGTTCTCTGGGCATCTCTGGAGTTGCCTGAAGGAAGTCGAGCCACCGGTCGTGTTGAATGGGGAACGGGGAATGGCTCTGGAGTCAATGCAGGGGAATCAGGCCTCATCTCGACTTGATTTGTGGCACCTGGAGCTGCTTTGCGTTGCTGCGGTGACCTCAGGGTCCGTCTAGACTGGTGACAGTGTTCTTGGGGACTGACTCGAGATCCATTAAGCAAGTCGAAGCTCCTGACTTGTTTGAATGGGATCACGGAATAGCTCTGCATGCACTGCAGGGGAATGGGGCCTCATCTCGCCTCTAGGGGGAAGTCTCATGGTTTTTCTCGAGTTGCGGCGGGGACCTGGGGTATGTTCTCGACTTACGGCGGGGATGGCCCTTCAAAACACGAGTTTCTTCAGTGACGTCAGGACTCCTGTCTAGTAATGAGGGACAACTCAGCAGTCTCTTCGAGGCTTGGCAGGGCAAAAGGGACGCTTCTCGAGGTGAGCCAGGGCACCCAAGGACCCTTTCCAGTAGCCACAGGGATTTTGGGATTCCTATCAGTATTCAAGAGGAGTCAGGCATCGTCACCTTTTGAAGCAATGAACTCCGCGTGCCTCTCGAGGTGTCAGCGGGATGTGAGAATTCCGTCAAAATGAGGCAGGGACCTAGGGCTTTCTCTAAGGTCTCCACAGGGGATTCAGACATCCCTTCATGTTGTGAGATGAAAGACGAGCCTGTATTCAAGCCACTGCAAGGAAATCCGGCCTCCTTTCAAGTTAGGGCTTCTCGCTGTATATTCCCCTTGAGGCAGCAAACTCGGGGTCCCTCCCACATACCTATTGCTGAGAGAAGCCTCCTCCTGAGGTGCTTCTGGAAAGGTGGCATACGTCTTGAGCCTAAGCCAGGGAATCAGCTCTAATCTCGAGACGATTTGGGGTACACAGAGCATTCCTCGAGTTGCTGTGCTGAAGTTGTTGGTCCTCTAGACTTGGGACAGTGTTCTCGGGGCATATCTGGAGTTGCCTGAAGGAAGTCGAGCCACCGGTCGTGTTGAATGGGGAACAAGGAATGGCTCTGGAGTCAATGCAGGGAATCCGGCCTCATCTCGAGTTGATTTGGGGCACATGGAGCTGCTTTGCATTGCTGGGTGACCTCAGGGTCCGTCTAGACTGTGACAGTGTTCTTGGGGACTGTCTCGAGATCCATTTAGCAAGTCGAAGCTCCTGACTTGTTTGAATTGGATCATGGAATAGCTCTGCATGCACTGCAGGGGAATGGGGCCTCATCTCGCCTCTAGGGGGAAATCTCAGGTTTTTTCTCGAGTTTCGGCGGGGACCTGGGGAATGTTCTCGACTTACGGCGGGGATGGCCCTTCAAAACACGAGTTTCTTCAGTGACGTCAGGACTCCTGTCTAGTAATGAGGGACACCTCAGCAATCTCTTCGAGGCTTGGCAGGGCAAAAGGGACGCTTCTCGAGGTGAGCCAGGGCACCCAAGGACCCTTTCCAGTAGCCACAGGGATTTTGGGATTCCTATCAGTATTCAAGAGGAGTCAGGCATCGTCACCTTTTGAAGCAATGAACTCTGCGTGCCTCTCGAGGTGTCAGCGGGATGTGAGGTATTCCGTCAAAATGAGGTAGGGACCTAGGGCTTCCTCTAAGGTCTCCACAGGGGCTTCAGAAATCCCTTCATGTTGTCAGATCAAAGACGAGCCTGTATTCAAGCCACTGCAAGGAAATCTGGCCTCCGCTCACATTAGCGCTTCTCCCTGTGTATTCCCCTTGAGGCAGCAAACTCGGGGTCCCTCCCACATACCTATTGCTGAGAGAAGCCTCCTCCTGAGGTGCTTCTGGAAAGTTGGCATACGTCTTGAGCCTAAGCCAGGGAATCAGCTCTCATCTCGAGATGATTTGGGGTACACGGAGCATTCCTCTGGTTGCTGTGCTGAAATTGGTGCTCCTCTAGACTTGGGACAGTGTTCTCGGGGCATCTCTGGAGTTGCCTGAAGGAAGTCGAGCCACCGGGCGTGTTGAATGGGGAACGGGGAATGGCTCTGGAGTCAATGCAGGGGAATCGGGCCTCATCTCGAGTTGATTTGGGGCACATGGAGCTGCTTTGCGTTGCTGGGGTGACCTCAGGGTCCGTCTAGACTGGTGACAGTGTTCTTGGGGACTGTCTCGAGATCCATTAAGCACGTCGAAGCTCCTGACTTGTTTGAATGGGATCACGGAATAGCTCTGCATGCACTGCAGGGGAATGGGGCCTCATCTCGCCTCTAGGGGGAAGTCTCATGGTTTTTCTCGAGTTTCGGCAGGGACCTGGGGTATGTTCTCGACTTACGGCGGGGATGGCCCTTAAAAACCCGAGTTTCTTCAGTGACGTCAGGACTCCTGTCTAGTAACGAGGGACACCTCAGGAATCTCTTCGAGGCTTGGCATGGCAAACGGACGCTTCTCGAAGTGAGGCAGGGCACCCAAGGAACCTTTCCAGTAGCCACAGGGATTTTGGGATTCCTATCAGTATTCAAGAGGAGTCAGGCATCGTCACCTTTTGAAGAAATGAACTCCGCATGCCTCTCGAGCTGTCAGCGGGATGTGAGGCATTCCGTCAAAATGAGGCAGGGACCTAGGGCTTTCTCTAAGGTCTTCACAGGGGATTCAGACATCCCTTCATGTTGTGAGATGAAAGACAAGCCTGTATTCAAGCTACTGCAAGGAAATCCTGCCTCCTTTCAAGTTAGGGCTTCTCGCTGTATATTCCCCTTGAGGCAGCAAACTCGGAGTCCCTCCCACATACCTATTGCTGAGAGAAGCCTCCTCCTGAGGTGCTTCTGGAAAGTTGGCATACGCCTTGAGCCTAAGCCAGGGATTCAGCTCTCATCTCGAGACGATTTGGGGTACACAGAGCATTCCTCGAGTTGCTGTGCTGAAGTTGGTGTTCCTCTAGACTTGGGACAGTGTTCTCTGGGCATCTCTGGAGTTGCCTGAAGGAAGTCGAGCCACCGGTCGTGTTGAATGGGGAACGGGGAATGGCTCTGGAGTCAATGCAGGGGAATCGGGCCTCATCTCGACTTGATTTGTGGCACCTGGAGCTGCTTTGCGTTGCTGCGGTGACCTCAGGGTCCGTCTAGACTGGTGACAGTGTTCTTGGGGACTGACTCGAGATCCATTAAGCAAGTCGAAGCTCCTGACTTGTTTGAATGGGATCACGGAATAGCTCTGCATGCACTGCAGGGGAATGGGGCCTCATCTCGCCTCTAGGGGGAAGTCTCATGGTTTTTCTCGAGTTGGGGCGGGGACCTGGGGTATGTTCTCGACTTACGGCGGGGATGGCCCTTCAAAACACGAGTTTCTTCAGTGACGTCAGGACTCCTGTCTAGTAATGAGGGACAACTCAGCAGTCTCTTCGAGGCTTGGCAGGGCAAAAGGGACGCTTCTCGAGGTGAGCCAGGGCACCCAAGGACCCTTTCCAGTAGCCACAGGGATTTTGGGATTCCTATAAGTATTCAAGAGGAGTCAGGCATCGTCACCTTTTGAAGCAATGAACTCCGCGTGCCTCTCGAGGTGTCAGCGGGATGTGAGGATTCCGTCAAAATGAGGCAGGGACCTAGGGCTTTCTCTAAGGTCTCCACAGGGGATTCAGACATCCCTTCATGTTGTGAGATGAAAGACGAGCCTGTATTCAAGCCACTGCAAGGAAATCCGGCCTCCTTTCAAGTTAGGGCTTCTCGCTGTATATTCCCCTTGAGGCAGCAAACTCGGGGTCCCTCCCACATACCTATTGCTGAGAGAAGCCTCCTCCTGAGGTGCTTCTGGAAAGGTGGCATACGTCTTGAGCCTAAGCCAGGGAATCAGCTCTAATCTCGAGACGATTTGGGGTACACAGAGCATTCCTCGAGTTGCTGTGCTGAAGTTGGTGGTCCTCTAGACTTGGGACAGTGTTCTCGGGGCATATCTGGAGTTGCCTGAAGGAAGTCGAGCCACCGGTCGTGTTGAATGGGGAACAAGGAATGGCTCTGGAGTCAATGCAGGGGAATCCGGCCTCATCTCGAGTTGATTTGGGGCACATGGAGCTGCTTTGCATTGCTGGGTGACCTCAGGGTCCGTCTAGACTGGTGACAGTGTTCTTGGGGACTGTCTCGAGATCCATTTAGCAAGTCGAAGCTCCTGACTTGTTTGAATTGGATCATGGAATAGCTCTGCATGCACTGCAGGGGAATGGGGCCTCATCTCGCCTCTAGGGGGAAATCTCAGGTTTTTTCTCGAGTTTCGGCGGGGACCTGGGGAATGTTCTCGACTTACGGCGGGGATGGCCCTTCAAAACACGAGTTTCTTCAGTGACGTCAGGACTCCTGTCTAGTAATGAGGGACACCTCAGCAATCTCTTCGAGGCTTGGCAGGGCAAAAGGGACGCTTCTCGAGGTGAGCCAGGGCACCCAAGGACCCTTTCCAGTAGCCACAGGGATTTTGGGATTCCTATCAGTATTCAAGAGGAGTCAGGCATCGTCACCTTTTGAAGCAATGAACGCTGCGTGCCTCTCGAGGTGTCAGCGGGATGTGAGGTATTCCGTCAAAATGAGGCAGGGACCTAGGGCTTCCTCTAAGGTCTCCACAGGGGCTTCAGAAATCCCTTCATGTTGTCAGATCAAAGACGAGCCTGTATTCAAGCCACTGCAAGGAAATCTGGCCTCCGCTCACATTAGCGCTTCTCCCTGTGTATTCCCCTTGAGGCAGGAAACTCGGGGTCCCTCCCACATACCTATTGCTGAGAGAAGCCTCCTCCTGAGGTGCTTCTGGAAAGTTGGCATACGTCTTGAGCCTAAGCCAGGGAATCAGCTCTCATCTCGAGATGATTTGGGGTACACGGAGCATTCCTCTGGTTGCTGTGCTGAAATTGGTGCTCCTCTAGACTTGGGACAGTGTTCTCGGGGCATCTCTGGAGTTGCCTGAAGGAAGTCGAGCCACCGGGCGTGTTGAATGGGGAACGGGGAATGGCTCTGGAGTCAATGCAGGGGAATCGGGCTTCATCTCGAGTTGATTTGGGGCATATGGAGAAGCTTTGCGTTGCTGGGGTGACCTCAGGGTCCGTCTAGACTGGTGACAGTGTTCTTGGGGACTGTCTCGAGATCCATTAAGCAAGTCGAAGCTCCTGACTTGTTTGAATGGGATCACGGAATAGCTCTGCATGCACTGCAGGGGAATGGGGCCTCATCTCGCCTCTAGGGGGAAGTCTCATGGTTTTTCTCGAGGTTCGGCGGGGACCTGGGTTATGTTCTCGACTTACGGCGGGGATGGCCCTTAAAAACCCGAGTTTCTTCAGTGACGTCAGGACTCCTGTCTAGTAACGAGGGACACCTCAGGAATCTCTTCGAGGCTTGGCAGGGCAAAAGGGACGCTTCTCGAGGTGAGCCAGGGCAGCCAAGGACCCTTTCCAGTAGCCACAGGGATTTCGGGATTCCTATAAGTATTCAAGAGGAGTCAGGCATCGTCACCTTTTGAATCAATGAACTCTGCGTGCCTCTCGAGGTGTCAGGGGGATGTGAGGTATTCCGTCAAAATGAGGCAGGGACCTAGGGCTTCCTCTAAGGTCTCCACAGGGGATTCAGAAATCCCTTCATGTTGTCAGATCAAAGACGAGCCTGTATTCAAGCCACTGCAAGGAAATCTGGCCTCCGCTCACATTAGGGCTTCTCCCTGTGTATTCCCCTTGAGGCAGCAAACTCGGGGTCCCTCCCACATACCTATTGCTGAGAGAAGCCTCCTCCTGAGGTGCTTCTGGAAAGGTGGCATACGTCTTGAGCCTAAGCCAGGGAATCAGCTCTCATCTCGGGATGATTTGGGGTACACGGAGCATTCCTCTGGTTGCTGTGCTGAAATTGGTGCTCCTCTAGACTTGGGACAGTGTTCTCGGGGCATCTCTGGAGTTGCCTGAAGGAAGTCGAGCCACCGGTCGTGTTGAATGGGGAACGGGGAACGGCTCTGGAGTCAATGCAGGGGAATCGGGCCTCATCTCGAGTTGATTTGGGGCACATGGAGCAGCTTTGCGTTGCTGGGGTGACTTCAGGGTCCGTCTAGACTGGTGACAGTGTTCTTGGGGACTGTCTCGAGATCCATTAAGGAAGTCGAAGCTCCTGACTTGTTTGAATGGGATCACGGAATAGCTCTGCATGCACTGCAAGGGAATGGGGCCTCATCTCGCCTCTAGGGGGAAGTCTCATGGTTTTTCTCGAGTTGCGGCGGGGACCTGGGGTATGTTCTCGACTTACGGCGGGGATGGCCCTTCAAAACACGAGTTTCTTCAGTGACGTCAGGACTCCTGTCTAGTAACGAGGGACACCTCAGGAATCTCTTCGAGGCTTGGCAGGGCAAAAGGGACGCTTCTCGAGGTGAGCCAGGGCACCCAAGGACCCTTTCCAGTAGCCACAGGGATTTTGGGATTCCTATCAGTATTCAAGAGGAGTCAGGCATCGTCACCTTTTGAAGCAATGAACTCCGCGTGCCTCTCGAGGTGTCAGCGGGATGTGAGGATTCCGTCAAAATGAGGCAGGGACCTAGGGGTTACTCTAATGTCTCCACAGGGGATTCAGACATCCCTTCATGTTGTGACGTGAAAGACGAGCCTGTATTCAAGCCACTGCAAGGAAATCCGGCCTCCTTTCAAGTTAGGGCTTCTCGCTGTATATTCCCCTTGAGGCAGCAAACTCGGAGTCCCTCCCACATACCTATTGCTGAGAGAAGCCTCCTCCTGAGGTGCTTCTGGAAAGTTGGCATACGTCTTGAGCCTAAGCCAGGGATTCAGCTCTCATCTCGAGACGATTTGTGGTACACAGAGCATTCCTCGAGTTGCTGTGCTGAAGTTGGTGTTCCTCTAGACTTGGGACAGTGTTCTCTGGGCATCTCTGGAGTTGCCTGAAGGAAGTCGAGCCACCGGTCGTGTTGAATGGGGAACGGGGAATGGCTCTGGAGTCAATGCAGGGGAATCGGGCCTCATCTCGAGTTGATTTGTGGCACCTGGAGCTGCTTTGCATTGCTGGGGTGACCTCAGGGTCCGTCTAGACTGGTGACAGTGTTCTTGGGGACTGTCTCGAGATCCATTAAGCAAGTCGAAGCTCCTGACTTGTTTGAATGGGATCACGGAATAGCTCTGCATGCACTGCAGGGGAATGGGGCCTCATCTCGCCTCTAGGGGGAAGTCTCATGGTTTTTCTCGAGTTGCGGCGGGGACCTGGGGTATGTTCTCGACTTACGGCGGGGATGGCCTTTCAAAACACGAGTTTCTTCCGTGACGTCAGGACTCCTGTCTAGTAACGAGGGACACCTCAGCAATCTCTTCGAGGCTTGGCAGGGCAAAAGGGACGCTTCTCGAGGTGAGCCAGGGCACCCAAGGACCCTTTCCAGTAGCCACAGGGATTTCGGGATTCCTATAAGTATTCAAGAGGAGTCAGGCATCGTCACCTTTTGAATCAATGAACTCTGCGTGCCTCTCGAGGTGTCAGGGGGATGTGAGGTATTCCGTCAAAATGAGGCAGGGACCTAGGGCTTCCTCTAAGGTCTCCACAGGGGATTCAGACATCCCTTCATGTTGTCAGATCAAAGACGAGCCTGTATTCAAGCCACTGCAAGGAAATCTGGCCTCCGCTCACATTAGGGCTTCTCCCTGTGTATTCCCCTTGAGGCAGCAAACTCGGGGTCCCTCCCACATACCTATTGCTGAGAGAAGCCTCCTCCTGAGGTGCTTCTGGAAAGGTGGCATACGTCTTGAGCCTAAGCCAGGGAATCAGCTCTCATCTCGGGATGATTTGGGGTACACGGAGCATTCCTCTGGTTGCTGTGCTGAAATTGGTGCTCCTCTAGACTTGGGACAGTGTTCTCGGGGCATCTCTGGAGTTGCCTGAAGGAAGTCGAGCCACCGGTCGTGTTGAATGGGGAACGGGGAACGGCTCTGGAGTCAATGCAGGGGAATCGGGCCTCATCTCGAGTTGATTTGGGGCACATGGAGCAGCTTTGCGTTGCTGGGGTGACCTCAGGGTCCGTCTAGACTGGTGACAGTGTTCTTGGGGACTGTCTCGAGATCCATTAAGGAAGTCGAAGCTCCTGACTTGTTTGAATGGGATCACGGAATAGCTCTGCATGCACTGCAAGGGAATGGGGCCTCATCTCGCCTCTAGGGGGAAGTCTCATGGTTTTTCTCGAGTTGCGGCGGGGACCTGGGGTATGTTCTCGACTTACGGCGGGGATGGCCCTTCAAAACACGAGTTTCTTCAGTGACGTCAGGACTCCTGTCTAGTAACGAGGGACACCTCAGGAATCTCTTCGAGGCTTGGCAGGGCAAAAGGGACGCTTCTCGAGGTGAGCCAGGGCACCCAAGGACCCTTTCCAGTAGCCACAGGGATTTTGGGATTCCTATCAGTATTCAAGAGGAGTCAGGCATCGTCACCTTTTGAAGCAATGAACTCCGCGTGCCTCTCGAGGTGTCAGCGGGATGTGAGGCATTCCGCCAACATGAGGCAGGGACCTAGGGCTTTCTCTAAGGTCTCCACAGGGGATTCAGACATTCCTTCATGTTGTGAGATGAAAGACAAGCCTGTATTCAAGCTACTGCAAGGAAATCCGGCCTCCTTTCAAGTTAGGGCTTCTCGCTGTATATTCCCCTTGAGGCAGCAAACTCGGAGTCCCTCCCACATACCTATTGCTGAGAAGCCTCCTCCTGAGGTGCTTCTGGAAAGTTGGCATACGTCTTGAGCCTAAGCCAGGGAATCAGCTCTCATCTCGAGACGATTTGGGGTACACAGAGCATTCCTCGAGTTGCTGTGCTGAAGTTGGTGTTCCTCTAGACTTGGGACAGTGTTCTCGGGGCATCTCTGGAGTTGCCTGAAGGAAACCGAGCCACCGGTCGTGTTGAATGGGGAACGGGGAATGGCTCTGGAGTCAATGCAGGGGAATCGGGCCTCATCTCGAGTTGATTTGTGGCACCTGGAGCTGCTTTGCATTGCTGGGGTGACCTCAGGGTTCGTCTAGACTGGTGACAGTGTTCTTGGGGACTGTCTCGAGATCCATTAAGCAAGTCGAAGCTCCTGACTTGTTTGAATGGGATCACGGAATAGCTCTGCATGCACTGCAGGGGAATGGGGCCTCATCTCGCCTCTAGGGGGAAGTCTCATGGTTTTTCTCGAGTTGCGGCGGGGACCTGGGGTATGTTCTCGACTTACGGCGGGGATGGCCTTTCAAAACACGAGTTTCTTCCGTGACGTCAGGACTCCTGTCTAGTAACGAGGGACACCTCAGCAATCTCTTCGAGGCTTGGCAGGGCAAAAGGGACGCTTCTCGAGGTGAGCCAGGGCACCCAAGGACCCTTTCCAGTAGCCACAGGGATTTTGGGATTCCTATCAGTATTCAAGAGGAGTCAGGCATCGTCACCTTTTGAAGCAATGAACTCCGCGTGCCTCTCGACGTGTCAGGGGGATGTGAGGTGTTCCGTCAAAATGAGGCAGGGACCTAGGGCTTCCTCTAAGGTCTGCACAGGGGATTCAGACATCCCTTCATGTTGTCATATCAAAGACAAGCCTGTATTCAAGCTACTGCAAGGAAATCCGGCCTCCTTTCAAGTTAGGGCTTCTCGCTGTATATTCCCCTTGAGGCTGCAAACTCGGAGTCCCTCCCACATACCTATTGCTGAGAAGCCTCCTCCTGAGGTGCTTCTGGAAAGGTGGCATACGTCTTGAGCCTAAGCCAGGGAATCAGCTCTCATCTCGAGACGATTTGGGGTACACAGAGCATTCCTCGAGTTGCTGTGCTGAAGTTGGTGTTCCTCTAGACTTGGGACAGTGTTCTCGGGGCATCTCTGGGGTTGCCTGAAGGAAACCGAGCCACCGGTCCTGTTGAATGGGGAACGGGGAATGGCTCTGGAATCAATGCAGGGGAATCGGGCCTCATCTCGAGTTGATTTAGGGCACATGGAGCTGGTTTGCATTGCTGGGGTGACCTCAGGGTCCGTCTAGACTGGTGACAGTGTTCTTGGGGACTGTCTCGAGATCCATTAAGCACGTCGAAGCTCCTGACTTGTTTGAATGGGATCACGGAATAGCTCTGCATGCACTGCAGGGGAATGGGGCCTCATCTCGCCTCTAGGGGGAAGTCTCATGGTTTTTCTCGAGTTGCGGCGGGGACCTGGGGTATGTTCTCGACTTACGGCAGGGATGGCCCTTCAAAACACGACTTTCTTCAGTGATGTCAGGACTCCTGCCTAGTAACGAGGGACACCTCAGGAATCTCTTCGAGTCTTGGCAGGGCAAAAGGGACGCTTCTCGAGGTGAGCCAGGGCACCCAAGGACCCTTTCCAGTAGCCACAGGGATTTTGGGATTCCTATCAGTATTCAAGAGGAGTCAGGCATCGTCACCTTTTGAAGCAATGAACTCCGCGTGCCTCTCGAGGTGTCAGCGGGATGTGAGGCATTCCGTCAACATGAGGCAGGGACCTAGGGCTTTCTCTAAGGTCTCCACAGGGGATTCAGACATCCCTTCATGTTGTGAGATGAAAGACAAGCCTGTATTCAAGCTACTGCAAGGAAATCCGGCCTCCTTTCAAGTTAGGGCTTCTCGCTGTATATTCCCCTTGAGGCAGCAAACTCGGAGTCCCTCCCACATACCTATTGCTGAGAAGCCTCCTCCTGAGGTGCTTCTGGAAAGTTGGCATACGTCTTGAGCCTAAGCCAGGGAATCAGCTCTCATCTCGAGACGATTTGGGGTACACAGAGCATTCCTCGAGTTGCTGTGCTGAAGTTGGTGTTCCTCTAGACTTGGGACAGTGTTCTCGGGGCATCTCTGGAGTTGCCTGAAGGAAACCGAGCCACCGGTCCTGTTGAATGGGGAACGGGGAATGGCTCTGGAATCAATGCAGGGGAATCGGGCCTCATCTCGAGTTGATTTAGGGCACATGGAGCTGGTTTGCATTGCTGGGGTGACCTCAGGGTCCGTCTAGACTGGTGACAGTGTTCTTGGGGACTGTCTCGAGGTCCATTAAGCAAGTCGAAGCTCCTGACTTGTTTGAATGGGATCACGGAATAGCTCTGCATGCACTGCAGGGGAATGGGGCCTCATCTCGCCTCTAGGGGGAAGTCTCATGGTTTTTCTCGAGTTGCGGCGGGGACCTGGGGTATGTTCTCGACTTACGGCGGGGACGGCCCTTCAAAACACGAGTTTCTTCAGTGACGTCAGGACTCCTGTCTAGTAACGAGGGACACCTCAGCAATCTCTTCGAGGCTTGGCAGGGCAAAAGGGACGCTTCTCGAGGTGAGCCATGGCACCCAAGGACCCTTTCAAGTAGCCACAGGGATTTTGGGATTCCTATCAGTATTCAAGAGGAGTCAGGCATCGTCACCTTTTGAAGCAATGAACTCCGCGTGCCTCTCGAGGTGTCAGCGGGATGTGAGGATTCCGTCAAAATGAGGCAGGGACCTAGGGCTTTCTCTAAGGTCTCCACAGGGGATTCAGACATCCCTTCATGTTGTGAGATGAAAGACGAGCCTGTATTCAAGCCACTAGAAGGAAATCCGGCCTCCTTTCAAGTTAGGGCTTCTCGCTGTATATTCCCCTTGAGGCAGCAAACTCGGAGTCCCTCCCACATACCTATTCCTGAGAGAAGCCTCGTCCTGAGGTGCTTCTGGAAAGTTGGCATACGTCTTGAGCCTAAGCCAGGGATTCAGCTCTCATCTCGAGACGATTTGGGGTACACAGAGCATTCCTCGAGTTGCTGTGCTGAAGTTGGTGTTACTCTAGACTTGGGACAGTGTTCTCGGGGCATCTCTGGAGTTGCCTGAAGGAAGGCGAGCCTCCGTTCGTGTTGCACAAACGGGGAATGGCTCTGGAGTCAATGCAGGGGAATCGGGCCTCATCTCGAGTTGATTTGGGGCACATGGAACTGCTTTGCGTTGCTGGAGTGACCTCAGGGTCCGTCTAGACTGGTGACAGTGTTCTTGGGGACTGTCTCGAGATGCATTAAGCAAGTTGAAGCTCCTGACTTGTTTGAATGGGATCACGGAATAGCTCTGCATGCACTGCAGGGGAATGGCGCCTCATCTCGCCTCTAGGGGGAAGTCTCATGGTTTTGCTCGAGTTGCGGCGGGGACCTGGGGTATGTTCTCGACTTACGGCGGGGATGGCCCTTCAAAACACGAGTTTCTTCAGTGACGTCAGGACTCCTGTCTAGTAACGAGGGACACCTCAGCAATCTCTTCGAGGCTTGGCAGGGCAAAAGGGACGCTTCTCGAAGTGAGGCAGGGCACCCAAGGAACCTTTCCAGTAGCCACAGGGATTTTGGGATTCCTATCAGTATTCAAGAGGAGTCAGGCATCGTCACCTTTTGAAGAAATGAACTCCGCATGCCTCTCGAGCTGTCAGCGGGATGTGAGGCATTCCGTCAAAATGAGGCAGGGACCTAGGGCTTTCTCTAAGGTCTTCACAGGGGATTCAGACATCCCTTCATGTTGTGAGATGAAAGACAAGCCTGTATTCAAGCTACTGCAAGGAAATCCTGCCTCCTTTCAAGTTAGGGCTTCTCGCTGTATATTCCCCTTGAGGCAGCAAACTCGGAGTCCCTCCCACATACCTATTGCTGAGAGAAGCCTCCTCCTGAGGTGCTTCTGGAAAGTTGGCATACGCCTTGAGCCTAAGCCAGGAATTCAGCTCTCATCTCGAGACGATTTGGGGTACACAGAGCATTCCTCGAGTTGCTGTGCTGAAGTTGGTGTTCCTCTAGACTTGGGACAGTGTTCTCTGGGCATCTCTGGAGTTGCCTGAAGGAAGTCGAGCCACCGGTCGTGTTGAATGGGGAACGGGGAGTGGCTCTGGAGTCAATGCAGGGGAATCGGGCCTCATCTCGACTTGATTTGTGGCACCTGGAGCTGCTTTGCATTGCTGGGGTGACCTCAGGGTCCGTCTAGACTGGTGACAGTGTTCTTGGGGACTGACTCGAGATCCATTAAGCAAGTCGAAGCTCCTGACTTGTTTGAATGGGATCACGGAATAGCTCTGCATGCACTGCAGGGGAATGGGGCCTCATCTCTCCTCTAGGGGGAAGTCTCATGGTTTTTCTCGAGTTGCGGCGGGGACCTGGGGTATGTTCTCGACTTACGGCGGGGATGGCCCTTCAAAACACGAGTTTCTTCAGTGACGTCAGGACTCCTGTCTAGTAATGAGGGACACCTCAGCAATCTCTTCGAGGCTTGGCAGGGCAAAAGGGACGCTTCTCGAGGTGAGCCAGGGCAGCCAAGGACCCTTTCCAGTAGCCACAGGGATTTCGGGATTCCTATAAGTATTCAAGAGGAGTCAGGCATCGTCACCTTTTGAATCAATGAACTCTGCGTGCCTCTCGAGGTGTCAGGGGGATGTGAGGTATTCCGTCAAAATGAGGCAGGGACCTAGGGCTTCCTCTAAGGTCTCCACAGGGGATTCAGAAATCCCTTCATGTTGTCAGATCAAAGACGAGCCTGTATTCAAGCCACTGCAAGGAAATCTGGCCTCCGCTCACATTAGGGCTTCTCCCTGTGTATTCCCCTTGAGGCAGCAAACTCGGGGTCCCTCCCACATACCTATTGCTGAGAGAAGCCTCCTCCTGAGGTGCTTCTGGAAAGTTGGCATACGTCTTGAGCCTAAGCCAGGGAATCAGCTCTCATCTCGGGATGATTTGGGGTACACGGAGCATTCCTCTGGTTGCTGTGCTGAAATTGGTGCTCCTCTAGACTTGGGACAGTGTTCTCGGGGCATCTCTGGAGTTGCCTGAAGGAAGTCGAGCCACCGGTCGTGTTGAATGGGGAACGGGGAATGGCTCTGGAGTCAATGCAGGGGAATCGGGCCTCATCTCGAGTTGATTTGGGGCACATGGAGCAGCTTTGCGTTGCTGGGGTGACCTCAGGGTCCGTCTAGACTGGTGACAGTGTTCTTGGGGACTGTCTCGAGATCCATTAAGCACGTCGAAGCTCCTGACTTGTTTGAATGGGATCACGAAATAGCTCTGCATGCACTGCAGGGGAATGGGGCCTCATCTCGCCTCTAGGGGGAAGTCTCATGGTTTTGCTCGAGTTGCGGCGGGGACCTGGGGTATGTTCTCGACTTACGGCGGGGATGGCCCTTAAAAACCCGAGTTTCTTCAGTGACGTCAGGACTCCTGTCTAGTAACGAGGGACACCTCAGGAATCTCTTCGAGGCTTGGCAGGGCAAAGGGACGCTTCTCGAGGTGAGGCAGGGCACCCAAGGACCCTTTCCAGTAGCCACAGGGATTTTGGGATTCCTATAAGTATTCAAGAGGAGTCAGGCATCGTCACCTTTTGAAGCAATGAACTCCGCGTGCCTCTCGAGGTGTCAGCGGGATGTGAGGATTCCGTCAAAATGAGGCAGGGACCTAGGGCTTTCTCTAAGGTCTCCACAGGGGATTCAGACATCCCTTCATGTTGTGAGATGAAAGACGAGCCTGTATTCAAGCCACTGCAAGGAAATCCGGCCTCCTTTCAAGTTAGGGCTTCTCGCTGTATATTCCCCTTGAGGCAGCAAACTCGGGGTCCCTCCCACATACCTATTGCTGAGAGAAGCCTCCTCCTGAGGTGCTTCTGGAAAGGTGGCATACGTCTTGAGCCTAAGCCAGGGAATCAGCTCTCATCTCGAGACGATTTGGGGTACACAGAGCATTCCTCGAGTTGCTGTGCTGAAGTTGGTGGTCCTCTAGACTTGGGACACTGTTCTCGGGGCATCTCTGGAGTTGCCTGAAGGAAGTCGAGCCACCGGTCGTGTTGAATGGGGAACAAGGAATGGCTCTGGAGTCAATGCAGGGGAATCCGGCCTCATCTCGAGTTGATTTGGGGCACATGGAGCTGCTTTGCATTGCTGGGTGACCTCAGGGTCCGTCTAGACTGGTGACAGTGTTCTTGGGGACTGTCTCGAGATCCATTAAGGAAGTCGAAGCTCCTGACTTGTTTGAATGGGATCACGGAATAGCTCTGCATGCACTGCAAGGGAATGGGGCCTCATCTCGCCTCTAGGGGGAAGTCTCATGGTTTTTCTCGAGTTGCGGCGGGGACCTGGGGTATGTTCTCGACTTACGGCGGGGATGGCCCTTCAAAACACGAGTTTCTTCAGTGACGTCAGGACTCCTGTCTAGTAACGAGGGACACCTCAGGAATCTCTTCGAGGCTTGGCAGGGCAAAAGGGACGCTTCTCGAGGTGAGCCAGGGCACCCAAGGACCCTTTCCAGTAGCCACAGGGATTTTGGGATTCCTATCAGTATTCAAGAGGAGTCAGGCATCGTCACCTTTTGAAGCAATGAACTCCGCGTGCCTCTCGAGGTGTCAGCGGGATGTGAGGATTCCGTCAAAATGAGTCAGGGACCTAGGGCTTACTCTAATGTCTCCACAGGGGATTCAGACATCCCTTCATGTTGTGACATGAAAGACGAGCCTGTATTCAAGCCACTGCAAGGAAATCCGGCCTCCTTTCAAGTTAGGGCTTCTCGCTGTATATTCCCCTTGAGGCAGCAAACTCGGAGTCCCTCCCACATACCTATTGCTGAGAGAAGCCTCCTCCTGAGGTGCTTCTGGAAAGTTGGCATACGTCTTGAGCCTAAGCCAGGGATTCAGCTCTCATCTCGAGACGATTTGTGGTACACAGAGCATTCCTCGAGTTGCTGTGCTGAAGTTGGTGTTCCTCTAGACTTGGGACAGTGTTCTCTGGGCATCTCTGGAGTTGCCTGAAGGAAGTCGAGCCACCGGTCGTGTTGAATGGGGAACGGGGAATGGCTCTGGAGTCAATGCAGGGGAATCGGGCCTCATCTCGAGTTGATTTGTGGCACCTGGAGCTGCTTTGCATTGCTGGGGTGACCTCAGGGTCCGTCTAGACTGGTGACAGTGTTCTTGGGGACTGCCTCGAGATCCATTAAGCAAGTCGAAGCTCCTGACTTGTTTGAATTTGATCACGGAATACCTCTGCATGCACTGCAGGGGAATGGGGCCTCATCTCGCCTCTAGGGGGAAGTCTCATGGTTTTTCTCGAGTTGCGGCGGGGAACTGGGGTATGTTCTCAACTTACGGCGGGGATGGCCCTTCAAAACACGAGTTTCTTCAGTGACGTCAGGACTCCTGTCTAGTAACGAGGGACACGTCAGCAATCTCTTCGAGGCTTGGCAGGGCAAAAGGGACGCTTCTCGAGGTGAGCCAGGGCACCCAAGGACCCTTTCCAGTAGCCACAGGGATTTTGGGATTCCTATAAGTATTCAAGAGGAGTCAGGCATCGTCACCTTTTGAAGCTATGAACTCCGCGTGCCTCTCGAGGTGTCAGCGGGATGTGAGGATTCCGTCAAAATGAGGCAGGGACCTAGGGCTTTCTCTAAGGTCTCCACAGGGGATTCAGACATCCCTTCATGTTGTGAGATGAAAGACGAGCCTGTATTCAAGCCACTGCAAGGAAATCCGGCCTCCTTTCAAGTTAGGGCTTCTTGCTGTATATTCCCCTTGAGGCAGCAAACTCGGGGTCCCTCCCACATACCTATTGCTGAGAGAAGCCTCCTCCTGAGGTGCTTCTGGAAAGGTGGCATACGTCTTGAGCCTAAGCCAGGGAATCAGCTCTAATCTCGAGACGATTTGGGGTACACAGAGCATTCCTCGAGTTGCTGTGCTGAAGTTGGTGGTCCTCTAGACTTGGGACAGTGTTCTCGGGGCATATCTGGAGTTGCCTGAAGGAAGTCGAGCCACCGGTCGTGTTGAATGGGGAACAAGGAATGGCTCTGGAGTCAATGCAGGGGAATCCGGCCTCATCTCGAGTTGATTTGGGGCACATGGTGCTGCTTTGCATTGCTGGGTGACCTCAGGGTCCGTCTAGACTGGTGACAGTGTTCTTGGGGTCTGTCTCGAGATCCATTTAGCAAGTCGAAGCTCCTGACTTGTTTGAATGGGATCACGGAATAGCTCTGCATGCACTGCAGGGGAATGGGGCCTCATCTCGCCTCTAGGGGGAAATCTCAGGTTTTTTCTCGAGTTTCGGCGGGGACCTGGGGTATGTTCTCGACTTACGGCGGGGATGGCCCTTCAAAACACGAGTTTCTTCCGTGACGTCAGGACTCCTGTCTAGTAACGAGGGACACCTCAGCAATCTCTTCGAGGCTTGGCAGGGCAAAAGGGACGCTTCTCGAGGTGAGCCAGGGCACCCAAGGACCCTTTCCAGTAGCCACAGGGATTTTGGGATTCCTATCAGTATTAAAGAGGAGTCAGGCATCGTCACCTTTTGAAGCAATGAACTCCGCGTGCCTCTCGAGGTGTCAGCGGGATGTGAGGATTCCGTCAAAATGAGGCAGGGACCTAGGGCTTACTCTAAGGTCTCCACAGGGGATTCAGACATCCCTTCATGTTGTGACATGAAAGACGAGCCTGTATTCAAGCCACTGCAAGGAAATCCGGCCTCCTTTCAAGTTAGGGCTTCTCGCTGTATATTCCCCTTGAGGCAGCAAACTCGGAGTCCCTCCCACATACCTATTGCTGAGAGAAGCCTCCTCCTGAGGTGCTTCTGGAAAGTTGGCATACGTCTTGAGCCTAAGCCAGGGATTCAGCTCTCATCTCGAGACGATTTGTGGTACACAGAGCATTCCTCGAGTTGCTGTGCTGAAGTTGGTGTTCCTCTAGACTTGGGACAGTGTTCTCTGGGCATCTCTGGAGTTGCCTGAAGGAAGTCGAGCCACCGGTCGTGTTGAATGGGGAACGGGGAATGGCTCTGGAGTCAATGCAGGGGAATCGGGCCTCATCTCGAGTTGATTTGTGGCACCTGGAGCAGCTTTGCGTTGCTGGGGTGACCTCAGGGTCCGTCTAGACTGGTGACAGTGTTCTTGGGGACTGTCTCGAGATCCATTAAGCACGTCGAAGCTCCTGACTTGTTTGAATGGGATCACGGAATAGCTCTGCATGCACTGCAGGGGAATGGGGCCTCATCTCGCCTCTAGGGGGAAGTCTCATGGGTTTTCTCGAGTTGCGGCGGGGACCTGGGGTATGTTCTCGACTTACGGCGGGGATGGCCCTTCAAAACACGAGTTTCTTCAGTGACGTCAGGACTCCTGTCTAGTAACGAGGGACACCTCAGGAATCTCTTCGAGGCTTGGCAGGGCAAAAGGGACGCTTCTCGAGGTGAGCCAGGGCACCCAAGGACCCTTTCCAGTAGCCACAGGGATTTTGGGATTCCTATCAGTATTCAAGAGGAGTCAGGCATCGTCACCTTTTGAAGCAATGAACTCCGCGTGCCTCTCGAGGTGTCAGCGGGATGTGAGGATTCCGTCAAAATGAGTCAGGGACCTAGGGCTTACTCTAATGTCTCCACAGGGGATTCAGACATCCCTTCATGTTGTGACATGAAAGACGAGCCTGTATTCAAGCCACTGCAAGGAAATCCGGCCTCCTTTCAAGTTAGGGCTTCTCGCTGTATATTCCCCTTGAGGCAGCAAACTCGGAGTCCCTCCCACATACCTATTGCTGAGAGAAGCCTCCTCCTGAGGTGCTTCTGGAAAGTTGGCATACGTCTTGAGCCTAAGCCAGGGATTCAGCTCTCATCTCGAGACGATTTGTGGTACACAGAGCATTCCTCGAGTTGCTGTGCTGAAGTTGGTGTTCCTCTAGACTTGGGACAGTGTTCTCTGGGCATCTCTGGAGTTGCCTGAAGGAAGTCGAGCCACCGGTCGTGTTGAATGGGGAACGGGGAATGGCTCTGGAGTCAATGCAGGGGAATCGGGCCTCATCTCGAGTTGATTTGTGGCACCTGGAGCTGCTTTGCATTGCTGGGGTGACCTCAGGGTCCGTCTAGACTGGTGACAGTGTTCTTGGGGACTGCCTCGAGATCCATTAAGCAAGTCGAAGCTCCTGACTTGTTTGAATTTGATCACGGAATACCTCTGCATGCACTGCAGGGGAATGGGGCCTCATCTCGCCTCTAGGGGGAAGTCTCATGGTTTTTCTCGAGTTGCGGCGGGGAACTGGGGTATGTTCTCAACTTACGGCGGGGATGGCCCTTCAAAACACGAGTTTCTTCAGTGACGTCAGGACTCCTGTCTAGTAACGAGGGACACGTCAGCAATCTCTTCGAGGCTTGGCAGGGCAAAAGGGACGCTTCTCGAGGTGAGCCAGGGCACCCAAGGACCCTTTCCAGTAGCCACAGGGATTTTGGGATTCCTATAAGTATTCAAGAGGAGTCAGGCATCGTCACCTTTTGAAGCTATGAACTCCGCGTGCCTCTCGAGGTGTCAGCGGGATGTGAGGATTCCGTCAAAATGAGGCAGGGACCTAGGGCTTTCTCTAAGGTCTCCACAGGGGATTCAGACATCCCTTCATGTTGTGAGATGAAAGACGAGCCTGTATTCAAGCCACTGCAAGGAAATCCGGCCTCCTTTCAAGTTAGGGCTTCTTGCTGTATATTCCCCTTGAGGCAGCAAACTCGGGGTCCCTCCCACATACCTATTGCTGAGAGAAGCCTCCTCCTGAGGTGCTTCTGGAAAGGTGGCATACGTCTTGAGCCTAAGCCAGGGAATCAGCTCTAATCTCGAGACGATTTGGGGTACACAGAGCATTCCTCGAGTTGCTGTGCTGAAGTTGGTGGTCCTCTAGACTTGGGACAGTGTTCTCGGGGCATATCTGGAGTTGCCTGAAGGAAGTCGAGCCACCGGTCGTGTTGAATGGGGAACAAGGAATGGCTCTGGAGTCAATGCAGGGGAATCCGGCCTCATCTCGAGTTGATTTGGGGCACATGGTGCTGCTTTGCATTGCTGGGTGACCTCAGGGTCCGTCTAGACTGGTGACAGTGTTCTTGGGGTCTGTCTCGAGATCCATTTAGCAAGTCGAAGCTCCTGACTTGTTTGAATGGGATCACGGAATAGCTCTGCATGCACTGCAGGGGAATGGGGCCTCATCTCGCCTCTAGGGGGAAATCTCAGGTTTTTTCTCGAGTTTCGGCGGGGACCTGGGGTATGTTCTCGACTTACGGCGGGGATGGCCCTTCAAAACACGAGTTTCTTCCGTGACGTCAGGACTCCTGTCTAGTAACGAGGGACACCTCAGCAATCTCTTCGAGGCTTGGCAGGGCAAAAGGGACGCTTCTCGAGGTGAGCCAGGGCACCCAAGGACCCTTTCCAGTAGCCACAGGGATTTTGGGATTCCTATCAGTATTAAAGAGGAGTCAGGCATCGTCACCTTTTGAAGCAATGAACTCCGCGTGCCTCTCGAGGTGTCAGCGGGATGTGAGGATTCCGTCAAAATGAGGCAGGGACCTAGGGCTTACTCTAAGGTCTCCACAGGGGATTCAGACATCCCTTCATGTTGTGACATGAAAGACGAGCCTGTATTCAAGCCACTGCAAGGAAATCCGGCCTCCTTTCAAGTTAGGGCTTCTCGCTGTATATTCCCCTTGAGGCAGCAAACTCGGAGTCCCTCCCACATACCTATTGCTGAGAGAAGCCTCCTCCTGAGGTGCTTCTGGAAAGTTGGCATACGTCTTGAGCCTAAGCCAGGGATTCAGCTCTCATCTCGAGACGATTTGTGGTACACAGAGCATTCCTCGAGTTGCTGTGCTGAAGTTGGTGTTCCTCTAGACTTGGGACAGTGTTCTCTGGGCATCTCTGGAGTTGCCTGAAGGAAGTCGAGCCACCGGTCGTGTTGAATGGGGAACGGGGAATGGCTCTGGAGTCAATGCAGGGGAATCGGGCCTCATCTCGAGTTGATTTGTGGCACCTGGAGCAGCTTTGCGTTGCTGGGGTGACCTCAGGGTCCGTCTAGACTGGTGACAGTGTTCTTGGGGACTGTCTCGAGATCCATTAAGCACGTCGAAGCTCCTGACTTGTTTGAATGGGATCACGGAATAGCTCTGCATGCACTGCAGGGGAATGGGGCCTCATCTCGCCTCTAGGGGGAAGTCTCATGGGTTTTCTCGAGTTGCGGCGGGGACCTGGGGTATGTTCTCGACTTACGGCGGGGATGGCCCTTCAAAACACGAGTTTCTTCAGTGACGTCAGGACTCCTGTCTAGTAATGAGGGACACCTCAGCAATCTCTTCGAGGCTTGGCAGGGCAAAAGGGACGCTTCTCGAGGTGAGCCAGGGCACCCAAGGACCCTTTCCAGTAGCCACAAGGATTTTGGGATTCCTATAAGTATTCAAGAGGAGTCAGGCATCGTCACCTTTTGAAGCAATGAACTCTGCGTGCCTCTCGAGGTGTCAGCGGGATGTGAGGTATTCCGTCAAAATGATGCAGGGACCTAGGGCTTCCTCTAAGGTCTCCACAGGGGATTCAGAAATCCCTTCATGTTGTCAGATCAAAGACTAGCCTGTATTCAAGCCACTGCAAGGAAATCTGGCCTCCGCTCACATTAGCGCTTCTTCCTGTGTATTCCCCTTGAGGCAGCAAACTCGGGGTCCCTCCCACATACCTATTGCTGAGAGAAGCCTCCTCATGCGGTGCTTCTGGAAAGTTGGCATACGTCTTGAGCCTAAGCCAGGGAATCAGCTTTCATCTCGAGATGATTTGGGATACACGGAGCATTCCTCGAGTTGCTGTGCTGAAGTTGGTGTTCCTCTAGACTTGGGACAGTGTTCTCGGGGCATCTCTGGAGTTGCCTGAAGGAAGTCGAGCCACCGGCCGTGTTAAATGGGGAACGGGGAATGGCTCTGGAGTCAATGCAGTGGAAGCGGGCTTCATCTCGAGTTGATTTGGGGCACATGGAGCAGCTTTGCGTTGCTGGGGTGACCTCAGGGTCCGTCTAGACTGGTGACAGTGTTCTTGGGGACTGTCTCGAGATCCATTAAGCAAGTCGAAGCTCCTGACTTGTTTGAATGGGATCACGGAATAGCTCTGCATGCACTGCAGGGGAATGGGGCCTCATCTCGCCTCTAGGGGGAAGTCTCATGGTTTTTCTCGAGTTGCGGCGGGGACCTGGGTTATGTTCTCGACTTACGGCGGGGATGGCCTTTCAAAACAGGAGTTTCTTCGGTGACGTCAGGACTCCTGTCTAGTAACGAGGGACACCTCAGCAATCTCTTCGAGGCTTGGCAGGGCAAAAGGGACGCTTCTCGAGGTGAGCCAGGGCACCCAAGGACCCTTTCCAGTAGCCACAGGGATTTTGGGATTCCTATCAGTATTCAAGAGGAGTCAGGCATCGTCACCTTTTGAAGCAATGAACTCTGCGTGCCTCTCGACGTGTCAGGGGGATGTGAGGTGTTCCGTCAAAATGAGGCAGGGACCTAGGGCTTCCTCTAAGGTCTCCACAGGGGATTCAGACATCCCTTCATGTTGTGAGATCAAAGACGAGCCTGTATTCAAGCCACTGCAAGGAAAACCGGCCTCATTTCAAGTTAGGACTTCTCGCTGTATATTCCCCTTGAGGCAGCAAACTCCGCGTCCCTCCCACATACCTATTGCCGAAAGAAGCCTCCTCCTGAGGTGCTTCTGGAAAGGTGGCATACGTCTTGAGCCTAAGCCAGGGAATCAGCTCTCATCTCGAGACGATTTGGGGTACACAGAGCATTCCTCGAGTTGCTGTGCTGAAGTTGGTGGTCCTCTAGACTTGGGACAGTGTTCTCGGGGCATCTCTGGAGTTGCCTGAAGGAAGTCTAGCCACCAGTCGCGTTGAATGGGGAACAGGGAATGGCTCTGGGGTCAATGCAGGGGAATTCGGCCTCATCTCGAGTTGATTTGGGGCACATGGAGCTGCTTTGCATTGCTGGGTGACCTCAGGGTCCGTCTAGACTTGTGACAGTGTTCTTGGGGACTATCTCGAGATCCATTAAGCAAGTCGAAGCTCCTGACTTGTTTGAATGGGATCACGGAATAGATCTGCATGCACTGCAAGGGAATGGGGCCTCATCTCGCCTCTAGGGGGAAGTCTCATGGTTTTTCTCGAGTTGCGGCGGGGACCTGGGGTATGTTCTCGACTTACGGCGGGGATGGCCCTTCAAGACACGAGTTTCTTCAGTGACGTCAGGACTCCTGCCTAGTAACGAGGGACACCTCAGCAATCTCTTCGAGGCTTGGCAGGGCAAAAGGGACGCTTCTCGAGGTGAGCCAGGGCACCCAAGGACCCTTTCCAGTAGCCACAGGGATTTTGGGATTCCTATCAGTATTCAAGAGGAGTCAGGCATCGTCACCTTTTGAAGCAATGAACTCCGCGTGCCTCTCGACGTGTCAGCGGGATGTGAGGATTCCGTCAAAATGAGGCAGGGACCTAGGGCTTTCTCTAAGGTCTCCACAGGGGATTCAGACATCCCTTCATGTTGTCATATCAAAGACAAGCCTGTATTCAAGCTACTGCAAGGAAATCCGGCCTCCTTTCAAGTTAGGGCTTCTCGCTGTATATTCCCCTTGAGGCAGCAAACTCGGAGTCCCTCCCACATACCTATTGCTGAGAAGCCTCCTCCTGAGGTGCTTCTGGAAAGGTGGCATACGTCTTGAGCCTAAGCCAGGGAATCAGCTCTCATCTCGAGACGATTTGGGGTACACAGAGCATTCCTCGAGTTGCTGTGCTGAAGTTGGTGTTCCTCTAGACTTGGGACAGTGTTCTCGGGGCATCTCTGGGGTTGCCTGAAGGAAACCGAGCCACCGGTCCTGTTGAATGGGGAACGGGGAATGGCTCTGGAATGAATGCAGGGGAATCGGGCCACATCTCGAGTTGATTTAGGGCACATGGAGCTGGTTTGCATTGCTGGGGTGACCTCAGGGTCCGTCTAGACTGGTGACAGTGTTCTTGGGGACTGTCTCGAGATCCATTAAGCAAGTCGAAGCTCCTGACTTGTTTGAATGGGATCACGGAATAGCTCTGCATGCACTGCAGGGGAATGGGGCCTCATCTCGCCTCTAGGGGGAAGTCTCATGGTTTTTCTCGAGTTGCGGCGGGGACCTGGGGTATGTTCTCGACTTACGGCAGGGATGGCCCTTCAAAACACGACTTTCTTCAGTGACGTCAGGACTCCTGCCTAGTAACGAGGGACACCTCAGGAATCTCTTCGAGTCTTGGCAGGGCAAAGGGACGCTTCTCGAGGTGAGCCAGGGCACCCAAGGACCCTTTCCAGTAGCCACAGGGATTTTGGGATTCCTATCAGTATTCAAGAGGAGTCAGGCATCGTCACCTTTTGAAGCAATGAACTCCGCGTGCCTCTCGAGGTGTCAGCGGGATGTGAGGCATTCCGTCAACATGAGGCAGGGACCTAGGGCTTTCTCTAAGGTCTCCACAGGGGATTCAGACATCCCTTCATGTTGTGAGATGAAAGACAAGCCTGTATTCAAGCTACTGCAAGGAAATCCGGCCTCCTTTCAAGTTAGGGCTTCTCGCTGTATATTCCCCTTGAGGCAGCAAACTCGGAGTCCCTCCCACATACCTATTGCTGAGAAGCCTCCTCCTGAGGTCCTTCTGGAAAGTTGGCATACGTCTTGAGCCTAAGCCAGGGAATCAGCTCTCATCTCGAGACGATTTGGGGTACACAGAGCATTCCTCGAGTTGCTGTGCTGAAGTTGGTGTTCCTCTAGACTTGGGACAGTGTTCTCGGGGCATATCTGGAATTGCCTGAAGGAAACCGAGCCACCGGTCCTGTTGAATGGGGAACGGGGAATGGCTCTGGAATCAATGCAGGGGAATCGGGCCTCATCTCGAGTTGATTTAGGGCACATGGAGCTGGTTTGCGTTGCTGGGGTGACCTCAGGGTCCGTCTAGACTGGTGACAGTGTTCTTGGGGACTGTCTCGAGATCCATTAAGCAAGTGGAAGCTCCTGACTTGTTTGAATGGGATCACGGAATAGCTCTGCATGCACTGCAGGGGAATGGGGCCTCATCTCGCCTCTAGGGGGAAGTCTCATGGTTTTTCTCGAGTTGCGGCGGGGACCTGGGGTATGTTCTCGACTTACGGCGGGGACGGCCCTTCAAAACACGAGTTTCTTCAGTGACGTCAGGACTCCTGTCTAGTAACGAGGGACACCTCAGCAATCTCTTCGAGGCTTGACAGGGCAAAAGGGACGCTTCTCGAGGTGAGCCAGGGCACCCAAGGACCCTTTCCAGTAGCCACAGGGATTTTGGGATTCCTATCAGTATTCAAGAGGAGTCAGGCATCGTCACCTTTTGAAGCAATGAACTCCGCGTGCCTCTCGAGGTGTCAGCGGGATGTGAGGATTCCGTCAAAATGAGGCAGGGACCTAGGGCTTTCTCTAAGGTCTCCACAGGGGATTCAGACATCCCTTCATGTTGTGAGATGAAAGACGAGCCTGTATTCAAGCCACTAGAAGGAAATCCGGCCTCCTTTCAAGTTAGGGCTTCTCGCTGTATATTCCCCTTGAGGCAGCAAACTCGGAGTCCCTCCCACATAACTATTCCTGAGAGAAGCCTCCTCCTGAGGTGCTTCTGGAAAGTTGGCATACGTCTTGAGCCTAAGCCAGGGATTCAGCTCTCATCTCGAGACGATTTGGGGTACACAGAGCATTCCTCGAGTTGCTGTGCTGAAGTTGTGGTACTCTAGACTTGGGACAGTGTTCTCGGGGCATCTCTGGAGTTGCCTGAAGGAAGGCGAGCCTCCGTTCGTGTTGCACAAACGGGGAATGGCTCTGGAGTCAATGCAGGGGAATCGGGCCTCATCTCGAGTTGATTTGGGGCACATGGAGCTGCTTTGCGTTGCTGGGGTGACCTCAGGGTCCGTCTAGACTGGTGACAGTGTTCTTGGGGACTGTCTCGAGATGCATTAAGCAAGTCGAAGCTCCTGACTTGTTTGAATGGGATCAGGGAATAGCTCTGCATGCACTGCAGGGGAATGGGGCCTCATCTCCCCTCTAGGGGGAAGTCTCATGGTTTTGCTCGAGTTGCGGCGGGGACCTGGGGTATGTTCTCGACTTACGGCGGGGACGGCCCTTCAAAACACGAGTTTCTTCAGTGACGTCAGGACTCCTGTCTAGTAACGAGGGACACCTCAGCAATCTCTTCGAGGCTTGGCAGGGCAAAAGGGACGCTTCTCGAAGTGAGGCAGGGCACCCAAGGAACCTTTCCAGTAGCCACAGGGATTTTGGGATTCCTATCAGTATTCAAGAGGAGTCAGGCATCTTCACCTTTTGAAGAAATGAACTCCGCATGCCTCTCGAGCTGTCAGCGGGATGTGAGGCATTCCGTCAAAATGAGGCAGGGACCTAGGGCTTTCTCTAAGGTCTTCACAGGGGATTCAGACATCCCTTCATGTTGTGAGATGAAAGACAAGCCTGTATTCAAGCTACTGCAAGGAAATCCTGCCTCCTTTCAAGTTAGGGCTTCTCGCTGTATATTCCCCTTGAGGCAGCAAACTCGGAGTCCCTCCCACATACCTATTGCTGAGAGAAGCCTCCTCCTGAGGTGCTTCTGGAAAGTTGGCATACGCCTTGAGCCTAAGCCAGGGATTCAGCTCTCATCTCGAGACGATTTGGGGTACACAGAGCATTCCTCGAGTTGCTGTGCTGAAGTTGGTGTTCCTCTACACTTGGGACAGTGTTCTCTGGGCATCTCTGGAGTCGAGCCACCGGTCGTGTTGAATGGGGAACGGGGAATGGCTCTGGAGTCAATGCAGGGGAATCGGGCCTCATCTCGACTTGATTTGTGGCACCTGGAGCTGCTTTGCGTTGCTGGGGTGACCTCAGGGTCCGTCTAGACTGGTGACAGTGTTCTTGGGGACTGACTCGAGACCCATTAAGCAAGTCGAAGCTCCTGACTTGTTTGAATGGGATCACGGAATAGCTCTGCATGCACTGCAGGGGAATGGGGCCTCATTTCGCCTCTAGGGGGAAGTCTCATGGTTTTTCTCGAGTTGCGGCGGGGACCTGGGGTATGTTCTCGACTTATGGCGGGGATGGCCCTTCAAAACACGAGTTTCTTCAGTGACGTCAGGACTCCTGTCTAGTAATGAGGGACAACTCAGCAATCTCTTCGAGGCTTGGCAGGGCATAAGGGACACTTCTCGAGGTGAACCAGGGCACCCAAGGACCCTTTCCAGTAGCCACAGGGATTTTGGGATTCCTATCAGTATTCAAGAGGAGTCAGGCATCGTCACCTTTTGAAGCAATGAACTCCGCGTGCCTCTCGAGGTGTCAGCGGGATGTGAGGATTCCATCAAAATGAGGCAGGGACCTAGGGCTTTCTCTAAGGTCTCCACAGGGGATTCAGACATCCCTTCATGTTGTGAGATGAAAGACGAGCCTGTATTCAAGCCACTGCAAGGAAATCCGGCCTCCTTTCAAGTTAGGGCTTCTCGCTCTATATTCCCCTTGAGGCAGCAAACTCGGAGTCCCTCCCACATACCTATTGCTGAGAAGCCTCCTCCTGAGGTGCTTCTGGAAAGGTGGCATACGTCTTGAGCTTAAGCCAGGGAATCAGCTCTCATCTCGAGACGATTTGGGGTACACAGAGCATTCCTCGAGTTGCTGTGCTGAAGTTGGTGTTCCTCTAGACTTGGGACAGTGTTCTCGGGGCATCTCTGGGGTTGCCTGAAGGAAACCGAGCCACCGGTCCTGTTGAATGGGGAACGGGGAATGGCTCTGGAATTAATGCAGGGGAATCGGGCCTCATCTCGAGTTGATTTAGGGCACATGGAGCTGGTTTGCATTGCTGGGGTGACCTCAGGGTCCGTCTAGACTGGTGACGGTGTTCTTGGGGACTGTCTCGAGATCCATTAAGCAAGTCGAAGCTCCTGACTTGTTTGAATGGGATCACGGAATAGCTCTGCATGCACTGCAGGGGAATGGGGCCTCATCTCGCCTCTAGGGGGAAGTCTCATGGTTTTTCTCGAGTTGCGGCGGGGACCTGGGGTATGTTCTCGACTTACGGCAGGGATGGCCCTTCAAAACACGACTTTCTTCAGTGACGTCAGGACTCCTGCCTAGTAACGAGGGACACCTCAGGAATCTCTTCGAGTCTTGGCAGGGCAAAAGGGACGCTTCTCGAGGTGAGCCAGGGCACCCAAGGACCCTTTCCAGTAGCCACAGGGATTTTGGGATTCCTATCAGTATTCAAGAGGAGTCAGGCATCGTCACCTTTTGAAGCAATGAACTCCGCGTGCCTCTCGAGGTGTCAGCGGGATGTGAGGCATTCCGTCAAAATGAGGCAGGGACCTAGGGCTTTCTCTAAGGTCTCCACAGGGGATTCAGACATCCCTTCATGTTGTGAGATGAAAGACAAGCCTGTATTCAAGCTACTGCAAGGAAATCCGGCCTCCTTTCAAGTTAGGGCTTCTCGCTGTATATTCCCCTTGAGGCAGCAAACTCGGAGTCCCTCCCACATACCTATTGCTGAGAAGCCTCCTCCTGAGGTGCTTCTGGAAAGTTGGCATACGTCTTGAGCCTAAGCCAGGGAATCAGCTCTCATCTCGAGACGATTTGGGGTACACAGAGCATTCCTCGAGTTGCTGTGCTGAAGTTGGTGTTCCTCTAGACTTGGGACAGTGTTCTCGGGGCATCTCTGGAGTTGCCTGAAGGAAACCGAGCCACCGGTCCTGTTGAATGGGGAACGGGGAATGGCTCTGGAATCAATGCAGGGGAATCGGGCCTCATCTCGAGTTGATTTAGGGCACATGGAGCTGGTTTGCGTTGCTGGGGTGACCTCAGGGTCCGTCTAGACTGGTGACAGTGTTCTTGGGGACTGTCTCGAGATCCATTAAGCAAGTCGAAGCTCCTGACTTGTTTGAATGGGATCACGGAATAGCTCTGCATGCACTGCAGGGGAATGGGGCCTCATCTCGCCTCTAGGGGGAAGTCTCATGGTTTTTCTCGAGTTGCGGCGGGGACCTGGGGTATGTTCTCGACTTACGGCGGGGACGGCCCTTCAAAACACGAGTTTCTTCAGTGACGTCAGGACTCCTGTCTAGTAACGAGGGACACCTCAGCAATCTCTTCGAGGCTTTGCAGGGCAAAAGGGACGCTTCTCGAGGTGAGCCAGGGCACCCAAGGACCCTTTCCAGTAGCCACAGGGATTTTGGGATTCCTATCAGTATTCAAGAGGAGTCAGGCATCGTCACCTTTTGAAGCAATGAACTCCGCGTGCCTCTCGAGGTGTCAGCGGGATGTGAGGATTCCGTCAAAATGAGGCAGGGACCTAGGGCTTTCTCTAAAGTCTCCACAGGGGATTCAGACATCCCTTCATGTTGTGAGATGAAAGACGAGCCTGTATTCAAGCCACTAGAAGGAAATCCGGCCTCCTTTCAAGTTAGGTCTTCTCGCTGTATATTCCCCTTGAGGCAGCAAACTCGGAGTCCCTCCCACATAACTATTCCTGAGAGAAGCCTCCTCCTGAGGTGCTTCTGGAAAGTTGGCATACGTCTTGAGCCTAAGCCAGGGATTCAGCTCTCATCTCGAGACGATTTGGGGTACACAGAGCATTCCTCGAGTTTCTGTGTGGAAGTTGGTGTTACTCTAGACTTGGGACAGTGTTCTCGGGGCATCTCTGGAGTTGCCTGAAGGAAGGCGAGCCTCCGTTCGTGTTGCACAAACGGGGAATGGCTCTGGAGTCAATGCAGGGGAATCGGGCCTCATCTCGAGTTGATTTGGGGCACTTGGAGCTGCTTTGCGTTGCTGGGGTGACCTCAGGGTCCGTCTAGACTGGTGACAGTGTTCTTGGGGACTGTCTCGAGATGCATTAAGCAAGTCGAAGCTCCTGACTTGTTTGAATGGGATCACGGAATAGCTCTGCATGCACTGCAGGGGAATGGGGCCTCATCTCGCCTCTAGGGGGAAGTCTCATGGTTTTGCTCGAGTTGCGGCGGGGACCTGGGGTATGTTCTCGACTTACGGCGGGGATGGCCCTTCAAAACACGAGTTTCTTCAGTGACGTCAGGACTCCTGTCTAGTAACGAGGGACACCTCAGCAATCTCTTCGAGGCTTGGCAGGGCAAAAGGGACGCTTCTCGAAGTGAGGCAGGGCACCCAAGGAACCTTTCCAGTAGCCACAGGGATTTTGGGATTCCTATCAGTATTCAAGAGGAGTCAGGCATCGTCACCTTTTGAAGAAATGAACTCCGCATGCCTCTCGAGCTGTCAGCGGGATGTGAGGCATTCCGTCAAAATGAGGCAGGGACCTAGGGCTTTCTCTAAGGTCTTCACAGGGGATTCAGACATCCCTTCATGTTGTGAGATGAAAGACAAGCCTGTATTCAAGCTACTGCAAGGAAATCCTGCCTCCTTTCAAGTTAGGGCTTCTCGCTGTATATTCCCCTTGAGGCAGCAAACTCGGAGTCCCTCCCACATACCTATTGCTGAGAGAAGCCTCCTCCTGAGGTGCTTTTGGAAAGTTGGCATACGCCTTGAGCCTAAGCCAGGGATTCAGCTCTCATCTCGAGACGATTTGGGGTACACAGAGCATTCCTCGAGTTGCTGTGCTGAAGTTGGTGTTCCTCTAGACTTGGGACAGTGTTCTCTGGGCATCTCTGGAGTTGCCTGAAGGAAGTCGAGCCACCGGTCGTGTTGAATGGGGAACGGGGAATGGCTCTGGAGTCAATGCAGGGGAATCGGGCCTCATCTCGACTTGATTTGTGGCACCTGGAGCTGCTTTGCGTTGCTGGGGTGACCTCAGGGTCCGTCTAGACTGGTGACAGTGTTCTTGGGGACTGACTCGAGATCCATTACGCAAGTCGAAGCTCCTGACTTGTTTGAATGGGATCACGGAATAGCTCTGCATGCACTGCAGGGGAATGGGGCCTCATCTCGCCTCTAGGGGGAAGTCTCATGTTTTTTCTCGAGTTGCGGCGGGGACCTGGGGTATGTTCTCGACTTATGGCGGGGATGGCCCTTCAAAACACGAGTTTCTTCAGTGACGTCAGGACTCCTGTCTAGTAATGAGGGACAACTCAGCAATCTCTTCGAGGCTTGGCAGGGCAAAAGGGACGCTTCTCGAGGTGAGCCAGGGCACCCAAGGACCCTTTCCAGTAGCCACAGGGATTTTGGGATTCCTATAAGTATTCAAGAGGAGTCAGGCATCGTCACCTTTTGAAGCAATGAACTCCGCGTGCCTCTCGAGGTGTCAGCGGGATGTGAGGATTCCATCAAAATGAGGCAGGGACCTAGGGCTTTCTCTAAGGTCTCCACAGGGGATTCAGACATCCCTTCATGTTGTGAGATGAAAGACGAGCCTGTATTCAAGCCACTGCAAGGAAATCCGGCCTCCTTTCAAGTTAGGGCTTCTCGCTCTATATTCCCCTTGAGGCAGCAAAATCGGGGTTCCTCCCACATACCTATTGCTGAGAGAAGCCTCCTCCTGAGGTGCTTCTGGAAAGGTGGCATACATCTTGAGCCTAAGCCAGGGAATCAGCTCTCATCTCGAGACGATTTGGGGTACACAGAGCATTCCTCGAGTTGCTGTGCTGAAGTTGGTGGTCCTCTAGACTTGGGACAGTGTTCTCGGGGCATATCTGGAGTTGCCGGAAGGAAGTCGAGCCACCGGTCGTGTTGAATGGGGAACAAGGAATGGCTCTGGAGTCAATGTAGGGGAATCCGGCCTCATCTCGAGTTGATTTGGGGCACATGGAGCAGCTTTGCATTGCTGGGTGACCTCAGGGTCCGTCTAGACTGGTGACAGTGTTCTTGGGGACTGTCTCGAGATCCATTAAGCAAGTCGAAGCTCCTGACTTGTTTGAATGGGAACACGGAATAGCTCTGCATGCACTGCAGGGGAATGGGGCCTCATCTCGCCTCTAGGGGGAAGTCTCATGGTTTTTCTCGAGTTGCGGCGGGGACCTGGGGTATGTTCTCGACTTACGGCGGGGATGGCCCTTCAAAACACGAGTTTCTTCAGTGACGTCAGGACTCCTGTCTAGTAACGAGGGATACCTCAGCAATCTCTTCGAGGCTTGGCAGGGCAAAAGGGACGCTTCTCGAGGTGAGACAGGGCACCCAAGGACCCTTTCCAGTAGCCACAGGGATTTCGGGATTCCTATAAGTATTCAAGAGGAGTCAGGCATCGTCACCTTTTGAAGCAATGAACTCCGCGTGCCTCTCGACGTGTCAGGGGGATGTGAGGTGTTCCGTCAAAATGAGGCAGGGACCTAGGGCTTCCTCTAAGGTCTCCACAGGGGATTCAGACATCCTTCATGTTGTGAGATCAAAGACGAGCCTGTATTCAAGCCACTGCAAGGAAAACCGGCCTCATTTCAAGTTAGGGCTTCTCGCTGTATATTCCCCTTGAGGCAGCAAACTCCGGGTCCCTCCCACATACCTATTGCTGAGAGAAGCCTCCTCCTGAGGTGCTTCTGGAAAGGTGGCATACGTCTTGAGCCTAAGCCAGGGAATCAGCTCTCATCTCGAGACGATTTGGGGTACACAGTGCATTCCTCGAGTTGCTGTGCTGAAGTTGGTGGTCCTCTAGACTTGGGACAGTGTTCTCGGGGCATCTCTGGAGTTGCCTGAAGGAAGTCGAGCCACCGGTCGCGTTGAATGTGGAACAGGGAATGGCTCTGGAGTCAATGCAGGGGAATTCGGCCTCATCTCGAGTTGATTTGGGGCACATGGAGCTGCTTTGCATTGCTGGGTGATCTCAGGGTCCGTCTAGACTGGTGACAGTGTTCTTGGGGACTGTCTCGAAATCCATTAAGCAAGTCGAAGCTCCTGACTTGTTTGAATGGGATCACGGAATAGCTCTGCATGCACTGCAGGGGAATGGGGCCTCATCTCGCCTCTAGGGGGAAGTCTCATGGTTTTTCTCGAGTTGCGGCGGGGACCTGGGGTATGTTCTCGACTTACGGCAGGGATGGCCCTTCAAAACACGACTTTCTTCAGTGACGTCAGGACTCTTGCCTAGTAACGAGGGACACCTCAGGAATCTCTTCGAGTCTTGGCAGGGCAAAAGGGACGCTTCTCGAGGTGAGCCAGGGCACCCAAGGACCCTTTCCAGTAGCCACAGGGATTTTGGGATTCCTATCAGTATTCAAGAGGAGTCAGGCATCGTCACCTTTTGAAGCAATGAACTCCGCGTGCCTCTCGAGGTGTCAGCGGGATGTGAGGCATTCCGTCAAAATGAGGCAGGGACCTAGGGCTTTCTCTAAGGTCTCCACAGGGGATTCAGACATCCCTTCATGTTGTGAGATGAAAGACAAGCCTGTATTCAAGCTACTGCAAGGAAATCCGGCCTCCTTTCAAGTTAGGGCTTCTCGCTGTATATTCCCCTTGAGGCAGCAAACTCGGAGTCCCTCCCACATACCTATTGCTGAGAAGCCTCCTCCTGAGGTGCTTCTGGAAAGTTGGCATACGTCTTGAGCCTAAGCCAGGGAATCAGCTCTCATCTCGAGACGATTTGGGGTACACAGAGCATTCCTCGAGTTGCTGTGCTGAAGTTGGTGTTCCTCTAGTCTTGGGACAGTGTTCTCGGGGCATCTCTGGAGTTGCCTGAAGGAAACCGAGCCACCGGTCCTGTTGAATGGGGAACGGGGAATGGCTCTGGAATCAATGCAGGCGAACCGGGCCTCATCTCGAGTTGATTTAGGGCACATGGAGCTGGTTTGCGTTGCTGGGGTGACCTCAGGGTCCGTCTAGACTGGTGACAGTGTTCTTGGGGACTGTCTCGAGATCCATTAAGCAAGTCGAAGCTCCTGACTTGTTTGAATGGGATCACGGAATAGCTCTGCATGCACTGCAGGGGAATGGGGCCTCATCTCGCCTCTAGGGGGAAGTCTCATGGTTTTGCTCGAGTTGCGGCGGGGACCTGGGGTATGTTCTCGACTTACGGCGGGGACGGCCCTTCAAAACACGAGTTTCTTCAGTGACGTCAGGACTCCTGTCTAGTAACGAGGGATACCTCAGCAATCTCTTCGAGGCTTGGCAGGGCAAAAGGGACGCTTCTCGAGGTGAGCCAGGGCACCCAAGGACCCTTTCCAGTAGCCACAGGGATTTCGGGATTCCTATAAGTATTCAAGAGGAGTCAGGCATCGTCACCTTTTGAAGCAATGAACTCCGCGTGCCTCTCGACGTGTCAGGGGGATGTGAGGTGTTCCGTCAAAATGAGGCAGGGACCTAGGGCTTCCTCTAAGGTCTCCACAGGGGATTCAGACATCCCTTCATGTTGTGAGATCAAAGACGAGCCTGTATTCAAGCCACTGCAAGGAAAACCGGCCTCATTTCAAGTTAGGGCTTCTCGCTGTATATTCCCCTTGAGGCAGCAAACTCCGGGTCCCTCCCACATACCTATTGCTGAGAGAAGCCTCCTCCTGAGGTGCTTCTGGAAAGGTGGCATACGTCTTGAGCCTAAGCCAGGGAATCAGCTCTCATCTCGAGACGATTTGGGGTACACAGTGCATTCCTCGAGTTGCTGTGCTGAAGTTGGTGGTCCTCTAGACTTGGGACAGTGTTCTCGGGGCATCTCTGGAGTTGCCTGAAGGAAGTCGAGCCACCGGTCGCGTTGAATGTGGAACAGGGAATGGCTCTGGAGTCAATGCAGGGGAATTCGGCCTCATCTCGAGTTGATTTGGGGCACATGGAGCTGCTTTGCATTGCTGGGTGATCTCAGGGTCCGTCTAGACTGGTGACAGTGTTCTTGGGGACTGTCTCGAAATCCATTAAGCAAGTCGAAGCTCCTGACTTGTTTGAATGGGATCACGGAATAGCTCTGCATGCACTGCAGGGGAATGGGGCCTCATCTCGCCTCTAGGGGGAAGTCTCATGGTTTTTCTCGAGTTGCGGCGGGGACCTGGGGTATGTTCTCGACTTACGGCAGGGATGGCCCTTCAAAACACGACTTTCTTCAGTGACGTCAGGACTCTTGCCTAGTAACGAGGGACACCTCAGGAATCTCTTCGAGTCTTGGCAGGGCAAAAGGGACGCTTCTCGAGGTGAGCCAGGGCACCCAAGGACCCTTTCCAGTAGCCACAGGGATTTTGGGATTCCTATCAGTATTCAAGAGGAGTCAGGCATCGTCACCTTTTGAAGCAATGAACTCCGCGTGCCTCTCGAGGTGTCAGCGGGATGTGAGGCATTCCGTCAAAATGAGGCAGGGACCTAGGGCTTTCTCTAAGGTCTCCACAGGGGATTCAGACATCCCTTCATGTTGTGAGATGAAAGACAAGCCTGTATTCAAGCTACTGCAAGGAAATCCGGCCTCCTTTCAAGTTAGGGCTTCTCGCTGTATATTCCCCTTGAGGCAGCAAACTCGGAGTCCCTCCCACATACCTATTGCTGAGAAGCCTCCTCCTGAGGTGCTTCTGGAAAGTTGGCATACGTCTTGAGCCTAAGCCAGGGAATCAGCTCTCATCTCGAGACGATTTGGGGTACACAGAGCATTCCTCGAGTTGCTGTGCTGAAGTTGGTGTTCCTCTAGACTTGGGACAGTGTTCTCGGGGCATCTCTGGAGTTGCCTGAAGGAAACCGAGCCACCGGTCCTGTTGAATGGGGAACGGGGAATGGCTCTGGAATCAATGCAGGGGAATCGGGCCTCATCTCGAGTTGATTTAGGGCACATGGAGCTGGTTTGCGTTGCTGGGGTGACCTCAGGGTCCGTCTAGACTGGTGACAGTGTTCTTGGGGACTGTCTCGAGATCCATTAAGCAAGTCGAAGCTCCTGACTTGTTTGAATGGGATCACGGAATAGCTCTGCATGCACTGCAGGGGAATGGGGCCTCATCTCGCCTCTAGGGGGAAGTCTCATGGTTTTGCTCGAGTTGCGGCGGGGACCTGGGGTATGTTCTCGACTTACGGCGGGGACGGCCCTTCAAAACACGAGTTTCTTCAGTGACGTCAGGACTCCTGTCTAGTAACGAGGGACACCTCAGCAATCTCTTCGAGGCTTGGCAGGGCAAAAGGGACGCTTCTCGAGGTGAGCCAGGGCACCCAAGGACCCTTTCCAGTAGCCACAGGGATTTTGGGATTCCTATCAGTATTCAAGAGGAGTCAGGCATCGTCACCTTTTGAAGCAATGAACTCCGCGTGCCTCTCGAGGTGTCAGCGGGATGTGAGGATTCCGTCAAAATGAGGCAGGGACCTAGGGCTTTCTCTAAGGTCTCCACAGGGGATTCAGACATCCCTTCATGTTGTGAGATGAAAGACGAGCCTGTATTCAAGCCACTAGAAGGAAATCCGGCCTCCTTTCAAGTTAGGGCTTCTCGCTGTATATTCCCCTTGAGGCAGCAAACTCGGAGTCCCTCCCACATACCTATTGCTGAGAGAAGCCTCCTCCTGAGGTGCTTCTGGAAAGTTGGCATACGTCTTGAGCCTAAGCCAGGGATTCAGCTCTCATCTTGAGACGATTTGGGGTACACAGAGCATTCCTCGAGTTGCTGTGCGGAAGTTGGTGTTACTCTAGACTTGGGACAGTGTTCTTGGGGCATCTCTGGAGTTGCCCTGAAGGAAGGCGAGCCTCCGTTCGTGTTTCACAAACGGGGAATGGCTCTGGAGTCAATGCAGGGGAATCGGGCCTCATCTCGAGTTGATTTGGGGCACATGGAGCTGGTTTGCGTTGCTGGGGTGACCTCAGGGTCCGTCTAGACTGGTGACAGTGTTCTTGGGGACTGTCTCGAGATGCATTAAGCAAGTCGAAGCTCCTGACTTGTTTGAATGGGATCACGGAATAGCTCTGCATGCACTGCAGGGGAATGGGGCCTCATCTCGCCTCTAGGGGGAAGTCTCATGGTTTTGCTCGAGTTGCGGCGGGGACCTGGGTTATGTTCTCGACTTACGGCGGGGATGGCCCTTCAAAACACGAGTTTCTTCAGTGACGTCAGGACTCCTGTCTAGTAACGAGGGACACCTCAGCAATCTCTTCGAGGCTTGGCAGGGCAAAAGGGACGCTTCTCGAAGTGAGGCAGGGCACCCAAGGAACCTTTCCAGTAGCCACAGGGATTTTGGGATTCCTATCAGTATTCAAGAGGAGTCAGGCATCGTCACCTTTTGAAGCAATGAACTCCGCGTGCCTCTCGAGGTGTCAGCGGGATGTGAGGATTCCGTCAAAATGAGGCAGGGACCTAGGGCTTACTCTAAGGTCTCCACAGGGGATTCAGACATCCCTTCATGTTGTGACATGAAAGACGAGCCTGTATTCAAGCCACTGCAAGGAAATCCGGCCTCCTTTCAAGTTAGGGCTTCTCGCTGTATATTCCCCTTGAGGCAGCAAACTCGGAGTCCCTCCCACATACCTATTGCTGAGAGAAGCCTCCTCCTGAGGTGCTTCTGGAAAGTTGGCATACGTCTTGAGCCTAAGCCAGGGATTCAGCTCTCATCTCGAGACGATTTGTGGTACACAGAGCATTCCTCGAGTTGCTGTGCTGAAGTTGGTGTTCCTCTAGACTTGGGACAGTGTTCTCTGGGCATCTCTGGAGTTGCCTGAAGGAAGTCGAGCCACCGGTCGTGTTGAATGGGGAACAGGGAATGGCTCTGGAGTCAATGCAGGGGAATCGGGCCTCATCTCGAGTTGATTTGTGTCACCTGGAGCTGCTTTGCATTGCTGGGGTGACCTCAGGGTCCGTCTAGACTGGTGACAGTGTTCTTGGGGACTGTCTCGAGATCCATTAAGCAAGTCGAAGCTCCTGACTTGTTTGAATTTGATCACGGAATACCTCTGCATGCACTGCAGGGGAATGGGGCCTCATCTCGCCTCTAGGGGGAAGTCTCATGGTTTTTCTCGAGTTGCGGCGGGGAACTGGGGTATGTTCTCAACTTACGGCGGGGATGGCCCTTCAAAACACGAGTTTCTTCAGTGACGTCAGGACTCCTGTCTAGTAACGAGGGACACGTCAGCAATCTCTTCGAGGCTTGGCAGGGCAAAAGGGACGCTTCTCGAGGTGAGCCAGGGCACCCAAAGGCCCTTTCCAGTAGCCACAGGGATTTTGGGATTCCTATCAGTATTCAAGAGGAGTCAGGCATCGTCACCTTTTGAAGCAATGAACTCCGCGTGCCTCTCGAGGTGTCAGCGGGATGTGAGGATTCCATCAAAATGAGGCAGGGACCTAGGGCTTTCTCTAAGGTCTCCACAGGGGATTCAGACATCCCTTCATGTTGTGAGATGAAAGACGAGCCTGTATTCAAGCCACTGCAAGGAAATCCGGCCTCCTTTCAAGTTAGGGCTTCTCGCTCTATATTCCCCTTGAGGCAGCAAACTCGGAGTCCCTCCCACATACCTATTGCTGAGAAGCCTCCTCCTGAGGTGCTTCTGGAAAGGTGGCATACGTCTTGAGCTTAAGCCAGGGAATCAGCTCTCATCTCGAGACGATTTGGGGTACACAGAGCATTCCTCGAGTTGCTGTGCTGAAGTTGGTGTTCCTCTAGACTTGGGACAGTGTTCTCGGGGCATCTCTGGGGTTGCCTGAAGGAAACCGAGCCACCGGTCCTGTTGAATGGGGAACGGGGAATGGCTCTGGAATCAATGCAGGGGAATCGGGCCTCATCTCGAGTTGATTTAGGGCACATGGAGCTGGTTTGCATTGCTGGGGTGACCTCAGGGTCCGTCTAGACTGGTGACAGTGTTCTTGGGGACTGTCTCGAGATCCATTAAGCAAGTCGAAGCTCCTGACTTGTTTGAATGGGATCACGGAATAGCTCTGCATGCACTGCAGGGGAATGGGGCCTCATCTCGCCTCTAGGTGGAAGTCTCATGGTTTTTCTCGAGTTGCGGCGGGGACCTGGGGTATGTTCTCGACTTACGGCAGGGATGGCCCTTCAAAACACGACTTTCTTCAGTGACGTCAGGACTCCTGCCTAGTAACGAGGGACACCTCAGGAATCTCTTCGAGTCTTGGCAGGGCAAAAGGGACGCTTCTCGAGGTGAGCCAGGGCACCCAAGGACCCTTTCCAGTAGCCACAGGGATTTTGGGATTCCTATCAGTATTCAAGAGGAGTCAGGCATCGTCACCTTTTGAAGCAATGAACTCCGCGTGCCTCTCGAGGTGTCAGCGGGATGTGAGGCATTCCGTCAAAATGAGGCAGGGACCTAGGGCTTTCTCTAAGGTCTCCACAGGGGATTCAGACATCCCTTCATGTTGTGAGATGAAAGACAAGCCTGTATTCAAGCTACTGCAAGGAAATCCGGCCTCCTTTCAAGTTAGGGCTTCTCGCTGTATATTCCCCTTGAGGCAGCAAACTCGGAGTCCCTCCCACATACCTATTGCTGAGAAGCCTCCTCCTGAGGTGCTTCTGGAAAGTTGGCATACGTCTTGAGCCTAAGCCAGGGAATCAGCTCTCATCTCGAGACGATTTGGGGTACACAGAGCATTCCTCGAGTTGCTGTGCTGAAGTTGGTGTTCCTCTAGACTTGGGACAGTGTTCTCGGGGCATCTCTGGAGTTGCCTGAAGGAAACCGAGCCACCGGTCCTGTTGAATGGGGAACGGGGAATGGCTCTGGAGTCAATGCAGGGGAATCGGGCCTCATCTCGACTTGATTTGTGGCACCTGGAGCTGCTTTGCGTTGCTGGGGTGACCTCAGGGTCCGTCTAGACTGGTGACAGTGTTCTTGGGGACTGACTCGAGATCCATTACGCAAGTCGAAGCTCCTGACTTGTTTGAATGGGATCACGGAATAGCTCTGCATGCACTGCAGGGGAATGGGGCCTCATCTCGCCTCTAGGGGGAAGTCTCATGTTTTTTCTCGAGTTGCGGCGGGGACCTGGGGTATGTTCTCGACTTATGGCGGGGATGGCCCTTCAAAACACGAGTTTCTTCAGTGACGTCAGGACTCCTGTCTAGTAATGAAGGACAACTCAGCAATCTCTTCGAGGCTTGGCAGGGCAAAAGGGACGCTTCTCGAGGTGAGCCAGGGCACCCAAGGACCCTTTCCAGTAGCCACAGGGATTTTGGGATTCCTATAAGTATTCAAGAGGAGTCAGGCATCGTCACCTTTTGAAGCAATGAACTCCGCGTGCCTCTCGAGGTGTCAGCGGGATGTGAGGATTCCATCAAAATGAGGCAGGGACCTAGGGCTTTCTCTAAGGTCTCCACAGGGGATTCAGACATCCCTTCATGTTGTGAGATGAAAGACGAGCCTGTATTCAAGCCACTGCAAGGAAATCCGGCCTCCTTTCAAGTTAGGGCTTCTCGCTCTATATTCCCCTTGAGGCAGCAAAATCGGGGTTCCTCCCACATACCTATTGCTGAGAGAAGCCTCCTCCTGAGGTGCTTCTGGAAAGGTGGCATACATCTTGAGCCTAAGCCAGGGAATCAGCTCTCATCTCGAGACGATTTGGGGTACACAGAGCATTCCTCGAGTTGCTGTGCTGAAGTTGGTGGTCCTCTAGACTTGGGACAGTGTTCTCGGGGCATATCTGGAGTTGCCGGAAGGAAGTCGAGCCACCGGTCGTGTTGAATGGGGAACAAGAAATGGCTCTGGAGTCAATGTAGGGGAATCCGGCCTCATCTCGAGTTGATTTGGGGCACATGGAGCAGCTTTGCATTGCTGGGTGACCTCAGGGTCCGTCTAGACTGGTGACAGTGTTCTTGGGGACTGTCTCGAGATCCATTAAGCAAGTCGAAGCTCCTGACTTGTTTGAATGGGAACACGGAATAGCTCTGCATGCACTGCAGGGGAATGGGGCCTCATCTCGCCTCTAGGGGGAAGTCTCATGGTTTTTCTCGAGTTGCGGCGGGGACCTGGGGTATGTTCTCGACTTACGGCGGGGATGGCCCTTCAAAACACGAGTTTCTTCAGTGACGTCAGGACTCCTGTCTAGTAACGAGGGATACCTCAGCAATCTCTTCGAGGCTTGGCAGGGCAAAAGGGATGCTTCTCGAGGTGAGCCAGGGCACCCAAGGACCCTTTCCAGTAGCCACAGGGATTTCGGGATTCCTATAAGTATTCAAGAGGAGTCAGGCATCGTCACCTTTTGAAGCAATGAACTCCGCGTGCCTCTCGACGTGTCAGGGGGATGTGAGGTGTTCCGTCAAAATGAGGCAGGGACCTAGGGCTTCCTCTAAGGTCTCCACAGGGGATTCAGACATCCCTTCATGTTGTGAGATCAAAGACGAGCCTGTATTCAAGCCACTGCAAGGAAAACCGGCCTCATTTCAAGTTAGGGCTTCTCGCTGTATATTCCCCTTGAGGCAGCAAACTCCGGGTCCCTCCCACATACCTATTGCTGAGAGAAGCCTCCTCCTGAGGTGCTTCTGGAAAGGTGGCATACGTCTTGAGCCTAAGCCAGGGAATCAGCTCTCATCTCGAGACGATTTGGGGTACACAGAGCATTCCTCGAGTTGCTGTGCTGAAGTTGGTGTTCCTCTAGACTTGGGACAGTGTTCTCGGGGCATCTCTGGAGTTGCCTGAAGGAAACCGAGCCACCGGTCCTGTTGAATGGGGAAAGGGAATGGCTCTGGAATCAATGCAGGCGAATCGGGCCTCATCTCGAGTTGATTTAGGGCACATGGAGCTGGTTTGCGTTGCTGGGGTGACCTCAGGGTCCGTCTAGACTGGTGACAGTGTTCTTGGGGACTGTCTCGAGATCCATTAAGCAAGTCGAAGCTCCTGACTTGTTTGAATGGGATCACGGAATAGCTCTGCATGCACTGCAGGGGAATGGGGCCTCATCTCGCCTCTAGGGGGAAGTCTCATGGTTTTGCTCGAGTTGCGGCGGGGACCTGGGGTATGTTCTCGACTTACGGCGGGGACGGCCCTTCAAAACACGAGTTTCTTCAGTGACGTCAGGACTCCTGTCTAGTAACGAGGGATACTTCAGCAATCTCTTCGAGGCTTGGCAGGGCAAAAGGGACGCTTCTCGAGGTGAGCCAGGGCACCCAAGGACCCTTTCCAGTAGCCACAGGGATTTCGGGATTCCTATAAGTATTCAAGAGGAGTCAGGCATCGTCACCTTTTGAAGCAATGAACTCCGCGTGCCTCTCGACGTGTCAGGGGGATGTGAGGTGTTCCGTCAAAATGAGGCAGGGACCTAGGGCTTCCTCTAAGGTCTCCACAGGGGATTCAGACATCCCTTCATGTTGTGAGATCAAAGACGAGCCTGTATTCAAGCCACTGCAAGGAAAACCGGCCTCATTTCAAGTTAGGGCTTCTCGCTGTATATTCCCCTTGAGGCAGCAAACTCCGGGTCCCTACCACATACCTATTGCTGAGAGAAGCCTCCTCCTGAGGTGCTTCTGGAAAGGTGGCATACGTCTTGAGTCTAAGCAAGGGCATCAGCTCTCATCTCGAGACGATTTGGGGTACACAGTGCATTCCTCGAGTTGCTGTGCTGAAGTTGGTGGTCCTCTAGACTTGGGACAGTGTTCTCGGGGCATCTCTGGAGTTGCCTGAAGGAAGTCGAGCCACCGGTCGCGTTGAATGTGGAACAGGGAATGGCTCTGGAGTCAATGCAGGGGAATTCGGCCTCATCTCGAGTTGATTTGGGGCACATGGAGCTGCTTTGCATTGCTGGGTGATCTCAGGGTCCGTCTAGACTGGTGACAGTGTTCTTGGGGACTGTCTCGAAATCCATTAAGCAAGTCGAAGCTCCTGACTTGTTTGAATGGGATCACGGAATAGCTCTGCATGCACTGCAGGGGAATGGGGCCTCATCTCGCCTCTAGGGGGAAGTCTCATGGTTTTTCTCGAGTTGCGGCGGGGACCTGGGGTATGTTCTCGACTTACGGCAGGGATGGCCCTTCAAAACACGACTTTCTTCAGTGACGTCAGGACTCTTGCCTAGTAACGAGGGACACCTCAGGAATCTCTTCGAGTCTTGGCAGGGCAAAAGGGACGCTTCTCGAGGTGAGCCAGGGCACCCAAGGACCCTTTCCAGTAGCCACAGGGATTTTGGGATTCCTATCAGTATTCAAGAGGAGTCAGGCATCGTCACCTTTTGAAGCAATGAACTCCGCGTGCCTCTCGAGGTGTCAGCGGGATGTGAGGCATTCCGTCAAAATGAGGCAGGGACCTAGGGCTTTCTCTAAGGTCTCCACAGGGGATTCAGACATCCCTTCATGTTGTGAGATGAAAGACAAGCCTGTATTCAAGCTACTGCAAGGAAATCCGGCCTCCTTTCAAGTTAGGGCTTCTCGCTGTATATTCCCCTTGAGGCAGCAAACTCGGAGTCCCTCCCACATACCTATTGCTGAGAAGCCTCCTCCTGAGGTGCTTCTGGAAAGTTGGCATACGTCTTGAGCCTAAGCCAGGGAATCAGCTCTCATCTCGAGACGATTTGGGGTACACAGAGCATTCCTCGAGTTGCTGTGCTGAAGTTGGTGTTCCTCTAGACTTGGGACAGTGTTCTCGGGGCATCTCTGGAGTTGCCTGAAGGAAACCGAGCCACCGGTCCTGTTGAATGGGGAACGGGGAATGGCTCTGGAATCAATGCAGGGGAATCGGGCCTCATCTCGAGTTGATTTAGGGCACATGGAGCTGGTTTGCGTTGCTGGGGTGACCTCAGGGTCCGTCTAGACTGGTGACAGTGTTCTTGGGGACTGTCTCGAGATCCATTAAGCAAGTCGAAGCTCCTGACTTGTTTGAATGGGATCACGGAATAGCTCTGCATGCACTGCAGGGGAATGGGGCCTCATCTCGCCTCTAGGGGGAAGTCTCATGGTTTTGCTCGAGTTGCGGCGGGGACCTGGGGTATGTTCTCGACTTACGGCGGGGACGGCCCTTCAAAACACGAGTTTCTTCAGTGACGTCAGGACTCCTGTCTAGTAATGAGGGACAACTCAGCAATCTCTTCGAGGCTTGGCAGGGCAAAAGGGACGCTTCTCGAGGTGAGCCAGGGCACCCAAGGACCCTTTCCAGTAGCCACAGGGATTTTGGGATTCCTATAAGTATTCAAGAGGAGTCAGGCATCGTCACCTTTTGAAGCAATGAACTCCGCGTGCCTCTCGAGGTGTCAGCGGGATGTGAGGATTCCATCAAAATGAGGCAGGGACCTAGGGCTTTCTCTAAGGTCTCCACAGGGGATTCAGACATCCCTTCATGTTGTGAGATGAAAGACGAGCCTGTATTCAAGCCACTGCAAGGAAATCCGGCCTCCTTTCAAGTTAGGGCTTCTCGCTCTATATTCCCCTTGAGGCAGCAAAATCGGGGTTCCTCCCACATACCTATTGCTGAGAGAAGCCTCCTCCTGAGGTGCTTCTGGAAAGGTGGCATACATCTTGAGCCTAAGCCAGGGAATCAGCTCTCATCTCGAGACGATTTGGGGTACACAGAGCATTCCTCGAGTTGCTGTGCTGAAGTTGGTGGTCCTCTAGACTTGGGACAGTGTTCTCGGGGCATATCTGGAGTTGCCGGAAGGAAGTCGAGCCACCGGTCGTGTTGAATGGGGAACAAGAAATGGCTCTGGAGTCAATGTAGGGGAATCCGGCCTCATCTCGAGTTGATTTGGGGCACATGGAGCAGCTTTGCATTGCTGGGTGACCTCAGGGTCCGTCTAGACTGGTGACAGTGTTCTTGGGGACTGTCTCGAGATCCATTAAGCAAGTCGAAGCTCCTGACTTGTTTGAATGGGAACACGGAATAGCTCTGCATGCACTGCAGGGGAATGGGGCCTCATCTCGCCTCTAGGGGGAAGTCTCATGGTTTTTCTCGAGTTGCGGCGGGGACCTGGGGTATGTTCTCGACTTACGGCGGGGATGGCCCTTCAAAACACGAGTTTCTTCAGTGACGTCAGGACTCCTGTCTAGTAACGAGGGATACCTCAGCAATCTCTTCGAGGCTTGGCAGGGCAAAAGGGATGCTTCTCGAGGTGAGCCAGGGCACCCAAGGACCCTTTCCAGTAGCCACAGGGATTTCGGGATTCCTATAAGTATTCAAGAGGAGTCAGGCATCGTCACCTTTTGAAGCAATGAACTCCGCGTGCCTCTCGACGTGTCAGGGGGATGTGAGGTGTTCCGTCAAAATGAGGCAGGGACCTAGGGCTTCCTCTAAGGTCTCCACAGGGGATTCAGACATCCCTTCATGTTGTGAGATCAAAGACGAGCCTGTATTCAAGCCACTGCAAGGAAAACCGGCCTCATTTCAAGTTAGGGCTTCTCGCTGTATATTCCCCTTGAGGCAGCAAACTCCGGGTCCCTCCCACATACCTATTGCTGAGAGAAGCCTCCTCCTGAGGTGCTTCTGGAAAGGTGGCATACGTCTTGAGCCTAAGCCAGGGAATCAGCTCTCATCTCGAGACGATTTGGGGTACACAGAGCATTCCTCGAGTTGCTGTGCTGAAGTTGGTGTTCCTCTAGACTTGGGACAGTGTTCTCGGGGCATCTCTGGAGTTGCCTGAAGGAAACCGAGCCACCGGTCCTGTTGAATGGGGAAAGGGAATGGCTCTGGAATCAATGCAGGCGAATCGGGCCTCATCTCGAGTTGATTTAGGGCACATGGAGCTGGTTTGCGTTGCTGGGGTGACCTCAGGGTCCGTCTAGACTGGTGACAGTGTTCTTGGGGACTGTCTCGAGATCCATTAAGCAAGTCGAAGCTCCTGACTTGTTTGAATGGGATCACGGAATAGCTCTGCATGCACTGCAGGGGAATGGGGCCTCATCTCGCCTCTAGGGGGAAGTCTCATGGTTTTGCTCGAGTTGCGGCGGGGACCTGGGGTATGTTCTCGACTTACGGCGGGGACGGCCCTTCAAAACACGAGTTTCTTCAGTGACGTCAGGACTCCTGTCTAGTAACGAGGGATACTTCAGCAATCTCTTCGAGGCTTGGCAGGGCAAAAGGGACGCTTCTCGAGGTGAGCCAGGGCACCCAAGGACCCTTTCCAGTAGCCACAGGGATTTCGGGATTCCTATAAGTATTCAAGAGGAGTCAGGCATCGTCACCTTTTGAAGCAATGAACTCCGCGTGCCTCTCGACGTGTCAGGGGGATGTGAGGTGTTCCGTCAAAATGAGGCAGGGACCTAGGGCTTCCTCTAAGGTCTCCACAGGGGATTCAGACATCCCTTCATGTTGTGAGATCAAAGACGAGCCTGTATTCAAGCCACTGCAAGGAAAACCGGCCTCATTTCAAGTTAGGGCTTCTCGCTGTATATTCCCCTTGAGGCAGCAAACTCCGGGTCCCTACCACATACCTATTGCTGAGAGAAGCCTCCTCCTGAGGTGCTTCTGGAAAGGTGGCATACGTCTTGAGTCTAAGCAAGGGCATCAGCTCTCATCTCGAGACGATTTGGGGTACACAGTGCATTCCTCGAGTTGCTGTGCTGAAGTTGGTGGTCCTCTAGACTTGGGACAGTGTTCTCGGGGCATCTCTGGAGTTGCCTGAAGGAAGTCGAGCCACCGGTCGCGTTGAATGTGGAACAGGGAATGGCTCTGGAGTCAATGCAGGGGAATTCGGCCTCATCTCGAGTTGATTTGGGGCACATGGAGCTGCTTTGCATTGCTGGGTGATCTCAGGGTCCGTCTAGACTGGTGACAGTGTTCTTGGGGACTGTCTCGAAATCCATTAAGCAAGTCGAAGCTCCTGACTTGTTTGAATGGGATCACGGAATAGCTCTGCATGCACTGCAGGGGAATGGGGCCTCATCTCGCCTCTAGGGGGAAGTCTCATGGTTTTTCTCGAGTTGCGGCGGGGACCTGGGGTATGTTCTCGACTTACGGCAGGGATGGCCCTTCAAAACACGACTTTCTTCAGTGACGTCAGGACTCTTGCCTAGTAACGAGGGACACCTCAGGAATCTCTTCGAGTCTTGGCAGGGCAAAAGGGACGCTTCTCGAGGTGAGCCAGGGCACCCAAGGACCCTTTCCAGTAGCCACAGGGATTTTGGGATTCCTATCAGTATTCAAGAGGAGTCAGGCATCGTCACCTTTTGAAGCAATGAACTCCGCGTGCCTCTCGAGGTGTCAGCGGGATGTGAGGCATTCCGTCAAAATGAGGCAGGGACCTAGGGCTTTCTCTAAGGTCTCCACAGGGGATTCAGACATCCCTTCATGTTGTGAGATGAAAGACAAGCCTGTATTCAAGCTACTGCAAGGAAATCCGGCCTCCTTTCAAGTTAGGGCTTCTCGCTGTATATTCCCCTTGAGGCAGCAAACTCGGAGTCCCTCCCACATACCTATTGCTGAGAAGCCTCCTCCTGAGGTGCTTCTGGAAAGTTGGCATACGTCTTGAGCCTAAGCCAGGGAATCAGCTCTCATCTCGAGACGATTTGGGGTACACAGAGCATTCCTCGAGTTGCTGTGCTGAAGTTGGTGTTCCTCTAGACTTGGGACAGTGTTCTCGGGGCATCTCTGGAGTTGCCTGAAGGAAACCGAGCCACCGGTCCTGTTGAATGGGGAACGGGGAATGGCTCTGGAATCAATGCAGGGGAATCGGGCCTCATCTCGAGTTGATTTAGGGCACATGGAGCTGGTTTGCGTTGCTGGGGTGACCTCAGGGTCCGTCTAGACTGGTGACAGTGTTCTTGGGGACTGTCTCGAGATCCATTAAGCAAGTCGAAGCTCCTGACTTGTTTGAATGGGATCACGGAATAGCTCTGCATGCACTGCAGGGGAATGGGGCCTCATCTCGCCTCTAGGGGGAAGTCTCATGGTTTTGCTCGAGTTGCGGCGGGGACCTGGGGTATGTTCTCGACTTACGGCGGGGACGGCCCTTCAAAACACGAGTTTCTTCAGTGACGTCAGGACTCCTGTCTAGTAACGAGGGACACCTCAGCAATCTCTTCGAGGCTTGGCAGGGCAAAAGGGACGCTTCTCGAGGTGAGCCAGGGCACCCAAGGACCCTTTCCAGTAGCCACAGGGATTTTGGGATTCCTATCAGTATTCAAGAGGAGTCAGGCATCGTCACCTTTTGAAGCAATGAACTCCGCGTGCCTCTCGAGGTGTCAGCGGGATGTGAGGATTCCGTCAAAATGAGGCAGGGACCTAGGGCTTTCTCTAAGGTCTCCACAGGGGATTCAGACATCCCTTCATGTTGTGAGATGAAAGACGAGCCTGTATTCAAGCCACTAGAAGGAAATCCGGCCTCCTTTCAAGTTAGGGCTTCTCGCTGTATATTCCCCTTGAGGCAGCAAACTCGGAGTCCCTCCCACATACCTATTGCTGAGAGAAGCCTCCTCCTGAGGTGCTTCTGGAAAGTTGGCATACGTCTTGAGCCTAAGCCAGGGATTCAGCTCTCATCTCGAGACGATTTGGGGTACACAGAGCATTCCTCGAGTTGCTGTGCGGAAGTTGGTGTTACTCTAGACTTGGGACAGTGTTCTTGGGGCATCTCTGGAGTTGCCTGAAGGAAGGCGAGCCTCCGTTCGTGTTGCACAAACGGGGAATGGCTCTGGAGTCAATGCAGGGGAATCGGGCCTCATCTCGAGTTGATTTGGGGCACATGGAGCTGCTTTGCGTTGCTGGGGTGACCTCAGGGTCCGTCTAGACTGGTGACAGTGTTCTTGGGGACTGTCTCGAGATGCATTAAGCAAGTCGAAGCTCCTGACTTGTTTGAATGGGATCACGGAATAGCTCTGCATGCACTGCAGGGGAATGGGGCCTCATCTCGCCTCTAGGGGGAAGTCTCATGGTTTTGCTCGAGTTGCGGCGGGGACCTGGGTTATGTTCTCGACTTACGGCGGGGATGGCCCTTCAAAACACGAGTTTCTTCAGTGACGTCAGGACTCCTGTCTAGTAACGAGGGACACCTCAGCAATCTCTTCGAGGCTTGGCAGGGCAAAAGGGACGCTTCTCGAAGTGAGGCAGGGCACCCAAGGAACCTTTCCAGTAGCCACAGGGATTTTGGGATTCCTATCAGTATTCAAGAGGAGTCAGGCATCGTCACCTTTTGAAGCAATGAACTCCGCGTGCCTCTCGAGGTGTCAGCGGGATGTGAGGATTCCGTCAAAATGAGGCAGGGACCTAGGGCTTACTCTAAGGTCTCCACAGGGGATTCAGACATCCCTTCATGTTGTGACATGAAAGACGAGCCTGTATTCAAGCCACTGCAAGGAAATCCGGCCTCCTTTCAAGTTAGGGCTTCTCGCTGTATATTCCCCTTGAGGCAGCAAACTCGGAGTCCCTCCCACATACCTATTGCTGAGAGAAGCCTCCTCCTGAGGTGCTTCTGGAAAGTTGGCATACGTCTTGAGCCTAAGCCAGGGATTCAGCTCTCATCTCGAGACGATTTGTGGTACACAGAGCATTCCTCGAGTTGCTGTGCTGAAGTTGGTGTTCCTCTAGACTTGGGACAGTGTTCTCTGGGCATCTCTGGAGTTGCCTGAAGGAAGTCGAGCCACCGGTCGTGTTGAATGGGGAACAGGGAATGGCTCTGGAGTCAATGCAGGGGAATCGGGCCTCATCTCGAGTTGATTTGTGGCACCTGGAGCTGCTTTGCATTGCTGGGGTGACCTCAGGGTCCGTCTAGACTGGTGACAGTGTTCTTGGGGACTGTCTCGAGATCCATTAAGCAAGTCGAAGCTCCTGACTTGTTTGAATTTGATCACGGAATACCTCTGCATGCACTGCAGGGGAATGGGGCCTCATCTCGCCTCTAGGGGGAAGTCTCATGGTTTTTCTCGAGTTGCGGCGGGGAACTGGGGTATGTTCTCAACTTACGGCGGGGATGGCCCTTCAAAACACGAGTTTCTTCAGTGACGTCAGGACTCCTGTCTAGTAACGAGGGACACGTCAGCAATCTCTTCGAGGCTTGGCAGGGCAAAAGGGACGCTTCTCGAGGTGAGCCAGGGCACCCAAAGGCCCTTTCCAGTAGCCACAGGGATTTTGGGATTCCTATAAGTATTCAAGAGGAGTCAGGCATCGTCACCTTTTGAAGCTATGAACTCCGCGTGCCTCTCGAGGTGTCAGCGGGATGTGAGGATTCCGTCAAAATGAGGCAGGGACCTAGGGCTTTCTCTAAGGTCTCCACAGGGGATTCAGACATCCCTTCATGTTGTGAGATGAAAGACGAGCCTGTATTCAAGCCACTAGAAGGAAATCCGGCCTCCTTTCAAGTTAGGGCTTCTCGCTGTATATTCCCCTTGAGGCAGCAAACTCGGAGTCCCTCCCACATACCTATTGCTGAGAGAAGCCTCCTCCTGAGGTGCTTCTGGAAAGTTGGCATACGTCTTGAGCCTAAGCCAGGGATTCAGCTCTCATCTCGAGACGATTTGGGGTACACAGAGCATTCCTCGAGTTGCTGTGCGGAAGTTGGTGTTACTCTAGACTTGGGACAGTGTTCTTGGGGCATCTCTGGAGTTGCCTGAAGGAAGGCGAGCCTCCGTTCGTGTTGCACAAACGGGGAATGGCTCTGGAGTCAATGCAGGGGAATCGGGCCTCATCTCGAGTTGATTTGGGGCACATGGAGCTGCTTTGCGTTGCTGGGGTGACCTCAGGGTCCGTCTAGACTGGTGACAGTGTTCTTGGGGACTGTCTCGAGATGCATTAAGCAAGTCGAAGCTCCTGACTTGTTTGAATGGGATCACGGAATAGCTCTGCATGCACTGCAGGGGAATGGGGCCTCATCTCGCCTCTAGGGGGAAGTCTCATGGTTTTGCTCGAGTTGCGGCGGGGACCTGGGTTATGTTCTCGACTTACGGCGGGGATGGCCCTTCAAAACACGAGTTTCTTCAGTGACGTCAGGACTCCTGTCTAGTAACGAGGGACACCTCAGCAATCTCTTCGAGGCTTGGCAGGGCAAAAGGGACGCTTCTCGAAGTGAGGCAGGGCACCCAAGGAACCTTTCCAGTAGCCACAGGGATTTTGGGATTCCTATCAGTATTCAAGAGGAGTCAGGCATCGTCACCTTTTGAAGCAATGAACTCCGCGTGCCTCTCGAGGTGTCAGCGGGATGTGAGGATTCCGTCAAAATGAGGCAGGGACCTAGGGCTTACTCTAAGGTCTCCACAGGGGATTCAGACATCCCTTCATGTTGTGACATGAAAGACGAGCCTGTATTCAAGCCACTGCAAGGAAATCCGGCCTCCTTTCAAGTTAGGGCTTCTCGCTGTATATTCCCCTTGAGGCAGCAAACTCGGAGTCCCTCCCACATACCTATTGCTGAGAGAAGCCTCCTCCTGAGGTGCTTCTGGAAAGTTGGCATACGTCTTGAGCCTAAGCCAGGGATTCAGCTCTCATCTCGAGACGATTTGTGGTACACAGAGCATTCCTCGAGTTGCTGTGCTGAAGTTGGTGTTCCTCTAGACTTGGGACAGTGTTCTCTGGGCATCTCTGGAGTTGCCTGAAGGAAGTCGAGCCACCGGTCGTGTTGAATGGGGAACAGGGAATGGCTCTGGAGTCAATGCAGGGGAATCGGGCCTCATCTCGAGTTGATTTGTGGCACCTGGAGCTGCTTTGCATTGCTGGGGTGACCTCAGGGTCCGTCTAGACTGGTGACAGTGTTCTTGGGGACTGTCTCGAGATCCATTAAGCAAGTCGAAGCTCCTGACTTGTTTGAATTTGATCACGGAATACCTCTGCATGCACTGCAGGGGAATGGGGCCTCATCTCGCCTCTAGGGGGAAGTCTCATGGTTTTTCTCGAGTTGCGGCGGGGAACTGGGGTATGTTCTCAACTTACGGCGGGGATGGCCCTTCAAAACACGAGTTTCTTCAGTGACGTCAGGACTCCTGTCTAGTAACGAGGGACACGTCAGCAATCTCTTCGAGGCTTGGCAGGGCAAAAGGGACGCTTCTCGAGGTGAGCCAGGGCACCCAAAGGCCCTTTCCAGTAGCCACAGGGATTTTGGGATTCCTATAAGTATTCAAGAGGAGTCAGGCATCGTCACCTTTTGAAGCTATGAACTCCGCGTGCCTCTCGAGGTGTCAGCGGGATGTGAGGATTCCGTCAAAATGAGGCAGGGACCTAGGGCTTTCTCTAAGGTCTCCACAGGGGATTCAGACATCTCTTCATGTTGTGAGATGAAAGACGAGCCTGTATTCAAGCCACTGCAAGGAAATCCGGCCTCCTTTCAAGTTAGGGCTTCTCGCTGTATATTCCCCTTGAGGCAGCAAACTCGGGGTCCCTCCCACATACCTATTGCTGAGAGAAGCCTCCTCCTGAGGTGCTTCTGGAAAGGTGGCATACGTCTTGAGCCTAAGCCAGGGAATCAGCTCTCATCTCGAGACGATTTGGGGTACACAGAGCATTCCTCGAGTTGCTTTGCTGAAGTTGGTGGTCCTCTAGACTTGGGACAGTGTTCTCGGGGCATATCTGGAGTTGCCTGAAGGAAGTCGAGCCACCGGTCGTGTTGAATGGGGAACAAGGAATGGCTCTGGAGTCAATGCAGGGGAATCCGGCCTCATCTCGAGTTGATTTGGGCACATGGAGCTGCTTTGCATTGCTGGGTGACCTCAGGGTCCGTCTAGACTGGTGACAGTGTTCTTGGGGACTGTCTCGAGATCCATTTAGCAAGTCGAAGCTCCTGACTTGTTTGAATTGGATCATGGAATAGCTCTGCATGCACTGCAGGGGAATGGGGCCTCATCTCGCCTCTAGGGGGAAATCTCAGGTTTTTTCTCGAGTTTCGGCGGGGACCTGGGGTATGTTCTCGACTTACGGCGGGGATGGCCCTTCAAAACACGAGTTTCTTCAGTGACGTCCGGACTCCTGTCTAGTAATGAGGGACACCTCAGCAATCTCTTCGAGGCTTGGCAGGGCCAAAGGGACGCTTCTCGAGGTGAGCCAGGGCACCCAAGGACCCTTTCCAGTAGCCACAGGGATTTTGGGATTCCTATCAGTATTCAAGAGGAGTCAGGCATCGTCACCTTTTGAAGCAATGCACTCTGTGTGCCTCTCGAGGTGTCAGGGGGATGTGAGGTATTCCGTCAAAATGAGGCAGGGACCTAGGGCTTCCTCTAAGGTCTCCACAGGGGCTTCAGAAATCCCTTCATGTTGTCAGATCAAAGACGAGCCTGTATTCAAGCCACTGCAAGGAAATCTGGCCTCCGTTCACATTAGGGCTTCTCCCTGTGTATTCCCCTTGAGGCAGCAAACTCGGGGTCCCTCCCACATACCTATTGCTGAGAGAAGCCTCCTCATGCGGTTCTTCTGGAAAGTTGGCATACGTCTTGAGCCTAAGCCAGGGAATCAGCTCTCATCTCGAGATGATTTGGGGTACACGGAGCATTCCTCTGGTTGCTGTGCTGAAATTGGTGCTCCTCTAGACTTGGGACAGTGTTCTCGGGGCATCTCTGGAGTTGCCTGAAGGAAGTCGAGCCACCGGTCGTGTTGAATCGGGAACGGGGAATGGCTCTGGAGTCAATGCAGGGGAATCGGGCCTTATCTCGAGTTGATTTGGGGCACATGGAGCAGCTTTGCGTTGCTGGGGTGACCTCAGGGTCCGTCTAGACTGGTGACAGTGTTCTTGGGGACTGTCTCGAGATCCATTAAGCAAGTCGAAGCTCCTGACTTGTTTGAATGGGATCACGGAATAGCTCTGCATGCACTGCAAGGGAATGGGGCCTCATCTCGCCTCTAGGGGGAAGTCTCATGGTTTTTCTCGAGTTGCGGCGGGGACCTGGGGTATGTTCTCGACTTACGGCGGGGATGGCCCTTCAAAACACGAGTTTCTTCCGTGACGTCAGGACTCCTGTCTAGTAACGAGGGACACCTCAGCAATCTCTTCGAGGCTTGGCAGGGCAAAAGGGACGCTTCTCGAGGTGAGCCAGGGCACCCAAGGACCCTTTCCAGTAGCCACAGGGATTTTGGGATTCCTATCAGTATTCAAGAGGAGTCAGGCATCGTCACCTTTTGAAGCAATGAACTCCGCGTGCCTCTCGAGGTGTCAGCGGGATGTGAGGATTCCGTCAAAATGAGGCAGGGACCTAGGGCTTACTCTAAGGTCTCCACAGGGGATTCAGACATCCCTTCATGTTGTGACATGAAAGACGAGCCTGTATTCAAGCCACTGCAAGGAAATCCGGCCTCCTTTCAAGTTAGGGCTTCTCGCTGTATATTCCCCTTGAGGCAGCAAACTCGGAGTCCCTCCCACATACCTATTGCTGAGAGAAGCCTCCTCCTGAGGTGCTTCTGGAAAGTTGGCATACGTCTTGAGCCTAAGCCAGGGATTCAGCTCTCATCTCGAGACGATTTGTGGTACACAGAGCATTCCTAGAGTTGCTGTGCTGAAGTTGGTGTTCCTCTAGACTTGGGACAGTGTTCTCTGGGCATCTCTGGAGTTGCCTGAAGGAAGTCGAGCCACCGGTCGTGTTGAATGGGGAACAGGGAATGGCTCTGGAGTCAATGCAGGGGAATCGGGCCTCATCTCGAGTTGATTTGTGGCACCTGGAGCTGCTTTGCATTGCTGGGGTGACCTCAGGGTCCGTCTAGACTGGTGACAGTGTTCTTGGGGACTGTCTCGAGATCCATTAAGCAAGTCGAAGCTCCTGACTTGTTTGAATTTGATCACGGAATACCTCTGCATGCACTGCAGGGGAATGGGGCCTCATCTCGCCTCTAGGGGGAAGTCTCATGGTTTTTCTCGAGTTGCGGCGGGGAACTGGGGTATGTTCTCAACTTACGGCGGGGATGGCCCTTCAAAACACGAGTTTCTTCAGTGACGTCAGGACTCCTGTCTAGTAACGAGGGACACGTCAGCAATCTCTTCGAGGCTTGGCAGGGCAAAAGGGACGCTTCTCGAGGTGAGCCAGGGCACCCAAAGGCCCTTTCCAGTAGCCACAGGGATTTTGGGATTCCTATAAGTATTCAAGAGGAGTCAGGCATCGTCACCTTTTGAAGCTATGAACTCCGCGTGCCTCTCGAGGTGTCAGCGGGATGTGAGGATTCCGTCAAAATGAGGCAGGGACCTAGGGCTTTCTCTAAGGTCTCCACAGGGGATTCAGACATCCCTTCATGTTGTGAGATGAAAGACGAGCCTGTATTCAAGCCACTGCAAGGAAATCCGGCCTCCTTTCAAGTTAGGGCTTCTCGCTGTATATTCCCCTTGAGGCAGCAAACTCGGGGTCCCTCCCACATACCTATTGCTGAGAGAAGCCTCCTCCTGAGGTGCTTCTGGAAAGGTGGCATACGTCTTGAGCCTAAGCCAGGGAATCAGCTCTCATCTCGAGACGATTTGGGGTACACAGAGCATTCCTCGAGTTGCTTTGCTGAAGTTGGTGGTCCTCTAGACTTGGGACAGTGTTCTCGGGGCATATCTGGAGTTGCCTGAAGGAAGTCGAGCCACCGGTCGTGTTGAATGGGGAACAAGGAATGGCTCTGGAGTCAATGCAGGGGAATCCGGCCTCATCTCGAGTTGATTTGGGCACATGGAGCTGCTTTGCATTGCTGGGTGACCTCAGGGTCCGTCTAGACTGGTGACAGTGTTCTTGGGGACTGTCTCGAGATCCATTTAGCAAGTCGAAGCTCCTGACTTGTTTGAATTGGATCATGGAATAGCTCTGCATGCACTGCAGGGGAATGGGGCCTCATCTCGCCTCTAGGGGGAAATCTCAGGTTTTTTCTCGAGTTTCGGCGGGGACCTGGGGTATGTTCTCGACTTACGGCGGGGATGGCCCTTCAAAACACGAGTTTCTTCAGTGACGTCCGGACTCCTGTCTAGTAATGAGGGACACCTCAGCAATCTCTTCGAGGCTTGGCAGGGCCAAAGGGACGCTTCTCGAGGTGAGCCAGGGCACCCAAGGACCCTTTCCAGTAGCTACAGGGATTTTGGGATTCCTATCAGTATTCAAGAGGAGTCAGGCATCGTCACCTTTTGAAGCAATGAACTCTGTGTGCCTCTCGAGGTGTCAGGGGGATGTGAGGTATTCCGTCAAAATGAGGCAGGGACCTAGGGCTTCCTCTAAGGTCTCCACAGGGGCTTCAGAAATCCCTTCATGTTGTCAGATCAAAGACGAGCCTGTATTCAAGCCACTGCAAGGAAATCTGGCCTCCGTTCACATTAGGGCTTCTCCCTGTGTATTCCCCTTGAGGCAGCAAACTCGGGGTCCCTCCCACATACCTATTGCTGAGAGAAGCCTCCTCATGCGGTTCTTCTGGAAAGTTGGCATACGTCTTGAGCCTAAGCCAGGGAATCAGCTCTCATCTCGAGATGATTTGGGGTACACGGAGCATTCCTCTGGTTGCTGTGCTGAAATTGGTGCTCCTCTAGACTTGGGACAGTGTTCTCGGGGCATCTCTGGAGTTGCCTGAAGGAAGTCGAGCCACCGGTCGTGTTGAATGGGGAACGGGGAATGGCTCTGGAGTCAATGCAGGGGAATCGGGCCTTATCTCGAGTTGATTTGGGGCACATGGAGCAGCTTTGCGTTGCTGGGGTGACCTCAGGGTCCGTCTAGACTGGTGACAGTGTTCTTGGGGACTGTCTCGAGATCCATTAAGCAAGTCGAAGCTCCTGACTTGTTTGAATGGGATCACGGAATAGCTCTGCATGCACTGCAAGGGAATGGGGCCTCATCTCGCCTCTAGGGGGAAGTCTCATGGTTTTTCTCGAGTTGCGGCGGGGACCTGGGGTATGTTCTCGACTTACGGCGGGGATGGCCCTTCAAAACACGAGTTTCTTCCGTGACGTCAGGACTCCTGTCTAGTAACGAGGGACACCTCAGCAATCTCTTCGAGGCTTGGCAGGGCAAAAGGGACGCTTCTCGAGGTGAGCCAGGGCACCCAAGGACCCTTTCCAGTAGCCACAGGGATTTTGGGATTCCTATCAGTATTCAAGAGGAGTCAGGCATCGTCACCTTTTGAAGCAATGAACTCCGCGTGCCTCTCGAGGTGTCAGCGGGATGTGAGGATTCCGTCAAAATGAGGCAGGGACCTAGGGCTTACTCTAAGGTCTCCACAGGGGATTCAGACATCCCTTCATGTTGTGACATGAAAGACGAGCCTGTATTCAAGCCACTGCAAGGAAATCCGGCCTCCTTTCAAGTTAGGGCTTCTCGCTGTATATTCCCCTTGAGGCAGCAAACTCGGAGTCCCTCCCACATACCTATTGCTGAGAGAAGCCTCCTCCTGAGGTGCTTCTGGAAAGTTGGCATACGTCTTGAGCCTAAGCCAGGGATTCAGCTCTCATCTCGAGACGATTTGTGGTACACAGAGCATTCCTAGAGTTGCTGTGCTGAAGTTGGTGTTCCTCTAGACTTGGGACAGTGTTCTCTGGGCATCTCTGGAGTTGCCTGAAGGAAGTCGAGCCACCGGTCGTGTTGAATGGGGAACAGGGAATGGCTCTGGAGTCAATGCAGGGGAATCGGGCCTCATCTCGAGTTGATTTGTGGCACCTGGAGCTGCTTTGCATTGCTGGGGTGACCTCAGGGTCCGTCTAGACTGGTGACAGTGTTCTTGGGGACTGTCTCGAGATCCATTAAGCAAGTCGAAGCTCCTGACTTGTTTGAATTTGATCACGGAATACCTCTGCATGCACTGCAGGGGAATGGGGCCTCATCTCGCCTCTAGGGGGAAGTCTCATGGTTTTTCTCGAGTTGCGGCGGGGAACTGGGGTATGTTCTCAACTTACGGCGGGGATGGCCCTTCAAAACACGAGTTTCTTCAGTGACGTCAGGACTCCTGTCTAGTAACGAGGGACACGTCAGCAATCTCTTCGAGGCTTGGCAGGGCAAAAGGGACGCTTCTCGAGGTGAGCCAGGGCACCCAAAGGCCCTTTCCAGTAGCCACAGGGATTTTGGGATTCCTATAAGTATTCAAGAGGAGTCAGGCATCGTCACCTTTTGAAGCTATGAACTCCGCGTGCCTCTCGAGGTGTCAGCGGGATGTGAGGATTCCGTCAAAATGAGGCAGGGACCTAGGGCTTTCTCTAAGGTCTCCACAGGGGATTCAGACATCCCTTCATGTTGTGAGATGAAAGACGAGCCTGTATTCAAGCCACTGCAAGGAAATCCGGCCTCCTTTCAAGTTAGGGCTTCTCGCTGTATATTCCCCTTGAGGCAGCAAACTCGGGGTCCCTCCCACATACCTATTGCTGAGAGAAGCCTCCTCCTGAGGTGCTTCTGGAAAGGTGGCATACGTCTTGAGCCTAAGCCAGGGAATCAGCTCTCATCTCGAGACGATTTGGGGTACACAGAGCATTCCTCGAGTTGCTTTGCTGAAGTTGGTGGTCCTCTAGACTTGGGACAGTGTTCTCGGGGCATATCTGGAGTTGCCTGAAGGAAGTCGAGCCACCGGTCGTGTTGAATGGGGAACAAGGAATGGCTCTGGAGTCAATGCAGGGGAATCCGGCCTCATCTCGAGTTGATTTGGGCACATGGAGCTGCTTTGCATTGCTGGGTGACCTCAGGGTCCGTCTAGACTGGTGACAGTGTTCTTGGGGACTGTCTCGAGATCCATTTAGCAAGTCGAAGCTCCTGACTTGTTTGAATTGGATCATGGAATAGCTGTGCATGCACTGCAGGGGAATGGGGCCTCATCTCGCCTCTAGGGGGAAATCTCAGGTTTTTTCTCGAGTTTCGGCGGGGACCTGGGGTATGTTCTCGACTTACGGCGGGGATGGCCCTTCAAAACACGAGTTTCTTCAGTGACGTCCGGACTCCTGTCTAGTAATGAGGGACACCTCAGCAATCTCTTCGAGGCTTGGCAGGGCCAAAGGGACGCTTCTCGAGGTGAGCCAGGGCACCCAAGGACCCTTTCCAGTAGCCACAGGGATTTTGGGATTCCTATCAGTATTCAAGAGGAGTCAGGCATCGTCACCTTTTGAAGCAATGAACTCTGTGTGCCTCTCGAGGTGTCAGGGGGATGTGAGGTATTCCGTCAAAATGAGGCAGGGACCTAGGGCTTCCTCTAAGGTCTCCACAGGGGCTTCAGAAATCCCTTCATGTTGTCAGATCAAAGACGAGCCTGTATTCAAGCCACTGCAAGGAAATCTGGCCTCCGTTCACATTAGGGCTTCTCCCTGTGTATTCCCCTTGAGGCAGCAAACTCGGGGTCCCTCCCACATACCTATTGCTGAGAGAAGCCTCCTCATGCGGTTCTTCTGGAAAGTTGGCATACGTCTTGAGCCTAAGCCAGGGAATCAGCTCTCATCTCGAGATGATTTGGGGTACACGGAGCATTCCTCTGGTTGCTGTGCTGAAATTGGTGCTCCTCTAGACTTGGGACAGTGTTCTCGGGGCATCTCTGGAGTTGCCTGAAGGAAGTCGAGCCACCGGTCGTGTTGAATGGGGAACGGGGAATGGCTCTGGAGTCAATGCAGGGGAATCGGGCCTTATCTCGAGTTGATTTGGGGCACATGGAGCAGCTTTGCGTTGCTGGGGTGACCTCAGGGTCCGTCTAGACTGGTGACAGTGTTCTTGGGGACTGTCTCGAGATCCATTAAGCACGTCAAAGCTCCTGACTTGTTTGAATGGGATCACGGAATAGCTCTGCATGCACTGCAGGGGAATGGGGCCTCATCTCGCCTCTAAGGGGAAGTCTCATGGTTTTTCTCGAGTTGCGGCGGGGACCTGGGGTATGTTCTCGACTTACGGCGGGGATGGCCCTTCAAAACACGAGTTTCTTCCGTGACGTCAGGACTCCTGTCTAGTAACGAGGGACACCTCAGCAATCTCTCGAGGCTTGGCAGGGCAAAAGGGACGCTTCTCGAGGTGAGCCAGGGCACCCAAGGACCCTTTCCCGTAGCCACAGGGATTTTGGGATTCCTATCAGTATTCAAGAGGAGTCAGGCATCGTCACCTTTTGAAGCAATGAACTCCGCGTGCCTCTCGAGGTGTCAGCGGGATGTGAGGATTCCGTCAAAATGAGGCAGGGACCTAGGGCTTACTCTAAGGTCTCCACAGGGGATTCAGACATCCCTTCTTGTTGTGACATGAAAGACGAGCCTGTATTCAAGCCACTGCAAGGAAATCCGGCCTCCTTTCAAGTTAGGGCTTCTCGCTGTATATTTCCCTTGAGGCAGCAAACTCGGAGTCCTTCCCACATACCTATTGCTGAGAGAAGCCTCCTCCTGAGGTGCTTCTGGAAAGTTGGCATACGTCTTGAGCCTAAGCCAGGGATTCAGCTCTCATCTCGAGACGATTTGTGGTACACAGAGCATTCCTCGAGTTGCTGTGCTGAAGTTGGTGTTCCTCTAGACTTGGGACAGTGTTCTCTGGGCATCTCTGGAGTTGCCTGAAGGAAGTCGAGCCACCGGTCGTGTTGAATGGGGAACGGGGAATGGCTCTGGAGTCAATGCAGGGGAATCGGGCCTCATCTCGAGTTGATTTGTGGCACCTGGAGCTGCTTTGCATTGCTGGGGTGACCTCAGGGTCCGTCTAGACTGGTGACAGTGTTCTTGGGGACTGCCTCGAGATCCATTAAGCAAGTCGAAGCTCCTGACTTGTTTGAATTTGATCACGGAATACCTCTGCATGCACTGCAGGGGAATGGGGCCTCATCTCGCCTCTAGGGGGAAGTCTCATGGTTTTTCTCGAGTTGCGGCGGGGAACTGGGTTATGTTCTCAACTTACGGCGGGGATGGCCCTTCAAAACACGAGTTTCTTCAGTGACGTCAGGACTCCTGTCTAGTAACGAGGGACACGTCAGCAATCTCTTCGAGGCTTGGCAGGGCAAAAGGGACGCTTCTCGAGGTGAGCCAGGGCACCCAAGGACCCTTTCCAGTAGCCACAGGGATTTTGGGATTCCTATAAGTATTCAAGAGGAGTCAGGCATCGTCACCTTTTGAAGCTATGAACTCCGCGTGCCTCTCGAGGTGTCAGCGGGATGTGAGGATTCCGTCAAAATGAGGCAGGGACCTAGGGCTTTCTCTAAGGTCTCCACAGGGGATTCAGACATCCCTTCATGTTGTGAGATGAAAGACGAGCCTGTATTCAAGCCACTAGAAGGAAATCCGGCCTCCTTTCAAGTTAGGGCTTCTCGCTGTATATTCCCCTTGAGGCAGCAAACTCGGGGTCCCTCCCACATACCTATTGCTGAGAGAAGCCTCCTCCTGAGGTGCTTCTGGAAAGGTGGCATACGTCTTGAGCCTAAGCCAGGGAATCAGCTCTAATCTCGAGACGATTTGGGGTACACAGAGCATTCCTCGAGTTGCTGTGCTGAAGTTGGTGGTCCTCTAGACTTGGGACAGTGTTCTCGGGGCATATCTGGAGTTGCCTGAAGGAAGTCGAGCCACCGGTCGTGTTGAATGGGGAACAAGGAATGGCTCTGGAGTCAATGCAGGGGAATCCGGCCTCATCTCGAGTTGATTTGGGGCACATGGAGCTGCTTTGCATTGCTGGGTGACCTCAGGGTCCGTCTAGACTGGTGACAGTGTTCTTGGGGACTGTCTCGAGATCCATTTAGCAAGTCGAAGCTCCTGACTTGTTTGAATTGGATCATGGAATAGCTCTGCATGCACTGCAGGGGAATGGGGCCTCATCTCGCCTCTAGGGGGAAATCTCAGGTTTTTTCTCGAGTTTCGGCGGGGACCTGGGGTATGTTCTCGACTTACGGCGGGGATGGCCCTTCAAAACACGAGTTTCTTCAGTGACGTCAGGACTCCTGTCTAGTAATGAGGGACACCTCAGCAATCTCTTCGAGGCTTGGCAGGGCAAAAGGGACGCTTCTCGAGGTGAGCCAGGGCATCCAAGGACCCTTTCCAGTAACCACAGGGATTTTGGGATTCCTATCAGTATTCAAGAGGAGTCAGGCATCGTCACCTTTTGAAGCAATGAACTCTGTGTGCCTCTCGAGGTGTCAGGGGGATGTGAGGTATTCCGTCAAAATGAGGCAGGGACCTAGGGCTTCCTCTAAGGTCTCCACAGGGGCTTCAGAAATCCCTTCATGTTGTCAGATCAAAGACGAGCCTGTATTCAAGCCACTGCAAGGAAATCTGGCCTCCGTTCACATTAGGGCTTCTCCCTGTGTATTCCCCTTGAGGCAGCAAACTCGGGGTCCCTCCCACATACCTATTGCTGAGAGAAGCCTCCTCATGCGGTGCTTCTGGAAAGTTGGCATACGTCTTGAGCCTAAGCCAGGGAATCAGCTCTCATCTCGAGATGATTTGGGGTACACGGAGCATTCCTCTGGTTGCTGTGCTGAAATTGGTGCTCCTCTAGACTTGGGACAGTGTTCTCGGGGCATCTCTGGAGTTGCCTGAAGGAAGTCGAGCCACCGGTCGTGTTGAATGGGGAACGGGGAATGGCTCTGGAGTCAATCCAGGGGAATCGGGCCTCATCTCGAGTTGATTTGGGGCACATGGAGCAGCTTTGCGTTGCTGGGGTGACCTCAGGGTCCGTCTAGACTGGTGACAGTGTTCTTGGGGACTGTCTCGAGATCCATTAAGCACGTCGAAGCTCCTGACTTGTTTGAATGGGATCACGGAATAGCTCTGCATGCACTGCAGGGGAATGGGGCCTCATCTCGCCTCTAGGGGGAAGTCTCATGGTTTTGCTCGAGTTGCGGCGGGGACCTGGGGTATGTTCTCGACTTACGGCGGGGATGGCCCTTAAAAACCCGAGTTTCTTCAGTGACGTCAGGACTCCTGTTTAGTAACGAGGGACACCTCAGGAATCTCTTCGAGGCTTGGCAGGGCAAAAGGGACGCTTCTCGAAGTGAGGCAGGGCACCCAAGGAACCTTTCCAGTAGCCACAGGGATTTTGGGATTCCTATCAGTATTCAAGAGGAGTCAGGCATCGTCACCTTTTGAAGAAATGAACTCCGCATGCCTCTCGAGCTGTCAGCGGGATGTGAGGCGTTCCGTCAAAATGAGGCAGGGACCTAGGGCTTTCTCTAAGGTCTTCACAGGGGATTCAGACATCCCTTCATGTTGTGAGATGAAAGACAAGCCTGTATTCAAGCTACTGCAAGGAAATCCTGCCTCCTTTCAAGTTAGGGCTTCTCGCTGTATATTCCCCTTGAGGCAGCAAACTCGGAGTCCCTCCCACATACCTATTGCTGAGAGAAGCCTCCTCCTGAGGTGCTTCTGGAAAGTTGGCATACGCCTTGAGCCTAAGCCAGGGATTCAGCTCTCATCTCGAGACGATTTGGGGTACACAGAGCATTCCTCGAGTTGCTGTGCTGAAGTTGGTGTTCCTCTAGACCTGGGACAGTGTTCTCTGGGCATCTCTGGAGTTGCCTGAAGGAAGTCGAGCCACCGGTCGTGTTGAATGGGGAACGGGGAATGGCTCTGGAGTCAATGCAGGGGAATCGGGCCTCATCTCGAGTTGATTTGGGGCACATGGAGCAGCTTTGCGTTGCTGGGGTGACCTCAGGGTCCGTCTAGACTGGTGACAGTGTTCTTGGGGACTGACTCGAGATCCATTAAGCAAGTCGAAGCTCCTGACTTGTTTGAATGGGATCACGGAATAGCTCTGCATGCACTGCAGGGGAATGGGGCCTCATCTCGCCTCTAGGGGGAAGTCTCATGGTTTTTCTCGAGTTGCGGCGGGGACCTGGGGTATATTCTCGACTTATGGCGGGGATGGCCCTTCAAAACACGAGTTTCTTCAGTGACGTCAGGACTCCTGTCTAGTAATGAGGGACCACTCAGCAATCTCTTCGAGGCTTGGCAGGGCAAAAGGGACGCTTCTCGAGGTGAGCCAGGGCACCCAAGGACCCTTTCCAGTAGCCACAGGGATTTTGGGATTCCTATAAGTATTCAAGAGTAGTCAGGCATCGTCACCTTTTGAAGCAATGAACTCCGCGTGCCTCTCGAGGTGTCAGCGGGATGTGAGGATTCCATCAAAATGAGGCAGGGACCTAGGGCTTTCTCTAAGGTCTCCACAGGGGATTCAGACATCCCTTCATGTTGTGAGATGAAAGACGAGCCTGTATTCAAGCCACTGCAAGGAAATCCGGCCTCCTTTCAAGTTAGGGCTTCTCGCTGTATATTCCCCTTGAGGCAGCAAAATCGGGGTTCCTCCCACATACCTATTGCTGAGAGAAGCCTCCTCGTGAGGTGCTTCTGGAAAGGTGGCATACGTCTTGAGCCTAAGACAGGGAATCAGCTCTCATCTCGAGACGATTTGGGGTACACAGAGCATTCCTCGAGTTGCTGTGCTGAAGTTGGTGGTCCTCTAGACTTGGGACAGTGTTCTCGGGGCATATCTGGAGTTGCCGGAAGGAAGTCGAGCCACCGGTCGTGTTGAATGGGGAACAAGGAATGGCTCTGGAGTCAATGTAGGGGAATCCGGCCTCATCTCGAGTTGATTTGGGGCACATGGAGCAGCTTTGCATTGCTGGGTGACCTCAGGGTCCGTCTAGACTGGTGACAGTGTTCTTGGGGACTGTCTCGAGATCCATTAAGCAAGTCGAAGCTCCTGACTTGTTTGAATGGGATCACGGAATAGCTCTGCATGCACTGCAGGGGAATGGGGCCTCATCTCGCCTCTAGGGGGAAGCCTCATGGTTTTTCTCGAGTTGCGGCGGGGACCTGGGGTATGTTCTCGACTTACGGCGGGGATGGCCCTTCAAAACACGAGTTTCTTCAGTGACGTCAGGACTCCTGTCTAGTAACGAGGGATACCTCAGCAATCTCTTCGAGGCTTGGCAGGGCAAAAGGGACGCTTCTCGAGGTGAGCCAGGGCACCCAAGGACCCTTTCCAGTAGCCACAGGGATTTCGGGATTCCTATAAGTATTCAAGAGGAGTCAGGCATCGTCACCTTTTGAAGCAATGAACTCCGCGTGCCTCTCGAGGTGTCAGCGGGATGTGAGGATTCCGTCAAAATGAGGCAGGGACCTAGGGCTTTCTCTAAGGTCTCCACAAGGGATTCAGACATCCCTTCATGTTGTGAGATGAAAGACGAGCCTGTATTCAAGCCACTGCAAGGAAATCCGGCCTCCTTTAAAGTTAGGGCTTCTCGCTGTATATTCCCCTTGAGGCAGCAAACTCGGGGTCCCTCCCACATACCTATTGCTGAGAGAAGCCTCCTCCTGAGGTGCTTCTGGAAAGGTGGCATACGTCTTGAGCCTAAGCCAGGGAATCAGCTCTCATCTCGAGACGATTTGGGGTACACAGAGCATTCCTCGAGTTGCTGTGCTGAAGTTGGTGTTCCTCTAGACTTGGGACAGTGTTCTCGGGGCATCTCTGGAGTTGCCTGAAGGAAACCGAGCCACCGGTCCTGTTGATTGGGGAACGGGGAATGGCTCTGGAGTCAATGCAGGGGAATCGGGCCTCATCTCGAGTTGATTTGGGGCACATGGAGCTGGTTTGCGTTGCTGGGGTGACCTCAGGGTCCGTCTAGACTGGTGACAGTGTTCTTGGGGACTGTCTCGAGATCCATTAAGCAAGTCGAAGCTCCTGACTTGTTTGAATGGGATCACGGAATAGCTCTGCATGCACTGCAGGGGAATGGGGCCTCATCTCGCCTCTAGGGGGAAGTCTCATGGTTTTTCTCGAGTTGCGGCGGGGACCTGGGGTATGTTCTCGACTTACGGCGGGGATGGCCCTTCAAAACACGAGTTTCTTCCGTGACGTCAGGACTCCTGTCTAGTAACGAGGGACACCTCAGCAATCTCTTCGAGGCTTGGCAGGGCAAAAGGGACGCTTCTCGAGGTGAGCCAGGGCACCCAAGGACCCTTCCCAGTAGCCACAGGGATTTTGGGATTCCTATAAGTATTCAAGAGGAGTCAGGCATCGTCACCTTTTCAAGCAATGAACTCCGCGTGCCTCTCGAGGTGTCAGCGGGATGTGAGGATTCCGTCAAAATGAGGCAGGGACCTAGGGCTTTCTCTAAGGTCTCCACAGGGGATTCAGACATCCCTTCATGTTGTGAGATGAAAGACGAGCCTGTATTCAAGCCACTGCAAGGAAATCCGGCCTCCTTTCAAGTTAGGGCTTCTCGCTGTATATTCCCCTTGAGGCAGCAAACTCGGAGTCCCTCCCACATACCTATTGCTGAGAGAAGCCTCCTCCTGAGGTGCTTCTGGAAAGTTGGCATATGTCTTGAGCCTAAGCCAGGGATTCAGCTCTCATCTCGAGACGATTTGGGGTACACAGAGCATTCCTCGAGTTGCTGTGCTGAAGTTGGTGTTCCTCTAGACTTGGGACAGTGTTCTCTGGGCATCTCTGGAGTTGCCTGAAGGAAGTCGAGCCACCGGTCTTGTTGAATGGGGAACGGGGAATGGCTCTGGAGTCAATGCAGGGGAATCGGGCCTCATCTCGAGTTGATTTGTGGCACCTGGAGCTGCTTTGCATTGCTGGGGTGACCTCAGGGTCCGTCTAGACTGGTGACAGTGATCTTGGGGACTGCCTCGAGATCCATTAAGCAAGTCGAAGCTCCTGACTTGTTTGAATGGGATCACGGAATAGCTCTGCATGCACTGCAGGGGAATGGGGCCTCATCTCGCCTCTAGGGGGAAGTCTCATGGTTTTTCTCGAGTTGCGGCGGGGAACTGGGGTATGTTCTCGACTTACGGCGGGGATGGCCCTTCAAAACACGAGTTTCTTCAGTGACGTCAGGACTCCTGTCTAGTAACGAGGGACACGTCAGCAATCTCTTCGAGGCTTGGCAGGGCAAAAGGGACGCTTCTCGAGGTGAGCCAGGGCACCCAAGTACCCTTTCCAGTAGCCACAGGGATTTTGGGATTCCTATAAGTATTCAAGAGGAGTCAGGCATCGTCACCTTTTGAAGCTATGAACTCCGCGTGCCTCTCAAGGTGTCAGCAGGATGTGAGGATTCCGTCAAAATGAGGCAGGGACCTAGGGCTTTCTCTAAGGTCTCCACAGGGGATTCAGACATCCCTTCATGTTGTGAGATGAAAGACGAGCCTGTATTCAAGCCACTGCAAGGAAATCCGGCCTCCTTTCAAGTTAGGGCTTCTCGCTGTATATTCCCCTTGAGGCAGCAAACTCGGGGTCCCTCCCACATACCTATTGCTGAGAGAAGCCTCCTCCTGAGGTGCTTCTGGAAAGGTGGCATACGTCTTGAGCCTAAGCCAGGGAATCAGCTCTAATCTCGAGACGATTTGGGGTACACAGAGCATTCCTCGAGTTGCTGTGCTGAAGTTGGTGGTCCTCTAGACTTGGGACAGTGTTCTCGGGGCATATCTGGAGTTGCCTGAAGGAAGTCGAGCCACCGGTCGTGTTGAATGGGGAACAAGGAATGGCTCTGGAGTCAATGCAGGGGAATCCGGCCTCATCTCGAGTTGATTTGGGGCACATGGAGCTGCTTTGCATTGCTGGGTGACCTCAGGGTCCGTCTAGACTGGTGACAGTGTTCTTGGGGACTGTCTCGAGATCCATTAAGCACGTCGAAGCTCCTGACTTGTTTGAATGGGATCACGGAATAGCTCTGCATGCACTGCAGGGGAATGGGGCCTCATCTCGCCTCTAGGGGGAAGTCTCATGGTTTTTCTCGAGTTTCGGCGGGGACCTGGGGTATGTTCTCGACTTACGGCGGGGATGGCCCTTAAAAACCCGAGTTTCTTCAGTGACGTCAGGACTCCTGTCTAGTAACGAGGGACACCTCAGGAATCTCTTCGAGGCTTGGCAGGGCAAAAGGGACGCTTCTCGAAGTGAGGCAGGGCACCCAAGGAACCTTTCCAGTAGCCACAGGGATTTTGGGATTCCTATCAGTATTCAAGAGGAGTCAGGCATCGTCACCTTTTGAAGAAATGAACTCCGCATGCCTCTCGAGCTGTCAGCGGGATGTGAGGCATTCCGTCAAAATGAGGCAGGGACCTAGGGCTTTCTCTAAGGTCTTCACAGGGGATTCAGACATCCCTTCATGTTGTGAGATGAAAGACAAGCCTGTATTCAAGCTACTGCAAGGAAATCCTGCCTCCTTTCAAGTTAGGGCTTCTCGCTGTATATTCCCCTTGAGGCAGCAAACTCGGAGTCCCTCCCACATACCTATTGCTGAGAGAAGCCTCCTCCTGAGGTGCTTCTGGAAAGTTGGCATACGCCTTGAGCCTAAGCCAGGGATTCAGCTCTCATCTCGAGACGATTTGGGGTACACGGAGCATTCCTCGAGTTGCTGTGCTGAAGTTGGTGTTCCTCTAGACTTGGGACAGTGTTCTCTGGGCATCTCTGGAGTTGCCTGAAGGAAGTCGAGCCACCGGTCTTGTTGAATGGGGAACGGGGAATGGCTCTGGAGTCAATGCAGGGGAATCGGGCCTCATCTCGACTTGATTTGTGGCACCTGGAGCTGCTTTGCGTTGCTGCGGTGACCTCAGGGTCCGTCTAGACTGGTGACAGTGTTCTTGGGGACTGACTCGAGATCCATTAAGCAAGTCGAAGCTCCTGACTTGTTTGAATGGGATCACGGAATAGCTCTGCATGCACTGCAGGGGAATGGGGCCTCATCTCGCCTCTAGGGGGAAGTCTCATGGTTTTTCTCGAGTTGCGGCGGGGACCTGGGGTATGTTCTCGACTTACGGCGGGGATGGCCCTTCAAAACACGAGTTTCTTCAGTGACGTCAGGACTCCTGTCTAGTAATGAGGGACAACTCAGCAGTCTCTTCGAGGCTTGGCAGGGCAAAAGGGACGCTTCTCGAGGTGAGCCAGGGCACCCAAGGACCCTTTCCAGTAGCCACAGGGATTTTGGGATTCCTATCAGTATTCAAGAGGAGTCAGGCATCGTCACCTTTTGAAGCAATGAACTCCGCGTGCCTCTCGAGGTGTCAGCGGGATGTGAGGATTCCGTCAAAATGAGGCAGGGACCTAGGGCTTTCTCTAAGGTCTCCACAGGGGATTCAGACATCCCTTCATGTTGTGAGATGAAAGACGAGCCTGTATTCAAGCCACTGCAAGGAAATCCGGCCTCCTTTCAAGTTAGGGCTTCTCGCTGTATATTCCCCTTGAGGCAGCAAACTCGGGGTCCCTCCCACATACCTATTGCTGAGAGAAGCCTCCTCCTGAGGTGCTTCTGGAAAGGTGGCATACGTCTTGAGCCTAAGCCAGGGAATCAGCTCTAATCTCGAGACGATTTGGGGTACACAGAGCATTCCTCGAGTTGCTGTGCTGAAGTTGTTGGTCCTCTAGACTTGGGACAGTGTTCTCGGGGCATATCTGGAGTTGCCTGAAGGAAGTCGAGCCACTGGTCGTGTTGAATGGGGAACAAGGAATGGCTCTTGAGTCAATGCAGGGAATCCGGCCTCATCTCGAGTTGATTTGGGGCACATGGAGCTGCTTTGCATTGCTGGGTGACCTCAGGGTCCGTCTAGACTGTGACAGTGTTCTTGGGGACTGTCTCGAGATCCATTTAGCAAGTCGAAGCTCCTGACTTGTTTGAATTGGATCATGGAATAGCTCTGCATGCACTGCAGGGGAATGGGGCCTCATCTCGCCTCTAGGGGGAAATCTCAGGTTTTTTCTCGAGTTTCGGCGGGGACCTGGGGAATGTTCTCGACTTACGGCGGGGATGGCCCTTCAAAACACGAGTTTCTTCAGTGACGTCAGGACTCCTGTCTAGTAATGAGGGACACCTCAGCAATCTCTTCGAGGCTTGGCAGGGCAAAAGGGACGCTTCTCGAGGTGAGCCAGGGCACCCAAGGACCCTTTCCAGTAGCCACAGGGATTTTGGGATTCCTATCAGTATTCAAGAGGAGTCAGGCATCGTCACCTTTTGAAGCAATGAACTCTGCGTGCCTCTCGAGGTGTCAGCGGGATGTGAGGTATTCCGTCAAAATGAGGCAGGGACCTAGGGCTTCCTCTAAGGTCTCCACAGGGGCTTCAGAAATCCCTTCATGTTGTCAGATCAAAGACGAGCCTGTATTCAAGCCACTGCAAGGAAATCTGGCCTCCGCTCACATTAGCGCTTCTCCCTGTGTATTCCCCTTGAGGCAGCAAACTCGGGGTCCCTCCCACATACCTATTGCTGAGAGAAGCCTCCTCCTGAGGTGCTTCTGGAAAGTTGGCATACGTCTTGAGCCTAAGCCAGGGAATCAGCTCTCATCTCGAGATGATTTGGGGTACACGGAGCATTCCTCTGGTTGCTGTGCTGAAATTGGTGCTCCTCTAGACTTGGGACAGTGTTCTCGGGGCATCTCTGGAGTTGCCTGAAGGAAGTCGAGCCACCGGGCGTGTTGAATGGGGAACGGGGAATGGCTCTGGAGTCAATGCAGGGGAATCGGGCCTCATCTCGAGTTGATTTGGGGCACATGGAGCAGCTTTGCGTTGCTGGGGTGACCTCAGGGTCCGTCTAGACTGGTGACAGTGTTCTTGGGGACTGTCTCGAGATCCATTAAGCACGTCGAAGCTCCTGACTTGTTTGAATGGGATCACGGAATAGCTCTGCATGCAGTGCAGGGGAATGGGGCCTCATCTCGCCTCTAGGGGGAAGTCTCATGGTTTTTCTCGAGTTTCGGCGGGGACCTGGGGTATGTTCTCGACTTACGGCGGGGATGGCCCTTAAAAACCCGAGTTTCTTCAGTGACGTCAGGACTCCTGTCTAGTAACGAGGGACACCTCAGGAATCTCTTCGAGGCTTGGCATGGCAAAAGGGACGCTTCTCGAAGTGAGGCAGGGCACCCAAGGAACCTTTCCAGTAGCCACAGGGATTTTGGGATTCCTATCAGTATTCAAGAGGAGTCAGGCATCGTCACCTTTTGAAGAAATGAACTCCGCATGCCTCTCGAGCTGTCAGCGGGATGTGAGGCATTCCGTCAAAATGAGGCAGGGACCTAGGGCTTTCTCTAAGGTCTTCACAGGGGATTCAGACATCCCTTCATGTTGTGAGATGAAAGACAAGCCTGTATTCAAGCTACTGCAAGGAAATCCTGCCTCCTTTCAAGTTAGGGCTTCTCGCTGTATATTCCCCTTGAGGCAGCAAACTCGGAGTCCCTCCCACATACCTATTGCTGAGAGAAGCCTCCTCCTGAGGTGCTTCTGGAAAGTTGGCATACGCCTTGAGCCTAAGCCAGGGATTCAGCTCTCATCTCGAGACGATTTGGGGTACACAGAGCATTCCTCGAGTTGCTGTGCTGAAGTTGGTGTTCCTCTAGACTTGGGACAGTGTTCTCTGGGCATCTCTGGAGTTGCCTGAAGGAAGTCGAGCCACCGGTCGTGTTGAATGGGGAACGGGGAATGGCTCTGGAGTCAATGCAGGGGAATCGGGCCTCATCTCGACTTGATTTGTGGCACCTGGAGCTGCTTTGCGTTGCTGCGGTGACCTCAGGGTCCGTCTAGACTGGTGACAGTGTTCTTGGGGACTGTCTCGAGATCCATTAAGCAAGTCGAAGCTCCTGACTTGTTTGAATGGGATCACGGAATAGCTCTGCATGCACTGCAGGGGAATGGGGCCTCATCTCGCCTCTAGGGGGAAGTCTCATGGTTTTTCTCGAGTTGCGGCGGGGACCTGGGGTATGTTCTCGACTTACGGCGGGGATGGCCCTTCAAAACACGAGTCTCTTCAGTGACGTCAGGACTCCTGTCTAGTAATGAGGGACAACTCAGCAATCTCTTCGAGGCTTGGCAGGGCAAAAGGGACGCTTCTCGAGGTGAGCCAGGGCACCCAAGGACCCTTTCCAGTAGCCACAGGGATTTTGGGATTCCTATAAGTATTCAAGAGGAGTCAGGCATCGTCACCTTTTGAAGCAATGAACTCCGCGTGCCTCTCGAGGTGTCAGCGGGATGTGAGGATTCCTTCAAAATGAGGCAGGGACCTAGGGCTTTCTCTAAGGTCTCCACAGGGGATTCAGACATCCCTTCATGTTGTGAGATGAAAGACGAGCCTGTATTCAAGCCACTGCAAGGAAATCCGGCCTCCTTTCAAGTTAGGGCTTCTCGCTGTATATTCCCCTTGAGGCAGCAAACTCGGGGTCCCTCCCACATACCTATTGCTGAGAGAAGCCTCCTCCTGAGGTGCTTCTGGAAAGGTGGCATATGTCTTGAGCCTAAGCCAGGGAATCAGCTCTCATCTCGAGACGATTTGGGGTACACAGAGCATTCCTCGAGTTGCTGTGCTGAAGTTGGTGTTCCTCTAGACTTGGGACAGTGTTCTCGGGGCATCTCTGGAGTTGCCTGAAGGAAACCGAGCCACCGGTCCTGTTGAATGGGGAACTGGGAATGGCTCTGGAGTCAATGCAGGGGAATCGGGCCTCATCTCGAGTTGATTTGGGGCACATGGAGCTGGTTTGCGTTGCTGGGGTGACCTCAGGGTCCGTCTAGACTGGTGACAGTGTTCTTGGGGACTGTCTCGAGATCCATTAAGCAAGTCGAAGCTCCTGACTTGTTTGAATGGGATCACGGAATAGCTCTGCATGCACTGCAGGGGAATGGGGCCTCATCTCGCCTCTAGGGGGAAGTCTCATGGTTTTTCTCGAGTTGCGGCGGGGACCTGGGGTATGTTCTCGACTTACGGCGGGGATGGCCCTTCAAAACACGAGTGTCTCCAGTGACGTCAGGACTCCTGTCTAGTAACGAGGGACACCTCAGCAATCTCTTCGAGGCTTGGCAGGGCAAAAGGGACGCTTCTCGAGGTGAGCCAGGGCACCCAAGGACCCTTTCCAGTAGCCACAGGGATTTTGGGATTCCTATAAGTATTCAAGAGGAGTCAGGCATCGTCACCTTTTGAAGCAATGAACTCTGCGTGCCTCTCGAGGTGTCAGCGGGATGTGAGGTATTCCGTCAAAATGAGGCAGGGACCTAGGGCTTCCTCTAAGGTCTCCACAGGGGATTCAGAAATCCCTTCATGTTGTCAGATCAAAGACTAGCCTGTATTCAAGCCACTGCAAGGAAATCTGGCCTCCGCTCACATTAGCGCTTCTCCCTGTGTATTCCCCTAGAGGCAGCAAACTCGGGGTCCCTCCCACATACCTATTGCTGAGAGAAGCCTCCTCCTGAGGTGCTTCTGGAAAGTTGGCATACGTCTTGAGCCTAAGCCAGGGAATCAGCTCTCATCTCGAGATGATTTGGGGTACACGGAGCATTCCTCTGGTTGCTGTGCTGAAATTGGTGCTCCTCTAGACTTGGGACAGTGTTCTCGGGGCATCTCTGGAGTTGCCTGAAGGAAGTCGAGCCACCGGGCGTGTTGAATGGGGAACGGGGAATGGCTCTGGAGTCAATGCAGGGGAATCGGGCCTCATCTCGAGTTGATTTGGGGCACATGGAGCAGCTTTGCGTTGCTGGGGTGACCTCAGGGTCCGTCTAGACTGGTGACAGTGTTCTTGGGGACTGTCTCGAGGTCCATTAAGCACGTCGAAGCTCCTGACTTGTTTGAATGGGATCACAGAATAGCTCTGCATGCACTGCAGGGGAATGGGGCCTCATCTCGCCTCTAGGGGGAAGTCTCATGGTTTTTCTCGAGTTTCGGCGGGGACCTGGGGTATGTTCTCGACTTACGGCGAGGATGGCCCTTAAAAACCCGAGTTTCTTCAGTGACGTCAGGACTCCTGTCTAGTAACGAGGGACACCTCAGGAATCTCTTCGAGGCTTGGCAGGGCAAAAGGGACGCTTCTCGAAGTGACGCAGGGCACCCAAGGAACCTTTCCAGTAGCCACAGGGATTTTGGGATTCCTATCAGTATTCAAGAGGAGTCAGGCATCGTCACCTTTTGAAGAAATGAACTCCGCATGCCTCTCGAGCTGTCAGCGGGATGTGAGGCATTCCGTCAAAATGAGGCAGGGACCTAGGGCTTTCTCTAAGGTCTTCACAGGGGATTCAGACATCCCTTCATGTTGTGAGATGAAAGACAAGCCTGTATTCAAGCTACTGCAAGGAAATCCTGCCTCCTTTCAAGTTAGGGCTTCTCGCTGTATATTCCCCTTGAGGCAGCAAACTCGGGGTCCCTCCCACATACCTATTGCTGAGAGAAGCCTCCTCCTGAGGTGCTTCTGGAAAGGTGGCATACGTCTTGAGCCTAAGCCAGGGAATCAGCTCTCATCTCGAGACGATTTGGGGTACACAGAGCATTCCTCGAGTTTCTGTGCTGAAGTTGGTGTTCCTCTAGACTTGGGACAGTGTTCTCGGGGCATCTCTGGAGTTGCCTGAAGGAAACCGAGCCACCGGTCCTGTTGAATGGGGAACTGGGAATGGCTCTGGAGTCAATGCAGGGGAATCGGGCCTCATCTCGAGTTGATTTGGGGCACATGGAGCTGGTTTGCGTTGCTAGGGTGACCTCAGGGTCCGTCTAGACTGGTGACAGTGTTCTTGGGGACTGTCTCGAGATCCATTAAGCAAGTCGAAGCTCCTGACTTGTTTGAATGGGATCACGGAATAGCTCTGCATGCACTGCAGGGGAATGGGGCCTCATCTCGCCTCTAGGGGGAAGTCTCATGGTTTTTCTCGAGTTGCGGCGGGGACCTGGGGTATGTTCTCGACTTACGGCGGGGATGGCCCTTCAAAACACGAGTTTCTTCCGTGACGTCAGGACTCCTGTCTAGTAACGAGGGACACCTCAGCAATCTCTTCGAGGCTTGGCAGGGCAAAAGGGACGCTTCTCGAGGTGAGCCAGGGCACCCAAGGACCCTTTCCAGTAGCCACAGGGATTTTGGGATTCCTATAAGTATTCAAGAGGAGTCAGGCATCGTCACCTTTTGAAGCAATGAACTCTGCGTGCCTCTCGAGGTGTCAGCGGGATGTGAGGTATTCCGTCAAAATGAGGCAGGGACCTAGGGCTTCCTCTAAGGTCTCCACAGGGGATTCAGAAATCCCTTCATGTTGTCAGATCAAAGACTAGCCTGTATACAAGCCACTGCAAGGAAATCTGGCCTCCGCTCACATTAGCGCTTCTCCCTGTGTATTCCCCTTGAGGCAGCAAACTCGGGGTCCCTCCCACATACCTATTGCTGAGAGAAGCCTCCTCCTGAGGTGCTTCTGGAAAGTTGGCATACGTCTTGAGCCTAAGCCAGGGAATCAGCTCTCATCTCGAGATGATTTGGGGTACACGGAGCATTCCTCTGGTTGCTGTGCTGAAATTGGTGCTCCTCTAGACTTGGGACAGTGTTCTCCGGGCATCTCTGGAGTTGCCTGAAGGAAGTCGAGCCACCGGGCGTGTTGAATGGGGAACGGGGAATGGCTCTGGAGTCAATGCAGGGGAATCGGGCCTCATCTCGAGTTGATTTGGGGCACATGGAGCAGCTTTGCGTTGCTGGGGTGACCTCAGGGTCCGTCTAGACTGGTGACAGTGTTCTTGGGGACTGTCTCGAGGTCCATTAAGCACGTCGAAGCTCCTGACTTGTTTGAATGGGATCACGGAATAGCTCTGCATGCACTGCAGGGGAATGGGGCCTCATCTCGCCTCTAGGGGGAAGTCTCATGGTTTTTCTCGAGTTGCGGCGGGGACCTGGGGTATGTTCTCGACTTACGGCGGGGATGGCCCTTAAAAACCCGAGTTTCTTCAGTGACGTCAGGACTCCTGTCTAGTAACGAGGGACACCTCAGGAATCTCTTCGAGGCTTGGCAGGGCAAAAGGGACGCTTCTCGAAGTGAGGCAGGGCACCCAAGGAACCTTTCCAGTAGCCACAGGGATTTTGGGATTCCTATCAGTATTCAAGAGGAGTCAGGCATTGTCACCTTTTGAAGAAATGAACTCCGCATGCCTCTCGAGCTGTCAGCGGGATGTGAGGCATTCCGTCAAAATGAGGCAGGGACCTAGGGCTTTCTCTAAGGTCTTCACAGGGGATTCAGACATCCCTTCATGTTGTGAGATGAAAGACAAGCCTGTATTCAAGCTACTGCAAGGAAATCCTGCCTCCTTTCAAGTTAGGGCTTCTCGCTGTATATTCCCCTTGAGGCAGCAAACTCGGAGTCCCTCCCACATACCTATTGCTGAGAGAAGCCTCCTCCTGAGGTGCTTCTGGAAAGTTGGCATACGCCTTGAGCCTAAGCCAGGGATTCAGCTCTCATCTCGAGACGATTTGGGGTACACAGAGCATTCCTCGAGTTGCTGTGCTGAAGTTGGTGTTCCTCTAGACTTGGGACAGTGTTCTCTGGGCATCTCTGGAGTTGCCTGAAGGAAGTCGAGCCACCGGTCGTGTTGAATGGGGAACGGGGAATGGCTCTGGAGTCAATGCAGGGGAATCGGGCCTCATCTCGACTTGATTTGTGGCACCTGGAGCTGCTTTGCGTTGCTGGGGTGACCTCAGGGTCCGTCTAGACTGGTGACAGTGTTCTTGGGGACTGACTCGAGATCCATTAAGCAAGTCGAAGCTCCTGACTTGTTTGAATGGGATCACAGAATAACTCTGCATGCACTGCAGGGGAATGGGGCCTCATCTCGCCTCTAGGGGGAAGTCTCATGGTTTTTCTCGAGTTGCGGCGGGGACCTGGGGTATGTTCTCGACTTACGGCGGTGATGGCCCTTCAAAACACGAGTTTCTTCAGTGACGAGAGGACTCCTGTCTAGTAAAGAGGGACAACTCAGCAATCTCTTCGAGGCTTGGCAGGGCAAAAGGGACGCTTCTCGAGGTGAGCCAGGGCACCCAAGGACCCTTTCCAGTAGCCACAGGGATTTTGGGATTCCTATAAGTATTCAAGAGGAGTCAGGCATCGTCACCTTTTGAAGCAATGAACTCCGCGTGCCTCTCGAGGTGTCAGCGGGATGTGAGGATTCCGTCAAAATGAGGCAGGGACCTAGGGCTTTCTCTAAGGTCTCCACAGGGGATTCAGACATCCCTTCATGTTGTGAGATGAAAGACGAGCCTGTATTCAAGCCACTGCAAGGAAATCCGGCCTCCTTTCAAGTTAGGGCTTCTCGCTGTATATTCCCCTTGAGGCAGCAAACTCGGGGTCCCTCCCACATACCTATTGCTGAGAGAAGCCTCCTCCTGAGGTGCTTCTGGAAAGGTGGCATACGTCTTGAGCCTAAGCCAGGGAATCAGCTCTAATCTCGAGACGATTTGGGGTACACAGAGCATTCCTCGAGTTGCTGTGCTGAAGTTGGTGTTCCTCTAGACTTGGGAGAGTGTTCTCTGGGCATATCTGGAGTTGCCTGAAGGAAGTCGAGCCACCGGTCGTGTTGAATGGGGAACAAGGAATGGCTCTGGAGTCAATGCAGGGGAATCCGGCCTCATCTCGAGTTGATTTGGGGCACATGGAGCTGCTTTGCATTGCTGGGTGACCTCAGGGTCCGTCTAGACTGGTGACAGTGTTCTTGGGGACTGTCTCGAGATCCATTTAGCAAGTCGAAGCTCCTGACTTGTTTGAATTGGATCATGGAATAGCTCTGCATGCACTGCAGGGGAATGGGGCCTCATCTCGCCTCTAGGGGGAAATCTCATGGTTTTTCTCGAGTTGCGGCGGGGACCTGGGGTATGTTCTCGACTTACGGCGGGGATGGCCCTTCAAAACACGAGTTTCTTCAGTGACGTCAGGACTCCTGTCTAGTAATGAGGGACACCTCAGCAATCTCTTCGAGGCTTGGCAGGGCAAAAGGGACGCTTCTCGAGGTGAGCCAGGGCACCCAAGGACCCTTTCCAGTAGCCACAGGGATTTTGGGATTCCTATCAGTATTCAAGAGGAGTCAGGCATCGTCACCTTTTGAAGCAATGAACTCTGTGTGCCTCTCGAGGTGTCAGGGGGATGTGAGGTATTCCGTCAAAATGAGGCAGGGACCTAGGGCTTCCTCTAAGGTCTCCACAGGGGCTTCAGAAATCCCTTCATGTTGTCAGATCAAAGACGAGCCTGTATTCAAGCCACTGCAAGGAAATCTGGCCTCCGTTCACATTAGGGCTTCTCCCTGTGTATTCCCCTTGAGGCAGCAAACTCGGGGTCCCTCCCACATACCTATTGCTGAGAGAAGCCTCCTCATGCGGTTCTTCTGGAAAGTTGGCATACGTCTTGAGCCTAAGCCAGGGAATCAGCTCTCATCTCGAGATGATTTGGGGTACACGGAGCATTCCTCTGGTTGCTGTGCTGAAATTGGTGCTCCTCTAGACTTGGGACAGTGTTCTCGGGGCATCTCTGGAGTTGCCTGAAGGAAGTCGAGCCACCGGTCGTGTTGAATGGGGAACGGGGAATGGCTCTGGAGTCAATGCAGGGGAATCGGGCCTCATCTCGAGTTGATTTGGGGCACATGGAGCAGCTTTGCGTTGCTGGGGTGACCTCAGGGTCCGTCTAGACTGGTGACAGTGTTCTTGGGGACTGTCTCGAGATCCATTAAGCACGTCGAAGCTCCTGACTTGTTTGAATGGGATCACGGAATAGCTCTGCATGCACTGCAGGGGAATGGGGCCTCATCTCGCCTCTAGGGGGAAGTCTCATGGTTTTTCTCGAGTTGCGGCGGGGACCTGGGGTATGTTCTCGACTTACGGCGGGGATGGCCCTTAAAAACCCGAGTTTCTTCAGTGACGTCAGGACTCCTGTCTAGTAACGAGGGACACCTCAGGAATCTCTTCGAGGCTTGGCAGGGCAAAAGGGACGCTTCTCGAAGTGAGGCAGGGCACCCAAGGAACCTTTCCAGTAGCCACAGGGATTTTGGGATTCCTATCAGTATTCAAGAGGAGTCAGGCATCGTCACCTTTTGAAGAAATGAACTCCGCATGCCTCTCGAGCTGTCAGCGGGATGTGAGGCATTCCGTCAAAATGAGGCAGGGACCTAGGGCTTTCTCTAAGGTCTTCACAGGGGATTCAGACATCCCTTCATGTTGTGAGATGAAAGACAAGCCTGTATTCAAGCTACTGCAAGGAAATCCTGCCTCCTTTCAAGTTAGGGCTTCTCGCTGTATATTCCCCTTGAGGCAGCAAACTCGGAGTCCCTCCCACATACCTATTGCTGAGAGAAGCCTCCTCCTGAGGTGCTTCTGGAAAGTTGGCATACGCCTTGAGCCTAAGCCAGGGATTCAGCTCTCATCTCGAGACGATTTGTGGTACACAGAGCATTCCTCGAGTTGCTGTGCTGAAGTTGGTGTTCCTCTAGACTTGGGACAGTGTTCTCTGGGCATCTCTGGAGTTGCCTGAAGGAAACCGAGCCACCGGTCGTGTTGAATGGGGAACGGGGAATGGCTCTGGAGTCAATGCAGGGGAATCGGGCCTCATCTCGACTTGATTTGTGGCACCTGGAGCTGCTTTGCGTTGCTGGGGTGACCTCAGGGTCCGTCTAGACTGGTGACAGTGTTCTTGGGGACTGACTCGAGATCCATTAAGCAAGTCGAAGCTCCTGACTTGTTTGAATGGGATCACAGAATAGCTCTGCATGCACTGCAGGGGAATGGGGCCTCATCTCGCCTCTAGGGGGAAGTCTCATGGTTTTTCTCGAGTTGCGGCGGGGACCTGGGGTATGTTCTCGACTTACGGCGGGGATGGCCCTTCAAAACACGAGTTTCTTCAGTGACGTCAGGACTCCTGTCTAGTAATGAGGGACAACTCAGCAGTCTCTTCGAGGCTTGGCAGGGCAAAAGGGACGCTTCTCGAGGTGAGCCAGGGCACCCAAGGACCCTTTCCAGTAGCCACAGGGATTTTGGGATTCCTATCAGTATTCAAGAGGAGTCAGGCATCGTCACCTTTTGAAGCAATGAACTCCGCGTGCCTCTCGAGGTGTCAGCGGGATGTGAGGATTCCGTCAAAATGAGGCAGGGACCTAGGGCTTTCTCTAAGGTCTCCACAGGGGATTCAGACATCCCTTCATGTTGTGAGATGAAAGACGAGCCTGTATTCAAGCCACTGCAAGGAAATCCGGCCTCCTTTCAAGTTAGGGCTTCTCGCTGTATATTCCCCTTGAGGCAGCAAACTCGGGGTCCCTCCCACATACCTATTGCTGAGAGTAGCCTCCTCCTGAGGTGCTTCTGGAAAGGTGGCATACGTCTTGAGCCTAAGCCAGGGAATCAGCTCTCATCTCGAGATGATTTGGGGTACACAGAGCATTCCTCGAGTTGCTGTGCTGAAGTTGGTGTTCCTCTAGACTTGGGACAGTGTTCTCGGGGCATCTCTGGAGTTGCCTGAAGGAAACCGAGCCACCGGTCCTGTTGAATGGGGAACAAGGAATGGCTCTGGAGTCAATGTAGGGGATTCGGGCCTCATCTCGAGTTGATTTGGGGCACATGGAGCAGCTTTGCATTGCTGGGGTGACCTCAGGGTCCGTCTAGACTGGTGACAGTGTTCTTGGGGACTGCCTCGAGATCCATTAAGCAAGTCGAAGCTCCAGACTTGTTTGAATGGGATCACGGAATACCTCTGCATGCACTGCAGGGGAATGGGGCCTCATCTCGCCTCTAGGGGGAAGTCTCATGGTTTTTCTCGAGTTGCGGCGGTGAACTGGGGTATGTTCTCAACTTACGGCGGGGATGGCCCTTCAAAACACGAGTTTCTTCAGTGACGTCAGGACTCCTGTCTAGTAACGAGGGACACGTCAGCAATCTCTTCGAGGCTTGGCAGGGCAAAAGGGACGCTTCTCGAGGTGAGCCAGGGCACCCAAGGACCCATTCCAGTAGCCACAGGGATTTTGGTATTCCTATAAGTATTCAAGAGGAGTCAGGCATCGTCACCTTTTGAAGCTATGAACTCCGCGTGCCTCTCGAGGTGTCAGCGGGATGTGAGGATTCCGTAAAAATGAGGCAGGGACCTAGGGCTTTCTCTAAGGTCTCCACAGGGGATTCAGACATCCCTTCATGTTGTGAGATGAAAGACGAGCCTGTATTCAAGCCACTGCAAGGAAATCCGGCCTCCTTTCAAGTTAGGGCTTCTCGCTGTATATTCCCCTTGAGGCAGCAAACTCGGGGTCCCTCCCACATACCTATTGCTGAGAGAAGCCTCCTCCTGAGGTGCTTCTGGAAAGGTGGCATACGTCTTGAGCCTAAGCCAGGGAATCAGCTCTAATCTCGAGACGATTTGGGGTACACAGAGCATTCCTCGAGTTGCTGTGCTGAAGTTGGTGTTCCTCTAGACTTGGGAGAGTGTTCTCTGGGCATATCTGGAGTTGCCTGAAGGAAGTCGAGCCACCGGTCGTGTTGAATGGGGAACAAGGAATGGCTCTGGAGTCAATGCAGGGGAATCCGGCCTCATCTCGAGTTGATTTGGGGCACATGGAGCTGCTTTGCATTGCTGGGTGACCTCAGGGTCCGTCTAGACTGGTGACAGTGTTCTTGGGGACTGTCTCGAGATCCATTTAGCAAGTCGAAGCTCCTGACTTGTTTGAATTGGATCATGGAATAGCTCTGCATGCACTGCAGGGGAATGGGGCCTCATCTCGCCTCTAGGGGGAAATCTCATGGTTTTTCTCGAGTTGCGGCGGGGACCTGGGGTATGTTCTCGACTTACGGCGGGGATGGCCCTTCAAAACACGAGTTTCTTCAGTGACGTCAGGACTCCTGTCTAGTAATGAGGGACACCTCAGCAATCTCTTCGAGGCTTGGCAGGGCAAAAGGGACGCTTCTCGAGGTGAGCCAGGGCACCCAAGGACCCTTTCCAGTAGCCACAGGGATTTTGGGATTCCTATCAGTATTCAAGAGGAGTCAGGCATCGTCACCTTTTGAAGCAATGAACTCTGTGTGCCTCTCGAGGTGTCAGGGGGATGTGAGGTATTCCGTCAAAATGAGGCAGGGACCTAGGGCTTCCTCTAAGGTCTCCACAGGGGCTTCAGAAATCCCTTCATGTTGTCAGATCAAAGACGAGCCTGTATTCAAGCCACTGCAAGGAAATCTGGCCTCCGTTCACATTAGGGCTTCTCCCTGTGTATTCCCCTTGAGGCAGCAAACTCGGGGTCCCTCCCACATACCTATTGCTGAGAGAAGCCTCCTCATGCGGTTCTTCTGGAAAGTTGGCATACGTCTTGAGCCTAAGCCAGGGAATCAGCTCTCATCTCGAGATGATTTGGGGTACACGGAGCATTCCTCTGGTTGCTGTGCTGAAATTGGTGCTCCTCTAGACTTGGGACAGTGTTCTCGGGGCATCTCTGGAGTTGCCTGAAGGAAGTCGAGCCACCGGGCGTGTTGAATGGGGAACGGGGAATGGCTCTGGAGTCAATGCAGGGGAATCGGGCCTCATCTCGAGTTGATTTGGGGCACATGGAGCAGCTTTGCGTTGCTGGGGTGACCTCAGGGTCCGTCTAGACTGGTGACAGTGTTCTTGGGGACTGTCTCGAGATCCATTAAGCACGTCGAAGCTCCTGACTTGTTTGAATGGGATCACGGAATAGCTCTGCATGCACTGCAGGGGAATGGGGCCTCATCTCGCCTCTAGGGGGAAGTCTCATGGTTTTTCTCGAGTTGCGGCGGGGACCTGGGGTATGTTCTCGACTTACGGCGGGGATGGCCCTTAAAAACCCGAGTTTCTTCAGTGACGTCAGGACTCCTGTCTAGTAACGAGGGACACCTCAGGAATCTCTTCGAGGCTTGGCAGGGCAAAAGGGACGCTTCTCGAAGTGAGGCAGGGCACCCAAGGAACCTTTCCAGTAGCCACAGGGATTTTGGGATTCCTATCAGTATTCAAGAGGAGTCAGGCATCGTCACCTTTTGAAGAAATGAACTCCGCATGCCTCTCGAGCTGTCAGCGGGATGTGAGGCATTCCGTCAAAATGAGGCAGGGACCTAGGGCTTTCTCTAAGGTCTTCACAGGGGATTCAGACATCCCTTCATGTTGTGAGATGAAAGACAAGCCTGTATTCAAGCTACTGCAAGGAAATCCTGCCTCCTTTCAAGTTAGGGCTTCTCGCTGTATATTCCCCTTGAGGCAGCAAACTCGGAGTCCCTCCCACATACCTATTGCTGAGAGAAGCCTCCTCCTGAGGTGCTTCTGGAAAGTTGGCATACGCCTTGAGCCTAAGCCAGGGATTCAGCTCTCATCTCGAGACGATTTGGGGTACACAGAGCATTCCTCGAGTTGCTGTGCTGAAGTTGGTGTTCCTCTAGACTTGGGACAGTGTTCTCTGGGCATCTCTGGAGTTGCCTGAAGGAAGTCGAGCCACCGGTCGTGTTGAATGGGGAGCGGGGAATGGCTCTGGAGTCAATGCAGGGGAATCGGGCCTCATCTCGACTTGATTTGTGGCACCTGGAGCTGCTTTGCGTTGCTGGGGTGACCTCAGGGTCCGTCTAGACTGGTGACAGTGTTCTTGGGGACTGACTCGAGATCCATTAAGCAAGTCGAAGCTCCTGACTTGTTTGAATGGGATCACGGAATAGCTCTGCATGCACTGCAGGGGAATGGGGCCTCATCTCGCCTCTAGGGGGAAGTCTCATGGTTTTTCTCGAGTTGCGGCGGGGACCTGGGGTATGTTCTCGACTTTCGGCGGGGATGGCCCTTCAAAACACGAGTTTCTTCAGTGACGTCAGGACTCCTGTCTAGTAATGAGGGACAACTCAGCAATCTCTTCGAGGCTTGGCAGGGCGAAAGGGACGCTTCTCGAGGTGAGCCAGGGCACCCAAGGACCCTTTCCAGTAGCCACAGGGATTTTGGGATTCCTATAAGTATTCAAGAGGAGTCAGGCATCGTCACCTTTTGAAGCTATGAACTCCGCGTGCCTCTCGAGGTGTCAGCGGGATGTGAGGATTCCGTCAAAATGAGGCAGGGACCTAGGGCTTTCTCTAAGGTCTCCACAGGGGATTCAGACATCCCTTCATGTTGTGAGAGGAAAGACGAGCCTGTATTCAAGCCACTGCATGGAAATCCGGCCTCCTTTCAAGTTAGGGCTTCTCGCTGTATATTCCCCTTGAGGCAGCAAACTCGGGGTCCCTCCCACATACCTATTGCTGAGAGAAGCCTCCTCCTGAGGTGCTTCTGGAAAGGTGGCATACGTCTTGAGCCTAAGCCAGGGAATCAGCTCTCATCTCGAGACGATTTGGGGTACACAGAGCATTCCTCGAGTTGCTGTGCTGAAGTTGGTGTTCCTCTAGACTTGGGACAGTGTTCTCGGGGCATCTCTGGAGTTGCCTGAAGGAAACCGAGCCACCGGTCCTGTTGAATGGGGAACAAGGAATGGCTCTGGAGTCAATGTAGGGGATTCGGGCCTCATCTCGAGTTGATTTGGGGCACATGGAGCAGCTTTGCATTGCTGGGGTGACCTCAGGGTCCGTCTAGACTGGTGACAGTGTTCTTGGGGACTGCCTCGAGATCCATTAAGCAAGTCGAAGCTCCAGACTTGTTTGAATGGGATCACGGAATACCTCTGCATGCACTGCAGGGGAATGGGGCCTCATCTCGCCTCTAGGGGGAAGTCTCATGGTTTTTCTCGAGTTGCGGCGGTGAACTGGGGTATGTTCTCAACTTACGGCGGGGATGGCCCTTCAAAACACGAGTTTCTTCAGTGACGTCAGGACTCCTGTCTAGTAACGAGGGACACGTCAGCAATCTCTTCGAGGCTTGGCAGGGCAAAAGGGACGCTTCTCGAGGTGAGCCAGGGCACCCAAGGACCCATTCCAGTAGCCACAGGGATTTTGGTATTCCTATAAGTATTCAAGAGGAGTCAGGCATCGTCACCTTTTGAAGCTATGAACTCCGCGTGCCTCTCGAGGTGTCAGCGGGATGTGAGGATTCCGTAAAAATGAGGCAGGGACCTAGGGCTTTCTCTAAGGTCTCCACAGGGGATTCAGACATCCCTTCATGTTGTGAGATGAAAGACGAGCCTGTATTCAAGCCACTGCAAGGAAATCCGGCCTCCTTTCAAGTTAGGGCTTCTCGCTGTATATTCCCCTTGAGGCAGCAAACTCGGGGTCCCTCCCACATACCTATTGCTGAGAGAAGCCTCCTCCTGAGGTGCTTCTGGAAAGGTGGCATACGTCTTGAGCCTAAGCCAGGGAATCAGCTCTAATCTCGAGACGATTTGGGGTACACAGAGCATTCCTCGAGTTGCTGTGCTGAAGTTGGTGTTCCTCTAGACTTGGGAGAGTGTTCTCTGGGCATATCTGGAGTTGCCTGAAGGAAGTCGAGCCACCGGTCGTGTTGAATGGGGAACAAGGAATGGCTCTGGAGTCAATGCAGGGGAATCCGGCCTCATCTCGAGTTGATTTGGGGCACATGGAGCTGCTTTGCATTGCTGGGTGACCTCAGGGTCCGTCTAGACTGGTGACAGTGTTCTTGGGGACTGTCTCGAGATCCATTTAGCAAGTCGAAGCTCCTGACTTGTTTGAATTGGATCATGGAATAGCTCTGCATGCACTGCAGGGGAATGGGGCCTCATCTCGCCTCTAGGGGGAAATCTCATGGTTTTTCTCGAGTTGCGGCGGGGACCTGGGGTATGTTCTCGACTTACGGCGGGGATGGCCCTTCAAAACACGAGTTTCTTCAGTGACGTCAGGACTCCTGTCTAGTAATGAGGGACACCTCAGCAATCTCTTCGAGGCTTGGCAGGGCAAAAGGGACGCTTCTCGAGGTGAGCCAGGGCACCCAAGGACCCTTTCCAGTAGCCACAGGGATTTTGGGATTCCTATCAGTATTCAAGAGGAGTCAGGCATCGTCACCTTTTGAAGCAATGAACTCTGTGTGCCTCTCGAGGTGTCAGGGGGATGTGAGGTATTCCGTCAAAATGAGGCAGGGACCTAGGGCTTCCTCTAAGGTCTCCACAGGGGCTTCAGAAATCCCTTCATGTTGTCAGATCAAAGACGAGCCTGTATTCAAGCCACTGCAAGGAAATCTGGCCTCCGTTCACATTAGGGCTTCTCCCTGTGTATTCCCCTTGAGGCAGCAAACTCGGGGTCCCTCCCACATACCTATTGCTGAGAGAAGCCTCCTCATGCGGTTCTTCTGGAAAGTTGGCATACGTCTTGAGCCTAAGCCAGGGAATCAGCTCTCATCTCGAGATGATTTGGGGTACACGGAGCATTCCTCTGGTTGCTGTGCTGAAATTGGTGCTCCTCTAGACTTGGGACAGTGTTCTCGGGGCATCTCTGGAGTTGCCTGAAGGAAGTCGAGCCACCGGGCGTGTTGAATGGGGAACGGGGAATGGCTCTGGAGTCAATGCAGGGGAATCGGGCCTCATCTCGAGTTGATTTGGGGCACATGGAGCAGCTTTGCGTTGCTGGGGTGACCTCAGGGTCCGTCTAGACTGGTGACAGTGTTCTTGGGGACTGTCTCGAGATCCATTAAGCACGTCGAAGCTCCTGACTTGTTTGAATGGGATCACGGAATAGCTCTGCATGCACTGCAGGGGAATGGGGCCTCATCTCGCCTCTAGGGGGAAGTCTCATGGTTTTTCTCGAGTTGCGGCGGGGACCTGGGGTATGTTCTCGACTTACGGCGGGGATGGCCCTTAAAAACCCGAGTTTCTTCAGTGACGTCAGGACTCCTGTCTAGTAACGAGGGACACCTCAGGAATCTCTTCGAGGCTTGGCAGGGCAAAAGGGACGCTTCTCGAAGTGAGGCAGGGCACCCAAGGAACCTTTCCAGTAGCCACAGGGATTTTGGGATTCCTATCAGTATTCAAGAGGAGTCAGGCATCGTCACCTTTTGAAGAAATGAACTCCGCATGCCTCTCGAGCTGTCAGCGGGATGTGAGGCATTCCGTCAAAATGAGGCAGGGACCTAGGGCTTTCTCTAAGGTCTTCACAGGGGATTCAGACATCCCTTCATGTTGTGAGATGAAAGACAAGCCTGTATTCAAGCTACTGCAAGGAAATCCTGCCTCCTTTCAAGTTAGGGCTTCTCGCTGTATATTCCCCTTGAGGCAGCAAACTCGGAGTCCCTCCCACATACCTATTGCTGAGAGAAGCCTCCTCCTGAGGTGCTTCTGGAAAGTTGGCATACGCCTTGAGCCTAAGCCAGGGATTCAGCTCTCATCTCGAGACGATTTGGGGTACACAGAGCATTCCTCGAGTTGCTGTGCTGAAGTTGGTGTTCCTCTAGACTTGGGACAGTGTTCTCTGGGCATCTCTGGAGTTGCCTGAAGGAAGTCGAGCCACCGGTCGTGTTGAATGGGGAGCGGGGAATGGCTCTGGAGTCAATGCAGGGGAATCGGGCCTCATCTCGACTTGATTTGTGGCACCTGGAGCTGCTTTGCGTTGCTGGGGTGACCTCAGGGTCCGTCTAGACTGGTGACAGTGTTCTTGGGGACTGACTCGAGATCCATTAAGCAAGTCGAAGCTCCTGACTTGTTTGAATGGGATCACGGAATAGCTCTGCATGCACTGCAGGGGAATGGGGCCTCATCTCGCCTCTAGGGGGAAGTCTCATGGTTTTTCTCGAGTTGCGGCGGGGACCTGGGGTATGTTCTCGACTTTCGGCGGGGATGGCCCTTCAAAACACGAGTTTCTTCAGTGACGTCAGGACTCCTGTCTAGTAATGAGGGACAACTCAGCAATCTCTTCGAGGCTTGGCAGGGCGAAAGGGACGCTTCTCGAGGTGAGCCAGGGCACCCAAGGACCCTTTCCAGTAGCCACAGGGATTTTGGGATTCCTATAAGTATTCAAGAGGAGTCAGGCATCGTCACCTTTTGAAGCTATGAACTCCGCGTGCCTCTCGAGGTGTCAGCGGGATGTGAGGATTCCGTCAAAATGAGGCAGGGACCTAGGGCTTTCTCTAAGGTCTCCACAGGGGATTCAGACATCCCTTCATGTTGTGAGAGGAAAGACGAGCCTGTATTCAAGCCACTGCATGGAAATCCGGCCTCCTTTCAAGTTAGGGCTTCTCGCTGTATATTCCCCTTGAGGCAGCAAACTCGGGGTCCCTCCCACATACCTATTGCTGAGAGAAGCCTCCTCCTGAGGTGCTTCTGGAAAGGTGGCATACGTCTTGAGCCTAAGCCAGGGAATCAGCTCTCATCTCGAGACGATTTGGGGTACACAGAGCATTCCTCGAGTTGCTGTGCTGAAGTTGGTGTTCCTCTAGACTTGGGACAGTGTTCTCGGGGCATCTCTGGAGTTGCCTGAAGGAAACCGAGCCACCGGTCCTGTTGAATGGGGAACTGGGAATGGCTCTGGAGTCAATGCAGGGGAATTGGGCCTCATCTCGAGTTGATTTGGGGCACATGGAGCTGGTTTGCGTTGCTGGGGTGACCTCAGGGTCCGTCTACACTGGTGACAGTGTTCTTGGGGACTGTCTCGAGATCCATTAAGCAAGTCGAAGCTCCTGACTTGTTTGAATGGGATCACGGAATAGCTCTGCATGCACTGCAGGGGAATGGGGCCTCATCTCGCCTCTAGGGGGAAGTCTCATGGTTTTTCTCGAGTTGCGGCGGGGAAATGGGGTATGTTCTCAACTTACGGCGGGGATGGCCCTTCAAATCACGAGTTTCTTCCGTGACGTCAGGACTCCTGTCTAGTAACGAGGGACACCTCAGCAATCTCTTCGAGTTTTGGCAGGGCAAAAGGGACGCTTCTCGAGGTGAGCCAGGGCACCCAAGGACCCTTTCCAGTAGCCACAGGGATTTTGGGATTCCTATAAGTATTCAAGAGGAGTCAGGCATCGTCACCTTTTGAAGCTATGAACTCCGCGTGCCTCTCGAGGTGTCAGCGGGATGTGATGATTCCGTCAAAATGAGGCAGGGACCTAGGGCTTTCTCTAAGGTCTCCACAGGGGATTCAGACATCCCTTCATGTTGTGAGATGAAAGACGAGCCTGTATTCAAGCCACTGCAAGGAAATCCGGCCTCCTTTCAAGTTAGGGCTTCTCGCTGTATATTCCCCTTGAGGCAGCAAACTCGGGGTCCCTCCCACATACCTATTGCTGAGAGAAGCCTCCTCCTGAGGTGCTTCTGGAAAGGTGGCATACGTCTTGAGCCTAAGCCAGGGAATCAGCTATCATCTCGAGACGATTTGGGGTACACAGAGCATTCCTCGAGTTGCTGTGCTGAAGTTGGTGGTCCTCTAGACTTGGGACAGTGTTCTCGGGGCATATCTGGAGTTGCCGGAAGGAAGTCGAGCCACCGGTCGTGTTGAATGGGGAACAAGGAATGGCTCTGGAGTCAATGTAGGGGAATCCGGCCTCATCTCGAGTTGATTTGGGGCACATGGAGCAGCTTTGCATTGCTGGGTGACCTCAGGGTCCGTCTAGACTGGTGACAGTGTTCTTGGGGACTGTCTCGAGATCCATTTAGCAAGTCGAAGCTCCTGACTTGTTTGAATGGGATCACGGAATAGCTCTGCATGCACTGCAGGGGAATGGGGCCTCATCTCGCCTCTAGGGGGAAGTCTCATGGTTTTTCTCGAGTTGCGGCGGGGACCTGGGGTATGTTCTCGACTTACGGCGGGGATGGCCCTTCAAAACACGAGTTTTTTCCGTGACGTCAGGACTCCTGTCTAGTAACGAGGGACACCTCAGCAATCTCTTCGAGGCTTGGCAGGGCAAAAGGGACGCTTCTCGAGGTGAGCCAGGGCACCCAAGGACCCTTTCCAGTATCCACAGGGATTTTGGGATTCCTATAAGTATTCAAGAGGAGTCAGGCATCGTCACCTTTTGAAGCAATGAACTCCGCGTGCCTCTCGAGGTGTCAGCGGGATGTGAGGATTCCGTCAAAATGAGGCAGGGACCTAGGGCTTTCTCTAAGGTCTCCACAGGGGATTCAGACATCCCTTCATGTTGTGAGATGAAAGACGAGCCTGTATTCAAGCCACTGCAAGGAAATCCGGCCTCCTTTCAAGTTAGGGCTTCTCGCTGTATATTCCCCTTGAGGCAGCAAACTCGGGGTCCCTCCCACATACCTATGGCTGAGAGAAGCCTCCTCCTGAGGTGCTTCTGGAAAGGTGGCATACGTCTTGAGCCTAAGCCAGGGAATCAGCTCTCATCTCGAGACGATTTGGGGTACACAGAGCATTCCTCGAGTTGCTGTGCTGAAGTTGGTGGTCCTCTAGACTTGGGACAGTGTTCTCGGGGCATATCTGGAGTTGCCTGAAGGAAGTCGAGCCACCGGTCGTGTTGAATGGGGAACATGGAATGGCTCTGGAGTCAATGCAGGGGAATCCGGCCTCATCTCGAGTTGATTTGGGGCACATGGAGCTGCTTTGCATTGCTGGGTGACCTCAGGGTCCGTCTAGACTGGTGACAGTGTTCTTGGGGACTGTCTCGAGATCCATTTAGCAAGTCGAAGCTCCTGACTTGTTTGAATGGGATCACGGAATAGCTCTGCATGCACTGCAGGGGAATGGGGCCTCATCTCGCCTCTAGGGGGAAATCTCATGGTTTTTCTCGAGTTGCGGCGGGGACCTGGGGTATGTTCTCGACTTACGGCGGGGATGGCCCTTCAAAACACGAGTTTCTTCAGTGACGTCAGGACTCCTGTCTAGTAATGAGGGACACCTCAGCAATCTCTTCGAGGCTTGGCCGGGCAAAAGGGACGCTTCTCGAGGTGAGCCAGGGCACCCAAGGACCCTTTCCAGTAGCCACAGGGATTTTGGGATTCCTATAAGTATTCAAGAGGAGTCAGGCATCGTCACCTTTTGAAGCAATGAACTCTGCGTGCCTCTCGAGGTGTCAGGGGGATGTGAGGTATTCCGTCAAAATGAGGCAGGGACCTAGGGCTTCCTCTAAGGTCTCCACAGGGGATTCAGAAATCCCTTCATGTTGTCAGGTCAAAGACTAGCCTGTATTCAAGCCACTGCAAGGAAATCTGGCCTCCGCTCACATTAGGGCTTCTCCCTGTGTATTCCCCTTGAGGCAGCAAACTCGGGGTCCCTCCCACATACCTATTGCTGAGAGAAGCCTCCTCCTGAGGTGCTTCTGGAAAGGTGGCATACGTCTTGAGCCTAAGCCAGGGAATCAGCTCTCATCTCGAGACGATTTGGGGTACACAGAGCATTCCTCGAGTTGCTGTGCTGAAGTTGGTGGTCCTCTAGACTTGGGACAGTGTTCTCGGGGCATATCTGGAGTTGCCTGAAGGAAGTCGAGCCACCGGTCGTGTTGAATGGGGAACATGGAATGGCTCTGGAGTCAATGCAGGGGAATCCGGCCTCATCTCGAGTTGATTTGGGGCACATGGAGCTGCTTTGCATTGCTGGGTGACCTCAGGGTCCGTCTAGACTGGTGACAGTGTTCTTGGGGACTGTCTCGAGATCCATTTAGCAAGTCGAAGCTCCTGACTTGTTTGAATGGGATCACGGAATAGCTCTGCATGCACTGCAGGGGAATGGGGCCTCATCTCGCCTCTAGGGGGAAATCTCATGGTTTTTCTCGAGTTGCGGCGGGGACCTGGGGTATGTTCTCGACTTACGGCGGGGATGGCCCTTCAAATCACGAGTTTCTTCAGTGACGTCAGGACTCCTGTCTAGTAATGAGGGACACCTCAGCAATCTCTTCGAGGCTTGGCCGGGCAAAAGGGACGCTTCTCGAGGTGAGCCAGGGCACCCAAGGACCCTTTCCAGTAGCCACAGGGATTTTGGGATTCCTATAAGTATTCAAGAGGAGTCAGGCATCGTCACCTTTTGAAGCAATGAACTCCGCGTGCCTCTCGAGGTGTCAGGGGGATGTGAGGTATTCCGTCAAAATGAGGCAGGGACCTAGGGCTTCCTCTAAGGTCTCCACAGGGGATTCAGAAATCCCTTCATGTTGTCATATCAAAGACTAGCCTGTATTCAAGCCACTGCAAGGAAATCTGGCCTCCGCTCACATTAGGGCTTCTCCCTGTGTATTCCCCTTGAGGCAGCAAACTCGGGGTCCCTCCCACATACCTATTGCTGAGAGAAGCCTCCTCCTGAGGTGCTTCTGGAAAGTTGGCATACGTCTTGAGCCTAAGCCAGGGATTCAGCTCTCATCTCGAGACGATTTGGGGTACACAGAGCATTCCTCGAGTTGCTGTGCTGAAGTTGGTGTTCCTCTAGACTTGGGAAAGTGTTCTCGGGGCATCTCTGGAGTTGCCTGAAGGAAGTCGAGCCACCGGTCTTGTTGAATGGGGAACGGGGAATGGCTCTGGAGTCAATGCAGGGGAATCGGGCCTCATCTCGAGTTGATTTGGGGCACATGGAGCTGGTTTGCGTTGCTGGGGTGACCTCAGGGTCCGTCTAGACTGGTGACAGTGTTCTTGGGGACTGTCTCGAGATCCATTAAGCAAGTCGAAGCTCCTGACTTGTTTGAATGGGATCACGGAATAGCTCTGCATGCACTGCAGGGGAATGGGGCCTCATCTCGCCTCTAGGGGGAAGTCTCATGGTTTTTCTCGAGTTGCGGCGGGGACCTGGGATATGTTCTCGACTTACGGCGGGGATGGCCCTTCAAAACACGAGTTTCTTCAGTGACGTCAGGACTCCTCTCTAGTAACGAGGGACACCTCAGGAATCTCTTCGAGGCTGGGCAGGGCAAAAGGGACGCTTCTCCAGGTGAGCCAGGGCACCCAAGGACCCTTTCCAGTAGCCACAGGGATTTTGGGATTCCTATCAGTATTCAAGAGGAGTCAGGCATCGTCACCTTTTGAAGCAATGAACTCCGTGTGCCTCTCGATGTGTCAGCGGGATGTGAGGATTCCGTCAAAATGAGGCAGGGGCCTAGGGATTTCTCTAAGGTCTCCACAGGGGATTCAGACATCCCTTCATGTTGTCATATCAAAGACGAGCCTGTATTCAAGCCACTGCAAGGAAAACCGGCCTCCTTTCAAGTTAGGGCTTCTCGCTGTATATTCCCCTTGAAGCAGCAACCTCGGAGTCCCTCCCACATACCTATTGCTGAGAAGCCTCCTCCTGAGGTGCTTCTGGAAAGGTGGCATACGTCTTGAGCCTAAGCCAGGGAATCAGCTCTCATCTCGAAATGATTTGGGGTACACAGAGCATTCCTCAAGTTGCTGTGCTGAAGTTGGTGTTCCTCTAGACTTGGGACAGTGTTCTCGGGGCATCTCTGGAGTTGCCTGAAGGAAACCGAGCCACCGGTCCTCTTGAATGGGGAACGGGGAATGGCTCTGGAGTCAATGCAGGGGAATCCGGCCTCATCTCGAGTAGATTTGGGGCACATGGAGCTGCTTTGCATTGCTGGGTGACCTCAGGGTCCGTCTAGACTGGTGACAGTGTTCTTGGGGACTGCCTCGAGATCCATTAAGCAAGTCGAAGCTCCTGACTTGTTTGAATGGGATCACGGAATAGCTCTGCATGCACTGCAGGGGAATGGGGCCTCATCTCGCCTCTAGGGGGAAGTCTCACGGTTTTTCTCGAGTTGCGGTGGGGACCTGGGGTATGTTCTCGACTTACGGAGGGGATGGCCCTTCAAAACACGAGTTTCTTCCGTGACGTCAGGACTCCTGTCTAGTAACGAGGGACACCTCAGCAATCTCTTCGAGGCTTGGCAGGGCAAAAGGGACGCTTCTCGAGGTGAGCCAGGGCACCCAAGGACCCTTTCCAGTAGCCACAGGGATTTTGGGATTCCTATAAGTATTCAAGAGGAGTCAGGCATCGTCACCTTTTGAAGCAATGAACTCCACGTGCCTCTCGAGGTGTCAGCGGGATGTTTGGATTCCGTCAAAATGAGGCAGGGACCTAGGGCTTTCTCTAAGGTCTCCACAGGGGATTCAGACATCCCTTCATGTTGTGAGATGAAAGACGAGCCTGTATTCAAGCCACTGCAAGGAAATCCGGCCTCCTTTCAAGTTAGGGCTTCTCGCTGTATATTCCCCTTGAGGCAGCAAACTCGGAGTCCCTCCCACATACCTATTGCTGAGAGAAGCCTCCTCCTGAGGTGCTTCTGGAAAGTTGGCATACGTCTTGAGCCTAAGCCAGGGATTCAGCTCTCATCTCGAGACGATTTGGGGTACACAGAGCATTCCTCGAGTTGCTGTGCTGAAGTTGGTGTTCCTCTAGACTTGGGACAGTGTTCTCTGGGCATCTCTGGAGTTGCCTGAAGGAAGTCGAGCCACCGGTCTTGTTGAATGGGGAACGGGGAATGGCTCTGGAGTCAATGCAGGGGAATCGGGCCTCATCTCGTGTTGATTTGTGGCACCTGGAGCTGCTTTGCGTTGCTGGGGTGACCTCAGGGTCCGTCTAGACTGGTGACAGTGATCTTGGGGACTGCCTCGAGATCCATTAAGCAAGTCGAAGCTCCTGACTTGTTTGAATGGGATCACGGAATAGCTCTGCATGCACTGCAGGGGAATGGGGCCTCATCTCGCCTCTAGGGGGAAGTCTCATGGTTTTTCTCGAGTTGCGGCGGGGACCTGGGCTATGTTCTCGACTTACGGCGGGGATGGCCCTTCAAAACATGAGTTTCTTCAGTGACGTCAGGACTCCTGTCTAGTAACGAGGGACACGTCAGCAATCTCTTCGAGGCTTGGCAGGGCAAAAGGGACGCTTCCCAAGGTGAGCCAGCGCACCCAAGGACCCTTTCCAGTAGCCACAGGGATTTTGGGATTCCTATCAGTATTCAAGAGGAGTCAGGCATCGTCACCTTTTGAAGCAATGGTCTCCGCGTGCCTCTCGACGTGTCAGCGGGATGTGAGGATTCCGTCAAAATGAGGCAGGGACCTAGGGCTTTCTCTAAGGTCTCCACAGGGGATTCAGACATCCCTTCATGTTGTGAGATGAAAGACGAGCCTGTATTCAAGCCACTGCAAGGAAATCCGGCCTCCTTTCAAGTTAGGGCTTCTCGCTGTATATTCCCCTTGAGGCAGCAAACTCGGGGTCCCTCCCACATACCTATTGCTGAGAGAAGCCTCCTCCTGAGGTGCTTCTGGAAAGGTGGCATACGTCTTGAGCCTAAGCCAGGGAATCAGCTCTCATCTCGAGACGATTTGGGGTACACAGAGCATTCCTCGAGTTGCTGTGCTGAAGTTGGTGGTCCTCTAGACTTGGGACAGTGTTCTCTGGGCATCTCTGGGGTTGCCTGAAGGAAGTCGAGCCACCGGTCCTGTTGAATGGGGAATGGGGAATGGCTCTGGAGTCAATGCAGGGGAATCGGGCCTCATCTCGAGTTGATTTGTGGCAACTGGAGCTGCTTTGCGTTGCTGGGGTGACCTCAGGGTCCATCTAGACTGGTGACAGTGTTCTTGGGGACTGCCTCGAGATCCATTAAGCAAGTCGAAGCTCCTGACTTGTTTGAATGGGATCACGGAATAGCTCTGCATGCACTGCATTGGAATGGGGCCTCATCTCGCCTCTAGGGGGAAGTCTCATGGTTTTTCTCGAGTTGCGGCGGGGACCTGGGGTATGTTCTCGACTTACGGCGGGGATGGCCCTTCAAAACACGAGTTTCTTCAGTGACGTCAGGACTCCTGTCTAGTAATGAGGGACACCTCAGCAATCTCTTCGAGGCTTGGCAGGGCAAAAGGGACGCTTCTCGAGGTGAGCCAGGGCACCCAAGGACCCTTTCCAGTAGCCACAGGGATTTTGGGATTCCTATAAGTATTCAAGAGGAGTCAGGCATCGTCACCTTTTGAAGCAATGAACTCTGCGTGCCTCTCGAGGTGTCAGGGGGATGTGAGGTGTTCCGTCAAAATGAGGCAGGGACCTAGGGCTTCCTCTAAGGTCTCCACAGGGGATTCAGACATCCCTTCATGTTGTGAGATCAAAGACGAGCCTGTATTCAAGCCACTGCAAGGAAATCTGGCCTCCTTTCAAGTTAGGGCTTCTCCCTGTGTATTCCCCTTGAGGCAGCAAACTCGGGGTCCCTCAAACATACCTATTGCTGAGAGAAGCCTCCTCCTGAGGTGCTTCTGGAAAGTTGGCATAAGTCTTGAGCCTAAGCCAGGGAATCAGCTTTCATCTCGAGATGATTTGGGATACACGGAGCATTCCTCGAGTTGCTGTGCTGAAGTTGGTGTTCCTCTAGACTTGGGACAGTGTCCTCGGGGCATCTCTGGAGTTGCCTGAAGGAAGTCGAGCCACCGGTCGTGTTAAATGGGGAACGGGGAATGGCTCTGGAGTCAATGCAGTGGAAGCGGGCTTCATCTCGAGTTGATTTGGGGCACATGGAGCAGCTTTGCGTTGCTGGGGTGACCTCAGGGTCCGTCTAGACTGGTGACAGTGTTCTTGGGGACTGTCTCGAGATCCATTAAGCAAGTCGAAGCTCCTGACTTGTTTGAATGGGATCACGGAATAGCTCTGCATGCACTGCAGGGGAATGGGGCCTCATCTCGCCTCTAGGGGGCAGTCTCATGGTTTTTCTCGAGTTGCGGCGGGGACCTGGGGTATGTTCTCGACTTACGGCGGGGATGGCCTTTCAAAACACGAGTTTCTTCCGTGACGTCAGGACTCCTGTCTAGTAACGAGGGACACCTCAGCAATCTCTTCGAGGCTTGGCAGGGCAAAAGGGACGCTTCTCGAGGTGAGCCAGGGCACCCAAGGACCCTTTCCAGTAGCCACAGGGATTTTGGGATTCCTATCAGTATTCAAGAGGAGTCAGGCATCGTCACCTTTTGAAGCAATGAACTCCGCGTGCCTCTCGACGTGTCAGGGGGATGTGAGGTGTTCCGTCAAAATGAGGCAGGGACCTAGGGCTTCCTCTAAGGTCTCCACAGGGGACTCAGACCTCCCTTCATGTTGTCATATCAAAGACAAGCCTGTATTCAAGCTACTGCAAGGAAATCCGGCCTCCTTTCAAGTTAGGGCTTCTCGCTGTATATTCCCCTTGAGGCAGCAAACTCGGAGTCCCTCCCACATACCTATTGCTGAGAAGCCTCCTCCTGAGGTGCTTCTGGAAAGGTGGCATACGTCTTGAGCCTAAGCCAGGGAATCAGCTCTCATCTCGAGACGATTTGGGGTACACAGAGCATTCCTCGAGTTGCTGTGCTGAAGTTGGTGTTCCTCTAGACTTGGGACAGTGTTCTCGGGGCATCTCTGGGTTTGCCTGAAGGAAACCGAGCCACCGGTCGTGTTGAATGGGGAACGGGGAATGGCTCTGGAATCAATGCAGGGGAATCGGGCCTCATCTCGAGTTGATTTAGGGCACATGGAGCTGGTTTGCATTGCTGGGGTGACCTCAGGGTCCGTCTAGACTGGTGACAGTGTTCTTGGGGACTGTCTCGAGATCCATTAAGCAAGTCGAAGCTCCTGACTTGTTTGAATGGGATCACGGAATAGCTCTGCATGCACTGCAGGGGAATGGGGCCTCATCTCGCCTCTAGGGGGAAGTCTCATGGTTTTTCTCGAGTTGCGGCGGGGACCTGGGGTATGTTCTCGACTTACGGCAGGGATGGCCCTTCAAAACACGACTTTCTTCAGTGACGTCAGGACTCCTGCCTAGTAACGAGGGACACCTCAGGAATCTCTTCGAGTCTTGGCAGGGCAAAAGGGACGCTTCTCGAGGTGAGCCAGGGCACCCAAGGACCCTTTCCAGTAGCCACAGGGATTTTGGGATTCCTATCAGTATTCAAGAGGAGTCAGGCATCGTCACCTTTTGAAGCAATGAACTCCGCGTGCCTCTCGAGGTGTCAGCGGGATGTGAGGCATTCCGTCAAAATGAGGCAGGGACCTAGGGCTTTCTCTAAGGTCTCCACAGGGGATTCAGACATCCCTTCATGTTGTGAGATGAAAGACAAGCCTGTATTCAAGCTACTGCAAGGAAATCCGGCCTCCTTTCAAGTTAGGGCTTCTCGCTGTATATTCCCCTTGAGGCAGCAAACTCGGAGTCCCTCCCACATACCTATTGCTGAGAAGCCTCCTCCTGAGGTGCTTCTGGAAAGGTGGCATACGTCTTGAGCCTAAGCCAGGGAATCAGCTCTCATCTCGAGACGATTTGGGGTACACAGAGCATTCCTCGAGTTGCTGTGCTGAAGTTGGTGTTCCTCTAGACTTGGGACAGTGTTCTCGGGGCATCTCTGGAGTTGCCTGAAGGAAACCGAGCCACCGGTCCTGTTGAATGGGGAACGGGGAATGGCTCTGGAATCAATGCAGGGGAATCGGGCCTCATCTCGAGTTGATTTAGGGCACATGGAGCTGGTTTGCGTTGCTGGGGTGACCTCAGGGTCCGTCTAGACTGGTGACAGTGTTCTTGGGGACTGTCTCGAGATCCATTAAGCAAGTCGAAGCTCCTGACTTGTTTGAATGGGATCACGGAATAGCTCTGCATGCACTGCAGGGGAATGGGGCCTCATCTCGCCTCTAGGGGGAAGTCTCATGGTTTTTCTCGAGTTGCGGCGGGGACCTGGGGTATGTTCTCGACTTACGGCGGGGACGGCCCTTCAAAACACGAGTTTCTTCAGTGACGTCAGGACTCCTGTCTAGTAACGAGGGACACCTCAGCAATCTCTTCGAGGCTTGGCAGGGCAAAAGGGACGCTTCTCGAGGTGAGCCATGGCACCCAAGGACCCTTTCCAGTAGCCACAGGGATTTTGGGATTCCTATCAGTATTCAAGAGGAGTCAGGCATCGTCACCTTTTGAAGCAATGAACTCCGCGTGCCTCTCGAGGTGTCAGCGGGATGTGAGGATTCCGTCAAAATGAGGCAGGGACCTAGGGCTTTCTCTAAGGTCTCCACAGGGGATTCAGACATCCCTTCATGTTGTGAGATGAAAGACGAGCCTGTATTCAAGCCACTAGAAGGAAATCCGGCCTCCTTTCAAGTTAGGGCTTCTCGCTGTATATTCCCCTTGAGGCAGCAAACTCGGAGTCCCTCCCACATACCTATTCCTGAGAGAAGCCTCATCCTGAGGTGCTTCTGGAAAGTTGGCATACGTCTTGAGCCTAAGCCAGGGATTCAGCTCTCATCTCGAGACGATTTGGGGTACACAGAGCATTCCTCGAGTTGCTGTGCTGAAGTTGGTGTTACTCTAGACTTGGGACAGTGTTCTCGGGGCATCTCTGGAGTTGCCTGAAGGAAGGCGAGCCTCCGTTCGTGTTGCACAAACGGGGAATGGCTCTGGAGTCAATGCAGGTGAATCGGGCCTCATCTCGAGTTGATTTGGGGCACATGGAGCTGCTTTGCGTTGCTGGGGTGACCTCAGGGTCCGTCTAGACTGGTGACAGTGTTCTTGGGGACTGTCTCGAGATGCATTAAGCAAGTCGAAGCTCCTGACTTGTTTGAATGGGATCACGGAATAGCTCTGCATGCACTGCAGGGGAATGGGGCCTCATCTCGCCTCTAGGGGGAAGTCTCATGGTTTTTCTCGAGTTGCGGCGGGGACCTGGGGTATGTTCTCGACTTACGGCGGGGATGGCCCTTCAAAACACGAGTTTCTTCAGTGACGTCAGGACTCCTGTCTAGTAACGAGGGACACCTCAGCAATCTCTTCGAGGCTTGGCAGGGCAAAAGGGACGCTTCTCGAAGTGAGGCAGGGCACCCAAGGAACCTTTCCAGTAGCCACAGGGATTTTGGGATTCCTATCAGTATTCAAGAGGAGTCAGGCATCGTCACCTTTTGAAGAAATGAACTCCGCATGCCTCTCGAGCTGTCAGCGGGATGTGAGGCATTCCGTCAAAATGAGGCAGGGACCTAGGGCTTTCTCTAAGGTCTTCACAGGGGATTCAGACATCCCTTCATGTTGTGAGATGAAAGACAAGCCTGTATTCAAGCTTCTGCAAGGAAATCCTGCCTCCTTTCAAGTTAGGGCTTCTCGCTGTATATTCCCCTTGAGGCAGCAAACTCGGAGTCCCTCCCACATACCTATTGCTGAGAGAAGCCTCCTCCTGAGGTGCTTCTGGAAAGTTGGCATACGTCTTGAGCCTAAGCCAGGGATTCAGCTCTCATCTCGAGACGATTTGGGGTACACAGAGCATTCCTCGAGTTGCTGTGCTGAAGTTGGTGTTCCTCTAGACTTGGGACAGTGTTCTCTGGGCATCTCTGGAGTTGCCTGAAGGAAGTCGAGCCACCGGTCGTGTTGAATGGGGAACGGGGAATGGCTCTGGAGTCAATGCAGGGGAATCGGGCCTCATCTCGACTTGATTTGTGGCACCTGGAGCTGCTTTGCGTTGCTGGGGTGACCTCAGGGTCCGTCTAGACTGGTGACAGTGTTCTTGGGGACTGACTCGAGATCCATTAAGCAAGTCGAAGCTCCTGACTTGTTTGAATGGGATCACGGAATAGCTCTGCATGCACTGCAGGGGAATGGGGCCTCATCTCTCCTCTAGGGGGAAGTCTCATGGTTTTTCTCGAGTTGCGGCGGGGACCTGGGGTATGTTCTCGACTTACGGCGGGGATGGCCCTTCAAAACACGAGTTTCTTCAGTGACGTCAGGACTCCTGTATAGTAACGAGGATTACCTCAGCAATCTCTTCGAGGCTTGGCAGGGCAAAAGGGACGCTTCTCGAGGTGAGCCAGGGCAGCCAAGGACCCTTTCCAGTAGCCACAGGGATTTCGGGATTCCTATAAGTATTCAAGAGGAGTCAGGCATCGTCACGTTTTGAAGCAATGAACTCTGCGTGCCTCTCGAGGTGTCAGGGGGATGTGAGGTATTCCGTCAAAATGAGGCAGGGACCTAGGGCTTCCTCTAAGGTCTCCACAGGGGATTCAGAAATCCCTTCATGTTGTCAGATCAAAGACGAGCCTGTATTCAAGCCACTGCAAGGAAATCTGGCCTCCGCTCACATTAGGGCTTCTCCCTGTGTATTCCCCTTGAGGCAGCAAACTCGGGGTCCCTCCCACATACCTATTGCTGAGAGAAGCCTCCTCCTGAGGTGCTTCTGGAAAGTTGGCATACGTCTTGAGCCTAAGCCAGGGAATCAGCTCTCATCTCGGGATGATTTGGGGTACACGGAGCATTCCTCTGGTTGCTGTGCTGTAATTGGTGCTCCTCTAGACTTGGGACAGTGTTCTCGGGGCATCTCTGGAGTTGCCTGAAGGAAGTCGAGCCACCGGTCGTGTTGAATGGGGAACGGGGAATGGCTCTGGAGTCAATGCAGGGGAATCGGGCCTCATCTCGAGTTGATTTGGGGCACATGGAGCAGCTTTGCGTTGCTGGGGTGACCTCAGGGTCCGTCTAGACTGGTGACAGTGTTCTTGGGGACTGTCTCGAGATCCATTAAGCACGTCGAAGCTCCTGACTTGTTTGAATGGGATCACGGAATAGCTCTGCATGCACTGCAGGGGAATGGGGCCTCATCTCGCCTCTAGGGGGAAGTCTCATGGTTTTTCTCGAGTTGCGGCGGCGACCTGGGGTATGTTCTCGACTTACGGCGGGGATGGCCCTTAAAAACCCGAGTTTCTTCAGTGACGTCAGGACTCCTGTCTAGTAACGAGGGACACCTCAGGAATCTCTTCGAGGCTTGGCAGGGCAAAAGGGACGCTTCTCGAAGTGAGTCAGGGCACCCAAGGACCCTTTCCAGTAGCCACAGGGATTTTGGGATTCCTATAAGTATTCAAGAGGAGTCAGGCATCGTCACCTTTTGAAGCAATGAACTCCGCATGCCTCTCGAGGTGTCAGCGGGATGTGAGGATTCCGTCAAAATGAGGCAGGGACCTAGGGCTTTCTCTAAGGTCTCCACAGGGGATTCAGACATCGCTTAATGTTGTGAGATGAAAGACGAGCCTGTATTCAAGCCACTGCAAGGAAATCCGGCCTCCTTTCAAGTTAGGGCTTCTCGCTGTATATTCCCCTTGAGGCAGCAAACTCGGGGTCCCTCCCACATACCTATTGCTGAGAGAAGCCTCCTCCTGAGGTGCTTCTGGAAAGTTGGCATACGTCTTGAGCCTAAGCCAGGGATTCAGCTCTCATCTCGAGACGATTTGTGGTACACAGAGCATTCCTCGAGTTGCTGTGCTGAAGTTGGTGTTCCTCTAGACTTGGGACAGTGTTCTCTGGGCATCTCTGGAGTTGCCTGAAGGAAGTCGAGCCACCGGTCGTGTTGAATGGGGAACGGGGAATGGCTCTGGAGTAAATGCAGGGGAATCTGGCCTCATCTCGAGTTGATTTGTGGCACCTGGAGCTGCTTTGCATTGCTGGGGTGACCTCAGGGTCCGTCTAGACTGGTGACAGTGTTCTTGGGGACTGCCTCGAGATCCATTAAGCAAGTCGAAGCTCCTGACTTGTTTGAATTTGATCACGGAATACCTCTGCATGCACTGCAGGGGAATGGGGCCTCATCTCGCCTCTAGGGGGAAGTCTCATGGTTTTTCTCGAGTTGCGGCGGGGAACTGGGGTATGTTCTCAACTTACGGCGGGGATGGCCCTTCAAAACACGAGTTTCTTCAGTGACGTCAGGACTCCTGTCTAGTAACGAGGGACACGTCAGCAATCTCTTCGAGGCTTGGCAGGGCAAAAGGGACGCTTCTCGAGGTGAGCCAGGGCACCCAAGGACCCTTTCCAGTAGCCACAGGGATTTTGGGATTCCTATAAGTATTCAAGAGGAGTCAGGCATCGTCACCTTTTGAAGCTATGAACTCCGCGTGCCTCTCGAGGTGTCAGCGGGATGTGAGGATTCCGTCAAAATGAGGCAGGGACCTAGGGCTTTCTCTAAGGTCTCCACAGGGGATTCAGACATCCCTTCATGTTGTGAGATGAAAGACGAGCCTGTATTCAAGCCACTGCAAGGAAATCCGGCCTCCTTTCAAGTTAGGGCTTCTCGCTGTATATTCCCCTTGAGGCAGCAAACTCGGGGTCCCTCCCACATACCTATTGCTGAGAGAAGCCTCCTCCTGAGGTGCTTCTGGAAAGGTGGCATACGTCTTGAGCCTAAGCCAGGGAATCAGCTCTAATCTCGAGACGATTTGGGGTACACAGAGCATTCCTCGAGTTGCTGTGCTGAAGTTGGTGGTCCTCTAGACTTGGGACAGTGTTCTCGGGGCATATCTGGAGTTGCCTGAAGGAAGTCGAGCCACCGGTCGTGTTGAATGGGGAACAAGGAATGGCTCTGGAGTCAATGCAGGGGAATCCGGCCTCATCTCGAGTTGATTTGGGGCACATGGAGCTGCTTTGCATTGCTGGGTGACCTCAGGGTCCGTCTAGACTGGTGACAGTGTTCTTGGGGACTGTCTCGAGATCCATTTAGCAAGTCGAAGCTCCTGACTTGTTTGAATGGGATCACGGAATAGCTCTGCATGCACTGCAGGGGAATGGGGCCTCATCTCGCCTCTAGGGGGAAATCTCAGGTTTTTTCTCGAGTTGCGGCGGGGACCTGGGGTATGTTCTCGACTTACGGCGGGGATGGCCCTTCAAAACACGAGTTTCTTCAGTGACGTCAGGACTCCTGTCTAGTAATGAGGGACACCTCAGCAATCTCTTCGAGGCTTGGCAGGGCAAAAGGGACGCTTCTCGAGGTGAGCCAGGGCACCCAAGGACCCTTTCCAGTAGCGACAGGAATTTTGGGATTCCTATCAGTATTCAAGAGGAGTCAGGCATCGTCACCTTTTGAAGCAATGAACTCTGTGTGCCTCTCGAGGTGTCAGGGGGATGTGAGGTATTCCGTCAAAATGAGGCAGGGACCTAGGGCTTCCTCTAAGGTCTCCACAGGGGCTTCAGAAATCCCTTCATGTTGTCAGATCAAAGACGAGCCTGTATTCAAGCCACTGCAAGGAAATCTGGCCTCCGTTCACATTAGGGCTTCTCCCTGTGTATTCCCCTTGAGGCAGCAAACTCGGGGTCCCTCCCACATACCTATTGCTGAGAGAAGCCTCCTCATGCGGTGCTTCTGGAAAGTTGGCATACGTCTTGAGCCTAAGCCAGGGAATCAGCTCTCATCTCGAGATGATTTGGGGTACACGGAGCATTCCTCTGGTTGCTGTGCTGAAATTGGTTCTCCTCTAGACTTGGGACAGTGTTCTCGGGGCATCTCTGGAGTTGCCTGAAGGAAGTCGAGCCACCGGTCGTGTTGAATGGGGAATGGGGAATGGCTCTGGAGTCAATGCAGGGGAATCGGGCCTCATCTCGAGTTGATTTGGGGCACATGGAGCAGCTTTGCGTTGCTGGGGTGACCTCAGGGTCCGTCTAGACTGGTGACAGTGTTCTTGGGGACTGTCCCGAGATCCATTAAGCACGTCGAAGCTCCTGACTTGTTTGAATGGGATCACGGAATAGCTTTGCATGCACTGCAGGGGAATGGGGCCTCATCTCGCCTCTAGGGGGAAGTCTCATGGTTTTTCTCGAGTTGCGGCGGGGACCTTGGGTATGTTCTCGACTTACGGCGGGGATGGCCCTTCAAAACACGAGTTTCTTCCGTGACGTCAGGACTCCTGTCTAGTAACGAGGGACACCTCAGCAATCTCTTCGAGGCTTGGCAGGGCAAAAGGGACGCTTCTCGAGGTGAGCCAGGGCACCCAAGGACCCTTTCCAGTAGCCACAGGGATTTTGGGTTTCCTATCAGTATTCAAGAGGAGTCAGGCATCGTCACCTTTTGAAGCAATGAACTCCGCGTGCCTCTCGAGGTGTCAGCGGGATGTGAGGATTCCGTCAAAATGAGGCAGGGACCTAGGGCTTACTCTAAGGTCTCCACAGGGGATTCAGACATCCCTTCATGTTGTGACATGAAAGACGAGCCTGTATTCAAGCCACTGCAAGGAAATCCGGCCTCCTTTCAAGTTAGGGCTTCTCGCTGTATATTCCCCTTGAGGCAGCAAACTCGGAGTCCCTCCCACATACCTATTGCTGAGAGAAGCCTCCTCCTGAGGTGCTTCTGGAAAGTTGGCATACGTCTTGAGCCTAAGCCAGGGATTCAGCTCTCATCTCGAGACGATTTGTGGTACACAGAGCATTCCTCGAGTTGCTGTGCTGAAGTTGGTGTTCCTCTAGACTTGGGACAGTGTTCTCTGGGCATCTCTGGAGTTGCCTGAAGGAAGTCGAGCCACCGATCGTGTTGAATGGGGAACGGGGAATGGCTCTGGAGTCAATGCAGGGGAATCGGGCCTCATCTCGAGTTGATTTGTGGCACCTGGAGCTGCTTTGCATTGCTGGGGTGACCTCAGGGTCCGTCTAGACTGGTGACAGTGTTCTTGGGGACTGCCTCGAGATCCATTAAGCAAGTCAAAGCTCCTGACTTGTTTGAATTTGATCACGGAATACCTCTGCATGCACTGCAGTGGAATGGGGCCTCATCTCGCCTCTAGGGGGAAATCTCAGGTTTTTTCTCGAGTTGCGGCGGGGACCTGGGGTATGTTCTCGACTTACGGCGGGGATGGCCCTTCAAAACACGAGTTTCTTCAGTGACGTCAGGACTCCTCTCTAGTAATGAGGGACACCTCAGCAATCTCTTCGAGGCTTGGCAGGGCAAAAGGGACGCTTCTCGAGGTGAGCCAGGGCACCCAAGGACCCTTTCCAGTAGCCACAGGGATTTTGGGATTCCTATCAGTATTCAAGAGGAGTCAGGCATCGTCACCTTTTGAAGCAATGAACTCTGTGTGCCTCTCGAGGTGTCAGGGGGATGTGAGGTATTCCGTCAAAATGAGGCAGGGACCTCGGGCTTCCTCTAAGGTCTCCACAGGGGCTTCAGAAATCCCTTCATGTTGTCAGATCAAAGACGAGCCTGTATTCAAGCCACTGCAAGGAAATCTGGCCTCCGTTCACATTAGGGCTTCTCCCTGTGTATTCCCCTTGAGGCAGCAAACTCGGGGTCCCTCCCACATACCTATTGCTGAGAGAAGCCTCCTCATGCGGTGCTTCTGGAAAGTTGGCATACGTCTTGAGCCTAAGCCAGGGATTCAGCTCTCATCTCGAGATGATTTGTGGTACACAGAGCATTCCTCGAGTTGCTGTGCTGAAGTTGGTGTTCCTCTAGACTTGGGACAGTGTTCTCTGGGCATCTCTGGAGTTGCCTGAAAGAAGTCGAGCCACCGGTCGTGTTGAATGGGGAACGGGGAATGGCTCTGGAGTCAATGCAGGGGAATCGGGCCTCATCTCGAGTTGATTTGTGGCACATGGAGCTGCTTTGCATTGTTGGGGTGACCTCAGGGTCCGTCTAGACTGGTGACAGTGTTCTTGGGGACTGCCTCGAGATCCATTAAGCAAGTCGAAGCTCCTGACTTGTTTGAATTTGATCACGGAATACCTCTGCCTGCACTGCAGTGGAATGGGGCCTCATCTCGCCTCTAGGGGGAAATCTCAGGTTTTTTCTCGAGTTGCGGCGGGGACCTGGGGTATGTTCTCGACTTACGGCGGGGATGGCCCTTCAAAACACGAGTTTCTTCAGTGACGTCAGGACTCCTCTCTAGTAATGAGGGACACCTCAGCAATCTCTTCGAGGCTTGGCAGGGCAAAAGGGACGCTTCTCGAGGTGAGCCAGGGCACCCAAGGACCCTTTCCAGTAGCCACAGGGATTTTGGGATTCCTATCAGTATTCAAGAGGAGTCAGGCATCGTCACCTTTTGAAGCAATGAACTCTGTGTGCCTCTCGAGGTGTCAGGGGGATGTGAGGTATTCCGTCAAAATGAGGCAGGGACCTCGGGCTTCCTCTAAGGTCTCCACAGGGGCTTCAGAAATCCCTTCATGTTGTCAGATCAAAGACGAGCCTGTATTCAAGCCACTGCAAGGAAATCTGGCCTCCGTTCACATTAGGGCTTCTCCCTGTGTATTCCCCTTGAGGCAGCAAACTCGGGGTCCCTCCCACATACCTATTGCTGAGAGAAGCCTCCTCATGCGGTGCTTCTGGAAAGTTGGCATACGTCTTGAGCCTAAGCCAGGGATTCAGCTCTCATCTCGAGATGATTTGTGGTACACAGAGCATTCCTCGAGTTGCTGTGCTGAAGTTGGTGTTCCTCTAGACTTGGGACAGTGTTCTCTGGGCATCTCTGGAGTTGCCTGAATGAAGTCGAGCCACCGGTCGTGTTGAATGGGGAACGGGGAATGGCTCTGGAGTCAATGCAGGGGAATCGGGCCTCATCTCGAGTTGATTTGTGGCACATGGAGCTGCTTTGCATTGTTGGGGTGACCTCAGGGTCCGTCTAGACTGGTGACAGTGTTCTTGGGGACTGCCTCGAGATGCATTAAGCAAGTCGAAGCTCCTGACTTGTTTGAATTTGATCACGGAATACCTCTGCCTGCACTGCAGTGGAATGGGGCCTCATCTCGCCTCTAGGGGGAAGTCTCATGGTTTTTCTCGAGTTGCGGCGGGGAACTGGGGTATGTTCTCAACTTACGGCGGGGATGGCCCTTCAAAACACGAGTTTCTTCAGTGACGTCAGGACTCCTGTCTAGTAACGAGGGACACCTCAGCAATCTCTTCGAGGCTTGGCAGGGCAAAAGGGACGCTTCTCGAGGTGAGCCAGGGCACCCAAGGACCCTTTCCAGTAGCCACAGGGATTTTGGGATTCCTATCAGTATTCAAGAGGAGTCAGGCATCGTCACCTTTTGAAGCTATGAACTCCGCGTGCCTCTCGAGGTGTCAGCGGGATGTGAGGATTCCGTCAAAATGAGGCAGGGACCTAGGGCTTTCTCTAAGGTCTCCACAGGGGATTCAGACATCCCTTCATGTTGTGAGATGAAAGACGAGCCTGTATTCAAGCCACTGCAAGGAAATCCGGCCTCCTTTCAAGTTACGGCTTCTCGCTGTATATTCCCCTTGAGGCAGCAAACTCGGGGTCCCTCCCACATACCTATTGCTGAGAGAAGCCTCCTCCTGAGGTGCTTCTGGAAAGGTGGCATACGTCTTGAGCCTAAGCCAGGGAATCAGCTCTAATCTCGAGACGATTTGGGGTACACAGAGCATTCCTCGAGTTGCTGTGCTGAAGTTGGTGGTCCTCTAGACTTGGGACAGTGTTCTCGGGGCATATCTGGAGTTGCCTGAAGGAAGTCGAGCCACCGGTCGTGTTGAATGGGGAACAAGGAATGGCTCTGGATTCAATGCAGGGGAATCCGGCCTCATCTCGAGTTGATTTGGGGCACATGGAGCTGCTTTGCATTGCTGGGTGACCTCAGGGTCCGTCTAGACTGGTGACAGTGTTCTTGGGGACTGTCTCGAGATCCATTTAGCAAGTCGAAGCTCCTGACTTGTTTGAATTGGATCATGGAATAGCTCTGCATGCACTGCAGGGGAATGGGGCCTCATCTCGCCTCTAGGGGGAAATCTCAGGTTTTTTCTCGAGTTTCGGCGGGGACCTGGGGTATGTTCTCGACTTACGGCCGGGATGGCCCTTCAAAACACGAGTTTCTTCAGTGACGTCAGGACTCCTGTCTAGTAACGAGGGACACCTCAGCAATCTCTTCGAGGCTTGGCAGGGCAAAAGGGACGCTTCTCGAGGTGAGCCAGGGCACCCAAGGACCCTTTCCAGTAGCCACAGTGATTTTGGGATTCCTATCAGTATTCAAGAGGAGTCAGGCATCGTCACCTTTTGAAGCAATGAACTCCGCGTGCCTCTCGAGGTGTCAGCGGGATGTGAGGATTCCGTCAAAATGAGGCAGGGACCTAGGGCTTACTCTAAGGTCTCCACAGGGGATTCAGACATCCCTTCATGTTGTGACATGAAAGACGAGCCTGTATTCAAGCCACTGCAAGGAAATCCGGCCTCCTTTCAAGTTAGGGCTTCTCGCTGTATATTCCCCTTGAGGCAGCAAACTCGGAGTCCCTCCCACATACCTATTGCTGAGAGAAGCCTCCTCCTGAGGTGCTTCTGGAAAGTTGGCATACGTCTTGAGCCTAAGCCAGGGATTCAGCTCTCATCTCGAGACGATTTGTGGTACACAGAGCATTCCTCGAGTTGCTGTGCTGAAGTTGGTGTTCCTCTAGACTTGGGACAGTGTTCTCTGGGCATCTCTGGAGTTGCCTGAAGGAAGTCGAGCCACCGGTCGTGTTGAATGGGGAACGGGGAATGGCTCTGGAGTCAATGCAGGGGAATCGGGCCTCATCTCGAGTTGATTTGTGGCACCTGGAGCTGCTTTGCATTGCTGGGGTGACCTCAGGGTCCGTCTAGACTGGTGACAGTGTTCTTGGGGACTGCCTCGAGATCCATTAAGCAAGTCAAAGCTCCTGACTTGTTTGAATTTGATCACGGAATACCTCTGCATGCACTGCAGGGGAATGGGGCCTCATCTCGCCTCTAGGGGGAAGTCTCATGGTTTTTCTCGAGTTGCGGCGGGGACCTGGGGTATGTTCTTGACCTACGGCGGGGATGGCCCTTCAAAACACGAGTTTCTTCCGTGACGTCAGGACTCCTGTCTAGTAACGAGGGACACCTCAGCAATCTCTTCGAGGCTTGGCAGGGCAAAAGGGACGCTTCTCGAGGTGAGCCAGGGCACCCAAGGACCCTTTCCAGTAGCCACAGGGATTTTGGGATTCCTATCAGTATTCAAGAGGAGTCAGGCATCGTCACCTTTTGAAGCAATGAACTCCGCGTGCCTCTCGAGGTGTCAGCGGGATGTGAGGATTCCGTCAAAATGAGGCAGGGACCTAGGGCTTACTCTAAGGTCTCCACAGGGGATTCAGACATCCCTTCATGTTGTGACATGAAAGACGAGCCTGTATTCAAGCCACTGCAAGGAAATCCGGCCTCCTTTCAAGTTAGGGCTTCTCGCTGTATATTCCCCTTGAGGCAGCAAACTCGGAGTCCCTCCCACATACCTATTGCTGAGAGAAGCCTCCTCCTGAGGTGCTTCTGGAAAGTTGGCATACGTCTTGAGCCTAAGCCAGGGATTCAGCTCTCATCTCGAGATGATTTGTGGTACACAGAGCATTCCTCGAGTTGCTGTGCTGAAGTTGGTGTTCCTCTAGACTTGGGACAGTGTTCTCTGGGCATCTCTGGAGTTGCCTGAATGAAGTCGAGCCACCGGTCGTGTTGAATGGGGAACGGGGAATGGCTCTGGAGTCAATGCAGGGGAATCGGGCCTCATCTCGAGTTGATTTGTGGCACATGGAGCTGCTTTGCATTGCTGGGGTGACCTCAGGGTCCGTCTAGACTGGTGACCGTGTTCTTGGGGACTGCCTCGAGATCCATTAAGCAAGTCGAAGCTCCTGACTTGTTTGAATTTGATCACGGAATACCTCTGCCTGCACTGCAGGGGAATGGGGCCTCATCTCGCCTCTAGGGGGAAGTCTCATGGTTTTTCTCGAGTTGCGTCGGGGAACTGGGGTATGTTCTCAACTTACGGTGGGGATGGCCCTTCAAAACACGAGTTTCTTCAGTGACGTCAGGACTCCTGTCTAGTAACGAGGGACACGTCAGCAATCTCTTCGAGGCTTGGCAGGGCAAAAGGGACGCTTCTCGAGGTGAGCCAGGGCACCCAAGGACCCTTTCCAGTAGCCACAGGGATTTTGGGATTCCTATAAGTATTCAAGAGGAGTCAGGCATCGTCACCTTTTGAAGCTATGAACTCCGCGTGCCTCTCGAGGTGTCAGCGGGATGTGAGGATTCCGTCAAAATGAGACAGGGACCTAGGGCTTTCTCTAAGGTCTCCACAGGGGATTCAGACATCCCTTCATGTTGTGAGATGAAAGACGAGCCTGTATTCAAGCCACTGCAAGGAAATCCGGCCTCCTTTCAAGTTAGGGCTTCTCGCTGTATATTCCCCTTGAGGCAGCAAACTCGGGGTCCCTCCCACATACCTATTGCTGAGAGAAGCCTCCTCCTGAGGTGCTTCTGGAAAGGTGGCATACGTCTTGAGCCTAAGCCAGGGAATCAGCTCTAATCTCGAGACGATTTGTGGTACACAGAGCATTCCTCGAGTTGCTGTGCTGAAGTTGGTGGTCCTCTAGACTTGGGACAGTGTTCTCGGGGCATATCTGGAGTTGCCTGAAGGAAGTCGAGCCACCGGTCGTGTTGAATGGGGAACAAGGAATGGCTCTGGAGTCAATGCAGGGGAATCCGGCCTCATCTCGAGTTGATTTGGGGCACATGGAGCTGCTTTGCATTGCTGGGTGACCTCAGGGTCCGTCTAGACTGGTGACAGTGTTCTTGGGGACTGTCTCGAGATCCATTTAGCAAGTCGAAGCTCCTGACTTGTTTGAATTGGATCATGGAATAGCTCTGCATGCACTGCAGGGGAATGGGGCCTCATCTCGCCTCTAGGGGTAAATCTCAGGTTTTTTCTCGAGTTTCGGCGGGGACCTGGGGTATGTTCTCGACTTACGGCGGGGATGGCCCTTCAAAACACGAGTTTCTTCAGTGACGTCAGGACTCCTGTCTAGTAATGAGGGACACCTCAGCAATCTCTTCGAGGCTTGGCAGGGCAAAAGGGACGCTTCTCGAGGTGAGCCAGGGCACCCAAGGACCCTTTCCAGTAGCCACAAGGATTTTGGGATTCCTATCAGTATTCAAGAGGAGTCAGGCATCGTCACCTTTTGAAGCAATGAACTCTGTGTGCCTCTCGAGGTGTCAGGGGGATGTGAGGTATTCCGTCAAAATGAGGCAGGGACCTAGTGCTTCCTCTAAGGTCTCCACAGGGGCTTCAGAAATCCCTTCATGTTGTCAGATCAAAGACGAGCCTGTATTCAAGCCACTGCAAGGAAATCTGGCCTCCGTTCACATTAGGGCTTCTCCCTGTGTATTCCCCTTGAGACAGCAAACTCGGGGTCCCTCCCACATACCTATTGCTGAGAGAAGCCTCCTCATGCGGTGCTTCTGGAAAGTTGGCATACGTCTTGAGCCTAAGCCAGGGAATCAGCTCTCATCTCGAGATGATTTGGGGTACACGGAGCATTCCTCTGGTTGCTGTGCTGAAATTGGTGCTCCTCTAGACTTGGGACAGTGTTCTCGGGGCATCTCTGGAGTTGCCTGAAGGAAGTCGAGCCACCGGTCGTGTTGAATGGGGAACGGGGAATGGCTCTGGAGTCAATGCAGGGGAATCGGGCCTCATCTCGAGTTGATTTGGGGCACATGGAGCAGCTTTGCATTGCTGGGGTGACCTCAGGGTCCGTCTAGACTGGTGACAGTGTTCTTGGGGACTGTCTCGAGATCCATTAAGCACGTCGAAGCTCCTGACTTGTTTGAATGGGATCACGGAATAGCTCTGCATGCACTGCAGGGGAATGGGGCCTCATCTCGCCTCTAGGGGGAAGTCTCATGGTTTTTCTCGAGTTGCGGCGGGGACCTGGGGTATGTTCTCGACTTACGGCGGGGATGGCCCTTCAAAACACGAGTTTCTTCCGTGACGTCAGGACTCCTGTCTAGTAACGAGGGACACCTCAGTAATCTCTCGAGGCTTGGCAGGGCAAAAGGGACGCTTCTCGAGGTGAGCCAGGGCACCCAAGGACCCTTTCCAGTAGCCACAGGGATTTTGGGATTCCTATCAGTATTCAAGAGGAGTCAGGCATCGTCACCTTTTGAAGCAATGAACTCCGCGTGCCTCTCGAGGTGTCAGCGGGATGTGAGGATTCCGTCAAAATGAGGCAGGGACCTAGGGCTTACTCTAAGGTCTCCACAGGGGATTCAGACATCCCTTCATGTTGTGACATGAAAGACGAGCCTGTATTCAAGCCACTGCAAGGAAATCCGGCCTCCTTTCAAGTTAGGGCTTCTCGCTGTATATTTCCCTTGAGGCAGCAAACTCGGAGTCCCTCCCACATACCTATTGCTGAGAGAAGCCTCCTCCTGAGGTGCTTCTGGAAAGTTGGCATACGTCTTGAGCCTAAGCCAGGGATTCAGCTCTCATCTCGAGACGATTTGTGGTACACAGAGCATTCCTCGAGTTGCTGTGCTGAAGTTGGTGTTCCTCTAGACTTGGGACAGTGTTCTCTGGGCATCTCTGGAGTTGCCTGAAGGAAGTCGAGCCACCGGTCGTGTTGAATGGGGAACGGGGAATGGCTCTGGAGTCAATGCAGGGGAATCCGGCCTCATCTCGAGTTGATTTGTGGCACCTGGAGCTGCTTTGCATTGCTGGGGTGACCTCAGGGTCCGTCTAGACTGGTGACAGTGTTCTTGGGGACTGCCTCGAGATCCATTAAGCAAGTCGAAGCTCCTGACTTGTTTGAATTTGATCACGGAATACCTCTGCATGCACTGCAGGGGAATGGGGCCTCATCTCGCCTCTAGGGGGAAGTCTCATGGTTTTTCTCGAGTTGCGGCGGGGAACTGGGGTATGTTCTCAACTTACGGCGGGGATGGCCCTTCAAAACACGAGTTTCTTCAGTGACGTCAGGACTCCTGTCTAGTAACGAGGGACACGTCAGCAATCTCTTCGAGGCTTGGCAGGGCAAAAGGGACGCTTCTCGAGGTGAGCCAGGGCACCCAAGGACCCTTTCCAGTAGCCACAGGGATTTTGGGATTCCTATAAGTATTCAAGAGGAGTCAGGCATCGTCACCTTTTGAAGCTATGAACTCCGCGTGCCTCTCGAGGTGTCAGCGGGATGTGAGGATTCCGTCAAAATGAGGCAGGGACCTAGGGCTTTCTCTAAGGTCTCCACAGGGGATTCAGACATCCCTTCATGTTGTGAGATGAAAGACGAGCCTGTATTCAAGCCACTGCAAGGAAATCCGGCCTCCTTTCAAGATAGGGCTTCTCGCTGTATATTCCCCTTGAGGCAGCAAACTCGGGGTCCCTCCCACATACCTATTGCTGAGAGAAGCCTCCTCCTGAGGTGCTTCTGGAAAGGTGGCATACGTCTTGAGCCTAAGCCAGGGAATCAGCTCTAATCTCGAGACGATTTGGGGTACACAGAGCATTCCTCGAGTTGCTGTGCTGAAGTTGGTGGTCCTCTAGAATTGGGACAGTGTTCTCGGGGCATATCTGGAGTTGCCTGAAGGAAGTCGAGCCACCGGTCGTGTTGAATGGGGAACAAGGAATGGCTCTGGAGTCAATGCAGGGGAATCCGGCCTCATCTCGAGTTGATTTGGGGCACATGGAGCTGCTTTGCATTGCTGGGTGACCTCAGGGTCCGTCTAGACTGGTGACAGTGTTCTTGGGGACTGTCTCGAGATCCATTTAGCAAGTCGAAGCTCCTGACTTGTTTGAATTGGATCATGGAATAGCTCTGCATGCACTGCAGGGGAATGGGGCCTCATCTCGCCTCTAGGGGGAAATCTCAGGTTTTTTCTCGAGTTTCGGCGGGGACCTGGGGTATGTTCTCGACTTACGGCGGGGATGGCCCTTCAAAACACGAGTTTCTTCAGTGACGTCAGGACTCCTGTCTAGTAATGAGGGACACCTCAGCAATCTCTTCGAGGCTTGGCAGGGCAAAAGGGACGCTTCTCGAGGTGAGCCAGGGCACCCAAGGACCCTTTCCAGTAGCCACAGGGATTTTGGGATTCCTATCAGTATTCAAGAGGAGTCAGGCATCGTCACCTTTTGAAGCAATGAACTCTGTGTGCCTCTCGAGGTGTCAGGGGGATGTGAGGTATTCCGTCAAAATGAGGCAGGGACCTAGGGCTTCCTCTAAGGTCTCCACAGGGGCTTCAGAAATCCCTTCATGTTGTCAGATCAAAGACGAGCCTGTATTCAAGCCACTGCAAGGAAATCTGGCCTCCGTTCACATTAGGGCTTCTCCCTGTGTATTCCCCTTGAGGCAGCAAACTCGGGGTCCCTCCCACATACCTATTGCTGAGAGAAGCCTCCTCATGCGGTGCTTCTGGAAAGTTGGCATACGTCTTGAGCCTAAGCCAGGGAATCAGCTCTCATCTCGAGATGATTTGGGGTACACGGAGCATTCCTCTGGTTGCTGTGCTGAAATTGGTGCTCCTCTAGACTTGGGACAGTCTTCTCGGGGCATCTCTGGAGTTGCCTGAAGGAAGTCGAGCCACCGGTCGTGTTGAATGGGGAACGGGGAATGGCTCTGGAGTCAATGCAGGGGAATCGGGCCTCATCTCGAGTTGATTTGGGGCACATGGAGCAGCTTTGCGTTGCTGGGGTGACCTCAGGGTCCGTCTAGACTGGTGACAGTGTTCTTGGGGACTGTCTCGAGATCCATTAAGCACGTCGAAGCTCCTGACTTGTTTGAATGGGATCACGGAATAGCTCTGCATGCACTGCAGGGGAATGGGGCCTCATCTCGCCTCTAGGGGGAAGTCTCATGGTTTTTCTCGAGTTGCGGCGGGGACCTGGGGTATGTTCTCGACTTACGGCGGGGATGGCCCTTCAAAACACGAGTTTCTTCCGTGACGTCAGGACTCCTGTCTAGTAACGAGGGACACCTCAGAAATCTCTCGAGGCTTGGCAGGGCAAAAGGGACGCTTCTCGAGGTGAGCCAGGGCACCCAAGGACCCTTTCCAGTAGCCACAGGGATTTTGGGATTCCTATCAGTATTCAAGAGGAGTCAGGCATCGTCACCTTTTGAAGCAATGAACTCCGCGTGCCTCTCGAGGTATCAGCGGGATGTGAGGATTCCGTCAAAATGAGGCAGGGACCTAGGGCTTACTCTAAGGTCTCCACAGGGGATTCAGACATCCCTTCATGTTGTGACATGAAAGACGAGCCTGTATTCAAGCCACTGCAAGGAAATCCGGCCTCCTTTCAAGTTAGGGCTTCTCGCTGTATATTTCCCTTGAGGCAGCAAACTCGGAGTCCCTCCCACATACCTATTGCTGAGAGAAGCCTCCTCCTGAGGTGCTTCTGGAAAGTTGGCATACGTCTTGAGCCTAAGCCAGGGATTCAGCTCTCATCTCGAGACGATTTGTGGTACACAGAGCATTCCTCGAGTTGCTGTGCTGAAGTTGGTGTTCCTCTAGACTTGGGACAGTGTTCTCTGGGCATCTCTGGAGTTGCCTGAAGGAAGTCGAGCCACCGGTCGTGTTGAATGGGGAACGGGGAATGGCTCTGGAGTCAATGCAGGGGAATCGGGCCTCATCTCGAGTTGATTTGTGGCACCTGGAGCTGCTTTGCATTGATGGGGTGACCTCAGGGTCCGTCTAGACTGGTGACAGTGTTCTTGGGGACTGCCTCGAGATCCATTAAGCAAGTCGAAGCTCCTGACTTGTTTGAATTTGATCACGGAATACCTCTGCATGCACTGCAGGGGAATGGGGCCTCATCTCGCCTCTAGGGGGAAGTCTCATGGTTTTTCTCGAGTTGCGGCGGGGACCTGGGGTATGTTCTCGACTTACGGCGGGGATGGCCCTTAAAAACCCGAGTTTCTTCAGTGACGTCAGGACTCCTGTTTAGTAACGAGGGACACCTCAGGAATCTCTTCGAGGCTTTGCAGGGCAAAAGGGACGCTTCTCGAGGTGAGCCAGGGCACCCAAGGACCCTTTCCAGTAGCCACAGGGATTTTGGGATTCCTATAAGTATTCAAGAGGAGTCAGGCATCGTCACCTTTTGAAGCAATGAACTCTGCGTGCCTCTCGAGTGGTCAGCGGGATGTGAGGTATTCCGTCAAAATGAGGCAGGGACCTAGGGCTTCCTCTAAGGTCTCCACAGGGGATTCAGAAATACCTTCATGTTGTCAGATCAAAGACTAGCCTGTATTCAAGCCACTGCAAGGAAATCTGGCCTCCGCTCACATTAGCGCTTCTCCCTGTGTATTCCCCTTGAGGCAGCAAACTCGGGGTCCCTCCCACATACCTATTGCTGAGAGAAGCCTCCTCCTGAGGTGCTTCTGGAAAGTTGGCATACGTCTTGAGCCTAAGCCAGGGAATCAGCTCTCATCTCGAGATGATTTGGGGTACACGGAGCATTCCTCTGGTTGCTGTGCTGAAACTGGTGCTCCTCTAGACTTGGGACAGTGTTCTCGGGGCATCTCTGGAGTTGCCTGAAGGAAGTCGAGCCACCGGTCGTGTTGAATGGGGAACGGGGAATGGCTCTGGAGTCAATGCAGGGGAATCGGGCCTCATCTCGAGTTGATTTGGGGCACATGGAGCAGCTTTGCGTTGCTGGGGTGACCTCAGGGTCCGTCTAGACTGGTGACAGTGTTCTTGGGGACTGTCTCGAGATCCATTTAGCAAGTCGAAGCTCCTGACTTGTTGGAATTGGATCATGGAATAGCTCTGCATGCACTGCAGGGGAATGGGGCCTCATCTCGCCTCTAGGGGGAAGTCTCATGGTTTTTCTCGAGTTGCGGCGGGGACCTGGGGTATGTTCTCGACTTACGGCGGGGATGGCCCTTAAAAACCCGAGTTTCTTCAGTGACGTCAGGACTCCTGTTTAGTAACGAGGGACACCTCAGGAATCTCTTCGAGGCTTTGCAGGGCAAAAGGGACGCTTCTCGAAGTGAGGCAGGGCACCCAAGGAACCTTTCCAGTAGCCACAGGGATTTTGGGATTCCTATCAGTATTCAAGAGGAGTCAGGCATCGTCACCTTTTGAAGAAATGAACTCCGCATGCCTCTCGAGCTGTCAGCGGGATGTGAGGCATTCCGTCAAAATGAGGCAGGGACCTAGGGCTTTCTCTAAGGTCTTCACAGGGGATTCAGACATCCCTTCATGTTGTGAGATGAAAGACAAGCCTGTATTCAAGCTACTGCAAGGAAATCCTGCCTCCTTTCAAGTTAGGGCTTCTCGCTGTATATTCCCCTTGAGGCAGCAAACTCGGAGTCCCTCCCACATACCTATTGCTGAGAGAAGCCTCCTCCTGAGGTGCTTCTGGAAAGTTGGCATACGCCTTGAGCCTAAGCCAGGGATTCAGCTCTCATCTCGAGACGATTTGGGGTACACAGAGCATTCCTCGAGTTGCTGTGTTGAAGTTGGTGTTCCTCTAGACTTGGGACAGTGTTCTCTGGGCATCTCTGGAGTTGCCTGAAGGAAGTCGAGCCACCGGTCGTGTTGAATGGGGAACGGGGAATGGCTCTGGAGTCAATGCAGGGGAATCGGGCCTCATCTCGAGTTGATTTGGGGCACATGGAGCAGCTTTGCGTTGCTGGGGTGACCTTAGGGTCCGTCTAGACTGGTGACAGTGTTCTTGGGGACTGACTCGAGATCCATTAAGCAACTCGAAGCTCCTGACTTGTTTGAATGGGATCACGGAATAGCTCTGCATGCACTGCAGGGGAATGGGGCCTCATCTCGCCTCTAGGGGGAAGTCTCATGGTTTTTCTCGAGTTGCGGCGGGGACCTGGGGTATGTTCTCGACTTATGGCGGGGATGGCCCTTCAAAACACGAGTTTCTTCAGTGACGTCAGGACTCCTGTCTAGTAATGAGGGACCACTCAGCAATCTCTTCGAGGCTTGGCAGGGCAAATGGGACGCTTCTCGAGGTGAGCCAGGGCACCCAAGGACCCTTTCCAGTAGCCACAGGGATTTTGGGATTCCTATAAGTATTCAAGAGTAGTCAGGCATCGTCACCTTTTGAAGCAATGAACTCCGCGTGCCTCTCGAGTTGTCAGCGGGATGTGAGGATTCCATCAAAATGAGGCAGGGACCTAGGGCTTTCTCTAAGGTCTCCACAGGGGATTCAGACATCTCTTCATGTTGTGAGATGAAAGACAAGCCTGTATTCAAGCCACTGCAAGGAAATCCGGCCTCCTTTCAAGTTAGGGCTTCTCGCTGTATATTCCCCTTGAGGCAGCAAAATCGGGGTTCCTCCCTCATACCTATTGCTGAGAGAAGCCTCCTCATGAGGTGCTTCTGGAAAGGTGGCATACGTCTTGAGCCTAAGACAGGGAATCAGCTCTCATCTCGAGACGATTTGGGGTACACAGAGCATTCCTCGAGTTGCTGTGCTGAAGTTGGTGTTCCTCTAGACTTGGGACAGTGTTCTCGGGGCATATCTGGAGTTGCCGAAAGGAAGTCGAGCCACCGGTCGTGTTGAATGGGGAACGGGGAATGGCTCTGGAGTCAATGCAGGGGAATCGGGCCTCATCTCGAGTTGATTTGGGGCACATGGAGCAGCTTTGCGTTGCTGGGGTGACCTCAGGGTCCGTCTAGACTGGTGACAGTGTTCTTGGGGACTGACTCGAGATCCATTAAGCAAGTCGAAGCTCCTGACTTGTTTGAATGGGATCACGGAATAGCTCTGCATGCACTGCAGGGGAATGGGGCCTCATCTCGCCTCTAGGGGGAAGTCTCATGGTTTTTCTCGAGTTGCGGCGGGGACCTGGGGTATGTTCTCGACTTATGGCGGGGATGGCCCTTCAAAACACGAGTTTCTTCAGTGACGTCAGGACTCCTGTCTAGTAATGAGGGACCACTCAGCAATCTCTTCGAGGCTTGGCAGGGCAAATGGGACGCTTCTCGAGGTGAGCCAGGGCACCCAAGGACCCTTTCCAGTAGCCACAGGGATTTTGGGATTCCTATAAGTATTCAAGAGGAGTCAGGCATCGTCACCTTTTGAAGCAATGAACTCCGCGTGCCTCTCGAGTTGTCAGCGGGATGTGAGGATTCCATCAAAATGAGGCAGGGACCTAGGGCTTTCTCTAAGGTCTCCACAGGGGATTCAGACATCTCTTCATGTTGTGAGATGAAAGACGAGCCTGTATTCAAGCCACTGCAAGGAAATCCGGCCTCCTTTCAAGTTAGGGCTTCTCGCTGTATATTCCCCTTGAGGCAGCAAAATCGGGGTTCCTCCCTCATACCTATTGCTGAGAGAAGCCTCCTCATGAGGTGCTTCTGGAAAGGTGGCATACGTCTTGAGCCTAAGACAGGGAATCAGCTCTCATCTCGAGACGATTTGGGGTACACAGAGCATTCCTCGAGTTGCTGTGCTGAAGTTGGTGTTCCTCTAGACTTGGGACAGTGTTCTCGGGGCATATCTGGAGTTGCCGGAAGGAAGTCGAGCCACCGGTCGTGTTGAATGGGGAACGGGGAATGGCTCTGGAGTCAATGCAGGGGAATCGGGCCTCATCTCGAGTTGATTTGGGGCACATGGAGCAGCTTTGCGTTGCTGGGGTGACCTCAGGGTCCGTCTAGACTGGTGACAGTGTTCTTGGGGACTGACTCGAGATCCATTAAGCAAGTCGAAGCTCCTGACTTGTTTGAATGGGATCACGGAATAGCTCTGCATGCACTGCAGGGGAATGGGGCCTCATCTCGCCTCTAGGGGGAAGTCTCATGGTTTTTCTCGAGTTGCGGCGGGGACCTGGGGTATGTTCTCGACTTATGGCGGGGATGGCCCTTCAAAACACGAGTTTCTTCAGTGACGTCAGGACCTCTGTCTAGTAATGAGGGACCACTCAGCAATCTCTTCGAGGCTTGGCAGGGCAAATGGGACGCTTCTCGAGGTGAGCCAGGGCACCCAAGGACCCTTTCCAGTAGCCACAGGGATTTTGGGATTCCTATAAGTATTCAAGAGGAGTCAGGCATCGTCACCTTTTGAAGCAATGAACCCGCGTGCCTCTCGAGGTGTCAGCGGGATGTGAGGATTCCATCAAAATGAGGCAGGGACCTAGGGCTTTCTCTAAGGTCTCCACAGGGGATTCAGACATCCCTTCATGTTGTGAGATGAAAGACGAGCCTGTATTCAAGCCACTGCAAGGAAATCCGGCCTCCTTTCAAGTTAGGGCTTCTCGCTGTATATTCCCCTTGAGGCAGCAAAATCGGGGTTCCTCCCACATACCTATTGCTGAGAGAAGCCTCCTCGTGAGGTGCTTCTGGAAAGGTGGCATACGTCTTGAGCCTAAGACAGGGAATCAGCTCTCATCTCGAGACGATTTGGGGTACACAGAGCATTCCTCGAGTTGCTGTGCTGAAGTTGGTGTTCCTCTAGACTTGGGACAGTGTTCTCGGGGCATATCTGGAGTTTCCGAAAGGAAGTCGAGCCACCGGTCGTGTTGAATGGGGAACAAGGAATGGCTCTGGAGTCAATGTAGGGGAACCCGTCCTCATCTCGAGTTGATTTGGGGCACATGGAGCAGCTTTGCATTGCTGGGTGACCTCAGGGTCCGTCTAGACTGCTGACAGTGTTCTTGGGGACTGTCTCGAGATCCATTAAGCAAGTCGAAGCTCCTGACTTGTTTGAATGGGATCACGGAATAGCTCTGCATGCACTGCAGGGGAATGGGGCCTCATCTCGCCTCTAGGGGGAAGTCTCATGGTTTTTCTCGAGTTGCGGCGGGGACCTGGGGTATGTTCTCGACTTACGGCGGGGATGGCCCTTCAAAACACGAGTTTCTTCAGTGACGTCAGGACTCCTGTCTAGTAACGAGGGATACCTCAGCAATCTCTTCGAGGCTTGGCAGGGCAAAAGGGACGCTTCTCGAGGTGAGCCAGGGCACCCAAGGACCCTTTCCAGTAGCCACAGGGATTTCGGGATTCCTATAAGTATTCAAGAGGAGTCAGGCATCGTCACTTTTTGAAGCAATGAACTCCGGGTGCCTCTCGAGGTTTCAGCGGGATGTGAGGATTCCGTCAAAATGAGGCAGGGACCTAGGGCTTTCTCTAAGGTCTCCACAAGGGATTCAGACATCCCTTCATGTTGTGAGATGAAAGACGAGCCTGTATTCAAGCCACTGCAAGGAAATCCGGCCTCCTTTCAAGTTAGGGCTTCTCGCTGTATATTCCCCTTGAGGCAGCAAACTCGGGGTCCCTCCCACATACCTATTGCTGAGAGAAGCCTCCTCCTGAGGTGCTTCTGGAAAGGTGGCATACGTCTTGAGCCTAAGCCAGGGAATCAGCTCTCATCTCGAGACGATTTGGGGTACACAGAGCATTCCTCGAGTTGCTGTGCTGAAGTTGGTGTTCCTCTAGACTTGGGACAGTGTTCTCGGGGCATATCTGGAGTTGCCTGAAGGAAGTCGAGCCACCGGTCTTGTTGAATGGGGAACATGGAATGGCTCTGGAGTCAATGCAGGGGAATCCGGCCTCATCTCGAGTTGATTTGGGGCACATGGAGCTGCTTTGCGTGGCTGGGGTGACCTCAGGGTCCGTCTAGACTGGTGACAGTGTTCTTGGGGACTGTCTCGAGATCCATTAAGCAAGTCGAAGCTCCTGACTTGTTTGAATGGTATCACGGAATAGCTCTGCATGCACTGCAGGGGAATGGGGCCTCATCTCGCCTCTAGGGGGAAGTCTCATGGTTTTTCTCGAGTTGCGGCGGGGACCTGGGGTATGTTCTCGACTTACGGCGGGGATGGCCCTTCAAAACACGAGTTTCTTCCGTGACGTCAGGACTCCTGTCTAGTAACGAGGGACACCTCAGCAATCTCTTCGAGGCTTGGCAGGGCAAAAGGGACGCTTCTCGAGGTGAGCCAGGGCACCCAAGGACCCTTTCCAGTAGCCACAGGGATTTTGGGATTCCTATAAGTATTCAAGAGGAGTCAGGCAATGTCACCTTTTGAAGCAATGAACTCCGCGTGCCTCTCGAGGTGTCAGCGGGATGTTTGGATTCCGTCAAAATGAGGCAGGGACCTAGGGCTTTCTCTAAGGTCTCCACAGGGGATTCAGACATCCCTTCATGTTGTGAGATGAAAGACGAGCCTGTATTCAAGCCACTGCAAGGAAATCCGGCCTCCTTTCAAGTTAGGGCTTCTCGCTGTATATTCCCCTTGAGGCAGCAAACTCGGAGTCCCTCCCACATACCTATTGCTGAGAGAAGCCTCCTCCTGAGGTGCTTCTGGAAAGGTGGCGTACGTCTTGAGCCTAAGCCAGGGATTCAGCTCTCATCTCGAGACGATTTGGGGTGCACAGAGCATTCCTCGAGTTGCTGTGCTGAAGTTGGTGTTCCTCTAGCCTTGGGACAGTGTTCTCTGGGCATCTCTGGAGTTGCCTGAAGGAAGTCGAGCCACCGGTCTTGTTGAATGGGGAACGGGAAATGGCTCTGGAGTCAATGCAGGGGAATCGGGCCTCATCTCGAGTTGATTTGTGGCACCTGGAGCTGCTTTGCGTTGCTGGGGTGACCTCAGGGTCCGTCTAGACTGGTGACAGTGATCTTGGGGACTGCCTCGAGATCCATTAAGCAAGTCGAAGCTCCTGACTTGTTTGAATGGGATCACGGAATAGCTCTGCATGCACTGCAGGGGAATGGGGCCTCATCTCGCCTCTAGGGGGAAGTCTCATGGTTTTTCTCGAGTTGCGGCGGGGAACTGGGGTATGTTCTCGACTTACGGCGGGGATGGCCCTTCAAAACACGAGTTTCTTCAGTGACGTCAGGACTCCTGTCTAGTAACGAGGGACACGTCAGCAATCTCTTCGAGGCTTGGCAGGGCAAAAGGGACGCTTCCCGAGGTGAGCCAGCGCACCCAAGGACCATTTCCAGTAGCCACAGGGATTTTGGGATTCCTATCAGTATTCAAGAGGAGTCAGGCATCGTCACCTTTTGAAGCAATGATCTCCGCGTGCCTCTCGACGTGTCAGCGGGATGTGAGGATTCCGTCAAAATGAGGCAGGGACCTAGGGCTTTCTCTAAGGTCTCCACAGGGGATTCAGACATCCCTTCATGTTGTGAGATGAAAGACGAGCCTGTATTCAAGCCACTGCAAGGAAATCCGGCCTCCTTTCAAGTTAGGGCTTCTCGCTGTATATTCCCATTGAGGCAGCAAACTCGGGGTCCCTCCCACATACCTATTGCTGAGAGAAGCCTCCTCCTGAGGTGCTTCTGGAAAGGTGGCATACGTCTTGAGCCTAAGCCAGGGATTCAGCTCTCATCTCGAGAGGATTTGGGGTACACAGAGCATTCCTCGAGTTGCTGTGCAAAAGTTGGTGGTCCTCTAGACTTGGGACAGTGTTCTCTGGGCATCTCTGGAGTTGCCTGAAAGAAGTCGAGCCACCGGTCGTGTTGAATGGGGAATGGGGAATGGCTCTGGAGTCAATGCAGGGGAATCGGGCCTCATCTCGAGTTGATTTGTGGCACCTGGAGCTGCTTTGCGTTGCTGGGGTGACCTCAGGGTCCATCTAGACTGGTGACAGTGTTCTTGGGGACTGTCTCGAGATGCATTAAGCAAGTCGAAGCTCCTGACTTGTTTGAATGGGATCACGGAATAGCTCTGCATGCACTGCAGGGGAATGGGGCCTCATCTCGCCTCTAGGGGGAAGTCTCATGGTTTTTCTCGAGTTGCGGCGGGGACCTGGGGTATGTTCTCGACTTACGGCGGGGATGGCCTTTCAAAACACGAGTTTCTTCCGTGACGTCAGGACTCCTGTCTAGTAACGAGGGACACCTCAGCAATCTCTTCGAGGCTTGGCAGGGCAAAAGGGACGCTTCTCGAGGTGAGCCAGGGCACCCAAGGAACCTTTCCAGTAGCCACAGGGATTTTGGGATTCGTATCAGTATTCAAGAGGAGTCAGGCATCGTCACCTTTTGAAGAAATGAACTCCGCATGCCTCTCGAGCTGTCAGCGGGATGTGAGGCATTCCGTCAAAATGAGGCAGGGACCTAGGGCTTTCTCTAAGGTCTTCACAGGGGATTCAGACATCCCTTCATGTTGTGAGATGAAAGACAAGCCTGTATTCAAGCTACTGCAAGGAAATCCTGCCTCCTTTCAAGTTAGGGCTTCTCGCTGTATATTCCCCTTGAGGCAGCAAACTCGGAGTCCCTCCCACATACCTATTGCTGAGAGAAGCCTCCTCCTGAGGTGCTTCTGGAAAGTTGGCATACGCCTTGAGCCTAAGCCAGGGATTCAGCTCTCATCTCGAGACGATTTGGGGTACACAGAGCATTCCTCGAGTTGCTGTGCTGAAGTTGGTGTTCCTCTAGACTTGGGACAGTGTTCTCTGGGCATCTCTGGAGTTGCCTGAAGGAAGTCGAGCCACCGGTCGTGTTGAATGGGGAACGGGGAATGGCTTTGGAGTCAATGCAGGGGAATCGGGCCTCATCTCGACTTGATTTGTGGCACCTGGAGCTGCTTTGCGTTGCTGCGGTGACCTCAGGGTCCGTCTAGACTGGTGACAGTGTTCTTGGGGACTGACTCGAGATCCATTAAGCAAGTCGAAGCTCCTGACTTGTTTGAATGGGATCACGGAATAGCTCTGCATGCACTGCAGGGGAATGGGGCCTCATCTCGCCTCTAGGGGGAAGTCTCATGGTTTTTCTCGAGTTGCGGCGGGGACCTGGGGTATGTTCTCGACTTACGGCGGGGATGGCCCTTCAAAACACGAGTTTTTTCCGTGACGTCAGGACTCCTGTCTAGTAACGAGGGACACCTCAGCAATCTCTTCGAGGCTTGGCAGGGCAAAAGGGACGCTTCTCGAGGTGAGCCAGGGCACCCAAGGACCCTTTCCAGTATCCACAGGGATTTTGGGATTCCTATAAGTATTCAAGAGGAGTCAGGCATCGTCACCTTTTGAAGCAATGAACTCCGCGTGCCTCTCGAGGTGTCAGCGGGATGTGAGGATTCCGTCAAAATGAGGCAGGGACCTAGGGCTTTCTCTAAGGTCTCCACAGGGGATTCAGACATCCCTTCATGTTGTGAGATGAAAGACGAGCCTGTATTCAAGCCACTGCAAGGAAATCCGGCCTCCTTTCAAGTTAGGGCTTCTCGCTGTATATTCCCCTTGAGGCAGCAAACTCGGGGTCCCTCCCACATACCTATGGCTGAGAGAAGCCTCCTCCTGAGGTGCTTCTGGAAAGGTGGCATACGTCTTGAGCCTAAGCCAGGGAATCAGCTCTCATCTCGAGACGATTTGGGGTACACAGAGCATTCCTCGAGTTGCTGTGCTGAAGTTGGTGGTCCTCTAGACTTGGGACAGTGTTCTCGGGGCATATCTGGAGTTGCCTGAAGGAAGTCGAGCCACCGGTCGTGTTGAATGGGGAACATGGAATGGCTCTGGAGTCAATGCAGGGGAATCCGGCCTCATCTCGAGTTGATTTGGGGCACATGGAGCTGCTTTGCATTGCTGGGTGACCTCAGGGTCCGTCTAGACTGGTGACAGTGTTCTTGGGGACTGTCTCGAGATCCATTTAGCAAGTCGAAGCTCCTGACTTGTTTGAATGGGATCACGGAATAGCTCTGCATGCACTGCAGGGGAATGGGGCCTCATCTCGCCTCTAGGGGGAAATCTCATGGTTTTTCTCGAGTTGCGGCGGGGACCTGGGGTATGTTCTCGACTTACGGCGGGGATGGCCCTTCAAAACACGAGTTTCTTCAGTGACGTCAGGACTCCTGTCTAGTAATGAGGGACACCTCAGCAATCTCTTCGAGGCTTGGCCGGGCAAAAGGGACGCTTCTCGAGGTGAGCCAGGGCACCCAAGGACCCTTTCCAGTAGCCACAGGGATTTTGGGATTCCTATAAGTATTCAAGAGGAGTCAGGCATCGTCACCTTTTGAAGCAATGAACTCTGCGTGCCTCTCGAGGTGTCAGGGGGATGTGAGGTATTCCGTCAAAATGAGGCAGGGACCTAGGGCTTCCTCTAAGGTCTCCACAGGGGATTCAGAAATCCCTTCATGTTGTCAGGTCAAAGACTAGCCTGTATTCAAGCCACTGCAAGGAAATCTGGCCTCCGCTCACATTAGGGCTTCTCCCTGTGTATTCCCCTTGAGGCAGCAAACTCGGGGTCCCTCCCACATACCTATTGCTGAGAGAAGCCTCCTCCTGAGGTGCTTCTGGAAAGGTGGCATACGTCTTGAGCCTAAGCCAGGGAATCAGCTCTCATCTCGAGACGATTTGGGGTACACAGAGCATTCCTCGAGTTGCTGTGCTGAAGTTGGTGTTCCTCTAGACTTGGGAAAGTGTTCTCGGGGCATCTCTGGAGTTGCCTGAAGGAAGTCGAGCCACCGGTCTTGTTGAATGGGGAACGGGGAATGGCTCTGGAGTCAATGCAGGGGAATCGGGCCTCATCTCGAGTTGATTTGGGGCACATGGAGCTGGTTTGCGTTGCTGGGGTGACCTCAGGGTCCGTCTAGACTGGTGACAGTGTTCTTGGGGACTGTCTCGAGATCCATTAAGCAAGTCGAAGCTCCTGACTTGTTTGAATGGGATCACGGAATAGCTCTGCATGCACTGCAGGGGAATGGGGCCTCATCTCGCCTCTAGGGGGAAGTCTCATGGTTTTTCTCGAGTTGCGGCGGGGACCTGGGATATGTTCTCGACTTACGGCGGGGATGGCCCTTCAAAACACGAGTTTCTTCAGTGACGTCAGGACTCCTCTCTAGTAACGAGGGACACCTCAGGAATCTCTTCGAGGCTGGGCAGGGCAAAAGGGACGCTTCTCCAGGTGAGCCAGGGCACCCAAGGACCCTTTCCAGTAGCCACAGGGATTTTGGGATTCCTATCAGTATTCAAGAGGAGTCAGGCATCGTCACCTTTTGAAGCAATGAACTCCGTGTGACTCTCGATGTGTCAGCGGGATGTGAGGATTCCGTCAAAATGAGGCAGGGGCCTAGGGATTTCTCTAAGGTCTCCACAGGGGATTCAGACATCCCTTCATGTTGTCATATCAAAGACGAGCCTGTATTCAAGCCACTGCAAGGAAAACCGGCCTCCTTTCAAGTTAGGGCTTCTCGCTGTATATTCCCCTTGAAGCAGCAACCTCGGAGTCCCTCCCACATACCTATTGCTGAGAAGCCTCCTCCTGAGGTGCTTCTGGAAAGGTGGCATACGTCTTGAGCCTAAGCCAGGGAATCAGCTCTCATCTCGAAATGATTTGGGGTACACAGAGCATTCCTCAAGTTGCTGTGCTGAAGTTGGTGTTCCTCTAGACTTGGGACAGTGTTCTCGGGGCATCTCTGGAGTTGCCTGAAGGAAACCGAGCCACCGGTCCTCTTGAATGGGGAACGGGGAATGGCTCTGGAGTCAATGCAGGGGAATCCGGCCTCATCTCGAGTAGATTTGGGGCACATGGAGCTGCTTTGCATTGCTGGGTGACCTCAGGGTCCGTCTAGACTGGTGACAGTGTTCTTGGGGACTGCCTCGAGATCCATTAAGCAAGTCGAAGCTCCTGACTTGTTTGAATGGGATCACGGAATAGCTCTGCATGCACTGCAGGGGAATGGGGCCTCATCTCGCCTCTAGGGGGAAGTCTCACGGTTTTTCTCGAGTTGCGGTGGGGACCTGGGGTATGTTCTCGACTTACGGAGGGGATGGCCCTTCAAAACACGAGTTTCTTCCGTGACGTCAGGACTCCTGTCCAGTAACGAGGGACACCTCAGCAATCTCTTCGAGGCTTGGCAGGGCAAATGGGACGCTTCTCGAGGTGAGCCAGGGCACCCAAGGACCCTTTCCAGTAGCCACAGGGATTTTGGGATTCCTATAAGTATTCAAGAGGAGTCAGGCATCGTCACCTTTTGAAGCAATGAACTCCACGTGCCTCTCGAGGTGTCAGCGGGATGTTTGGATTCCGTCAAAATGAGGCAGGGACCTAGGGCTTTCTCTAAGGTCTCCACAGGGGATTCAGACATCCCTTCATGTTGTGAGATGAAAGACGAGCCTGTATTCAAGCCACTGCAAGGAAATCCGGCCTCCTTTCAAGTTAGGGCTTCTCGCTGTATATTCCCCTTGAGGCAGCAAACTCGGAGTCCCTCCCACATACCTATTGCTGAGAGAAGCCTCCTCCTGAGGTGCTTCTGGAAAGTTGGCATACGTCTTGAGCCTAAGCCAGGGATTCAGCTCTCATCTCGAGACGATTTGGGGTACACAGAGCATTCCTCGAGTTGCTGTGCTGAAGTTGGTGTTCCTCTAGACTTGGGACAGTGTTCTCTGGGCATCTCTGGAGTTGCCTGAAGGAAGTCGAGCCACCGGTCTTGTTGAATGGGGAACGGGGAATGGCTCTGGAGTCAATGCAGGGGAATCGGGCCTCATCTCGTGTTGATTTGTGGCACCTGGAGCTGCTTTGCGTTGCTGGGGTGACCTCAGGGTCCGTCTAGACTGGTGACAGTGATCTTGGGGACTGCCTCGAGATCCATTAAGCAAGTCGAAGCTCCTGACTTGTTTGAATGGGATCACGGAATAGCTCTGCATGCACTGCAGGGGAATGGGGCCTCATCTCGCCTCTAGGGGGAAGTCTCATGGTTTTTCTCGAGTTGCGGCGGGGACCTGGGCTATGTTCTCGACTTACGGCGGGGATGGCCCTTCAAAACATGAGTTTCTTCAGTGACGTCAGGACTCCTGTCTAGTAACGAGGGACACGTCAGCAATCTCTTCGAGGCTTGGCAGGGCAAAAGGGACGCTTCCCAAGGTGAGCCAGCGCACCCAAGGACCCTTTCCAGTAGCCACAGGGATTTTGGGATTCCTATCAGTATTCAAGAGGAGTCAGGCATCGTCACCTTTTGAAGCAATGGTCTCCGCGTGCCTCTCGACGTGTCAGCGGGATGTGAGGATTCCGTCAAAATGAGGCAGGGACCTAGGGCTTTCTCTAAGGTCTCCACAGGGGATTCAGACATCCCTTCATGTTGTGAGATGAAAGACGAGCCTGTATTCAAGCCACTGCAAGGAAATCCGGCCTCCTTTCAAGTTATGGCTTCTCGCTTTATATTCCCCTTGAGGCAGCAAACTCGGGGTCCCTCCCACATACCTATTGCTGAGAGAAGCCTCCTCCTGAGGTGCTTCTGGAAAGGTGGCATACGTCTTGAGCCTAAGCCAGGGAATCAGCTCTCATCTCGAGACGATTTGGGGTACACAGAGCATTCCTCGAGTTGCTGTGCTGAAGTTGGTGGTCCTCTAGACTTGGGACAGTGTTCTCTGGGCATCTCTGGGGTTGCCTGAAGGAAGTCGAGCCACCGGTCCTGTTGAATGGGGAATGGGGAATGGCTCTGGAGTCAATGCAGGGGAATCGGGCCTCATCTCGAGTTGATTTGTGGCAACTGGAGCTGCTTTGCGTTGCTGGGGTGACCTCAGGGTCCATCTAGACTGGTGACAGTGTTCTTGGGGACTGCCTCGAGATCCATTAAGCAAGTCGAAGCTCCTGACTTGTTTGAATGGGATCACGGAATAGCTCTGCATGCACTGCATTGGAATGGGGCCTCATCTCGCCTCTAGGGGGAAGTCTCATGGTTTTTCTCGAGTTGCGGCGGGGACCTGGGGTATGTTCTCGACTTACGGCGGGGATGGCCCTTCAAAACACGAGTTTCTTCAGTGACGTCAGGACTCCTGTCTAGTAATGAGGGACACCTCAGCAATCTCTTCGAGGCTTGGCAGGGCAAAAGGGACGCTTCTCGAGGTGAGCCAGGGCACCCAAGGACCCTTTCCAGTAGCCACAGGGATTTTGGGATTCCTATAAGTATTCAAGAGGAGTCAGGCATCGTCACCTTTTGAAGCAATGAACTCTGCGTGCCTCTCGAGGTGTCAGGGGGATGTGAGGTGTTCCGTCAAAATGAGGCAGGGACCTAGGGCTTCCTCTAAGGTCTCCACAGGGGATTCAGACATCCCTTCATGTTGTGAGATCAAAGACGAGCCTGTATTCAAGCCACTGCAAGGAAATCTGGCCTCCTTTCAAGTTAGGGCTTCTCCCTGTGTATTCCCCTTGAGGCAGCAAACTCGGGGTCCCTCAAACATACCTATTGCTGAGAGAAGCCTCCTCCTGAGGTGCTTCTGGAAAGTTGGCATAAGTCTTGAGCCTAAGCCAGGGAATCAGCTTTCATCTCGAGATGATTTGGGATACACGGAGCATTCCTCGAGTTGCTGTGCTGAAGTTGGTGTTCCTCTAGACTTGGGACAGTGTCCTCGGGGCATCTCTGGAGTTGCCTGAAGGAAGTCGAGCCACCGGTCGTGTTAAATGGGGAACGGGGAATGGCTCTGGAGTCAATGCAGTGGAAGCGGGCTTCATCTCGAGTTGATTTGGGGCACATGGAGCAGCTTTGCGTTGCTGGGGTGACCTCAGGGTCCGTCTAGACTGGTGACAGTGTTCTTGGGGACTGCCTCGAGATCCATTAAGCAAGTCAAAGCTCCTGACTTGTTTGAATTTGATCACGGAATACCTCTGCATGCACTGCAGGGGAATGGGGCCTCATCTCGCCTCTAGGGGGAAATCTCAGGTTTTTTCTCGAGTTGCGGCGGGGACCTGGGGTATGTTCTCGACTTACGGCGGGGATGGCCCTTCAAAACACGAGTTTCTTCAGTGACGTCAGGACTCCTCTCTAGTAATGAGGGACACCTCAGCAATCTCTTCGAGGCTTGGCAGGGCAAAAGGGACGCTTCTCGAGGTGAGCCAGGGCACCCAAGGACCCTTTCCAGTAGCCACAGGGATTTTGGGATTCCTATCAGTATTCAAGAGGAGTCAGGCATCGTCACCTTTTGAAGCAATGAACTCTGTGTGCCTCTCGAGGTGTCAGGGGGATGTGAGGTATTCCGTCAAAATGAGGCAGGGACCTCGGGCTTCCTCTAAGGTCTCCACAGGGGCTTCAGAAATCCCTTCATGTTGTCAGATCAAAGACGAGCCTGTATTCAAGCCACTGCAAGGAAATCTGGCCTCCGTTCACATTAGGGCTTCTCCCTGTGTATTCCCCTTGAGGCAGCAAACTCGGGGTCCCTCCCACATACCTATTGCTGAGAGAAGCCTCCTCATGCGGTGCTTCTGGAAAGTTGGCATACGTCTTGAGCCTAAGCCAGGGATTCAGCTCTCATCTCGAGATGATTTGTGGTACACAGAGCATTCCTCGAGTTGCTGTGCTGAAGTTGGTGTTCCTCTAGACTTGGGACAGTGTTCTCTGGGCATCTCTGTAGTTGCCTGAATGAAGTCGAGCCACCGGTCGTGTTGAATGGGGAACGGGGAATGGCTCTGGAGTCAATGCAGGGGAATCGGGCCTCATCTCGAGTTGATTTGTGGCACATGGAGCTGCTTTGCATTGTTGGGGTGACCTCAGGGTCCGTCTAGACTGGTGACAGTGTTCTTGGGGACTGCCTCGAGATCCATTAAGCAAGTCGAAGCTCCTGACTTGTTTGAATTTGATCACGGAATACCTCTGCCTGCACTGCAGTGGAATGGGGCCTCATCTCGCCTCTAGGGGGAAATCTCAGGTTTTTTCTCGAGTTGCGGCGGGGACCTGGGGTATGTTCTCGACTTACGGCGGGGATGGCCCTTCAAAACACGAGTTTCTTCAGTGACGTCAGGACTCCTCTCTAGTAATGAGGGACACCTCAGCAATCTCTTCGAGGCTTGGCAGGGCAAAAGGGACGCTTCTCGAGGTGAGCCAGGGCACCCAAGGACCCTTTCCAGTAGCCACAGGGATTTTGGGATTCCTATCAGTATTCAAGAGGAGTCAGGCATCGTCACCTTTTGAAGCAATGAACTCTGTGTGCCTCTCGAGGTGTCAGGGGGATGTGAGGTATTCCGTCAAAATGAGGCAGGGACCTCGGGCTTCCTCTAAGGTCTCCACAGGGGCTTCAGAAATCCCTTCATGTTGTCAGATCAAAGACGAGCCTGTATTCAAGCCACTGCAAGGAAATCTGGCCTCCGTTCACATTAGGGCTTCTCCCTGTGTATTCCCCTTGAGGCAGCAAACTCGGGGTCCCTCCCACATACCTATTGCTGAGAGAAGCCTCCTCATGCGGTGCTTCTGGAAAGTTGGCATACGTCTTGAGCCTAAGCCAGGGATTCAGCTCTCATCTCGAGATGATTTGTGGTACACAGAGCATTCCTCGAGTTGCTGTGCTGAAGTTGGTGTTCCTCTAGACTTGGGACAGTGTTCTCTGGGCATCTCTGGAGTTGCCTGAATGAAGTCGAGCCACCGGTCGTGTTGAATGGGGAACGGGGAATGGCTCTGGAGTCAATGCAGGGGAATCGGGCCTCATCTCGAGTTGATTTGTGGCACATGGAGCTGCTTTGCATTGTTGGGGTGACCTCAGGGTCCGTCTAGACTGGTGACAGTGTTCTTGGGGACTGCCTCGAGATCCATTAAGCAAGTCGAAGCTCCTGACTTGTTTGAATTTGATCACGGAATACCTCTGCCTGCACTGCAGTGGAATGGGGCCTCATCTCGCCTCTAGGGGGAAGTCTCATGGTTTTTCTCGAGTTGCGGCGGGGAACTGGGGTATGTTCTCAACTTACGGCGGGGATGGCCCTTCAAAACACGAGTTTCTTCAGTGACGTCAGGACTCCTGTCTAGTAACGAGGGACACCTCAGCAATCTCTTCGAGGCTTGGCAGGGCAAAAGGGACGCTTCTCGAGGTGAGCCAGGGCACCCAAGGACCCTTTCCAGTAGCCACAGGGATTTTGGGATTCCTATCAGTATTCAAGAGGAGTCAGGCATCGTCACCTTTTGAAGCTATGAACTCCGCGTGCCTCTCGAGGTGTCAGCGGGATGTGAGGATTCCGTCAAAATGAGGCAGGGACCTAGGGCTTTCTCTAAGGTCTCCACAGGGGATTCAGACATCCCTTCATGTTGTGAGATGAAAGACGAGCCTGTATTCAAGCCACTGCAAGGAAATCCGGCCTCCTTTCAAGTTACGGCTTCTCGCTGTATATTCCCCTTGAGGCAGCAAACTCGGGGTCCCTCCCACATACCTATTGCTGAGAGAAGCCTCCTCCTGAGGTGCTTCTGGAAAGGTGGCATACGTCTTGAGCCTAAGCCAGGGAATCAGCTCTAATCTCGAGACGATTTGGGGTACACAGAGCATTCCTCGAGTTGCTGTGCTGAAGTTGGTGGTCCTCTAGACTTGGGACAGTGTTCTCGGGGCATATCTGGAGTTGCCTGAAGGAAGTCGAGCCACCGGTCGTGTTGAATGGGGAACAAGGAATGGCTCTGGATTCAATGCAGGGGAATCCGGCCTCATCTCGAGTTGATTTGGGGCACATGGAGCTGCTTTGCATTGCTGGGTGACCTCAGGGTCCGTCTAGACTGGTGACAGTGTTCTTGGGGACTGTCTCGAGATCCATTTAGCAAGTCGAAGCTCCTGACTTGTTTGAATTGGATCATGGAATAGCTCTGCATGCACTGCAGGGGAATGGGGCCTCATCTCGCCTCTAGGGGGAAATCTCAGGTTTTTTCTCGAGTTTCGGCGGGGACCTGGGGTATGTTCTCGACTTACGGCCGGGATGGCCCTTCAAAACACGAGTTTCTTCAGTGACGTCAGGACTCCTGTCTAGTAACGAGGGACACCTCAGCAATCTCTTCGAGGCTTGGCAGGGCAAAAGGGACGCTTCTCGAGGTGAGCCAGGGCACCCAAGGACCCTTTCCAGTAGCCACAGTGATTTTGGGATTCCTATCAGTATTCAAGAGGAGTCAGGCATCGTCACCTTTTGAAGCAATGAACTCCGCGTGCCTCTCGAGGTGTCAGCGGGATGTGAGGATTCCGTCAAAATGAGGCAGGGACCTAGGGCTTACTCTAAGGTCTCCACAGGGGATTCAGACATCCCTTCATGTTGTGACATGAAAGACGAGCCTGTATTCAAGCCACTGCAAGGAAATCCGGCCTCCTTTCAAGTTAGGGCTTCTCGCTGTATATTCCCCTTGAGGCAGCAAACTCGGAGTCCCTCCCACATACCTATTGCTGAGAGAAGCCTCCTCCTGAGGTGCTTCTGGAAAGTTGGCATACGTCTTGAGCCTAAGCCAGGGATTCAGCTCTCATCTCGAGACGATTTGTGGTACACAGAGCATTCCTCGAGTTGCTGTGCTGAAGTTGGTGTTCCTCTAGACTTGGGACAGTGTTCTCTGGGCATCTCTGGAGTTGCCTGAAGGAAGTCGAGCCACCGGTCGTGTTGAATGGGGAACGGGGAATGGCTCTGGAGTCAATGCAGGGGAATCGGGCCTCATCTCGAGTTGATTTGTGGCACCTGGAGCTGCTTTGCATTGCTGGGGTGACCTCAGGGTCCGTCTAGACTGGTGACAGTGTTCTTGGGGACTGCCTCGAGATCCATTAAGCAAGTCAAAGCTCCTGACTTGTTTGAATTTGATCACGGAATACCTCTGCATGCACTGCAGGGGAATGGGGCCTCATCTCGCCTCTAGGGGGAAATCTCAGGTTTTTTCTCGAGTTGCGGCGGGGACCTGGGGTATGTTCTCGACTTACGGCGGGGATGGCCCTTCAAAACACGAGTTTCTTCAGTGACGTCAGGACTCCTGTCTAGTAATGAGGGACACCTCAGCAATCTCTTCGAGGCTTGGCAGGGCAAAAGGGACGCTTCTCGAGGTGAGCCAGGGCACCCAAGGACCCTTTCCAGTAGCCACAGGGATTTTGGGATTCCTATAAGTATTCAAGAGGAGTCAGGCATCGTCACCTTTTGAAGCAATGAACTCTGTGTGCCTCTCGAGGTGTCAGGGGGATGTGAGGTATTCCGTCAAAATGAGGCAGGGACCTCGGGCTTCCTCTAAGGTCTCCACAGGGGCTTCAGAAATCCCTTCATGTTGTCAGATCAAAGACGAGCCTGTATTCAAGCCACTGCAAGGAAATCTGGCCTCCGTTCACATTAGGGCTTCTCCCTGTGTATTCCCCTTGAGGCAGCAAACTCGGGGTCCCTCCCACATACCTATTGCTGAGAGAAGCCTCCTCCTGAGGTGCTTCTGGAAAGTTGGCATACGTCTTGAGCCTAAGCCAGGGAATCAGCTCTCATCTCGAGATGATTTGGGGTACACGGAGCATTCCTCTGGTTGCTGTGCTGAAATTGGTGCTCCTCTAGACTTGGGACAGTGTTCTCGGGGCATCTCTGGAGTTGCCTGAAGGAAGTCGAGCCACCGGTCGTGTTGAATGGGGAACGGGGAATGGCTCTGGAGTCAATGCAGGGGAATCGGGCCTCATCTCGAGTTGATTTGGGGCACATGGAGCAGCTTTGCGTTGCTGGGGTGACCTCAGGGTCCGTCTAGACTGGTGACAGTGTTCTTGGGGACTGTCTCGAGATCCATTAAGCACGTCGCAGCTCCTGACTTGTTTGAATGGGATCACGGAATAGCTCTGCATGCACTGCAGGGGAATGGGGCCTCATCTCGCCTCTAGGGGGAAGTCTCATGGTTTTTCTCGAGTTGCGGCGGGGACCTGGGGTATGTTCTTGACTTACGGCGGGGATGGCCCTTCAAAACACGAGTTTCTTCCGTGACGTCAGGACTCCTGTCTAGTAACGAGGGACACCTCAGCAATCTCTTCGAGGCTTGGCAGGGCAAAAGGGACGCTTCTCGAGGTGAGCCAGGGCACCCAAGGACCCTTTCCAGTAGCCACAGGGATTTTGGGATTCCTATCAGTATTCAAGAGGAGTCAGGCATCGTCACCTTTTGAAGCAATGAACTCCGCGTGCCTCTCGAGGTGTCAGCGGGATGTGAGGATTCCGTCAAAATGAGGCAGGGACCTAGGGCTTACTCTAAGGTCTCCACAGGGGATTCAGACATCCCTTCATGTTGTGACATGAAAGACGAGCCTGTATTCAAGCCACTGCAAGGAAATCCGGCCTCCTTTCAAGTTAGGGCTTCTCGCTGTATATTCCCCTTGAGGCAGCAAACTCGGAGTCCCTCCCACATACCTATTGCTGAGAGAAGCCTCCTCCTGAGGTGCTTCTGGAAAGTTGGCATACGTCTTGAGCCTAAGCCAGGGATTCAGCTCTCATCTCGAGATGATTTGTGGTACACAGAGCATTCCTCGAGTTGCTGTGCTGAAGTTGGTGTTCCTCTAGACTTGGGACAGTGTTCTCTGGGCATCTCTGGAGTTGCCTGAATGAAGTCGAGCCACCGGTCGTGTTGAATGGGGAACGGGGAATGGCTCTGGAGTCAATGCAGGGGAATCGGGCCTCATCTCGAGTTGATTTGTGGCACATGGAGCTGCTTTGCATTGCTGGGGTGACCTCAGGGTCCGTCTAGACTGGTGACCGTGTTCTTGGGGACTGCCTCGAGATCCATTAAGCAAGTCGAAGCTCCTGACTTGTTTGAATTTGATCACGGAATACCTCTGCCTGCACTGCAGGGGAATGGGGCCTCATCTCGCCTCTAGGGGGAAGTCTCATGGTTTTTCTCGAGTTGCGGCGGGGAACTGGGGTATGTTCTCAACTTACGGCGGGGATGGCCCTTCAAAACACGAGTTTCTTCAGTGACGTCAGGACTCCTGTCTAGTAACGAGGGACACGTCAGCAATCTCTTCGAGGCTTGGCAGGGCAAAAGGGACGCTTCTCGAGGTGAGCCAGGGCACCCAAGGACCCTTTCCAGTAGCCACAGGGATTTTGGGATTCCTATAAGTATTCAAGAGGAGTCAGGCATCGTCACCTTTTGAAGCTATGAACTCCGCGTGCCTCTCGAGGTGTCAGCGGGATGTGAGGATTCCGTCAAAATGAGGCAGGGACCTAGGGCTTTCTCTAAGGTCTCCACAGGGGATTCAGACATCCCTTCATGTTGTGAGATGAAAGACGAGCCTGTATTCAAGCCACTGCAAGGAAATCCGGCCTCCTTTCAAGTTAGGGCTTCTCGCTGTATATTCCCCTTGAGGCAGCAAACTCGGGGTCCCTCCCACATACCTATTGCTGAGAGAAGCCTCCTCCTGAGGTGCTTCTGGAAAGGTGGCATACGTCTTGAGCCTAAGCCAGGGAATCAGCTCTAATCTCGAGACGATTTGTGGTACACAGAGCATTCCTCGAGTTGCTGTGCTGAAGTTGGTGGTCCTCTAGACTTGGGACAGTGTTCTCGGGGCATATCTGGAGTTGCCTGAAGGAAGTCGAGCCACCGGTCGTGTTGAATGGGGAACAAGGAATGGCTCTGGAGTCAATGCAGGGGAATCCGGCCTCATCTCGAGTTGATTTGGGGCACATGGAGCTGCTTTGCATTGCTGGGTGACCTCAGGGTCCGTCTAGACTGGTGACAGTGTTCTTGGGGACTGTCTCGAGATCCATTTAGCAAGTCGAAGCTCCTGACTTGTTTGAATTGGATCATGGAATAGCTCTGCATGCACTGCAGGGGAATGGGGCCTCATCTCGCCTCTAGGGGGAAATCTCAGGTTTTTTCTCGAGTTTCGGCGGGGACCTGGGGTATGTTCTCGACTTACGGCGGGGATGGCCCTTCAAAACACGAGTTTCTTCAGTGACGTCAGGACTCCTGTCTAGTAATGAGGGACACCTCAGCAATCTCTTCGAGGCTTGGCAGGGCAAAAGGGACGCTTCTCGAGGTGAGCCAGGGCACCCAAGGACCCTTTCCAGTAGCCACAAGGATTTTGGGATTCCTATCAGTATTCAAGAGGAGTCAGGCATCGTCACCTTTTGAAGCAATGAACTCTGTGTGCCTCTCGAGGTGTCAGGGGGATGTGAGGTATTCCGTCAAAATGAGGCAGGGACCTAGTGCTTCCTCTAAGGTCTCCACAGGGGCTTCAGAAATCCCTTCATGTTGTCAGATCAAAGACGAGCCTGTATTCAAGCCACTGCAAGGAAATCTGGCCTCCGTTCACATTAGGGCTTCTCCCTGTGTATTCCCCTTGAGACAGCAAACTCGGGGTCCCTCCCACATACCTATTGCTGAGAGAAGCCTCCTCATGCGGTGCTTCTGGAAAGTTGGCATACGTCTTGAGCCTAAGCCAGGGAATCAGCTCTCATCTCGAGATGATTTGGGGTACACGGAGCATTCCTCTGGTTGCTGTGCTGAAATTGGTGCTCCTCTAGACTTGGGACAGTGTTCTCGGGGCATCTCTGGAGTTGCCTGAAGGAAGTCGAGCCACCGGTCGTGTTGAATGGGGAACGGGGAATGGCTCTGGAGTCAATGCAGGGGAATCGGGCCTCATCTCGAGTTGATTTGGGGCACATGGAGCAGCTTTGCGTTGCTGGGGTGACCTCAGGGTCCGTCTAGACTGGTGACAGTGTTCTTGGGGACTGTCTCGAGATCCATTAAGCACGTCGAAGCTCCTGACTTGTTTGAATGGGATCACGGAATAGCTCTGCATGCACTGCAGGGGAATGGGGCCTCATCTCGCCTCTAGGGGGAAGTCTCATGGTTTTTCTCGAGTTGCGGCGGGGACCTGGGGTATGTTCTCGACTTACGGCGGGGATGGCCCTTCAAAACACGAGTTTCTTCCGTGACGTCAGGACTCCTGTCTAGTAACGAGGGACACCTCAGTAATCTCTCGAGGCTTGGCAGGGCAAAAGGGACGCTTCTCGAGGTGAGCCAGGGCACCCAAGGACCCTTTCCAGTAGCCACAGGGATTTTGGGATTCCTATCAGTATTCAAGAGGAGTCAGGCATCGTCACCTTTTGAAGCAATGAACTCCGCGTGCCTCTCGAGGTGTCAGCGGGATGTGAGGATTCCGTCAAAATGAGGCAGGGACCTAGGGCTTACTCTAAGGTCTCCACAGGGGATTCAGACATCCCTTCATGTTGTGACATGAAAGACGAGCCTGTATTCAAGCCACTGCAAGGAAATCCGGCCTCCTTTCAAGTTAGGGCTTCTCGCTGTATATTTCCCTTGAGGCAGCAAACTCGGAGTCCCTCCCACATACCTATTGCTGAGAGAAGCCTCCTCCTGAGGTGCTTCTGGAAAGTTGGCATACGTCTTGAGCCTAAGCCAGGGATTCAGCTCTCATCTCGAGACGATTTGTGGTACACAGAGCATTCCTCGAGTTGCTGTGCTGAAGTTGGTGTTCCTCTAGACTTGGGACAGTGTTCTCTGGGCATCTCTGGAGTTGCCTGAAGGAAGTCGAGCCACCGGTCGTGTTGAATGGGGAACGGGGAATGGCTCTGGAGTCAATGCAGGGGAATCCGGCCTCATCTCGAGTTGATTTGTGGCACCTGGAGCTGCTTTGCATTGCTGGGGTGACCTCAGGGTCCGTCTAGACTGGTGACAGTGTTCTTGGGGACTGCCTCGAGATCCATTAAGCAAGTCGAAGCTCCTGACTTGTTTGAATTTGATCACGGAATACCTCTGCATGCACTGCAGGGGAATGGGGCCTCATCTCGCCTCTAGGGGGAAGTCTCATGGTTTTTCTCGAGTTGCGGCGGGGAACTGGGGTATGTTCTCAACTTACGGCGGGGATGGCCCTTCAAAACACGAGTTTCTTCAGTGACGTCAGGACTCCTGTCTAGTAACGAGGGACACGTCAGCAATCTCTTCGAGGCTTGGCAGGGCAAAAGGGACGCTTCTCGAGGTGAGCCAGGGCACCCAAGGACCCTTTCCAGTAGCCACAGGGATTTTGGGATTCCTATAAGTATTCAAGAGGAGTCAGGCATCGTCACCTTTTGAAGCTATGAACTCCGCGTGCCTCTCGAGGTGTCAGCGGGATGTGAGGATTCCGTCAAAATGAGGCAGGGACCTAGGGCTTTCTCTAAGGTCTCCACAGGGGATTCAGACATCCCTTCATGTTGTGAGATGAAAGACGAGCCTGTATTCAAGCCACTGCAAGGAAATCCGGCCTCCTTTCAAGATAGGGCTTCTCGCTGTATATTCCCCTTGAGGCAGCAAACTCGGGGTCCCTCCCACATACCTATTGCTGAGAGAAGCCTCCTCCTGAGGTGCTTCTGGAAAGGTGGCATACGTCTTGAGCCTAAGCCAGGGAATCAGCTCTAATCTCGAGACGATTTGGGGTACACAGAGCATTCCTCGAGTTGCTGTGCTGAAGTTGGTGGTCCTCTAGAATTGGGACAGTGTTCTCGGGGCATATCTGGAGTTGCCTGAAGGAAGTCGAGCCACCGGTCGTGTTGAATGGGGAACAAGGAATGGCTCTGGAGTCAATGCAGGGGAATCCGGCCTCATCTCGAGTTGATTTGGGGCACATGGAGCTGCTTTGCATTGCTGGGTGACCTCAGGGTCCGTCTAGACTGGTGACAGTGTTCTTGGGGACTGTCTCGAGATCCATTTAGCAAGTCGAAGCTCCTGACTTGTTTGAATTGGATCATGGAATAGCTCTGCATGCACTGCAGGGGAATGGGGCCTCATCTCGCCTCTAGGGGGAAATCTCAGGTTTTTTCTCGAGTTTCGGCGGGGACCTGGGGTATGTTCTCGACTTACGGCGGGGATGGCCCTTCAAAACACGAGTTTCTTCAGTGACGTCAGGACTCCTGTCTAGTAATGAGGGACACCTCAGCAATCTCTTCGAGGCTTGGCAGGGCAAAAGGGACGCTTCTCGAGGTGAGCCAGGGCACCCAAGGACCCTTTCCAGTAGCCACAGGGATTTTGGGATTCCTATCAGTATTCAAGAGGAGTCAGGCATCGTCACCTTTTGAAGCAATGAACTCTGTGTGCCTCTCGAGGTGTCAGGGGGATGTGAGGTATTCCGTCAAAATGAGGCAGGGACCTAGGGCTTCCTCTAAGGTCTCCACAGGGGCTTCAGAAATCCCTTCATGTTGTCAGATCAAAGACGAGCCTGTATTCAAGCCACTGCAAGGAAATCTGGCCTCCGTTCACATTAGGGCTTCTCCCTGTGTATTCCCCTTGAGGCAGCAAACTCGGGGTCCCTCCCACATACCTATTGCTGAGAGAAGCCTCCTCATGCGGTGCTTCTGGAAAGTTGGCATACGTCTTGAGCCTAAGCCAGGGAATCAGCTCTCATCTCGAGATGATTTGGGGTACACGGAGCATTCCTCTGGTTGCTGTGCTGAAATTGGTGCTCCTCTAGACTTGGGACAGTCTTCTCGGGGCATCTCTGGAGTTGCCTGAAGGAAGTCGAGCCACCGGTCGTGTTGAATGGGGAACGGGGAATGGCTCTGGAGTCAATGCAGGGGAATCGGGCCTCATCTCGAGTTGATTTGGGGCACATGGAGCAGCTTTGCGTTGCTGGGGTGACCTCAGGGTCCGTCTAGACTGGTGACAGTGTTCTTGGGGACTGTCTCGAGATCCATTAAGCACGTCGAAGCTCCTGACTTGTTTGAATGGGATCACGGAATAGCTCTGCATGCACTGCAGGGGAATGGGGCCTCATCTCGCCTCTAGGGGGAAGTCTCATGGTTTTTCTCGAGTTGCGGCGGGGACCTGGGGTATGTTCTCGACTTACGGCGGGGATGGCCCTTCAAAACACGAGTTTCTTCCGTGACGTCAGGACTCCTGTCTAGTAACGAGGGACACCTCAGAAATCTCTCGAGGCTTGGCAGGGCAAAAGGGACGCTTCTCGAGGTGAGCCAGGGCACCCAAGGACCCTTTCCAGTAGCCACAGGGATTTTGGGATTCCTATCAGTATTCAAGAGGAGTCAGGCATCGTCACCTTTTGAAGCAATGAACTCCGCGTGCCTCTCGAGGTATCAGCGGGATGTGAGGATTCCGTCAAAATGAGGCAGGGACCTAGGGCTTACTCTAAGGTCTCCACAGGGGATTCAGACATCCCTTCATGTTGTGACATGAAAGACGAGCCTGTATTCAAGCCACTGCAAGGAAATCCGGCCTCCTTTCAAGTTAGGGCTTCTCGCTGTATATTTCCCTTGAGGCAGCAAACTCGGAGTCCCTCCCACATACCTATTGCTGAGAGAAGCCTCCTCCTGAGGTGCTTCTGGAAAGTTGGCATACGTCTTGAGCCTAAGCCAGGGATTCAGCTCTCATCTCGAGACGATTTGTGGTACACAGAGCATTCCTCGAGTTGCTGTGCTGAAGTTGGTGTTCCTCTAGACTTGGGACAGTGTTCTCTGGGCATCTCTGGAGTTGCCTGAAGGAAGTCGAGCCACCGGTCGTGTTGAATGGGGAACGGGGAATGGCTCTGGAGTCAATGCAGGGGAATCGGGCCTCATCTCGAGTTGATTTGTGGCACCTGGAGCTGCTTTGCATTGCTGGGGTGACCTCAGGGTCCGTCTAGACTGGTGACAGTGTTCTTGGGGACTGCCTCGAGATCCATTAAGCAAGTCGAAGCTCCTGACTTGTTTGAATTTGATCACGGAATACCTCTGCATGCACTGCAGGGGAATGGGGCCTCATCTCGCCTCTAGGGGGAAGTCTCATGGTTTTTCTCGAGTTGCGGCGGGGACCTGGGGTATGTTCTCGACTTACGGCGGGGATGGCCCTTAAAAACCCGAGTTTCTTCAGTGACGTCAGGACTCCTGTTTAGTAACGAGGGACACCTCAGGAATCTCTTCGAGGCTTTGCAGGGCAAAAGGGACGCTTCTCGAGGTGAGCCAGGGCACCCAAGGACCCTTTCCAGTAGCCACAGGGATTTTGGGATTCCTATAAGTATTCAAGAGGAGTCAGGCATCGTCACCTTTTGAAGCAATGAACTCTGCGTGCCTCTCGAGTGGTCAGCGGGATGTGAGGTATTCCGTCAAAATGAGGCAGGGACCTAGGGCTTCCTCTAAGGTCTCCACAGGGGATTCAGAAATACCTTCATGTTGTCAGATCAAAGACTAGCCTGTATTCAAGCCACTGCAAGGAAATCTGGCCTCCGCTCACATTAGCGCTTCTCCCTGTGTATTCCCCTTGAGGCAGCAAACTCGGGGTCCCTCCCACATACCTATTGCTGAGAGAAGCCTCCTCCTGAGGTGCTTCTGGAAAGTTGGCATACGTCTTGAGCCTAAGCCAGGGAATCAGCTCTCATCTCGAGATGATTTGGGGTACACGGAGCATTCCTCTGGTTGCTGTGCTGAAACTGGTGCTCCTCTAGACTTGGGACAGTGTTCTCGGGGCATCTCTGGAGTTGCCTGAAGGAAGTCGAGCCACCGGTCGTGTTGAATGGGGAACGGGGAATGGCTCTGGAGTCAATGCAGGGGAATCGGGCCTCATCTCGAGTTGATTTGGGGCACATGGAGCAGCTTTGCGTTGCTGGGGTGACCTCAGGGTCCGTCTAGACTGGTGACAGTGTTCTTGGGGACTGTCTCGAGATCCATTTAGCAAGTCGAAGCTCCTGACTTGTTGGAATTGGATCATGGAATAGCTCTGCATGCACTGCAGGGGAATGGGGCCTCATCTCGCCTCTAGGGGGAAGTCTCATGGTTTTTCTCGAGTTGCGGCGGGGACCTGGGGTATGTTCTCGACTTACGGCGGGGATGGCCCTTAAAAACCCGAGTTTCTTCAGTGACGTCAGGACTCCTGTTTAGTAACGAGGGACACCTCAGGAATCTCTTCGAGGCTTTGCAGGGCAAAAGGGACGCTTCTCGAAGTGAGGCAGGGCACCCAAGGAACCTTTCCAGTAGCCACAGGGATTTTGGGATTCCTATCAGTATTCAAGAGGAGTCAGGCATCGTCACCTTTTGAAGAAATGAACTCCGCATGCCTCTCGAGCTGTCAGCGGGATGTGAGGCATTCCGTCAAAATGAGGCAGGGACCTAGGGCTTTCTCTAAGGTCTTCACAGGGGATTCAGACATCCCTTCATGTTGTGAGATGAAAGACAAGCCTGTATTCAAGCTACTGCAAGGAAATCCTGCCTCCTTTCAAGTTAGGGCTTCTCGCTGTATATTCCCCTTGAGGCAGCAAACTCGGAGTCCCTCCCACATACCTATTGCTGAGAGAAGCCTCCTCCTGAGGTGCTTCTGGAAAGTTGGCATACGCCTTGAGCCTAAGCCAGGGATTCAGCTCTCATCTCGAGACGATTTGGGGTACACAGAGCATTCCTCGAGTTGCTGTGTTGAAGTTGGTGTTCCTCTAGACTTGGGACAGTGTTCTCTGGGCATCTCTGGAGTTGCCTGAAGGAAGTCGAGCCACCGGTCGTGTTGAATGGGGAACGGGGAATGGCTCTGGAGTCAATGCAGGGGAATCGGGCCTCATCTCGAGTTGATTTGGGGCACATGGAGCAGCTTTGCGTTGCTGGGGTGACCTTAGGGTCCGTCTAGACTGGTGACAGTGTTCTTGGGGACTGACTCGAGATCCATTAAGCAAGTCGAAGCTCCTGACTTGTTTGAATGGGATCACGGAATAGCTCTGCATGCACTGCAGGGGAATGGGGCCTCATCTCGCCTCTAGGGGGAAGTCTCATGGTTTTTCTCGAGTTGCGGCGGGGACCTGGGGTATGTTCTCGACTTATGGCGGGGATGGCCCTTCAAAACACGAGTTTCTTCAGTGACGTCAGGACTCCTGTCTAGTAATGAGGGACCACTCAGCAATCTCTTCGAGGCTTGGCAGGGCAAATGGGACGCTTCTCGAGGTGAGCCAGGGCACCCAAGGACCCTTTCCAGTAGCCACAGGGATTTTGGGATTCCTATAAGTATTCAAGAGTAGTCAGGCATCGTCACCTTTTGAAGCAATGAACTCCGCGTGCCTCTCGAGTTGTCAGCGGGATGTGAGGATTCCATCAAAATGAGGCAGGGACCTAGGGCTTTCTCTAAGGTCTCCACAGGGGATTCAGACATCTCTTCATGTTGTGAGATGAAAGACGAGCCTGTATTCAAGCCACTGCAAGGAAATCCGGCCTCCTTTCAAGTTAGGGCTTCTCGCTGTATATTCCCCTTGAGGCAGCAAAATCGGGGTTCCTCCCTCATACCTATTGCTGAGAGAAGCCTCCTCATGAGGTGCTTCTGGAAAGGTGGCATACGTCTTGAGCCTAAGACAGGGAATCAGCTCTCATCTCGAGACGATTTGGGGTACACAGAGCATTCCTCGAGTTGCTGTGCTGAAGTTGGTGTTCCTCTAGACTTGGGACAGTGTTCTCGGGGCATATCTGGAGTTGCCGGAAGGAAGTCGAGCCACCGGTCGTGTTGAATGGGGAACGGGGAATGGCTCTGGAGTCAATGCAGGGGAATCGGGCCTCATCTCGAGTTGATTTGGGGCACATGGAGCAGCTTTGCGTTGCTGGGGTGACCTCAGGGTCCGTCTAGACTGGTGACAGTGTTCTTGGGGACTGACTCGAGATCCATTAAGCAAGTCGAAGCTCCTGACTTGTTTGAATGGGATCACGGAATAGCTCTGCATGCACTGCAGGGGAATGGGGCCTCATCTCGCCTCTAGGGGGAAGTCTCATGGTTTTTCTCGAGTTGCGGCGGGGACCTGGGGTATGTTCTCGACTTATGGCGGGGATGGCCCTTCAAAACACGAGTTTCTTCAGTGACGTCAGGACTCCTGTCTAGTAATGAGGGACCACTCAGCAATCTCTTCGAGGCTTGGCAGGGCAAATGGGACGCTTCTCGAGGTGAGCCAGGGCACCCAAGGACCCTTTCCAGTAGCCACAGGGATTTTGGGATTCCTATAAGTATTCAAGAGGAGTCAGGCATCGTCACCTTTTGAAGCAATGAACTCCGCGTGCCTCTCGAGTTGTCAGCGGGATGTGAGGATTCCATCAAAATGAGGCAGGGACCTAGGGCTTTCTCTAAGGTCTCCACAGGGGATTCAGACATCTCTTCATGTTGTGAGATGAAAGACGAGCCTGTATTCAAGCCACTGCAAGGAAATCCGGCCTCCTTTCAAGTTAGGGCTTCTCGCTGTATATTCCCCTTGAGGCAGCAAAATCGGGGTTCCTCCCTCATACCTATTGCTGAGAGAAGCCTCCTCATGAGGTGCTTCTGGAAAGGTGGCATACGTCTTGAGCCTAAGACAGGGAATCAGCTCTCATCTCGAGACGATTTGGGGTACACAGAGCATTCCTCGAGTTGCTGTGCTGAAGTTGGTGTTCCTCTAGACTTGGGACAGTGTTCTCGGGGCATATCTGGAGTTGCCGGAAGGAAGTCGAGCCACCGGTCGTGTTGAATGGGGAACGGGGAATGGCTCTGGAGTCAATGCAGGGGAATCGGGCCTCATCTCGAGTTGATTTGGGGCACATGGAGCAGCTTTGCGTTGCTGGGGTGACCTCAGGGTCCGTCTAGACTGGTGACAGTGTTCTTGGGGACTGACTCGAGATCCATTAAGCAAGTCGAAGCTCCTGACTTGTTTGAATGGGATCACGGAATAGCTCTGCATGCACTGCAGGGGAATGGGGCCTCATCTCGCCTCTAGGGGGAAGTCTCATGGTTTTTCTCGAGTTGCGGCGGGGACCTGGGGTATGTTCTCGACTTATGGCGGGGATGGCCCTTCAAAACACGAGTTTCTTCAGTGACGTCAGGACCTCTGTCTAGTAATGAGGGACCACTCAGCAATCTCTTCGAGGCTTGGCAGGGCAAATGGGACGCTTCTCGAGGTGAGCCAGGGCACCCAAGGACCCTTTCCAGTAGCCACAGGGATTTTGGGATTCCTATAAGTATTCAAGAGGAGTCAGGCATCGTCACCTTTTGAAGCAATGAACCCGCGTGCCTCTCGAGGTGTCAGCGGGATGTGAGGATTCCATCAAAATGAGGCAGGGACCTAGGGCTTTCTCTAAGGTCTCCACAGGGGATTCAGACATCCCTTCATGTTGTGAGATGAAAGACGAGCCTGTATTCAAGCCACTGCAAGGAAATCCGGCCTCCTTTCAAGTTAGGGCTTCTCGCTGTATATTCCCCTTGAGGCAGCAAAATCGGGGTTCCTCCCACATACCTATTGCTGAGAGAAGCCTCCTCGTGAGGTGCTTCTGGAAAGGTGGCATACGTCTTGAGCCTAAGACAGGGAATCAGCTCTCATCTCGAGACGATTTGGGGTACACAGAGCATTCCTCGAGTTGCTGTGCTGAAGTTGGTGTTCCTCTAGACTTGGGACAGTGTTCTCGGGGCATATCTGGAGTTTCCGGAAGGAAGTCGAGCCACCGGTCGTGTTGAATGGGGAACAAGGAATGGCTCTGGAGTCAATGTAGGGGAATCCGTCCTCATCTCGAGTTGATTTGGGGCACATGGAGCAGCTTTGCATTGCTGGGTGACCTCAGGGTCCGTCTAGACTGCTGACAGTGTTCTTGGGGACTGTCTCGAGATCCATTAAGCAAGTCGAAGCTCCTGACTTGTTTGAATGGGATCACGGAATAGCTCTGCATGCACTGCAGGGGAATGGGGCCTCATCTCGCCTCTAGGGGGAAGTCTCATGGTTTTTCTCGAGTTGCGGCGGGGACCTGGGGTATGTTCTCGACTTACGGCGGGGATGGCCCTTCAAAACACGAGTTTCTTCAGTGACGTCAGGACTCCTGTCTAGTAACGAGGGATACCTCAGCAATCTCTTCGAGGCTTGGCAGGGCAAAAGGGACGCTTCTCGAGGTGAGCCAGGGCACCCAAGGACCCTTTCCAGTAGCCACAGGGATTTCGGGATTCCTATAAGTATTCAAGAGGAGTCAGGCATCGTCACCTTTTGAAGCAATGAACTCCGGGTGCCTCTCGAGGTTTCAGCGGGATGTGAGGATTCCGTCAAAATGAGGCAGGGACCTAGGGCTTTCTCTAAGGTCTCCACAAGGGATTCAGACATCCCTTCATGTTGTGAGATGAAAGACGAGCCTGTATTCAAGCCACTGCAAGGAAATCCGGCCTCCTTTCAAGTTAGGGCTTCTCGCTGTATATTCCCCTTGAGGCAGCAAACTCGGGGTCCCTCCCACATACCTATTGCTGAGAGAAGCCTCCTCCTGAGGTGCTTCTGGAAAGGTGGCATACGTCTTGAGCCTAAGCCAGGGAATCAGCTCTCATCTCGAGACGATTTGGGGTACACAGAGCATTCCTCGAGTTGCTGTGCTGAAGTTGGTGTTCCTCTAGACTTGGGACAGTGTTCTCGGGGCATATCTGGAGTTGCCTGAAGGAAGTCGAGCCACCGGTCTTGTTGAAAGGGGAACATGGAATGGCTCTGGAGTCAATGCAGGGGAATCCGGCCTCATCTCGAGTTGATTTGGGGCACATGGAGCTGCTTTGCGTGGCTGGGGTGACCTCAGGGTCCGTCTAGACTGGTGACAGTGTTCTTGGGGACTGTCTCGAGATCCATTAAGCAAGTCGAAGCTCCTGACTTGTTTGAATGGTATCACGGAATAGCTCTGCATGCACTGCAGGGGAATGGGGCCTCATCTCGCCTCTAGGGGGAAGTCTCATGGTTTTTCTCGAGTTGCGGCGGGGACCTGGGGTATGTTCTCGACTTACGGCGGGGATGGCCCTTCAAAACACGAGTTTCTTCCGTGACGTCAGGACTCCTGTCTAGTAACGAGGGACACCTCAGCAATCTCTTCGAGGCTTGGCAGGGCAAAAGGGACGCTTCTCGAGGTGAGCCAGGGCACCCAAGGACCCTTTCCAGTAGCCACAGGGATTTTGGGATTCCTATAAGTATTCAAGAGGAGTCAGGCAATGTCACCTTTTGAAGCAATGAACTCCGCGTGCCTCTCGAGGTGTCAGCGGGATGTTTGGATTCCGTCAAAATGAGGCAGGGACCTAGGGCTTTCTCTAAGGTCTCCACAGGGGATTCAGACATCCCTTCATGTTGTGAGATGAAAGACGAGCCTGTATTCAAGCCACTGCAAGGAAATCCGGCCTCCTTTCAAGTTAGGGCTTCTCGCTGTATATTCCCCTTGAGGCAGCAAACTCGGAGTCCCTCCCACATACCTATTGCTGAGAGAAGCCTCCTCCTGAGGTGCTTCTGGAAAGTTGGCATACGTCTTGAGCCTAAGCCAGGGATTCAGCTCTCATCTCGAGACGATTTGGGGTGCACAGAGCATTCCTCGAGTTGCTGTGCTGAAGTTGGTGTTCCTCTAGACTTGGGACAGTGTTCTCTGGGCATCTCTGGAGTTGCCTGAAGGAAGTCGAGCCACCGGTCTTGTTGAATGGGGAACGGGGAATGGCTCTGGAGTCAATGCAGGGGAATCGGGCCTCATCTCGAGTTGATTTGTGGCACCTGGAGCTGCTTTGCGTTGCTGGGGTGACCTCAGGGTCCGTCTAGACTGGTGACAGTGATCTTGGGGACTGCCTCGAGATCCATTAAGCAAGTCGAAGCTCCTGACTTGTTTGAATGGGATCACGGAATAGCTCTGCATGCACTGCAGGGGAATGGGGCCTCATCTCGCCTCTAGGGGGAAGTCTCATGGTTTTTCTCGAGTTGCGGCGGGGAACTGGGGTATGTTCTCGACTTACGGCGGGGATGGCCCTTCAAAACACGAGTTTCTTCAGTGACGTCAGGACTCCTGTCTAGTAACGAGGGACACGTCAGCAATCTCTTCGAGGCTTGGCAGGGCAAAAGGGACGCTTCCCGAGGTGAGCCAGCGCACCCAAGGACCATTTCCAGTAGCCACAGGGATTTTGGGATTCCTATCAGTATTCAAGAGGAGTCAGGCATCGTCACCTTTTGAAGCAATGATCTCCGCGTGCCTCTCGACGTGTCAGCGGGATGTGAGGATTCCGTCAAAATGAGGCAGGGACCTAGGGCTTTCTCTAAGGTCTCCACAGGGGATTCAGACATCCCTTCATGTTGTGAGATGAAAGACGAGCCTGTATTCAAGCCACTGCAAGGAAATCCGGCCTCCTTTCAAGTTAGGGCTTCTCGCTGTATATTCCCCTTGAGGCAGCAAACTCGGGGTCCCTCCCACATACCTATTGCTGAGAGAAGCCTCCTCCTGAGGTGCTTCTGGAAAGGTGGCATACGTCTTGAGCCTAAGCCAGGGATTCAGCTCTCATCTCGAGAGGATTTGGGGTACACAGAGCATTCCTCGAGTTGCTGTGCAAAAGTTGGTGGTCCTCTAGACTTGGGACAGTGTTCTCTGGGCATCTCTGGAGTTGCCTGAAAGAAGTCGAGCCACCGGTCGTGTTGAATGGGGAATGGGGAATGGCTCTGGAGTCAATGCAGGGGAATCGGGCCTCATCTCGAGTTGATTTGTGGCACCTGGAGCTGCTTTGCGTTGCTGGGGTGACCTCAGGGTCCATCTAGACTGGTGACAGTGTTCTTGGGGACTGTCTCGAGATGCATTAAGCAAGTCGAAGCTCCTGACTTGTTTGAATGGGATCACGGAATAGCTCTGCATGCACTGCAGGGGAATGGGGCCTCATCTCGCCTCTAGGGGGAAGTCTCATGGTTTTTCTCGAGTTGCGGCGGGGACCTGGGGTATGTTCTCGACTTACGGCGGGGATGGCCTTTCAAAACACGAGTTTCTTCCGTGACGTCAGGACTCCTGTCTAGTAACGAGGGACACCTCAGCAATCTCTTCGAGGCTTGGCAGGGCAAAAGGGACGCTTCTCGAGGTGAGCCAGGGCACCCAAGGAACCTTTCCAGTAGCCACAGGGATTTTGGGATTCGTATCAGTATTCAAGAGGAGTCAGGCATCGTCACCTTTTGAAGAAATGAACTCCGCATGCCTCTCGAGCTGTCAGCGGGATGTGAGGCATTCCGTCAAAATGAGGCAGGGACCTAGGGCTTTCTCTAAGGTCTTCACAGGGGATTCAGACATCCCTTCATGTTGTGAGATGAAAGACAAGCCTGTATTCAAGCTACTGCAAGGAAATCCTGCCTCCTTTCAAGTTAGGGCTTCTCGCTGTATATTCCCCTTGAGGCAGCAAACTCGGAGTCCCTCCCACATACCTATTGCTGAGAGAAGCCTCCTCCTGAGGTGCTTCTGGAAAGTTGGCATACGCCTTGAGCCTAAGCCAGGGATTCAGCTCTCATCTCGAGACGATTTGGGGTACACAGAGCATTCCTCGAGTTGCTGTGCTGAAGTTGGTGTTCCTCTAGACTTGGGACAGTGTTCTCTGGGCATCTCTGGAGTTGCCTGAAGGAAGTCGAGCCACCGGTCGTGTTGAATGGGGAACGGGGAATGGCTTTGGAGTCAATGCAGGGGAATCGGGCCTCATCTCGACTTGATTTGTGGCACCTGGAGCTGCTTTGCGTTGCTGCGGTGACCTCAGGGTCCGTCTAGACTGGTGACAGTGTTCTTGGGGACTGACTCGAGATCCATTAAGCAAGTCGAAGCTCCTGACTTGTTTGAATGGGATCACGGAATAGCTCTGCATGCACTGCAGGGGAATGGGGCCTCATCTCGCCTCTAGGGGGAAGTCTCATGGTTTTTCTCGAGTTGCGGCGGGGACCTGGGGTATGTTCTCGACTTACGGCGGGGATGGCCCTTCAAAACACGAGTTTCTTCAGTGACGTCAGGACTCCTGTCTAGTAATGAGGGACAACTCAGCAATCTCTTCGAGGCTTGGCAGGGCAAAAGGGACGCTTCTCGAGGTGAGCCAGGGCACCCAAGGACCCTTTCCAATAGCCACAGGGATTTTGGGATTCCTATAAGTATTCAAGAGGAGTCAGGCATCGTCACCTTTTGAAGCAATGAACTCCGCGTGCCTCTCGAGGTGTCAGCGGGATGTGAGGATTCCGTCAAAATGAGGCAGGGACCTAGGGTTTCTCTAAGGTCTCCACAGGGGATTCAGACATCCCTTCATGTTGTGAGATGAAAGACGAGCCTGTATTCAAGCCACTGCAAGGAAATCCGGCCTCCTTTCAAGTTAGGGCTTCTCGCTGTATATTCCCCTTGAGGCAGCAAACTCGGGGTCCCTCCCACATACCTATTGCTGAGAGAAGCCTCCTCCTGAGGTGCTTCTGGAAAGGTGGCATACGTCTTGAGCCTAAGCCAGGGAATCAGCTCTAATCTCGAGACGATTTGGGGTACACAGAGCATTCCTCGAGTTGCTGTGCTGAAGTTGGTGTTCCTCTAGACTTGGGACAGTGTTCTCGGGGCATCTCTGGAGTTTCCTGAAGGAAACCGAGCCACCGGTCCTGTTGAATGGGGAATTGGGAATGGCTCTGGAGTCAATGCAGGGGAATCGGGCCTAATCTCGAGTTGATTTGGGGCACATGGAGCTGGTTTGCGTTGCTGGGGTGACCTCAGGGTCCGTCTAGACTGGTGACAGTGTTCTTGGGGACTGTCTCGAGATCCATTAAGCACGTCGAAGCTCCTGACTTGTTTGAATGGGATCACGGAATAGCTCTGCATGCACTGCAGGGGAATGGGGCCTCATCTCGCCTCTAGGGGGAAGTCTCATGGTTTTTCTCGAGTTGCGGCGGGGACCTGGGGTATGTTCTCGACTTACGGCGGGGATGGCCCTTCAAAACACGAGTTTCTTCCGTGACGTCAGGACTCCTGTCTAGTAACGAGGGACACCTCAGCAATCTCTTCGAGGCTTGGCAGGGCAAAAGGGACGCTTCTCGAGGTGAGCCAGGGCACCCAAGGACCCTTTCCAGTAGCCACAGGGATTTTGGGATTCCTATAAGTATTCAAGAGGAGTCAGGCATCGTCACCTTTTGAAGCAATGAACTCTGCGTGCCTCTCGAGGTGTCAGCGGGATGTGAGGTATTCCGTCAAAATGAGGCAGGGACCTAGGGCTTCCTCTAAGGTCTCCACAGGGGATTCAGAAATCCCTTCATGTTGTCAGATCAAAGACTAGCCTGTATTCAAGCCACTGCAAGGAAATCTGGCCTCCGCTCACATTAGCGCTTCTCCCTGTGTATTCCCCTTGAGGCAGCAAACTCGGGGTCCCTCCCACATACCTATTGCTGAGAGAAGCCTCCTCCTGAGGTGCTTCTGGAAAGTTGGCATACGTCTTGAGCCTAAGCCAGGGAATCAGCTCTCATCTCGAGATGATTTGGGGTACACGGAGCATTCCTCTGGTTGCTGTGCTGAAATTGGTGCTCCTCTAGACTTGGGACAGTGTTCTCGGGGCATCTCTGGAGTTGCCTGAAGGAAGTCGAGCCACCGGGCGTGTTGAATGGGGAACGGGGAATGGCTCTGGAGTCAATGCAGGGGAATCGGGCCTCATCTCGAGTTGATTTGGGGCACATGGAGCAGCTTTGCGTTGCTGGGGTGACCTCAGGGTCCGTCTAGACTGGTGACAGTGTTCTTGGGGACTGTCTCGAGATCCATTAAGCACGTCGAAGCTCCTGACTTGTTTGAATGGGATCACGGAATAGCTCTGCATGGACTGCAGGGGAATGGGGCCTCATCTCGCCTCTAGGGGGAAGTCTCATGGTTTTTCTCGAGTTGCGGCGGGGACCTGGGGTATGTTCTCGACTTACGGCGGGGATGGCCCTTCAAAACACGAGTTTCTTCCGTGACGTCAGGACTCCTGTCTAGTAACGAGGGACACGTCAGCAATCTCTTCGAGGCTTGGCAGGGCAAAAGGGACGCTTCTCGAGGTGAGCCAGGGCACCCAAGGACCCTTTCCAGTAGCCACAGGGATTTTGGGATTCCTATCAGTATTCAAGAGGAGTCAGGCATCGTCACCTTTTGAAGCAATGAACTCCGCGTGCCTCTCGACGTGTCAGCGGGATGTGAGGATTCCGTCAAAATGAGGCAGGGACCTAGGGCTTTCTCTAAGGTCTCCACAGGGGATTCAGACATCCCTTCATGTTGTGAGATGAAAGACGAGCCTGTATTCAAGCCACTGCAAGGAAATCCGGCCTCCTTTCAAGTTAGGGCTTCTCGCTGTATATTCCCCTTGAGGCAGCAAACTCGGGGTCCCTCCCACATACCTATTGCTGAGAGAAGCCTCCTCCTGAGGTGCTTCTGGAAAGGTGGCATACGTCTTGAGCCTAAGCCAGGGAATCAGCTCTCATCTCGAGACGATTTGGGGTACACAGAGCATTCCTCGAGTTGCTGTGCTGAAGTTGGTGGTCCTCTAGACTTGGGACAGTGTTCTCGGGGCATATCTGGAGTTGCCTGAAGGAAGTCGAGCCACCGGTCGTGTTGAATGGGGAACATGGAATGGCTCTGGAGTCAATGCAGGGGAATCGGGCCTCATCTCGAGTTGATTTGGGGCACATGGAGCTGCTTTGCATTGCTGGGTGACCTCAGGGTCCGTCTAGACTGGTGACAGTGTTCTTGGGGACTGTCTCGAGATCCATTTAGCAAGTCGAAGCTCCTGACTTGTTTGAATTGGATCATGGAATAGCTCTGCATGCACTGCAGGGGAATGGGGCCTCATCTCGCCTCTAGGGGGAAATCTCATGGTTTTTCTCGAGTTGCGGCGGGGACCTGGGGTATGTTCTCGACTTACGGCGGGGATGGCCCTTCAAAACACGAGTTTCTTCAGTGACGTCAGGACTCCTGTCTAGTAATGAGGGACACCTCAGCAATCTCTTCGAGGCTTGGCCGGGCAAAAGGGACGCTTCTCGAGGTGAGCCAGGGCACCCAAGGACCCTTTCCAGTAGCCACAGGGATTTTGGGATTCCTATAAGTATTCAAGAGGAGTCAGGCATCGTCACCTTTGAAGCAATGAACTCTGCGTGCCTCTCGAGGTGTCAGGGGGATGTGAGGTATTCCGTCAAAATGAGGCAGGGACCTAGGGTTTCCTCTAAGGCCTCCACAGGGGATTCAGAAATCCCTTCATGTTGTCAGATCAAAGACTAGCCTGTATTCAAGCCACTGCAAGGAAATCTGGCCTCCGCTCACATTAGGGCTTCTCCCTGTGTATTCCCCTTGAGGCAGCAAACTCGGGGTCCCTCCCACATACCTATTGCTGAGAGAAGCCTCCTCCTGAGGTGCTTCTGGAAAGTTGGCATACGTCTTGAGCCTAAGCCAGGGAATCAGCTCTCATCTCGGGATGATTTGGGGTACACGGAGCATTCCTCTGGTTGCTGTGCTGAAATTGGTGCTCCTCTAGACTTGGGACAGTGTTCTCGGGGCATCTCTGGAGTTGCCTGAAGGAAGTCGAGCCACCGGTCGTGTTGAATGGGGAACGGGGAATGGCTCTGGAGTCAATGCAGGGGAATCGGGCCTCATCTCGAGTTGATTTGGGGCACATGGAGCAGCTTTGCGTTGCTGGGGTGACCTCAGGGTCCGTCTAGACTGGTGACAGTGTTCTTGGGGACTGTCTCGAGATCCATTAAGCACGTCGAAGCTCCTGACTTGTTTGAATGGGATCACGGAATAGCTCTGCATGCACTGCAGGGGAATGGGGCCTCATCTCGCCTCTAGGGGGAAGTCTCATGGTTTTTCTCGAGTTGCGGCGGGGACCTGGGGTATGTTCTCGACTTACGGCGGGGATGGCCCTTCAAAACACGAGTTTCTTCAGTGACGTCAGGACTCCTGTCTAGTAACGAGGGACACCTCAGGAATCTCTTCGAGGCTTGGCAGGGCAAAAGGGACGCTTCTCGAAGTGAGGCAGGGCACCCAAGGACCCTTTCCAGTAGCCACAGGGATTTTGGGATTCCTCTAAGTATTCAAGAGGAGTCAGGCATCGTCACCTTTTGAAGCAATGAACTCCGCGTGCCTCTCGAGGTGTCAGCGGGATGTGAGGATTCCGTCAAAATGAGGCAGGGACCTAGGGCTTTCTCTAAGGTCTCCACAGGGGATTCAGACATCCCTTCATGTTGTGAGATGAAAGACGAGCCTGTATTCAAGCCACTGCAAGGAAATCCGGCCTCCTTTCAAGTTAGGGCTTCTCGCTGTATATTCCCCTTGAGGCAGCAAACTCGGGGTCCCTCCCACATACCTATTGCTGAGAGAAGCCTCCTCCTGAGGTGCTTCTGGAAAGTTGGCATACGTCTTGAGCCTAAGCCAGGGATTCAGCTCTCATCTTGAGACGATTTGTGGTACACAGAGCATTCCTCGAGTTGCTGTGCTGAAGTTGGTGTTCCTCTAGACTTGGGACAGTGTTCTCTGTGCATCTCTGGAGTTGCCTGAAGGAAGTCGAGCCACCGGTCGTGTTGAATGGGGAACGGGGAATGGCTCTGGAGTCAATGCAGGGGAATCGGGCCTCATCTCGAGTTGATTTGTGGCACCTGGAGCTGCTTTGCATTGCTGGGGTGACCTCAGGGTCCGTCTAGACTGGTGACAGTGTTCTTGGGGACTGCCTCGAGATCCATTAAGCAAGTCGAAGCTCCTGACTTGTTTGTATGGGATCACGGAATACCTCTGCATGCACTGCAGGGGAATGGGGCCTCATCTCGCCTCTAGGGGGAAGTCTCATGGTTTTTCTCGAGTTGCGGCGGGGAACTGGGGTATGTTCTCAACTTACGGCGGGGATGGCCCTTCAAAACACGAGTTTCTTCAGTGACGTCAGGACTCCTGTCTAGTAACGAGGGACACGTCAGCAATCTCTTCGAGGCTTGGCAGGGCAAAAGGGACGCTTCTCGAGGTGAGCCAGGGCACCCAAGGACCCATTCCAGTAGCCACAGGGATTTTGGGATTCCTATAAGTATTCAAGAGGAGTCAGGCATCGTCACCTTTTGAAGCTATGAACTCCGCGTGCCTCTCGAGGTGTCAGCGGGATGTGAGGATTCCGTAAAAATGAGGCAGGGACCTAGGGCTTTCTCTAAGGTCTCCACAGGGGATTCAGACATCCCTTCATGTTGTGAGATGAAAGACGAGCCTGTATTCAAGCCACTGCAAGGAAATCCGGCCTCCTTTCAAGTTAGGGCTTCTCGCTGTATATTCCCCTTGAGGCAGCAAACTCGGGGTCCCTCCCACATACCTATTGCTGAGAGAAGCCTCCTCCTGAGGTGCTTCTGGAAAGGTGGCATACGTCTTGAGCCTAAGCCAGGGAATCAGCTCTAATCTCGAGACGATTTGGGGTACACAGAGCATTCCTCGAGTTGCTGTGCTGAAGTTGGTGGTCCTCTAGACTTGGGACAGTGTTCTCGGGGCATATCTGGAGTTGCCTGAAGGAAGTCGAGCCACCGGTCGTGTTGAATGGGGAACAAGGAATGGCTCTGGATTCAATGCAAGGGAATCCGGCCTCATCTCGAGTTGATTTGGGGCACATGGAGCTGCTTTGCATTGCTGGGTGACCTCAGGGTCCGTCTAGACTGGTGACAGTGTTCTTGGGGACTGTCTCGAGATCCATTTAGCAAGTCGAAGCTCCTGACTTGTTTGAATTGGATCATGGAATAGCTCTGCATGCACTGCAGGGGAATGGGGCCTCATCTCGCCTCTAGGGGGAAACCTCAGGTTTTTTCTCGAGTTTCGGCGGGGACCTGGGGTATGTTCTCGACTTACGGCGGGGATGGCCCTTCAAAACACGAGTTTCTTCAGTGACGTCAGGACTCCTGTCTAGTAATGAGGGACACCTCAGCAATATCTTCGAGGCTTGGCAGGGCAAAAGGGACGCTTCTCGAGGTGAGCCAGGGCACCCAAGGACCCTTTCCAGTAGCCACAGGGATTTTGGGATTCCTATCAGTATTCAAGAGGAGTCAGGCATCGTCACCTTTTGAAGCAATGAACTCTGTGTGCCTCTCGAGGTGTCATGGGGATGTGAGGTATTCCGTCAAAATGAGGCAGGGACCTAGGGCTTCCTCTAAGGTCTCCACAGGGGCTTCAGAAATCCCTTCATGTTGTCAGATCAAAGACGAGCCTGTATTCAAGCCACTGCAAGGAAATCTGGCCTCCGTTCACATTAGGGCTTCTCCCTGTGTATTCCCCTTGAGGCAGCAAACTCGGGGTCCCTCCCACATACCTATTGCTGAGAGAAGCCTCCTCCTGCGGTGCTTCTGGAAAGTTGGCATACGTCTTGAGCCTAAGCCAGGGAATCAGCTCTCATCTCGAGATGATTTGGGGTACACGGAGCATTCCTCTGGTTGCTGTGCTGAAATTGGTGCTCCTCTAGACTTGGGACAGTGTTCTCGGGGCATCTCTGGAGTTGCCTGAAGGAAGTCGAGCCACCGGTCGTGTTGAATGGGGAACGGGGAATGGCTCTGGAGTCAATGCAGGGGAATCGGGCCTCATCTCGAGTTGATTTGGGGCACATGGAGCAGCTTTGCGTTGCTGGGGTGACCTCAGGGTCCGTCTAGACTGGTGACAGTGTTCTTGGGGACTGTCTCGAGATCCATTAAGCACGTCGAAGCTCCTGACTTGTTTGAATGGGATCACGGAATAGCTCTGCATGCACTGCAGGGGAATGGGGCCTCATCTCGCCTCTAGGGGGAAGTCTCATGGTTTTTCTCGAGTTGCGGCGGGGACCTGGGGTATGTTCTCGACTTACGGCGGGGATGGCCCTTAAAAACCCGAGTTTCTTCAGTGACGTCAGGACTCCTGTCTAGTAACGAGGGACACCTCAGGAATCTCTTCGAGGCTTGGCAGGGCAAAAGGGACGCTTCTCGAAGTGAGGCAGGGCACCCAAGGAACCTTTCCAGTAGCCACAGGGATTTTGGGATTCCTATCAGTATTCAAGAGGAGTCAGGCATCGTCACCTTTTGAAGAAATGAACTCCGCATGCCTCTCGAGCTGTCAGCGGGATGTGAGGCATTCCGTCAAAATGAGGCAGGGACCTAGGGCTTTCTCTAAGGTCTTCACAGGGGATTCAGACATCCCTTCATGTTGTGAGATGAAAGACAAGCCTCTATTCAAGCTACTGCAAGGAAATCCTGCCTCCTTTCAAGTTAGGGCTTCTCGCTGTATATTCCCCTTGAGGCAGCAAACTCGGAGTCCCTCCCACATACCTATTGCTGAGAGAAGCCTCCTCCTGAGGTGCTTCTGGAAAGTTGGCATACGCCTTGAGCCTAAGCCAGGGATTCAGCTCTCATCTCGAGACGATTTGGGGTACACAGAGCTTTCCTCGAGTTGCTGTGCTGAAGTTGGTGTTCCTCTAGACTTGGGACAGTGTTCTCTGGGCATCTCTGGAGTTGCCTGAAGGAAGTCGAGCCACCGGTCGTGTTGAATGGGGAACGGGGAATGGCTCTGGAGTCAATGCAGGGGAATCGGGCCTCATCTCGACTTGATTTGTGGCACCTGGAGCTGCTTTGCGTTGCTGGGGTGACCTCAGGGTCCGTCTAGACTGGTGACAGTGTTCTTGGGGACTGGCTCGAGATCCATTAAGCATGTCGAAGCTCCTGACTTGTTTGAATGGGATCACGGAATAGCTCTGCATGCACTGCAGGGGAATGGGGCCTCATCTCGCCTCTAGGGGGAAGTCTCATGGTTTTTCTCAAGTTGCGGCGGGGACCTGGGGTATGTTCTCGACTTACGGCGGGGATGGCCCTTCAAAACACGAGTTTCTTCCGTGACGTCAGGACTCCTGTCTAGTAACGAGGGACACCTCAGCAATCTCTTCGAGGCTTGGCACTGCAAAAGGGACGCTTCTCGAGGTGAGCCAGGGCACCCAAGGACCCTTTCCAGTAGCCACAGGGATTTTGGGATTCCTATAAGTATTCAAGAGGAGTCAGGCATCGTCACCTTTTGAAGCAATGAACTCCGCGTGCCTCTCGAGGTGTCAGCGGGATGTGAGGATTCCGTCAAAATGAGGCAGGGACCTAGGGCTTTCTCTAAGGTCTCCACAGGGGATTCAGACATCCCTTCATGTTGTGAGATGAAAGACGAGCCTGTATTCAAGCCACTGCAAGGAAATCCGGCCTCCTTTCAAGTTAGGGCTTCTCGCTGTATATTCCCCTTGAGGCAGCAAAATCGGGGTTCCTCCCACATACCTATTGCTGAGAGAAGCCTCCTCCTGAGGTGCTTCTGGAAAGGTGGCATACGTCTTGAGCCTAAGCCAGGGAATCAGCTATCATCTCGAGACGATTTGGGGTACACAGAACATTCCTCGAGTTGCTGTGCTGAAGTTGGTGGTCCTCTAGACATGGGACAGTGTTCTCGGGGCATATCTGGAGTTGCCGGAAGGAAGTCGAGCCACCAGTCGTGTTGAATGTGGAACAAGGAATGGCTCTGGAGTCAATGTAGGGGAATCCGGCCTCATCTCGAGTTGATTTGGGGCACATGGAGCAGCTTTGCATTGCTGGGTGACCTCAGGGTCCGTCTAGACTGGTGACAGTGTTCTTGGGGACTGTCTCGAGATCCATTAAGCAAGTCGAAGCTCCTGACTTGTTTGAATGGGATCACGGAATAGCTCTGCATGCACTGCAGGGGAATGGGGCCTCATCTCGCCTCTAGGGGGAAGTCTCATGGTTTTTCTCGAGTTGCGGCGGGGACCTGGGGTATGTTCTCGACTTACGGCGGGGATGGCCCTTCAAAACACGAGTTTCTTCCGTGACGTCAGGACTCCTGTCTAGTAACGAGGGACACGTCAGCAATCTCTTCGAGGCTTGGCAGGGCAAAAGGGACGCTTCTCGAGGTGAGCCAGGGCACCCAAGGACCCTTTCCAGTAGCCACAGGGATTTTGGGATTCCTATAAGTATTCAAGAGGAGTCAGGCATCGTCACCTTTTGAATCAATAAACTCCGCGTGCCTCTCGAGGTGTCAGCGGGATGTGAGGATTCCGTCAAAATGAGGCAGGGACCTAGGGCTTTCTCTAAGGTCTCCACAGGGGATTCAGACATCCCTTCATGTTGTGAGATGAAAGACGAGCCTGTATTCAAGCCACTGCAAGGAAATCCGGCCTCCTTTCAAGTTAGGGCTTCTCGCTGTATATTCCCCTTGAGGCAGCAAACTCGGGGTCCCTCCCACATACCTATTGCTGAGAGAAGCCTCCTCCTGAGGTGCTTCTGGAAAGGTGGCATACGTCTTGAGCCTAAGCCAGGGAATCAGCTCTCATCTCGAGACGATTTGGGGTACACGGAGCATTCCTCGAGTTGCTGGGCTGAAGTTGGTGGTCCTCTAGACTTGGGACAGTGTTCTCGGGGCATATCTGGAGTTGCCTGAAGGAAGTCGAGCCACCGGTCGTGTTGAATGGGGAACATGGAATGGCTCTGGAGTCAATGCAGGGGAATCCGGCCTCATCTCGAGTTGATTTGGGGCACATGGAGCTGCTTTGCATTGCTGGGTGACCTCAGGGTCCGTCTAGACTGGTGACAGTGTTCTTGGGGACTGTCTCGAGATCCATTTAGCAAGTCGAAGCTCCTGACTTGTTTGAATGGGATCACGGAATAGCTCTGCATGCACTGCAGGGGAATGGGGCCTCATCTCGCCTCTAGGGGGAAATCTCATGGTTTTTCTCGAGTTGCGGCGGGGACCTGGGGTATGTTCTCGACTTACGGCGGGGATGGCCCTTCAAAACACGAGTTTCTTCAGTGACGTCAGGACTCCTGTCTAGTAATGAGGGACACCTCAGCAATCTCTTCGAGGCTTGGCCGGGCAAAAGGGACGCTTCTCGAGGTGAGCCAAGGCACCCAAGGACCCTTTCCAGTAGCCACAGGGATTTTGGGATTCCTATCAGTATTCAAGAGGAGTCAGGCATCGTCACCTTTTGAAGCAATGAACTCTGCGTGCCTCTCGAGGTGTCAGGGGGATGTGAGGTATTCCGTCAAAATGAGGCAGGGACCTAGGGCTTCCTCTAAGGTCTCCACAGGGGATTCAGAAATCCCTTCATGTTGTCAGATCAAAGACTAGCCTGTATTCAAGCCACTGCAAGGAAATCTGGCCTCCGCTCACATTAGGGCTTCTCCCTGTGTATTCCCCTTGAGGAAGCAAACTCGGGGTCCCTCCCACATACCTATTGCTGAGAGAAGCCTCCTCCTGAGGTGCTTCTGGAAAGGTGGCATACGTCTTGAGCCTAAGCCAGGGAATCAGCTCTCATCTCGGAATGATTTGGGGTACACGGAGCATTCCTCTGGTTGCTGTGCTGAAATTGGTGCTCCTCTAGACTTGGGACAGTGTTCTCGGGGCATCTCTGGAGTTGCCTGAAGGAAGTCGAGCCACCGGTCGTGTTGAATGGGGAACGGGGAATGGCTCTGGAGTCAATGCAGGGGAATCGGGCCTCATCTCGAGTTGATTTGGGGCACATGGAGCAGCTTTGCGTTGCTGGGGTGACCTCAGGGTCCGTCTAGACTGGTGACAGTGTTCTTGGGGACTGTCTCGAGATCCATTAAGCACGTCGAAGCTCCTGACTTGTTTGAATGGGATCACGGAATAGCTCTGCATGCACTGCAGGGGAATGGGGCCTCATCTCGCCTCTAGGGGGAAGTCTCATGGTTTTTCTCGAGTTGCGGCGGGGACCTGGGGTATGTTCTCGACTTACGGAGGGGATGGCCCTTAAAAACCCGAGTTTCTTCAGTGACGTCAGGACTCCTGTCTAGTAACGAGGGACACCTCAGGAATCTCTTCGAGGCTTGGCAGGGCAAAAGGGACGCTTCTCGAAGTGAGGCAGGGCACCCAAGGACCCTTTCCAGTAGCCACAGGGATTTTGGGATTCCTATAAGTATTCAAGAGGAGTCAGGCATCGTCACCTTTTGAAGCAATGAACTCCGCGTGCCTCTCGAGGTGTCAGCGGGATGTGAGGATTCCGTCAAAATGAGGCAGGGACCTAGGGCCTTCTCTAAGGTCTCCACAGGGGATTCAGACATCCCTTCATGTTGTGAGATGAAAGACGAGCCTGTATTCAAGCCACTGCAAGGAAATCCGGCCTCCTTTCAAGTTAGGGCTTCTCGCTGTATATTCCCCTTGAGGCAGCAAACTCGGGGTCCCTCCCACATACCTTTTGCTGAGAGAAGCCTCCTCCTGAGGTGCTTCTGGAAAGGTGGCATACGTCTTGAGCCTAAGCCAGGGAATCAGCTCTCATCTCGAGACGATTTGGGGTACACAGAGCATTCCTCGAGTTGCTGTGCTGAAGTTGGTGGTCCTCTAGACTTGGGACACTGTTCTCGGGGCATCTCTGGAGTTGCCTGAAGGAAGTCGAGCCACCGGTCGTGTTGAATGGGGAACAAGGAATGGCTCTGGAGTCAATGCAGGGGAATCCGGCCTCATCTCGAGTTGATTTGGGGCACATGGAGCTGCTTTGCATTGCTGGGTGACCTCAGGGTCCGTCTAGACTGGTGACAGTGTTCTTGGGGACTGTCTCGAGATCCATTAAGCAAGTCGAAGCTCCTGACTTGTTTGAATGGGATCACGGAATAGCTCTGCATGCACTGCAAGGGAATGGGGCCTCATCTCGCCTCTAGGGGGAAGTCTCATGGTTTTTCTCGAGTTGCGGCGGGGACCTGGGGTATGTTCTCGACTTACGGCGGGGATGGCCCTTCAAAACACGAGTTTCTTCCGTGACGTCAGGACTCCTGTCTAGTAACGAGGGACACCTCAGCAATCTCTTCTAGGCTTGGCAGGGCAAAAGGGACGCTTCTCGAGGTGAGCCAGGGCAACCAAGGACCCTTTCCAGTAGCCACAGGGATTTTGGGATTCCTATCAGTATTCAAGAGGAGTCAGGCATCGTCACCTTTTGAAGCAATGAACTCCGCGTGCCTCTCGAGGTGTCAGCGGGATGTGAGGATTCCGTCAAAATGAGGCAGGGACCTAGGGCTTACTCTAAGGTCTCCACAGGGGATTCAGACATCCCTTCATGTTGTGAGATGAAAGACGAGCCTGTATTCAAGCCACTGCAAGGAAATCCGGCCTCCTTTCAAGTTAGGGCTTCTCGCTGTATATTCCCCTTGAGGCAGCAAACTCGGAGTCCCTCCCACATACCTATTGCTGAGAGAAGCCTCCTCCTGAGGTGCTTCTGGAAAGTTGGCATACGTCTTGAGCCTAAGCCAGGGATTCAGCTCTCATCTTGAGACGATTTGTGGTACACAGAGCATTCCTCGAGTTGCTGTGCTGAAGTTGGTGTTCCTCTAGACTTGGGACAGTGTTCTCTGGGCATCTCTGGAGTTGCCTGAAGGAAGTCGAGCCACCGGTCGTGTTGAATGGGGAACGGGGAATGGCTCTGGAGTCAATGCAGGGGAATCGGGCCTCATCTCGAGTTGATTTGTGGCACCTGGAGCTGCTTTGCATTGCTGGGGTGACCTCAGGGTCCGTCTAGACTGGTGACAGTGTTCTTGGGGACTGCCTCGAGATCCATTAAGCAAGTCGAAGCTCCTGACTTGTTTGAATGGGATCACGGAATACCTCTGCATGCACTGCAGGGGAATGGGGCCTCATCTCGCCTCTAGGGGGAAGTCTCATGGTTTTTCTCGAGTTGCGGCGGGGAACTGGGGTATGTTCTCAACTTACGGCGGGGATGGCCCTTCAAAACACGAGTTTCTTCAGTGACGTCAGGACTCCTGTCTAGTAACGAGGGACACGTCAGCAATCTCTTCGAGGCTTGGCAGGGCAAAAGGGACGCTTCTCGAGGTGAGCCAGGGCACCCAAGGACCCTTTCCAGTAGCCACAGGGATTTTGGGATTCCTATAAGTATTCAAGAGGAGTCAGGCATCGTCACCTTTTGAAGCTATGAAATCCGCGTGCCTCTCGAGGTGTCAGCGGGATGTGAGGATTCCGTCAAAATGAGGCAGGGACCTAGGGCTTTCTCTAAGGTCTCCACAGGGGATTCAGACATCCCTTCATGTTGTGAGATGAAAGACGAGCCTGTATTCAAGCCACTGCAAGGAAATCCGGCCTCCTTTCAAGTTAGGGCTTCTCGCTGTATATTCCCCTTGAGGCAGCAAACTCGGGGTCCCTCCCACATACCTATTGCTGAGAGAAGCCTCCTCCTGAGGTGCTTCTGGAAAGGTGGCATACGTCTTGAGCCTTAGCCAGGGAATCAGCTCTAATCTCGAGACGATTTGGGGTACACAGAGCATTCCTCGAGTTGCTGTGCTGAAGTTGGTGGTCCTCTAGACTTGGGACAGTGTTCTCGGGGCATATCTGGAGTTGCCTGAAGGAAGTCGAGCCACCGGTCGTGTTGAATGGGGAACAAGGAATAGCTCTGGAGTCAATGCAGGGGAATCCGGCATCATCTCGAGTTGATTTGGGGCACATGGAGCTGCTTTGCATTGCTGGGTGACCTCAGGGCCCGTCTAGACTGGTGACAGTGTTCTTGGGGACTGCCTCGAGATCCATTAAGCAAGTCGAAGCTCCTGACTTGTTTGAATGGGATCACGGAATAGCTCTGCATGCACTGCAGGGGAATGGGGCCTCATCTCGCCTCTAGGGGGAAATCTCATGGTTTTTCTCGAGTTTCGGCGGGGACCTGGGGTATGTTCTCGACTTACGGCGGGGATGGCCCTTCAAAACACGAGTTTCTTCAGTGACGTCAGGACTCCTGTCTAGTAATGAGGGACACCTCAGCAATCTCTTCGAGGCTTGGCCGGGCAAAAGGGACGCTTCTCGAGGTGAGCCAGGGCACCCAAGGACCCTTTCCAGTAGCCACAGGGATTTTGGGATTCCTATAAGTATTCAAGAGGAGTCAGGCATCGTCACCTTTTGAAGCAATGAACTCTGCGTGCCTCTCGAGGTGTCAGGGGGATGTGAGGTATTCCGTCAAAATGAGGCAGGGACCTAGGGCTTCCTCTAAGGTCTCCACAGGGGATTCAGAAATCCCTTCATGTTGTCAGATCAAAGACTAGCCTGTATTCAAGCCACTGCAAGGAAATCTGGCCTCCGCTCACATTAGGGCTTCTCCCTGTGTATTCCCCTTGAGGCAGCAAACTCGGGGTCCCTCCCACATACCTATTGCTGAGAGGAGCCTCCTCCTGAGGTGCTTCTGGAAAGTTGGCATACGTCTTGAGCCTAAGCCAGGGAATCAGCTCTCATTTCGGGATGATTTGGGGTACACGGAGCATTCCTCTGGTTGCTGTGCTGAAATTGGTGCTCCTCTAGACTTGGGACAGTGTTCTCGGGGCATCTCTGGAGTTGCCTGAAGGAAGTCGAGCCACCGGTCGTGTTGAATGGGGAACGGGGAATGGCTCTGGAGTCAATGCAGGGGAATCGGGCCTCATCTCGAGTTGATTTGGGGCACATGGAGCTGCTTTGCATTGCTGGGTGACCTCAGGGTCCGTCTAGACTGGTGACAGTGTTCTTGGGGACTGTCTCGAGATCCATTAAGCAAGTCGAAGCTCCTGACTTGTTTGAATGGGATCACGGAATAGCTCTGCATGCACTGCAAGGGAATGGGGCCTCATCTCGCCTCTAGGGGGAAGTCTCATGGTTTTTCTCGAGTTGCGGCGGGGACCTGGGGTATGTTCTCGACTTACGGCGGGGATGGCCCTTCAAAACACGAGTTTCTTCCGTGACGTCAGGACTCCTGTCTAGTAACGAGGGACACCTCAGCAATCTCTTCTAGGCTTGGCAGGGCAAAAGGGACGCTTCTCGAGGTGAGCCAGGGCACCCAAGGACCCTTTCCAGTAGCCACAGGGATTTTGGGATTCCTATCAGTATTCAAGAGGAGTCAGGCATCGTCACCTTTTGAAGCAATGAACTCCGCGTGCCTCTCGAGGTGTCAGCGGGATGTGAGGATTCCGTCAAAATGAGGCAGGGACCTAGGGCTTACTCTAAGGTCTCCACAGGGGATTCAGACATCCCTTCATGTTGTGAGATGAAAGACGAGCCTGTATTCAAGCCACTGCAAGGAAATCCGGCCTCCTTTCAAGTTAGGGCTTCTCGCTGTATATTCCCCTTGAGGCAGCAAACTCGGAGTCCCTCCCACATACCTATTGCTGAGAGAAGCCTCCTCCTGAGGTGCTTCTGGAAAGTTGGCATACGTCTTGAGCCTAAGCCAGGGATTCAGCTCTCATCTTGAGACGATTTGTGGTACACAGAGCATTCCTCGAGTTGCTGTGCTGAAGTTGGTGCTCCTCTAGACTTGGGACAGTGTTCTCGGGGCATCTCTGGAGTTGCCTGAAGGAAGTCGAGCCACCGGTCGTGTTGAATGGGGAACGGGGAATGGCTCTGGAGTCAATGCAGGGGAATCGGGCCTCATCTCGAGTTGATTTGGGGCACATGGAGCAGCTTTGCGTTGCTGGGGTGACCTCAGGGTCCGTCTAGACTGGTGACAGTGTTCTTGGGGACTGTCTCGAGATCCATTAAGCACGTCGAAGCTCCTGACTTGTTTGAATGGGATCACGGAATAGCTCTGCATGCACTGCAGGGGAATGGGGCCTCATCTCGCCTCTAGGGGGAAGTCTCATGGTTTTTCTCGAGTTGCGGCGGGGACCTGGGGTATGTTCTCGACTTACGGAGGGGATGGCCCTTAAAAACCCGAGTTTCTTCAGTGACGTCAGGACTCCTGTCTAGTAACGAGGGACACGTCAGGAATCTCTTCGAGGCTTGGCAGGGCAAAAGGGACGCTTCTCGAAGTGAGGCAGGGCACCCATGGACCCTTTGCAGTAGCCACAGGGATTTTGGAATTCCTATAAGTATTCAAGAGGAGTCAGGCATCGTCACCTTTTGAAGCAATGAACTCCGCGTGCCTCTCGAGGTGTCAGCGGGATGTGAGGATTCCGTCAAAATGAGGCAGGGACCTAGGGCTTTCTCTAAGGTCTCCACAGGGGATTCAGACATCCCTTCATGTTGTGAGATGAAAGACGAGCCTGTATTCAAGCCACTGCAAGGAAATCCGGCCTCCTTTCAAGTTAGGGCTTCTCGCTGTATATTCCCCTTGAGGCAGCAAACTCGGGGTCCCTCCCACATATCTTTTGCTGAGAGAAGCCTCCTCCTGAGGTGCTTCTGGAAAGGTGGCATACGTCTTGAGCCTAAGCCAGGGAATCAGCTCTCATCTCGAGACGATTTGGGGTACACAGAGCATTCCTCGAGTTGCTGTGCTGAAGTTGGTGGTCCTCTAGACTTGGGACACTGTTCTCGGGGCATCTCTGGAGTTGCCTGAAGGAAGTCGAGCCACCGGTCGTGTTGAATGGGGAACAAGGAATGGCTCTGGAGTCAATGCAGGGGAATCCGGCCTCATCTCGAGTTGATTTGGGGAACATGGAGCTGCTTTGCATTGCTGGGTGACCTCAGGGTCCGTCTAGACTGGTGACAGTGTTCTTGGGGACTGTCTCGAGATCCATTAAGCAAGTCGAAGCTCCTGACTTGTTTGAATGGGATCACGGAATAGCTCTGCATGCACTGCAAGGGAATGGGGCCTCATCTCGCCTCTAGGGGGAAGTCTCATGGTTTTTCTCGAGTTGCGGCGGGGACCTGGGGTATGTTCTCGACTTACGGCGGGGATGGCCCTTCAAAACACGAGTTTCTTCCGTGACGTCAGGACTCCTGTCTAGTAACGAGGGACACCTCAGCAATCTCTTCGAGGCTTGGCAGGGCAAAAGGGACGCTTCTCGTGGTGAGCCAGGGCACCCAAGGACCCTTTCCAGTAGCCACAGGGATTTTGGGATTCCTATCAGTATTCAAGAGGAGTCAGGCATCGTCACCTTTTGAAGCAATGAACTCCGCGTGCCTCTCGAGGTGTCAGCGGGATGTGAGGATTCCGTCAAAATGAGGCAGGGACCTAGGGCTTACTCTAAGGTCTCCACAGGGGATTCAGACATCCCTTCATGTTGTGAGATGAAAGACGAGCCTGTATTCAAGCCACTGCAAGGAAATCCGGCCTCCTTTCAAGTTAGGGCTTCTCGCTGTATATTCCCCTTGAGGCAGCAAACTCGGAGTCCCTCCCACATACCTATTGCTGAGAGAAGCCTCCTCCTGAGGTGCTTCTGGAAAGTTGGCATACGTCTTGAGCCTAAGCCAGGGATTCAGCTCTCATCTTGAGACGATTTGTGGTACACAGAGCATTCCTCGAGTTGCTGTGCTGAAGTTGGTGTTCCTCTAGACTTGGGACAGTGTTCTCTGGGCATCTCTGGAGTTACCTGAAGGAAGTCGAGCCACCGGTCGTGTTGAATGGGGAACGGGGAATGGCTCTGGAGTCAATGCAGGGGAATCGGGCCTCATCTCGAGTTGATTTGTGGCACCTGGAGCTGCTTTGCATTGCTGGGGTGACCTCAGGGTCCGTCTAGACTGGTGACAGTGTTCTTGGGGACTGCCTCGAGATCCATTAAGCAAGTCGAAGCTCCTGACTTGTTTGAATGGGATCACGGAATACCTCTGCATGCACTGCAGGGGAATGGGGCCTCATCTCGCCTCTAGGGGGAAGTCTCATGGTTTTTCTCGAGTTGCGGCGGGGAACTGGGGTATGTTCTCAACTTACGGCGGGGATGGCCCTTCAAAACACGAGTTTCTTCAGTGACGTCAGGACTCCTGTCTAGTAACGAGGGACACGTCAGCAATCTCTTCGAGGCTTGGCAGGGCAAAAGGGACGCTTCTCGAGGTGAGCCAGGGCACCCAAGGACCCTTTCCAGTAGCCACAGGGATTTTGGGATTCCTATAAGTATTCAAGAGGAGTCAGGCATCGTCACCTTTTGAAGCTATGAACTCCGCGTGCCTCTCGAGGTGTCAGCGGGATGTGAGGATTCCGTCAAAATGAGGCAGGGACCTAGGGCTTTCTCTAAGGTCTCCACAGGGGATTCAGACATCCCTTCATGTTGTGAGATGAAAGACGAGCCTGTATTCAAGCCACTGCAAGGAAATCCGGCCTCCTTTCAAGTTAGGGCTTCTCGCTGTATATTCCCCTTGAGGCAGCAAACTCGGGGTCCCTCCCACATACCTATTGCTGAGAGAAGCCTCCTCCTGAGGTGCTTCTGGAAAGGTGGCATACGTCTTGAGCCTAAGCCAGGGAATCAGCTCTAATCTCCAGACGATTTGGGGTACACAGAGCATTCCTCGAGTTGCTGTGCTGAAGTTGGTGGTCCTCTAGACTTGGGACAGTGTTCTCGGGGCATATCTGGAGTTGCCTGAAGGAAGTCGAGCCACCGGTCGTGTTGAATGGGGAACAAGGAATGGCTCTGGAGTCAATGCAGGGGAATCCGGCCTCATCTCGAGTTGATTTGGGGCACATGGAGCTGCTTTGCATTGCTGGGTGACCTCAGGGTCCGTCTAGACTGGTGACAGTGTTCTTGGGGACTGTCTCGAGATCCATTTAGCAAGTCGAAGCTCCTGACTTGTTTGAATTGGATCATGGAATAGCTCTGCATGCACTGCAGGGGAATGGGGCCTCATCTCGCCTCTAGGGGTAAATCTCAGGTTTTTTCTCGAGTTTCGGCGGGGACCTGGGGTATGTTCTCGACTTACGGCGGGGATGGCCCTTCAAAACACGAGTTTCTTCAGTGACGTCAGGACTCCTGTCTAGTAATGAGGGACACCTCAGCAATCTCTTCGAGGCTTGGCAGGGCAAAAGGGACGCTTCTCGAGGTGAGCCAGGGCACCCAAGGACCCTTTCCAGTAGCCACAGGGATTTTGGGATTCCTATAAGTATTCAAGAGGAGTCAGGCATCGTCACCTTTTGAAGCTATGAAATCCGCGTGCCTCTCGAGGTGTCAGCGGGATGTGAGGATTCCGTCAAAATGAGGCAGGGACCTAGGGCTTTCTCTAAGGTCTCCACAGGGGATTCAGACATCCCTTCATGTTGTGAGATGAAAGACGAGCCTGTATTCAAGCCACTGCAAGGAAATCCGGCCTCCTTTCAAGTTAGGGCTTCTCGCTGTATATTCCCCTTGAGGCAGCAAACTCGGGGTCCCTCCCACATACCTATTGCTGAGAGAAGCCTCCTCCTGAGGTGCTTCTGGAAAGGTGGCATACGTCTTGAGCCTTAGCCAGGGAATCAGCTCTAATCTCGAGACGATTTGGGGTACACAGAGCATTCCTCGAGTTGCTGTGCTGAAGTTGGTGGTCCTCTAGACTTGGGACAGTGTTCTCGGGGCATATCTGGAGTTGCCTGAAGGAAGTCGAGCCACCGGTCGTGTTGAATGGGGAACAAGGAATAGCTCTGGAGTCAATGCAGGGGAATCCGGCATCATCTCGAGTTGATTTGGGGCACATGGAGCTGCTTTGCATTGCTGGGTGACCTCAGGGCCCGTCTAGACTGGTGACAGTGTTCTTGGGGACTGCCTCGAGATCCATTAAGCAAGTCGAAGCTCCTGACTTGTTTGAATGGGATCACGGAATAGCTCTGCATGCACTGCAGGGGAATGGGGCCTCATCTCGCCTCTAGGGGGAAATCTCATGGTTTTTCTCGAGTTTCGGCGGGGACCTGGGGTATGTTCTCGACTTACGGCGGGGATGGCCCTTCAAAACACGAGTTTCTTCAGTGACGTCAGGACTCCTGTCTAGTAATGAGGGACACCTCAGCAATCTCTTCGAGGCTTGGCCGGGCAAAAGGGACGCTTCTCGAGGTGAGCCAGGGCACCCAAGGACCCTTTCCAGTAGCCACAGGGATTTTGGGATTCCTATAAGTATTCAAGAGGAGTCAGGCATCGTCACCTTTTGAAGCAATGAACTCTGCGTGCCTCTCGAGGTGTCAGGGGGATGTGAGGTATTCCGTCAAAATGAGGCAGGGACCTAGGGCTTCCTCTAAGGTCTCCACAGGGGATTCAGAAATCCCTTCATGTTGTCAGATCAAAGACTAGCCTGTATTCAAGCCACTGCAAGGAAATCTGGCCTCCGCTCACATTAGGGCTTCTCCCTGTGTATTCCCCTTGAGGCAGCAAACTCGGGGTCCCTCCCACATACCTATTGCTGAGAGAAGCCTCCTCCTGAGGTGCTTCTGGAAAGTTGGCATACGTCTTGAGCCTAAGCCAGGGAATCAGCTCTCATTTCGGGATGATTTGGGGTACACGGAGCATTCCTCTGGTTGCTGTGCTGAAATTGGTGCTCCTCTAGACTTGGGACAGTGTTCTCGGGGCATCTCTGGAGTTGCCTGAAGGAAGTCGAGCCACCGGTCGTGTTGAATGGGGAACGGGGAATGGCTCTGGAGTCAATGCAGGGGAATCGGGCCTCATCTTGAGTTGATTTGGGGCACATGGAGCAGCTTTGCGTTGCTGGGGTGACCTCAGGGTCCGTCTAGACTGGTGACAGTGTTCTTGGGGACTGTCTCGAGATCCATTAAGCACGTCGAAGCTCCTGACTTGTTTGAATGGGATCACGGAATAGCTCTGCATGCACTGCAGGGGAATGGGGCCTCATCTCGCCTCTAGGGGGAAGTCTCATGGTTTTTCTCGAGTTGCGGCGGGGACCTGGGGTATGTTCTCGACTTACGGAGGGGATGGCCCTTAAAAACCCGAGTTTCTTCAGTGACGTCAGGACTCCTGTCTAGTAACGAGGGACACGTCAGGAATCTCTTCGAGGCTTGGCAGGGCAAAAGGGACGCTTCTCGAAGTGAGGCAGGGCACCCATGGACCCTTTCCAGTAGCCACAGGGATTTTGGAATTCCTATAATATTCAAGAGGAGTCAGGCATCGTCACCTTTTGAAGCAATGAACTCCGCGTGCCTCTCGAGGTGTCAGCGGGATGTGAGGATTCCGTCAAAATGAGGCAGGGACCTAGGGCTTTCTCTAAGGTCTCCACAGGGGATTCAGACATCCCTTCATGTTGTGAGATGAAAGACGAGCCTGTATTCAAGCCACTGCAAGGAAATCCGGCCTCCTTTCAAGTTAGGGCTTCTCGCTGTATATTCCCCTTGAGGCAGCAAACTCGGGGTCCCTCCCACATATCTTTTGCTGAGAGAAGCCTCCTCCTGAGGTGCTTCTGGAAAGGTGGCATACGTCTTGAGCCTAAGCCAGGGAATCAGCTCTCATCTCGAGACGATTTGGGGTACACAGAGCATTCCTCGAGTTGCTGTGCTGAAGTTGGTGGTCCTCTAGACTTGGGACACTGTTCTCGGGGCATCTCTGGAGTTGCCTGAAGGAAGTCGAGCCACCGGTCGTGTTGAATGGGGAACAAGGAATGGCTCTGGAGTCAATGCAGGGGAATCCGGCCTCATGTCGAGTTGATTTGGGGAACATGGAGCTGCTTTGCATTGCTGGGTGACCTCAGGGTCCGTCTAGACTGGTGACAGTGTTCTTGGGGACTGTCTCGAGATCCATTAAGCAAGTCGAAGCTCCTGACTTGTTTGAATGGGATCACGGAATAGCTCTGCATGCACTGCAAGGGAATGGGGCCTCATCTCGCCTCTAGGGGGAAGTCTCATGGTTTTTCTCGAGTTGCGGCGGGGACCTGGGGTATGTTCTCGACTTACGGCGGGGATGGCCCTTCAAAACACGAGTTTCTTCCGTGACGTCAGGACTCCTGTCTAGTAACGAGGGACACCTCAGCAATCTCTTCGAGGCTTGGCAGGGCAAAAGGGACGCTTCTCGTGGTGAGCCAGGGCACCCAAGGACCCTTTCCAGTAGCCACAGGGATTTTGGGATTCCTATCAGTATTCAAGAGGAGTCAGGCATCGTCACCTTTTGAAGCAATGAACTCCGCGTGCCTCTCGAGGTGTCAGCGGGATGTGAGGATTCCGTCAAAATGAGGCAGGGACCTAGGGCTTACTCTAAGGTCTCCACAGGGGATTCAGACATCCCTTCATGTTGTGAGATGAAAGACGAGCCTGTATTCAAGCCACTGCAAGGAAATCCGGCCTCCTTTCAAGTTAGGGCTTCTCGCTGTATATTCCCCTTGAGGCAGCAAACTCGGAGTCCCTCCCACATACCTATTGCTGAGAGAAGCCTCCTCCTGAGGTGCTTCTGGAAAGTTGGCATACGTCTTGAGCCTAAGCCAGGGATTCAGCTCTCATCTTGAGACGATTTGTGGTACACAGAGCATTCCTCGAGTTGCTGTGCTGAAGTTGGTGTTCCTCTAGACTTGGGACAGTGTTCTCTGGGCATCTCTGGAGTTACCTGAAGGAAGTCGAGCCACCGGTCGTGTTGAATGGGGAACGGGGAATGGCTCTGGAGTCAATGCAGGGGAATCGGGCCTCATCTCGAGTTGATTTGTGGCACCTGGAGCTGCTTTGCATTGCTGGGGTGACCTCAGGGTCCGTCTAGACTGGTGACAGTGTTCTTGGGGACTGCCTCGAGATCCATTAAGCAAGTCGAAGCTCCTGACTTGTTTGAATGGGATCACGGAATACCTCTGCATGCACTGCAGGGGAATGGGGCCTCATCTCGCCTCTAGGGGGAAGTCTCATGGTTTTTCTCGAGTTGCGGCGGGGAACTGGGGTATGTTCTCAACTTACGGCGGGGATGGCCCTTCAAAACACGAGTTTCTTCAGTGACGTCAGGACTCCTGTCTAGTAACGAGGGACACGTCAGCAATCTCTTCGAGGCTTGGCAGGGCAAAAGGGACGCTTCTCGAGGTGAGCCAGGGCACCCAAGGACCCTTTCCAGTAGCCACAGGGATTTTGGGATTCCTATAAGTATTCAAGAGGAGTCAGGCATCGTCACCTTTTGAAGCTATGAACTCCGCGTGCCTCTCGAGGTGTCAGCGGGATGTGAGGATTCCGTCAAAATGAGGCAGGGACCTAGGGCTTTCTCTAAGGTCTCCACAGGGGATTCAGACATCCCTTCATGTTGTGAGATGAAAGACGAGCCTGTATTCAAGCCACTGCAAGGAAATCCGGCCTCCTTTCAAGTTAGGGCTTCTCGCTGTATATTCCCCTTGAGGCAGCAAACTCGGGGTCCCTCCCACATACCTATTGCTGAGAGAAGCCTCCTCCTGAGGTGCTTCTGGAAAGGTGGCATACGTCTTGAGCCTAAGCCAGGGAATCAGCTCTAATCTCCAGACGATTTGGGGTACACAGAGCATTCCTCGAGTTGCTGTGCTGAAGTTGGTGGTCCTCTAGACTTGGGACAGTGTTCTCGGGGCATATCTGGAGTTGCCTGAAGGAAGTCGAGCCACCGGTCGTGTTGAATGGGGAACAAGGAATGGCTCTGGAGTCAATGCAGGGGAATCGGGCCTCATCTCGAGTTGATTTGGGGCACATGGAGCTGCTTTGCATTGCTGGGTGACCTCAGGGTCCGTCTAGACTGGTGACAGTGTTCTTGGGGACTGTCTCGAGATCCATTTAGCAAGTCGAAGCTCCTGACTTGTTTGAATTGGATCATGGAATAGCTCTGCATGCACTGCAGGGGAATGGGGCCTCATCTCGCCTCTAGGGGTAAATCTCAGGTTTTTTCTCGAGTTTCGGCGGGGACCTGGGGTATGTTCTCGACTTACGGCGGGGATGGCCCTTCAAAACACGAGTTTCTTCAGTGACGTCAGGACTCCTGTCTAGTAATGAGGGACACCTCAGCAATCTCTTCGAGGCTTGGCAGGGCAAAAGGGACGCTTCTCGAGGTGAGCCAGGGCACCCAAGGACCCTTTCCAGTAGCCACAGGGATTTTGGTATTCCTATCAGTATTCAAGAGGAGTCAGGCATCGTCACCTTTCGAAGCTATGAACTCCGCGTGCCTCTCGAGGTGTCAGCGGGATGTGAGGATTCCGTCAAAATGAGGCAGGGACCTAGGGCTTTCTCTAAGGTCTCCACAGGGGATTCAGACATCCCTTCATGTTGTGAGATGAAAGACGAGCCTGTATTCAAGCCACTGCAATTAAATCCGGCCTCCTTTCAAGTTACGGCTTCTCGCTGTATATTCCCATTGAGGCAGCAAACTCGGGGTCCCTCCCACATACCTATTGCTGAGAGAAGCCTCCTCCTGAGGTGCTTCTGGAAAGGTGGCATACGTCTTGAGCCTAAGCCAGGGAATCAGCTCTAATCTCGAGACGATTTGGGGTACACAGAGCATTCCTCGAGTTGCTGTGCTGAAGTTGGTGGTCCTCTAGACTTGGGACAGTGTTCTCGGGGCATATCTGGAGTTGCCTGAAGGAAGTCGAGCCACCGGTCGTGTTGAATGGGGAACAAGGAATGGCTCTGGAGTCAATGCAGGGGAATCCGGCCTCATCTCGAGTTGATTTGGGGCACATGGAGCTGCTTTGCATTGCTGGGTGACCTCAGGGTCCGTCTAGACTGGTGACAGTGTTCTTGGGGACTGTTTCGAGATCCATTTAGCAAGTCGAAGCTCCTGACTTGTTTGAATTGGATCATGGAATAGCTCTGCATGCACTGCAGGGGAATGGGGCCTCATCTCGCCTCTAGGGGGAAGTCTCATGGTTTTTCTCGAGTTGCGGCGGGGACCTGGGGTATGTTCTCGACTTACGGCGGGGCTGGCCTTTCAAAACACGAGTTTCTTCCGTGACGTCAGGACTCCTGTCTAGTAACGAGGGACACCTCAGCAATCTCTTCGAGGCTTGGCAGGGCAAAAGGGACGCTTCTCGAGGTGAGCCAGGGCACCCAAGGACCCTTTCCAGTAGCCACAGGGATTTTGGGATTCTTATCAGTATTCAAGAGGAGTCAGGCATCGTCACCTTTTGAAGCAATGTACTCCGCGTGCCTCTCGACGTGTCAGGGGATGTGAGGTGTTCCGTCAAAATGAGGCAGGGACCTAGGGCTTCCTCTAAGGTCTCCACAGGGGATTCAGACATCCCTTCATGTTGTGAGATGAAAGACGAGCCTGTATTCAAGCCACTGCAAGGAAAACCGGCCTCATTTCAAGTTAGGGCTTCTCGCTGTATATTCCCCTTGAGGCAGCAAACTCCGGGTCCCTCCCACATACCTATTGCTGAGAGAAGCCTCCTCCTGAGGTGCTTCTGGAAAGGTGGCATACGTCTTGAGCCTAAGCCAGGGAATCAGCTCTCATCTCGAGACGATTTGGGGTACACAAAGCATTCCTCGAGTTGCTGTGCTGAAGTTGGTGGTCCTCTAGACTTGGGACAGTGTTCTCGGGGCATCTCTGGAGTTGCCTGAAGGAAGTCGAGCCACCGGTCGCGTTGAATGGGGAACAGGGAATGGCTCTGGAGTCAATGCAGGGGAATTCGGCCTCATCTCGAGTTGATTTGGGGCACATGGAGCTGCTTTGCATTGCTGGGTGACCTCAGGGTCCGTCTAGACTGGTGACAGTGTTCTTGGGGACTGTCTCGAGATCCATTAAGCAAGTCGAAGCTCCTGACTTGTTTGAATGGGATCACGGAATAGCTCTGCATGCACTGCAGGGGAATGGGGCCTCATCTCGCCTCTAGGGGGAAGTCTCATGGTTTTTCTCGAGTTGCGGCGGGGACCTGGGGTATGTTCTCGACTTACGGCAGGGATGGCCCTTCAAAACACGACTTTCTTCAGTGACGTCAGGACTCCTGCCTAGTAACGAGGGACACCTCAGCAATCTCTTCGAGGCTTGGCAGGGCAAAAGGGACGCTTCTCGAGGTGAGCCAGGGCACCCAAGAACCCTTTCCAGTAGCCACAGGGATTTTGGTATTCCTATCAGTATTCAAGAGGAGTCAGGCATCGTCACCTTTTGAAGCAATGAACTCCGCGTGCCTCTCGAGGTGTCAGCGGGATGTGAGGCATTCCGTCAAAATGAGGCAGGGACCTAGGGCTTTCTCTAAGGTCTCCACAGGGGATTCAGACATCCCTTCATGTTGTCATATCAAAGACAAGCCTGTATTCAAGCTACTGCAAGGAAATCCGGCCTCCTTTCAAGTTAGGGCTTCTCGCTGTATATTCCCCTTGAGGCAGCAAACTCGGAGTCCCTCCCACATACCTATTGCTGAGAAGCCTCCTCCTGAGGTGCTTCTGGAAAGTTGGCATACGTCTTGAGCCTAAGCCAGGGAATCAGCTCTCATCTCGAGACGATTTGGGGTACACAGAGCATTCCTCGAGTTGCTGTGCTGAAGTTGGTGTTCCTCTAGACTTGGGACAGTGTTCTCGGGGCATCTCTGGAGTTGCCTGAAGGAAACCGAGCCACCGGTCCTGTTGAATGGGGAACGGGGAATGGCTCTGGAATCAATGCAGGGGAATCGGGCCTCATCTCGAGTTGATTTAGGGCACATGGAGCTGGTTTGCGTTGCTGGGGTGACCTCAGGGTCCCTCTAGACTGGTGACAGTGTTCTTGGGGACTGTCTCGAGATCCATTAAGCAAGTCGAAGCTCCTGACTTGTTTGAATGGGATCACGGAATAGCTCTGCATGCACTGGAGGGGAATGGGGCCTCATCTCGCCTCTAGGGGGAAGTCTCATGGTTTTTCTCGAGTTGCGGCGGGGACCTGGGGTATGTTCTCGACTTACGGCGGGGACGGCCCTTCAAAACACGAGTTTCTTCAGTGACGTCAGGACTCCTGTCTAGTAACGAGTGACACCTCAGCAATCTCTTCGAGGCTTGGCAGGGCAAAAGGGACGCTTCTCGAGGTGAGCCAGGGCACCCAAGGACCCTTTCCAGTAGCCACAGGGATTTTGGGATTCCTATCAGTATTCAAGAGGAGTCAGGCATCGTCACCTTTTGAAGCAATGAACTCCGCGTGCCTCTCGACGTGTCAGCGGGATGTGAGGATTCCGTCAAAATGAGGCAGGGACCTAGGGCTTTCTCTAAGGTCTCCACAGGGGATTCAGACATCCCTTCATGTTGTGAGATGAAAGACGAGCCTGTATTCAAGCCACTAGAAGGAAATCCGGCCTCTTTTCAAGTTAGGGCTTCTCGCTGTATATTCCCCTTGAGGCAGCAAACTCGGAGTCCCTCCCACATACCTATTCCTGAGAGAAGCCTCCTCCTGAGGTGCTTCTGGAAAGTTGGCATACGTCTTGAGCCTAAGCCAGGGATTCAGCTCTCATCTCGAGACGATTTGGGGTACACAGAGCATTCCTCGAGTTGCTGTGCTGAAGTTGGTGTTACTCTAGACTTGGGACAGTGTTCTCGGGGCATCTCTGGAGTTGCCTGAAGGAAGGCGAGCCTCCGTTCGTGTTGCACTAACGGGGAATGGCTCTGGAGTCAATGCAGGGGAATCGGGCCTCATCTCGAGTTGATTTGGGGCACATGGAGCTGCTTTGCGTTGCTGGGGTGACCTCAGGGTCCGTCTAGACTGGTGACAGTGTTCTTGGGGACTGTCTCGAGATCCATTAAGCAAGTCGAAGCTCCTGACTTGTTTGAATGGGATCACGGAATAGCTCTGCATGCACTGCAGGGGAATGGGGCCTCATCTCGCCTCTAGGGGGAAGTCTCATGGTTTTGCTCGAGTTGCGGCGGGGACCTGGGGTATGTTCTCGACTTACGGCGGGGATGGCCCTTCAAAACACGAGTTTCTTCAGTGACGTCAGGACTCCTGTCTAGTAACAAGGGACACCTCAGCAATCTCTTCGAGGCTTGGCAGGGCAAAAGGGACGCTTCTCGAGGTGAGCCAGGGCACCCAAGTACCCTTTCCAGTAGCCACAGGGATTTTGGGATTCCTATCAGTATTCAAGAGGAGTCAGGCATCATCACCTTTTGTAGCAAAGAACTCCGCGTGCCTCTCGATGTGTCAGCGGGATGTGAGGATTCCGTCAAAATGAGGCAGGGACCTAGGGCTTTCTCTAAGGTCTCCACAGGGGATTCAGACATCCCTTCATGTTGTGAGATGAAAGACGAGCCTGTATTCAAGCCACTGCAAGGAAATCCGGCCTCCTTTCAAGTTAGGGCTTCTCGCTGTATATTCCCCTTGAGGCAGCAAACTCGGGGTCCCTCCCACATACCTATTGCTGAGAGAAGCCTCCTCCTGAGGTGCTTCTGAAAATTTGGCATACGTCTTGAGCCTAAGCCAGGGATTCAGCTCTCATCTCGAGACGATTTGGGGTACACAGAGCATTCCTCGAGTTGCTGTGCTGAAGTTGGTGTTCCTCTAGACTTGGGACAGTGTTCTCTGGGCATCTCTGGAGTTGCCTGAAGGAAGTCGAGCCACCGGTCGTGTTGAATGGGGAACGGGGAGTGGCTCTGGAGTCAATGCAGGGGAATCGGGCCTCATCTCGAGTTGATTTGGGGCACCTGGAGCTGCTTTGCGTTGCTCGGGTGACCTCAGGGTCCGTCTAGACTGGTGACAGTGTTCTTGGGGACTGCCTCAAGATCCATTAAGTAAGTCGAAGCTTCTGACTTGTTTGAATGGGATCACGGAATAGCTCTGCATGCACTGCAGGGGAATGGGGCCTCATCTCGCCTCTAGGGGGAAGTCTCATGGTTTTTCTCGAGTTGCGGCGGGGACCTGGGGTATGTTCTCGACTTACGGCGGGGATGGCCCTTCAAAACACGAGTTTCTTCAGTGATGTCAGGACTCCTGTCTAGTAATGAGGGACACCTCAGCAATCTCTTCGAGGCTTGGCAGGGCAAAAGGGACGCTTCTCGAGGTGAGCCAGGGCACCCAAGGACCCTTTCCAGTAGCCACAGGGATTTTGGGATTCCTATAAGTATTCAAGAGGAGTCAGGCATCGTCACCTTTTGAAGCAATGAACTCCGCGTGCCTCTCGAGGTGTCAGGGGGATGTGAGGTATTCCGTCAAAATGAGGCAGGGACCTAGGGCTTCCTCTAAGGTCTCCACAGGGGATTCAGACATCCCTTCATGTTGTGAGATGAAAGACGAGCCTGTATTCAAGCCACTGCAAGGAAATCTGGCCTCCGTTCACATTAGGGCTTCTCCCTGTGTATTCCCCTTGAGGCAGCAAACTCGGGGTCCCTCCCACATACCTATTGCTGAGAGAAGCCTCCTCCTGCGGTGCTTCTGGAAAGTTGGCATACGTCTTGAGCCTAAGCCAGGGAATCAGCTCTCATCTCGAGATGATTTGGGGTACACGGAGCATTCCTCTGGTTGCTGTGCTGAAATTGGTGCTCCTCTAGACTTGGGACAGTGTTCTCGGGGCATCTCTGGAGTTGCCTGAAGGAAGTCGAGCCACCGGTCGTGTTGAATGGGGAACGGGGAATGGCTCTGGAGTCAATGCAGGGGAATCGGGCCTCATCTCGAGTTGATTTGGGGCACATGGAGCAGCTTTGCGTTGCTGGGGTGACCTCAGGGTCCGTCTAGACTGGTGACAGTGTTCTTGGGGACTGTCTCGAGATCCATTAAGCACGTCGAAGCTCCTGACTTGTTTGAATGGGATCACGGAATAGCTCTGCATGCACTGCAGGGGAATGGGGCCTCATCTCGCCTCTAGGGGGAAGTCTCATGGTTTTTCTCGAGTTGCGGCGGGGACCTGGGGTATGTTCTCGACTTACGGCGGGGATGGCCCTTAAAAACCCGAGTTTCTTCAGTGACGTCAGGACTCCTGTCTAGTAACGAGGGACACCTCAGGAATCTCTTTGAGGCTTGGCAGGGCAAAAGGGACGCTTCTCGAAGTGAGGCAGGGCACCCAAGGACCCTTTCCAGTAGCCACAGGGATTTTGGGATTCCTATAAGTATTCAAGAGGAGTCAGGCATCGTCAGCTTTTGAAGCAATGAACTCCGCGTGCCTCTCGAGGTGTCAGTGGGATGTGAGGATTCCGTCAAAATGAGGCAGGGACCTAGGGCTTTCTCTAAGGTCTCCACAGGGGATTCAGACATCCCTTCATGTTGTGAGATGAAAGACGAGCCTGTATTCAAGCCACTGCAAGGAAATCCGGCCTCCTTTCAAGTTAGGGCTTCTCGCTGTATATTCCCCTTGAGGCAGCAAACTCGGGGTCCCTCCCACATACCTTTTGCTGAGAGAAGCCTCCTCCTGAGGTGCTTCTGGAAAGGTGGCATACGTCTTGAGCCTAAGCCAGGGAATCAGCTCTCATCTCGAGACGATTTGGGGTACACAGAGCATTCCTCGAGTTGCTGTGCTGAAGTTGGTGGTCCTCTAGACTTGGGACACTGTTCTCGGGGCATCTCTGGAGTTGCCTGAAGGAAGTCGAGCCACCGGTCGTGTTGAATGGGGAACAAGGAATGGCTCTGGAGTCAATGCAGGGGAATCCGGCCTCATCTCGAGTTGATTTGGGGCACATGGAGCTGCTTTGCATTGCTGGGTGACCTCAGGGTCCGTCTAGACTGGTGACAGTGTTCTTGGGGACTGTCTCGAGATCCATTAAGCAAGTCGAAGCTCCTGACTTGTTTGAATGGGATCACGGAATAGCTCTGCATGCACTGCAAGGGAATGGGGCCTCATCTCGCCTCTAGGGGGAAGTCTCATGGTTTTTCTCGAGTTGCGGCGGGGACCTGGGGTATGTTCTCGACTTACGGCGGGGATGGCCCTTCAAAACACGAGTTTCTTCCGTGACGTCAGGACTCCTGTCTAGTAACGAGGGACACCTCAGCAATCTCTTCGAGGCTTGGCAGGGCAAAAGGGACGCTTCTCGAGGTGAGCCAGGGCACCCAAGGACCCTTTCCAGTAGCCACAGGGATTTTGGGATTCCTATCAGTATTCAAGAGGAGTCAGGCATCGTCACCTTTTGAAGCAATGAACTCCGCGTGCCTCTCGAGGTGTCAGCGGGATGTGAGGATTCCGTCAAAATGAGGCAGGGACCTAGGGCTTACTCTAAGGTCTCCACAGGGGATTCAGACATCCCTTCATGTTGTGACATGAAAGACGAGCCTGTATTCAAGCCACTGCAAGGAAATCCGGCCTCCTTTCAAGTTAGGGCTTCTCGCTGTATATTCCCCTTGAGGCAGCAAACTCGGAGTCCCTCCCACATACCTATTGCTGAGAGAAGCCTCCTCCTGAGGTGCTTCTGGAAAGTTGGCATACGTCTTGAGCCTAAGCCAGGGATTCAGCTCTCATCTTGAGACGATTTGTGGTACACAGAGCATTCCTCGAGTTGCTGTGCTGAAGTTGGTGTTCCTCTAGACTTGGGACAGTGTTCTCTGGGCATCTCTGGAGTTGCCTGAAGGAAGTCGATCCACCGGTCGTGTTGAATGGGGAACGGGGAATGGCTCTGGAGTCAATGCAGGGGAATCGGGCCTCATCTCGAGTTGATTTAGGGCACATGGAGCTGTTTTGCATTGCTGGGGTGAACTCAGGGTCCGTCTAGACTGGTGACAGTGTTCTTGGGGACTGTCTCGAGATCCATTAAGCAAGTCGAAGCTCCTGACTTGTTTGAATGGGATCACGGAATAGCTCTGCATGCACTGCAGGGGAATGGGGCCTCATCTCGCCTCTAGGGGGAAGTCTCATGGTTTTTCTCTAGTTGCGGCGGGGACCTGGGGTATGTTCTCGACTTACGGCGGGGACGGCCCTTCAAAACACGAGTTTCTTCAGTGACGTCAGGACTCCTGCCTAGTAACGAGGGACACCTCAGGAATCTCTTCGAGGCTTGGCAGGGCAAAAGGGACGCTTCTCGAGGTGAGCCAGGGCACCCAAGGACCCTTTCCAGTAGCCACAGGGATTTTGGGATTCCTATAAGTATTCAAGAGGAGTCAGGCATCGTCACCTTTTGAAGCAATGAACTCCGCGTGCCTCTCGAGGTGTCAGCGTGATGTGAGGATTCCGTCAAAATGAGGCAGGGACCTAGGGCTTTCTCTAAGGTCTCCACAGGGGATTCAGACATCCCTTCATGTTGTCATATCAAAGACGAGCCTGTATTCAAGCCACTGCAAGGAAAACCGGCCTCCTTTCAAGTTAGGGCTTCTCGCTGTATATTCCCCTTGAGGCAGCAAACTCGGGGTCCCTCCCACATACCTATTGCTGAGAGAATCCTCCTCCTGAGGTGCTTCTGGAAAGTTGGCATACGTCTTGAGCCTAAGCCAGGGAATCAGCTCTCATCTCGAGACGATTTGGGGTACACAGAGCATTCCTCGAGTTGCTGTGCTGAAGTTGGTGGTCCTCTAGACTTGGGACAGTGTTCTCGGGGCATCTCTGGAGTTGCCTGAAGGAAGTCGAGCCACCGGTCGTGTTGAATGGGGAACAGGGAATGGCTCTGGAATCAATGCAGGGGAATCGGTCCTCATCTCGAGTTGATTTAGGGCACATGGAGCTGGTTTGCATTGCTGGGGTGACCTCAGGGTCCGTCTAGACTGGTGACAGTGTTCTTGGGGACTGTCTCGAGATCCATTAAGCAAGTCGAAGCTCCTGACTTGTTTGAATGGGATCACGGAATAGCTCTGCATGCACTGCAGGGGAATGGGGCCTCATCTCGCCTCTAGGGGAAGTCTCATGGTTTTTCTCGAGTTGCGGCGGGGACCTGGGGTATGTTCTCGACTTACGGCAGGGATGGCCCTTCAAAACACGACTTTCTTCAGTGACGTCAGGACTCCTGCCTAGTAACGAGGGACACCTCAGGAATCTCTTCGAGTCTTGGCAGGGCAAAAGGGACGCTTCTCGAGGTGAGCCAGGGCACCCAAGGACCCTTACCAGTAGCCTCAGGGATTTTGGGATTCCTATCAGTATTCAAGAGGAGTCAGGCATCGTCACCTTTTGAAGCAATGAACTCCGCGTGCCTCTCGAGGTGTCAGCGGGATGTGAGGCATTCCGTCAAAATGAGGCAGGGACCTAGGGCTTTCTCTAAGGTCTCCACAGGGGATTCAGACATCCCTTCATGTTGTGAGATGAAAGACAAGCCTGTATTCAAGCTACTGCAAGGAAATCCGGCCTCCTTTCAAGTTAGGGCTTCTCGCTGTATATTCCCCTTGAGGCAGCAAACTCGGAGTCCCTCCCACATACCTATTGCTGAGAAGCCTCCTCCTGAGGTGCTTCTGGAAAGTTGGCATACGTCTTGAGCCTAAGCCAGGGAATCAGCTCTCATCTCGAGACGATTTGGGGTACACAGAGCATTCCTCGAGTTGCTGTGCTGAAGTTGGTGTTCCTCTAGACTTGGGACAGTGTTCTCGGGGCATCTCTGGAGTTGCCTGAAGGAAACCGAGCCACCGGTCCTGTTGAATGGGGAACGGGGAATGGCTCTGGAATCAATGCAGGGGAATCGGGCCTCATCCCGAGTTGATTTAGGGCACATGGAGCTGGTTTGTGTTGCTGGGCTGACCTCAGGGTCCGTCTAGACTGGTGACAGTGTTCTTGGGGACTGTCTCGAGATCCATTAAGCAAGTCGAAGCTCCTGACTTGTTTGAATGGGATCACGGAATAGCTCTGCATGCACTGCACGGGAATGGGGCCTCATCTCGCCTCTAGGGGGAAGTCTCATGGTTTTTCTCGAGTTGTGGCGGGGACCTGGGGTATGTTCTCGACTTACGGCGGGGACGGCCCTTCAAAACACGAGTTTCTTCAGTGACGTCAGGACTCCTGTCTAGTAACGAGGGACACCTCAGCAATCTCTTCGAGGATTGGCAGGGCTAAAGGGACGCTTCTCGAGGTGAGCCAGGGCACCCAAGGACCCTTTCCAGTAGCCACAGGGATTTTGGGATTCCTATCAGTATTCAAGAGGAGTCAGGCATCGTCACCTTTTGAAGCAATGAACTCCGCGTGCCTCTCGACGTGTCAGCGGGATGTGAGGATTCCGTCAAAATGAGGCAGGGACCTAGGGCTTACTTAAGGTCTCCACAGGGGATTCAGACATCCCTTCATGTTGTGACATGAAAGACGAGCCTGTATTCAAGCCACTGCAAGGCAATCCGGCCTCCTTTCAAGTTAGGGCTTCTCGCTGTATATTCCCCTTGAGGCAGCAAACTCAGAGTCCCTCCCACATACCTATTCCTGAGAGAAGCCTCCTCCTGAGGTGCTTCTGGAAAGTTGGCATACGTCTTGAGCCTAAGCCAGGGATTCAGCTCTCATCTCGAGACGATTTGGGGTACACAGAGCATTCCTCGAGTTGCTGTGCTGAAGTTGGTGGTCCTCTAGACTTGGGACAGTGTTCTCGGGGCATCTCTGGAGTTACCTGAAGGAAGTAGAGCCACTGGTCGTGTTGAATGGGGAACAGGGAATGGCTCTGGAGTCAATGCAAGGGAATCGGGCCTCATCTCGAGTTGATTTGGGGCACATGGAGCAGCTTTGCATTGCTGGGTGACCTCACGTTCCGTCTAGACTGGTGACAGTGTTCTTGGGGACTCTCTCGAGATCCATTAAGCAAGTCAAAGCTCCTGACTTGTTTGAATGGGATCACGGAATAGTTCTGCATGCACTGCAGGGGAATGGGGCCTCATCTCGCCTCTAGGGGGAAGTCTCACGGTATTTCTCGAGTTGCGGCGGGGACCTGGGGTATGTTCTCGACTTACGGCGGGTATGGCCCTTCAAAACACGAGTTTCTTCAGTGACGTCAGGACTCCTGCCTAGTAACGAGGGACACCTCAGCCATCTCTTCGAGGCTTGGCAGGGCAAAAGGGACGCTTCTCGATGTGAGGCAGGGAACCCAAGAACCGTTTCCAGTAGCCACAGGAATTTTGGGATTCCTATCAGTATTGAAGAGGAGTCAGGCATCGTCACCTTTTGAAGCAATGAACTCCGAGTGCCTCTCGAGGTGTCAGCGGGATGTGAGGCATTCCGTCAAAATGAGGCAGGGACCTAGGGCTTTCTCTAAGGTCTCCACAGGGGATTCAGACATCTCTTCATGTTTTCAGATCAAAGACGATCCTGTATTCAACCCACTGCAAGGAAATCTGGCCTCCGTTCACATTAGGGCTTCTCCCTGTGTATTCCCCTTGAGGCAGCAAACTCGGGGTCCCTCCCACATACCTATTGCTGAGAGAAGCCTCCTCCTGAGGTGCTTCCGGAAAGTTGGCATACGTCTTGAGCCTAAGCCAGGGAATCAGCTCTCATCTCGAGACGATTTGGGGTGCACAGAGCATTCCTCGAGTTGCTGTGCTGAAGTTGGTGGTCCTCTAGACTTGGGACAGTGTTCTCGGGGCATCTCTGGAGTTGCCTGAAGGAAGGCGAGCCACCGGTCGTGTTGAATGGGGAACAGGGAATGGCTCTGGGGTCAATGCAGGGGAATCGGGCCTCATCTCGAGTTTATTTGGGGCACATGGAGCTGCTTTGCATTGCAGGGTGACATCACGGTCAATCTAGACTTGTGACAGTGTTCTTGGGGACTGTCTCGAGATCCATTAAGCAAGTCAAAGCTCCTGACTTGTTTGAATGGGATCACGGAATAGCTCTGCATGCACTGCAGGGGAATGGGGCCTCATCTCGCCTCTAGGGGGAAGACTCATGGTTTTTCTCGAGGTGCGGCGGGGACCTGGGGTATGTTCTCGACTTACGGCAGGGATGGCCCTTCAAAACACGAGTTTCTTCAGTGACGTCAGGACTCCTGTCTAGTAACGAGGGACACCTCAGGAATCTCTTCGAGGCTTGGCAGGGCAAAAGGGACGCTTCTCGAGGTGAGGCAGGGCACCCAAGGACCCTTTCCTGTAGCCACAGGGATTTTGGGATTCCTATCAGTATTCAAGAGGAGTCAGGCATCGTCACCTTTTGAAGCAATGAACTCCGCGTGCCTCTCGAGGTATCAGCGGGATGTGAGGATTCCGTCAAAATGAGGCAGGGACCTAGGGCTTTCTCTAAGGTCTCCACAGGGGATTCAGACATCCCTAGATGTTGTGAGATGAAAGACGAGCCTGTGTTCAAGCCACTGCAAGGAAATCCGGCCTCCTTTCAAGTTAGGGCTTCTCGCTGTATATTCCCCTTGAGGCAGCAACCTCGGGGTCCCTCCCACATACCTATTGCTGAGAGAAGCCTCCTCCTGAGGTGCTTCTGGAAAGTTGGCATACGTGTTGAGCCTAAGCCAGGGAATCAGCTCTCATCTCGAGACGATTTGTGGTACACAGAGCATTCCTCGAGTTGCTGTGCTGAAGTTGGTGGTCCTCTAGACTTGGGACAGTGTTCTCGGGGCATCTCTGGAGTTGCCTGAAGGAAGTAGAGCCACTGGTCGTGTTGAATGGGGAACAGGGAATGGCTCTGGAGTCAATGCAGGGGAATCGGGCCTCATCTCGAGTTGATTTGGGGCACATGGAGCTGCTTTGCATTGCTGGGTGACCTCACGTTCCGTCTAGACTGGTGACAGTGTTCTTGGGGACTCTCTCGAGATCCATTAAGCAAGTCAAAGCTCCTGACTTGTTTGAATGGGATCACGGAATAGCTCTGCATGCACTGCAGGGGAATGGGGCCTCATCTCGCCTATAGGGGGAAGTCTCATGGTTTTTCTCGAGTTGCGGCGGGGACCTGGGGTATGTTCTCGACTTACGGCGGGGATGGCCCTTCAAACACGAGTTTCTCCGGTGACGTCAGGACTCCTGCCTAGTAACGAGGGACACCTCAGGAATCTCTTCGAGTCTTGGCAGGGCAAAAGGGACGCTTCTCGAGGTGAGGCAGGGCACCCAAGGACCCTTTCCAGTAGCCACAGGGATTTTGGGATTCCTATCAGTATTCAAGAGGAGTCAGGCATCGTCACCTTTTGAAGCAATGAACTCTGCGTGCCTCTCGAGGTGTCAGCGGGATATGAGGCATTCCGTCAAAATGAGGCAGGGACCTAGGGCTTTCTCTAAGGTCTCCACAGGGGATTCAGACATCCCTTCATGTTGTGAGATGAAAGACAAGCCTGTATTCAAGCTACTGCAAGGAAATCCGGCCTCCTTTCAAGTTAGGGCTTCTCGCTGTATATTCCCCTTGAGGCAGCAAACTCGGAGTCCCTCCCACATACCTATTGCTGAGAAGCCTCCTCCTGAGGTGCTTCTGGAAATTTGGCATACGTCTTGAGCCTAAGCCAGGGAATCAGCTCTCATCTCGAGAAGATTTGGGGTACACAGAGCATTCCTCGAGTTGCTGTGCTGAAGTTGGTGTTCCTCTAGACTTGGGAAAGTGTTCTCGGGGCATCTCTGGAGTTGCCTGAAGGAAAGCTAGCCTCCGTTCGTGAGGCACGGGGAACGGGAAATGGCTCTGGAGTCAATGCAGTGGGAATCGGGCCTCACCTCGAGTTGATTTGGGGCACATGGAGCTGCTTTGCGTTGCTGGGGTGACCTCAGGGTCCGTCTCGACTGGTGACAGTGTTCTTGGGGACTGTCTCGAGATGCATTAAGCAAGTCGAAGCGCCTGACTTGTTTGAATGGGATCACGGAATAGCTCTGCATGCACTGCAGGGGAATGGGGCCTCATCTCGCCTATAGGGGGAAGTCTCATGGTTTTTCTCGAGTTGCGGCGGGGACCTGGGGTATGTTCTCGACTTACGGCGGGGATGGCCCTTCAAAACACGAGTTTCTTCAGTGACGTCAGGACTCCTGTCTAGTAACGAGGGACACCTCAGCAATCTCTTCGAGGCTTGGCAGGGCAAAAGGGACGCTCTTCGAGGTGAGTCAGGGCACCCAAGGACCCTTTCCAGTAGCCACAGGGATTTTGGGATTCCTATCAGTATTCAAGAGGAGTCAGGCATCGTCACCTTTTGAAGCAATGAACTCCGCGTGCCTCTCGAGGTGTCAGCGGGATGTGAGGCATTCCCTCAAAATGAGGCAGGGACCTAGGGCTTTCTCTAAGGTCTCCACAGGGGATTCAGACATCCCTTCATGTTGTGAGATGAAAGACAAGCCTGTATTCAAGCTACTGCAAGAAAATCCGGCCTCCTTTCAAGTTAGGGCTTCTCGCTGTATATTCCCCTTGAGGCAGCAAACTCGGAGTCCCTCCCACATACCTATTGCTGAGAAGCCTCCTCCTGAAGTTCTTCTGGAAATTTGGCATACGTCTTGAGCCTAAGCCAGGGAATCAGCTCTCATCTCGAGACGATTTGGGGTGCTCAGAGCATTCCTCGAGTTGCTGTGCTGAAGTTGGTGTTCCTCTAGACTTGGGACAGTGTTCTCTGGGCATCTCTGCAGTTGCCTGAAGGAAGTCGAGCCACCGGTCGTGTTGAATGGGGAACGAGGAATGGCTCTGGAGTCAATGCAGGGGAATCGGGACTCATCTCGAGTTGATTTGGGGCACATGGAGCTGCTTTGCATTGCTGGGTGATCTCAGGGTCCGTCTAGAGTGGTGACAGTGTTCTTGGGGACTGTCTCGAGATCCATTAAGCAAGTCGAAGCTCCTGACTTGTTTGAATGGGATCACGGAATAGCTCTGCATGCACTGCAGGGGAATGGGGCCTCATCTCGCCTCTAGGGGGAAGTCTCATGGTTTTTCTCGAGTTGCGGCGGGGACCTGGGGTATGTTCTCGACTTACGGCGGGGATGGCCCTTCAAAACACGAGTTTCTTCCGTGACGTCAGGACTCCTGTCTAGTAACGAGGGACACCTCAGGAATCTCTTCGAGGCTTGGCAGGGCAAAAGGGACGCTTCTCGAGGTGAGGCAGGGCACCCAAGGACCCTTTCCAGTAGCCACAGGGATTTTGGGATTCCTATAATTATTCAAGAGGAGTCAGGCATCGTCACCTTTTGAAGCAATGAACTCTGCGTGCCTCTCGAGGTGTCATGGGGATGTGAGGTATTCCGTCAAAATGAGGCAGGGACCTAGGGCTTCCTCTAAGGTCTCCACAGGGGATTCAGACATCCCTTCATGTTGTGAGATGAAAGACGAGCCTGTATTCAAGCCACTGCAAGGAAATCTGGCCTCCGTTCATATTAGGGCTTCTCTCTGTGTATTCCCCTTGAGGCAGCAAACTCGGGGTCCCTCCCACATACCTATTGCTGAGAGAAGCCTCCTCCTGAGGTGCTTCTGGAAAGTTGGCATACGTCTTGAGCCTAAGCCAGGGAATCAGCTCTCATCTCGAGTTGATTTGGGGTACACGGAGCATTCCTCGAGTTGCTGTGCTGAAGTTGGTGTTCCTCTAGACTTGGGACAGTGTTCTCGGGGCATCTTTGGAGTTGCCTGAAGGAAGTCGAGCCACCGGTCGTGTTGAATGGGGAACGGGGAATGGCTCTGGAGTCAATGCAGGGGAATCGGGCCACATCTCGAGTTGATTTAGGGCACATGGAGCAGCTTTGCGTTGCTGGGGTGACCTCAGGGTCCGTCTAGACTGGTGACAGTGTTCTTGGGGACTGTCTCGAGATCCATTAAGCAAGTCGAAGCTCCTGACTTGTTTGAATGGGATCACGGAATAGCTCTGCATGCACTGCAGGGGAATGGGGCCTCATCTCGCCTCTAGGGGGAAGTCTCATGGTTTTTCTCGAGTTGCGGCGGGGACCTGGGGTATGTTCTCGACTTACGGCGGGGATGGCCCTTCAAAACACGAGTTTCTTCAGTGACGTCAGGACTCCTGTCTAGTAACGAGGGACACCTCAGGAATCTCTTCGAGGCTTGGCAGGGCAAAAGGGACGCTTCTCGAGGTGAGGCAGGGCACCGAAGGACCCTTTCCAGTAGCCACAGGGATTTTGGGATTCCTATCAGTATTCAAGAGGAGTCAGGCATCGTCACCTTTTGAAGCAATGAACTCTGCGTGCCTCTCGAGGTATCAGCGGGATGTGAGGATTCCGTCAAAATGAGGCAGGGACCTAGGGCTTACTCTAAGGTCTCCACAGGGGATTCAGACATCCCTTCATGTTGTGAGATGAAAGACGAGCCTGTATTCAAGCCACTGCAAGGAAAACCGGCCTCCTTTCAAGTTAGGGCTTCTCGCTGTATATTCCCCTTGAGGCAGCAAACTCGGGGTCCCTCCCACATACCTATTGCTGAGAGAAGCCTCCTCCTGAGGTGCTTCTGGAAAGTTGGCATACGTCTTGATCCTAAGCCAGGGAATCAGCTCTCATCTCGAGACGATTTGGGGTACACAGAGCATTCCTCGAGTTGCTGTGCTGAAGTTGGTGGTCCGCTAGACTTGGGACAGTGTGCTCGGGGCATCTCTGGAGTTGCCTGAAGGAAGTCGAGCCACCGGTCGTGTTTAATGGGAAACAGGGAATGGCTCTGGAGTCAATGCAGGGGAATCCGGCCTCATCTCGAGTTGATTTGGGGCACATGGAGCTGCTTTGCATTGCTGGGTGAACTCAGGGTCCGTCTAGACTGGTGACAGTGTTCTTGGGGACTGTCTCGAGATTCATTAAGCAAGTTGAAGCTCCTGACTTGTTTGAATGGGATCACGGAATAGCTCTGCATGCACTGCAGGGGAATGGGGCCTTATCTCGCCTCTAGGGGGAAGGCTCACGGTTTTTCTCGAGTTGCGGCGGGGACCTGGGGTATGTTCTCGACTTACGGCGGGGATGGCCCTACAAAACACGAGTTTCTTCAGTGACGTCAGGACTCCTGCCTAGTAACGAGGGACACCTCAGGAATCTCTTCCAGGCTTGGCAGGGCAAAAGGGACGCTTCTCGAGGTGAGCCAGGGCACCCAAGGACCCTTTCCAGTAGCCACAGGGATTTTGGGATTCCTATCAGTATTCAACAGGAGTCAGGCATCGTCACCTTTTGAAGCAATGAACTCCGCGTGCCTCTCGAGGTGTCAGCGGGATGTGAGGATTCCGTCAAAATGAGGCAGGGACCTAGGGCTTTCTCTAAGGACTCCACAGGGGATTCAGACATCCCTTCATGTTGTGACATGAAAGACGAGCCTGTATTCAAGCCACTGCAAGGAAATCCGGCCTCCTTTCAAGTTAGGGCTTCTCGCTGTATATTCCCCTTGAGGCAGCAAACTCGGGGTCCCTCCCACATACCTATTGCTGAGAGAAGCCTCCTCCTGAGGTGCTTCTGGAAAGGTGGCATACGTCTTGAGCCTAAGCCAGGGAATCAGCTCTCATCTCGAGACGATTTGGGGTACACAGAGCATTCCTCGAGTTGCTGTCCTGAAGTTGGTGGTCCTCTAGACTTGGGACAGTGTTCTCGAGGCATCTGTGGAGTTGCCTGAAGGAAGTCGAGCCACCGGTCGTGTTGAATGGGGAACAAGGAATGGCTCTGGAGTCAAAGCAGGGGAATCCGGCCTCATCTCGAGTTGATTTGGGGCACATGGAGCTGCTTTACATTGCTGGGTGACCTCAGGGACCGTCTAGACTGGTGACAGTGTTCTTGGGGACTGCCTCGAGATCCATTAAGCAAGTCGAAGCTCCTGACTTGTTTGAATGGGATCACGGAATAGCTCTGCATGCACTGCAGGGGAATGGGGCCTCATCTCGCCTCTAGGGGGAAGTCTCATGGTTTTTCTCGAGTTGCGGCGGGGACCTGGGGTATGTTCTCGACTTACGGCGGGGATGGCCCTTCAAAACACGAGTTTCTTCAGTGACGTCAGGACTCCTGTCTAGTAACGAGGGACACGTCAGCAATCTCTTCGAGGCTTGGCAGGGCAAAAGGGACGCTTCTCGAGGTGAGCCAGGGCACCCAAGGAACCTTTCCAGTAGCCACAGGGATTTAGGGATTCCTATAAGTATTCAAGAGGAGTCAGGCATCGTCACCTTTTGAAGCAATGAACTCCGCGTGCCTCTCGAGGTGTCAGCGGGATGTGAGGATTCCGTCAAAATGAGGCAGGGACCTAGGGATTTCTCTAAGGTCTCCACAGGGGATTCAGACATCCCTTCATGTTGTGAGATGAAAGACGAGCCTGTATTCAAGCCACTGCAAGGAAATCCGGCCTCCTTTCAAGTTAGGGCTTCTCGCTGTATATTCCCCTTGAGGCAGCAAACTCGGGGTCCCTCCCACATACCTTTTGCTGAGAGAAGCCTCCTCCTGAGGTGCTTCTGGAAAGGTGGCATACGTCTTGAGCCTAAGCCAGGGAATCAGCTCTCATCTCGAGACGATTTGGGGTACACAGAGCATTCCTCGAGTTGCTGTGCTGAAGTTGGTGGTCCTCTAGACTTGGGACAGTGTTCTCGGGGCATCTCTGGAGTTGCCTGAAGGAAGTCGAGCCACCGGTCGTGTTGAATGGGGAACAAGGAATGGCTCTGGAGTCAATGCAGGGGAATCCGGCCTCATCTCGAGTTGATTTGGGGCACATGGAGCTGCTTTGCATTGCTGGGTGACCTCAGGGTCCGTCTAGACTGGTGACAGTGTTCTTGGGGACTGTCTCGAGATCCATTAAGCAAGTCGAAGCTCCTGACTTGTTTGAATGGGATCACGGAATAGCTCTGCATGCAATGCAAGGGAATGGGGCCTCATCTCGCCTCTAGGGGGAAGTCTCACGGTTTTTCTCGAGTTGCGGCGGGGACCTGGGGTATGTTCTCGACTTACGGCGGGGATGGCCCTTCAAAACACGAGTTTCTTCCGTGACGTCAGGACTCCTGTCTAGTAACGAGGGACACCTCAGCAATCTCTTCGAGGCTTGGCAGGGCAAAAGGGACGCTTCTCGAGGTGAGCCAGGGCACCCAAGGACCCTTTCCAGTAGCCACAGGGATTTTGGGATTCCTATAAGTATTCAAGAGGAGTCAGGCATCATCACCTTTTGAAGCAATGAACTCCGCGTGTCTCTCGAGGTGTCAGCGGGATGTGAGGATTCCGTCAAAATGAGGCAGGGACCTAGGGCTTACTCTAAGGTCTCCACAGGGGATTCAGACATCCCTTCATGTTGTGACATGAAAGACGAGCCTGTATTCAAGCCACTGCAAGGAAATCCGGCCTCCTTTCAAGTTAGGGATTCTCGCTGTATAATCCCCTTGAGGCAGCAAAATCGGAGTCCCTCCCACATACCTATTGCTGAGAGAAGCCTCCTCCTGAGGTGCTTCTGGAAAGTTGGCATACGTCTTGAGCCTAAGCCAGGGATTCAGCTCTCATCTCGAGACGATTTGTGGTACACAGAGCATTCCTCGAGTTGCTGTGCTGAAGTTGGTGTTCCTCTAGACTTGGGATAGTGTTCTCGGGGCATCTCTGGAGTTGCCTGAAGGAAGTCGAGCCACTGGTCGTGTAGAATGGGGAACGGGGAATGGCTCTGGAGTCAATGCAGGGGAATCGGGCCTCATCTCGAGTTGATTTGTGGCACCTGGAGCTGCTTTGCATTGCTGGGGTGACCTCAGGGTCCGTCTAGACTGGTGACAGTGTTCTTGGGGACTGACTCGAGATCCATTAAGCAAGTCGAAGCTCCTGACTTGTTTGAATGGGATCACGGAATAGCTCTGCATGCACTGCAGGGGAATGGGGCCTCATCTCGCCTCTAGGGGGAAGTCTCACGGATTTTCTCGAGTTGCGGCGGGGAACTGGGGTATGTTCTCGACTTACAAAACACGAGTTTCTTCAGTGACGTCAGGACTCCTGTCTAGTAACGAGGGACACGTCAGCAATCTCTTCGAGGCTTGGCAGGGCAAAAGGGACGCTTCTCGAGGTGAGCCAGGGCACCCAAGGACCCTTTCCAGTAGCCACAGGGATTTTGGGATTCCTATAAGTATTCAAGAGGAGTCAGGCATCGTCACCTTTTGAAGCTATGAACTCCGCGTGCCTCTCGAGGTGTCAGCGGGATGTGAGGATTCCGTCAAAATGAGGCAGGGACCTAGGGCTTTCTCTAAGGTCTCCACAGGGGATTCAGACATCCCTTCATGTTGTGAGATGAAAGACGAGCCTGTATTCAAGCCACTGCAAGGAAATCCGGCCTCCTTTCAAGTTACGGCTTCTCGCTGTATATTCCCCTTGAGGCAGCAAACTCGGGGTCCCTCCCACATACCTATTGCTGAGAGAAGCCTCCTCCTGAGGTGCTTCTGGAAAGGTGGCATACGTCTTGAGCCTAAGCCAGGGAATCAGCTCTCATCTCGAGACGATTTGGGGTACACAGAGCATTCCTCGAGTTGCTGTGCTGAAGTTGGTGGTCCTCTAGACTTGGGACAGTGTTCTCGGGGCATATCTGGAGTTACCTGAAGGAAGTCGAGCCACCGGTCGTGTTGAATGGGGAACAACGAATGGCTCTGGATTCAATGCAGGTTAATCCGGCCTCATCTCGAGTTGATTTGGGGCACATGGAGCTGCTTTGCATTGCTGGGTGACCTCAGGGTCCGTCTAGACTGGTATCAGAGTTCTTGGGGACTGTCTCGAGATCCATTAAGCACGTCGAAGCTCCTGACTTGTTTGAATGGGATCACGGAATAGCTCTGCATGCACTGCAGGGGAATGGGGCCTCATCTCGCCTCTAGGGGGAAATCTCATGGTTTTTCTCGAGTTTCGGCGGGGACCTGGGGTATGTTCTCGACTTACGGCGGGGATGGCCCTTCAAAACACGAGTTTCTTCAGTGACGTCAGGACTCCTGTCTAGTAATGAGGGACACCTCAGCAATCTCTTCGAGGCTTGGCAGGGCAAAAGGGACGCTTCTCGAGGTGAGCCAGGGCACCCAAGAACCCTTTCCAGTAGCCACAGGGATTTTGGGATTCCTATCAGTATTCAAGAGGAGTCAGGCATCGTCACCTTTTGAAGCAATGAACTCTGCGTGCCTCTCGAGGTGTCAGGGGGATGTGAGGTATTCCGTCAAAATGAGGCAGGGACCTAGGGCTTCCTCTAAGGTCTCCACAGGGGATTCAGAAATCCCTTCATGTTGTCAGATCAAAGACGCGCCTGTATTCAAGCCACTGCAAGGAAATCTGGCCTCCGTTCACATTAGGGCTTCTCCCTGTGTATTCCCCTTGAGGCAGCAAACTCGGGGTCCCTCCCACATACCTATTGCTGAGAGAAGCCTCCTCCTGCGGTGCTTCTGGAAAGTTGGCATACGTCTTGAGCCTAAGCCAGGGAATCAGCTCTCATCTCGAGATGATTTGGGGTACACGGAGCATTCCTCTGGTTGCTGTGCTGAAATTGGTGCTCCTCTAGACTTGGGACAGTGTTCTCGGGGCATCTCTGGAGTTGCCTGAAGGAAGTCGAGCCACCGGTCGTGTTGAATGGGGAACGGGGAATGGCTCTGGAGTCAATGCAGGGGAATCGGGCCTCATCTCGAGTTGATTTGGGGCACATGGAGCAGCTTTGCGTTGCTGGGGTGACCTCAGGGTCCGTCTAGACTGGTGACAGTGTTCTTGGGGACTGTCTCGAGATCCATTAAGCACGTCGAAGCTCCTGACTTGTTTGAATGGGATCACGGAATAGCTCTGCATGCACTGCAGGGGAATGGGGCCTCATCTCGCCTCTAGGGGGAAGTCTCATGGTTTTTCTCGAGTTGCGGCGGGGACCTGGGGTATGTTCTCGACTTACGGAGGGGATGGCCCTTAAAAACCCGAGTTTCTTCAGTGACGTCAGGACTCCTGTCTAGTAACGAGGGACACGTTAGGAATCTCTTCGAGGCTTGGCAGGGCAAAAGGGACGCTTCTCGAGGTGAGGCAGGGCACCCATGGACCCTTTCCAGTAGCCACAGGGATTTTGGGATTCCTATAAGTATTCAAGAGGAGTCAGGCATCGTCACCTTTTGAAGCAATGAACTCCGCGTGCCTCTCGAGGTGTCAGCGGGATGTGAGGATTCCGTCAAAATGAGGCAGGGACCTAGGGCTTTCTCTAAGGTCTCCACAGGGGATTCAGACATCCCTTCATGTTGTGAGATGAAAGACGAGCCTGTATTCAAGCCACTGCAAGGAAATCCGGCCTCCTTTCAAGTTAGGGCTTCTCGCTGTATATTCCCCTTGAGGCAGCAAACTCGGGGTCCCTCCCACATACCTATTGCTGAGAGAAGCCTCCTCCTGAGGTGCTTCTGGAAAGGTGGCATACGTCTTGAGCCTAAGCCAGGGAATCAGCTCTCATCTCGAGACGATTTGGGGTACACAGAGCATTCCTCGAGTTGCTGTGCTGAAGTTGGTGGTCCTCTAGACTTGGGACACTGTTCTCGGGGCATCTCTGGAGTTGCCTGAAGGAAGTCGAGCCACCGGTCGTGTTGAATGGGGAACAAGGAATGGCTCTGGAGTCAATGCAGGGGAATCCGGCCTCATCTCGAGTTGATTTGGGGAACATGGAGCTGCTTTGCATTGCTGGGTGACCTCAGGGTCCGTCTAGACTGGTGACAGTGTTCTTGGGGACTGTCTCGAGATCCATTAAGCAAGTCGAAGCTCCTGACTTGTTTGAATGGGATCACGGAATAGCTCTGCATGCACTGCAAGGGAATGGGGCCTCATCTCGCCTCTAGGGGGAAGTCTCATGGTTTTTCTCGAGTTGCGGCGGGGACCTGGGGTATGTTCTCGACTTACGGCGGGGATGGCCCTTCAAAACACGAGTTTCTTCCGTGACGTCAGGACTCCTGTCTAGTAACGAGGGACACCTCAGCAATCTCTTCGAGGCTTGGCAGGGCAAAAGGGACGCTTCTCGAGGTGAGCCAGGGCACCCAAGGACCCTTTCCAGTAGCCACAGGGATTTTGGGATTCCTATCAGTATTCAAGAGGAGTCAGGCATCGTCACCTTTTGAAGCAATGAACTCCGCGTGCCTCTCGAGGTGTCAGCGGGATGTGAGGATTCCGTCAAAATGATGCAGGGACCTAGGGCTTACTCTAAGGTCTCCACAGGGGATTCAGACATCCCTTCATGTTGTGAGATGAAAGACGAGCCTGTATTCAAGCCACTGCAAGGGAATCCGGCCTCCTTTCAAGTTAGGGCTTCTCGCTGTATATTCCCCTTGAGGCAGCAAACTCGGAGTCCCTCCCACATACCTATTGCTGAGAGAAGCCTCCTCCTGAGGTGCTTCTGGAAAGTTGGCATACGTCTTGAGCCTAAGCCAGGGATTCAGCTCTCATCTTGAGACGATTTGTGGTACACAGAGCATTCCTCGAGTTGCTGTGCTGAAGTTGGTGTTCCTCTAGACTTGGGACAGTGTTCTCTGGGCATCTCTGGAGTTGCCTGAAGGAAGTCGAGCCACCGGTCGTGTTGAATGGGGAACGGGGAATGGCTCTGGAGTCAATGCAGGGGAATCGGGCCTCATCTCGAGTTGATTTGGGGCACCTGGAGCTGCTTTGCATTGCTGGGGTGACCTCAGGGTCCGTCTAGACTGGTGACAGTGTTCTTGGGGACTGCCTCGAGATCCATTAAGCAAGTCGAAGCTCCTGACTTGTTTGAATGGGATCACGGAATACCTCTGCATGCACTGCAGGGGAATGGGGCCTCATCTCGCCTCTAGGGGGAAGTCTCATGGTTTTTCTCGAGTTGCGGCGGGGAACTGGGGTATGTTCTCAACTTACGGCGGGGATGGCCCTTCAAAACACGAGTTTCTTCAGTGACGTCAGGACTCCTGTCTAGTAACGAGGGACACGTCAGCAATCTCTTCGAGGCTTGGCAGGGCAAAAGGGACGCTTCTCGAGGTGAGCCAGGGCACCCAAGGACCCTTTCCAGTAGCCACAGGGATTTTGGGATTCCTATAAGTATTCAAGAGGAGTCAGGCATCGTCACCTTTTGAAGCTATGAACTCCGCGTGCCTCTCGAGGTGTCAGCGGGATGTGAGGATTCCGTCAAAATGAGGCAGGGACCTAGGGCTTTCTCTAAGGTCTCCACAGGGGATTCAGACATCCCTTCATGTTGTGAGATGAAAGATGAGCCTGTATTCAAGCCACTGCAAGGAAATCCGGCCTCCTTTCAAGTTAGGGCTTCTCGCTGTATATTCCCCTTGAGGCACCAAACTCGGGGTCCCTCCCACATACCTATTGCTGAGAGAAGCCTCCTCCTGAGGTGCTTCTGGAAAGGTGGCATACGTCTTGAGCCTAAGCCAGGGAATCAGCTCTCATCTCGAGACGATTTGGGGTACACAGAGCATTCCTCGAGTTGCTGTGCTGAAGTTGGTGGTCCTCTAGACTTGGGACAGTGTTCTCGGGGCATATCTGGAGTTGCCTGAAGGAAGTCGAGCCACCGGTCGTGTTGAATGGGGAACAAGGAATGGCTCTGGAGTCAATGCAGGGGAATCCGGCCTCATCTCGAGTTGATTTGGGGCACATGGAGCTGCTTTGCATTGCTGGGTGACCTCAGGGTCCGTCTAGACTGGTGACAGTGTTCTTGGGGACTGTCTCGAGATCCATTTAGCAAGTCGAAGCTCCTGACTTGTTTGAATTGGATCATGGAATAGCTCTGCATGCACTGCAGGGGAATGGGGCCTCATCTCGCCTCTAGGGGTAAATCTCAGGTTTTTTCTCGAGTTTCGGCGGGGACCTGGGGTATGTTCTCGACTTACGGCGGGGATGGCCCTTCAAAACACGAGTTTCTTCAGTGACGTCAGGACTCCTGTCTAGTAATGAGGGACACCTCAGCAATCTCTTCGAGGCTTGGCAGGGCAAAAGGGACGCTTCTCGAGGTGAGCCAGGGCACCCAAGGACCCTTTCCAGTAGCCACAGGGATTTTGGTATTCCTATCAGTATTCAAGAGGAGTCAGGCATCGTCACCTTTCGAAGCTATGAACTCCGCGTGCCTCTCGAGGTGTCAGCGGGATGTGAGGATTCCGTCAAAATGAGGCAGGGACCTAGGGCTTTCTCTAAGGTCTCCACAGGGGATTCAGACATCCCTTCATGTTGTGAGATGAAAGACGAGCCTGTATTCAAGCCACTGCAAGGAAATCCGGCCTCCTTTCAAGTTAGGGCTTCTCGCTGTATATTCCCCTTGAGGCAGCAAACTCGGGGTCCCTCCCACATACCTATTGCTGAGAGAAGCCTCCTCCTGAGGTGCTTCTGGAAAGGTGGCATACGTCTTGAGCCTAAGCCAGGGAATCAGCTCTAATCTCGAGACGATTTGGGGTACACAGAGCATTCCTCGAGTTGCTGTGCTGAAGTTGGTGGTCCTCTAGACTTGGGACAGTGTTCTCGGGGCATATCTGGAGTTGCCTGAAGGAAGTCGAGCCACCGGTCGTGTTGAATGGGGAACAAGGAATGGCTCTGGAGTCAATGCAGGGGAATCCGGCCTCATCTCGAGTTGATTTGGGGCACATGGAGCTGCTTTGCATTGCTGGGTGACCTCAGGGTCCGTCTAGACTGGTGACAGTGTTCTTGGGGACTGTCTCGAGATCCATTTAGCAAGTCGAAGCTCCTGACTTGTTTGAATTGGATCATGGAATAGCTCTGCATGCACTGCAGGGGAATGGGGCCTCATCTCGCCTCTAGGGGGAAGTCTCATGGTTTTTCTCGAGTTGCGGCGGGGACCTGGGGTATGTTCTCGACTTACGGCGGGGATGGCCTTTCAAAACACGAGTTTCTTCCGTGACGTCAGGACTCCTGTCTAGTAACGAGGGACACCTCAGCAATCTCTTCGAGGCTTGGCAGGGCAAAAGGGACGCTTCTCGAGGTGAGCCAGGGCACCCAAGGACCCTTTCCAGTAGCCACAGGGATTTTGGGATTCTTATCAGTATTCAAGAGGAGTCAGGCATCGTCACCTTTTGAAGCAATGTACTCCGCGTGCCTCTCGACGTGTCAGGGGATGTGAGGTGTTCCGTCAAAATGAGGCAGGGACCTAGGGCTTCCTCTAAGGTCTCCACAGGGGATTCAGACATCCCTTCATGTTGTGAGATGAAAGACGAGCCTGTATTCAAGCCACTGCAAGGAAAACCGGCCTCATTTCAAGTTAGGGCTTCTCGCTGTATATTCCCCTTGAGGCAGCAAACTCCGGGTCCCTCCCACATACCTATTGCTGAGAGAAGCCTCCTCCTGAGGTGCTTCTGGAAAGGTGGCATACGTCTTGAGCCTAAGCCAGGGAATCAGCTCTCATCTCGAGACGATTTGGGGTACACAAAGCATTCCTCGAGTTGCTGTGCTGAAGTTGGTGGTCCTCTAGACTTGGGACAGTGTTCTCGGGGCATCTCTGGAGTTGCCTGAAGGAAGTCGAGCCACCGGTCGCGTTGAATGGGGAACAGGGAATGGCTCTGGAGTCAATTCAGGGGAATTCGGCCTCATCTCGAGTTGATTTGGGGCACATGGAGCTGCTTTGCATTGCTGGGTGACCTCAGGGTCCGTCTAGACTGGTGACAGTGTTCTTGGGGACTGTCTCGAGATCCATTAAGCAAGTCGAAGCTCCTGACTTGTTTGAATGGGATCACGGAATAGCTCTGCATGCACTGCAGGGGAATGGGGCCTCATCTCGCCTCTAGGGGGAAGTCTCATGGTTTTTCTCGAGTTGCGGCGGGGACCTGGGGTATGTTCTCGACTTACGGCAGGGATGGCCCTTCAAAACACGACTTTCTTCAGTGACGTCAGGACTCCTGCCTAGTAACGAGGGACACCTCAGCAATCACTTCGAGGCTTGGCAGGGCAAAAGGGACGCTTCTCGAGGTGAGCCAGGGCACCCAAGGACCCTTTCCAGTAGCCACAGGGATTTTGGTATTCCTATCAGTATTCAAGAGGAGTCAGGCATCGTCACCTTTTGAAGCAATGAACTCCGCGTGCCTCTCGAGGTGTCAGCGGGATGTGAGGCATTCCGTCAAAATGAGGCAGGGACCTAGGGCTTTCTCTAAGGTCTCCACAGGGGATTCAGACATCCCTTCATGTTGTCATATCAAAGACAAGCCTGTATTCAAGCTACTGCAAGGAAATCCGGCCTCCTTTCAAGTTAGGTCTTCTCGCTGTATATTCCCCTTGAGGCAGCAAACTCGGAGTCCCTCCCACATACCTATTGCTGAGAAGCCTCCTCCTGAGGTGCTTCTGGAAAGTTGGCATACGTCTTGAGCCTAAGCCAGGGAATCAGCTCTCATCTCGAGACGATTTGGGGTACACAGAGCATTCCTCGAGTTGCTGTGCTGAAGTTGGTGTTCCTCTAGACTTGGGACAGTGTTCTCGGGGCATCTCTGGAGTTGCCTGAAGGAAACCGAGCCACCGGTCCTGTTGAATGGGGAACGGGGAATGGCTCTGGAATCAATGCAGGGGAATCGGGCCTCATCTCGAGTTGATTTAGGGCACATGGAGCTGGTTTGCGTTGCTGGGGTGACCTCAGGGTCCGTCTAGACTGGTGACAGTGTTCTTGGGGACTGTCTCGAGATCCATTAAGCAAGTCGAAGCTCCTGACTTGTTTGAATGGGATCACGGAATAGCTCTGCATGCACTGCAGGGGAATGGGGCCTCATCTCGCCTCTAGGGGGAAGTCTCATGGTTTTTCTCGAGTTGCGGCGGGGACCTGGGGTATGTTCTCGACTTACGGCGGGGACGGCCCTTCAAAACACGAGTTTCTTCAGTGACGTCAGGACTCCTGTCTAGTAACGAGGGACACCTCAGCAATCTCTTCGAGGCTTGGCAGGGCAAAAGGGACGCTTCTCGAGGTGAGCCAGGGCACCCAAGGACCCTTTCCAGTAGCCACAGGGATTTTGGGATTCCTATCAGTATTCAAGAGGAGTCAGGCATCGTCACCTTTTGAAGCAATGAACTCCGCGTGCCTCTCGACGTGTCAGCGGGATGTGAGGATTCCGTCAAAATGAGGCAGGGACCTAGGGCTTTCTCTAAGGTCTCCACAGGGGATTCAGACATCCCTTCATGTTGTGAGATGAAAGACGAGCCTGTATTCAAGCCACTAGAAGGAAATCCGGCCTCTTTTCAAGTTAGGGCTTCTCGCTGTATATTCCCCTTGAGGCAGCAAACTCGGAGTCCCTCCCACATACCTATTCCTGAGAGAAGCCTCCTCCTGAGGTGCTTCTGGAAAGTTGGCATACGTCTTGAGCCTAAGCCAGGGATTCAGCTCTCATCTTGAGACGATTTGTGGTACACAGAGCATTCCTCGAGTTGCTGTGCTGAAGTTGGTGTTCCTCTAGACTTGGGACAGTGTTCTCTGGGCATCTCTGGAGTTGCCTGAAGGAAGTCGAGCCACCGGTCGTGTTGAATGGGGAACGGGGAATGGCTCTGGAGTCAATGCAGGGGAATCGGGCCTCATCTCGAGTTGATTTGGGGCACCTGGAGCTGCTTTGCATTGCTGGGGTGACCTCAGGGTCCGTCTAGACTGGTGACAGTGTTCTTGGGGACTGCCTCGAGATCCATTAAGCAAGTCGGAGCTCCTGACTTGTTTGAATGGGATCACGGAATACCTCTGCATGCACTGCAGGGGAATGGGGCCTCATCTCGCCTCTAGGGGGAAGTCTCATGGTTTTTCTCGAGTTGCGGCGGGGAACTGGGGTATGTTCTCAACTTACGGCGGGGATGGCCCTTCAAAACACGAGTTTCTTCAGTGACGTCAGGACTCCTGTCTAGTAACGAGGGACACGTCAGCAATCTCTTCGAGGCTTGGCAGGGCAAAAGGGACGCTTCTCGAGGTGAGCCAGGGCACCCAAGGACCCTTTCCAGTAGCCACAGGGATTTTGGGATTCCTATAAGTATTCAAGAGGAGTCAGGCATCGTCACCTTTTGAAGCTATGAACTCCGCGTGCCTCTCGAGGTGTCAGCGGGATGTGAGGATTCCGTCAAAATGAGGCAGGGACCTAGGGCTTTCTCTAAGGTCTCCACAGGGGATTCAGACATCCCTTCATGTTGTGAGATGAAAGACGAGCCTGTATTCAAGCCACTGCAAGGAAATCCGGCCTCCTTTCAAGTTAGGGCTTCTCGCTGTATATTCCCCTTGAGGCAGCAAACTCGGGGTCCCTCCCACATACCTATTGCTGAGAGAAGCCTCCTCCTGAGGTGCTTCTGGAAAGGTGGCATACGTCTTGAGCCTAAGCCAGGGAATCAGCTCTAATCTCGAGACGATTTGGGGTACACAGAGCATTCCTCGAGTTGCTGTGCTGAAGTTGGTGGTCCTCTAGACTTGGGACAGTGTTCTCGGGGCATATCTGGAGTTGCCTGAAGGAAGTCGAGCCACCGGTCGTGTTGAATGGGGAACAAGGAATGGCTCTGGAGTCAATGCAGGGGAATCCGGCCTCATCTCGAGTTGATTTGGGGCACATGGAGCTGCTTTGCATTGCTGGGTGACCTCAGGGTCCGTCTAGACTGGTGACAGTGTTCTTGGGGACTGTCTCGAGATCCATTTAGCAAGTCGAAGCTCCTGACTTGTTTGAATTGGATCATGGAATAGCTCTGCATGCACTGCAGGGGAATGGGGCCTCATCTCGCCTCTAGGGGTAAATCTCAGGTTTTTTCTCGAGTTTCGGCGGGGACCTGGGGTATGTTCTCGACTTACGGCGGGGATGGCCCTTCAAAACACGAGTTTCTTCAGTGACGTCAGGACTCCTGTCTAGTAATGAGGGACACCTCAGCAATCTCTTCGAGGCTTGGCAGGGCAAAAGGGACGCTTCTCGAGGTGAGCCAGGGCACCCAAGGACCCTTTCCAGTAGCCACAGGGATTTTGGTATTCCTATCAGTATTCAAGAGGAGTCAGGCATCGTCACCTTTCGAAGCTATGAACTCCGCGTGCCTCTCGAAGTGTCAGCGGGATGTGAGGATTCCGTCAAAATGAGGCAGGGACCTAGGGCTTTCTCTAAGGTCTCCACAGGGGATTCAGACATCCCTTCATGTTGTGAGATGAAAGACGAGCCTGTATTCAAGCCACTGCAAGGAAATCCGGCCTCCTTTCAAGTTAGGGCTTCTCGCTGTATATTCCCCTTGAGGCAGCAAACTCGGGGTCCCTCCCACATACCTATTGCTGAGAGAAGCCTCCTCCTGAGGTGCTTCTGGAAAGGTGGCATACGTCTTGAGCCTAAGCCAGGGAATCAGCTCTAATCTCGAGACGATTTGGGGTACACAGAGCATTCCTCGAGTTGCTGTGCTGAAGTTGGTGGTCCTCTAGACTTGGGACAGTGTTCTCGGGGCATATCTGGAGTTGCCTGAAGGAAGTCGAGCCACCGGTCGTGTTGAATGGGGAACAAGGAATGGCTCTGGAGTCAATGCAGGGGAATCCGGCCTCATCTCGAGTTGATTTGGGGCACATGGAGCTGCTTTGCATTGCTGGGTGACCTCAGGGTCCGTCTAGACTGGTGACAGTGTTCTTGGGGACTGTCTCGAGATCCATTTAGCAAGTCGAAGCTCCTGACTTGTTTGAATTGGATCATGGAATAGCTCTGCATGCACTGCAGGGGAATGGGGCCTCATCTCGCCTCTAGGGGGAAGTCTCATGGTTTTTCTCGAGTTGCGGCGGGGACCTGGGGTATGTTCTCGACTTACGGCGGGGATGGCCTTTCAAAACACGAGTTTCTTCCGTGACGTCAGGACTCCTGTCTAGTAACGAGGGACACCTCAGCAATCTCTTCGAGGCTTGGCAGGGCAAAAGGGACGCTTCTCGAGGTGAGCCAGGGCACCCAAGGACCCTTTCCAGTAGCCACAGGGATTTTGGGATTCTTATCAGTATTCAAGAGGAGTCAGGCATCGTCACCTTTTGAAGCAATGTACTCCGCGTGCCTCTCGACGTGTCAGGGGATGTGAGGTGTTCCGTCAAAATGAGGCAGGGACCTAGGGCTTCCTCTAAGGTCTCCACAGGGGATTCAGACATCCCTTCATGTTGTGAGATGAAAGACGAGCCTGTATTCAAGCCACTGCAAGGAAAACCGGCCTCATTTCAAGTTAGGGCTTCTCGCTGTATATTCCCCTTGAGGCAGCAAACTCCGGGTCCCTCCCACATACCTATTGCTGAGAGAAGCCTCCTCCTGAGGTGCTTCTGGAAAGGTGGCATACGTCTTGAGCCTAAGCCAGGGAATCAGCTCTCATCTCGAGACGATTTGGGGTACACAAAGCATTCCTCGAGTGGCTGTGCTGAAGTTGGTGGTCCTCTAGACTTGGGACAGTGTTCTCGGGGCATCTCTGGAGTTGCCTGAAGGAAGTCGAGCCACCGGTCGCGTTGAATGGGGAACAGGGAATGGCTCTGGAGTCAATGCAGGGGAATTCGGCCTCATCTCGAGTTGATTTGGGGCACATGGAGCTGCTTTGCATTGCTGGGTGACCTCAGGGTCCGTCTAGACTGGTGACAGTGTTCTTGGGGACTGTCTCGAGATCCATTAAGCAAGTCGAAGCTCCTGACTTGTTTGAATGGGATCACGGAATAGCTCTGCATGCACTGCAGGGGAATGGGGCCTCATCTCGCCTCTAGGGGGAAGTCTCATGGTTTTTCTCGAGTTGCGGCGGGGACCTGGGGTATGTTCTCGACTTACGGCAGGGATGGCCCTTCAAAACACGACTTTCTTCAGTGACGTCAGGACTCCTGCCTAGTAACGAGGGACACCTCAGCAATCTCTTCGAGGCTTGGCAGGGCAAAAGGGACGCTTCTCGAGGTGAGCCAGGGCACCCAAGGACCCTTTCCAGTAGCCACAGGGATTTTGGTATTCCTATCAGTATTCAAGAGGAGTCAGGCATCGTCACCTTTTGAAGCAATGAACTCCGCGTGCCTCTCGAGGTGTCAGCGGGATGTGAGGCATTCCGTCAAAATGAGGCAGGGACCTAGGGCTTTCTCTAAGGTCTCCACAGGGGATTCAGACATCCCTTCATGTTGTCATATCAAAGACAAGCCTGTATTCAAGCTACTGCAAGGAAATCCGGCCTCCTTTCAAGTTAGGGCTTCTCGCTGTATATTCCCCTTGAGGCAGCAAACTCGGAGTCCCTCCCACATACCTATTGCTGAGAAGCCTCCTCCTGAGGTGCTTCTGGAAAGTTGGCATACGTCTTGAGCCTAAGCCAGGGAATCAGCTCTCATCTCGAGACGATTTGGGGTACACAGAGCATTCCTCGAGTTGCTGTGCTGAAGTTGGTGTTCCTCTAGACTTGGGACAGTGTTCTCGGGGCATCTCTGGAGTTGCCTGAAGGAAACCGAGCCACCGGTCCTGTTGAATGGGGAACGGGGAATGGCTCTGGAATCAATGCAGGGGAATCGGGCCTCATCTCGAGTTGATTTAGGGCACATGGAGCTGGTTTGCGTTGCTGGGGTGACCTCAGGGTCCGTCTAGACTGGTGACAGTGTTCTTGGGGACTGTCTCGAGATCCATTAAGCAAGTCGAAGCTCCTGACTTGTTTGAATGGGATCACGGAATAGCTCTGCATGCACTGCAGGGGAATGGGGCCTCATCTCGCCTCTAGGGGGAAGTCTCATGGTTTTTCTCGAGTTGCGGCGGGGACCTGGGGTATGTTCTCGACTTACGGCGGGGACGGCCCTTCAAAACACGAGTTTCTTCAGTGACGTCAGGACTCCTGTCTAGTAACGAGGGACACCTCAGCAATCTCTTCGAGGCTTGGCAGGGCAAAAGGGACGCTTCTCGAGGTGAGCCAGGGCACCCAAGGACCCTTTCCAGTAGCCACAGGGATTTTGGGATTCGTATCAGTATTCAAGAGGAGTCAGGCATCGTCACCTTTTGAAGCAATGAACTCCGCGTGCCTCTCGACGTGTCAGCGGGATGTGAGGATTCCGTCAAAATGAGGCAGGGACCTAGGGCTTTCTCTAAGGTCTCCACAGGGGATTCAGACATCCCTTCATGTTGTGAGATGAAAGACGAGCCTGTATTCAAGCCACTGCAAGGAAATCCGGCCTCCTTTCAAGTTAGGGCTTCTCGCTGTATATTCCCCTTGAGGCAGCAAACTCGGAGTCCCTCCCACATACCTATTCCTGAGAGAAGCCTCCTCCTGAGGTGCTTCTGGAAAGTTGGCATACGTCTTGAGCCTAAGCCAGGGATTCAGCTCTCATCTCGAGACGATTTGGGGTACACAGAGCATTCCTCGAGTTGCTGTGCTGAAGTTGGTGTTCCTCTAGACTTGGGACAGTGTTCTCGGGGCATCTCTGGAGTTGCCTGAAGGAAGGCGAGCCTCCGTTCGTGTTGCACAAACGGGGAATGGCTCTGGAGTCAATGCAGGGGAATCGGGCCTCATCTCGAGTTGATTTGTGGCACCTGGAGCTGCTTTGCGTTGCTGGGGTGACCTCATGGTCCGTCTAGACTGGTGACAGTGTTCTTGGGGACTGCCTCGAGATCCATTAAGCAAGTCGAAGCTCCTGACTTGTTTGAATGGGATCACGGAATAGCTCTGCATGCACTGCAGGGGAATGGGTCCTCATCTCGCCTCTAGGGGGAAGTCTCATGGTTTTTCTCGAGTTGCGGCGGGGAACTGGGGTATGTTCTCAACTTACGGCGGGGATGGCCCTTCAAAACACGAGTTTCTTCAGTGACGTCAGGACTCCTGTCTAGTAACGAGGGACACGTCAGCAATCTCTTCGAGGCTTGGCAGGGCAAAAGGGACGCTTCTCGAGGTGAGCCAGGGCACCCAAGGACCCTTTCCAGTAGCCACAGGGATTTAGGGATTCCTATAAGTATTCAAGAGGAGTCAGGCATCGTCACCTTTTGAAGCAATGAACTCTGCTTGCCTCTCGAGGTGTCAGGGGGATGTGAGGTATTCCGTCAAAATGAGGCAGGGACCTAGGGCTTCCTCTAAGGTCTCCACAGGGGATTCAGACATCCCTTCATGTTGTGAGATCAAAGACGAGCCTGTATTCAAGCCACTGCAAGGAAATCCGGCCTCCTTTCAAGTTAGGGCTTCTCGCTGTATATTCCCCTTGAGGCAGCAAACTCGGGGTCCCTCCCACATACCTATTGCTGAGAGAAGCCTCCTCCTGAGGTGCTTCTGGAAAGGTGGCATACGTCTTGAGCCTAAGCCAGGAAATCAGCTCTCATCTCGAGACGATTTCGGGTACAGAGAGCATTCCTCGAGTTGCTGTGCTGAAGTTGGTGGTCCTCTAGACTTGGGACAGTGTTCTCGAGGCATCTCTGGAGTTGCCTGAAGGAAGTCGAGCCACCGGTCGTGTTGAATGGGGAACAAGGAATGGCTCTGGAGTCAAAGCAGGGGAATCCGGCCTCATCTCGAGTTGATTTGGGGCACATGGAGCTGCTTTACATTGCTGGGTGACCTCAGGGTCCGTCTAGACTGGTGACAGTGTTCTTGGGGACTGCCTCGAGATCCATTAAGCAAGTCGAAGCTCCTGACTTGTTTGAATGGGATCACGGAATAGCTCTGCATGCACTGCAGGGGAATGGGGCCTCATCTCGCCTCTAGGGGGAAGTCTCATGGTTTTTCTCGAGTTGCGGCGGGGACCTGGGGTATGTTCTCGACTTACGGCGGGGATGGCCCTTCAAAACACGAGTTTCTTCAGTGACGTCAGGACTCCTGTCTAGTAACGAGGGACACCTCAGCAATCTCTTCGAGGCTTGGCAGGGCAAAAGGGACGCTTCTCGAGGTGAGCCAGGGCACCCAAGGACCCTTTCCAGTAGCCACAGGGATTTTGGGATTCCTATAAGTATTCAAGAGGAGTCAGGCATCGTCACCTTTTGAAGCAATGAACTCCGCGTGCCTCTCGAGGTGTCAGCGGGATGTGAGGATTCCGTCAAAATGAGGCAGGGACCTAGGGCTTTCTCTAAGGACTCCACAGGGGATTCAGACATCCCTTCATGTTGTGAGATGAAAGACGAGCCTGTATTCAAGCCACTGCAAGGAAATCCGGCCTCCTTTCAAGTTAGGGCTTCTTGCTGTATATTCCCCTTGTGGCAGCAAACTCGGAGTCCCTCCCACATACCTATTGCTGAGAGAAGCCTCCTCCTGAGGTGCTTCTGGAAAGTTGGCATACGTCTTGAGCCTAAGCCAGGGATTCAGCTCTCATCTCGAGACGATTTGTGGTACACAGAGCATTCCTCGAGTTGCTGTGCTGAAGTTGGTGTTCCTCTAGACTTGGGACAGTGTTCTCTGGGCATCTC